CTGGGAGCTGGGGGTTTGTGCTGCTTCGCTTGCGTTGGTGACGACCTCCTCCAGCGAGCCTGGAGATGTTAGGAGGAGCGGTTGAATCAGCTGTATCTAGACGCTGATGGCCCTTAACGTGACTATGTGCTGGTGCTGGCCCAATGGCTGTCTTTGTTGGAAGAATTGCTCCTTGTAATAGTGACGATCGTCGACGTTGTGTATTACGAGGTGCAGGCTCGGGTTCGGGTGATAGACGCGGCACCTGTGGAGGACCACGACCCGATTGTGCAAGGAAAGATAGAGCTGTCAGCCAGAGATAGTGTCTCTCTTTGCTTGGCGCAGTGAGCTTGAGCGCTCGCTCGGGTGTCAGAATGAGTATCGACCTGTCGAAGATAGGTTCGTGTGAAGCGCTCTTGTGAAGCGGCGTTGTATCTTTGACATCAAGCACTGACTTGATCACCACTNNAGTAGGCATTAGTAACCAGAACAAACATCGATGCCAAAGTCACTTACATTTACGTCCAGCTTTTCCAAGCAGGGCCGGACCTGAATTTGGTTGCTTGGAGCTCCACATGACAGTTTGCTCGTACGGCGACAGCCATACCCAACGCTTGTGCCGTACGCCACTGGTAGCCCCTTCATCTGTCTGCTCTGCCCGGGACTCGCCGATGGTGAAAGAGCGACGTCTTCGAACATACTTCCACATCCACTCGCCTACCATGGTGGCTGCTATGGCATCAACAATAACATTGTCTTGACTCTGCTCTTCCTCTTCTTCCACTGCACTATCCTGGTCGAAGTCTGGAGAGTCCATGATGTATTGACCGTTCGGCACACCAAAGTTTCCGTGCGTTGGGGTGACTATGCCGGGAAGAAGCAAGTTGTCTTTCGATGGGTCAAACGCCATTGACTTGATAGGTTCAAGATTCGGTGCTCTTCTTCTTCGTCTTGGGGACATGTGAACATTCGTTCTCATGGTTCCAGACGATTGCACCTTTCTAAGGCCACCGTCGGGACCGATACGAGAATCTTTGCTTGACCGACGTGATCGCATTGAATGTGCTTCACGTGCGATTGGGCTACGAGGGCCTTCATTAGTAGGAGGTCTTGAGCTCATACGGCCTGGAATTGGAAAAGGTGGGGGCGGTGCTGCACCATAACTACTGGCAGTATTAGGTCTGCTAGAGTTACGCTCGTGCGAGCTGAAGAAAGGACCTGCCCTTCCAGAATGAGCTGTTCCCCTCGAGCTAGGTGGGCAACTCTGATTTGAGCTGCCGTCAGAACCCATCCTCTTGCCATGAGCGAAAACAGATGGTCTCTCTGGGCTGACAACAAAGTTGGCAGGGGAAACCGCTCGATTCTCTGGTACAGTCTTTGGAGGACCGTTGAAGAGTGTACGTACACTCGGACGGACAATACCAGGCATGTTTCCGAAAATGGCTCTCATATCATCACTGGACTCGGCCAATCGATCACTGACATCCGTATCGGCATACCACTGCGGTGGGGTGTCCTGTACCGAGTTGGGCTCTGATTGCTGGTGCTGATGTCTCTCGTGAGGTATCGAGCGAAGCCTTGGCGGCGGAAGTTCGATGGGCTTCAGAGGTAAACGATTACCATCCTTGCTGAATGTGCTTCTATGCATGCCCACACGTTGTTTCGTGGGTTTCTGGATCTCGTGGCCCACGGTTGAACCAGTCTTGTCCAGGGCACTTGGCAATAAATGGGGTGGTAACTTGATCGGTCTCCGGTCAACCCTGATTTCTTCCGTTTGCACTCCGGCATCCAGCATTGGCGTANNGGAGGAACTTTTCTCAGTCTGCGCAAAGCTACTGCGCATACCAGGAGGAAGAACGCTTTGACCAAATCTAGGTGACATCGGAGGTTGGACGGTGATGGCTGGTATAGGAAGAACTTGTACTGCAGGCATAGCAACATTTCTTCTGGATGCCAGATCGCCAGGAAAAGCAAATTCAGTTTGTGTCGAACTTGATTGATAGACCTGCTTCGCGGAAACCTCCTTGAGAGCACCTCCCTTGATAATATAGTGTGGTGTGTCTGGAGGACTTATAGGAGCCTCGCCCATGCGATCTGATGTCAACAGATTTAGTCGTCTAGGCTGGGGGCCTCGTTCTGTCGGTTTCAGCTCGGTGGGTACCATGGCAGACTCGACTTCCCCATTTTGATTGACTGTCAAAGTCTTTGACGCCTCGCTAGCCGTTTCATCTTTCTGTCTTGCAGGACTAGCAGAGCGCGAGAAAGTCATCTTTGCCATTTGCATATTAAAACGTTCTGCGAAAGATGGAGCTCTCAGTGAATCGATTGACGGTCCTCGCGCTACTTCCCCTTCGGTCAAGCTGTCCGACTCGCTCTTGAGTGTCAAGCCAAGAATCTTCTTTGCTTTGCGATCCGAAATGGCCGAAGTCCTAGAGTTGATGCTGGACCGGTTTTGGGCAAACAAGGGAAGATCCTCATCGTCTCCTTCCAGGTCTTCAGTCTCATAGTCCTCGTCGTCCGAGTTGAGCTCGTTGGCCAAGGAAGTCATGGCTGGCCTGCGGATGCTGCCGATTGTTGGTGCGAGGCTCCGGAAGCTCATGCTACTTTGATTTCTGGTGTGCCCTGCGCGTCGGATAGAGTGAACACTAGCAACATCGCTGTCGTCCGATGCATTATCAGGCTTCTGCTGGGATTGAGAAGCAAGATGTTGGGCCCGAACTTCTTCTACCACTGACCGTAAGCGCGTCTCGGAGATGTGAACCTTTTGCTCCAGTTGTCGCTTTTCGTTCTTCCACGAGAGTCTCTCCTTTTCCCATGCCTCTCTGGACCGAACATTCTCCTCTTCCAAGACCTTCATCTTCTTGTTCGCTGCATCCAGCTTGTTCCGTAGCTCTTGATTCGCAATCTTGACATTGTCTCGCTCGCCAAGTAAGCCCTCGACTGCATCAAAGGTTCCGTTCTCGAGGAGCTTGAACTTTTGTTCCATCTGCCTGGCCTTCTTTGTGCTTTCGCGGAGTTGAGAGGAAAGGGTTTCATTGTCAGTGTTCGTAGTCTTGAGACTTTCTTCGAGGGTGTCGATGAATACATGTTTCGAGTCGAGCTCTCGTCGTAACGAGAGGATTTCTGAGACTAAAGAAGCATGCAGCGTTGGCGTGAAACGGTTTGCATCGAATGCATGAGCATTGGCATCCCGACTGTCGGATGCATCGAACGAAGGCAGCGGGGCCGATTTAGTGGAGAAGTCGCGATATTTCGCACGTCCACGTGAGGAAGGAGGTTTCGATGCTGCAAGATCTGGCGGAGTGTGTTCGGGCGTTCGTGCGGGTGATGCAAGGGTACCGTACTGGAAGTAGTCTGTTGACATGATGGCGACGCGACGAGACGATTAGCAGGCAGAGGTTCACTCTTTCTACCAGGTATATAGTCTACCAAGTCATGACTTGATGCCTGTCACTTGTGTCGTGTGAGTGCGAGCTTCACACGAGAATAGGCAAAGCCTCGATGGGATGATTATCAAAAAGGAGAGAGCAGAGAATGAGAAGAGAGACAGCAATGACGGCGCCGGTCGAGTTGGCGGCGGGTGTTTCAATCTATAGCGAATTGGACATGAATAAAGATTGACCGGGAACGCCGATCAGGAGGAAAGGCTGAAAGATGGACCTAGGAAGGAACGAACAGACCATCAATTGGATGGGATTGCCTCAATCTATCCAAGCAGAGAGGCGCACCTCCCCGCTCTGCTGCCCTTTGAGAACCAGCAGACATTTTCGACTTGTGGTCGCGGATTGGACAAGCTCATGCAACCGCTGTGATAGAGGGCGTTCAAGGTGCGAACCCGAAGCTGTGGAAAGTGATAGCAGGCAAAGTGCCGAGTATCTGCACGGGTCGTCTGCAGACACAAGCGCGCCGTTTCTCCATGCAAGGGACTGACAAGATCGGCTCTGTAACCGCACCGTTTTGCTCTGCTCGAACGAGCTTCTGTTTCACCACACCAGAATCTCCAACGTCTGCTTATGATGGATCAGTGGTTCTTCTTTTGACACGACACTGCCAATTTCAGCACCGAAACCAGCAGACAAAGCAAAAAGATTGAGTCGCTCTACTAATGTGTCCTTAGCAAGCGCTCGAGCGTTCGTGACAGGGTGTGAACAGGCTTGTGCTTCTGCCGATCACTTTAATGCTTATGAACCAATAGATATCCTGATTGCTTGTCCTACGTGACCAACTGACACTGTTGTGCCTCTCGACACGACCATGTCCAATCGCAAATTCATATGTGCGCCGTCTGTACAAGGGTCTTCCTAGGCTTTAATGAAAGCCACACTGGTCGACCAGATGAGTGCCGCACGGAAGTGAAGCGCCAGGTCCGAGCAAAGCGAGCATTAGCAACGACCGTCTAGACCTACGACATCTCTTTCTCTCTCTCACGGTCACACACGACAATATTGTAAGCTATCATGATATACAATCACATCATGAAGACGTGTCTATAGAATATTGTTGGAGCACAAAGTGCTTGTAATGCTGGTCAATAAGTCTGTAATTGCTCATGGTCATGAATCTTGCAGGCACGAAAGATGCTGACCCACAACAGAGTTCGACTTACGGGGCTCTTCATATGACCAGACATGTACAGAACCATGCTCTTTACCTCATAGAGCACACAGTATTCGAATTGTGTACACATCAAGTCGTACACAAGACTAGGGGTGATTTTGTTTGTATAAATTGTTGATGGGGGACAACCCTGACTTGCTCGGGATGAGGTGACCCGACTCCCGAGCCCCCACCTCGAAACGTCAATTTTTTTGAAATGGTGCATCGTCAGGCCGCCGACTTTCTGACATTGCCTTGACGTTTCCGGCTACACAACCCTAACTCAATCGAAGAGCCTTGACCTAGCACCGAGTCCCGACGCATCGCGCATCGAGAGTCAGAATTTTTGATACGGCGTACCGTCCACGAGAAAGAGCACAGCAACCCGAAGAGAAAGAGAAGAATACTTCAACACAAGGACCAACATGGCGTCGCGCGTTCAGGAATTACCCGATGACTTTGACGACAAGATCGACCTGAACAAGGCACCCCCAGAGACACATGGACCCGCACCACCACCAGCTGCTGGTGACAGCGGCCTCTCCTTCGACAAGATGATGGAAGCCGCTGCCAAACACTTCCCAGCCAAGAAAGATGCACCAACAGAAGGTGACCCTTCCCAGCCCGGCGCTGAGATGCCTCCTGGCATGGCAACAGCAAGACAGTACACCGCAGATGAGATGTGGCAGATGCTCAACAAGTCCCCACTCTTCATGACCGAATTGGACGAGACAGGTGAAGACGGCGGCGAGAACGTGGCTCTGGAAGCCATCAAAGCCCTCGCCTACGAAGGCACTCGCGCCGAAAATGCCGCCTCGTTCCGCGAACAAGGAAATGAAAATGCCCGCCTCAAGCGCTGGAAGGACGCGCGTGAATTCTACGACCGCGCACTCGGTGCTCTCAAACTGCCACAGAAGCGTGCAGACGCAGTAGAAGGCGGCGAGGACGTTGAGCATGACTTGGTAGAACTCGATCAAGAGGAGGAAGCACGCAAGGAAAAGGAACACGAAGAGGCATCGCTGGTAAATCGCGCCCTCTGCAATCTCGAGTTGAAAAACTATGGCTCTTGCAACCGCGACTGCGCCGCTGCTCTCAAACTCAATCCTCTGAACGTAAAAGCATACTACCGCAGCGGCATGGCCAATTTCCATCTCGACAAATTGCCCGCAGCAAGCTGGTCTTGCGATCTAGGCCTCAAGATCGACCCCACCAACAAATCGCTCCTCATCCTCCAAGACAAGATCGCAAAACGCCGAGCCCAGATCGAGCGCGCGGAACGTGAACAGCGCGAAAGAGAAGAAAAAGCACGCAGAGAAAAGGAAACCTTGGCTCTGGCATTGAAGGGCCGCAACATTGCAACTCGTTCAACAACAACAGCACCACCTCAACTCGAAGACGCAGCCGTACAACTCGAGGACCCCACGGACGCAGCTTCAACACTGAGCTTCCCTTGTCTACTCCTCTACNCCCTCCACAACCAAACAGACTTTATCAAGTCTTTCGCCGAAGACGAATCAGTGGGCCAACATCTCGAGTACATCTTCCCCTTACCGTGGGACGAAGACGAACAATACCTACCCGAGAACGTAGAATGCTATATCGAGACCAAGACTGGAGGGTTGGTAAAAGCAGGAAAGAAGATGGCTCTGCTCAGAATCTTGAACACTGGCAAAGTGGAGATTGTGGACTCTTTGCTGAGGATCAATGTGGTGCCAAAGAACAGAGCGCAGGAATGGGTGGACAATTTCAAGAAGATCAAGGCTGCTGCTAAGTAGAAAGAAGTCGAATATACCCCTGATGATTGTCGAGCTACCAACAAAACTCTTCGGACTCTTCCATGCGCAAGTGTCATGAGAGCAATCGCTGCAAGAGAGACCTATGTATTATGTCACTCTCATTGTGCAAGGCTGGAGCTTACACAAAGTCTGCATAGTTGTGCAAAGACCCTGCGACGTCAGCGGGTTGTGGGGTAAACATGTCCCTCGCAGTTGCTGCCAACCACAAACACATCTCACGCACATCACATCAACCAAGAACATGGCAGACGACGAACTAGCAACCAGAGCTCCCGAGAGCGATTTGGCCGAGCAGAGTGCCATCCCCGGCGATTCGGCCGTCGACCAGNGGCCCAAGTCTAGGAGTGAGCCTCTCACACCGTCATCGCGCAACCGAGCTAACAACATGCCAAAAGAACCAAGAAGCTCAAGTCCACGAGGCAGGACGTAAGCCATGCGTCCTCAGCTTTATCACAACTCGTATTGACCAGTATCCACAGAACCAACACCCACCTCCCAGACCCCCACCGGCGAAATCACAAAATTCAACGATGTCGAATGCTACATTACCAAACCTGCCGACTACCCACACGCCCCCTGTAAACTCCTGCTCTTCTTGACAGGAGGCACCGGTATCCATGCGCCAGCCAACAAACTCCAAGCCGATGCCTATGCCGAACAAGGATACCTGGTCATCATGCCCGACCAGTTCAACAATGATCCAGCCCCCAACTCTGTCTTTTCTGCTGGTGACGACAAGACCAGTTTCCTCGAGCAGTTGAAACTGAGGGCTGCAGAGGTGGCAAAGAGCTTTAGATTGGACATGTGGTTGGCGAGACATACGCCGAGCTCGGTCTTGCCAAGGCTGAACAAGGTGTTGGCTGCTGTAAAGGACGAGTATGCGGACGCGGTACAGGCAGGCGGTGGCGTGTACTGTGTGGGCGTCAGTGTGGGTGGTAGATTTGCACTCTTACTGGCCAGCGAGTTGGGGGCCGATGTGCTCGAGGGTCAAAAGGAGGTTAGCGAAGAAGCGGCCGGCAAGGTCGAGGAAGGCATGATCAGAAGAGGGCCAGCTGTCAAGGCTGCTGTCATTCTCCATGGTGCAACCATTGAGCGCGAAGACTTTACTGGTGTCAAGAGTCCCATTGGTCTTTTGACCGTGGACGAAGACCCTTTGTTCAGCGATGAGGTGCGCGAGGCCGGCGTCAAGAGCTTGAAAGAGAAGGGTGTCGAAGTCCAGGAATGGACCTATCCTGGTGTACCCCATGGTAAGTCGAGTTTGTCCCAATCGAAGAAGTTGTCAGCTGACAATCCATCACAGNGCTTTGCTATCGTTGGCGAGTATCAAGACGAAGCCATCAAGCAAGCACAGAAGCAAGCCTTTGAAGTGGTTCTCGAATGGCTGAAGGTCCACTAATCACCATCACCATCACCTCGACATCATTCGGCCCTTGCTTGATCGTTTCTTTTCCTCTTTTCTGCAGACTTAGCAAACTATGATACCAATGACACAGTTCTTCTTTTGCACAAGAGAATCACGTTCTCAGTATCAACGTTTATGGGAATTGTTGCTTAAACAGTGCAGCTCTGCATGGACAGTCCCAAGATTTGTTTGCTATTTCCTGAGAAAGACTCGTAGTACACAATGATTGGAATGCGGATCTCTGTCGCGGGGTGTGTTGGGTGGCCTGTTCCGTTGGACTTCCTTATCTTCCTCTTATTCAATGTCCTCCCAGATGATTGACCATTCTTGGCAAAATATCAAAAACCAAGTCCGATCTACTGCGACTTCTCGCGCGCTCCCACATAGACGACCTCATCATTCATCTCCTCGTCAGGCTCCTCACTCATTTCGAGTTCCTTCTCGCACTGTACGAGTTCCTTGTCGACCTCTGTGCATTGGACTTCGAGCAACAGAAGTTCCTTCTCAGCTTTGGCACGCTTATCCTTGAGCGCAAGGATCTCCTCCTGAATCTTCTTGGAGCCTTTCACCTGGGCAATGCTCTTCTGCGGTTGCTCGATCTTGAGTCCGCCTGCTGCCTTCTCGGCCTTCAAGTCGCTGATGAGATGTTCGGCGTCATCCAGAGCCTTTTTCGACTCCTCGACTTCGACGTTCAGGTTGTTTTTGTCGCCCTCAAGGTTGCTGTTTTCGCTGCGAAGGCTGTTGTTCTCGTCCTGAAGGCTGGTGTTCCCGCCCTGAAGGTTGTTGTTCTCGCTCTGGAGATTGGTGTTTTCGCCTTCAAGGTTGTTGTTCTCCTCCTGGAGGTTGTTGATTTGATGCTGCAGATTGTTGTTCTCGCTCTGGAGAGTGTTGTACTTCTCCTAAAGGTTGGTGTAGTTCTCCTGGAGAGTTTTGTAATTCGCACGGAGGTTGCTGTAGTTCTTCTGAAGGTTGTTGCTCTGTTCCTGCAGTTGAGAGATCTGAAGCTGCCGTTGATTCAGTTCATCTACACAAGCATACAACTGCTACGTTGTCAGGACCGCGTCTAAGGATGAGGTGTGCCAAACTCGATGGAAGATATAACGCACTTGACTTGAAGTACCCATTATTGCGAATGTGTATTGTAGAAGGTTGTTTGAGCCACCTTGAAGCGTTGATTTGCTGGTGTTGCTGGTAAGGGGTTTGATTGCGCAGAGCGTGTTTTGATGGAAAGGTTGGAAGGGCGCAAGACCTCGAGGAGGAATTTTTGACGCGGTGATGGAGAGTGATGGTGAAAGAAGCACCTTCCTCAAGATTCACAGAACTGATTGATTCATCTTCAAAAGAGAGATAAGGAACTCGCAAAATTCACTAAATAGGTGAACGCGTGAACGGAAATCCACAGTGAAGGTGCCTCCTAGCTTCTGGAGCACTATGTACTTCCTTAATGTCTGCTCTGCCTCCAACCTACTCAGCCTGTAAAACATACTCAGTGTGCCGGGAGTGTTAGGTGTGATGCGTTATACTTTTTGCTTGGGTTGTAAGTTCGATCCTGGATGGTGATGATCGATTGTGAGTTTTTGCTCTGATTTGCTTTTGCGTGTCGAACACGAGCAGTGCTTTTGGCATCTCATCCCCTGACTTTTTGTAACCCTTTGCTTTTCATATTTGTCCCTCATACCATTTCCACATCTCCCCTCAGTACAGCCTCTTTGACCGCACTCCACCTCACACACCAAACATCGCCTCTCCTCAACTCTACAAGACCTACTCCTTGCTCGCCTTGCACCTCTACGTGACCTGCATCTCTCAGTACCCTCACGAACACAGCTGCATCTGCATCCGGCGCATCTATCATAGAGATTCCTCCAGCCGTATCGTCTAGTTTCTGCAGCTGTGCGGGAAACGAAGAGAGGAATGAGGTGTTGAAGTGGTGGGATAGGAGTGAAATGCGGTGAGTCAGGTATTGTGATTCTGTGGCTGAGAGGTTGGGCGAGGGAAGATGATGATGAGGGTATTTGTCGAGCTTTTTGTTGTGTTAGTTGATGTGATATTGAGGGTAAAAGGGACGGGAAAATACCTTTGCTATCCTCGCTCGTAAGAAGGACCGAATCAAGAATTTGAATCTTTCGAGTTCTGTTTGTGTGATGATGAGGTTGAAGTTTGCGGATGGGTCCATTGTTCCTGTCATGTCTTCTACGGTTTCGATCTATGTTTCTCAAGAAGTTTGGTTAGTCATTTTTCTTTTTGCCTGCAGAGGTTCGAGTGTTGTGGTTTCGATGTGCTTTTGCCGTGATCTCTGCAATGTCCTCCTTTTGGTTCTTCTGTCTCTTTGTATCTGACAGGTTTTCCTCCTCCTCGCTCGTCCTCGCCGCTCCTCTTCTTCTTTTTTTTTTTTGTTTCTTTTAGAACTTCTGTTTACGCCTTCTTTTTCCCACCCAAATCTTCGAAATCTTTATGAATCCTCCAAAGAAAAAATAGAAAAGTCAAGTGAAAACACTATAGGAGAAAGAAAACAAAGAACAAAAAGATATTTTCTTCTTACCTGCACTTTTATCCTTTCCATAACCCTATCGATGAGCTCTTCTGGAAAGGGCAACAACTCTGGCGCACATCTCTCAGCCACCCAAGCTCGTGTCAACGCTTGCAGATCTGAAGTTCGCTGTGGTATGCGATCGCTCGAAGATACAGAAGCAAGGATGTCGTCGATATCCATGACTGTTGTGATGGGTCGATTAGGGCTGAGAATAGGAGAGATTGGTGGATGGGTTGAGTATGTCGATGGCTGATCTATATGCGCGGTTGGTTTGTCGACTGGTTTGTCCCGGGTTGTAAGTGGTCGATCTGATTTGATTGTGATTGGTTTGTGGTGGGCGCAAAGGGTGTGTGGTTCCAAAGTGCCTTTTTCGGATGTGGGGGGTGGGGGGACGTGTTTGTGGCGCGTCATGTTCGCGTGCTGGTCAATTTATCTCTCTATCCAGGAAGGCAGAGTTGTACGAAATATCCTCCTTCTCTTTCGAGCTCTTTTGACATTGGTCACTTGTCGTGTATGCTCTACAAGATCACATCAAGAAAGTCCAACCAGCAAACAGCAAAGAAAGGATCTAACAAGAATTTGCCATAGTGACACCCTCTTCGATCTAGTAATCAGTGCTTCGCACGACAAAAAGACAGTATTAGGATGTTCAGGAGATGAAATACGAAATGTGCTGCTGCAAAAATACACAAAACAACAACAATGGCAAAGAAGCAGGGAAACTTCATCAGCCGTAGGGTCAATCCTTCTACAACACCAACCAGCTAACCCCAATCCACCCTCCAATCCCAAAACACCCAATCAACAAGACACAAATTCCCATCAAAACACCCGCAACTACCCTATCCCAAGCACCCATAAACCCAGCTTGACCAGCAGCAGAATGCGAATTCTTGCCCAAGAAAATCCACAGCAATGTTGCTGCAAGACTGAGCACGAGGACGATACACAGAGCAACAAGAATCCTTCGCACAGACCACGAGACCACGAACTCGAGCCCTTCGTGCTGCTCCGCGCGTCTGATCATCGAGAAGCGGTTATTCACCGTAGATGTGGTGGCAGGTGTGCGTGCACTATCTGGAACCACAGATGGAGAAGCAGAAGGAGGAGGTAAAGGCGTGGTGATTGCAGGTGCATCTGCTAATCTGTGTGCCCAGCTCACCCATGCATATCTGCTTTTCCCTGCTGCATTGGGGTTGTGAAAGAAGCGGAGGAGTTTTTCTTCGCTAAAGGTGTCGTTGAGACCTTTGTGGGCCAGTGTCCGAGGGNNGGAGCATGGGGTGAGCAGCCAGCCATAGCCTGAGTCCGCTTGTCTGCTCGCGTCGCCGCTTACACAGATCATCGTCAAGCTTCGAGCAGAGAAGTGGCGCCAGGGACCCAAAAGTTTCTGGTAATGGTGGCGTAGCTGGCGGAACAGTTCTGCGTCGTCAAAGTCTTGTGGTGTGTATTCTTTTCCACCACGGTCAGAGCTGCGACGGCGGTTCTTGATCGCGCTGAACTCGCTATCAGCCAGGACCGTGAGCGTCGAGAGTCGAAACCGACTGTTGGGATTGCTGCGGCGGATGCTGAGAGTGAGCACGCTGTCGTGTACATGGGGGCTGCGTAGCGCGGGTGCAGAAGCTGAGAACTGACGGCCAAACTCCTTGCGGTGTATGGCACGGAAAGGATATGGCGTCTTGACATGAGGTTGTTGTGTTGAGATCCGTGATGTGTCAATCGGCGGCGGCGCCATAGTAACCTTTTTCGCAGGTGCAGAGACCGATCTGTACCGGGAGTTGCGCCATTCCTGATATCGCGAGTCATGAATCGGTATCGGTGGAGGTGTGGGTGATGGGATCGAAGAACCAGTGAAGCCAGTAAGTGCTTGCATCGTGGAAAGATGCACTTCCTTAATGTGATTAGCTACAGCCAAATCCTGATGTTTCGGCAAGATCGGACTTTCTTCTTCCAGTACACGTGGCGAGCTGTTATGGAAGAGGCCATCGACAAGCATGTTACTCCTCCTCGCTGGTCTGACAGGCGTCATCTCCTCGATCGATCCGATATATGAATCCTCATCGCTGTCAAATCCACTTTTGCAAGCTTCGCGCGTCAATTGCTGATATCTCTCAAAGTCCGTAGGTTCAACGGGAGAACGAGGTGAAGGGGGCGTGGGTATCCTCCGCTCAGGAGCACAATTCGACTGAAATTGCTCCGTGGTACCGCCCAGATAATGACCAGATCGCCTTTGTTTTGAAAATGGCCGTTCAGCACGAGGACCCTCGCCTTCTGGAGAAGCATGCGTGTTCGGTATGTTTGGGACGTGATTCCCCTCGTCCGGAGATGAGTTGTCTAGAAATGTCCGTGGTCCAAAATCTGCCTGGCTGTTTATCGACTCGAGTAGGAACTCTGGATGTACGCTTCGTACTGGGCTTCCTACTTCGTGCTGGTGTATGACTTGTGGTGCTCTTCCAGGCGAGGCTGACATGCGAATCTCATGCATTGGACTCATCGTGGGTTGATTTTGCGTGAGAAGGCGACTCTGATTCAGTTGTTCTCGATAGCTATGAGACTGGATACATCATGTCGACGTTTCGCAATAGTGCAGAGAGACTCCATGTTTCCATATTGCTCTAGAGTGAAACCGAGTGGTAAACACACCATTGTGGTGAGGAATGCGGGTAGTTGCATACTAAAATTAGCCGGTAAATTTACCTCCACAACAGACACATCTATCGCATGCCGCGAAAAGAATGCGTGCCAAAGATACTGGAGGCTCTGGGTCAATAGTCCCTTGCATCACCTCATCTCCATCAGCTTCATCGGTGACCGTCTCGCTGCTGTCTTTTGCCTTGATGCCAGGTATCATAAACTCGTTCATATACTGAGCATTGCATATAGAACAAGACTTAGCAGTGCCCGGCGTTTGAATAGCGAGGAAGGAGAGCGTGCAACGCGCTGGGTGACAGTCAGTGTCGGCGCTATACTCGGATACTATTATTATGAACTTACGGTATTGATGGTTGTTAACACACTTCGCCCATCGAAGACTCTCCAAAGGTATGTTACTGTGACATATCTCACATCTCTCAATCTCTTCTTCCTCTGAGGTCGAAGCATCGGCGTCAGCATTTCCAGCTCGTGCTTGCAGTTTCGCTAGAATCAAACAATGAGTTTGCATGATTGAGGTGCTCAAGAGACTGGCGTCTGCAACGAAATGTGGGAGGCGCGAGATCTCTGAAACAATCTTGAGCACGACCGTTGCATCGAGCGGCGGAGTTTTGGGAATGTCAGCTTTGACAAATTTCAACAGCTGCGACAGCCGCCTGTGAACACTGTCACGGTTGAACAAGATGTTCTGTCTCAATTGACGCACAACCAGCTCGACAGGAGTGTCTTCTGTGATCTGAACCTGATTGATACTGGTTGAGGGCAATTCCGAAAGGTCGAGTGCTTGCATGACCTGCTCAATCACAAAGCTGTCGTCAGCAAGCGCTTCGGGCTCGCGCACGGCAAGGCTTTGCAAGCTAGAAAGCAGAGTTTCAGCAGTCAGTTCTAGTAGATGTTAGTACTGTCTACGAATCAAAACCTAGCAGAGCTCACCGTAAGCATTGGAAGGAGACCCGGCGAGAGCAAATTGCAAGTCATCATTGCACTGACTAGTAACGAAATACGAGACCTCATCAGAGTTTGTTGTGTATTCAACTCCATCGCTCGGGTGAAAGCTGACATTGATAGCCACCAAATCGCCAAAGGGAGATGTACACAAGCCATAAGCTCTGGATATAACGTTGCCAGCAAGGTTCCACTCGTCACTAAAGCGTCGTTGGCCTCTGAGCAGGTCATGCTGCCAATTAGTGGATCCGAGGCCTGAATTCGGTGTAAATGGTAAAGCCAGACTGGTGATGCGGTCAGTCCCCGAGCCAAGATGGTATGCAATTTGCACAGAAATGTTCTCGCTCTCGTCTTGTACAAAAGTCATGCCTNNGTTGATTTGTTAGATGGGTTGAGAATTGGTAAACCTTCCAGACATACCTGCGATCTCGTCCCAGGGAGTATTGATCTCTTGAGCCGAGACTTGAAACTCGGAATTGGAACCCGGCTGAGCTTGCAGACAGTAGAACGCATTGCGGGTTGGGTACACCAGGAATGCTTCCTTTGAACTGTTCAGCTTCGAGGCCCATTTCATACATCCGGCAGCTTGAGTATCAGGTACCTCCTCCATCAGCGATATAACAGCGCCAGTCGCCACATCAGTACGTGAGCTTTCATCAGCAATCATCACGTTCGTGCATTGCAAAGATGACTGAGTCGTGAAAGTCAGTATTGACGTTTGCGAATTGGCGGAATCTGAAGCCCATGGACTCCAANNAGCCAATTGATCCACAAAAGGACTTCTCCATGTAAATGTCACTGGCAGACAAGCACTGAGAGCCGATTTCTTGGTATCGGGAACCTCGACGCCGAATGAGCCCGCCACAGATAGGTTCCAGCGTGTCGTGTTTGGCTCCAAGATATTGTGAGGTGTCTGTAGGTCGATGATCAAGACTTCGCCGCGATCATTTGAAACAGCCAGATAGGGGTTTCTTGTCGTGCAGTGACCAGAAGCACCCGACAGCGAAGAGTCTGGTAATGCTGGGCTCCATGTAAACGCTCTGATACGTTGCTTTGCTCTCAGTCTTTCAAAGTGATCGTGCTCACTCTCTTCCGAAGTCTGAACATCCTTTTCCTTGTAGTGTGCTTGGAGGGTGTGGTTGACGACACAAGCTCTCACCCAATCCGTAGCGATTTCTGGTTTTCCAACGCATTCCCAGATCGATAGCACATGATTTGAGGTAAGAACGGCCAGGACACTTCGTTTGTGTTTGCCAAGTCCCGGAGGTGACCAGTCGAGGGCGTGAACAAAGGATTCTGACATTTCTTCACCAATCGAAAAGTTTTTCCAGCTTAGAGGTAGTTGAAGTTGGATATCATCCAGGGTGAAGAAACTCGTCTTGAGATTGATCTTGTCCCATCTTCTCTCATCCGATGCAATGGCTTTGAGACGTGGTACCTGGAAATGTTAATTGTGATTGGAGTCAGGGGTTTTAAGACTCACGAAAAGGCTGACATGGTCACTGCCGCCCACTGAGATGATTCCTTCCTTCGACCAAGAGATGTTATCGAGTGTGTTTGGGTAAAAGTCGATCGTGACACCACCATTTGAGCGGTTGTATTTGTCCCAGACCATGATGACGATTTTGATGTTGTTGTTGGATAACTGTGGAAATGGACGTCTCAGAGCTTTTCGACTTGGCGTACTCCTTGAGCGAATGCTATGATGGCAAGCTGATAGGAAAAAACCAGCTCGCGTAATGTCAAATGAGTGGAAGCTCAGATGTTGGATCTGAACAAGGACGCGTCAAAGGAAACAAAGCAGCTACCTAGAGTTGGTCGTGAAGCTAAAGCATCAAGGAAGAAGACACAACCTCGTGTCTGTCCTCGAGATTCTGTCAATGTCTCGAAAACGTAGGATGTTCTTCCAAAGATGCTCGTGAGGAAGTCGCGTTGTTCTGGAAGGACAAAAGACTCCCGGCTGCAACTCCGCATCCGCAAACGCCAAGACAAGCGTGGGGTCGGTGTTCAAGGGCAGCAAGGAGAGCAGGCTATCAAGGTGCTCTTTCTCATCGGCCTGACAGTCTAGCAAATCAGGCACGATGGTCCTCTCCTTCATCCTGATACAGAACCGGCAGTAAGAGCGTCCGAACACATCTCCACAGCAACACAAGCTAAGAAAGCTCTAGGNNGGAAAGACACGCTTGGCCAAATGGTATGCGCCATACAGTGTAAGCATCTCCGCTCAATTGCTGTCTCACAGTCCACTGACACCTCTCCCAGNNGACGAAGAGAAAGTCAAGCTAAAAGGCGAGGTATGACACCACCTTCCCCTCTACCTCCTACCAACCGACCACCAAGTCCACCCTCACACCACACCCGCACCCTCTCACAAACCCCCTCGCACCCAACTCCTCTGACACCCTCCCTCCCAGATCCACCGCCTCGTCGCCCCCGCGACCAAAAACNACCAATCCAACTTTGTCGAATTCCGCGGCAGCTCCAAAATCGTCTACCGTCGCTATGCCGGCCTCTTCTTTTGCGCCTGCGTAGATGCAAACGACAATGAATTGGCATATCTAGAAGCCATTCATTTCTTCGTCGAAGTGCTGGATCAGTTCTTTGGAAATGTGTGCGAGTTGGATTTGGTGTTTAACTTTTACAAGGTGAGTGAGGAGGCAAGCAAGAGGAGGGCAAAAGGACAAGGAGTGGAAGGGAAAGGGGTAGGAGACAATGAGTGCTGACAAGGGACAGNNGTGTACGCTATCCTGGACGAAGTCTTTCTGGCTGGAGAGATTGAAGAGACGAGTAAACAGGTCGTGTTGACGAGGCTGGAGCATTTGGACAAGCTTGAGTGATGATGCACTTTGCTGGGAATTACAAGCATTTTTGATACCATGGGAGAAAGGAGTTTGTGGAGTTATTGCTGCATCAGAGAGAGAGAGCGCGCGCTTTGCAAAAGTCATCATAGTATATATTGAGGTCTGTCTCAGTAGAGATAGTGAAAATCTCCATCGTCATGGCTTCCTGCATCCTCCAAGATGAAAAGCCTCAAGTCGAAATAGCAGCCAGGCTATGTGTAAGAAAAACTTGAGGCAGATGCTCGCCTCGGTAACAAAAGATTCTCTGCCTCAATGCTCGAACCTCATCCCTCCCTCCCTCATTCGTCAATTCTCAATTCGCTCATGCGAGAGTGTAGTTCGTAAATCGTGATTGCGCCTTGCAAGACGCCTTGAGCTTTCCCTGTCAAAATGGTGACACTTCATGTCAGTTGCAAGATCTTGTACCAAGCACTCCAGTCTCGTTGTTCAGTCAATGAGAATAACCTCCTGCTTAGCAGCGCGGAAGACGATCAACTTGTCGCCGAATCTGTCCAACTCCTCAAGCGTGTCGGCGAAACTAGGAACTCTGCCGCAGAAGAGAATCTGGTGCTGTTCTTCGGTGGTCACCTCACGGTACTTGTTCCACATGGTCTCGACTGTGTTNGATCTATTGAAGGATTAGCTTGTTATCCTTACGGTGTTTTGAGTCACATCACTTACCTTTGATCCTTTGAGCCAGACAAAGTCCTTCTCGACCTTGGCCTTCTGAGGCTGCACCTTGTGCATGAGTATGGCGACCCAATAGCGATGAGCGGGAAGAATGTGTGGCTGCAGCTTAAAGGCCTTGTGGTGAAGTTCCTTGTCTTCCTTTGCGATGTGTTTCTTGACGGGTTTGAGACGGCTTTCGGTAAGCATGTAGCCTTCGAACTCAACTTGAGGCAAATTCTGAGCATCAGAGTCCTCGACACCAGAGTCATGTACCTCCTGAGCAGAGGATGATGCGGCGTGAGAAATATCCACATCTGTTTCCTCGTCTTTAGCGACATCACTATCCATGGTACTTTCTGTGTCAGAATTGTCCTCCTTCGAATCGCGATCGGAAACATCGTCTTGGGCGTCCTTGTCTTCGATGTCAAGTTCTTCGGATGGGTTATCCTGCATGACGTTTTCTTCTTCAACATCAGTCTCAGGGGCATGGCTGGAGTTTTCGACTGGTTCAGGAGTGGCGTTTTGGGGCTGCTCCATACCGATGAAAGGGGTTGAGCCTTCTCTCTCGGTAGCGGAGTCCTCAAAGTCAACAGTGTACATTCCCTCGTCGTTCAAGCCAGCAACAACTTGATCAACCTGCTGTGAAAGCTGGTTCTCCTGAACCTTCTCAGCCTCGCTGGTGTGATGCTCATTCTCAAAGCTTTTGAATGTCTCGTATTCAATGCTCTGAGAGTTCTGAGGGATGGGGAACATTGAGTCACTCAGGCCAAGCTCAATACTCTCGACTGTAGTAGTGCCCCAGCCTTGGTTCACACCCTGATACTTGTGGTCACCTACATCAGGAGACTGGTGAGCTGGTGGAGTGGGAGAGCGGGCAGTCTCGGGGATGTCTTGATTCAGCTCTGACATGAGCTGCGCGCTGGGGTCGTCTTCCATGTTGAAGTCGACGTATTCACCAGAGTACACATCGACGGCTTCGGGGCCTTTCTTGACATCATTCTGGGGTCGAGAGGGAGCTTGCTGAACAGGAGCCTGTTCGAGAACAGGCTGCTGGAAAGGGGCATGCTGCACAGGGTATTGCTGTCCTGGATAACCGTAACCAGACTGTGCCATTGACCAGCTTTGAAGCATCTGCGCTGCAGGGTCGAGTGGTGCCTGGTAGCTGGGGTTGCCGAAGGAAACAGGAGGTGATGACTGCATGTTTTGATAGGAGGTGTGGTTTGAGAAGGGATTCTGAGGAGTGGGTGGGACGTATCCGTAATACTGCGCGGCGAGCGCAGGGTTGGTCCACTGCGATGGATCGAATGTGTGCGGATTAGGAGGCACTTACTGTGTGTTTGAGCTACCAGATCTACCGGTAGTTGGGTGTTGAGATCTTGTGTCGTAGTAGCTGTAACCGGGAGATTGGTTGGGTGCCATGTTACCTGGGTCCCTCAAATCGCGGCGAGGTTGATTGCTCATGCTGCAGGTTGAGAGAACCGGATAGTATGAGAAGAAAGCTCTTACTGATCGAGAGAACTGGGAGAAGAGGAGGTTTGGGTTCAGGTGAACCGAAAGATCGTCGACAGTTGAGGAAGAGGTTGAGGCCAAGGGAAGAGAAGGGGTGTTGAGTTGAGATGGATTGGAAGAGGATGATTATATGGAGAGGTTGAGAGGAGGTTGACAGGACGAATAAATAGGAGAGAACTAGTCAGAGAGTGATTGGAAGATGGTGAGGGACAGGGCAGGGACTTGATAAAGAGTCGTGTGAGAGTTCCCTAGTAACGGAAGGAGTCCACCAGCGGACAATGAATGCAATCGAGGTGGAAGTGAAGATTATGGGACCCAGTGATGCTCGATACCTTCACTATGACCTACCGTTGTCTTCACATCGAGGTGTGTCGTGGGGTATTTGCACAAAGCGTGCATAAATGCATAATTGACGCTTGCGACCGCACTCATGTCGGAAGGACAAAGAAGCCTGGGATACAACAAGATGCACATAATCGCACCTGCTAGAAGAGGCAATGCCTGAGACATGTGTGTCTGCGAGTGAGAGATGTGAGAGAAAGAGGTTGCAAAAGACGAGACGCGGTGATGTCGCAGGAAACAGTCGGCAGAGTTGCCTGTTTCAGGCGTGACGATGATCAAGGTGATGGCAAGTCATCGAACGAACAAGAAGCCAAAATTTTTAACCAAAGGCCAACAGAACCATCGGCCGTCGCTCTTTCTTTGTTTGGGTATAAAGCGCATGCTTGACTGCTTGCGCGTAGCTGAATGCAAAGAGGCTTTTGTACTTTTCTGAGAGAAATCCGTTCCTCGTCGCACCTTCCTCGACTTTTCCATACATCGACGTCGACATCGGCCCTTCGCCCCTTCAACCCATCGCGCTCTGTATTATTACCCTCCCAGTCGCATACCGCCCGCATCTCGCGAATCGCACTATCAGTTCAGTCACTGCGCAACACATCAACACTTGGCAGCATGGACGGTCAGCAGAATGGCGAGGCTCGCGTCAAGCGTAAAGAACACCCAAGCTCTTCTCAGGACAGACCTCTGAAACAGCTCAGATCAGATGCTACGGCAGAAGAGCCTGCCAATGGCTTCTCGCAAGACGACGAAGTCGATGCGCAACCCGTAATGCATGCCGCAACCACCGACTCGGTCGAGTGGCAGCGTACCATCGAAACCGTCGTCTCGAAAGTCGTCTCGATTCATTTCTGCCAGACCAGCGCATTCGACACCGACCCGGCTTTGTCAAGCGAAGCAACTGGTTTCGTCGTCGATGCCGAGAATGGTTACATCCTGACCAACAGAGTGAGTTGGTCCAATCGCACCGCCTACCCCTAAGCTGACACAGTATAGCACGTTGTCGGCTCCGGTCCCTTTNGGGGATACTGCATATTCGACAACCACGAGGAGTGCGACGTCTACCCCGTCTACCGCGATCCCGTCCACGACTTTGGTTTCCTCAAGTTCGATCCCAAGGCCATCAAGTACATGAAGCTCGCACCTATCGAACTCCGTCCCGACCTTGCGCGCATTGGTGCTGAAATCAGAGTGGTTGGTAACGACGCTGGAGAGAAGCTCAGTATTTTGTCTGGTGTCATTTCAAGATTGGACAGAAACGCACCCGAATACTCTGAAGGATACTGCGATTTCAACACAAATTACATCCAAGCCGCTGCTGCTGCGAGTGGAGGAAGTTCCGGCAGTCCTGTCGTCAATGTTGAGGGTTATGCTGTCGCTTTGCAGGCTGGAGGAAGACAAGATGGTGCCGCGACCGACTACTTCTTGCCGTTGGACCGACCGCTAAGAGCGCTGGAACTTGTCAGGAAAGGAGAACATGTCACAAGAGGAAGCATTCAAACACAATTCCTCATCAAGCCATTTGATGAGTGCCGCAGACTTGGTCTGACCTCCGAGCGTGAAGCCGAGGTCCGCGCCAAGTTCCCCAAGGAGACTGGTATGCTGGTTGCTGAGGTTGTTCTGCCCAAGGGCCCTGCCGACAGCAAGATTGAGGAGGGCGATGTTCTGATCAAGGTCAACGACGAGCTCCTCACACAATTTGTTCGCCTGGACGACATTCTGGATTCGAGCGTTGGTGGCCAAGTCAAGCTGCTTGTGCAAAGAGGAGGCGAAGAGTTTGAAGCCACCATCGATGTTGGTGACTTGCACGCAATCACTCCGGATCGCTACGTCTCGGCTGCTGGCGCCCTTTTCCACGAGCTCTCCTACCAACAAGCCCGGTTCTATGCCGTCACTCTCAAGGACAACGGTGTGTACTGCTGCGAATCTGGTGGCTCCTTCAGGTTCGAGGGTTGCGAGTTTGGTTGGTTGGTTCAGTCTATCGACAACAAGCCTACACCAAACCTCAATGCCTTTGTTGAAGTCATGAAGGCCATTCCTGATCGCGCTCGTGTTGTCGTCACCTACAAGCATCTTAGAGACATGCACACTCTCAACACCTCCATCATCTCCGTCGACAGACATTGGCACAGAAAGATGTCCATGCACGTCAGAAACGACAAAACTGGCCTCTGGGATACTACCACTCTTGCCGAGCAGCTTCCCGCCGCAGACCCTCAACCCAAGAAGGCCAACTTCATCCAGATGGCTGGCGCACAACATCCCGCTGCTGTCGACATCGTGCGAAGCTTCGTCAGAGTTTCGGTCAGCCTACCACTCCGCCTGGATGGGTTCCCCAAAGGAAGAAAGATTGGGTTCGGTTTGGTCATTGACGCCGAGAAGGGTCTCGTCATTGTATCACGAGCAATCTTGCCTTACGACATGTGCGACATCACCATCACTGTGGCCGATTCGATCATCGTTGATGGAAAGGTTGTCTTCATGCACCCTCTGCAAAACTACGCCATCTTGCAATACGACGCCAGCCTTGTGCAAGCGCCTGTCAAGTCGGCCAAACTCGCGACTACACCTATCAAGCAGGGGGAGAGCACCATTTTCTTCGGGTTCAACCAGAATCTGAGACCAGTAGTTGCTAAGACAGCTGTTACCGACATCACCTCAGTCGCCATTCCAGCAAGCACGACTACTCCCAGATACCGTGCTGTCAACTTGGACGCCATCACGGTCGACACCAGCTTGTCAGAGCGCTGCGGAAGTGGTGTGCTTGTTGCCGAGGATGGCACTGTTCAGGCCTTGTGGATGACCTACCTTGGCGAGCGCACGCCTAATGGACGCGACCAGTCTTACCATCTTGGTATGTCCACTTCTGCGCTCCACGCCGTTGTTGACGACATCAAGAACGGAGACAGACCTCAATTGCGAATCCTCAACCTCGAAACTCATATTATGCAAATGAGTGAGGCTCGCATTCACGGTCTGTCGCAAGAGTGGATTGACAGAGTCGAGAAGGAGGACCCCGAGAGGCACCAGCTCTTCATTGTTCGCAAGGTTGACTCTGACCATCTTGGTGGTTTGATGGAGGGTGATATCATTCTCACACTCAATGACCGTCTCGTCACGCGCGTCACAGACTTCGATGTCATGTACAGAAACGAGTTCCTAGATGCTGTTATCCTCCGCAAGAGGGAAGAGATCAAGCTCAAGGTCTCGACTGTACCAACACATGAGTTCGAGACCGATAGAGCTGTTGTCTTCTGTGGTGCCGTCCTGCACCGTCCTCACCACGCCGTGCGTCAACAGATCAAGAAGGTGCACTCTGACGTCTACATCTCGTTGCGCATTGCAGGTTCGCCAGCATACATGTACGGCCTCGCACCTACAAACTTCATCACACACGTCAATGGCGTTTCCACACCTGACCTCGACAAGTTTGTTGAGGAGACCAACAAGATTCCCGACAACACCTACTTCCGTTTGAAGATCATGACTTTCGACAACCAACCTTGGGTCGCTACCATGAAGAAGAACGAGCACTACTTCCCCACTATCGAGTTCTTGAAAGATCCCAGTGAGAAGGAGGGGTGGAGAAGAGTTACATATGAGCAAGGCCAGGTCAAGGCTGGGCAGGGTGACTTGCCCGAGGCTGGCCAAGAAGCCGCACCTGGTGATGTTGATATGGGTGAAGGACCAATGGCCTAGACGCCATTTGCAATACGCTCCAACGACGACCTAGTAGATAGACACTCACGCTGAAGCGCGACTTTCGGATACAGTAGATTTTCACGTCTACATGACATGACAAAAAGTATTATAATTCTCAACATCGATCCAATATCCCAGAAAGATTCTCCATGACTCAAGGTAACTATTAATACACAAATAACAAAAGGGAGAGACCCTCAGATCACCACGACCTTTTTATCACGACCTTGTTTTCTCAACCCCTCAACTCATAGAATCCCTGCATCCTCCACATGATCGAATCGTAGTATGTACGCAACTGTGTGTGCATATGTTCATACCACCAGCTGTCTATGTACATACTAGCCACCCCTCCCTCCACATCTCTAGGATGGGGAAACTTGATGTGCCAACGCTGATCGAGCTGTCTCCAAGGCATGTTATCCTTGCGATTGAACGCATGATTGAGCAATTGCTGACCACTAGGGCTTGAAGGTAGAAGTTGTTGCGGTGTCGACAAGACGTTAACGAAATATCGGAATAGTCTTATATCTGGGCGAAACAGATACACAGCGCTGCTCAAAGTATCCAGGTTTGCAAAATCTTTGGTTGCAGGAGGGTAGTCGTGTATAGCATTTACTTCCGGCAATGCTGCAAAGATGTAGTTCTTTGGCAGTGTCGAGTCGTGGTGGCCGAGCAGAGTTGTCTGAGAAGCAACGGCAGTGTCGTCGAATATTGCGTCCATGCAGCGATTCAAGACTACGTTTGCGTCTAGAAAGGCGATTAGGTCGTAGGAAGTCAAGGTCCAAGCTGCTGCTTTGAGTGCGGTGTCTGTGCCAGAACCTAAGAAGGAAGTGTTGTTGTCAGGGCGAAAAGAAGAAGTGTTGTAAAGGTCAGAGACTGGAATGACCACTGCGCCGTCTGCTATCAACAAATCGCGGGTCTCTTGTATCACATCTGTAGTCACTAACACCACAAACGGAATCCTTCGTTGTGTTTTTGTGGTCGCTTGGTGGAGTAATTGATATCCTAGCATTCTAGTGGCCGTGAATTGAAAGTCGTTGTTGGTTGTATTTGTGAGTGAAGTCATATAAGCCAGTTTTCTGGTGTCGGTGCTGGAGTATGTGGTACCCATGTCCGTGTGAGCCAGTGGAGATGCAGCGGCAGAAGGTGGATGTGGAGAGCAAATGCCAAAGAGGAGTCGCAAACTCGTAGCTATCGCTGCCAGAGTCATCAAGAAACGAAGCTTATAGATATAAGGCATGATGGAGTTGTAATAATAGCAGTGGTATTCTGCGAGATGACACAAGATACAAAAGAAGGGAGAGGGAGCTCGTAGAAAACAGAGATGATGGGAAATGAGATGCATATACTGGTCTCGCTTGATCTGCTATACAAGAATACTTGTTGCAGCTCATATAACTCACATTGAGCTGAAACATGTTTGCTAGAGATGTGCAAACGTTATGAGTTCACTGCGCAGCCTCAACGGGTAATATCCACAAGCTGTGATCTTCTTATGGCTGACCTTGATGGTCCCAGATGCAGTTGCTGTAGACGTTTTCAAGCACTTCGACGGTTGCAAGTGGGAGTTGGGAGTTGGGGATGTTGGAATATAGAAAGGGGAAGGCGATGTGTAGTCCTTGCCATATCCTATGTGATATCAGGGACCCCTAAACGCCTGCGACAGTCCAATGATGTAATTATATACAATCCAGAAATCTTTACTGTTTCATGTAACTCAAACAGGACCAACTCATCTAGAGTTCAGTCTTGACAGTCTCGATATCGCCCTCTTGCATCCCTCTGTGGAGTTGTCCTTTGATCGCCGTTGATACGGCATCGATATACTTGCCATTCTCCACCTCAAGATCCAAGCCATGGAAGTCCTTGTCACCAATATCATTATCAGCATGCACACTGATGTATGTGTGTCCCAACATCAGTGCCAGATTCCTGTATCCTCTGTGTGCGAATTTATGCGGCAGAAACTCTACCAGTGTGGATGATGGGGAGTCGGGACGGCCAGGCAGGAAAAAGACATGTGTCATGGCGGCACCGTGCACGCCGACGAGAACTTGGTGTTCGTGTACCATGCGTACTTGCTCGCCGAAACTGTAGTCGGCAAGATCGCGAACGTTGAACACAACTTTGGGGAACAGCTTCTTCAGTGCGGCAAGTTTGCCATCGAGGTCATTGATGCGGCGCGATTTGGTGCGTTTGACGATTAGGACTTGTAGAGGGACGTCGGTCTTCTTTGGCCATTTGGGTGGGAGAATGGAGAGATCCATCGACTTCTCGTCTACGGTCGATAACGCAGCGGTGGCATTGTAGTGAGTCAGTACGCGGTCGCTGAAGATGCGTCCGAGATCGGACTGGCTACAGTGTTGCGGCTCCCAGGTTCCTTCCCAGTAGGGGTTTGATGCTCCAGGCAGTGGGAGGATGACGCGGTCAAAGTATTCGAGCTCTTCTTCTTGTTCTTGCCCTTCTGCGTCTCCCNNCTTCTTGTCTTCGGAAAGTTTGAGTGTTGGGTTGCGGGCAGGGTCCGAGAAGAAGTCCCATAGATCAAAGTAGGGTCCTTTNTTGTGTCCGTCCACCACAATGACCTGTGTGTTGGCCTTGTCCTTTTGNGGATTGTAATAGGCAGCACCCTTGTCCTTTTGNTGNGGTGATGGAACCATAGACAGCACGTCCATGGTCATATAATAACTCATCAGTTCCACCAGATTGTGCCATGTGTTCGCAGCACTACCATGAGGAGAACCTGATCCCTCACGTCGTGCAATAATGCCGAACTTCTTGCGAGAAGCGTCTTTTGGCTTGCTCTTTTGCAGACGTTCTGGGTCCTTCAAGACAAGGTGCTCCTTGTAGATGTATCGCAGACCTGTCCACATCATATACTCTGGAAAGACACGCCAGAATGGATTCTCTGCGTCATGTCCACAATCCATGTAGAACTTCCTCTCGCGACGGTTAAATGCAACGTTGGAAGCAATACAAAAGGTATCAAGTCTGCGTCCCACGATACGCGTGGAGAAGCATTCCATCGTCGAGGTGCTCTGACTCGGGTCGCAGAAGGACGTGCGGTTGCGGCCGAGGTTGTGAAGGTAGGCAGGCGAGAAAAGAGCGGAACAAAAGGTGTCTTGCTTCGGCCGTGAAGTGTATGCATCGGGCAATGGAAGAATCGTAGGCACAGGGTGCTTGGGAATAGTATCGAGAGGGTTCGAGGTAAGCTGTGGCAACAGATAAGCAAAGGTCGGTCCATACCACATAATCGCAAGCATACCNTTATATGTACCATTTCCAGATATCGTCCAAGAGTCAACATGTTCGCGGATGTGTAGGGAACTGCTGAACCAGAACAGAGAGAAGATAACGAGGGAGGCTACGATCAGAATGATGCGCACATGTGCGCGAGAAGATGAGACAACCATCATGTGGTAAATAGTGGTAGTATTTTACGAGTAATAGTCAAACATCAAGGGGAAAGAGTGTACTCAAGACAGCGACAGCATTACAAGTTGTATCAAGATCGGGCAAGAAAAGGAGAAGAAGAAAGGGGAGTCGATACGAAATCATACCCGTCCTGTGCAAGACAGTTGTTCCAGAGGCTCGTGTGGCCGAGGACTTACAGTAAGAACTCGCACTTCCCCTACCGGCTTAAAGCCCGCAGTCTCAGGCTATCAGCCACGATCAGCTCCAGCTGAGGTCCAACATCCCTGAATAAGGAATAAGGGTGAGGTTAGTAGACGACCGATGAGGGAGCAGCGCCAGAATCATCTGGAAAATGGGTGCAACTGGCAAGGGCGGCCAATAGGACATGTCGCCACAGCGAGCCGGACAAAAAGTGACAGCTACATTGGTATCGTTCCCTAAATGCAGGAGTGGTAAGCTTTTTCCTAACGGCTGTTGGGAAGGAGGATCTGGGAGGATTCAGCTGCGATGTGTTCTGCAAGTTACCCGCCTTGCAGCGACGAAGGATCTATACTAAGATCTGTTGCGGGCGCCCACTACTGGAGTGGAGGCAAGGGAGGCCTGGAACAGATCGAGGGCGACGATAAGATGTCTGATAGGTTTCCATATCCAATCCTCAACATCTCCATGTGCTATCCGTATCTCAAAATCGATGGTGAGGTTATTGTGGTGTTCATGACTGTTTTATTTCTCCGTAAGATGCAGTAGGTACTGGGGGCGTCGCTACCCGACTAGCTGGGCTTTCAGCTGCCAGCTTTTCCACCTCTCCACCTCTCCACAATGTCAACGATTGCTTATCGACTCGTCGCCACTGACTCACCAGCAACGATGCTGATAAGAGACGCGCAATAATCATCATCTTGCGCTCAATTCACAGTGCCTACTACACAAATCGACACACCGAAGTTGTATACTAGAAGACTCAATCTCACCCGGAGCTGCCTGTCGAGGATAGCAAAGAAATGTCTTATCGCCTCGCTCGCATGTCTCAACGCTCAACCCCACGAAGGATGCAATCGCAACGGATATCAGTCGTCTCCCAGAAAGGGAGACGCAGGGATGAATTGTGAGGTATGGAGTGCCAACGAATCACAGACGGGGTCTCAGATCGTGTTGCAAGTGAGAGCATTCAGAAGATATGTTACATTTGTGGCTATGAGGATACACCGTTGTATCCGGATAAAAGAGCTGCCCTGGGAGGCTCAATTGTGTTGATGACTCTTAGGGGCCTTGTTCTGCTTCTCAAAATACTTTGTACTCCGACACTTCTATTCACACACCTCAACATCTAGGTGACTATATCACCAGAGACAGCCATTCCAGCCAGGATCCGGGAAGCGAGGAAGGTCCCTCTCAAACTCGTAAAGGCTCTGGTTCGCGATGAAGCTGGACATGTCTTCCCTATTCATGTCAGTGTCGTGATAGTCCCAAGGGAAGCCATAACGCTCCCAAAATCTCCCGAACCTGAGCCGCACCTGAGCCGCAGATGTCACGGTTCGACTTCATCAGGCGTCACCTGTCCAAGGATGTCTTGGTGAGCATCACGAACCCATACGTCGACTTGTGAGGCGACCTTTATCCTATCGTGAGGTTGGAGACCCAGAAGTGGGTAAGCCGCGCTGTTCTCCGTGTCCAAGGTGATGTGCCGGAAACAGTTCGTGTCGACAGGAGAATGGACGAAGATGTTCTCAAAGAACGCATCAATCAGACCGAGGATATACCACCATCCTTCGAAGCTGATATAGAGTAGGTTGCTCTTGGCCACCAAGGGCTGCCAGTAGCAGCGCGCACGGGACAGGATGTCCTTATCCCCAGGCTCAAGCCAAGAACTTTTGTCGAGATGAAGCAGTCTTTCCCGGATGATGCTTAATCCTTTGAAGATCTAACTGTCATAGACTGGTATCCACGGTCCTAGTCCTAAGGTACGATCAATGCTGCTGAGGTGGTAATCTGCATTCCGATAGAACCTTGCGTTCTGATTCAGGACCCATTCGAAGAAGTCTTGGTCACGCAGAACAATTGCGAGGTGGCTCAAGCACGCCGTAAAAGTCGACCCATTGAAGGAGGCGCGGGATAATGTACTCCTTGAGTCGTCGTCTGCCAGATCTGTGTGGGAGTTCCACCATGAGTTCTTCATCTTCAAATCCCTTGTGAACCCACAGAGCCGTTCAATCCTTTGTTCCTTCGTTTGTCGCTTCGTCTGCAGGACCCGAAGAAACAGGAAGTCCAAAGGGTTGAGCGTCTCTCTATCAGCTAGCCTCAAATTGCTCGACCTCGCCTTTCCACGGAGGCTCGCCATCATCGTCGAAATCTGCCCATTTGAAAAAAGTGCAGCCTTTCTGACCTGGCGTATAGCCAGCATGGCACATCCACATGTAGCGACCCAGATTCTCCGAATTTCTCTGTACGCATCTGAGCACAGTAGGGATTTTGCAGTGGCATTTCGGCGTGAACTTCGGGTGGAAGCTGGGTTTGTAGTACCTGTAGGTGACATTGATTCGCTTGTTTCCAGCAACGGGATGTGGGTCAATGGCAGTGGTTGGAACAATGCTGTGTTTCCACTGCTCTTGCATCTCGGCGTGCATGACAAGCAATGAATTGTGGGGCAGATGAATAGAAATCTGACCTTGTGAGTCTGCTGCACTCGCATCCCCAGAGCCGTTTTCTGTATCCTTAGGGACGATCTTGCGAACCCTGAACTCACGAGCCACACCCAGTGAGAGGCTACCGATAACAGCACGAGGGCCAAGATAGGTCAGCTGGTCAGAGTGGTACCCAACGCTTTGCTGCGGTCCATCATAGCAATTTACAAAAGCAGTATTTGGTCTCCACTCCTTGGGATCTTGGTACTTGAGCTTCTCACCGTTGGGATAGAACTGTGCGATTCGACGTTGGATCTCATCGTTGACAGCTTGACGCACCTTGTTAGATGCAGACAACATCTTTGGCGGTGTCTGTCGTATATCTTTGATACGGCTGCCGTTGTAGACGTATGTTGTCTTCTGCTCTTCGACTTCTTTGAAGCTGTCGACGTAGAATGACATGGTGTGAGGACTTTCGACGGTGCGGTCAAAGAGCTGGAAGACCTCTTTCTCAAATGTCTTTGACTCTTCCAAAAGCTCTGTAAGCAAAGCATTGGCCTCGTCAGCAGGGAGGAAGTTGTGGATAATGGAACACGGCGTGTGTGTCTCAATATCCTGGGGGCTATACAGAAAGAGCGTTTTGCCCCTTTTCGTGAGGTGCTTGGTCAAGGCAGCTGCACCACCAGCAGAGCGAATCAGACTGGCCAGAGTAGATTGATGACCCACGATTCTGGCTCTCTTCGGCTGACCCAGGGACGTGGGGCTGTCTTTAGCCAGAATCTCGGAGGCGGTATCAACCTGACCATCGGAAGAGAGCAAGGCCTCAAGCAAAGTGTCTTGAGCAATATCGGGATGCAGGGATGCAAGCAAAGCAAGCTTGTATTCCGTGCTGTCCTCATGATCATGTTGCTGAGTGGTTCGGGCAGGTGGAACAGATGCAACATGGTCATCAGACGAGTGCCTTCGCTTCCTCGATATGAAGGCATCCATGGGTCAGGTACTGTCTGCGCTGGATCATGTTCACGATCTGGTTCCTGTTGATGCACGAACAGCACACGGTGCGTTTTGATGGACGCGTCGAAGAAGATTCAAGAACCGACAGAGCGGGTTGGGAGAGGGCACGGTCCCCGTACATGCCTCGGTTGTCGGCGTAAGGATTGCTTGCAGCGCAGCGGAAGGTGCGTCACGCAAGAGCGCAAGAGCGACGCAGCGTTCATGTGTGGAGCAGGAAGGTGGGGTGTCTTGGGTATCTAGACAATTGTCTTTGACTCCCGATCCCACCCTCCTTCTCGACAGCCACTCGGTCTACGAACAAGGCATGCACGCGCCATAGCACCAACGATACAAGTACCCCGAGTACTCCCTCCATACCTCTATACCACCCCACCAACAGTCCGTCAGCTATGCTCGAGTTCCGAACCGCAGGCTTCAACCCATATGCCGTCAAGTACTCGCCCTTCTTCGACAGCAGGCTGTGCGTGAGTGCCGGTGCCAATTTCGGTCTGGTAGGCAATGGCCGCCTCTTCATCCTCAACCTGACGGACCGCGGTATTGTCTGCGAGAAGTTCTTTGAAACACAAGACTGTCTGTTCGACACCGCCTGGTCAGAAGCACACGAGAACCAGCTCCTGACCGCTGGTGGCGACGGTAGTGTCAAGCTCTTTGACATTAACCTCAGCGAGTTTCCCATTGCCAGCTGGTCTGAACATGGCCGAGAGGTCTTCGCCGTTCACTGGAATCTCGGCCACAAGACAACCTTCCTCAGTAGCAGCTGGGACGGCACCGTCAAGATCTGGAATCCCGAATCCAAGACATCCCTCCTGACACTACCCGTACACTCCTGCGTCTACTCGGCCCAGTTCTCTCCTCACAGCCCCGACATTGTCACCGCCGTCGCCAGAGACTCACACCTTCGTGTCTGGGACCTGAGAACCCCCGCGAGCGCCTCGAACCACTTGACTCTCGCCATACCGATACACGCCCCTCCCAAGATGACGCCTATGAACTTTACACCTACGAGCGTTGGCCCGACCGAGTGCCTGACACACGATTGGAACAAGTACAGAGATACAATCATCGCAACCGCCGGTGTCGACGGCATGATACGCACTTTCGATATCAGACAACCCAGCGGCCCCATGGCTGTATTACCGGGTCACGAATACGCTGTCAGAAAGATCAGTTGGAGCCCACACTTGAGCGATGTATTGCTCAGCGCTAGTTACGACATGTCATGTCGCGTCTGGACAGACGGCAGCGCTATGGGTGTAGACCATGCAAAGATGGGCATGCCCACAGGACAAGGTGCTCGCGAAATGGGCCGTATGGACCGTCACACAGAATTCGCCATGGGCGTCGATTGGTGCCTCTTTGGCGCAGAGGGATGGTGCGCCACCTGTGCTTGGGATGAAAGAGTTTTGGTTTGGGATGTGAGGGAGTTTATGAGGCGCTGATACACAGCTCCTGTGAACAAGATCAACTAACAAAGGGTATCGAATGCTATACACTCCCCAACTCCAGCCCTGGCGACCCCTCAATGCTCCATCACGTACGCTATGCAGAACTCGATTTTGCTTTTTCTGGAATGGGAAATTTTTCGTCGACTGGGGACGCGATCCAATCTAGGGTACTCTCGTCCTAAGAGAGTCCCACTGGTCGCGCTCCGCTCAGTCGTACAACTCCGCCTCCGAATGCAGGTCCGCTGGTCTCCAGTTTCCAGCCGGGTACTTCGTCGTCAGCGCGGGCTTCGATGGTCTTCCAAGCGTTCGGGAAGCCGGCTGCTAATGCTCCCTTGAGCTTTGCACCTTGGATTGCGAACTTTTCTCTAGAGAAGGAAATGTAGCCACCAAGTAGGCCTTGGTGAATGAGTGCCGTCATCTTGGAGTGGATGTTGTTCATGTCGGGAAGGTCGAGAGCGTCCTCGCCAGTAGGTTCGTCGACCACACCGACAAAGTCTGGGTCGATGTAGTTGTCAGGTTGAGAGGCTCCAGGCGGCGTGGCGTAAATGGTCTCCTGCCAACGAAAGATGGCCAGCACATCTCTTAGATCGAAGGTCGGCGCCTTGCGAGCCTCGGGGTTGCCAGGATCTCCGTGTAGAATAAAAGTCTTTCGACAGATAGACCTCCAGACGAAAACCTCACACCTGTTTCTCAGTTGCAAGTCCAAACGATAGCCCGAGAACCATGCATAGTGCTCAGACCCGATATCCAGATGCCGTCTGAATCCCACGATGTTTCCTTGAGCAATATACCTGCACAAGGGCTGAAACCTCTCTCTCAAGCCATAAGCCTCTGGCCTCGCAAACATTTGCTCAGACGGAAAACGTCCACAAACCATGTTCGCCGCAATCAAGAAGATTAGAATCAAGCGCCTCTGCTGCAAACACTGACCATGACACTCCCTCCACGCCTGGCCCAACGCCTTTTGCGCACGCCACGCATGCCCATTCGCCCACAAAAACCTACCCAAATAATACAAATAAGTAACCCTTTGCGCCTTTGGATACGCACCCAACGGCGGCGACAGCACGAAGATGTTTTCGAAGATTTGGGCAGCACCGCGGGTTTTGCGGCACGCGAAGAGGATTTTTAGACAGAGGTTTGCGAGGACGTAGATGCCTTTGCGTTTTCCTTCGGGGTTGCCGGTGCGGTCGATGCCGGTTGATGAGGTGCCGGAGCGGTCGTTTAGGCAGGCGACAAAGGCGTAGCGGATGATGTTTGCTGCGCGCTCGGGCAGGGTTTCGCGAGGGCCTGAGTCGTCGCCGCCGCCAGAGGAGGAGGAAGAAGTTGTGGTGAGATGGGCGATGAGTTCTGGTTTCTTGTCGAGGCCCATGGCGAGGCGGGCAAACATGCGTGAGTAGGCAATTACCGTGTCAAGGATTGTTGTGCCGTGGGTTTGGTTTTGGAGGGCCGAGTTTGCTTTTNNCTATGATGGAGGTTGTTAGTGAAAACGACAAACAACGAGCAATATAGGGTTTTCCTTGTGATGAAATGATAGAGGTGGAATGATGGCGTGTGGTTGTATATCATGAAATATCATCACCACTACACCCTCACACCTTCGACAAGTTCACCAAAACCCACCATCATGAGAAGAAAGAGTAAATCAGAGACAAAAAGAAACTTACTGCAAAACCTCGCTCAACAACCCAAAAGTCTCCAACAAATTACCCACATCAACATCCCTCAAGAACCCAAAATACAAGACCATAAACCTGCTAAACGCACTCCAAGAAGCAACTTCTACATCATCACCCCCATCAATGATTTTGACAACCTTGATGATCTTCTTCTCTAGCGCATCTTCAGAGCTTTTGGGGAATGACTTTCGTAGCTCAGCAATGATGGTGTTGTACGAAGGTGCGTAAGGTGGCTCGATAACCAGATACTGGGATAGTTGGGCAGAGTCTTTGGATAGTGTGATGCGGTTTATTTCGGAGAGGAATTGGTCTAGTGTTGGCGTGGCCATGGTTTTTGGAGGTGAGTGAATGTTCGTGGTCGTGTTGCGCGATGTGCTTTGCTGGGCTCACGGTCGTTGATTCGAAAGTCGCGAGTCGCAGATGCTTTGAGCTGATGGTCTGTGCACCATGTCGCCTTTCTTCGACAAGCAAACAAGGGAAATATCGATCAACAATGTCAATAAGTAGCTTATATTGGATTTATCAAGGGTCAAAGGCTTGAGGCAACTACCATGTCTTGTAGTAAGACATTTACTCCCAGATAAAGACGGCAGTCTAGAATGATTTGAAATGGGCACATTTTTTGCTACGTTCAGGTATTTGTCTACGTACAATACATTACTGGCTCTGGGCCTTCGTAATGCTCTCATGAAGAAAAAGAATAATAATAATAATGGAAAATTCAGCGAAGGTCGGTGATAAAACAGAACTGAAGAAGACAACAGAAGGCGGAAAGGCATCCCTCTAAACAAGAAGGTCTCCAACATTGAGAAAAGAAGAACAAGGAGAATCGACAATAACGAAAAGGGTATTGGTAAACTGTAAAAGGCGCGCATGTTCTCCTTGTGCCGAATTGCTGCAATGCTTGTTGCTTCTGTCTTCCGAAAGCTTGGTCTCGCGTGACTACGTCGCTGGCTAGTGGATGGAGCAATGTTCATTAATACTACATGGCCTGGCCTGGGACTGGCTTTCGGGCAGGCACACCCAGCGGCGTGGTCGGAACAGAGCCATTCACGGACTTGCCGTCGGTCAGAACAGTGCCCATTGACGCACTACGGCTGTGGATATCGGAGGGTATGATTGAACGCTGGCGAGAATGTGCGGCAGCCTTGGTTGGAGATGGAGCAGCGGACGCGCTTCGTTGACGTGATTGAGCTTGCTCGGCCAGAGTGGGAGACGACTGCTTGGAAGGACCGATCGAAGGACGTCCCGCTTGGGATGCAGCAGAGCCTTGAGACGAATTTGAGCCTTGACGGATTTTTGGCAACAGGAATGGGNNTCTAGGAGGAGGACCCATTGAACCTGGACCCGCACGAGGAGGACCGTTTCTAGCACCAGGAGGAGGGCCAGGCCTTGGCTTCAGAGGCAGTTTTGACAAACAAGTTCTGGGAGCAACACCCTGTTGAGAGCGATCCATACGAATGCAGAGAGCCNNTGAATGATGTTAGCATGTTGATACTATATGTTAGAGAAAAGGATGACTCACCCAACCGTCGTCGTACTCGTGCAGGACTCGCACAACTTGGCCAACCTTCAACTCGAGCTCATCATCCATTGAGGGCTTGAACTCAAGCTGGACACGGTGAACAGTGCTGCCAGGAGGATCGGCGGCACCTGCGAGAGCAGCCACGGGGACAGCAGAAGCCATGCCAACCTCAGCCTTGCTGGGAGTTGCGGTTCCAGAGTTGAGGTTGAAGTTGGATGCAGTGGGACTAGGGACGGGACTTCCTTGAAGTTCGACAGGCGGGCTAAGAGAGCGCTCTTCGGGAATAGGCGAGATGACGTCCCTCGAGTGGGACTCGACAGTTTGAGCATGGATACCGAAGGGGTTGGACGGGTCACTGTTTCTGCCCATGACACCGGCAGCTGCTCCAGCAGCGGCCTTCTCGGCATCTCCGATGACGCTGGGCGACCATTGAGATGTTGGGCGGTAACTGAGGCGAGGTGCCGGGCCAGTGCTTCGTGTCGAAGGAGGAGGTTGAGGAATGGTCGCAGGGTCGGGGCTTTGGCGCATAAAGCCCTTCTTCTCGTCGTCGAGTCTCTCCATACCGATGGCCTGCTTCTGTTGAGCCTTCTTCTTGCGAATGAGGAAGTAGGCAAGACCAGCTAGAGCACCGATGGCACAAATGACCACAAGAGCAATGCCGGCCTTTGCGCCTCCGCTCATACCACTAGAAGTTGCATCTGCCACCGCTGATGCTGTGGCCGAACTTGAAGATGTGGCTTGAGCCTTTGCGGCAGATGAGATGGATGAAGAAGCAATTGTAGAGGATGCAGCGGCAGATGAGGTAAGGACGGCCAATGAAGTCGAGACGAGTGATGATGAGGACGCCGAGGAAGACAGTGTGGTAGCGGTCGACTTTGCAGTAGGTGACAAGGTACTGGTCACTTTGACAGAGGATGTGGATGAGGTGCTCGCTCTGGCTGTTTGTGATGTCTGCTTGGCCTGGGAAGCAGTTGTGTGGTCATCGTCATCGTCGGTGTTCTTTGCGGCCGTGGACTTGGCTGCCTTTGCACTGGTGGTGGGGTTGGCTCCGAGAGTAACAAAGCCAGCTGTCGGTCCAGAGAAGGTGGCAGAGGCCGTTACGTAGACGACCGAGAAGACTGTCGCAACATCATCGTTGACTTCCTTGACCTGGGCGCGTTTGTCGAGAAGCTCGAATTCTGCAGCCGGAGGGTCGTCACGTTTGGAGAGGCCCGGAGGCATGTGGCGGTGAGGTTTGAGGTGCATGTCGGAAAGAATTGATTAATGTTGATTATGAGCTGGTGGTTAGTAGTAGTCGACGGATGGTTGATGAGAAAAGAGTGAAACGTCGAGTGGTCGGCAGCAGAATTGAAACGAATGTGTGGGATTGAATGGTCGCCTGCGAAAAATCGACAACAAGCAAGAAACGGAGGCGTGCGCGGCGAGGAATGTTTGGTATATGAGACGTGGGTGCCAGTGACCAGACCGTTCGGCGCGTGATAAACAGAATTAAAATGAGCGAAAGCAGGTTAGCACCAGGCAGACCAGCGGACGTCGTTGAAAGAGGGACAACGTTGCAACGACTTGCGAGTGCAATTCGGATTAAGGTCAAGAAGAGAAGAAGAAGAGCAGCAATTACACAACCGTCGTCCAACCGTCCACGCTCCGTGACTTGACCATGTCCATGTCCCTTCGTGAAGCGCCGCGCAAAATGATGCGACGCTGCGACGACCATCAGAACCTGGAGAAACCGCACTAGCCTCACGCCAAAACCACCCGGCCGGGCTCCGATTGGCCCGCACAGACCGCATGCAATCTCCCGCCCAATCCCATACACTTATGAGACGACGACGTCCCCTATCCGCCCATACAGCCTGCCCACCACCCTGATCTCCTTCCACATTGTCAATCAGCCGCCCCGAGAGCTGATCTTTCGCCATGCGGTTCAAGGTCTGATCCAAGCTGCCACACTTCTGTTTCCCGGCCACCGTCAGTCAATGCTGGATCGCCCTGTCGTAATGTCATAACAACCCGTACGCCCACTCGAACGACCAAAACGTTGCAATCGCAACGTCTCATTTCATGAGCGCTGTTTATTCCTCAGGCATGTCAGCTCGCCACTATGCATATACGATACACTACACTTATCCCCTATGTACCAGGAGTTCATACACTCTTGTGAAAGGGGAACTCTCGTTCACGCAGAGCACTTCCCGCTTCATGATCGATTTTGTACGTTTTGCTCCACTGGACCCGTCGCTCAGCCACGCACGTCGGACATGTGTTTGACTTGTCACGGCAGCTATATCCGCCTCCATAAACTTACACTGATGCCTGTCTATTCTTGCATGCCGTCAACTGATGTGAGCTCTTGACAGGCCTGATCTCACCCTTCATATACTGAAGACATTGCTCTTCCTGGGTCTCTTCTCTTCCCGTTCTCTCACAACCTTCTATAGGCACTTGAAACACCATGGTCAAACACAGCCGAGTCTATTCTCGGCTCCCGCTTCACACCGGACTGATCTGCCATGGGATCATAGACCATATCCATCCCACGCCTCGGCTATCTCTTATCCGGATGACCAAAACATTTCAAACCGCTCCAGGTTCCACAGAGTCTCGCGATCAATTGCCGACTTGGTCTCTCCAAAACATAGTTTGCATTGACACCCTGTCCTTTAGCGGTGTCATCCAAGACTTTTGACATCGGCCGCTCTCCCAGCCGATGTACTGCTAGAGCATGTCTCACAGTCTCACAGTCTCAAGTCACTGGCAGAGAACAGTAAATGTGAATCAGAACCTCGCTGTCGTCGATTATGACTCGGCAATCCACCATTAAGGGGTAAAGCCGTTGAGCTTCTTACACCGACTCTAGTAACATCATCGCGCCCCTGACTATCACGCGGCCACTCACGCGACCAAGGAAGAAATTCCTCACCATGTGCTACAACGAATGTCATTGCGAGCAACAGTAGGTCATAGTTCATATATCGCTCGTTCACGCTTTCGGTACCTATGCACAGTTCACTCTCAATACAGATCCACCTTTTATCGTACTCAATGCGGTGCCTAATCTTAGCATTAAGATCTCCTTTGCATCTGGAAGTGGATCCCCATGGTAGAACCTCTCCATGTCCCAAGCTCATCTTTTCTAGCTATCGGACTGCACAATAGTTATTGGAATATAGTGATGTCCACGGAAAGAGCGATACCTTTGTATGTTGCTGCCTACTATCACACTTCATGTCGACCTGGGAGAGAAGGCAATTGTGAGGTCGTCATAGTCTCTTGCACAGTGGGAGGAAGAACGGCGATCGAAGTAAACAGCAATTGAATCTTTCGCATCTCTCACATGGGTATCTAGCAATCGAATGACTTGTCCGCACTTCCTTCTCTATGTGCCTGGTGCAGAAAAAGCTGCTTGCACAACCTTCTTTTGTTGTGCTTTTGAGGTGACAAACGAAAAAAGGAAAAGCAAGAAAAAGAAAAGGCATATTTAATGATCTGTCCTTGCTGCATGCAGTTTGAGAGAACTTTGACTGCATGTTCCTTGCTTGTAGAATTTTGGAAGCGAGAATGACAAAGAAGAATAGGAAAAGAAGAAGCAAATGTTCGTCGTTTTGATGTCGTGATTGTGCCGGGGTGTTGATTATGTCGTAGCAATCGGGTGCTTGGAGGTCTTTGGTTCAGTTGCGGGTGTCTGTTGGAAAGTCTGTCTTTGTCAGCAATCTTGCTTTGGATGATTGTTGATCAAAGAGAAAATACCGACATGCTGTTTGCCATGATCGCAACCGCTTAACGTTGAACGTTTGCTCTAGTCGAGCTTGATCTTGTCCATGAGCATCTTCTTGCACTCCAGGAACTTCTGATCACCTCTGGCAACCTCGTCTTCGGAGCCGAAGTTGCGGTCAGCAAAGGTGAGGATGGCCTTTGTAGTGCCTTTGCCTCTGGCGGCGTCGATGCAATCGGCCCAGTATCCAAAGTGTTCGTTGAAGTGTTTGGTCTGCGCCTCTTGACGCCAGATTTTAGTGTTCCAGTCCGGGACACCATCCTGGTAGCTCTGGACGTGACGATCGAGGTGCAGGCTCTTGAGATTCTGGGCGGACGCAAGCCTGTCAAGCGCGGATGCAAGCGCTTCCTGCCAAACGTTCGGGGCCCAGTAGTCCCAACCACGCAGGACAACATGTTGTAGCAATAGGCGGTTGGCTGGACGAATCGCGAAGAGGAACAGCTTCATGGCGATGGGGTGCTCAAAGTAGAAGGTTTGACGGTAGAGAATTGGCAGGGCTTCGTTGTGAATTGATCTGCACACACGCAAGATTGCTGGCTGCAAGTGTGTGATGTTCTTGGACTCGGGCCTGTGGAGAATTCTGGATGTGATAGCTTTCTTGTATCTTCTAGTGGTGCTTGACTTGATCAAGGAACCACGAAGAAGTGTGTAGTCCTTGGACGTGAGAAAGGACAGGTTGATGATAGACTCATTGAGAAGGGGCTTGTAGATCATAATGCGGATCTCCACTGGAAGCTCTAGGAAGGGGAAGCGGTCATCCTCTTGTGACTTCTCTTGCGTCGTGTCCGCGGGCTTGACTTTCTTAGCCGTGGGCTTACGTCTAGGTCTCTGCGCACGGCGAAGTTAGTGATGGTTAGATCGTGCGACTTAGTGTTGGTTTTACCTTAGGGAGGACAGTGGTGTTGACAGTGGTGACGTTCTGACCGGCAGGGTTGTGCAGGAATGCATAGTGGGCATGAGGGTTACCAAGAGGCTGGACGCCATGGTTCTGAATAACAATTTGTGTGCCATGGTTTTGGGAGGTATGGTTCAAAGGTATAGGATGGGAGACAGGCTGCTGGAAGCCAAGATTGTTGTTCGGGTTAATCGATTGATGTGCATTTAGGCCAGCCTGAACAGCTTGCTGTTGGGCCTGGATGTTGCTTTGAAGGGCGGCTTGTTTGTAAGCGGTTTGCGCAGCAACAAGAGCAGCAACGAGAGCGGCCTTGTGGTGCGCAATGTATTGAGCTTGCTGAAGGGGATTCCCATTGAAAGACATCTTGATGGTATCAAGAAGTCTCGGCAATCTTATGACGAGCGACCTCGATGTTGATGTCGTCGTCAAAGCAGTTTGCGCGTTGGCGACGCGTTAAATACGCCTCTGCGACTCTCGAGACCGTAGGTCCGCGATTCATTGAAAGCCAGCCGGCCGACCGTCACTTGCAAGTTCACTGATATCGATTCACACCAAAGAAACCGCCTAGAAGGCTTGGGTGTATATGGATTTCTGACCATGTATCCGATTGATTTTTCTAGAGAAATGGTACAGATTGAGAAAGGAGAACCATTTCGACTTACGGTGTCTGCACTACTGTACGCGAAAAGGAGATAACAAAAGGTCACATACTTATCGTGGGCCGTGGTGGACTACTACGAGTAGCTATCTTTTCAGCATGATATTTGACCTGGCCATGTGTGGGCGGGCATTGATGAGGACTGCTCCGCTGGACGTTTGCAGTTCGTGATGTAAGGCTAACAAGGAAGAGGTCACGATTTATTGATTCTCGAGAGCCAGTCTGCAGCGATTGAGGTAGCAGGCCAATGTTGGAAAAAAGGCCGGCAGCTTCGATATCAAATATCGTTCTATTGGCGGCGGGGTGTTGACATTTGCGGTCGGCCGGGTCCGTATGCTGATAAGAGGTCAAGTGACTTGCCTGAGATGACGAGGATGTTTGCTTTGTCCGAAGCAGTTAGGTTTGGATGATTCATCGAGGTCCGACGATCTTGAGATAGAGCAAGGTCCAGGAATACCATTGAATGCATAGGAAGCAATGTCTTGACAGCATCAGTGATGGTGATGGAATGCTCGAACAGCACTGAAAGCATTCATAGTGACAAGCAAGAAACCTTGGAAGCTGCAAGCTCCGACTCGCAGAGCCAAAGCGGAGAGGATTCGCAGAAGGCAATCGCCAAGCGAAAAGCCGGACAAAAGCCGGCACACTTGAATTCTGTTCATGTGACCCCCGCGCTTCGACGTCTTGCGAGCTTTTCTTTCTGAGCGAGAGCGACGGCCATCCATCACTAACGACAGCAACCCTCCATACCCGTCAAAATGTCAGTATCAGCAAACCGCCGTCCGGAGAGCCCGTCGACATCCCAATTCTGAAAAAACCTCGTCGTCCTGCGCCATCCACACACACCGTCGCCTCTCCTCGTCCAGCGCTCCTCCGGGCGGCAAAACCCATCACACACCGTGACCCAGCATAACAGGCACTGACATGCGTCTGCTACAGGGTCAACCTTCGCACCCAGAAGCGCCTGGCCGCCTCCGTTGTTGGCTGCGGCAAGAGAAAGATCTGGCTTGACCCCAACGAGGTCAGCGAGATCTCCAACGCCAACTCCCGCCAGACCATCCGCAAGCTCGTCTCCGATGGCCTCATCATCCGCAAGCCCGTCACCATGCACTCGCGCTCCCGCGCCCGTGAGCTGAACGCCGCTCGCCGCCTCGGTCGCCACCGTGGTTTCGGTAAGAGAAAGGGTACCAAGGACGCCCGTATGCCCAGGTATGGCTACCTCATCTTCGACCACAGCCTTCAGAGCAGACACTGATAGTCTGCCCACAGCCAAGTCGTCTGGATGCGCCGCCAGCGCGTCCTCCGTCGCCTGTTGGTCAAGTACCGCGCCTCCGGCAAGATCGACAAGCACCTTTACCACGAGCTCTACCACCTGAGCAAGGGTAACACCTTCAAGCACAAGCGCGCTCTCGTTGAGCACGTACGTCCCGCCCGATCTACCCTCGCATACTCAACCTCTTCTAACACACATTACAGATCCACAAGGCCAAGGCTGAGAAGGCCCGCGAGGCCAAGCTCAAGGAGGAGATGGACGCCAAGCGTGCCAAGACCAAGGCCGCCCGCGAGCGCAGACAGGAGCGTGTCGAGCAGAAGAGACTCGCCTTCGCTGCCGAGGACGAGGAGAAGAAGGCATAAACGAGCTAATGTCACGGCGTGGCTTGATGATATCTGAAAAAGGCACAAGTCCGTTACGGCGGTACTCTCGGTTCGAATGGTGTTCTCTCTTCGTGGGCTTACGTTCTGGCGTGCGAATCATACCGGGGACCGAATGGATCAGTGCAGGCATCAGTTTTGCATGTACATCGGTTTTATGCAATGAGGGCAATGTGATCCAAAAACTTCTTTNNTTTTTCTTTGCCANNAAAATACCACTAGTGTTTCCTGTTCTCTACTGCTCATCAAGGTATGAATTTAGAGTATCGTTGACTCGTGAGTTTGAGCATTGAAAGTCGTTCGTCATGTACATCTGGTACAACATCAAGTCTTCGTTGAGTGTTACTTCTTATCTGATCGTACTCAAGCTTACACTGCTACCTGTGATTGACTTCTACTAACCAAGTACATGATGTTCTTATCTTGCGGAGTGGGCATTCCAGAGTGTAGCTCTCTTCAGTGCTCGCGTGCATAGCTCGCGTCTGTCAACGGCTATCCCCGACTCTTGACATCTTGATTCGCATTTCGACGCATTGCCAGTCTATGTTCGATCGGAGTGTGTTTGAAAGTTCAATCGTCTGGTTGGCTTCAGATGAGAGACTACCAATGGCGCATAAAGAATGAACTGGATGATTCGACTCGACGCATATACAGCCAGCCTTGTCAGCTTGACCGAAGCTCGGAACACGGCCTAGGCGCTAATATATAATGCGCGTCGGGATTTTTCTCTCAACCTCTCAGTCATCCGTCAACATCCAGTGCGCCTCTACGCGGACTGGAGCCATCGTCAACCATGCTTGCCGAAACAGATCTCAACAAGCTTGAGAGGCAGCTCTCTGACTTCAACCTCGCAACAAAGGCCCGTCAGGATGCTCTCGAAGAATTGACTCTCACCTAAGGCAAACTGCTCAAAGACTACCGCACCTTGCGCAGTGATTACGAAGAGGAGAAGGAGTCGCGCGAAAAGTACAAGAAGCTCGCTCGTGGTCAAGACAGAAACCCTTTCGTCCTCGTTCTTATCGATGCCGATGGCTATGTGGTAAGTCACTGACACTTCGTACTCCCTCAGCTCATCCTGCTGTACATGTCATATGTGACCACTTCCATGTTTCTTCCTGTGTCTTGTCCGCTGAGAAAGTTATGTCTTGGTAATTTGCTGCGTACTGACAAGGAGTAGTTCGAAGATTCTCTGATCAAAGGTGGTGCGGAAGGTGGTGTGAGAGCTGCAAACCTCCTTCATGACACTATCCGAGACAGGCTTTCAAGACGTGGCCATGAGTACGAGAATTGTAAAGTCATGGTCCGCGCCTATACCAATCTCGCCGGCCTGTCCAAGACACTCGCGCGTGCAGGTCTTATCGGTCATGAGGCACGCTCCCTTAGCCCATTCTGTTCAAACTTCACACGCGCTCAAGATNCCTTCGAATTCGTCGACGCAGGCGACAAAAGGAGANATGCGGACAACAAGATCCGTGAAATGTTTCGCCTCTTCGTGGAAAACAACCAATGTAAACACATCTTCTTTGCCGGATGCCACGATACTGGTTACTTAAACCTGCTTACTCCTTACATTTCGAAAAACGATAAGATCACTCTTGTCCGCGGTTCATCATTCAGTCCTGAATTCAACCGCCTTGGACTTGGTATTGACAATCTCAATGGTCTCTTCAACAACAACCNNCCCCTTGATGGTTTTGATACTCGACGACCTATTCCCAAGGCTCCTACAGCACATTCGCAAATCACGACTGTGCCGAATGGACAATCTGGACCAGGTTCTAATAAACAACCTGTCTGTACACACTATCTTCGAGGCATCTGCAGGTTTGGAAGTAGTTGTAAGAAGTCTCATAACAATGGTGGAGATTCGTGGCGTCCAAACGAGCAGGTCTCTGGACAAGAAACGGCACAAAAGGAGACCACACAATCGTCCTTCTTCTCATCGTCTTCGTGGTTCAGCACACCTACACCAAGTAGTACGGACGTCGGTTCTTCTGGATCTGGCGCCGCTTTGCCACACAACTCCGGTACTGGACAGCCCTTTCCTCCACCTCTGCCTGCTACCCATCATGAACACCCGTCCACGACTCTGCCAACGCAAACACCGGAGAATGCCAATCTGATCCCTGTCAACAAAGCTGGACAAAGATTGGACTTTCTGCTACCCACGCCCTCCACCGAAGATTGGAGAGCCTACAACACTAGAGTTGCCCAACAAGGAAAACTTTGCAATGAGTATCAACTAAAAGGATACTGTACAAATGGGGGCGCGAACTGTATCTGGGACCACAGCTCTGTTTCGGATAACATCAAGCTCGTTATGAAACATATGATTCATTCCTATCCATGCACTCGCAAAGGAAACTGCCGTCGCAAAAACTGCAACATGGGCCACATATGTTTCCGCGAGAAATGCAGCACCGCCAAAAGTTATGGTCCCTGTAAGCTCAATTACTCGATGCATGACATTGACCCTGTTGTTGCCGAGTGGGTACCAGCTGAGGCAGATGTCGAAGTCTATAACCCTGACTCTTTCGGCATCACCTCTAGAGACAACAACCACAGCGAGAGAGATATTGCATCGCGCCCAACTAGCGAGGGGCCTCAGAATGAGAGCGATATCGATTTGCAGTCGTATGCGGAGCCTCATCCAGATGATTTGGATTAGTTGTCCGAATCACCAGCCAGAACTTCCATGCCTCCGAAATCGGCTACAGTCGAGGTATGGCATGGCGCAGACAATCCCTTGCAAGCAAGGCTTGATGAAGCGAGATCCAGGGTAATGAACCCACCTTGTCCACCTCATCGTCACACACAAAAGAGTTAGCATAGCACAGCATGTTCTTTTGCTTCATTTGGTCACAACAAACCAGCTTTATCAAGTGGCTGGTAGCCAGGGGCTGCTCGGTACCAAAGCAATTGTCTGGCCCTATTTCAAGAATCTTATGATACAGATTCAAAAAGAGAGCACGAAGAGTTGTGAATGGACAGACGCGAAGGTTCAAAGGAGAAAGTGGCAAGAAATATGCTTACCCGGATGAGCAAAAATAAATACATGGATGTGTAGATGTGGAACAGATGGGCAAGTGCGTTCGAAGAGAGAATGTACAAAGTCAAGTATATACTCCCCAAAGAGGGAAGATGTTGCTCGTCAGATAAACATGAGCCAACAATGAAGTCTTGCTCCTGCATTCGCTCCTTCCGTAGTCATACATATGACCATTTCAAAGATCTACCGTCTTGCATGATACAGTCCCCACATACAGTAAGATTTGGGTTCTGCACCTTGTCTTCACAAGAAATTGTTTCGAGTTTGGAAGACTAGTCTGTATCTTAGGTGGCGATGAACGAATAGTATACAATCTATCTGACGCCATCTAGAGCTTGCTCAATGGAGCAGCCTTCGTCTTTCCCTTCCACTTCTTGACACCCTCCAACCATTTATCATCCATTCTTTGTCTACCCACAACATCTTGCTTCAACCACTCCTCATTGACTGTGATTCTTTCCAGATCCTTCCAAATCTTGACCTCCGAGTCCAACCATTCTGACACTTTCTCGGCTGTCTCTGCAATCTTCTCGAAGCACAAGAAATGCCCCGTGTCCTCAATGAACTCTTCTTTTACTCTTCCCATCTCTGCACCGCCAGAGCCATTCCAACCTGTACCTGTCCTCTTCATCTTCTCACGTCGCTCGTCAGGGTCCATGGTATATGACTTGTTACCATAGAGCCAAAGGACAGAAGGTCGCAGATGCGGCAAGAACATCCAACAAGTCCTTCCCTCTGACTTGTAAAACGGAGACACATACGGCGCACAAGGCCACAAATCCGGAACAGTAGATCGAGCAACCACATCAGAAGTCCCAGACCAATTCCTATCCTCATAGTTCGGCCGCGCAACCGAAAGAGCTTCCTGATGTTTCGGCGTCGTAAGCGTATAACTCTGTTCTCCATCTTCCCTTTCTCCAGAGTTTTGTGGGTAGAGCAAAGTAGGCGTTGCTCTAATACTGTGTTCCAAAATCTTTTGGAGCACGCGTTCGTCGAATGGTTTTAGTAGTGCGTTCTTGCGGAATGTGGCTTCTGCTGCGCGGCGGGAGGGCCAGAGGTCTTTGCGGAAAGAGGGGAGGCGCGTCATTGGTATCCAGGCGGGCATTTCTTTGTGGATGATTATGGCGTCGAGCATGACGATGGAGGTTAGCAGACGGGGATGCATTTGGGCGAGCAGGGCCAGACAGATTGTGCCCATGCTGTGGCCTATGCCGATGATTGGGCGTGTAAAGTCTTCACGGTGGGTGTTGATGAGGGAGAGCAGGTCGCGGGCGTGGTCGGCGTAGTTTGCTATTCACCAAGATTGTTAGTATCTGGCTCTGTGCTCTGGGTATGAGGTAAGATAGCAGAGAAAGAGAGACTTACGATCGTTTCCTATCTTGTTCTCATTGAGCACGTATGAAGCTCCTTGGTTTGCTACATCTGCCATCCAGATACTACGAATGCCGTAGCCAGCTCTTTCACTCTGCTTGAGAAGATCCTCCCATAGTGGCTCGTATAGCTCTTTAGGAAATGCTGACGCGTGGGCTGCCAATATCGTTACATCACCTTTTTGTGGTGTGCAGTTGAGAGGAATGTATTGTTTTGCGCTGAGGTATAGCTTTTCTTCTTGGTATGTCGAAGTAGCCTGTGGGTATTCTCTGATGGTTTGACAGGGTGTGTGGTGTTCGACTATCTTGAATGAGGACGACATTGTATGGATATGTGTGGGGTCTGGAAACAGAAACTACAAGGATTCACTCGTAGGGCTACAGAGTCGTAATGCTTGGGGATGGTCTGGCACATATACTACCTTGGTAAACAGACATGACGCAAAGGGATGCGAACCGCTGAGGCCTCTCCATGCATTGACCTGAAACGATCGATGGGAATCTCTATTTGCAGATTTCATGTTGGGGGAGCGTTACAAAGGCTGAAAAAGATCCGATAGCAGAGAAGAAGGGGAAAAAGGTTATGATTTGCGGTTGAGCTGCATATGCAGCAAAGATCGATCTTTCCCCGTCTATGAGTCTCTGGCTCGAATCATTCGTGTAACAAGCCATGCATCTTAATTGTGCGCGTTCGGAGTGAAGTAGTGCGTGTTGTGAGTCGTGTGCGTTGCCCGTATGTGGTTGTAGCAAGAGTGTTGAACCCCAAGAGACGCTTGCTTTTGTCAATTCACCGAGATCTTGGATGATGTCAAGGTTGATCGACAGGGTCGCGATTAGAGGGAGATCAAATCGTCAGCCTCAACCCTTGATATGCCTGTGAACTTCGTTTCACTGGAGTCGCGATTGGATCCTTTGTACTGATCCCGGAAAAGCGTATTACTGGATGTACTGGTTTGCGTCGCATCAGCGTATGGAGTTCGACTGTGGACGCTCCAACGAGACATACGTTGATGTGATGCGTTGCGCACAGACCGTCGATCGGCATCAGATCGGGCCCGGAGTGACCTTGAGAACGCCGTCCTCAACGACGACGACTTTCTTCTGGAAGTCGAAAGGTTGTCCCTGCAAACATTCACCAATCAGCCTCATGCGAACACGTCGAAAAACCGGGACAATCACGTACGATAACCAGCTCGGCGACCTCTTCCTCGTCGTGTTGCGCGAAGCAATTGAACTTCTTGGCCAGGCGTCGCACAAACGCAGAAATCTTCGACGACCACATGTCTGCCACTTGGTTGTGTGGTTTGTTACGAGTTGATTCACGAGGGTCGAGAAGTCGTTAGAAGTGTTGCGCGAAAGGAGTCGTTCGAGTCATGCTAGGTCGGAGCCTGAAAGGCGTTACTGGGCTACATGCCGAGACAAGGAGTTGTAAGCCCAAGGCGTTCAGTTTGCTGACAATCATTCGTGTACACCGTCAGTACCAACTACGAAGCAATTATATCGTCGAGCTTCTTTTGTCGATACATCGCGGATTGATCATGTACAAAGTTGGTAAGCTGATCAAGTATATCCTGCTCATGTGGTATAGAAATGCATAATTGTATCGAACAATGGAGTCGTGTCCATGGAGAGCTTTCGAGTTGACACTTTTCAGTGTATGTCATCCTGTTCACTTAATGTACCATACATTTCCATAGCTACACGTTATCGACACTGAGAAAATATATCATAAACGAACGGCTTCATATTACTTAACCACAAAGAAAGACTGAGTATGTAACAACCTCAGACTACAAAACATAACGATACATGGGACCAAAGTTCTCGACGCCCGTATTGGCTTCAACAACAGCCTCTTTCGTTCCCTCGGTCGCCGCAATCCTGTTCTTCTGCTCTTCAATGGTACCATACTGCTTGTCCAACTTGCGGTTCTCGTAAGCCAGAAGCGTACGTAAGAATAACGCTAACAAGCCATTGAAGAACATGAAAGCTGCACAGATGCTTTGACCCTTGACATAGAAAGGAGGAAATTTATAGACACGAGTGCCGAGTAAGGGACCGCATTGACCGATAAGGTTAAGCAGAACAAATGCTGCACCACGGCGATCGTCGTTGCCCTGGTTGTTCGTAACCCATGGAAGGATATTGGCGATACAGGGNAAGACTCCAGATGCGGCGAGGAAGACACCGGCGTAGCGAGGTCCAGTGCTTGACGTGGTTGCCAGCATGATGTATCCGACACCTCCGATGATTGAAAGAATGATGATAGTTAGTCCACGCTGCTGTGTCCTGTCGGCAATCCATGCAGAGCCAATGGTGACGAGAAAACTCAAGAAGTACGGAGGTGCAGAGAGACCTTGGGCTGTGATGGATTCAAAGCCCATCTCTTCCAGAATCGTAGGGAGGAAAACCGGCAGCGAGGAGAAGGACACATTGCACGAAAAGTACATCAATGCTGTGGTGATGGCCTTGGGATCGATAAAGGTCAGACCGATATCCTTGAACTTTATGTGGCCGACACGTTCAGTTGTTCCTGTCTGGCGCACACCTCTTGCAACTGCCACACGCTTCTCTTCCTCATTCAAGAATCTGGCTGACTGCGGGCTATCCGGGAGGAAGAAGTATGCGACTGGTACCATAGCCAGAGTGGGAAGACCTTCTACAAGGAAGAGAAGCTTCCAGCTGGCGATCGCTGCGTGTCCAGAAGTGATACCGTAGGCGAGAGCTCCGGCGAAACATGTTGCGAGGGGTGCCGCNTGTCAGTCTGTTAGTCGCGGTTCAAGCGTCTTCGGCTCAACTGACGTACCGGCAAGGAAGATGCCGCTGCGGAAACCAACTTCATGGCGCAAGTAGAAGAAAGAGAGCAAATAAGGGACACCAGGACCGTATGCTGCCTCGAAGACTCCTAGGAGAAATCTNTCCCAAGAAGATTAGCAGGTGTTACGCGAACTCTCTGGAAATCCGGCTTACCTGAGCACCATCTCTCCTTCCCAAGAAGTGACAGCGGCTTGACAACTCGAGATGACACCCCTTCGTTATGTTAGCCACCTCTGAGCTGCAAAAATGCCGACGTTCGACCTTGTGGCTTAATCACAACTCTCTAGCAGCTTACAAGATACGTACCAGCCAAAAATAGCCCAACTCGCCCAGATGTGAGGTGGAAACCTCTTCCATCCAAGAACCTGGAACTGAAACAAAATATACGAAATGTAGAAAATGGTCAAAAGCCACGAGTAGCGATCGGCAGTGAGGTCGAGGGCCTTGGCCATGCCAGCGAGTTTTGCATTACCAATGTTGGAGCGATCGAGGAAAGCCAGTAGGTAGAGCCCCATGAGCAGCGGTACCAGGTGCCAGTCTATCTTCCGGACAACGCGCTTCTCAATGACGGGGTCGATGAATGGTGCTGAGCCGCCATTGTCGACTGAAGTTTGTCGTGCTTCTAATTTCACATCTTCAAAGTTCTTTTCCAGATCCTTCTCGGGTGTGATGTCGGATTGTGGTTGTTGAGGGTCAACATCCTCGGTGTTCTTCGTGAAGAGACCCATGACTGGGGCAGATATAAGGACGGAAACGATGGTAGACGTGCGATAGTAGGTGCGGAGATGATATGGTCGTTATATCGTAGGTCACACGGTAACGTAGCTGACTGGAGTTTATGTTGACCAATCACTCCTTTCCGACACGAAACAAAGAGCAGGAATGAGAAACTTGCGAAATGCAGAGGCAGGACGATCTTATGACTTGCCTGGCTGGCTCACCGTTACTACGTCAAAAAGGACCTTCATACGCCGCCTTGCCGATCCGTTTACTGCATGTAGCCAAAAGGTCGCACTTGCCTGTGGGTCAGAGATCGATTGGTGGGTGGAAAGTGTGGAGTTGCCGTGGATGGAGAATGCCATGGGGTAGTCTTGGTGGGGTATCCTATGCCGTCACACCCGATATTGACTGCGAAGTCGGCGTTTGGCGGTGTTTATTATGGTGAGCAATAGTCTTGCATGGACTCAATGGCATCAAGCAACTGGGCTCCGTCTGCGACATTTGATACCATAGCAGGAAATATAGAGCCATCGTCCAGCTTTTGGACATTTCTATCCTTTGGCATCATCAGCGCCAAGCAACGCCTCGAGCCACCTTGGCGTCGTAGGTGAGAGCTTGAAAAAGCTTGACCTGAACACCTGCGGTGAGCTGTGAACAAGATAGGTCTGTTTCTTTGAGGTCGAGTCTTTTGGCTAGATACTCCATCACAAACACGACCTGGCGCGAAGTCGGTTGTGCACTCTAGGTGTCGGACTCGAAGTATGCATACGCGGCCAATCCTTCTGGTCGGCTCCTTCGGCAGCGACACTTCTGATCGGTCTTCTGTCCGGAGCATGGCCCCCAGACCGTGGACAACTATCGTCACCTTGTAGCAGTTTTTGGTATCAATAACATGGCATTTTATTCGTCAATTGCCTTCTCTGAAGCCTATACAACTCGACACTACTCAGATCTTTTTCTAAGCACCATACCACCATGAAGCAACCTTGAAACCACCAAGAAGCAAGCTCCCACAATTGCAGCTGTACCTGAGAATGCCCAAGTGGCAGCAAACCCGTATTTATTCAATATCGCGCCAGAGATTGGGGTGCCGGCAAGCATACCAAGCCCAATCGTCGCACAAGCCATACCAATACGTGTTCCAATGACTGCTCTGCTCGGCGATATCGAGACACCGAGTGCAGGAATGATGGAGACAATGGAGCCAGAAAAGAAGCCGTAGAGACAGGACACAGCGATCAATGACGACTGTGTCTTTGCAGGGATGAAGCAGAAGGCCAGAGCTCCAGTGGTAAGAACACAGGGAATGACGACGTTGAACAGACCGATCCTGGCGGCGACAAGGTTAGGTCCGACTCTACCAAAGATAGAACCAGCGGTGATGATGGGAAGAAGGTAGAAAGCAAGTTCCTTGGAAGTGATGCCGTAACGCAGGGCGTACACTTCAATGTATACGAAAGGCGTCCAAGTTCCGAGGAAAGCAATCATGGATCCGATCACATAGACGGTGAAAGCAGGCTCTTTCCATGCGTCCATGTCGAAGATCTTGCGACGTTGAGAAGGCAGAGAACGAACACGAAGTACAACATTCGATACCACAAGGGTGCCCAATGCGATGTATGCAATCACACGAGTGGCACCTGCAAAGCCAATCTTTGGCTGCAACATGTGGAAAACGATGGGATAGATGGTTCCGCCTGAGACAGTTAGTAAGTGCTTCCAAACAATCAGTCGGGTTACCATGAACTCACCAAGACCGCTGCCGGCAGCAGCCAGACCCATAGCAACGAAGAATTTCTTCTCCGAAAAGTACGTAGAGAGAATGGCAAGAGAAGGAGAGAAAAGACACCCTTGACCCAAGCCAACGGCAAAGNNGGCCTGAGAAAGCATAATTTGCCAAAGCTTGGTGGACACACTGGTTGTTACCATACCAAGCACAATAAGTGATGAGCCTGTGATGAGGAGCATGCGGAAGTAACCTGCATCGAACAGAGGTCCGGTCAAGGCACCGGCAAGTAGCATGAGGTAAGCCTGGATGGAGCCAATCCACGCAATAGTCGATGATGGATAGTCGCGCAGAGGACCAAGTGCATAGTAAGTACCGAATGATCCAAAGGCATTGACAAGACCNCCTGAGACTGATAAGCAAAGAAAATGGTAAGCATAATTGGTTGTCGGCACTCACCAAGTGTTGAACCAGAGGAAGAATGCACCCAAGACTTGCAACCAAGCAACCAGTCCACCGTTAGGAACATCATCTACGGTCTGTTCTGCTTGTTCAATATCAGAGCTGCTGCATGACTGAATAGATTCAGAGGTCAACTCGACTGTCGAGAAGTGAGTTGCTTCTTTCTTGATATCAGACAAAGATGATGTGAAAGACATTGTGATAAGAGACGATTGAGTGGTACTGAAATCATTGTCTGAGGTGATCCTTCCTCAACTTATACAGGTCTGTCAGCTAGCTGATGCCATGGTATCTCAGGAATTTCTTCTCGCACACACCAAAAAGCATCTTCACATGTCAACTTCGGAGTCGCCGCACACCTTCTCGGACAATGGTGAAGCATTGCGCATCGGCAAATTACCTCGTTGTGCGGGAAGAACTGGCAACGTTTTGCACACGTTGGTTGAATAGGATTACGGCTTGCTATCAAGGCTGACGTTGTGTTCAGCTGGAATCGCAGATGAGACAAAAAGCAGCTAGAAAACAGAGTTGCGAGTCAGATGTGTTTTCCTCGGAGGGCAAGTTTTGGCTGCCGGACGCGCAACGGGCTTGTTTTTGAGGCTTGCGCAACTCCAGCTGAAAGAGCTTGATCCAAATCAGAAACCGGGTTTCAACGACCAAAATGTGTCTGTGGTGACAGCGACGGTCTTTTTCCCAATTGGGCCATTGTGCCTTTGGAAAGAATTAAAATTGACCAATCATTCTCAGCTATTGGTGCAGATGTCACGGAGATGGCGAGCAGGTGTTCACCACAGCTTCTCCTCGCGTCTGCTGAAGATTGTCACAAATCTCGACATAACCCTCTTTTTTACGCGGAGTACGAATAGGCCACTGCGTGACAAGACTACAGAGATACATGATTACTTTCGAGAGCAGGAGCGTGACCACATAATCTAATTAAGAACAACGTTTCTCCATGACTGTAAGCAAGAAAGAAAGAAAGAAAGAATTGTGTACAGTATTTCCACAGCCACGCTGAGATAGCCTTTAGCACTTGTGGGAGCCCGAAAGCTTGACATCGCAGATCTGCCAAACGCTCCTACCACATGGCTTTTGCATGGAACTTCTGTCGAACATCGACTAATCTTACCTCTTTCCACATCTGTCGGCTACACATCTTTCAGCTCTTCATTGTTCATATCTCAGTATACAAAATGAAACATTAATTGTAGATGTGAACATTTTCGGGTTTCTCCTAGCTCCGGGATTTGTCTTGGTAACCAGACATCGGCAATGTCCATGAGAGTATCGGGGATACCGAGTGATCAATATCTGTATTCGTCTGCAATTGTGTCGACGACGAACGATGGCAGCAAAGATGGTGAGTGAGTCGAGTATATAACTAGGTGAGCAGCAGACGAACAAACATCTCTTCTCATCCATCCAACAATTCAATCTTCCAACATCATCAAGACTTGCATCTACCAATCTTCTTCCTCAATCGCAATTCTTGCATCAGCAACTTTGCAATCACTACTTTACCCTCGTACTCAGCAAACATGTTCACAATCTCAATCTCGCCCTTCTCGCGCCCTTCTACCCCTGAGCAATCGAGCTACCCACCTTCCCCTCGCTCAATCCTGGAAGAATACTTCATGGACGTCGAGGACATTCAAGATATCGATGCCATCTCAATCGCATCCTCGGTCTCCTCTTCAGTGTCAAGCACATCACAAAGAGTGATTAGCACTTTCATGTCAGGTTGGTCATCTCTGTCTCTCAATGTCTAATGATAACGTTACTGATGCTTCGATACAGGACTCTCGTACCCAAAGAGAAAGCTGTCGCAGCTCTTTGTTCCAGAGGTGGACTTTGACTTTACATTCCCCAGTCTTGAGGATGTGTTTCCTTCTTGATTGAAGATATTGAATCAGCAAGGCGAATTTCCTTTGTCATGGCGTTATATTTGGCAAACGGTGCAAAATCTTGATCGGCAGGAAGGGCCTGGAAAATGGGCAGGATGGTGCAATTTGGTTCTGTATTTCTCCTTTGTTTTTCCTATGTTGCAAAGTAAAGTGTTTCCCTTTTTTAGATGCCGCGAACGCTCTATATGCGCTTCAATCAATATAAGGATTTTTCCACCAGATTCCTCTATTTGCATCACTTCATAGACCTCGGTGGCATCTTTCATCTTTATCTGTTGGTCCTCATTTTCGGCTGGTGTTGTGCCACTTTGGTCGTCAGAGCACGTTCAAGATGTCGGTCCTTTTGAGCGTTGTTGACTTCGCATCAGGAGACCTAGACGGATGAGCAGTGAGAGCGGATCAGATGGTTAAGAGTACATTTTTCTTCCTCCCACATAACATACAAAGAGGAGATGTTCTATATATATGCCTACTTTCTCCTCTGCAAGACTTTTGTACACATGTCCAGGAGGCCGGCCTTGGCCTGGCTCTCTGGGAAGAAGGCAATAGCTTCGCGGGCCTTATTGATATAATCTTCGGCCATAGCGCGGGTTTGTTCGATGCCGTTGCTCTGGATGACGAGGTCATGCGCNCTTTTTGTTGTTAGTATGTTTTGCGGTGTATGTCGGAAATCGTTCAAACTCACTCTTTTCACATCACCGTCCTCGGCAAATCGCCTGCCAACAAGAGTTCCAAGTTCCTTGTTGTCTTTCCAAGCGAAGAGCAGAGGAGCAGTGGCCAGACCCAGCTCCAGGTCAGCACCTGCAGGCTTTCCGAGCTCGGCTCCACTGATGGTGTAGTCCAGCATGTCGTCGACAAGCTGGAAGGCAAGTCCGAGGTTCTTTCCGTAACTATACGCAGCTTCTACTACATCCGGAGAGCAGTTGCCCAGAATAGCAGCAGCTCTTGTTGATTTGCTGATAAGCGAAGCGGACTTCAAATATGTCTTTTGCAGATAGTATTCCATAGTCTCTTGGCTGTAGACGGGGTGCTTCTCGTCCGAGGCAGTGTTGCGCAATTGCATGAATTCGCCCTCAATCAAGTTGGCGATAACAGTCGCGAGCAGTTCAGTGACCTCAGGGTCCCTCAGACGGGCAAGGGCGACAGAGGCGCGACCGAGCATAAAGTCACCGGCAAGAACGGCCATCTTGTTGCCGAACTGGATGTTGGCCGAGGGAGCGGAACGGCGAGAGATTGAGTTGTCAATGACATCGTCGTGGAGGAGAGAGGCAGTGTGGATAAGTTCAGTGATCTCGGCGAGGCGACGCTGTGAGGGGAGGACGGAGGTGTCTGAGAGGTCCTCGACGACCGGAGGAGAGGTCAGAGGAGATGAAGGGTTGGAGTCGGAGAGGACGGTCGAGGGCGACATGGGCGAGTCAACATCGAGGGCTTGGGGAGTGGATCGGTCGTGCTTGACGGTCAAGGCGGTGGCTTGCGACATGAGCAAGACGAGCATGGGACGGACATATTTGCCCTCGGATTGGGTGTAGTATTTTGCGACAGTATCCAGCATGGGGTGGCCAGAGCCGAGGAGCTGTTGGATGTTTCCTGTCAGGAACTTGAGTTCTTTGGCGACGCTCTGTAGAGGATCAATGCCGATTGGTGAAGGAGCGGCATTGCTGAACATGTGCTTGGCCGTCTGGATGGCAGCGGCGACCGACGACTGGTGCCGCCGTTGCGAAGGCAGACATGAGGGTATTGATCGTGGGCGCGGCGGCGGGAGGTGTGCATATCTGGAACTCGAGGCTCGGTATGACGGCGAGCGAGACGTGTTGGCGAGCGTCGATGCTCGAGCTCGGAGAGCGCTCATTTCTGGAACAAGGATTGCGCGAACAAAACAACACCCGCTAGAACTCCAATTGGAAGAGGAAAGAATGGTTGCAAGGTCCAGGGAAAGAGCGGTGGTGGCCAATCGTGAATTGTTGCATCTCCATCCAAGACATGATGGCATTTTCGGTCGACTCTGGAGATCTAGTGGTCCGAGCTCAATCGATGCATACAGACAGGAAGCACCCTCATCAATATCCTTCAGTCGCCCTGATGGTCCTGCTGACACTGACTCCTGCTGCTAAATCTGCCGTCGAGCTTTACAACCAACTGTCAGATCAGAACCAGCATGACTCGTCGAGCGACCCCTCCCTGAGCGAGCCCACCATCGGCGCTCCTGTATCTCATGCACAGCTGATTGAAGTCGCGCGCTTGCTGCGTACAAGTCATCTACCCAACAAGAATGACTTTCGACTTGATACTCTGCTCAAGGGGGCAAACATCTATGTGCCCCCTCCCAAGCCGAAGCCCCAGCCAGTATGCACANTCCCGATCNTCCATCCTTCAAACTCGCAGTTCACTGACATCAATGAACTAGNNACTGCCGAATACACTGCCCTGATGGCTCGTCTCCGTAGGGAAGAGGAGAATATCGCATACCAACGCTTGATCAACCCTACTTCATCCATACCCGAGACGGCCCGCATTCGAGTAGAGGACGAAGACGACGAAGTGACCTACACAGACGTCAATCGCCAACTAGCACTCATCATCAACGTCCTCGTCTCCATCATCGCCTGTAGTGTCGCCATCTGGATTGCCGCCCGTCACTGGAGCGTCCCACAAAGAATGGCCCTGAGCATGTTTGGCAGTGGCACTGTTGCTTTTGCCGAAGTCGCCATCTACATGGGTTACATACGGCGTATCAAGGATGCAAAACAAACAGAGGGGAAGAAGGTTGAAACAAAACAAGTCGTCGAGACTTGGGTCATTGAGAAGAAGGATCCTAAAAAGGAACATGAACTCAGGCAGAGAAAAGGCGGCAAGCATAGATAGAGCCCGAAATCAAATGTCATACTCGAAGAATACATGTCTGGAACAGTGACTGCACATGTGAGGTCTCTATTTGCTATATAATATAAATATATTATGGTATGCGAGTGGACTTGTTCGAAATCGACAATATTAAGAAGTACAGTGCTTTCCAGCTTCATGGTGATAATTACTCCCATGTATATATTTGCCGTGGTTGACGCTTACCTACATGTTTTTCATACTGAAGTGTTGAGAATCTACTCCAGCACGTCTAGCGATCGTTTGCAGAAGCTCAACATTGTACTTCGCTCCGTTGTGATGACAAAAGTGGTATGAGAATTATCTCGACAGGGTCACTACAGAAGCAATTGACTTAGTCAAAACTCCGTCCAAAGAACGAGAAACGCGCTAGCCACACGGTTCTCTCGCGCATCGGCGCGTCTGTTCTCCAACCTCGCTCCAAGGACTCGTCTACAAACAATGCGACCAGACTTCAGCCGTGACCTCCTGCCTATCCAGGTAACTCGTGGACTCTGTGAGGTACCTCAAGCTCCGAACTCTTGATGAGATGCGCCAGCTCAGGGAACATTGCATCACCCTCCATCTCTCTGCTCTCGCCCTGATCATCGAGCTCAGCCATAGTCTTTCTCTCCACAGACGAATCTCCAGGAAGCTCCGACTTGAAGTCTCCATTGTCTGATGAATTAGGAGCAAGTCGCTTAGCCCGCCTTTTCCGGACTCGGAACACTGCGAAGATGACCACTCCTACCATCAGGAGAATACCAGCGGACACTCCGACACCGATGCCAGCTTTTGCTCCAATGGAAAGTCCCGAGGATACGGTTCCTGCATCTTCTTTTGCCTGCTTCGCTACCGCTATTGCTGGAGCAGCGCTGGGCGTAAACTTTGACAGATCCCCCGGACCCCAAATGACCACCAAGGGAGTGGCAAAACCAGCGAATGGAAAATTGCTGATGGTGCTGGTCTTCGAGTTTGGCAAGAGTGCGTGTGTAGGTGTGGTTATCAGGGTGCGACATTGGGTCGTGCCCAAGAGATCCATGCCACTGGATGCTGTGGTCAGCCACATTCACATGCACTCAGCAGTATACGACTTACCTCGGACAACAATTGACCGAAGTGTACGGCGCGGAAAGTGATTGTCCAAAGTAGATTCCAGCATAGGTATGACCTTGTGGACATGCTCCCGGTATGTAGTAATTCGTCTTTGCCGTCGCCCAATCGGTGGGGTAACAATAGCAGTCATCGTGCCAGTTGCTGAGGATGCGGTATTGAAGTCCGAACTCATGGTTACTGTGAGGATATAAGCTATAGTGGCTATGATGGCGAAGCAAAGGTATGCCCTTCGGTTGAGCAATAATCACTCCAAAAGTGGGTGCTGTGGAAAGGGGGAACGACGACACAGCGAAATGGGCAAGGGTAACTCATGCTGAGTTCATCTCCTCCATCTGGTTGGCCATTTTCTGCATTGCCATTCGTGCAGACTGGCAGGATGATAGCGCCCGCATTTCCCATTGGACCATCTGGCTCTACTGTACGTATATCTCCTCGATTGACTCGTGACGTCGCATACAAGATGATTTCCGTCTGTCGGACAGCACACACATCCGTACATCTGATCATACACGAATTGCAGCGAATCACGACTGTCGCCAATGTCGAAATAAGCAGTCTGCAGGCAGTGTGCAAGCCGTCCGCAAGCCACGCATCATCAAACTAATGCAGACACATCCTATATATACACACTGTATGCAGCCTGAACCATGCATAGACAAATAGTGTCGAACTGCTCTCAATCCCGCCATCATGTTGACTCAAGGAGTCTCATGGCAGGAGGAATTCGGGTAAATGGTGCAAAAGGAAACGAGACAAGATGGACATGGACCAAGGATAGCTTTTGACTCTGGATATGAATGGGAGACAGCAGAAGAGCCGCCTTTTCAAGATTCAGCATAGCCCACTGGATGAGTGGAAGATTGGACCTTGGATTGGATATCATTGTCCCGTCCCACGGCCAGTCTGGTATGTTGAGCCTAGACCACATTTGTTTCTCTGGCAAACCACGAGTATCAGAGATGTCGTAGAAGACAAGGAAACAAGAAAGGAAACTTGTATACCATCGCCACAGATGAGACACTGTCAGTTGTGATAGACTCGTTGCATCGCCCTCGGTAGAACCTTTCTTCAAAGTGGTAGGACTGACTACACTTCCTGGTGTGCGGGTCGTTGTCCATGTGACATGTTCGCCAACTCGTAAGATTCTGATGCGGCCTGATTTGGTCTCGGTGCCTCGTACGTCGGTAATGGTTGAGCAATATCGTATGCTGGTGGTGCTAGCTCTACTGGCTCACCATGGCCATTTCTTGGTTGTGTAGAGGTTGTAGTGGGCTTTGCTCGCGTGGGCCATTTTGTTGGCCATTGCGGTACTCCTTCCTGCGCTTCTGCTAGTTCCTTGGTGAGTTTGAGCTTGCGGTTACGCCACAGGAAGTATCCAATAGAGAGGAAGATGATGCCGCAGACGATGACTACAGCGGCTATGACACCGGCTCGAGCACCTTTGGACAATCCGTTCTTTTTNGTAGTCTCCCCATAGAATCCCATGGTGGTTGGGCGGGCTGTGATGGTCACTGTAGAGCTTCCAGAGGCACCTACGTATCTGTTAGTGATCGGCTGTTCTTGCTATATAATTTTGTGAAGTGATCTACCACAAGAGGTTCAACTCAAGGTGGAGACTTCAAAACCTCGAGCGGCGAGGACTCCATTAAGTACCTAAACAAGCGCCATCAACAATATTCAATCAACCAGCGCAGTGAATATATGCCGCATCGCTAACCCAGAAACACGTCGAGTGCTTATCTGACACGCTAAGAAGGACAAGCTTGCCAGCCAATGCCATGGCGATGCGAGATGGTCCTTGTACGCATGCAGCAAGCTTCGAGAAACGCATAATGAGTATTCGAAAATAGTTGGCGAACCAAAGCTGCAGGAAACAGGCGTGTGACAGTGTCTATCGCTCGGTTGTGTATCGTGTGGCTGCGAAGGATTCACGAGACATGGGCGTCTAGGTCGAGGGGATGTTGTTGTCACCTGCCGCTTTCGTTGTCGCGGAGGTTTTGTACAGCATCCTTCTGTTCGAAAGAGGGAGGATCGTGTCGCGTGAGTGACGTTTACAATTAGAGCATATGTTCCTTCTATAGCAGAATAGTTCTTCACATGTAGTTGGACGCCGAATAGAGTGCGGTCTGAGTGGCCCAGTTCAGGCATCGAATCCACATAATCACGGCTTTGACTAGGCGCACTGGGTTCAAGATGGTTGAGACAAATGTGATTGATGATGATATTAAGTTGAGCTGACCACATCCTAACAAATAGTGCTGTATGGACGCTTTGTGGACATTGTCTGTGAATGACACGAATACAACATAACAGCCCCTCAGAAAGCACATACCGCCTGCAAAATCGGTGGTTTGGGACCCCAGACGTCTCAGCAACACCCACGTCGCGCGACAGAAGCCTCGCGAGTGAGATTGTCTGCCAGATAGGTCAACTCATCCCCGAGGTTTTAGTTGTAAGGGAGAGAAAGAGGTGGCCAGGCGAGCGCGCAAGAAATAGGCGTTGGGGGCACGAGCCAGGACGCGCTAGCCAGATGAGGCAGTCGAGCGGCGGAAGTGGAACCGAGTGGGATGATGTTGCTAGGCGGAGTTGACGATGGGATACTCACGGTCAAGGTCGGGCGGTTGCTCCTTGTCAACCACCACACAATGTCAGCGCTGAGGACGACATCGCTGCTGCGGGCGTCGCGTGCAGCCAGGCGGCCGTTTGCTGAGGCATGCCGCCCCTTGCAACTGCAAACACGCCGTGCTCTGTCCGTCGAGGGACAGCAGAAGGTATCTCCATCGTCAATGCGCCACATGGCAACCAGCAACACATGGCTGACCTTTATACTAGNNCTTCTGTCAGCCGACCTCGAAGAGGCAGACCCTACCGTCTACAACATCATTCAAAAGGTCCAACGAATCCGACAATAGCCGCTATACCAGACACTGACCCCCGCACAGGAGAAGAGGAGGCAAAAGCACTTTATCAACCTGATTCCCTCCGAGAACTTCACATCGCAAGCTGTCCTGGATGCCCTGGGCAGTGTCATGCAAAGTGGGCAGCTTCCCACCTTTCCCTCAGAGTCATAGGCTGACCGGAACANNGACAAGTACTCGGAAGGATACCCCGGAGCAAGATACTATGGCGGCAACGAGCACATTGACGAGGCCGAGAGATTGTGCCAGCAGAGAGCACTCCAGGCCTTCCGTCTCGACCCCGAGAAGTGGGGTGTGAACGTCCAGCGTAGGCTACAGTATTCACCATCAATCTTGGTAGACACCAGCTCACACTCGTCGCAGCCCNTGTCCGGATCGCCCGCCAACCTCTATGCCTACTCGGCCCTCCTCAATGCACACGATCGTATCATGGGTCTCGATCTCCCACACGGTGGCCACTTGTCCCACGGCTACCAAACCCCCACCAAGAAGATTTCGGCCATTTCAAAGTACTTCGAGACGCTGCCCTACAGACTCGACGAGAAGACCGGCCTGATCGACTACACAAAGCTGCATGAGCTGGCCATGCTCTACCGCCCCAAGATCATCATCGCTGGAACCTCGGCCTACAGCAGACTGATTGACTACAAAAAGTTCCGTGACGTTGCCGACAGTGTTGGCTCATACCTCCTCTCCGACATGGCTCACATCTCTGGTCTCGTCGCTGGCGGCGTGATTCCATCGCCTTTCGACTACTCGGACGTTGTTACCACCACCACACACAAATCTTTGCGCGGTCCCCGTGGTGCCATGATCTTTTTCCGTAAGGGTGTCAGAAGCGCCGACAAGAAGGGTAACGAGGTCTTTTACGATCTCGAAGGCCCCATCAATTCATCCGTCTTCCCTGGACACCAAGGCGGTCCTCACAATCACACCATCACCGCATTGGCTGTCGCCTTAGCCCAAGCTCAGACCTCCGAGTTCAAGCAATACCAGCAAACCGTCCTTGACAACGCAAAGGCTTTTGCATCTCGTCTTGGAAACACAAAGGACAAGGGTGGTCTCGGCTATTCGATTGTCTCTGGAGGTACTGACAACCACTTGGTCTTGATTGATCTCAAGGACAAGAATGTCGATGGTGCCCGTGTCGAGCGTATTCTGGAGCTTGTCGGTGTCGCTGCCAACAAAAACACCGTGCCCGGTGACAAGTCGGCCATGAAGCCTGGTGGTCTCCGTATGGGTACTCCTGCCATGACTACTCGTGGCTTCCAACCTGAAGACTTCAAGCGTGTCGCTGATGTCGTCCACCGCGCTGTCGAAATCACTCGCAGATTGGACGGCGTCGCAAAGGAGGCCGCTGAGAAGGCTGGTCGCAAGAACCCTGGTAGCGTCAACGCCTTCAGAGAGTACGTTGGCGAAGGCGAGGAGATCACAGAGGTCGTTCAGCTAAGAAAGGAGGTCGAAGACTGGGTCGGCACTTTCTCTCTTCCCTGGGACAAAGCATGAACATAACGCGCTCGTGAATTAATGGAGTGTCGGTTGAGTGATTGTAATAACAGGAACAATGATAACGCATGGCAGAACAATATATGGACTTGCACATTGTGAGTGACCAAAAGAAGAATCCTATCAACCAATTCTTCTCATCTGCTCACAACACTTTCTCTACATGCACGCCTTGCGAAAAACGATTGTGTCTGACACTGATATTGTAAACCCCGGGATGAGAGGAGCAGGGGCGTACAAATAAATGCCTCTTTTCTCGTTGCGTTGTTTTCCTCATTCGTATCACACAACGCCGCAACGCATGACCCCCTTGCAGATCAATTACCTAAGAATCCGCTTACCACCTTCCTTCCAAGCATCAATAACGCCATGCAAATCATCACTGCGAACCCTTCTCGCGGTGCAAGTGTCAACTTTGCCTTTGACGACAAGAATGCCACTTTCATCTCTGACAACAACGACACACAATTACCTTGGTGAGTCTTTTTTGTGTTTGGGGGATTTGTTTGCTGTGGTTTTCTTTTCAAGCATGGCACGTGAGAAGATGAGATTTTCTTGGAGATGATGGTCACTGACGAGGGTTTGAGATTAGGTATATGGGACAATGGACTACGCCCGTGACGGCTGTGCTGGAGGCCTATGTGTTGGTTTCGTTCTTGGTGTTTTTGATCATGTTTATGATGTGTATCCATCGGCGTGGGTGTTGTGTAAGTTTTTGCTTTGCTCTTCTTTTTTTCTCTTTGACAACTCCCTTGTCCTCCTTTTGTTTTTCTGTTTGGGATTGGAGTTTTCTGACCTGGGATATATAGCACATCTTTCACTCCAGACGCAGAAGAAGAGTTGTTCGATATCAACAACGGCTGAGAGTGAGGGTGCAGATTGAACAGCACACACACAACGTCATGCAAGAAGAGTCGGATAGAGATGAAGATGGCCATGGAGTCAACAGTACCTCATCCAGAGACCCTGCTACTGTCGACGCCGAGCACGATATCCAGAGATTGGAAAGAGCTTTGAGGGTTGCTGGGATGGCTTGAACTTTTGCACGGACAAAAGTTTTGTGATGTTTGTGAACTTTCGTGAGGTGGTGGGGAGGTATTGGCCGTCGTTCAATGGAGAGCATGGAAAAGTCTCTGCTGCTGGTTACGAAGACATGAAGATACGAATTACTGGATCGGAATCAATGATCTATCTCAACAAAGAATGCTCGGTTGATGTCTTCCCCTGCATATCTTGCAAGGCAAGTATGCTTCGTTTGATGCTGGTTCGCTTGTCCGTGTTTGTTGGCAAAACACGTTTCAAAGGTTTGAGTCATTAACACATTACATATGGTGAAAGAAGAGAACAGCAAACAAAGCTGTCGCATCAAGAATCTTCTGAACTTGTCTTTGTAGTCTGAATACCGTCAAGAGAACTCTTTGAATGATGAAGGCAAATACTTTAAGCTATATAAAGTCTTCCTTACTCAACTCTTCTCAGAACACACTCCTGGATTCAACATGGATACCGCGTCGATGTCAGATCACAAAGCCATGTCTGGAGGACCGCCTGAGGAGCCACAAAAGACACAACCCAAAACCTCTGACGAACGACAACGAACTCTTTCGTCCAGACGAGCTGACTGATGCAAGCATGAGCATTTCCGAAGATTCATTCCAAGAATCATCAGACTCCAACAAGCAAAACCAAACCTTACCTGTTGTCGACGAAGAGCCTATTGTCCCAGAATCCGAAGCTTCTCCCATGTCCTCCGACTTGTGCTTGACATACTCAACAGCCGTGCTAGCTTGGAAGAAGCCAATGAAGAAAGAGGTGGTTTGAACATTAGACTATACATTCATGATAGGGCTGGACAAAGAAGCGATTGGAAAAGGAGAATAAATTATACATCACAAAACAGAATACAGGTAGAGCACGATGGACCAGGGAAGCAGAAGGAAGTGCTAGGATCTGAGCAACAAGGATAAGAACAGAAATCTTACACCGGCCTCTACCTACCGATATCCATTGACCAATTTTCATACCTCCGATTCACATACCATCGAGATCGCAGTGTCAGTGGCAGCAAGAGGAGAAGCTTGTTACAGACGGCAAGCAGACAAAGCGCTTGCTGTGATCATAGTGCCGATAGGCAACGGCATACAGAGCTCTCGCTCCATGACTTCTAATGGACCTGACCCGATTTGGGAGGGTTACCTTGGGAGTGTCTGCAGCTAGGAAGAGCATTGCTGAATTGAGTTTGAGGTCCTGAATCGGCCCTCGGGATGCGCCGTGGAGCTACTTATACATCTTGAGCGGCCGACCCACCATCAATGGACCTGTGGCGCAGCGGTAGCGCGTGTGATTCCAGTCTTCTCAGGACATCCACAAGGTCATCCGTTCAAATCGGGTCAGGTTCATTAGAAGTCACGGAGCGAGAGCTCTGTGAACACACTTTTGCTGGTTGATGTTAGTGAAGCCTTGTTTTTGCAACAACGCCTGAGAACGAGGATCTAGTCGCCTTCCTTGCATTATGTTTACCAGGTGACATGGAGCAAACCCCCATAAAATTACTTTGATCAACATGCTAGAGAGGGTGTTTAGGTTGTAATAAGGGCCTGCAAGATCACTAGATGCATGATACCTATTTTCCTTTTAATTGCATAAAAGACGATCCGCTAACCAATGTAGCTGCTAATGACAGTTATTTACTATGGACAATTGACACCGAAATTGCTTGTCATTTTGGGTGGCTGTATGTCGCTTGTGGTTAAAGAGCGGGAAAGAATACCTAGTTGCCGACACGTCGACGATCATCTGACTTTTCTTCTTGACCGCGATGCACACAACCTATATGGATGCACGTCGAGTCAACTGCCAGGTACATTTACTTGCCCGACTGTTTAACCAGTTTGCAAGGTCCCTACCAGTGGCCACCGTTATAATGCGCAATCGAAATGGCAAGCAAGCACGCGAAGAGTGTCACTTGACCTTAGACACGGCTGCTAAGTATCAATATAATCGACCCTGCATCCGGTCGCAGGTAGGTAGGTTCGACAATCCCAGGCAGCAACCGCGACTCAGAATAGACTCTTGTCTCATCGTCGGGATGAAGAATTTCTTCTCCGCAACAGACGTCCATAACAAACTAACTCAAACTCGTGGCTCGAGTGAGTCAAGACCACAACGACAAGCTTGCTCGAAAATAGAGTCATTGCAAGGCACTATCAACTCAGCTCATAAGCGTGCGCTCTAGGCTCTCAAAATTCTTCAACTTTTCGTCTCTACGCCTCGCAGGAGATCCTCGACAAGACTCAACAAGTCACACAACATTTCATCAACCACCATCATGATCCCTTACACCATGAGACCTGTTGGAAACGATGATGGCCGTGGCTGGACAAGACTCTCTGGCAACAACATGACGAACCATAACAAGCCAAAGGAGCAGATGTCTCCTCCACCACCCCGCTACTCAGCGCCAAACCATTTTGCAACCTCAAACTACGACATGTATACCAGTCCGATCACCGCATCTGCAGGCTCTAGAAGATCCCCGTTGTCAAGCTATGTACTGCCCTCCCCTTTACCGCCGACCGTCGAGATGCAAGATCTACATACCCTGTCAACCAGTCGTCAAGATCCGCCAGCACCTGGCACTCTCCCAACACCAGCTATACAACCAAACAACCCTCGCAGATTCCTTGACAAGGGCCCTTGGCTAGCTACACTCCTCTGTCTGACTCTCTTCATCATCGCAATGGGCCTACACCCCTCCNACCTCACACCAGAACCCTGGAGTTGGACTGGATGGGCACGTCCCGGCAAGAACGAATTGCTGAGCGTCAAACAAGTCATCTTCGCCACCGTCCCCAAAAGAGCCGTCTGGGGTAAATTTCTGGCGGTCCTGGCTCTTGACGTGTGGGTTTTACAGCTGGTGTATTGGTATGCTACTGTGGCTGCCACGCCTACTCTCTGCTTGTCCAAGAGGTTCGTGAGCCTGAAGGGTTTGTTCTTGATGTTGGCTGTGCTTCTTCAGGCTATTCTCATGTTGGGCTGGTTACTGTGGTCTATCTGATGAAGGCAGTGTCTGTATTGTCGGGTTTGTTGCACTCGGCGTTGAAAACTTGGAGATAGAGAACAAAGATAGGGCAAGCCAGTCTCTGTATCAAAGCCTGGGAACCATGAAGGCGAGCCGTTATAAGAGGAGAGTTCTATAGAGTATCCGGGTATCCATGATTACATTCCGACTTTCCATACAAGTGTGTAAGAATCGCTTGTCGACCTCACCATCTGGTGACAGTGCTACACGCAGTCAGTCGTGCTTTGCCTCGAAGACCGCATGGTTAGCTCACGATCAGAACGACAGTAAGCGGAGCACGACTGCACCTGCTATAGACACAAAAAAATTGGTCGTTGAGGAAAGAATGATAATGCATGCACCAGCAAAGCTAAAGGTATCTAAACAGATCCAAGCACAACTCCCACGCTCAGCCAAGAAACAATATGTCCATGATGGGGGGGAGAAAAGCCCCATGAGCCACTGAATCTACCATATCTCAGTAAAGAATGCGAATCATGCCCAATTCTCAATCAAACCCACTAGGCTTCTTGGGCTTCAGATATCCCAACTCTTCATCATCATAACGTTCGTAGTTGGTGCTGTCATCGTCACTGCGACTTCGGCTTCTAGCCATCCGCACACGGCCAAGATCACCCATGACATCTTCAGGGCTCTCGCTTCTACCACTGGTGACGAGCCAGTCGTCATCTTCAGCTTCATAGTCGTGGATTTGGGGTTGCTTGCCTTTGCCGCCAGTGGGCGAGGAAGCGTCACCAGTGACTAGACCTAATCTTTCTTCCTCACTGGCATTGTTGCGGCTGTTGGGGCGTTGGTGGGAGCTAGTGCTCTTGCGAGAGGCGAAACTCAATGCGCCGCGGGAGATTGGGCGGATCTCGCCTTCGTCTGCGGGTTCGTCGTGATGTTTGCGGTGGAAGACATTTTGGAAACTAAAGTTGCGTTTGCTGGAGTCTGGTCGTGANTGAGTGGGGTGGAGGTTTGGGGGGCATGAGGGAGCTGGATTGNNGCTCATGGCGCGTTCTCTCTCGCGTTCGTCGATGCTGGTTGTCCAGTGGATTGCGCTGCCGCCTTTGTATGAGGTGTCGGAATCGAGGTTCGGTGAGCGCAGACTTGATGGCAAGCCGTAGACGTGCTCACGTGCAGGTGTGCGTACGGGCGTTTCGTCAGCTGTTGTCGAGAAGCTTGATTGGGCCTTCAAAGTAATTGGCGGCTTCATCTCTAAGAGGGAGTGGTCTCCTCCAGATGGGTGTCGCTTCTTTTTGCTGCGACGGAAACGCGGAAGGAATCCAGGATGCACGTCATTGTCACTGTCGGTATCAGTGTGGTTTTCGTCAGGGAAGTGTGTGAGTCCGAGCGGAGGATGAGACATCTTTGCTGATCGCAACGAGGTGTGTCCACTGGGTCCGCCGACGACAGTCTTGCGGCGCCGCAAGCCATCAAAGTAAACCGAGTCGTCTTCTCCGATAGGCTCCATATGTTCGCTAGCGATTGTACGCGCTTCATCAAGCTGCTTCATGGTACGCTTGCGGCTCATGGCGCGAACGATTGCAGCACCGCCACGGATAGTATCGGCGCGTGGCTCGCTCTCTGGCTCCTCTTGTTCGGCAATGGTGCGTACTTGATCCAGATCTCCCTTGAAGACAGCTGTATCCGGTACGTCCTTGGACGATTTCGCAAGCTGAAGTAACACTACGCCAGAGCAGATTGTTAGGAAACCCATGATCACGTTCACGATACCTATTGTGCTGCCGCCAAATCCTCTGAACAAAATGGCCGAGGTGACGATGGTTGCAGAAGTGAAGTAGACGTAGTAGGTAGGTGTGACCAGAGCGGCATTGTATATGTTGAGCGCTTTNCTGAAAGGGAGTCAGTATGGCAAGACTAGACAAATGCTTGCTCTCTAACTCACATTGAGATAGATAATCTCTGTCAATAGTGTTCCAATAACGAAGACGAACAAGACCCAGAGAAACCATTGCTTGAACTGATTGACTGGGGTGGTCTTACCAATGGCGGCAACGATGGCAGCACCAAGACCTTGAGTTGCGACAACACTCAGGCCACCGATAAGACTGCAGATGGTGAGATAGACAAACATGCTCTTGTTGCCATAACGGGGACCAGCCCAGAGAGCAGTAAAAGCACATCCAACAATGACAACTCCAGTGTATGCCAANAAGCCGGGAGCAATGACAAAATGTTGCATTTGCTGGATATTGGCAGCAGATGATTGCTCAGGAGCATTCAATGCGATAACGACGGCGCCAACCACACATAAGAAACAACCAACCTTGCCGACAAAACTGAGACGCTCTTTTAGAAAGATTGCAGACAATATCGTTGTAATGACTACGCTGAGAGCTCCGAAAGGGGTAACGAGGATAGCATCGACAAAAGCTAAGGAGACAAGTTAGCCACATGTTGGTCTGATTGCTGTGAAAAACGAACCATAGGCAACAAAATTGCATATTTCACTGGGGCAAGGTTAGTGATTAGATACAGAAGTAATGTCGGCCGACCGTAACTCACCCNNTATAATCATCAAGGTCATTCCGCACCACCACCAGCCGTTCTTGAGGTAACCGTAGCCCTCGCCAGCGGCCTCGTTGTACTTTTCGTTGGCCTTGAGCAATCCATGCTTCTTCAGTACAAACGAGGTTCCGATGAAGACACCGGAGCATACGGCAAGGATAATACCAACAGCCTTGTAGATCGGCGGTCTCGAGGCATGGTCCTGACTCTCTTCGGTGCTGGTTCCGTTGGTGGAGTTTGCACGAGCGTACAGGTTGTTGGCTGTGAATATGACATGACCAGCTGAATCCATGTTGGGCTGGAAGGTTGGAGGGGTCCAACAGGATATGTGATATGGCGGCGCTGGAAGGCCTTATCTCTTGCGCTGCTCACGGGGCATTAAGCGCTGGATGAGTCTTGAGTATGTTGTTGGATATGTATGTGTTCGTGTACAGGTCTTGATCAAAGTCTTTCTCTTTCTAAGAAATGTGCAGCCGAAAGATGGCGTTATGTACAGGGCGTTCGTCGTAAGCGTGATCCGAAGGAGACTTCTTTGTTGATGGTGTGCTGACAATGTGGGGATATCGTAGGTGCTGCGGGAGTGTCTCGTTGTGCGCGACTCAGGGCGAATCTATCGCAGACGTCGACTTGGACTGTACTGAGTCGAGTGAGATGGGGCGGATGGGATGGTCGACTGTACAGTACGCGTATGGTGGAAGGAGATGTCGTGTGCGGCCAGACAAGATGTTGGATTCGTATGTATTTCGAAGACTGCGCCACGGACGGGAGAAGTCGAGACGCGAGCCACCCAAGGTTTGGGAATACGCGCTGTCACCCTGTACTCTAACAGATCATCTCACCTTCTGCTTGTCTACACAGAGAGACACATATCGACAGACTCTCATCGTGGTCTTGTATTGATCACAAAGACGTCTGCCCGGCCAACCCATGTGACTTCATCACAAAACACGCATGTCAACAACCCATCTATGCAAACTTTCCTGCTTCGTCTTTCACCTTGTACCGCACTGAAGTCAATCGCCAAGTTTGACAGGACATAATAGCATGAGAGGTGTTCCTTGACAAGAAGGAATTTCATGCGCACAGAAGAATTGCTCTTCGAGTTCACGAGCTGAGTAACGTCCCTCGCGATATATGCCCCTCGAGACAGAGCATTGCTACACAAAATTTGAGCCTGGCCTTTCATCCGCCAGCTGAGGACTCGTACTGCATATCGCTTGATGATATTTGTAGAATACGAGATGACCGCTGGTGATTCAATAATTCCTGCCATGACGCTCGATTCACTGTTTTGGGATCGGCTTCCATCCATGTCCATGTCTTTTGTACCTGATGATCAAGGCTTCACATGCTCGGTGTCGTCGCGAATGTCTTTTTGCCGAGACTTGTACGAGACCTCTCGTCTTCTCAAACGACTCCAGCTTCTGCATCTCAGACAAGTCAACGACAACCGGCCGAACGTGCAAGCTGAACCGCTGGAGAGACAGTTTGGAAATTTGCAGCATCGTGCTGTCAACAAGGGGTTCTCTTGTCAGATGCATCAAGGTTCGGAAAGCTGAGAACAGTTCCCGCTCAGGGCTGACGTCTGTCCAATGGAAAAGCGGTGCTCCTGAAACAAGCTGAGAAAGGTTCCATAATCGGGGTTAGCCTTCTCGTAAGCCGAAGGATGTCAACGGGAAGACGCTGGCATGGCTTGCGTTGAGGGTGCAGTGCGATGCACGATCAACGAGCACTCGAACTGCGTGCGTGGAAAGATGGGTCGTGGCTGCTCTTCGTATTGATAGAGATTCGTCAGCTCTCCATAAACACTCTCCTGTTTCCCTTTCTTCCAATGTGTTTTCCCATGTTGATCGCTTGTTCCCAATTATTCCTCTAAGCTTCTCGTCGAGCATTGCGACAAAACTCGAGCTGCTGCAGGCCAAGATATACCAAGCCTGTCAACGACTCGGGACTCCGTTCTACCCGACGTTATGGCAACATCGTCCGCGGGAGTCTTCAATGCTTCCAAGCTGGCCATCATCTTTGCGCTGCTGTGTTCGCTATATGTCTTCCGCGACATCTGGCTCCCATCAACGCCGACCACGCCGGTGCATCCCACAGCTACCCCCCCTCAATCATCAGCTCCTCCGCTCGAAAGCGAATTGATTCTCAACCAGACCGCACCATCCGAACATGTCGCCGACTGCCTCAATGCGCCGGGCGCTGACCGCGTCATGATTGTGCTCAAGACTGGTGCATCAGAGATCTACGAGAAACTGCCAACCCACCTTATCACTCTGTTCAGATGCACCAAGCACTACCTCATCTTCTCCGACCTGCCCCAGACTTATTCCGACTACCAGATCCATGATGCTCTGGCCACTGTCAGCAATCAGTACAAGGACGAACACGACGACTTTGAGGTCTATCGCAAGCTGCAAAAATATCACCGCGAGGGTCAAAATGTTGCCAAGCTGAAGGGCGACAAGGGATGGAACCTCGACAAGTGGAAGTTCCTTCCCATGATGCACGAAACATATCGATTGGCCTCTCCAGACGTTGATTGGTTTGTCTATATCGAAGCCGACACCAGTATGAGTTGGACGAATCTACTACAATTCCTCGGACGAATGGACCCAAAGAAGCCCTTGTACCTAGGTGCGCAGAACGTCATTGGTCATACCACTTTCGCTCACGGTGGCTCGGGCTTTATCATGTCGCGCGCCGCAGCCGAAAAGATTGAGAACCGCAGGAACAAGATCGGTGTCAAAAAGTACGATGACCGATGGGAGCTATCGACGAGCTTATCCTGCTGTGGTGACGAAGTTGTCGCGCGCGCATTGGTCGAGGTCGATGTTGAGTTGACCCCTTCATGGCCTCGTCTTCAGGGAGAGACTGTCGATACGCTTGACTGGACCGAGAAGCACTGGTGTACCCCTGCCATCACCTGGCACCACGTCAGTCCTTCGCAGGTCGACAGCATGTGGCGCTTCCAGAACAAATGGGTAAAGGAAAATGTGAGTTTCTCTGGACTTGCAGTGATATGGAAACCAATACTGACACGGAAATAGGGATGGTCCAAACCTTATCTCTATCGCGACGTCTACGATGGTCTCGTAGCCCGGCACGTCTCCGTCAACCGTACAAGCTGGAACAACCTTTCCAAGGATAAGGAGTTTGTTGCGCCCACCAAAGACTCGAGTGAAGATGACAAGAAGGCTTGGGAGAAACTGTCAGATGTCGAAAAGGACTCGGTCAAGAGCTTCGACGATTGTGCTGAAGCCTGTCTTGCCTGGAACAAGTGCTTGCAGTGGATGCACGAAGACGGAGTCTGTAAGTTGGGCAAGGATGTTCGACTGGGAGAGACGGACGAACGACACAGCGATACGTGGTCTTCTGGATGGTTACAACACCGGATCCAAGGAATGCGGGATAATCTTGCCGACTGCAAGACCAATTGGGATCACTGAGCACTCTCCAGGCTTGATCGCAAGTCTCCTCCTTTTCTTTCTTGTTCAACATCCAGATCAAGAGCCATGTACCAAGTGCTGGAAAAATGGTTTCTTTTACGGTTGATGGTTGGGAATCCTTGCTCTGGATTCATGGTGGGAAATTCTTTCGAAAAGGTTTGACATGGCATTTTGGCGCATACATCGATTTTCTGTTTATATACTTTCATTGGAGGGAGAAGTTAATGGGAGATTGACGAATTGGCATGATCATGAACGAACATTCATCATAGAGAAGCAGGAATTACATAGACATGACAATATTGTTTTACATAGCATCTTGCAATTCAGCATATCCGAGTATCATGAAGTCGCTCTCACTCTTGGAAACAATCAGACAAGCAAGAAAATATTGACATGAAATGGCTTTGTCCGCCAACAACTTGAAGGGGGGTATATGTGACAGGGAAAAAGATCCAAGGCAAGGAGATTTGCAAGAAAGGCAAAGAATGAACCTCTTCCCAACCATCCTCACAAAAGAACAATCCAAAAGCCCTCAGAAAGACATCAAACAAGCCGCGAAAAAGTTGAAACAATCAAACAACGCCATGATCCAAAACATAGACATAAAAACCAACAGAGGCATAGAGGCATTCGTGCATTAGACATATCATTCCTTGGGAACAGCCTCACTGCTCACACTGCGGTTGTTTGCGCCAAACCAACCCATCCAACTCGACCGCTTGGCCTTCTTTGCCGCCTCCTCTTCTTCCTTTGCTTCTTGCACGAGGCGCAGGGGTCGCATGCCTGCTCCACGCATGATGGCTCCGGTGGGCTTTTCGCCGCTGGAGGTCGTGCTGCGAGGGGGACTGACTGTGCTCATGTTGTCTGCGAGCCCGGATTCGCTGTATACGCTGTTGCGGGCAGAGTCTCTGGGTGCGGCGGAGGGCAAGGCGGGAGGAGGCATGCTTTGGCGTCTGTCGTCTTGGGATTGGGGCACGGAGCCTGAGGAAGGGACGCGGGCTGCTGCTGCGGGGGCCACGGGTAGCACGGGGCTGAAGAGGGAGCTGCCGCGGGGAGGCACAATGCTGGGGCTTGCTGGGCCGGAGCCTGGTGAGAGGGGCCCGCGGTACATGTTGTTTACTAGGTTGGCTGGGTTGCCGAGTTCCGAGTTTGAGCGGCGGTGGGAGGAGGGTGCGCCGCCGATGGACATGCGGTTGGATTGTGCGCGGTTGAGAGGGATGCGAGGGGCGGTGTTGGGGTCTTCGTTCAGTGTTGGTGTATCGGAGTTTGTCTCGATAGGCTTCGGGCGACCACCACGGACGACTGAAGTGGCTCGTTTGAGGAGAGAGGGCTGTTCATCCTTCTCTGGCGGGGGAGGTGGTGGCAATGCCTTTGCGCCGTCTGCTCCAGACATGAGGTTGGGGGTCTTATCGAGGATGTTCTCAAACTCCTTGTGTTGCAGTAGGCGTGAAATGATGTTGTTGATGTACAGTGTCAAGGCCTTGTTTTGGTCTCTCATGGACTGTAGATCAGCCTGCAGACGTCTGTTGTCTGCCATACCATCATCGCTGGCGTTCTCGAGTTCGTCGGCAAGAGTTGACGCTCCAACCATGGCAGAGGGAGAAGAGGGACGAGAGCTAGCGCTCATGATTGAAGGAGGACGCAACAAGCCGCTGTGAGCAAAGTCGCCGTTCAAGGTCTTTTCGCTCAGCAGCAGCTGGAAGCTCTCGTTGTCCTCCATCAATCTGGCGTTGGCCATTCTCGTTTCCATGAGCGTCTTCTCCAACTCTTGCATACGACCTCCGCCCCTGTTCTCCATCTCAACCAGCTTGATTTGCGATTCGGCCAATTCGAGACGTAGTGATTCGATGATCTTGTCCTTTTGCAGAACCAGACGGGATTGACTGCGGGAAGAGTCGCTGCGCTGCAGAGAGGATGGAGGAGCGAACTGGCCGGCTTCTTGGTTGGGAGATGCATTGCTTCGGAAACTTNNGCTGTGAACGGGGTCAGTCATGTGGACCGTCATCATCGGGGGATAGGTCAACATACATGCTCTGGAGATGCTCTGCCGCCTCTCGTCTTCTCCGCGCATCTCTTTCTGAGCCATTGTCTCTTTCAGTCTCTGGATTGTGTCACGCAGCTCCTCTTCACGGTCTTGCAACTCTTCCTTCTCTTTCATAGATTGGGCACGCTCGGCTTCGTAGATGGCTTCAAACTCTCTGCGCTGGCGAGTACTCTCCTTCTTCTCGATTTCCAGTTGCTCCAAACGCTCTTCTTGCTCGTGCATCGACTCTTCTAGACTATTGTGCTCCTTGTTTGTCTCGTCGAGACGAGTTTGGGCGACAGCATGCTGCTTCTGAGCCTCTTCGGCAGCCAATTCAGCCTTTTGCAGGCGTTCACGCAGGTCTTCGATGACGGCAGCAGTCTCTGCCTTTGCGTCGGCCATGGCAGACTTGGTGGTGTTGAGGGTGGATGTTGTTGTAGGCTTCTTGACGGCAGCGCGGGCAGAAGGTGGGGCTCCGCCGACTGGGGTGCGGACAGACTTAGCGCGAGAAGGGGTTGCAGCTGAGCCAGGGGTCGTGGAGACGGTTGGGCGAGAGGGACTGCGTGAGGGTGTCGTCTTGGGTGGATTCATGGACGGACGACGAGGAGGAGCCCCGGGATGGGTAGAAGTAGCAGCAGCAGCAGCAGCAGAAGGGGGCTGCTTGGAAGGCGTCGACATGGTGAAGGCTAAGTAAGCTGAGCGCCGAGCTTACTTGAGCCTAGATTCCAGCGTGTCACAGGTACAAGTGAAGGGTATGTTTGTTGAGAGCCAGGACGTGTGAGTGCTGGGTGAGGGGTGTAGGATGTGGAGACAACTGGACAGGCAAGAAACACAACAAAAAGGCGCCCTCGGCGACACAGCAACAGCTGGAGCGAAGGAGATTAAAGTACCATATTTATTTGATGAGCGAACCGACACCGCCTTGTCTCGCCACCGCATGTTGCAAGTGCTCACACGTACAAGCCCGCTCGACCGCTGGCTCAAGTGTTGCTCTCTCCTACACTGACGAGGCAACAACAGACCAACAATTGACAGCTGTTGGCCGATGCATGTGATGGTCGCTGGCGCATTCCAACAACAAAGTGAACGGTCGAGGGCCCTGAACAGTGATCGGCGCCCACTACGTCCGAAGCAGCCTAGTGTCTTGGCGCCCGCTCGCACTTCGAAAATTCGAATGCCCGCGCTCCGCTCTCCGACTTTTCTCTCTCCAGCCAGCGATTATAAGCCAAACCAGGACCGGAGCGCCGTATTTTTCAACCACAAGACAATCAACAAAAACCGACGCAGAGATGGCCCCCAAGAAGACTAAGACCTCCGACTCGATCAACTCGCGCCTTGCGCTTGTTATGAAGTCCGGGTAAGTCGACAGCGACACGCCAACAATCTGCTATCCAGTGCTGACTTCCTGCGCAGAANAGGTCACCCTCGGCTACAAGTCCACCATCAAGGCCATCCGCTCTGGAAAGGCCAAGCTCATCATCATTGCTGGCAACACCCCTCCTCTCCGCAAGAGCGAGTTGGAGTACTACTCCATGCTCGGCAAGACCGCCGTCCACCACTTCAACGGCAACAACGTAAGTCGAAACACATGCTCTGAGAAAAAGCCCGGGCGTGTGTGTGATTGCTCCTGCAAGTTGATTCAACATCAAGCTGGCTCGCCAACTGTTGAACCAATTGCACCTTCAGTTGTGAAGGCGAGGCAGAGCAATCACACACACTACCCACTCAAGGCTTTGGAGAGCAGAACACTGGCTAACGTGTCATTGTCATATAGATTGAGCTCGGTACCGCCGCCGGTAAGCTCTTCCGTTGCTCCACCATGGCCATCATCGATGCCGGTGACTCCGACATCCTCACCGCCTCCGTCGCATAAGCGTAGAGCCTGTGTCGATGCAAAAGATATATTAGAGGAATGTCAATCTGATACCCCCACAAAAGTTTCTCTTCTACTCCTTCCGTCTGTTCATCTCAATGTGCCTTTTCGTGTTTGTGAGTGTTGTATCTGTCATGTATATCATAATCATCTGGAACCGGCTGTAAAGCTGTATGAGACATGTACTGTATGGTGAGTCTAAAATCCCAATCCTTCATCGAAGACTGATGACATGTGGTTCCAGCCGAACGTGTCACAGCTGTGTCAGTTGGACCAAGTCTATCGTTCGTGAGTCTTCTCTTGCGGCAACATCAACGGTAACCACACTGTAGGACTGCATGCTTCTCTATGAATCAGAAATGTGTCCAACACGGACTGTCGAGACGATGTTTCTTTGTCGAATTGCACTGCTTCTCCAAGGCTATCAAGATGCACACTCCTTTTCAGGTCAGGGTTCTGGCCAGAGAAAGCTCATGAGAACGACAGCTTTCAGTGGTCGTTGCTCTGTGTCTGAAAAGCGCTGTGTACATCGCAGACTTTGGTTCGCAGGAACTGTGCATAGGGAAGGTGCGACCAAAGTAACATCAGAGCCAAAGGGAAGGTACGCTCTCAGATCGTCCTTCCTGGCGCTTTGTTATTCTGTCGAACTCCAAAACATCGAAACTCGACACAACATCGGAAAACAGGCGTCGTTGCCTGGCCTACACAATGCCGGACATTCTCCATCGTGTCTCGTCACTCTTCAAGATCGTTCCGTCATTCGTCGCGACGCTTTACTCTCGTCAGACGCCTGCGCATCGCGACGTGAGCATCGTTTCTGCTTCATCGCTTGAGATGGACGAACACGGCTCCAATCCGATGCCTCCTGCCGATAATGATGCTGGCACCGCGTATCGCGCCCTTCCATCTGGCAGCGGTCGCCATTACAGAGACCATGACTTCGTTCCTACCAGACCCGGGCCTCTCGACTATGATGACATGGACATCGATCCACCAACCAGTCACCACAAGAGATACAATTCTCAAGACGGCTATCATCTAGTCGTTCATGGCGCGGATCACAGCAGTAAATACTCGGAAAACAACACTGCTTCAATCTCTGGCTCTCACGAAACTCTCGAACAAGCCCGTGGAGGCAAAAGCCATGAACTTCCACCACTGCCATCGAAGAGGAAGAGGGGTGCCGATGCAGAAACGAGCCTTCAGCATTCGTCCAAGAAACCATACGAGGCCAAGGACGATCGTAGCGACCGACTCTGCCTGCAGTGTGGCAACTATCACAGCTCGCCTTGCTATGTTCCCTACTGCAGCAGCTGCGACCTGAACCATTATCTTGGCATCCCATGTCTGGAGGCTATGGAGCAATTGAAGAAGCGTCTCGAGCTGCGTGCTCCCCTAGAGACACCCGTTTCTTCCAGGCAGAAGGGCAACAAGAAGATGGCACGATCGGCGATGCCCTTGCGCTCCCGGATCGAGAATCAGTTTCCACTAGCCTTGTCGAATCAGCACGCCCCTATAACCTTGCTGGGATCGGACTCTCAATCTTCTGTAAACAAACAACAGAAAGAAAGTCCTGGCAAGCGCATCTGTCCCATCTGTCCTGAGTGTGGCAACCCCCATAGATCGGCTTGTAAATGGCTCTTTTGCGACAAATGCCAGATCAAGCACAATCCAGAAACACAGTGCGCTGTGGCTGAGGCTCGGCTCAAAGCGCGTCTGGAAGAAGAGGACGCAAAGCAAGCCCAAGTGACCGAGAAGATCAGAAAGGGGGATCAGAGTATGATTAACAAGGACAACAACATGGTTACGGATTTCCAGTCTAGGCGCTCATCTGCTCCTAGCCCGGGCCGTGCTTTCGGTCCCGGAGTTGCACTCAGGAAGCTCAAGAAAAACACCAGATTCTGCAGAGATTGTGGTCGCTATCTCAATAGACCATGCACCTGGCCCACGTGCAAGAAGTGCNACACCAAGCACTTCGAGAACGTTCCTTGCTGGCAAGCACACCAGAACCTGCAGAACCGTCTTGACATATTTGACCGTGGCTGGGGCACTTCCCAGCAGAAGATCCTCAAGACAAGGATCTCGCCTCCTACTGTACAGCCCTCGTCGCAGCAGCTCGAGGTTACAAACTCCAACCGAGTTAATCCAGCTGCGTCGGTGGATCTTGCGGCCCCTGCCAACATGACCTTCAACTTTGGCGCCGACGGACGAATGTCCTGGTCCCTCGACTCGAACAAGACCATACACTTCGGTCTTCCTCCTAGTAACCCTCACTTCTCCGTATCCGTGTCGTCGATGCCAGAGCAGCATAACAATCATATTCACCCTAGTCGTCAAGCTTTCTTCTCCGAGCCAGCTCAGACCGCAGCTCCCGTGCCTCAACCCTTGGCCGACATTTCCTCTACTGGAAGCGTGCTCCCACTCTACAGCCCACGTAGCGACACGTCCCAGGTAGCCACCTACGGCACGTCTGTTGAGCATAGTGTTGATGCTTTCATTGCGGATGTTGCTCAGGGCATGCATAGCAACGTTCGCGATGCTCTTGGATGTGTTGACGGACCACGGCGCTACCTAGCACATATTCGTCGCAATGGCTCCTCGTAATTGCGTCTTGCACATCTCGAGCAATGCATGGTTGAGTGGTGCAGGATCAGGAGGGCCGATGAATAACTTTTTCAAGTATGGCAGTTATGCTTTCGGCATGGACGTGGCGACGAGCCAAAATGGTGGAATGCAAGGGGATTATCGCAGCACTCTAGACAGGGGGTGGTCGAATGGCAAAAGCAGTGCTTCAGTCAGCTCAGATGATATGAGGCTTGACCTTGTTCGATGAGGTTATTGCTCTTTGCACACGGATACTACGTTTACAGCTAGCTTAGTTCAGAATCAACAAGCCGATGCGTCTTAAAAATCACAAGTTAGCTCGCGGCTGTCCCACAGGCTTGGTGCTTGCTGCACATGTCTGTGACTGCTCAGAGCATCAGTAAGTCAGCGCAACAAAGTCGTGCAGGCTCGTTAAGTAGATCGATATATGGACGATAGATAAATCTTGAGACCAGCTGACGCAAGGAAATAGGCGGTAGCATGCATGCGATTGACACTGTTTGTCCACACTTTCCATGATTAGGGTGTTACGATTGTGTCTCTGCCTGAGGCTGAGATCTGTGACTCGGAAGATGGTAGTCTAGCGAGAATACATGTTCGATGTCTAGTTCAAGCTGCGTGTGAGCAAGTTTGAGCAACGACTCGAAGAAGAAGGACATAAGAACTCACCTTGATCATTGTATTCTTTTGATCTTGGTTGGCTTCGTATACTACTTGACGAGCGTTGTGATTGCACGCTTTCATCGCGGAACTCACCCTCATCCTTGACCTTTTCTACACTCTACACGACAAGCCTTCGCATTACCATTTGCTGTCTCTCAAAAACATGGCAAATTTCAACTCTCTGCCTCTTGAGGTCAGGAACATGATTTACGGCTACACTCTTGATCCCACCCACGACATTTTCACCAACGGTAGCCCAGCACTACTGAAAGTGCACCCACAAATCACCCGCGAGATATGCTCTTACCGCATCATCACCACAACCATACCAATTTACACAAGCAACGAAGACACCTGGCCACCAGCGCCACAGCAAGGACATCGCGAAATGGTTGCTTGATTCACGGAAAAGGAAAACACAAAAGGTATTATCATAGAATATAAGAAACTCAGAGGGAGAAAGCGAGAATTTAGATCTTCGTCTTGGAGGGATTTGGAGAAAAGTATTGAGGAGGTTATGAATAATGACTTTAATGGCTTGCAGGTGGGCATGTAAGCTTCTTTGTTGAGTAGGGTGATGAAGGTCGACACGAGAGTTGAAGACGTACTATTTTCGATTGGCGTCGCTATGTCAATGGTGGAGAATACACGAAGCATCAAGACATCAGCAACACAGAAGCCTACAAGATACTTCTACATACATCAATCTCAAGAGAAGTTCGACACTCTATAAACACAGAGCATGACAGAGTAGAAATTGCTTTGATGATGAGAAAATGTTGGTCAGGGTCGTCCCTCCAATATCATGTCTTGACCTTACATTTGCTATATCCATATCAACTGCGTGGTAAAGGAACCGTGTAGTGTATCATTGTGGCACTGTGGCACAGTTGCTGGATTTTTTAACCACGGTAAGCGAGTAGCGCTGTAGTAGGCTCAAAAGAGAACATCAATTTTGATGGACCTCGCCAGGCATCCTTAGGAAGGCGCGTGGAAGGAAGAAGTGACCATGCCCTCACACCTCGGGGCAAGGATGTGCCGGTAATCCAAGAAGGTATGCGACACACACGGGCGAACATCTGTCCGGTTTGTAGGGTTGGTCGACTGCCACCCTTTCGCTCGATTGTCTTACTTGTCAAGGCAGCTTGAGTATTTACACCGTGCCCGACTTGGCGTACTCCTCCAACAGCTTGCGCGGTAGAGTCCTTGGATGGAACGAGGGAACGGTCATTCTCGCAGATGTGCAGATGCGCAGAGACATGGCAGGGATGGTGGACTTGTTTCTTTCTTTCGTGGATGAGAGCAAGCACACATGCTTGATGCGATCTTCGTGACAAGGAACGACAGACGAAACGAAGAGGAAAGAAAGAACCCTATGCCTCGAAATACATAGGACTCTGATAAAGACATGGCACTGTTTCTTACCTCAAGCATGTTCGTTGCCATCATTTGTTACAGTCGATGCAATCGCATTGGCTCTCACTATAGGATTGGTCTGTCTTGCAGGAAGCCGATAGACTTCACAAGAAACTACTCATGACCTCTGCTTTGGCTGCCATATTATGACATGCCGTCGTGGCTGAGAGTGAGTCACAGCACCAGCATTGGCGGCGTGCTGTGACTGGCTGCAGCGCGATCATGAAGCTGAAGAGGATACGAGTACAGGCGTGCGGTGTCTGGATCGAGGCAAGTTCGGGAGGCAAGTTGATTTGAAAGCAAGCAGACGAAGGAACAGAGGACGACGTTGGTGCATTGATAAGCACGTCATGGAAGGAATCGGTGGTGAGCAGCGAGGGTGGTTGATTGATAATCTGGGGTCAGGCGCACAGACCAACGCACACAAAGCAGCCGAGATATTGGCCTCGCAGCGCGCCACTCAAACTCTTCCTCTCTCTCGAACACCCAGCGACATCACAACACCGTCAAAATGGCTCGCCGTCCCGCTCGTTGGTGAGTGCAGAACTGCTCAGACTGTTGGGTCGATCCTTCTGGCGACGAAATGCGCATATTGGAGACATGGGCCATATTGCGCTTTTCGACCGTCGGGAGAGGCCCTACCACGTCGAAACCCATCGATAACGACTCTTTGCTGACTTCTTCACAGCTACCGCTACTGCAAGTAAGAATCCCCGTTCGATCGAGTCGTTCTACGCCCAGAGACATCCCTTTCACGAATTCTCAACTTCGACATCGAAAATCGTCAAACCCGCACCATTCCGTCATCACAGCCGCTCCCTTTATCGCGCGACTCTTTCTGGTCATTACCTGCCTTCGACACCTACTAACCACACTCCCACAGGAACAAGCCCTACCCTAAGTCGCGCTTCAACCGCGGTGTCCCCGACCCCAAGATTCGCATCTTCGATCTCGGCCGCAAGCGTGCTGGTGTCGATGAGTTCCCTCTCTGCATCCACCTCGTCTCCAACGAGTACGAGCAGTTGAGTTCCGAGGCTCTTGAAGCCGCCCGTATTTGCGCCAACAAGTACCTCGTCAAGTCTGGTGGCAAGGACTCCTTCCACTTGCGCGTCCGTGCCCACCCTTACCACGTCGTCCGTATCAACAAGATGTTGTCTTGCGCTGGTGCCGATAGACTGCAAACCGGTATGCGTGGTGCCTGGGGTAAGCCCAACGGCACTGTCGCCCGTGTCAACATTGGCCAGATTCTCCTGTCTGTCCGCTGCCGTGACTCCTGTAAGTTGACCTGACTTGAAACCAGGGTCTGACTCGATGCTAACAACCACATCAGCGNNCGCGCTGTCGCCATCGAGGCTCTCCGCCGCTCCCAGTACAAGTTCCCCGGTCGCCAGAAGATCGTCGTCTCCAAGAACTGGGGCTTCACTCCCNTCCGCCGTGAGGAGTACGTCGCCAAGCGCCAGGAGGGTCGCGTCCGTGTTGACGGAGCCTACGTTCAGTTCCTCCGTAACAAGGGTCCCCTTGAGTACAACGTTCGCCGCTTCCCCGACGCCTTCTCCGCTTAAGCGCAGATACCCAGTTCAAGTCGAACGCGAAGGATTGATGGGCTTTGGTGCATTACGGCGTGTTGAGGCTTTCTAAAATTACCATACCATTCGTCAATGAGACATGCTGCAAGACCACTCTTTTGGATCGTATCCGTGACCTTTTTTTCTATATCAATGTTTCCAGCAATGCGTGATGTGAGATGCAAGGCTGAGCAGTACAAGTAATGGTGTTTCAATGAGGGTGACCGACTGACGGACTTAAGTATCGGCCTGTCGTGACATGATAGAGTGCAAAGCTGCCCGCATTTCTCGACCTTCAATTGTCCTACCATGACTTGATGCCGCTACAAGCTCGCCCGATCACTCTGTCGCTTAGGCAGACCTATGTACACCATGCCCGCCGACCACGACTGAGTCTACTGGCAGGCGTGCAACCTCGCCATCAGCAGTTCTCCAAGACCGCATACCACTTCCAAGGCGCAAAGGCCGCCGACACCACCGTACCACTACGCAAACAGCTAAAGGAAGAAGCGAAACAACGAAAGAAGTCTGCAAAAGCTGCCGGGAAAGGGAACAATGTAGTCAATGCATTGCTGGACAAGTGGGAGTTGACGGTGGGCATCGAGGTGCATGCCGAACTGAACACTGCCCACAAGCTCTTCTCGACTGCTCGCACCTCTGTCAATGCCGAGCCCAACGAACATGTCGCTCGGTTCGATGCTGCTCTTCCGGGAGCTCAACCAGCATTTCAGAAGGCTACTCTAATCCCGGCTCTTCGTGCCGCTCTGGCCATGAATTGCGATATACAATCTCGTAGCAGTTGGGATCGCAAGCACTACTTTTACCAGGATCAGCCGAATGGATACCAGATCACCCAGTACTACGGTAAACTTTGCTCATCTAATGGCTCGCCACTTGTTGCTAACCATCCGCAGNAACCCTTTGCCCGTAATGGTTCCTTGACCCTGACTTTGGAGGACGGCATCGACCCGAACGACATTGCTGCTGAGCCCAAGGGTAGTGCGGAGAACACAAGTCTCACCATTGGCATCAAGCAAATACAGATGGAGCAAGACACAGCAAAGACGGCTCTGCAACCCNCTTCGACGTATCTCCTGGACTTCAATCGTGTCTCCCATCCTCTGATTGAGATCATCACCCTGCCTCAAATACACTCACCCGCCACTGCTGCTGCTACTGTCCGCAAGATCCAATCTTTGCTCAAATCTGTCGACTCATGTGTTGCTGGCATGGAGATGGGTGGTCTGAGAGCTGATGTAAATGTTAGTGTAAGACAACGAGGAAGCACAGGCGACAACAACGAGTACTCTGGTGTCACAGGTCTAGGCACAAGGACCGAGATANAAAACTTGAGTTCTTTCAAGGCAGTCGAAGATGCTGTTACTGCTGAGCGAGATCGTCAAATCAAGGTTCTCGAGGCTGGAGGTGTCATTGAGGGCGAAACAAGAGGCTGGACTATCGGCAGTACAGAGACAACTCGGCTTCGAAGCAAGGAAGGAGAGGTTGATTATCGATACATGCCGGATCCGGACTTGCCACCTGTGTTGATTTCGAATGAGCTGGTGGAGCATCTACGCAACACTCTACCAGAGTTGCCAGATTCAACAGTCATGAGGACACTCGACGACTTTGGCCTGTCCATGAAGGATGCGAAAACACTCTTCTCGCTAGACGATGGCGAGAGACTGGAGTACTGTGCAGAGACAATCGAGCTGGTCCAAGCAAAGTTTTCAACTCAAGAATCGAATGACAGCCAGGATCAAGCCAAGGTCGGCAAACTGGTTGCCAATTGGGTACTGCATGAAATTGGTGGTTTGCTCGCTTCAGACGGCCGCGAATGGTCAGATCTCGCGATCACAACGGAGGAACTTGCTTCTCTGTTGGTAAACCTCTTGTCCAAGCAAATCACTGCCCGTGTGGGCAAGCAGATACTCCAGCAACTCTATGAAGAGGACTCGGATGACCGATTATCTGTCGATGTTCGCATTGACGAAGGGAACCTTCGCCTACGCCCGATCAGCAGAGAAGAGTACATTGCGCTGGCTAAGTCAATCATGGACGAGAACCCGAACATGGTCAGTGCAGTCCGCGACAAGGGACAAAAAGGCAAGACCATGTGGTTTGTTGGTCAAATGGTTAGAAGGGCAGAGGAAGGCACTGTGGAAGCAGAAAAGGCAAAGGAGATAATCGAGGAGCTTCTGTTTTGATAAGACGAAGACACTGTATCTGGTAGCTATCAACACAAACCCGTATAATACCACGCGCTGCAAGGGTATCTAAATGCAAATCCAAGTCCAACGCCAATGTCTGAGGTCTAGTATAGCGGGTCGTAAGGCATCTGTGTTTGCTTCAGGGCGACTCCCTCTTTGAGGTAAAGCACCATCCTGTATGCACTGTTGCCATTTAGATAGTAGCGATGTAGGCGTTTCGTCCGTAGAAATCCTAGTCGTTCGTAGAGTTTGAGAGAGGGTATGTTGTCAATCTCAGTCTCGAGTGCGATCNNTGTCAAAGTCAGTATCCTTTTCGAGTGAGACCGATGGGAAACACCAACCTCATCTGCATCTTTGGCTATCATGCCGTCCATGGCCATCCGCACTAGTTTTGATGCGATGCCCCTTCCTCTGTGCTCCTTCCTGACTGCCAACATAGCGATATATCCACGCATTGGACCATCTCGATGAGGTTCCAGTTTGCAGACCACGACGCCTATCAATTCCCCAGTCGAATCAACTGTNCTATGAGTAAAAGTCAGCTTGCAGATCCCACCAGACAGTCGTCACGAAAAAAAAAACAGTATACTCACCATGTAACAGAGATCTGCCCATTGATAGAGAAAATAGCGATAGACATAAATGCTATATGGCTCGGAAAGGTCTTTTGATATGAGTTCGCGGATGGCGGTGAGGTATTGTGCTTCCTTGTCTGGATCGTATTGGATGTAGTGCAGTTCCCGCAAAGGTGGTTGCACGGAACCATCAGGTAGAGTGGCCATCTCAGAATTTTGTGCGAAAGTAATGGTTTCACGAAATGGGTTTGGCCAGATTCGAGGCACATGTTCTGAGGCTCTTCTGGGGGAGACAGCAGCAGCGCACATGAAAGTGAGCTCGGACCAATGACGAATGTGGCAGGTGATGGACAGGAACAATTGCGACAGGAAGGAAGCAGCAATCCAACATTTGATTGCTGATCCCTGCAGCGCGCGCGCCTTCTTCTTTTCCAACATGTCAGGCCTTCGGAGACGCATCTTCGGCACCTCGACTTCTGCAGACTCGCCCTCCCTCACACCCGAACACTCGCGAGAAGGCACACCGACATCCGAAGAGGTCCGCGTCGTGTCGGCAAAGAAACTCCAGAAACTCACCGCGCAACACAAGGCCAAGGGCACAAAGAGACGGAATGCCTGGATCTTTGGCCTGGGAGGCCTGTTTGGTATTCTCGTTGCCGGCTTCTTTGCGTCCAGCAATGATGTCTTTGACATGCAGGCCCTGAGGGACATGAACCTTGACTCTATCCTCGATGTGCTGCCTGCTGGTTTGATCAAGGATGCCCATGAACTCCAGGTCGGTTTCTTCAGCGCGCTTGTAATATCTGCAGATCTCTTTTCTTGTTTCTCCGCTTGCTTTGCTTGTCTGTTGTGCTATCAGAGGTCATGTAGCTTACGTGTTTGTGCCGTGTGTAGANAGAGCCAACGGGACGCCATTGCATACGATTCCTTTGCAGTCGGTCTGCATGCCCAATCTCAAGGCATAACAGCCAAACACCCCGTCATCATGATCCCCGGCGTCATCTCCACCGGTCTCGAGAGCTGGGGCACCGAAGAGCCATCGCGACAATATTTCAGAAAGAGGTTGTGGGGTAGTTGGAGTATGATGCGCGCTCTGGTTCTGGACAAGGCTGGCTGGAAGAGACACATCATGTTGGACAAGGAAACTGGATTGGACCCACCAGGTGTCAAGCTGAGGGCTGCTCAAGGTTTCGATGCGACCGATTTCTTCATTACTGGATACTGGATCTGGAACAAGATCTTGGAAAACCTTGCTACCATCGGCTATGATCCTACCAACGCGTTCACTGCTGCCTATGATTGGAGAATGAGCTATATGAATTATGAAGTCCGTGACCAGTACTTCACTCGCCTGAAGCATCACATCGAGACGGCCACCAAGATATCTGATAAGAAGGTTGTCTTGCTCAGCCACAGTATGGGCTCTCAAGTCCTATACTACTTCTTCCACTGGGTCGAAGCAGAAGGTTATGGCAATGGCGGTGAATTGTGGGTTGACGACCACATTGACTCGTGGATCAACATCTCGGGGTGCATGCTCGGAACCCCCAAGGGCTTGCCTGCAGTGCTGTCCGGTGAGATGAAAGATACCGCCCAACTCAACGCTTTTGCCGTCTACGGTTTGGACAAGTTCTTGAGCCGCAATGAAAGAGCAGAAATGTTCCGCGCCATGCCTGGCATCTCCAGTATGCTTCCCATCGGTGGTGACGCCATTTGGGGAAATGAACACGGCGCACCCGACGACCGCCCTGATCAGAACGTCACCTATGGCAAATTCCTCAGCTTCCGCCATCTCAACTCGACCCAATTGCCCAAGAAAAACTTGACCGTCGAGGAGTCCCGAGCATACCTCTTCAACAGTACAGAAAACTGGTACTCTGATGCCGTACTTTCCTCTTACTCTTTTGGCATCGCCCACACCAGAAAGGAAGTAGAAGCCAACCAAAAGATTCCTCGCAAATGGTCCAACNCCCTTGAGACCCGTCTCCCCAAGGCCCCAAACATGAAAATCTACTGCTTCTATGGCATTGGCAAGGAGACCGAGCGCGCATACTATTACCGCGAAGATAACGAACCCGGCAGCAAAAACGACGTCATGATTGATACGCAAGCCTCGTTCCTGAACCCCGACCATGATCATGTGGCCGACAGAGGTGTGGTTATGGGTGAAGGAGATGGTACTGTCAATTTGCTGAGCACAGGATATATGTGCAACAAGGGTTGGAGAATGAGGAGGTATAATCCTTCCGGTATCAAAGTCACGACATATGAGATGCCTCACGAGCCTGATCGTTTCTCACCTCGTGGTGGGCCTAACACTGGTAAGCTCTTCTTCTTCTCAAATCTGTGCACGAAATGAAATGCAACAGCTGACGATGCCGATANNGGTGACCATGTTGATATCCTTGGTCGTGCTTCGCTTAACGATCTGATCTTGAGAATTGCAGGTGGCAAAGGCGACGACATCAAAGAGACTATTCACAGCAACATTACTCAGTATGCTGAGAAGGTCAAGATCTGGGATGATTGAAACTGCCTGGAAATAACAGAGAACCTAATTCACCCATCTCTATTTCCCAGAAGTCAGGATTGCTGTATTTGCGTAATGTATAGAAGAGGGGGGGGGGCAATTTTGGATTAGAAGGCGCGGTCGCTCACATGCATTAATGATTATTCTTTACATCCCTATAAACGTTGCCTCCTGGACCCATTGTTTCTTATGCCTTTGGAATGGCCCTGATCGGTGAATATTCAAAGACAGCAGGTACGACTGACCCTGAACCAACGTCAGTCATACACTTCTCACTCCTTGTACTGCTCACTCAACCACCTGGATGTTCCACTATAAGAGAACATCGATCCGTTACCGGGGCTCAAACCTTGACATCCGACGTTGCTTCCTTGAGTGAAGCCCCAAGCTCCGCTTTGTTGTCGATGCTGTGTTTGTGCTGGTGGTGTTGCATAAATTCTAGGTGCTCGCTACAGGCGCCACGCGATCGACAGGTCCATAGAGCAGAAGGATACTGCATGGGACACGCTGGCAACGCTAGGTGGTGTTTGAGGAGTATTGTGACTTGTGATAGCTTTGTTCATGATGGTGATCTGAATGGAGAATTCTCCTTTCTTCGTCGGCCAGGGACCTTGGCTGTGTTTCCTGCCACACCAGGATGTTGAATTAGACCGAACGACTCCATGAGTGGTTCAACATAGATACCTTTTGTACAAGATGAGATGTCTATCAAAAGGGCTTGAAATTAATCGCCAGGCCATCGTCGAGCTTTGTTGAGTCTAGCTCTTCGACAAGATAGCTCGGCGCATTCACAACATGCGATTGTTATCAAGACCACCTTTCGGCGGCGAGGTTGTCCTGTTCCCTTCCCTTACGCTTGCTGCCGGTGCGCTTCTGGTACGTCTGGACACGCGTGTACCTAATATCAGATACAAATTTTTTTACATCGAACAGGATAGAAGCCGCAGTACAAGATGAACAACAGGGTCCCTCACCACGCCACTGAGCAACAGGCTCATCAAAAGCAAAAGGTCTCTACTGAGCCTCGTCACCTCGTCCCTACTCCGTAAGTCTACTCTGTTCATCACTGAACTCACGAGACTAACCTCNTACATGTAAGTCTCTCCGTTGAGAAGGATGTCATCATTATCTGCAAGACTCCTGACGGCCAGGTCAACCGCGAGTATCGCTTCAAGCGCATGGTGATCTGCCGCCACTCAGCTCGCATCGACGACCTCTGCCTGCGCCGCTCGGGCTCCACTGCCGACATCATCTACGTCTATGTCGAGCACTCTCCCGACTTCTTCGCCCACTACGAGCGCTGGGTCCGCAAGTCTGAGCTTCCCGCCCTCGACGTCACCTTCATCGACCAGCGCGATGTCCTCCTGCTTTGGATCAGTATGTACGAGCTCGCCCGCGAGATGGAGGACTGGCGCCTTGTCGCTGCAACCAACACCCACATTATCGATGTTGCCAAGCTAGGCTCATGGAGCTTCTACAAGCGCAGTGTTGTGGATTACCTCAAGAAGGCCCCTGATGGCGATGAGCTTCGTCAACTTCTGCTTGACTTGCACGTCGCGAGATTCGAAGGCAGTCTCTTCAAGCGTTACTTTTGGATGTTGGGCCCCAGACTGTGCTTTGCTGTTGTGCGTCGTAAGATGATGGCTGAGCCTCCTACCATGAAGAGTATCGAAAAGATTTGTGCTTATCATCAGCATGATCGTCTTTACCCCTGGGGAGACTGTGGTGGAAAGGTGGTCTGAAGGAATTGACGAGGACAGGCAAAGCTAGCATGAGTCTGCACAGAAAGCTGCCTGGTTGGTCATTAAGACAAGGGTCAGGCTCCGAGTCCTGGTGGATCTCGTGTCGTTGAGGCTTTAGAACAGACGTTCATTACACATTTGCATTGTTGCACAGTACAACCGCTACCATCCAGTTCCGTTATTAGGTTTGTTTGCCGTGAGAAAGTCGGTTCAAGGACCTTGTGATGTTATCGATGTCTCTGTAAAGGTCCCGATGCCACGTCTGAATGAAACAGCCTCCAGTATAGCCATCCAGTTGTGCAGATAGCCATCGAAAGACACAAAGTATGTCTGATCGCAAGGAAACTTGTTGGAAGCCCAGCTGCAAGGTGTTTTCAATGAGAACTTCAGAAGACCAAACATGGTTCTGCATTCTCATAGCTCAGATTTGGATAATCTGGGAAGAGAGAGGTTGAAGCATGAACTGTAGTTCTGAAGTCCGAAGCTCGGACACTCCGAGATGGAAAGATAAGAATCAGTCAGCATGGCATGATTGGCTGTAGATGGACGGTGGTTGCCGTATCGTTGTGGTCTGTAGGAAGGTCTGACCAAAAACTGCGAAGAGACGCGGAGGGAGAAAGTGCTTAGAGAACGTCAAGCTCTCATGGCTGCCTCCGTCCAGTCTCGGGTCCGAGATCGCCGTTCACCGAGGATCAGATTAGCGTCATAAAGTGTCGCCTCTCTTTCAGCTTTGTCCAAATCATCGCTTTCCCCTCCACCAAACACTCGATCCACCTACGAACCTGTCACCTACAACACCAATTATACAAACAACCAAATCAGTCAACATGTTCAGAAGAGTCGCATCCACCGTCCCCGCTCAGGCCAGCAGAGCCATGGCTGCCGCCGTCCGACCGTCGATTGCTCCCTCATTCCGCGCCGCCGCTCCCGCCATCAACTCTGCAAGAAGAAGCTACCACGAGAAAGATATGNTCCACCCATCATCCATTGCTATATATGCATTGATGGTCAACACACGGCCATCGACGCATTAATAGCTCTGGATCTGGTCTTTCATGAGCGCTCAGCTAACATGCGCAGCACTGCTCGACCACTACAGCAAGCCTAGAAACGTCGGTAGCATGCAGAAGGGCGACACCGACGTCGGCACCGGTCTCGTCGGCGCTCCCGCTTGTGGCGATGTCATGAAGCTTCAGATCCGTGTCGACCCCAACGACAACACCATCAGCGAGGTCAAGTTCAAGACTTTCGGCTGTGGTTCCGCCATCGCCAGCAGCAGTTATTTGACCGAGCTCGTCAAGGGCATGACCCTTGAGCAGGCCGGTCGCATTAAGAACACCGAGATTGCAAAGGAGCTCTGCCTGCCCCCTGTCAAGCGTGAGTCGATACCCGCGGAGATACTGGAGAGAAAACACGAATACTGACTTCGTCATAACANNGTTCACTGCTCTATGCTCGCTGAAGACGCCATCAAGTCCGCCATCTCAAACTACTACACCAAGAACCCCAACGCAAGAAAGACCGACCTCGGCGGCACTTCCGCACCTCTCCCCAAGGTTGAGGTTGAGACTGTTTCGGCCACCGCCTAAACGCCTTCTCTCTACAAATCTTGATGTTTTCGTCCTCATGTTATTAGCGAGTTTCCTTACCATCTGAAATTTTCCTTTCTCATCACAAATTATTTGGAGTGGCCCGGATCGGCCTTTTTGGGGTCTAACAGAAACGGGCTTTTCTCTTTACCCCACGCTCACACTGCCATCCATCGGTCATTGAAGGATCCGGAGTTGGGTTGGTATTGTGCTTCACGGCTCCTCTCACGAAACACAGTAAGCTTGTATTCTAGTTTCATAAAAAGATGAATCAAATTGGTATACCCTGATACTTTGTCACTCTCGCTGTGATTGTATGCTAATGGAAGTCTTCAAAGGTGATTAACGTCACTCGAATCAAAGCGTGTGTTCACGCTCACAACGCTGAAATCCTACTATATCGACGAAGCCACCAGCAGCGAAGAGTTCCAGTGCAGGCATTCTTGATTTCTTTGGCGGGTCAAGATAGCAGTTGAAAGTGATAGCAGATATAAGCTCCTCGGTCAAGATCCCTCTGTAAAATTACAAACGACAATGAGACCCTCGTGGTACTGATGTGGGGTACACAGCCGAGCGGTAAGATGCAGTAATGGGTAAAACGAAAGATGTTCCTGAGCGAATTGCAACCATATTTCCTCTTGCTTGGAATCGGACATGCTTAGGGTTTGTGGCATGCGACCACGACTTGTAGCCTGGCGAAGGGCAAAGGAATGGCAACAACGGCAAGGAGTCAAGATGACCAATCGCAGAGGCCCTGTCAAGCACATGCTATACCGCTCCGGACCAGAATTATCCCGGATGAGACTCCGTAAACACTATATAAGGAAACAAGCTCACCCAGCTTCCTGCATCGAAACAACATACCATCGTCTTCACATTCGCATGTCTTTTGTCAAAAACCACAATGTTTGCCAAAGCCTTCCACAAAGCCACCCACAACGGCAGCGTAGAAGCCTGGTCCTTCCACGACGACAGTTTCTCCTCACCGACAAAAGACAAAGTGTTCATATACCAAACCTCCGGTAAAGACATTAGAGCAATACTGCCCCATACCCTAGTCATCTGCGGCATCTGCGACGAAGACCGCACAGCAACAAAAATTCACCGTCAGCTCATCGATCTAAACATTCTCACTCGCGAGAATAATCGCCTCAATGCTGTTTCCATCAATGGCGCCGCCATGGCCAAGAAAATCGTCTTGATAACTCGCCATAAACTGTCTCTGCTCGTCAACTTTTTGTTTTGGTGGGAGGAAGAAATGGCGAGATGGGATGGTTTTGAAGCTAGGAAGACAAGTTATGCTCGGCAGTTGGAAGAAGCGCATCCAGAGGAAAGTGTAAAGGAGAGGATGAGGAAGGTGGATGAGGCTGCAAGAGTCATTGAGAGTATGCAAAGGGAATTGCCGAGTCAAAGGCAGGAAGGCAAGGAGACTAGTCTGAATACTACGNGGGGAAGTAGGAGGCAGTGGGAATTGATGGAAATGGAGAGGCGGGTGGCTGAAAGGGGAGGGTCGAGTGAAGAGATCGTTGAGGATGACGGTGGATTGCCTGTATATACGCATGTGTAAGATACGGTCTTTTCAAGAAGCTGTATCGTACAAGCGCTTCTGCAAGATCCCTCAACAAGTCCACAGAGTTTCTCAAGAAGGCAACAGAAGACAAGATGTAGCCTTGCGCCAACAGTGAGTTGGCGCAAGACCGTTGGGCCAACCACCGCCTGTCGATTAAGCGATGGTGGCGATGTGATGGAGTAAACGATGCTGGTATATAAAGTGAGTGAGTGCATGAAGTCGTCCAAGTTTGTCTACGCCTTAGAGAGTTCATGAATGGGCGTACGTTCACAAATGGCACTTACATGGACAATTGAACAGGGGAAGGCGTGGGTGGCTACGATTGAATTGGTCTTCTGATAGAATCAGACACCAGAATGGTTCGAGTGGTCTTTTTGAGAGGTTGGCATCGTGGATGACTCGATGTAGTGGATTGAATCCTCTTCATCTCGATCCAGCTTGAAGTAGTGTTCTTTGAGTCGTGTATCGTAATTATTGGAATGCTGGAGACTGTGCCAGTGTCCACATATTCTCCATCTTGTACCTGCCCAGCACGTCCTTGGCCTCACCGTCCGTCTCGCAAGCCTTGTACGGCATCCAGCGCTTGAAAGCCCGCTGCTTTTCCTCGCCCTCGAAGACAAGCTGACACCTGTTGAAGGCATTGTCCTTGAGCTTGCCATCCTCATCGAAAGCATTCAGCCATGCAGCATTGGCTTCTGAGTTGCCCTCGCGAACGCTTTGCGGCATGGCGTTTTCGGTCCATTTTACACGATTAAGCATGAGCTTTTTGTATGCATTGATACTGTGGGTACCACCTTCGACGATTACCAGATTCATCTTGGGATGGAAGATGGTGATGCCTGTCAAGGCTTGTTGCTCGGCATTCTTGTTGATCTGGAAACGGTGTTTGCCGTAACTCAGATTGTCGATCTTGAAGACGAGTAATCTCATACCGAGAGTGGCGTCTGCTTCTTGTTGAGTAGCCAGCTTCTCGAGACGCTGCTCTTTCGTTAATTGTCTCTCAGAATTGGCAGTCTCATGATCTTCAGCACGCTGCGCAATCTCGCGGTTGACACGAGCTTCGACTGCGGTAGGATCCTTGACTGCTTCATTGCCCAATACACGCATAAGGTTTGATTTCTTGACCTTGGGCGGAGGCGGGGCTTTGAGACCAAGTCTGATTTTTGCCTGCTCTTCTTTGTGGTCTGCCATGCGACGCTGTCGTCGAACCTTCTTTTGCTCCTGTTTGGTAAGGTACATGGCCTTCGGAGCCGGTACGTTGGCATCTTGCGGAGCGGAAAGTAGGACGGGATGCTGAACGTATCTTGTAATTACATCCATGTTGATCTTGTCTGGAGCTTCGAGATTCTCGTAGTTGCCTCCAGTCACCAGACCTTCGTCCCACCACTCGATTTCTGGTGGGGCAGGTACCAAGAAGGACTTTTCGGTGGCTTCTTCGATAGCTTGTTTCCGTGCCTGTTCTTGCATCTCCTTGGCCATCTGTTCGATCCTCGCCTGTTGTCTTAGTGCCTCGGCCTGTGCCATGAACTTTCCCTTCTGGTTGAAGAGCAGCTGCTTGGATTTGCGGTCCTTCTGTTTCTGCAATGAAGGGTCGTAGAATGGTTCATTTTGCAAGGCGGCTCTCTGATCGTCCCCAGCCAGATACGGGTTGTGTTTTGTGGGTTCGTCCTTTTGTTTTTTATTGCTGCCAGACCTAGACGGACCACCCAACAGACTTGGATGCAAGCCAACGTTCAAACCACCTCTTGCGCGTGCCGCAGTATCATCTCGGACGGGAGGAGAGGGCGCGAGTCCAGGAGATTGGAACTGAGCGGCAGAACGTGTGGGGATATCGGTTGGAGGTTGTTGCGGCTGCCTTTGTGCGATTTTGGCCTTGATAGCAGCGAGCTGGGCTTGGATCTGTGCCTTTTGGCATCTTCAGAGGAGAGTGCAGGGGACGGAGAAGCAGGCGCAGGTGCGGGAGAGGGCGAGGCTGGGGCAGCATTTCCTTGTAGGCGGGCTNTTCATGGCAGCAATACGAGCTTGCATATCGTTGGCCGAGCTTGACGGAGGAGCGGCAGCAGGAGTTGCAGCAGGTGTAGGCGCAGCAGGGCCTCCTCTATTTGACATGCGAGCCTTCATGGCGGCGATGCGCTCAGCGACTTCGCGCTTTTTGCGCTCGACATCGTTGTCCGGCGCTGGTGATGCCTGGGCTGATCGGGGTCGTTTGGAATCATGGCCATCGTCTAGGCTGTCACCGGGAAAAGGGCGCTTCTCTGACATGTTGTTGAAGGAGTGCGCGGTATTCAGATGGAGCGGGACGACGACAGCAAGCTCCAGGCAGAAGTTAAATCGCCCAGGAAGTCGAAGCCGGGCCAGAGTCTGAAAGTGACGATGGACAAGGAAAGAGCGACCAGCTTCAGACGGCGGGACTTGCCGTTGCAGGGCCGACGTTCCTTCCCCGGATCGAAAAGTTGCTGCTTGGGAAACTTTTTTGTTGCTAGCCACCGTCGTCTTCTGCGGCCGACGACGACCTGTTGTTGCTTCAAGCTGTGTACCGCTGCTTGCTAGCTCCCACATCGCCAATATGAATATTTCACAACCCGTGTCGTCGCAAATTGGCGGCGTCGAGTTCGCCTTCCTGCCGTCGGACGAGATTCGCGCCTTGTCCGTCAAGCGCATCACCAACCCTACCACATTCGACACCCTCTTGAATCCCGTACCTGGTGGTCTGTACGATGCTGCGCTCGGAAACTTTGGCGACAACTCGTGAGTTGGCTGTCTGCAAATGCCTCGAGCTGAGCAGCTAGGCTAACGGCTTCTGTAGANNTGTACCACCTGCAACCTGAAGTTCGGCTGCCCTGGCCATTGCGGGCACGTCGAGCTTCCCGTCCATGTCTACAACCCTACCTTTATGGACCAATGTTTGCGTCTCCTGCGCGCAAAATGTATCTACTGCCACAAGCTCAAGATGTCCCGTTCCGAAGTCAACCGCTTTGTGTGCAAGCTTACCCTTGTCAAGTACGGCCTGCTGAAAGAGTGTTACGACGTCGATGAAATCACCCTCTCCACCTCCGACTCCAAAGCAAAAGCTACCAAGGACGACTCCGATGAAGAAGAGGATGAGGACACCAAGGGCATCATTGCTCGCAGGAACGCTTTTGTCAAGAACGCCCTCAAGCAAGCCGGCTTCAGCAAGAAGCGCAACGACTGGGCCGACACCAAAATCGAGGCAGTTGCCAACGAGAGACGCGCCATCGTCAAGGAGTTCCTCTATTCCATCACAAAGAGCAAGAAGTGCAACAACTGCAACGGCATCTCGCCCACCTACAGAAAGGACCGTTTTGTCAAGATTTTCAGAAAGCCCTTGTCCGAGAAGGACAGAATCGCCATGGTCCAGGCAGGCTTCAAAGCTCAAGATCCGCTTCTTTTGATGAAGAAGAAGCGCGAGGCTCAAGCTAAGAAGCAGGGTCTTGCTCAAGACGAGGCTGTTGCAGACCTCGAGGACTCGCCTGCAGAGTCGGAAGGAGAAGGAGATGATGTTTCGATGCTCGACATTGAGCAAGAGGTTGCTGGAGGAAACGCCCTGGAGTCCGAGACCGCGACCACCAGCTCCAAATCTGACAAAGATGAGAAGCAGACCTACTTGAACGCAGGCCAAGTACACGCTCACCTTGTTCAGCTTTTCGAGCAAGATGCAGAGGTTCTGGGCATGATCTACACTCCTCGCTCCAAGGGTCGTAGAGGTGCTCCCCTCAGCGCTGAGATGTTCTTCATCAAGGATCTGATCGTTCCTCCCAACAGATTCAGACCCGAGGCCAGAACCGGTGCCGACGAAATCGCCGAAGCCCAGGAGAACTCTCTATACAAGAACATCATCAACGTTTGCGACCAGATGACTCNNCAGATCCACAAGGAGCTTAACGGCACCATTCAGAACGAGTACGCGAGACGCCCGAGGAATTACGCCGACTTCCAGGATGCCTGGATCCGCCTCCAAGACGGTGTCAACTCTCTTCTGGATCGCGACCGCAACCCCGTACAAGGAGGCGCCGGAAAGAGAAACGAGGATGGTATCAAGCAACGTCTGGAAAAGAAGGAGGGTTTGTTCAGAAAGAACATGATGGGAAAGCGTGTCAACTTTGCCGCTCGTACCGTTATCTCTCCTGACCCCAACATCGAAACCAACGAAATCGGTGTTCCGCCAGTCTTTGCTCTCAAGCTAACCTACCCCGAGCCTGTCAACGACCACAACTACAACGATCTCAGACAAGCTGTGATCAACGGTCCCTATGTCTGGCCTGGCGCTGTCGCCATCGAGAACGAGAACGGCCAAGTCATCAACCTGCAGATCAAGAATGCTGAGGAGCGTACTGCTTTGGCCAACCAACTTCAAGCCCCTTCAAGCACCAACGTCAGTGGTGTCAAGACGAAGAAGGTTCACCGCCATTTGAACAACGGTGATATTGTCATCATGAACAGACAGCCTACCCTCCACAAGCCTTCCATGATGTGTCACAGAGCTCGCGTCTTGCCCGGTGAGAAGACTCTTCGTATGCACTACGCCAACTGTAACACTTACAACGCCGATTTCGATGGTGACGAGATGAACTTGCATTTCCCTCAGAACGAGCTTGCGAGATCAGAAGCTATCAGCATTGCTGACAACGACCACCAGTATCTGTCCGGAACTGCAGGTAAACCCCTTCGTGGTCTGATTCAGGATCACATTTCCATGGGTGTCTGGTTAACCAACCGCGACACTTTCTTCGGCCGTGAAGATTACCATCAGCTGCTCTATGCTGGTCTCAGACCCGAAAACAACCACACCACATCAGGACGTGTCGAAACTGTACCTCCTGCCATCAGAAAGCCTCGTCCTATGTGGACTGGTAAGCAGGTCGTCTCATCTGTCTTGAAGAACCTGACTCCCGAGGACTTCCCAGGTCTTACCATGACTTCCAAGTCCTCCACCGCTGCCAAGAACTGGGGCACCAACTCGGAAGAACAGGTCGTCATCTTCAAGGACGGTGAGCTGTTGTGTGGTATCTTGGATAAATCACAAATCGGCCCTAGCGGCGGTGGTGTGGTCAATGCCATCTACGAAACCTATGGACACACCATTGCAGGAAAGTTGATGAGTGTGCTTGGTCGTCTCTTGACCAAGATGCTTCACATGCGTGCATTCTCTTGCGGTGTTGAAGATCTGATCTTCACTCCCGAGGGTGAGAGCATGAGAAGAGAAGCACTCAGCAAGTCTCACGCCGCCGGTCTTGGAGTAGCTGCCAAGTACGTCTCTCTGCAGAGTGAGAGTCCCGACACAAACGACCCAGAACTGCGCAGACGTCTCGAAGCCGTTCTCCGTGAGGATGGTAAGCAGGCTGGTCTCGATACCGTGATGAACCAGAACACTGCCAAGGTTTCTGGTGACGTTACTTCTACTTGTTTGCCTGCTGGTCTCGTCAAGCCCTTCCCCAAGAACCAAATGCAAGCCATGACTGGATCTGGAGCCAAGGGTTCCGGTGTCAACGCCAACCAGATTTCTTGTAACCTTGGTCAACAAGTTCTGGAAGGCCGCAGAGTTCCTGTCATGGTCAGTGGTAAGACTTTGCCTTGCTTCAAGCCATTCGAGACAAGTGTCAGAGCAGGTGGCTACATTGTTGATCGTTTCTTGACTGGCGTAAGACCTCAAGAATACTACTTCCACGCGATGGCTGGAAGAGAAGGTCTGATTGATACCGCTGTCAAGACTTCCAGATCCGGTTATCTTCAGAGATGTTTGATCAAGGGTATGGAAGGTCTCAAGTCCGAGTACGATACCACCGTTCGCGATGCTGATGGCTCCATCATTCAATTCATCTACGGTGAAGATGGTCTCGATATTGGCAAGGCCAAGTATCTGTCCGACTTCAAGTTCATTGCCGAGAACCACATGTCCATGTTCCACAACCTTGGCATCAAGTCGGAATTCGGTCGTATCATGAGCACTGAGGCCGCCGAATACAACAAGAATGCCGAGAAGAAGTACAGAAAGACCGGTGATCTTGGAGCCAGCGACCCAGCCTTGTCGATCTACTCACCTGCTCGCTTCGCTGGTAGCACTTCTGAGAAGCTTATGCGCGACGCCAAGAAGTACATCGACGAGAACCCCGACAAGCTCATCAAGGACAAGAAGCGCAATATCGAGGGTGTCGATGGATTGACCAAGAAGAGTCTCCAGGCCATCATTGATGTTAGATACCTCAAGTCGATCGTCGAACCTGGTGAGGCTGTTGGTGTCGTTGCTGGTCAGTCAGTTGGTGAGCCCTCGACACAGATGACGCTCAACACCTTCCATTTGGCTGGTCACGCCGCAAAGAACGTCACACTTGGTATTCCTCGCCTACGTGAAATCGTCATGACTGCTAGTGCCACTATCGCCACACCTACCATGAATCTGCACGTCAACCCTGAGATCCCTAAGGAGGAGAGCGAACAGTTCGCCAAGGGTATCAGCAGACTCAGCCTTGCTGAGGTCCTTGACAAAGTCACAGTCACCGAAAAGATTGGAAGAGGTGTTGCTTACGAGCAGGCCAAGTCATACACAGTCCGTCTGCAGTTGTTCCCCTCTGATGAGTACACCAAGGAGTATGCAATCACTGTCGAGGACGTTGCCCGCACTATCGAGACCAAGTTCCTCCCCAGACTTCAGGCTGTTGTGCGCAAAGAGCTAAAGAAGAAGGGTGACCAGAAGACACTCAAGAAGTCTGATGCCATGCCTGAGATTGGTGAATCCGCCGGTACAATCGAACAGGAGTCTGGTCGCCCCGAGGGTGAACGCGAGGGTGGAGACGATGATTCTGACGATGAAGGTGACGACGACGCCACTCGTGATAAGGCCAAGTCAAACAAGACGCAAGGTGGCTACGATGCTCCTGACGATGACGAGGAAGCCATTGCTGCTCGCGGTCGTCGTGAGACTACACCCGAAGATCAAGAAGACGAAGGATTTGTCGGCAGCCCCAACACTTCTGACGACTCTGACTCCGACTCGGAAGATGCAGAAGCTAGCATCAAGAAGGTTGCTTACAACTCACGAGAGCGTGAAGAGCGTATCAAGGGTAACAAGTACACCAACGACGTGTCTGCTTTCAAGTTCGACGACAAGACAGGAGCATCATGTTCCTTCACCATCGAATATGCTGCAGAGACTGCCAAGCTTCTGATGCTTAACTTGGTTGAGAACTGCGCTCGCGACGCGCTCATTCAGTCGGTCCCAGGTCTTGCTGGCTGTATGCTGACGACGGACAAGTTCAAAGACCCAAGCACTGGCAAGGAAATTGATGTCGATGTGATTATGACCGAGGGTGAGAACCTTATGGCCATGCGTACCCACCAGGGCGTCTTGAACCCCAACCGTTTCTTCACCAACGACATTGCCGCCATGCTCCGTCTGTATGGTGTTGAGGCTTGTCGTGCGTCCATTGTGCGTGAGGTTTCCGCTGTTTTCGGTGGTCACGGTATCAGTGTCGACCAGCGTCACTTGAACCTCATCGCCGACTACATGACCCGTGGTGGTGGCTACCAAGCTTTCTCTCGTCAAGGCATCAAGGGCAACACCTCGCCCTTCATGAAGATGAGTTTCGAAACCACTGTCGGCTTCCTTCGCGACGCAGTCATGGAAGAGGACTTTGATGACTTGAGCGGTCCTTCGGCACGTATCGTTGTCGGCAAGATTGGAAGAATCGGCACCGGTGGCTTTGATGTCATGATGCCTGTGCTTCAAGTTTCGAACCCTGCTCACGAAGACGCCGAGGAAAACGGCGATGTCATGGCCGTTGACCAAAGCAGCGAAAGCGAGGATGAAAGCGACGACGAGTAGACGTGTTTACACAAAAGCTGGAATCTTATAAGGGTTGTGTTTTTGGGGGTCTTTGATTTGCATGTGGGAATGTTATTAGCCATGGTGTTTTTTGATCATTGTTTAGAATAGGCATATGTATTCGTTCTTTTCACTTGATTAATCTTCTCATGTCGGATGGTGTATACCATTGTTACCCGTGGTTGATGGCATGGCGCTCCAACGACTCGCGCAACCGAGAAACTAGTCTGGAAATGAAGGTATAGGCGAAAGCAGGAGCTGCTGACTGCCCAAATCAGCCATGGAGCCGACTCCTCATGAACCAATCCGCATTCGAGCTTTTTCACGGTATACCACAATCGGGCTTAGGGATAGCCATCGCGGTCAGTGTCTGGTTAGCGCTGGTGATCCACTTACCTTATACGCACGTACTGGGAAACAATTCCCACTACCATCGTTTCGTGGATGATGGGACGCTTATGTAGGAACGCGGGCACCGCGCTGAACCATGTCGTCGCCTCTGCGTGTAGCTTTCGGTAGCAGCAACCTTATTCACAATTTAAGCTTACCTACTCTGCTTGTTGACGAAGGTTTTTTCTTCGTGAGGGTAAACACTGCGACTGTCTCACTGCTGAGGGTCCGCTTCTTTCCCTTGCTGCGTTTCAAAGTGCAACAGACGCGTTTAATTCAACGACGACTACAAGGAAGAATACTGCCTGCTCTCGAAGATATCGAACATCAATTAGGGAAGCCGGAAAGGACTTGTCTTCGAGAAGAAATGCTGGAAATATCGCCTATCACGTCACGCTACCTGGCACAGGTCGAAAATCTCCCGCAGCGAAGATCCTGCGTGGCCGTTGCGGCTAGCTTCTCGGTTGGCATGTTCAACCACAACTCATGGGAGATCCAACCTCACGCTGTCACTCTGTTCACGCTCCGAAGGCATGTCTGTGCCCATGGTATCCCGACTCTTAGTCTCTTATCTGCTGGCATGGACTGAACTCTTTGCAAGTGCCGGATGTCGAACGCCGTGGATCGCTCCGATGTCTCGCATGTCGACTCGAGGGTTCTACGATGCTTCTTTTCACATCCTCTTGCGTAGGTATCAGCCTCTCCTACAGCACCTAGGGCTTTCGTGTCTCCCATGGAACGAGCGATCAACACCATACCGATAGTCGACTTTCTGAGTACCAAGTGATGACTGCTGGAAGCCTTGCATCCCGGATCTGTCCAGGGATAACTGCAGAAAAGCCCATCTCCTTACGGCCGAGATGGTTGAAAGAGCTTGGAAGATATACCGACGACATAGCTGCGGGAATGCAGCGCCATCCGCTGCTCGGGCCCCTTATCTTCATGCACTCGGAGTCAGTCATGCTTTTTCGCCTCGGCATTGTAGGCCATATCTGTGGTATACCACCCTCTGTAGGTTCCTCATGCATGCCTAGCGTTTATAGGTTCAATAGTTCGTGCAAGCAGAAGAGCCGTGCATTGCTGGATCCGTCTATACCGGTCAAATCCTACTGGATGATGGCAGTCATGATACCGCACTCACCAGATTGCGATCAAGAGCTAGTATGCGATGCCGCGAGTTGAACACGCTGTTGGTCCCCTGTTTCTCCGAAAGCGAGGAAACCATGTCTCAACCTTCGCTAATTCCATGCTTAGACTCCCTATTGCTGACAGTTTATCCCACGATCTTGGTATGGGCTTTGTAGTCAGGGATCGAAGTATGTCAATGGTCATGATGGAAGAATATAGAGCAGAACGCCATAAAAGCTCCCGACACCCACACAACTAATATTCGACAACCTACGGTACCATTCGTTTTAGCATACAGAAGGTCTTCGACACGATGCGTATCACACTCGCTATCCAAGGCTTCGCCGCCCTGGCGGTGGCCATGCCTGCCGCTCGTCCTCAGGAGATTGATGTCAACATGGTCCTCGCCGCTCCCGAACCAGTGGCTTACGACCCTGCTGTCGGAGCTACAGCTCAGGTCGTATCTTATGACTTTACCTCCCTGGTTGCCCAGGCCACTGCTCCTGCCACCTCAGTTGCAAGTGACGTTGCTGCGACAGCCACTGCAATCGAGAAGAGAGGAGCTGCTTGCACTTCTCTGGCCCCGGGAGCCTCTGGAGCTCCTCCTTACTCCCCTGACACTCCCGCTGCTTTTGCCTCCAACTCGGACTTCGCCTCGATCGCTTCTAATGCTCCGGTCCCTACCGGATACACCAACACCTTCACTAATGTCAATGCTTCCAACAGGTATGTCAAGTGAACGAACTTGTTGTTTCTTTGCAGTATTGACCATATTCCANGCGCATATGGTTACCTTGGATTTACCACCCTCAGCACTTTTGATACCGCCAAGTGCGCTGCTAAGTGCGGTAAGCTAGCATCCCAGATCATCGTTCGGGAACTTTACTGATCAATCGTTCCTTAGNATGCTATTTACGGATGTCTTTCTTTCAACTTGTACTTCGAGAGAGATCCATCAGTCGATCCTGGCTCAGGTGCATCTGGTTGCGAAAACCCTCCATCAGTCACCTACATCAAGTGTGAGTATCTCCTACGTCAGCTCGCGATCGTTGTAGCAATTCTGACATAATCCAGGTNNGTCTTCTGGGGAGGTCCGGTCTCCAAGGCCAACGCCAACAACTACGGGTAGGCAGTCTTGAAACCAAGCAAGCTCGCACTTCCTGACTCCAGACACAGACAATACCGTAACCAGTTCCAAGTCTTGATTGCTGGCTCTAATGGTTACACCAACAACACTCTGGCTGCGCCGGCTGGTTACTCTGATGCCATCTACTATGGCACCCACGCAATCGACGCACCCCTTGATGCTCAAGGCTACTCTACTTTCATCACCAGCAAGATTTTCAGCGGCCCCTTCGATGCCAGACTTTGTGCTGCAGCCTGCGATGCTCAGACTCAGTACGCCATCAACAACCCTTCTGCCGATGGAACTCCCGCCAAGCAGTGCCACTTCTTCAACACTTACATCCTCAACTTGAATGACAACAAGCACCCTCAAGGCCAGTACTGTACCCTCTATACCGAGGCTTGGCCCTCAAAGTACGCCACTTCAACTGGATCATCAACCAGCAGGTATGTATTCCTGAATATGGACGACATGCTACCAAAGACTAATTGACTATNNAGTGGCAAGCTCATCGTTGAGTACAGTTACGGGTATATCAGCACCTCAGGCTCAGGCATTGATCCTACCAAGGGTGACAAGACTGGTGCCATCTATCAGGCTTCTGGCGAGATGAAGTCCGACTCAGCTCAACTCAGCTCGGTCTTCCAGCCCTTCTGCTCTTCTTACCTTGCTTACTCGGCCGTCCCCGCCGTTACCATCACCTCGACCACCACTGTTTCGCCTGTGGCTACCTCGACTGCATACGCCACCTCGACCGCACCTGCCATGCGCAAGCGTGATGATGGTGACGCTGACTCTTTCCCAGGTCTGACCACCAACTCGACCAACGCCGTTCCTGCCGTGTACGACTCCAACAAGAACGTTACCTGGTACCTTCCCATCGAGTCCATCGCTTCTGAGGCTGCCGCAAGCTCTACCGCAGCTCCTGCCAAGCGTGATGTCTCGACTCCTTCTGTCTTGACCAAGTACCCTGCTACAGTCATCTCTTCGGCTTGTTCTCTGCAAGTCAGCCAAGCCACTCTCGCCTCGACTGTGACTGTCAACGAGACTACCACTCTTGCTACTTCGACCACAATCACCACGATTATGTCTACTATCACCGCCAGTCCCTTGTCGACGAGCTCTTCTGCTTCGTCTTCCACTGCAAAGGCTTCCGCTACCGCCGCCGCAAACTTGAAACTCCGCATCTCCTCTTCTGGCACCAGCGCTGATGGCCAAGAGCTCGAGTTCGACTCTGCCACTTCCTCTTCAGGCTACTCGAATGCTTACATCAACTACTACACCTCGTCAAGCTTCTTCCACGGCTCGGCCATTACTCCTGGCTTCGTCCTTGACCCCTCCACTGGATACCTCAAGGACAAGAAATACGGATACATCATGGCTGTTTACAACAGTCCTCTCCCGAACCTTACTGGCCTCGCATACACCGTCATGTTCTTCCCGGCCAACAAGGTCAAGGCTAACGGATATATTCCCGTTATCTGCAGTGGTTCTTCCGTGCTGCAATGCTCGGCCAAGAACTCTTGGGGCGCTGTCCTCGATAATGTGTTCATTCACCCTCAGGTCGCTGTTACTGGTGACGTTTACTGGTCGCTGAGACTTGGTGATGACAACTACCTTCCTCTGTTGGGAGATGCTGCTGCTCAAATCGGGTTCCAGTAAATGGGTCCTGTATGAGCATACCATGAGCACTCGATTGGGCTCACTGTGGAAATTGATTTCCGCTGAATCGACTTTGCTTTTTGCTTCTTTACTGTCGCTATGGTTCCTTTTTTGAGATAGCTGTTTATTCTAATGTCTCAATGTCAAATACTACTTTGCTTTCTGTACAATATTGCTTGTATGCCGTTGTATCACACCTTCGATTTTCATAGATTATGGGCCTCTAAGCAAAAAATTCTCGGTAGAGGTATGGTTCCATATTGATGGTGGCAGGCTACCAGGATCAAAGTGTTCGGAAGCGGACGTGATGGCAACATGATCGCAAGCAACGACTGCTTTTGGAAAATCCCAACGTGTTGCGTAAATGTACTGTTGCTTGGAACGATGGCAACGTGCAAAATGCTTGTCTGCACCGCACCGCTCTATCGCATGTTCTTCTGCACCACTTTCTTCACAAACCTGACCACATGTGATACAGCTCACAGCTCCGTGTGGATGACACCTTCCTATCTCGAATCAACTGCAGACGTCGCAACGAAGAGGTCTAGAGTCAGTGCACTGTGATAAGATCGACCGCTAAAGCTTGCGGAGCGATGTTTAATATATACCTTGACTGTTTATAGCATCCTCTTTGAGACTGACTTACGAGGGAGTTAGAACAGTCCAAGGTTAAATCTCCGGTCATACCGTGCGTCTACGTATATCGCGGGCTGATGTGTACTGTGTTGTCAGTCAGAACCTGTAGCGGTGCGTAGGCTCAACGATCGGGCATACCTTGCTCGTATCAACCCTTTCTAGAGAACTGAAGGATCAGCTTCGCTTAACGCAAGTTCGGACAACCGCTTTATTTGAGCATCTGCAAGACTAAATGCTATAGCAGCTTCCACCAACATCTTCCTCATCTATGACATGCGACTCTATTGGGTAAAGAAGGCGGTCAGTTGTGACTGTCGGCTACATTGTCTCTCCCGCAGCCAACAGCATCAACAGACGGCCACTCGAACCTTTAGTCAACTTGCTTGTGGAAGGATATGGAGATCCCCAACCTGCGAGACTGCAGTACCAACGCAGCCGAATCCTTCAGTCCATAAGACAATATCGGTATGGTTTGGCGACCAGCCCCCTCGCTTCGAAGTGGAGTTTCTGCAGATAACAACATGACCGGTGTGGCTATATTGCATTGCAACACAGCAAATTTGCAAACGGCAATAGCGATATCATGCAGAACGTGAACATGTGAGAGACTTGATGCTACAGCTATAAGTATGATATTTTTCTCCTCAGTGTACTCAATTCACACTACAAACTCTGATCCAAGTCTCAGTTCTCTCAGCCTCTACAATGCATTTTTCGACCGTTGGTACCTTTATCCTGGCAACCTTGTGCGCGACTTCCCAGGCATGGGAAGGTAAGAAGCAACCCCCAAGATGCATTTCCCCCAACAACAATGTCTGCTAACTCGACATCACATAGTCGTCGCCTACGACGGCGTCTACGACTGTAACGCCAACGACAACACACGCTACCGCTCCATCACCGGCGCCCCCAATCTTGGCAACTGCATGACCTTTGACCGCGACATGCCCGGCACCGGATGCCGCGAGTACACCAACGGAGGCATCAACAATGGTGGTTGTGTCTCTGGCTCTCTGATCCCCGAATCTGTGATTCTAAGGGGTGGCAGGTGTGTTATCTTTGATCAGCCTGGGTGTCAGGGTAGGTATGCGGATAGCAATGGTCCGGTCAATGGATGCAGCAGTTTTAGGCATTATGACAATTGGGGTCCGATTAGTTCGTTTTGGTGCAGTGGATGTAAGTCGCATCGTATTCAATTTACTCTGAGCCATATACTGACATGTTTGCGAACAAGAATGGATGGAATGCGGAGATGTCTTGGGCATGATTTGAATCTGGTTAAAACCATGGGTATGGGTGCTGTTCGCCATCTTCTGTTACTATCTCAGGATTGCACTTGTGGAGTCAAGGTACAGTTCTACAATTTCCAACTCAATCCTGATAGCATTTGTTCAAGCATGCGGAGTTCCGCGACTGCTCAAGCTCATGGTGTGATAGCGAGTCTTATAGTCAGGTCATCAATTCGGAAAGACTGTAAATCTCCTTCAATGTGTCCGTGTGTTCCACAAGAGACAAAATCTCTGTCGTTGCAACGTCCCTGCCTAAGAGAGGAGATGGCCTATGCTGACTTGTCTGCTCTTGATCCACATTATAGACGCAACAACAGTACCTAGAAAGAGAAGATGTTTCCCGCGTTGGCTCGGATATTCCGTCTTGAAAATGGATCGTCCGATTCAGCAAACAAGTCCTCATCCTGCTTAGTCAAAATCAACAGTCGATCGAGCGGGCCAACCTCAGAGACCCAGGCTGGACATTTTGACCGAGCAAGATCTACTCCTCCACGCTTCACTCCCAGACTGGCTTTGTAGTTAAAGGCCAGGACAAGACTCTCGACTATGCTAGCTAGAATGGCACGTCGGTCAGAATCGGTGTCGATTGGGTCAGGTATCGCATCCAACTTCCATGTCGTTTGGTCCGAAAAGTATTGCACCTCAAGCATCAGTTGATTGGACTCGTCCGCGCAGATGAATTCGCACATTCGGTGTATCGAATTGCTCGGGATGTCGTGTGAGGCGAACGACTGCATCTGTCGGAGCAACGTAATACCATCGTATCGCCGCCAGATCAGGTCGGCGTCTTCCTGGAATGCTTGTGGCGCCGGCAAAGGCTGTGGCAAGGTCAAGTCTGTCATGGGACCGAGCAGAAGCTTTCGAGAGACGACTATTGGGTGGTTGCAGGATCCCCTGAAAAGTGAAAGCAGGCTCATATATTCTGTGGGAAGATTGCGCGTGATGTAATCAAGTAATGAGGCTGCCATGATCCTGTTTGATGTATCAGGCGAGGTATTTCGCCGTCAACAGAAAAGGTGGTATCACAGTCAAGGAAGGGATAGGTCCATATAACTTTTGTATCGTGTGGAGCGAACACACGCCGTCGGTCATTGATCCAAGAAAGGAAGAAGGTAGGAACGACGTGCAGGTGTCAACATATGCGTCAGCAGCATGCCTGTTTCTGGATGATCATATTAATTTACAATTGCGAACCAAGTACATACGGCCACAGTCAGCTGAAAACTGGGCATCCCGTCCGCTCTGCCATACATAAGCAGTTGAACGGCAGATTAGTACTACGGTGGGTGACCACGTGGGAATCCCTGCTGCTGTATGTTTTTGCTTTTGTCAATCAATGTGCGTTCTACTCTCGATAGCGCGTCACGTCGTTGTGTGCCATGGGAAGGAGCCATACAAATCGTGCAAGAATGGTGAACAAGAAATTGTGTTTTGCTTTTTTCCATATCCTAGCTTATAAGAAGATTTCGAGGAGCCCTCTTGGTCCTCTCCCTACTTATATGCCTTCCCTCCTACTTTTCAGCTCCCCCATTGGTATCAAAATTTTGGCTGAACAACGAGGCACACGATTTATGGGCCTCGATCTTAGCAGAAAGTAGCCATTTAAGCAGTGTCCTCGTGAATAAGCTTGGTAACCTTGCCAATGGCAATGGTCTGACCCTGATCACGCAGGGTGAACCTACCAAGGGTGGGGTACTCGGCAAAGGTCTCGATACAGACACCGGCACCGTTGTTGCTGGTGACCTTCAGGCGGGCGATGATGCTCATACCTTTGGTGGCGAAACCGGGTGCCTTCTTTGACTTTCTGCCTGTGCCCTTTTCGAGCTTATGGAGGAGGGCGTCGAAGGTGATTTCTTCAGTAGCGGCGTGAACTGCGAGAACTATTAGTACAAGATACTGATATCGCTGATCACGATAACACTTACCGTGCATGACACAGTTGAAGCCGGCGGAGAGAATGGACTTGATGTCGAGGAGGACAATCTGTGCTTCGAAGATGGAGACACAGTTGACAGGACGGCGAGGCGAGCAGAGTACGAAACCGGGCATGATGTCTTCTTCTTCGATACCCTTGATACGCAGGCGGATCTGGTCACCGCAGGTGGCGTTGGGGATTTCGTCTTCGGTCTCACCGTAAAGAGCTGAGATGGTGGTCTCGACACGGTTAGGCATCATCAAGTACTTGATATCCTTCTTGATGACACCAGACTCGATCTTGCCCTCAATCATGGTACCCAAGTCACGGTACTTGGCAGCTACAGGCATCAGGAAGGGCGCGTTGAGCTTGCGTTCCAGAGCTTGCATACTGTCGAGATAGTTGAGAAGCGAAGGAGAGTCGTTCCAGGGGCAGACATCCTTAGGGACGGCGTCCTTGATACCAAGAGTGGTCTGAGCAGAGATGGGCATGAACTGGAGGTCAGTCTTGGGGTTGTAGCCGACACCCTTGAGGAATTGAGCAAGCTTGCCGGTACACTCCTTGTAGCGCTCCTCGCTCCACTCAACAGTGGGGTCGTCCATCTTGTTGACGGCAACGATGAGCTTGTTGACACCCTGAGTCTTGGCCAAGACGGCGTGCTCACGAGTTTGACCACCCTTCTCGAAACCAGTCTCGTACTCGCCCTTTCTGGCGGAGATGACAAGAACACCAATATCAGCCTGCGAGGCACCACCGATCATGTTGGGCACAAAGGTCTTGTGGCCAGGGGCATCGAGGATAGTGTAGCGACGCTTCTCGGTCTCGAAGAAACCCTTACCGACCTCGACAGTCTTACCCTTGGAACGTTCCTCCTTGGTCAAATCCAGAGCCCATGACAGGTACCATGTTTCTCTACCAGCCTCCTTAGCATCACGCTTGTACTTCTCCATGGTACGCTCGTCAACCATTCCACTTGCGTACAGGATGGAACCACCGAGAGTTGACTTTCCAGCATCGACGTGACCGAGGAAAATAACGTTGACGTGCTCCTTGCCGTACATTTCCTTGAGAGTGTCCTCGTCAACGTCAGCGGCCTGCTCTGCGGCGACCAAATCGGCCTGGCGAGCTTCGGCACGCTTCTCAGCAGGGGTGGGCGAGCTGCGACCGGATGAAGGGGTAGGGGATGTGCGGCCAGATGAGGCAGCAGGCGAGTTGCCAGTCTTCTCCAATGCTTTGGCAGCAGTGACGGCCTTTCCAGCACCAGCCTCGGCCTTGTTGACAGTCTCCTTGACTGGTGCAGGCTTGGCGGGCTCGGCGTTGAGCGAGAGAACCTTTGTGCCAGCAGTCTTCTCGACCTTGGGGGCTGCAGGGATGCCCAAGCTCAGGACCTTTGTTCCACCAGTCTTCTCGACCTTGGGAGCCGAGGCACCAGTGTCGGATGCGCTGAGCGAGAGGGTCTTGACGGCAGCCTTGGGAGCATCGGCAGCGGGCTTGGGTGCGGCAGTCTGGTCACCTCTCTTAGCGATGACGGGCACCTGGCGCTGTTGCTGTTGCTGGGCGGGTTGTTGGTAGGATTGGTTGTATTGTTGTTGGCCGTAGCCCTGCTGGCCGTACTGCGAGTATTGCTGACCGTATCCTTGCTGTCCATATCCTTGGTTTCCGTACTGGTTGTATTGCTGCTGGCCATATTGGCCGTACTGCTGGCCGTAGCCACCGTATTGTTGCTGTTGTTGGCCGTATGCCTGACCGGGGTTGAAGAAGGCCTGCCCGGGGTTGAAGGCAGCGGCTCCGGGCTGGAAGCTGCCCATGCCAGGTTGGAATCCGCCTCTTTGCTGTTGCTGCTGGGACTGTTGCTGCTGCTGGCCCATGTTCAGGCTCTGCTGGGCCTGTCTAGACAAGTCCTGGTCCTGCTGGGCGTCGGGCGAGTCTTCCCACGAGTTGAGGTCCGACATACTTGCTGTATTGAAGCGATCGGATGTGGAGGGTTATGCGACGTCGTTCGAGGGTAAAGGCGAGTCGAGCTGCACCTGGAGTTTATGGGCGAAAAATGTTGACCACGCCGAGTTGCAACTCTTGGTGGGGTCGTGCATTCCTCACACACCGGCTGGCGGCGACTCGATTTTGCAAGGGCCTCAATTCCGCGTCTACGTCACGTGGATCTTTGGGCAGGAACGAAACAATTCGGACAACTCCCAGCCACCTTTTTTGTGAACTGAAACGATCTCTACTTTGAGCTGACGACATTTGTTACGAAATGTTCCTGCTAGATTCTGCTTGGGTATCCACATTGCTGCCCATTGGGACGGCTCCTGTCGCTCCTCACAACTCATCTGCGTCAACCATCTGCACCACGATACCCGTCGATGCACCACCTCCGTTGCAAATGGCAGCACAGCCATATTCGCCCTTCTTCAGTTGATGCAACAGCGTCACTAGGATCCTTGAGCCTGAGCTTCCCAACGCGTGGCCGAGAGAAATCGCACCACCTCTGGGGTTGACGTTGTCCATACCGAGGCCGAGAATCNNTGATACTTTCGGTAAGTAGATATCCTGACACCGCTTTGTCATCTTGAAACATACCTTGGCGTTTGCCTTGATCACGGCGGCAAAGGCCTCGTTGAACTCCCATACCTTGACCTGCTCCTTGGTAATGCCTGCTCTCTCGAGCACAATGGGGACAACCTTGGATGGTGCAATGGGGAAGTCGATCGGGTCCACTGCTGCGTCGGCTGTTGCTACAATACGTGCGAGCAACTTGTTGCCCTTGCCGTACTTCTTTGCCATCTCCTTGTTGCCGAGAACCAGTGCCGAAGCTCCATCTGACAATCCCGAGCTGTTAGCTGCTGTCACAGTACCCGAACCAGACTTGTCAAAGGCAGGCTTCAAGGTAGGCACCTTCTCCAGCTTAAGCCTGTAGACGCCCTCATCCTCCGAGACGACTGTGTCACCCTTCTTGCCTTTGATTGTCACTGGCACTATCTCTTCCTGGAAGAGTCCCTGCTTGTAGGCTTCTTGTGCACGCTTGTAACTCTGAATGGCATATTCATCCTGCTCTTCACGGGTCACACCATGGTCCTTGGCCGTCTTCTCGGCACAGTTGCCCATGTGAATCTGGTTGTATACATCCCACAGACCATCCTTGATCAAGCCGTCGTCGAGCTTGATGTTGCCAAAGGGCGGGAGCTGAGATGATCGCGGCAAGTAGTATGGTACTTGGCTCATGTTCTCCATTCCTCCTGCGACTTGTGCTTCGGCCAGTCCAAGCTGGATCTTCATGGCTGCTATTGAAACGGCTTTCATGCCCGAGGCGCATACTTTGTTGATGGTTGTTGCTTCTACCGAAGAGTCGAGGCCAGCAAAGATGGCTGCTTGTCTCGCTGGTGCCTGGCCGACACCACCTTGCAAGACTTGTCCCATGTAGACATCGCGAATGTGCTCGGCGGGGACGGACGAACGGGCGATGGCTTCTTTGATGGCGTAGGAGCCGAGTTTGGGTGCTGACACGGAGGAGAGAGCTCCATTGAACNNTAATCGTACTTGTTAGGCCAGTGACCAGACTTGAGGTTTCTGCGAGTCACATACAACTCCGACAGGCGTTCTGACGGCGCTAAGAATGTATGCGTCCTGAACCTCCTTTGCCCGGGAAGTGGAGGAGCTGAATTGTCTACAGCTGCTGAAACATGTCTGGCGAGCAGAAAGCGGTAGGCGACGCAGAGGAGTACGAAGTGTGGCGGAGGACATTTTGTGGACAGTTGTATATGTGGTAGAGAAGAAGAAAACAACCAAGTCACCAAAAAAGAATGGACGAGTGGAACATCACATGAAAGGTGCAACTGTTCACCGAGGTGGAGCGTGGAGGAGCGCGGGGCAGTTCCGTCCGAGACCTCCGTCATGCTGTGAAGCCTCGGTTGTCTTCGCCGCGAAGTCTCGAGGGCGCCCTTTTGGAGCCGGCAGCGCCCTTTGTCTGGCTGGAAGGTCACGGCCGACCATCTTGCAATCGTTATCACAGATCCTATGATGTCCTCTCGTCAGAAGCCACCGGGTCGCATACCCATCGGCATACGACCAGGTCCCGGGCCTGTCATATGCGGCGGTCCGCCCGGATGCATCACGAACGCTCCGCCAGGCATAGGCGGCGGCGGCTGCATCATCCCCTTCTTGCCCTTCGACTCTCTCCGCTTCATCTCAGGGTCGACGCGACCCCCAAAGACAGGTTCTTGTACAGCAACGCTCTTCTCGCCCGGCAGCTTGAACTCGACGAGGTTAAAGTAGTAGTCCAGAACCTCTGGATATCGTTGCAGACTGTTCTTCCAGTCTTCGTCTATGCCTCGCTGATAGGCGCCTTGTGCGGCAGACATCTGCACGCGTAGTTCATGCAGCTGAGCAGGTGGGATGGGCGGTCGTCCCGCATAGATCTTGTAGAGCTCGTAGTATGGTATGGTGCCCAGGTGTGCTTCGTATTGCTGTTTTCTCATGTCGACCATTTGGTTGAACGTAAGGATTATCCACTCGCGAGCGTGGCTAAGTACCCAGTGTCTNGAATCATGAGGGTCAGTGACTATTACTCTAAGGGCTGTGGTTGTTGTATAGACGTGCCTTATCTGTCGCATCTCGACGCTCGCCATCCAGCGATGATTTGCTTCGTCCAAGGCTCTCTTCAGCCTTTCATCTTCGTGCTGGCACTTTTTCGATGGCGGGGCGCCGCAGACGGCACATGCTGCTTCGGCTTGCATTCGTTGAATATGATGTGATGGCGATATATTCTAGCCTCGACTAAGAAAACAGTACGCCAGACTCGAGTTGATGGATAGCCGTTGAGAGCGGGTTGGGTTGTAAAGAGCAAGGAAGTGGAGAACACAAGACCAACTTATTTTATGAACGATGCAAGGCGGATTCCGTCTAAGCTATTGGACTACTCTATTAGAGTGTTCTATCAAGCCGACTTCTGCTGCAGGTGGTCACATTCGTGGTTGCCGATTGGTGCTCTGCTGAGTGATGAGCTGTACGTTGTGGAGCCGCATAGACATGGATCCATATTGTCTTTGAGCATCAACAGACATCGAACATAAACTGCAATGCGCTTTAAGAAGAGTGGAAATGCTGTTTGATCCGAACAACCAATGTTGGGAGTAGAAGCGAGTGAAATACTGCAGTGACAGGGTTGTATACGCAACATCGGGACCAAGGTGGTGAAAGAGCGACATGCCATTGCTGGTGGATTAAGCTCAATAAACATTGGTGTTATGAGATCGTGAGTATGCAGGGTAGAAGTTAATAGTTTCATATGTTGTGATAGAAATACTAAGTGAAGAAATGAAAATTGACATTAGACTCTGAACCACTTGAACCACAACAGCTCGTCCAAGATATCATATCTGATCATGCTGACATAGCGAACCGGCGCAGCGTTGACTATCGAGGATATTTCCTACATGACTAAATATAGACAGGAAGCAAGTTGATATCGGCACAGCTCGAGGGGTTATCGTAGTGATAGTAGCTGNNTTGACGTTAGCATATGGTCTCCACGAGAAGGACCCGATATTCTTACCTCCACTTCATGAACAGCTGAGGAACGCCATGCCACCAGTCACATACAAGCCATCCGCCGAAAGCATTGGTCTCGGCAGCATTGGTTGGGTTCTCGTTGAATTGGAGACCGCTGGAGTTCATGAAGAAACCGCCTGCACCAGAACCGGCGTTGATGCGGACAGGTTCCCAAGCAGAGTAGAAGTTGACATCTGCAACGTAAAGGTCCCAAGGGAAGTCGCCTCCGAGATCAAAAAGCTGGTTGAAGTAAGGTTGACCGTTGGGCTGTGTGATGTTGGTGGCATTCTCGAAACCCTTGATGGCGTATGTTTTGTTGGCGTAGAGAACGGCATCGTTCAGGCCTGCTCCAGTATGTGATGCAACGAGCCAGAGCCCGTCGAACTGTTTCTTGTTTCCTTGACCAGGCCTCAGCTGAGTGCGAAGGTGATATTCGCGAGTGGTGTTGATGCTCGCCAGAGCAGTGCCAGCGAGAGCAAAGGCAGAGATGATGATGTTGAGATGCATAGCTGATTGTTATTCTCTGTAGAAATGATGTAGGATGATTTGATAGATGATAATGGGAGAACAATATGAGATAGAGACTGCTTCTTTATATATTGGTATCCTGGAGTCGGAACGTCATTGTGTGGCATAGTCACTACCACTTGAGGGAACAGACGTTTACCTGTATACTATTTTTACTTACCTAGTACCACGATAGCCTTTGAATCCTTCAAAAGGACAAAGGTAGGAATAGATCGTCCGAAGTTACTGCCTGACTTCACCGTCTACGGGATCGTACAATGCTGAGATGAACGGGGCAGCTTCAGTATAACGCGATCGGGTATACAATGAAGTAGTAACCATTTCAGACACGATGTGACGACTAAAAGGTCCAATTGTGTTGGCATATTAGCAAGAAGAGCAAGAATTAAGGTGATGAAGTGGAGCGGCTTGCCAAGCTCAAGTTTGAAGGCTTGTCGGCGACGGCACCTCGGCATCGAAACTTCCTCTCCTCTTGCACATCGGAACAAAGAAAACGATCATCATCCTGAGACAGACCGGACACTAAAGGTGGCGATGGCGATTGGTAGACTCATGCATGTTGCGGTGAGGACTGGTACGCAAAAGAACGCCGTATCGTCGGACGACTGATCATGTCGAATGGAGCGTCCCATCTCACTGTAGCACCAGAGGTAGCTTTAGATTCTCCTTTGTTTCAAGAATGAGGAGCTTGGTCTGAGGATGCCTCAGCGTAGATTCAAGCTTCTCTGAGATGTCATGCAGAGTACAGTACAGATGATCCTCGTATTCGTGCAGCGAGCCACCTCAAGGTGGTCATCCATGTACTAAGAAGGATCATCTCCGTTCGTAAAATGGACCCAGACGATCTGTATGCTAATTTTGGTGCGACAGCTATCTCTTCCTGCCCTCTCCACAGTATGCTACATTCATCCTAGTGTAGATCCTGCGGTACTACCTTGGTGGCATATTCTGCGAAGAAGCTAATCGAAGCAGACATGTTTTTACGAACATATCACAGGGACAGATGCACAAGAGTGCGGACGCGTTCATCGCGAATTGTACAGCTCCAGACGTTGTCACTCGTCATCAGAAAACCATAACTTGACTGGCAGTACTATGGAGACGTGACCTGAGTGATCTCTCAACATAAACCATAGGGGTGATTGGGAGATATAGTTTTTGGGGGAAGCCCACCGAATTAAGAGGATTGGGCATTCGCATGTAAGTTCGAACTTGATTGAAGCTGCAAGTCCGTGCAGTGCACCTTCTCGATACAGCTCATGCTTGAGGAAGGAAGCACCACGCGTTGCGAAGCCATCTATCAAGCGCAGGGTATGGACTTTTCCTGATTTCTACATCCTTCCTCATCGCCATATTTACATCCTCCATCACTTCACATCCATTCACGCAAGCAATGCCCTCTGGTAACACACCTACTGTCAGGCTGCTGCACTTCAACGATGTCTATCGTCTCGAGCCTTCGGAACACGACCCAGTTGGGGGTGTTACTCGCTTCCAGAGCCTGTGCAACCACTATAGACAAGATCCGAAGTATCAAGGGCAAGCGGAGCTCATCACGCTCTTCTCAGGGGACGGATTCGGCCCGAGCTTGGAGAGCAGTGTGACCAAGGGTTGTTTGCTACATCCGATATCAACTTTGTGGTCACAAGCTGAGATTCAGTGTGACANNGGCGCTCATATGGTTCCAATCTTGAACAACGTACCAGTCGATGCTGCTTGCGTCGGAAATCACGAGCTCGACATGGGCGTTCCTCAATTCGAGCATCTCGCTTCTCAATGCAACTTCCCCTGGCTACTAGCCAACGTTACAGACCCGGCGCTAGGTGATGACGTTCCTCTAGGACATACACAGAAGACCGCCATACTCACATCGTCTACTGGAGTCAAGATCGGACTCATTGGTCTAGCTGAGAAGGAATGGCTCGAAGCTGTCAATTCCCTGCCGACCAATCTGGTGCACACCGATCCCGTCATCACAGCGCGCGATCTGATACCAATTCTCCGAGCCGAAGGTGCTGAAATGATCATTGCACTCTGTCACCAGAGGGAATTCCACGACACTAGACTGGCGCAGGAGGTGCCAGAAATCGATATCATACTCTCTGGCCATGATCACCACTACCGCCACTCCAAAGTACGCGAAACTCATATCGTGTGCTCTGGCAGCGACTACAAGCAGCTCAGCTACGTCGAAGCGTCAAGGAATGGTAGCGGATAGGACTTTGCTATCACACGTCGAAACGTCGACAGCAGCATCACCGAGGATCCAGCTACTGTAGAGCTGCTTGACAAGTTGTTCTCATCGCTTCAAGATAAACTGCAGAAAGTAGTCGGCTATACTGCTGTGCCACTCGATTGCCGTTTCAGCACTGTCCGGAGCCAGGAATCGAACATGGGCAACTTTGTCTGCGACCTGATGCGCTACTATTATGACACTGACTGTGCGATGATTGCTGGAGGTACAATCCGAGCCGATATGGTCTACCCTCCAGGTATCTTGCGACTCAAGGATATCGTCGATTGGTAAGTGCATAAGATCCTACACATCAAGTTTACTGATGAGTGTTNNAGCTTTCCATTCGAAGACCCTGTCGTTGTGATCAAGGTCAAGGGCCAACAGCTTCTCGAAGCACTGCAGAACGGCGTATCAAAGCACCCTGCACTGGACGGCCGATTTCCACAGGTGTCCAACATCAGCTTTACTTTTGACCCGTCGCGAAACAGACATGATCGAGTAGTTGGAGTACAGATTGGTGGAAAGCCGCTCGATCTGGACCAAGAATACACACTGGCAACTCGAGACTTTATGGTTAGAGGTGGAGGTAAGTCCTGAGCGATATTAGACATGTCAGACAGAGCGCTGACTTGTTCTANNGATGGCTATACATGCCTTCGCACACAATCAAGAGGAGGACCAAACATCTCTATTATTGACGAAGAGAGTGGCATACTGATGTCGATGCTACTTCGACAACACTTCTTATCATCAATAACTGTCGGGCGCTGGAAGCACTGGGGTGCAGCACTCGGCCAACACTGGGGTACAGTGCATGAGCATCTCCGACGCACTGGATCAGTGGTCGAGCGTACTGACACCAACCATACTTTCAGAAGGGACAGCAGCGATGTGTCAGCCAGAAGAGCCAGTGTCGATGTGTCTTCGGGAAGAAGAAGGAGCAGCGCCATCTGGGACAGACCCCCGGTGAGAATTGTGGAACCGGCAGAGATGAATCTCAGCGAATCTGAAGACGAGTCCGAAGTGACAGCTCCGGTGCTGGCCAGGGAACTATCCCCCGAAGAACACGAGCTGGTGGTAGCAAGGAAGGCCATGCGGAAGTGGTGGAGATTGGCTGAGCTGAACACTCGCCACGCGATGGNNGGTTATGAGGCAGGCGAAGAACTGGGAGTTGGCTGGACCAGAGGAATCTGTCCACAAGTGGAGGGACGTATCAAGATGGTGCTGCGTGTGCTTTGAAGTGACTTGCTCGACCTAAAGCCCTAGAATGCATTACTTCGTCCTACTTTATACTCGTCTGCACATCAAAGCACTCTCCATGGCTTGATGTGCATATAACAAGATGAATCTATCGGCATTATCGTCGTGAATGTGGGTAGGCAGACGGCTTGCTTCATCTCTTCTTCTTGCCGACAACCTTGGTGAAGCCATCATCGTCGACCTCGGGCTCTTGTCTTTCGCGCGGCGCAGAAACAAGAGCAGGAGCAGCATCACCCATCTCAACATCGTCATCGTCATCGTCATCGCTGTCCTCTTCGCTGCTCTCGTCGTCGTCGTGCTTGTGCTCGACAACCTGAAGGTTCTGAGGGACTCTTCCTCCACGCTCCTCAAACCTCCTCTTGACAGCCTCGAAGCCAGAGAAGTCACCATCGGCAGTCTCTTTCCTAAGCTTCATGATTTCTTCGGCGACAGGGATTTCACTCTCGTCCTCGACGTTCAGGTCGAACTCGTCCTGCATAACTTGCAGCAGCACGGCTTCGACGTCGAATTGATCGGTATCGGGGCGTTCGGCGAAAAGGTCGCTCACGGCACCGGCGAACCAGTCGCGCTTTGCGGAGCTGTCGGGTCCACCCCAGTTGCTGGTGACGGCGATGGTAAGGGCGGGCCAGAGGCCCAGGGCGTACCAGATGCCGAGGTCGAAGTTGGTCTGGATTGTTTCTGCGGATTGTCAGCTACTGAGCTGGGCTTGTGTTGTAGCGGTCTTCATACCTTGGTCTGCCATGATTGTGTTCTGGTGTCGAGCGGAGGGCGACAGCATAATTATCTTCGCAACCGATCAAAATCTTGACGCTTGGACCAGCGATACCCCAGATTCCGGGACGGGTAGACCCTCGAGCAGCCACCAACGTCACGATCGTCGCTCTGCAGAAGGCTTCATCTCCGGCAGCCGTTGCGACTGCCCGAAACAAATACACGGCTCCTGCCTCTCGTGCATATGTCCAGAGCCTCTGTTTCAAGCACTCCTTCCTCAACAACTGTCTGCACACACGCCGATCGTCTCTGACCAGGTTGCCACGCGCTCATGACCAGGGTTACTCGAGACACGATTGCATTCACCACTAAGCGGCCAGTTCATCAAAAGGATCAGCCATGGTCTTGAGCACGCTCGGCGTAGCTGCCGATGTCACCCCCTCGGTCATCGAGACCTTCTTCTCGCACGCAAGTCTCGACGATATCTCACGCGCCTCGCCTCTCTGTACTAACATCAAGGACAGTNACCTCAACCGCAAGCCGCTCAAGGGGAAGCCTACTGCCCACGTTTCGTACCACGAGGGTTTGCGCCTGATCCGTCAATTCCTTGCCTATGCCTCTCAGCACACTGTCGAAGACATCCAGGCCTTCACTGGCCAATGGGTCCCCACTCCCACATGGGTCAAGCTCGACGAAGTCCCCATCTCGGATGCCCATCTACAACGCTCGGCCGAGCTCGTCAAAGCCCAGCTTGGTCCCGTGGGCCTGCAAAGAGTTGGTGGTCAAGAGTGGTGGCAGTGGAGAAGACCAGAGATAGCCCTGAAGGGCGAGTGGATCGAGATGCGTCAGGACTACAACGATCGAATCGCTGCCGACAATAAGAGCGACCGCGTCATTCTCTACGTCCATGGCGGCGCCTACTACTTTGGCTCGGTCGATGAGCATCGCTACCAGATGCAACGTCACGCGAGAAAGCTCAAGGCCCGTCTGTTCGCTCCGAGATATCGCCTTGCTCCCCAATTTCCCTTCCCCTGCGGTCTACACGACTGTATCGCTGCCTACCTCCATGTCATCGAGACGTGCCATCCTTCGACGGTCCTGCTTGGCGGCGACTCGGCAGGTGGTGGCATGGTCATCAACATGCTAGTTACCCTCCGCGACCAAGGCATTCCTCTTCCTGCTGGAGCCCTTCTTTTGTCTCCATGGGTCGATCTTACCCACTCCTTCCCCAGTGTAGCAGGGGAAGGCACTTTCGATTACATTCCTGCCAATGGTTTCCATCACAGACCTTCGATGGCATGGCCGCCTCCAAACGCCAATGATCTGAGAGAGCTCAAGTCTCCAGAGGCCGACCCACCGAGGAGGTNNCAAAGGAGGAGAAGAAAAAAGCTCGAGCGGGAGGCCACCATGGGCTTCTCCGTCAACGACCTACCCGAGGATGAAAAGCATGACAGAGCAACCCGTCCACGATCTAAGAGTATTCCAGGCGGCGAGCATCTGTCAATCGAGCTGGACGGCAAGCTGATCGAGCTCACTGACCAAATTCAGATGTACACCACCAACGACATGCTCGCACATCCCATGGTCTCACCTGTAATGCAGCCGTCTCTGGGTGGTCTGCCACCCCTTCTCATTCAAACAGGAGGCGGCGAGCTCCTGCGTGATGAACAGATCTACATTGCACACAAGGCCGCCAACCCATCCGCCTACCTTCCCAACAAAAAAGTCATGGACGAGTTTGACCCCAAAAGACAGATAGTAGACAAGTATCCGCCAACACATGTCGTTCTGCAAGTCTGGGATGACCTCTGCCATGTCCCTCATACTCTCAGTTTTACTCGACCTGCCAAATACATGTATCGCAGTGTCGCACAGTTCGGAGCTTGGGCTCTGGCTCGCGCTCAAGATCAAGCCATCACCATTCTTGATGATGATGCCATCAGTATCATCAGCAGCCAATCAAGCCACGACAGTGAATCCGACGTTGATCGCGGTAGAACCGTGGACAAGAAATTCCCGAACGCTCTGGGTACTCCGATCCAAGCTCACACTGTATCGACAGCATCTGGGTCTGTTGGCAAGGCTGGCGATCCCCTACCTCCCTTCCAAGGGCACATGGTTCGCCAGAGAGTGGACAGACATGGTGTCACGTACTCTCTTGCTGCAGCAGAAGACCTCAAATGCCTGCAGCTTGACCCCGATACGATTGGCATGATCAAGCCTGGTCCTGTTAGAAAATGGATTGCAAAGAAGGCTGACTGGGATGTCAAGTATGGTAAAGACAAGCGCGCAATACAGAAGCAGCGCATCAAGGACATGGCCGAGGGCTATGACACATTCGGAGCTGGAGAAGTTCCGCCACCCACTGCCTTGGCTGGACGCCGTAAGAAGGATATGCCAGGCCAGAAAGCTCGTAAGGGCAAATCTTGGGGTCTTGCAATGTGGTCAGGATGGGGTTCCAAACACGACGAGGACACTCTTGGCCGCGAACAGAAGGTCAATCGTGCTCCTTCACAGACAGTTGCAGTACCAGAAGCCGGCGCTGCAGTCGCGAAAGCCAATCCACAGCGAGCAGCCACGATCATTGCAGATCCCACGATGAAAGTCACGCCCACATTCGACCGCAGTATGAGCCCCAGTTACCGCACCGTTACAGATCTGGGACAAGCAGGTCCTCGCTCCAGACCCACCACTTCGTCGACCATCCCACCTCCACCACCAGCCAAAGACCTGCCCAAAGGCAAAGAACCCATCAGAGATGACGAAGCACACCTAGCTCCTTACGGCATGCACACCAAAGTCCCAGGCTCGGAGAACACATTCCTAAGCAATAACAGCGCACGCCCTCACAATGGCGAGGTTGCCTACCCATTCAAGCTCAAGAACGAAGCCGCCACCGCGAGTACGGTGACACTCGACTCTGCTGCTCACGTTAGACCAATGGGTAGAAATGACGATGCGTCCTTGGCTGAGAGTTCACGACCTGCTACTGGTAGAGGTGTGAGCTTCGTGGATGGCGCAGCTGAAGGTGGTATCATTGCCGATGAACCTGGCGTGGGTGTCTATGAGACCGAGACGGGGTTGAAGAACCAGGACAAGAGTGGACTTGGTAATCAAGCCGAAGGAGCTGTGAGACCACCATTGGAATCCTTTGTCACCGCAAAGGAGTTTTAGCCTTCACCAGAAGAAGTAATTGCGAGGTTTCGCATTGTTTTGCAAGATTAGATACCCCTTTCCTTCAGTAGTTGCGAAGTATTTCATCCTCAGTATCTTTTGAGCTGTTGTTTGCGACGCGAATCTGAAAGCATGAATTGGACAATAGACCCTTTTGTGTTTTTTCTCATTCAAGTAAGACGAAAAGAATTGGAAAGACGCGCCGTGTAGGTAATTCTATGCTATCGCAGAAAACGCCCTTCAGATGTAGGAAGAGAGAGACAACAATTCGGTTTCCTTTCCCTGTCTTCCCTTTCCGAGAAAGAAACCACAAAATCCCCTTTTCCACAGCAAAAGGCCCCCCCCCCCCCCCCCCCCCCTCCAACCTCAAATCCCCAAATGCATCAACCCCCAATGCAAAAGACAGAAAGGCGAGGAAAGAAAGAGCCAAAAAGATGCAAAGTCTAAAACCCGCAAAGAAAGACTTCCGACCAGAAGAGAAAAGATGGAAACAACAGGCCTGTTTTCAGATGTTTGACAAAAGGAAAAAATCAGTTCTCGGGTAATCCAGCCCCTTGACTCAGCACTCTGACCCTCTCCCTCACGGCCTCAAATTCCTTGACAGCATCTGCATGTCTCTCACACCCGACATTCCAGTGTTCGCGCACGCGCTCGTCTTCCTTGACCGCTTGCGCATAACTCATAAAGCCTTCGCCGGTACTCGCTTCTCCCACGGCTTCCAATGCTCTAATGCCCGCCTTGACGACTTTAGCGGCAAGGTCTTGGCGGCTGGAAAAGTGGGCGACGATTACTGCATTGTACTTGTTGAATTTGTCGAGGTAGACGGAAAAGGTGGTGCAGTAGGTGGACCATGAGGCGCGGGTGAGTTTTGTGGGTGTGGAGGGTGCGCGAGGTAGAGGCGGTAGAACAAGGTTTTGGGGTGTAAAGGTCGGGATGGTGGTGGAAGCTTTGGAGGTAAAGGGCAAAGTGCTGCTAATGTCCGCTAGACCGTCGAGGCCTTGTGATGGCGGGGCGTCAACTGCGGCTCCGAGGTCGTCGAGTTTGACATTGAAGCCGCTGCTTTCGCGCTTGTTCGATTCGGTGTCGTTTCGACGCAGATTATTTGTGTCGACGGGATAGATGCGAGGCTCTTGAACAGAAGTAGTCTGAGTTGGGGCAGGTGTGTTGGCTGGTGGAGCGTCATCAACATCCATTTCATCAGGCGAGTGAGTTCGAGGAACACTCTCTTCCGTCTCATCTGTTACTGTTGCGGGCTTTGGTGTATTCACGGGAATCTTATTGGCGACTCTCGAACCCTTCCTCACGGCAGCCGAATTGCTTCTAGAGGTTGTTCTCGACTCCGGCTTGCCAGGTGATGAGGTGCGTAAGGTGTTGGGATCAAAGGCCCAAGTTGCATCCTGGAAATGCTTGGCCCATTCTTCAGGCGAGTACTTGGCCGGTGGTGGGGGAGGTGATGGCATGGTGGGATCCTGCGTAGCTTCGGCCTGATTTTGCTGTGTAGTGTGTTCAGAAAAAGTGTTGGTCCTTGACTGTTGGCGGAAAGCTCTGGACGATTTGCGTGAAGGTGTAGCAGACTTGCGACCAGCTGTGGCTTGGGCAGCAGCAAATACGTTGTTACTGGTAAAGTCGCCAGCCCACTGCTCGGGTACAAAAGATGTGTTGATACTGTCTTCGCTGCGGCTCTTAGCCATGTTCGGCCTGAAGGTGTCAGCATTGATGGGTATCGTAAATCTGTTGGACAATAAGTCAGCATCGGACCGATGTAATGAATGCTTGTCAAAACGATACAGGCCAGTAGCATCGTCTTTGGTGAAACAAGTCTTTTTATATGGTGATTGAAGTTCAGGGGTATCATCGGCAGTCAGGTCGACAAGATCATCAAACAAGGGCATTTGTGGCGGTCTTCTGCGAGAATTTGGTTGACTCTTTCCCGCATTTGCAGACGTTTCAGTGTTCGTAAGGTCTATCCAGGCGCGTTGAGCAGCCGAATGGCTCCGTTTGACGGGAGGAACAGAGGACGGGACAGCCCATCGAGGAATCGAGTCGGGGCTTTTGTTTTGTTGGTAGGTTCTCCCAAAAGGATAGACAGGAGAGGGCATTTTTTCTTGCTTGTTGGAAGGAGGGGTAGAGAAATGGTTGGCATACATTGTTGGTTTGTCCTTTTCGCCAGCGTCTGCTGCTGCGTCTGGACCAGTATTGCTGCTTCCACTAGCCTCGCCTGGAGCTTTGTAAGGGAACTTGAACTGTCGACTAGGCGGATTGGGCGTCTTCTTAGGACGGGTAAATGAGCGTGAGAAGGGATCAGCGGGTTGATCGGTCGTCGCGGATTGGGATTTCTTCTGTGCAGTGTCAGGAGTGGTGGAAGCAGAGTCGTCCTCAGTCTCAGAGTCATCGCTTGAGCTGTAGACGACAAAGGGCTTCCTTGCAGTACCGGTACCCGCCTTTCGCGTCGATCGACGAAATTGCGATGCTCCATCTGAAGCCATGGGCACATGGGGCGTGCTGGCTGTGCGACGTGCATCTTCGCCCGAGTAGGCTGCCCTCGTACGAGCGTCCTCGGCGGGAACGTCAGAGTAGTCTCTCTGCGATGCAGAACGTGGAGGCGGAGGTGGATAGTAAGGTGGGTCCGCGGACTTTCTCCTGGATGATGAGTAGTTGGCTGTATTTCCTGCCTGTCTCTCGTCACCGGTCGATGTGGGGTCAAAGCCACCACCCTTTCTGGGGATGCTGGAAGAAGCTGAAGCATCTGCTTTACTCGTACCAGCACTGTTGTACTCAGCCCAGGCTGAGCGAGCTGAGCGGAACCCGTCATAAGCATTTGCAGGCTTCGGGGGAGCCTCGCGATAGTTCATGCCAGCCCGGATGTCTTCCTCAGTAGGATAGCGAGTGTCTTGCCTAGGCGGTGGTCGGGGTACTGGACGTTTGGGCGAAGCTCGTGGTGGAGGCTGCGGCGCGGTACCAGGCGTCTGCGGCTTCATGTTCTGCCATGCGTTGAAGACGTTCGCAGGATCAGCCGGGTTCTTCTTGCTCGTGGGAGCTGGTCTCGGGAAGTTTGTGAATCGGTCGGCACCTGAGGCGCCAGATGCAGTGCTACGCCATGTCGAAGTAGGAGCGGGTGTACGTCTCGGCGGTGGAGGGAAATTGGACGTGGCCTGGTACATGGGATTTGTTCCGGTGCTTCTTGGTGGCACGTTGGGCTTGGTAAAGGCACCACCTCCCAGTCCCGCCTTTCGACGGTCCGCATCATATCGCGTCTTGGACACCGGGTCGTGGAGGATCTCGTGGGCAGCTTGGATGGCCTGGAATTTGGGCACGATTTCTGATTCTTTGCCGGGGTTTCGATCGGGATGGTACTTCAGCGCNTGTGCCTCGTGTTAGCCCAGATTAGATGGCTAGACAGAGAGTGTGCTACCGAGCTTGCGGTATGCCTTCTTGATGTCTTCTACGGAGGCATCCTGTTCTCGCCGTCAGCTGCTGTCGCAAAGGCCATGTCTCTGGAGCAGACATACGTTGGGCAGTTCCAGATCCGCATAGTAGTTTCGTTTGATGTCGGCCTTCACCATGATCCTGGTAAGGCGGTGGCTTCACAATGACGAGGCGTGGTACGATGCGATACCATCAAGGCCCTGCGTCGTCGAGTCGTGCTGCGGAAATGTCGATGCGCGTGGTTGTGAGAGGACAGACAGTAGGATCAACAGTAGCCCAAGTCCGAAGTGAAGCAGAGTCAACAAATGAAGAGCGGCCAACGGTCAGAAGTGCGTGTCATGCGTTGTCTCCAAATTGCAAAGGCCGAGCGGTTGATTGTTGCGCAAAAGCTCGTAGCCCCTCCAAACATGTGAAAGCTGGAGTTGGTTTGTTTTGGCCGCACCGTGACGACCACGACGACCACGACAGTCAAACGTAGAATGTATATTCTTTTTCTTTTCTACAAGAATGATGATCACAGTATCATGATGGAGGGAAAGAACAAAGACCAATCAGAGCCAATCATACATCACGTCCAAGTCATTGCTCACCCTAGTTTTGGGGTAGCTGCTTCCCTTCTCCCTCGCCGCCCAAGCAACCAACAGTCCAAATCCAACCAACGACCACGCCAGTCTGGAAGATCGCCGTGTACAAGCCACAGCACTGCCTCACAACCTATACAGATTTTTAGGAGTCTTCTTGAGAATTGGGTCAGTCAACTCTCAAGCAGTTCGAGAAGGGGTGTTGGGACTTTAGAGTCATACGCAATAAAACATTGTTCGCCTCAGATAAACTAGTACATTTCCAAACACCACACCACGAGACACTGATACAGACATGTATATCATCATCATCAAAATCCACAGGAACGCACGTAGGAGCAAGATGGAAGAGAGATGGAAGGTTCAAAGCACGTATCCTTCACAAACAACAAGTAACGTAAATGTAGTTAGACCGGATGGCAGTGTAAGATGCGCACAGGAATATCTTGAGGGGGCGCCGCAACATCTTTCGTCGTTGCATACGCGATGAGACTACTAGTGAAAGGCTCAAAGTGTACGAACCATCAAAGCAAAGAAAGAATTTAGCCACTGGAATCGAGACAAGACATACCACATACTCCGAACAAGATTCGTTCATCAACATATAAAGAAAAAAAGCGAGAATAAAGATCGAGGATAATGAAAATTTTGAAATTCGCTTGCGTCTCGACGAGAGAAGGGGGATATGAATTTTGCAATCATGCAGGAAAACAGAATCGATCGAGCTCAAAAGTAGAGAGCCTGAGATAAACACCTGCGGCATGTGTTCTCGTCATAAGGTCATGAAGGGGGTGTAACCAGAGCGCGCGCGAATAGAAAGCAGGATCATGTACAATTGCCCCAGCCTCTCTTTTGGTCGTGGGCTGTGTAGGTGGTTGTTTTGTAATAGTTGCTAGTTGTATGTTGAGGGTTTGTAAGAAGGCGTGTTTTATCCAGGAAGGAGAGCCCTGGACGTGTTGATTCCTCAGAAGACAGCCGCCAGTCCGCTCTTGGAGTGTCGTTTGCTGAAACGTGGTTTCCTACTCTTGACACTCTCATTGTCTCCCGGCTCCTTGCGCAGGGTGTTTCGTACAGAGTGGATGGACTGCTGTTCGCCCCCACCATCACCACCACTGGCACTAGTGGGGCTAGACATGGTCGATGCCAGATCGCCATACTGAGACTCGCCTGAGTACGAGTTTGCGATGGATTGCGACAGTGCCACATCTTTAGCGCGGTCGATAGCTTCCATCCACTCTTGGGTAGAGTACTTGGAGCCTTCGGGATCCGATGTGGTTGCCCGGGGATCTTCGAAAGAGAAATGCTTGTCCCGCTTAATTGCCGTCAGCTTCAGTACTACCTTTGTCAAAATAATGCAACTTACAGTGTCGATGCAGAAAGCTGTCAGGCCCTTGCTGTCTTGAGCCGTTTTCCATGATGTCCCATTTGCGAGCAGGTTGAGATCAAGTTTTGCCTTCTTCTCATCGGTCCCAGCAGCGCATATTATGACTCGCGCACTAGAAGTTATCATAACAAGTCGTTGGCGTTTCTTGGTCGTGGCCCCACCAAAGAATCTTGAGAATTTTCTCGATGCTTCTTCGGTGCCTCTCGATGTAGGACTGTGAGGAGCAGGAGAAGAGATGACATTGAGATTGCCCAGCTTTATTATTCGTTCGTTGTTGCGGGTTAGCACAGGCGACCAGTCGATGTCAAGCTGGCTGGGAGGAGCTAGCTCGGTTATAGCTCTTAATTGTGGCCGAGGCATCTGTTGTACGGATTGAGCTGTTGGCGGTGAAGCTGCATGCGAGCTTGGGATCCCAACGGTCGGGATGCCTGGGATTGTGGGAGCAGGTGCTGAGCCTATAGTATCTCCACCATTAAGTCTAATGGGCTGAGACTGAGANGGACCAGGCATGTAACTCCGAAGACGTGGCGCTTTTTGCTTCCATAGACCTTTGCCCCACTGAATCCCCTCGAAGAAAGGATGCGATTTGATGTGTTCGATAGGTAGACGCTTGGATGGATCGAGGACCAACAGTCTTTCTATAAGGTCCCGCGCCACACCAGGAAAGCCATCTGGGAAATGGTAGTCCAAGGCAACAATCTTTTGGAACGTCTGATACTCGTTGCCAGCCTTGAATGGTGGGCGACCAGCGAGCAACTGATACATGATGCAGCCGAAAGCCCATAGATCACTTGCTTTGCAGGCATTCTTATCAGTCAACAGTTCAGGGCTGACATACTCTGCAGTGCCAACAAAAGATACCGCTCTCTCTTGCTCGGCGCCGTCCATGGGATCACCGGAGCCTGGACCGTCGTTTCCACTGCCTCCAGCGGACTTGATGTCAAGAATCTTGGCGGTTCCAAAGTCGGTAATCTTGGTATGCATTTGCTCATCGAGTAGGACGTTTTCCGGTTTGAGGTCTCGATGGATGATACCCTTCGAGTGCATGTACGCTATTGAGTCGAGAATTTGGGCACCGTAAAACCGTGTGCAGTCTTCGTCGAAAGTGCCCATCTTCTTCAGGTGACCAAGCAGCTCGCCGCCATTGGCAAGGTCAAGCACAAAATACAGTGAGCGCTCATCCTGGAATGTGTAGTACAGACGCACGATACCAGGGTGTTCAGTGAGTCGATTGAGAGCATCCTTCTCAATATTGACGTACTTGACCTTCTTCTCCTTGATTATGTGGCGCTTGTCAAGAACCTTGACAGCATACTCACGATGGATCTGACGGTCAGTCGCAGCAAGAACCGTGCTGTATGAACCCTCCCCCAGAGTGCGGCCGAAGTGGAAGTCGTTCACCCCCTTCTTGACAATCTTGGAAACAGGTCTCCCGTTCTGATCGACTTCTTGTCTGGTAGCGACTGCAGCCCCACGCTCCTTCCACTCCTCACTACTGGGTAGCGGGCCGCCTTCGATGCTATACACAGATCCTGATGGACCAGGGCCGTATCCAGAGACAACACGCTTAGAACTTCTTCTGGGTGGCATGACATTCTGGCCATCAGGACCACGGTAAGTTCGGCTGGCAGAGCGAACAGGCGGCTGACCAGCCATGGCAGCGGCCGCAGCTCGCGAAGCACTCCTAGCCAATCCAGATTGTGAAGAGATGTCGTCACGATATCTGTATGACGAAGCCTGGGAAAGAGCAGAGGTACTCGAAACGTTCTGGTGTGTGTACATGTTGGACATGCGTGCGGAGGGGATGGTTGAGTGTTGAGGATATTGAGGCATCTGAGCCTCGTACGAGCCAGCACGTTGGCGATAGACTTGGTCAGAGTCACTCGAAGCTGCTCGGTAGGGCCTGGTGGAATTATAGGGGTCGGCGGAGGCTAGGTGACTGGGAGCATAATCGGAATGTGAGGGAGCGTTGGAGTGGAACGAGGCAGCATATTGGGAATGCGAGTCGTGGTCGGGCGGGTGTATTGATGAGAGCTGTGACAAGCCACGCGAGTGATTAAGGTTGGTGATGGTGCTGCCCGACGAGTGCGAGGAGACGGTGGGTCGGTCGTCGGGGGTCGAAGGGGTTGAGCGAGGTTGCTGGCTAGGACTTGCGGCGGTGATGTTGGAAGAGTCGAGGGCCGAGGCGGTATGCGGCGGTGTATGGACTTGGGTCTGCGTCTGAACTCGTGGTGGCAGCGTCTGGGGTTGGTGGGTTGTGGGAGTCTCTTGGTCGTCATCGCTGTCGGGATTGGCTATGCGCAGACCACCGAGCGAGCGCGACAGGCTCAGGTCGCCGTTCATAGCTCGTGAATAAGGATGCTTTGTCGAAGAACGGGTGACTGGGCCAAGCCAAGGCCAGACACGACCAGGCGCGAGTCTGTCCGGCTACGAGATATGCGGTGTATCCGAGGAGGTGGTCGACTGGTCGTGTGCTACGCAGGACACGAGGGACGACACAATCGGCTTGGACACGAGGCTTCGTCGGTGCATACAGACAGGAACAAGACCGACAACAACGAGACTGGGAGAAGAGCCAGCTTTGGTCCCAAGTCGACGACTTGAGATCCTCTCGCTCTGGCGAGCACGCCGAATGCGCGCACGGACCCAGATCCCAGCTTGGGCCAAGGACACAGCAAGTCTCGTAGAATTGTCCATCTCCTCCCTGCATCTCTCCTGAGCTTGACATGGAAATGAACCCACTGCGCTTGGACGACATAACATCAGTCCTCGTTGGGAGTGCCGGTCCTCGAGTTGCTCTTCGACCATCACGTTCGCTGCTGTTTGCTCTCCTTGCATGTCTGTTCTTGCTTCCCGCGCCTCTTGAACGTGCGTACGAAACAAAGATGCACATGTTGGCTTTCATGGCATGCGCCTCGCTCCGCCTCATCATCCGAGTGTCTTGTCTTTTCTTAGACCAGAGGTTGCAGTCGTGCCCTTGTCTCACACAAGCCAGATCGTCCCCTCTTTTCGAGCATGCGAAGTTGGTCGTACCTGCCTCAATCGTCTGCCTTCCATGTCTTGATTCACCAAAACCTCAGGCAGTTCAACACTGTCTTTGAGACATTGACACTTGCCAGTCTCAACACTGCTCGTCGCACATCCATCTATTCCATGCCTGTTTCCATGCCTTTGTAGAATACATTATGCTCCGCAACCGTCCATCAAGAGTTCCTCTTGGTATGGCTGATGTCAATCAGATGCAACAACGCCCCAGGCTCAAACAGGCCTCGCACCCTCTAGTTGCACAAACTGACCGGGCTGGTGTCCATGACCAACAACAAAACATCCGCATTGCGCCACAGCCCCACTACAACCTCCGTGAAGGCCCTCAAAGATCCAGAGATGCGAGCGTCATTCGGCTTGATCCAAATCGCCATGTTCCGCAGTTTGCCGTCTACGAATCAAATGACTCTGCCGAAGATAGTGACTCTGATGAGACTGCCTCTGCCACCTTCGAGTCCGTTGCTCGTCTTGTACATATAGCAGAGGTCAGCCCCACCATCACTCAAGTCTCTGGCTACGGTCCCCCTGCCCTCGTGCATCTTCCTTCCGAGAGACCGCGAATACATGACAGTCATCATTCTGGACTCATCAACGGTCAGCATCAGCATCTGAGCACTTCTCTTGCACCTATTAGATATCGCTACAACGGCCATTCGGCATCAGGTCCTGTGACACGCTCTGGCTATTCATATCAGCTTTCTCGCCAAGCTACCAACCACTCATACTACCGGAACAGCGATCCGAGGATAGCGAATCTCTCTCAAAGAGGCCAGAATCCTAACGCTGTTTCGTTCTCTCCCCGTGTCCATTTTGAATCCGCTCTTCAAGAACTTTCTCCCCACCACAGGTCCAACGTGGCCTTGGTCAACCGACGAGGAGGAACACTCAGAGCCAGACCGTCTTCGTCTCGTATCTCTCACATCAGTCGTGGTGAGATGAACTACCAAACAAGACCTAGGCCTATGCCGCGCCCTAGAGGGTCTCTGATGCCTAGAAGACCATCAGCCCGAGGCGCTCGCCATACTGGCGGACATCTCAGGCCACCAGCTGCATCGTCAATAGACACGGTCATGGATCGTTATCCAATCTTTCCCTCAATGTTATCCCAGTCTGACCCTCCAAGACCGGACCATCTGTTCCTTCCGCGTTCCGAGAGCATACCTCAGGGAAGAGGCATTCTCACACCACCTGCGGAGCTCAGTACCACACGAATGCCATATCCTCGATCACGGTTCTCTTCGACGACGGCATCTCATACCTCGGTCCAATCCCGAGCTTCGAGTAACAGCCTGTCAGCCACGAACACGGTTTTTGGCCTGGATGAGGTCTCGAGATATGGCTCTTACAGTTCCGGAACTCGGGATGAGCAACAGGCCCCTCATATGGGCAGTGTACGTTCTTCTCGTGTCGGAAGCTGGACTTCTCTGCTCCAAGGAAATGATGGGCATCGAAGCAGTGGCCTTCCCCCAACGCAGTCGCCACTGGACCGTCTAACCCAGGAGTTGCAGCGTTTGTCCACAGGGTTGTCAACAAGATCACAATCTTCATCTGAGTGTACCTCTCGTGTGACGTCTACAGATGGACACTTGCTGAGCGGCGACGCTCTCTACTCCGACCCTGACGTTGAGGTTCAAGAGAGTGAGTTCGAAAAGTACGACCGTCCCAGACACCGCAATTCGAGGCAGGTGGACGGGTATAATAGGGACAGGCCGTCGAGCCGTCAGCCTCAACTCGACCTCGGCATGACAGCACGAATTTTAGATGTGGAGGTTGATTGTGAGAGCGCAACAATCAGACCACTCTCGGTGTCGCCCTCCTCTCAATCTGTAAGCTCGACTCCTGGGATTGACGCTTCTCTGGTGGGCAGCTCACCGCCTGGGGACTTGCCTGGTCTACCTCCAACCACACCGGGTCGACAACTGGTGCGGTCTGCGCGAACTCCCTACACACCTTGTGTCGGTCACAAACCACAGGCGACTCCAAGAGTCAGGGTCTATGACGATTGCCAGCCAGCCAGCATGCAGCCGCAAACACCCGCAGACCTCAATCATCGTTTCAGAAAACGAGTGGCTAATAGTCCTGACATCTCTGCCACTGGTCAAACTCCGCTTCCCTCTACAACAGCTCCACCCGTGGAACAATTACCTGTAATTCCCGCTCGTAACACTCACCGCAATACATATCCCTCCTTCCAGCAAGCAAATGCACAGCCACATTTGACCAACTCGCAACCATCGAGTCCCTACTCTCCTAACTTCGATCTGAGGACTGCTGCGGCTATTACTGCGGTTGAAAGACGACGAACAGCTCGAGCATTTTCCCAAGAAAATGTGATCGACCCGAGTACCAATGGTATGGAGACTGAGAGGGAGGCCATGTGGAGACGCAGAGATGAAGATGGCACGAACATCATGGATGACACACCCCCAAGACAGGGTAGGTACGAACGACTCATCTCGCAGTGAGTTTGATGTATTTTATGGTTGTTTGTCGGCCATCGATGGTTCCGACTAGCATTTTTGAGGGGCTGAAAAGTCGGCTGCGTTTATCCACCATAGCAAGTGGTGCGACTCGACGCACCAGTCAGATTTCCTCCGGGGCCTGGCTGTTCAAATCTCTATCCAGCACGACCTCTTGGGCGACATCTCACAACTCGGTGTAAAGCACAGGGTGGGGGGCGTAGCAACATTCTTAGGAGTATATGTACAAGCATCCTAGTGATTGAAGTATTGGCTAAGTCCATTCTGCTATAGAGTGCACTGTCGTACTTCTCAGTAGCAGTCCGTAGGCATGGGAGCACGGTTACTGCATGATACAATCGTTTCATGATCATAAATTATATAGCTCCACCGAGATGTTGCAGCTCTCACCTCCTGCTACGAAAAGCGACCTAGTTGCTTGAATAAGTATTTAGAGTATTTTTCTGGTCCACATTTTGGTGGCTGTTGCTTGTATCGAATGACAAAGATGGCGAAGTGTGTGAACACGAACAATTAATTATTTTATATTTCGCTTGTTCAAGGATTCTGCTGAAGCACGGTTGGCGAGTGGCCGATCTTCATGGCAGTCTCTCGAGCTGTCAGCATCATCGTGTCCGCACGAGCGATGCTCTTCGTCATCTTGCATATAACGTCCGGCTGGGAACAAGAATGGAACAGTCAAATTCGCCTGACACATTGCGAAGACCGAAGGTAGATGTGAGGGCTGAGGACTGTGCAACGAGGCTGGAGTAGAGGCCGACGCTACTGATATGGTAGAGAAGATATGATTGATAAGGTCAATGATACACCCCCTGCAAATGATCTGCACAAGAGGTGATCGTGCGTCGTTCAAGCTTTCTCAGAAATTCTACCGATCTTCGAATGCCGTTTCAGGTTTGTTGAACGACGGGGCCGGCAGCCCGATGAGGACGCGCAAGACGTGCAACACAACCTGTGACATCTTCGGCAACCCGCCTTCTCTCCCTACTCCTAACATTGCCACATCATTCTCGCCTCGTCACTCTTTCCAACTCAACCGTTATTACCTCCCGTGTGCTGAAATCGATCTCGGTGATTTGATTGCTCGCTTTCTGGATTGTTTTCCTCCATGACGAATTTCTGGTGAGAAGTTTCACCACACAACGAAAAACATGGGGCAAGCCACGCCAGCTGCAGGACGCAACGGTGTTGTCGCATACAAACAGGCCCTCTGCAATCTAGCTCAAGCTCCTCGATGGAGGGGACTCATCATCGGCACTGTTTCGTTCTTGCTTGTCTTGTGGATATGGCAGGCCAACTCGGATCCGAACGCGCCTGGATCGAAGCTCTACAACAAAATTTCAGGCCGACCGAATCATCGAGATTTCATGTGGAAGCCGCCATCCGTGCTTGAGCCATCCGAGTTTACGATAGATCTGGAAGAAGGAAAGAGTTCTACAGCACCCAGCGGGCTCAAGAAAGAGAACCCTCAATTCCATCTTCTGATTCATGCGCCAAAAATCACGAGCAATGTCTGCCGGAGTCTGTTGTCGTCTTTTCTTCTGGACTATCCGACTCCGACGTTAATAGGCTACAGGCCTTTCCCACCTAATGAGACTGTAGAAGGAGACTTCTGGCTGGACTATGGCCTTCCGGACATCACACAATACTTGACAAAACAGAACCGTATTTCGGACGATGACCTCATTGCCATCGTTGACGGAGAGAGCACTATATTTCAGCTTCCTTCAGAGGCTCTCTTGACCGAGTACAGTGCGCAGACGAAAAAAGCCAACGCTGGGCTGGAAAGCAAGTATCGTGACATCCCAGTGAAGACGGCAAACAAGCAGAAGCTGCAGCGCTTCAACCAATCAGTATTCTTCGCAGCAGAGTATGAAGTGAAGCAACAACCTCACAATGGATTCCTAAGCAGATTCAGGCTTCCTGAGCAGAAGCTGTCGACACACCTAAACGACAATCTTGCAATTGGATCTGGCTCAGGACTCCGTCATCTCTTTGAAACAGCATTAGAGCAGAATACCCGCATTGAGCGCACAGATCGCGATACCTTCAACACCATATTCGCACAACAAGGCCTCCATCGCGCATCTCAGGCCAAGGAGCAACGCGAGCTCAAGACATGGCTATCCCGCAATGTGTTACCAACCAACAAGAAACTCAAGAAGAAGCTGGCCGAGGACTATGTGGTAGCCAAACAAGACCTCGGCATGGGGCTTGACTACAAGGCTACTATCTTCCAAACCATCCCGTCGACAGCCCAACATGTCGCTGACAGTGTTATCTCGCTGTCTGAATACCCCAGCTTCCCAGTTCCAGCAACCCTCAAGAAGCTTCGAGACCCATTCGCCCTCCACACCTCGACACCCCACCTCAACTCCACCAGCGCAATTCTCATCCAGCATCAAGAAAAACTGCCCTTCACTTCCCGCTGGATAGATGTTCCTCTCTTCACCAACCCCATCTCGCAACAAGTGCCTTCACTCGTATCCATGCTACCCCCAAAAGCCAATGCCTACGCAAATACCGCTTCAGGTCTACTCACAGCCCCAGACACCAACATGCGCGAACTATGGGAGTCCATGTGGTTCTTCCCCTACGCACGACCACTACTCAAACAGTACCTCTCCAAATCAACCAGCAAGGAGATCGCCTCTGAAGCAGCCGTCGGCGGAGAGCGTTGGTACGATGCCCGCGGCGGACGTGGCGGTGTCTGGACAGTCGACAATGAATGGCTAGATGCTGCAGACTTGTGCGCACCCTTTGGCAAGGAAATTTTCGAAGATGGATTGAGAGGATGGGCCGATGCTGTGCCTGATGGTGTTGAGCTCTCAAAGGTCGAGAAAACTCCTGATGGTAAGGGAATTGTGATTGGAGAGCAAGTGAGGAACGGGCAGATTCATAAGATTGTTGCTGTCCAAGCTGGGCAGTGAGGTATAATGGAGAGGGAATAGACAGGCATAGCATGCATCTTTGTATTTTTAATCTCGTCCTAAAGCGTTAGAAGGATTGGTATTGGTGTTTGTGGCGTTCTCTACTTGTTATCGTTATTCTACATAGCGGCTCGCATATTATAGATTGGCTTGATTCGATCATCCAAGACCTTCAACCTGTCATGAGTCTCTCTTATGGATCTTGCGCGCAGTAAGTTGCACACACATTCAGGCTGTTCAGTATCTCTGTTGATGTGTATATACACTGGCGACGTAAACGTTGCGGATGAGTCTTTGCAATGAAATCTTGCTCAAATGGAGTTATCGTCCTTGTCCACGTCGAACAGTACTTCTAGAAGCATCTTGCATCATAACGTGTGTAAGAGTCACATACTCGTTCTTCTCACGAGTAGTTATGACCTTTCATAGACGGGGCTCCAAGCTTGTAATGTACTTTTTAGTCGTCGACTTTTCCTCCACGCCCACGCCGCTCATCATGGATGCAATACCAGTAACAAACCACTCCTTGTGGTCATGGCCCCATCGAAACCCAACTAAAGAGCCGAAGAACATAACCAAACAAAAACCCTTTTCCTTTCTCCAACTACCTCTTGAGCTAAGGATCTTGATCTACGACTACGCAATCACCGAGCAAGAACATAACATCACTTGCCGACGTAATGGTCACCGTTTACCTGGCCTATTCCACACACATCCACAGATCACAAAAGAGATTTATCGATTCTGCCACATTACTGCCGTCATCGATATTGCTATACCAATTCCTCGCTCACGTTGGGCTCTATATAATGGAGTCAAATTTTATCGCATGCTTGTCGCGACATACAGATTGATAGTTGCTGGCCATGCAGCCAACAAATTCCGCAACAAGAGGGTGGGCAAAGCGCTCACGGGCAGGAAAGCAACAAAAAGATCTCGCGATGGGGTTCAAGGGAGACGATTGTCCATGAAGGTAAAGATCAAATGCTTGGATTGCAAGGAAGAGTGTAATGGGTTAAGTGGGGATGATGTTTGTCAGTGGTGTCTGTTGTTTATACAGATCTGGGATGAAAGTGATCATACCGGAATGGTACGGTACAGGGACCTGTATCACTTTTGTTGAGTTGAGAGACAGTCGAGCAGAGGGGCGATTTGATGCTGAGATTGAGGCTGCAGGACGGCTGGTCATGACTTTCTACTCATACACAGAATCTCTACTCATGATTGCACTCTCCACTCACACATACATACCTCACGTACAGCCAAAGATATCATAAGAGCGTCTCGCTAGTCTAATGCACGGTGTATAAGCTCAAGATTCACACATGACGTGCAAAGCACATAGTCACACATACGATACCAGAACTGCAGGGGGAGAAGACGAGTGAGAAAAGAATGCAAGCAGAGATGATCAATAAGTTAATACAAGCGATAGGTTTACTACACCTTACTTAGGCGTTTAGCAATCTCAGAATCGCTAGCTCCTTCCAAGCCGACTTTGTATGAAGTGTGAAACATCAGCATCTCTGCGTTTCTGACAAGCAGCCCAAGCAGCAGCGCGTCTCTTCTTGAGGTATACCTCGTCAGTGGGCGACTTGTCATGAAACGTCTCGGCAGCGTACTCGTTGCCGGTTTATGGTCGGTTCCGTCGATGACTACATTGTCAGTCTCGTCGTTATCTTCTTTATCGCTTTCCTCGCCTCCATCGCTCTCGTCGTCGCTGGTTTCATCAGCGTCCGTCATTGTCTTTTCCGTCGAACCAGGCTACCCAGCCTTGAACACGAGCGACGATATTATCGTTACGTGGCACTAAGACAGCTGGTTCGACTTGCATAAAAATGAATAGTAATGATGTGAAAGGTTGGTAGCGAGGGATTAGCTGCAAGCTCTCTGTTCACCAGCTCTTTTTATTTTTATTTTACAGATGGCCTCGAGACAAAGAACCGAAGCTGCGATACCTCGATTCCTTGATGGCGATATCGAACAGCTTCACGACTTGGCTGCCAGTGAGACAAAGAGGTTGACAATCGATATCGCCGGATCCGGTCCGAACATGAGGAATGCCGGCTGATGGCGTCGTAACAAAGTACACAAGTCCACCGGCACCCTCGAATTGTCATGTACATTAAGCAGAATCTCATCCGACGTATCTCTGAGATTTGGTCCCAGCCATGGCGTATACCCTCTTCGGCCTCGCATTTCGCGTGCTGTCCCTCTACTTCGGTCTCCTGATCTTCGCATCCGTCTATCAAGCGACTTCCCCAACCTCACCTCACAACAAAGGCGAAATTATCGACCACGGAGCTGAACTCCTCCAGAGGTCATTCAAGGAGTTACGGATTCTGTCACCAAGTTTCGACTATTTCGTCCAAACAGTCTATCAAGTCTCCGCCCAAGCAGTGCTGACAGTGGCTATGCGATACAACATCAATACTGCGGTATATGCGGGCGTATTGTTTGGTTGCGCACTCTTCTCGACAGTTATCGTTGTCATACAAATCTTATCCTGGGTACTTTGGGTGGTTCTGATGCCCATATGGCTGATCGCAGACTTGTTTGGGTTGCTCGAAAGGATTACTGTAGGGATCGTCAAGTTCCTGAATGGAGAGCTCTGGGCCAGTGAAGAGATTCAGCCCACGAGCCCTGGCTATCCCAAGATGCCGGAGGGTCCTCGACGCAAGGGGCCTGGACGAAGTCGATCATGGGAAAGGCGTCAAACATTCTATCAGCATCAGTAATGTTTATCGTTCTCCATCAGTATCATGTCTGTGTATCGAGAATGACAAGAGCATAAGACCGATTCCTTGAGCTTGCGGTAGTACGAGACAAGTCGCAGTGCTGTATCATGCGTTGGCAAGAAGTAAAGGTGAATCGTTGGCAACAAAGACAATGTGGAGATAGGAGACAGTGCCAAGGATTATGATAAGAATAGAGTTGCTGCCGGAAGGGCGGCAAGAGCTGCGCCACTCACGATGGCAGCATCGTGGTTGCCTGAACCAACTGACGCCAGCGTTCGAACGTCTTATTTCCCTTGCCATCAACGTCCCCTCTTATTGTCTCCATCAACCTATCGCACCTTCCTCAGTATCACGCGGAACGACTTGCATCAATCATCCATCACCGTATACACAACTCGTACAGAAGACTCTCACCATCGCCACCATGCACGGAGAAGTGCTCCATCACCTGGTTCGCCGTGGCTACGAAGCCATGAGCACGACCGAGTCTCGCCAAAAGATCACAGCTGAAGTCAGCGGAGTCGAGATGCTTCCTATCATCCTCACTGTCGCTCTCTTTGCCTTTATTCTGGCTTCGGTACGTAGCATGAGATTCGACTATGGTCGATTCGTTATTAACATGATCAACAGGNTCAGATACACACTCGGAGGTGTTGTCGCTAGCCTGGCCATGATCGAGGACCGCCAAACCACGGTCGTCGAGACGCGCACACTCGTCGTTGATGAGAAGGAGGATCCTGATGCTCCCCTGGACAAGGCTCGCTTGATTGATGAGGAGGTCATGGTCATCAACCAGACTCCCCTGACTGCCAGCATCCGCAACACCCTCAAGCACCTGACCTCGATCGGTGGCTTCAGAGCTCGCTGGAGAGGTCTCGGCGCTGCTCTCATGTACAACCTCGTTCACTCGTTGACCGTCAACTTCATTGCCATGTTCATCGCCGCCTTTACTGGTCTGCCTGTTGTTGGTCGCATCCTGGCCAACATTGCCGCCAACATCCTGTGCGCCCGTATCCACATGGTCTGGACCCACGCCGTCATTTCCGAGCCTTCATCCTTGACCTGGTCTCAGCGTCTCTCTCAGACCGACAGAAACATGTGGCGTGCTCTGGTTCTGCCCTCCTTCGTCCATTCCATCGCTCAGCTTGCCACCTACGGCCTGCCTGTTGCCATGTTCCTCTTCGTCGGTCCTGAGATCACCAACGACATGGACAACGAGCACTTGCTCGCCAGAGGTGCCATGTCTCTTGTCGCCTTCGTCATGCTCAATGTCCTCATCCTGCTCCCTGCTTCTGTGACCCGTACCCGCATCGAGGCCAGCTTCTTGCCCGAGGACACTAACACCATTGTCCCCTTCGACCGCACTTTCAACGGTGCCACCAACATGATTGCCCTAGACAGCCGCGCTGGTCGCAAGAGCCTGTTCATCGAGGCCTGGCGCTCATTCGACATGGCCAGCAGAATCCGCTTGGTCAAGTTCTTTGTCAAGGAAGCTGCCATCGAGCTTTTCTTCTCAGTCACCGCTACCATTGCCATTGGCTCCCAGGTTGTCGCTTTGGGCTTATCCAAGGACAGCGTCGTTGTCGCTATGGACGGTATGTAGATGTCTGGAAACCACTCCATTCGATATACTGCCATAGCATAGCCTCTCTTCCCTCAAATTGTAAATGGCGTTTAGGATATTTATACTCATTAAACCAACTGTTTCGCTGATGAACCATGCTTGCTCTCACTTCTCGTTCGCCCTTCAATATATGACTTTTGCCTCTCCATAGAAACATCCACACTACTTGTTCAGGGTAGGAAGCTGCATACGTTCTCGAGAGAAGATCTTGCTATGCCGAAATTTCTTAGGTAACTTGACAACGTTACAAGCGATGATCACTGTCGAGTGGGGGCATGTTCGGAGAAAGCATCAAGGTAAACGATCGGAATATACCTTCTCCAATTCCTGTGCATCCTTCCAACATCGTATACTCTCTACTTCACATTACCAGCAACCTTCTCCTCATAGAGAATCTGTTCCTTGCTCTCCACAGCAGCACCAGCATACGCATCGATCTTGTACTTTGCAAATTCTCTTGCAGAGACACCCTTCGTGAATAGCAGATCCATCTCTTCGTACGTGCGGTCCTTGGCTTCGGGCAAACGGAAGTAAGCCCACACGAATGTGAGGAAAGAGGTTGCGAACCAGAAGAATGCGGTCTTGCCTTTGAGGTTCCACTCGGTAGGATTCATAAAGTAAGACTCGAGCNNTGTAGAAGAAAGTCAGTTTGTTGGGCACGAGCCTAATGGGGGAAAGACAACACTTACAGTCGAACACACAATATTCATCAACGCGTACGCGTTTCTCGCCAAACAAACCGTCTTGGCACGAACGCGGATGGCAGAGGTTTCACTGACAATAGTGTATGCCACAGGCCCCACGGTAAGCGAATAAGTAAATAGCCATACCACGGTCAGAGCCCCGGCTACCCACTTCACGTCGTCGGATTTGCTGGCTGCGGAAACAATGCCGATGATGAAGAGTAAAGCACAGAGAACACCCATGCCCGTGGTGTAGATTTTTCTTCTGCCTACGCGCGCGAGGATGAACCAGGATGCGATTGTGCCGCANAAGGCTACCGCTGTACCGCCGAGTCCGATGCTGTAGGATACAGTGTCGGCGATGCCGGCTTGTTGGAAGAAGTACGTCGGGGTGTACGCGAAGCAAGAACCNTTTTGTGCCTTTGTCAGTATTCCGGGGTGTTTGTGTCTTCGTGGCAACTTACCTGAGAAAAGTTGGCCCATAAATGTCATACAGCAAATTTCGGTTCGTCGGCGATCAGTGCCCTTGAAACATTGCAAGTAAGATGACTGCGACGCTTCATTGTCGAGTTGAGTTTCAATCTCAGTAGTGTGCACCATCATTGCCAGTGTGCCCTTGATTTCATCTTCGCTGGTGTTGGTGGAGATGCGCTTGAGGATATGTTCGGCGTCTGCGAGTCGATTGTTGCGGACCATATACCACGGCGACTCTGGAGCAAAGAAACAGGCAACCATGAGAGGGACAGGCCATGCCCATTGAACGGCAAAAGGGATGCGGTAGGACCACTGGTCAGTTCTGGCGACAAGACCTTTGAGGACACCGGCGGCGATGAATTGGCCAATGGCCCCNTGATGTGCGTCAGTAGTAATACAGAAGAAGCTAGTGGACTGCTTACAGCACAGATTGACGTAGGATGTCAGGTAGCCTCTGAGTTGCAAAGGCACAATCTCAGAAGCATAAGCCGGGCCGATTGTTGCAAAGACACCCCAACTGAAACCACACAAAATCTGACCGACGACAAGGACAGGCTTGTTCGGAGCGAAGAACGTGATGAAGATGAAGGCGTTGAGGAAGAAGAGAGCAACAATGATGACCTTGCGGTAGCCGTACTTTGCAGCGAGCCAGCCGTTCAAGAAGATACCAGGAACAATACCGACATTACTCGCATTACTGTCCAGCGTTAGCTTCGATCATAACTCCATATCTTCACATCTGACTTACTTGAGAGCAGTTTGCCAAGCACCAGTAAGTTGATAATCGCTGGTAGCCGCATTGTATTCGCCAAACTTCTTAGCGAAGGATGGGTAGGCGAAGAAACTCGACATCAAGATGGTATCGTAGCCTTCCATGACAACAGTCATCGACATGACCATGGACCAAGCAATGGCTTTGCGGTTCTTCTTGATGACTTCCATGAGCGGCGTATTGTGTTCGGCATCGGAGGCGTGCTTAGCATCGACGATGGCATGAGCGCCGAACACCTCTTCGATCTGGTGGGCTCCATGCTTGAGCGACTCGTCTGCTGTGTGAGATGCCATCTTGATTGATCCTTCAACTGCCTTCCTGAGGCAGACCCGGAAGATTGATAGGGCACAAGATTGAAGAGTTATCTTGCAGAAGCAGCACAGGGTACCAGCATACATTTATCGCCATGGTACATCGGAATGTACAGGAGCGATACATGTTACAGCAGACCGTAACCCTAGACAGAACGAACTGTTATGTCGAAACGGGGGTACGCATGACAAGGTAAAGGAGTGCTAGCGTGTAGTCAAGCAGCATGTTGCAGATTATCCGGTACGTTCAGAGAAATGATTTGCTAAGGATACGATGTATAGTGGAAGATCATCGAGTAGTAGTCGATTCCACCAATCAGTCTCCTTCCCCAGATGCACAACCCCGCGTTCATGGCAGTGGCGTGGTGGGGGTTCGAGTCGGCATGATCGATCACGTTCACTTGCAGGGCTCGCCTAAGCATGAACTGTTGATTCGAAAGTCTAGAAACAGTGATGGATCAAGTTATTGGTGGTGAAATTGGGCTCTCGTATCCTTCCACGTTGTTGGTCGTACTGTACCTGAGTGATTATCCAGCTACAGCCGCGAGATCTGGAGGATCTCTGCACGAACCCCAATTGACACGGAGTATGCATGCACTTGGGCCTTCACCGCGCTTGAGGAACTCTTCACCTCCCGAGGCGGTAACGTGAATCTCTCGGGAAAGCACTCATACGCACGGACGACGATATCTGGCAGATAAGCATCGTACACATTGCGTATGGTGAGTAAGACGAGGGTCGGGCGGTCGAAGGTCACGGATTTACACCCAGCCTGTTTGCATGGGCATATCCTTCATCTCATACTGGATACTGTCGAGGGACGTCAAGTAGACATCTGTACGATGCGGTGGGCGACTGCGGCCAGCATTGGTAAACCTGAGAGTCATGCTCAGCCGACCAAATCCTTATAACGCAGTTTGCGGTTCCATTGAGCGTGGTTTGACAGTGACAGATAGTCGTTTGCCTTGACGGGACAGAGCCGACCACACGACATGCTCTCGAGGCAGCCTCTCGAAAGAACGTGCTACCATTCAACAGAGCGCCTGTGCTATCCGGCGTCCGGCCGGGAGATGGTTCGAGAAATACTTCGAGGTGACACGCTCAATAGATACCGTGAGCTCTGTATCACCATTCTGCATTTCGCCAGATAGTCACTTGGTCGTCAGTATTTGAAAAGCTGAACTCAGATTAACACCAGACAGAGAGTCCCATCAGACTGTATTTATGTTTTCCTAGCGAGTCCAAGGCAGAGATGGTGTAGGCAATCAAATGGCATGTGCGTCCAAGGTGTCGTTCGACGAGTGTGTAATGCAGAGGTTTCTTGCGGAGCAAAGTGCGATGTCGTTTGCAACCGAATCTGAGCCAGCCGGCCTCAAGTGCACTTAATAGCTCGTCTAATGTAGTACTGGGGGCTCAAATCGACAATGTCTGAGAGTCTAGAAGAAGACTTTGCTCAGATGCAACCTCTCGTGCGCTAGTCAGAGAAATCATCGAAGCAGATCAAGAAAAAGTGTCTGTTTATGTTGCACGGATCATGTTGAGCGAGTGTATGTGCCTTGTGAAGGAGATTGAGTCTTACCTTTTCTCGGCACTTCCACGCGTACACCATTTCTCGGCGACGACATCATCCACGGAGCGAACGACATCATTCACGCAGTGAACGAGACAGCATCCACGCAGCGAACAACAACATCCACGCAGCGAACAGCATCCACGCAGCGAACGACAGCATCCACGCAGCGAACGACATCCACGCAGTGAACGACAGCATCCACGCCCTGGAAGACATCATCTAAAGCCCCGAGGACATCATCTAGAGTCTCGACGACATCAAGTATGGATGTCCACAAGAAAATGCTGGCCAAGAAGCTCAAGGCGCTCTACAACATCCTCGAGCACCTAGACCCTCACCTTTGGCTCTCTCTCGACACCCGCTATTGCGACGACCTGAAGCGTCCTGACCATGACATTGTCGAGCTCAAGGTGCCTGAAGATGTCAGCCGCTTCATCAAGGCTGGCGAGGACATGACCGAAGCTCAAAGACACGAGGCCGGCATCGACCGCCTGCTCACCACCAACGAGCACCTCCCTCAGCCTAGCGCCTACAACCCAGTCAGAACGCTTGGCGACCTCAGGAAGCTGTTGAAATCGGGCTTTGTCCGCAAGCCCGAGAGCCCCAGATGCCAGAAGTGGGACGAGTGCATGTATGGAGAGCTCAAGGGCTTTGGCTTCATCATCCAGCTGACCCTCGAGGACTTCCGCTGGGCTGTTGACGAGGCCTGGGGTCCTGCTAAGGCCTGAGTCGACAAGTTCGTACGTAACGTGTTGTCCTAGAGTCTTTGATTGTATCTGATCCCAAGCAGGTCCAGTCCTCGGGACAGATGATCACTCCAAAGGACAGACGTTCCCAACTGGCTTGAGCACCAATCAAGCATCCATCGAAGGTCCGTTGTTGTATCTTCATTATACGTCGACAGCCTTGTACTGACAGCAAACATTGATAGCGTTGGTCCGCGACACACAACCCGCGTTGCCAGATTCCAAGTGAGAGCGGAGCAGTCATCGACAAGTATGGCTGCCTTGAGCAAGCCATTGAGAGCAAAACATGGTGGAAATCTTTCGGGACTCGCAAACACACGCCATAGCGTGATCAAGTAGCTGAAGCAAACAAGACCGGCCGACGTCGCTGGTTCGTCGTGGCCGTTGTTCTCTCACTCTTCTCTTTCCAAAACACTCGGTTTCACTCTGTGATGCCGTCGCTTCCAGAGTCAGGTTGAACAGCAGTCGTCTCCGACAGCGGTCGGTTTATTGTCGTGGTTGAATAGACGGTTGTGAATGCTCAAGTATGGCTGAAAGGGAGGGGCGTCGACGCCATTCGTACCAGGCCCGACTGGCCACGATGTTGGACAATCCTGGTCCTGCCTCTTCATATACGAGGGTGTCAGCCACCAGCATTCGTGCCGTACTCGAGCAGCCTGGTGACCAGACGTGATCGGCTAATAACGATCTTGTAGGCAATGGTAGGTCGATCTCTCGGCCTGTCGGCTGATGAAGACGTGTCTTACTCACCCTCCTCCGGAAAACTTGGCAAAGACGGCAAGCACCTTCCCCACGCGGGGACCCCATTCCTCCTCGACGACGAGCTCATCTCAATCTCCTGCTCTTCGACATGTAGAGATGAGCATCACGATACAGCTGTGCGGACAGTGATGCAGTTCATCTCAGTCCCCCACAAGCAGGCCTCAGGAATGCAGCTGCTCAACACCCTTGGTCCCGCCACGCAAGCCATGCAATTACACTGCTTGCATGGGAAGGAAGGTAGGCCAATGCACCTGCCACTTGGGATCCCCGCAACGTCATCCGATACCATGTTCGCTCCCGGACCTGACGATCCTTTCTCTCAATCAACTTTCCCAGAGCGGGGTCCGGCAGAGCTTCAATGCTATAATATCTGTGCCTAGCACCTGTAGATCTGTCTTGTTGTTCATCTCGTTCATCGCACTCTAGCTGCAATCACTTGTCGACTTCAAGCTATGTTCTCAGGCAAGCTCGCTGCTCTGGTAGCTCTTCTCCCTGCCGCAGTCTTCGCTGCTAGCAACACCAGCATTGCAGGTAATGGCTCTTCAGTACTTCCCAATGGAAAGTACGAGATCTCGTCCGAGGGAATCCGCGCCAACTTCGTTCCTTACGGTGCATCCATTTCCAACCTCTTCATCCGAGACCAACACGGCGTTGAACGCGATATCGTTCTTGGTTGGGACAACGCTACCTACTACACCGAGGACAAGCTGCACCCTCACTTCGGGTTGGTCTCATTCTCATGATTCCAGATTAATGGCTGACAAGATCCCAGTGGTGTTCCCGGACGCTACGCCAACCGCATCAAGAACTCCACCTTTGAGATCGATGGCAACACTTACCATGTGACTCCGAACGAGAACGGCGGACTCGATACCCTCCACGGTGGACTTGATGGCTGGTTCGAAACACCATACTATACCAATCTCCGATGGTTGTTGACATACTCTGCAGGGNACTGGCGCAACTGGACTGTGGCCGCTCACACTACCGACTCCATTACCTTCTCCATCGTCGACCCCGATGGTGCTAACGGTTTCCCTGGCGAAGTCATCAGCTACGTGACATACACATTGACCCCTTAGTAAGTGGGCAAGCGCTGTGCTCTGGAGACTATGCTAACAACATGCAGCCAATGGCACTTGAAGATGGTTGCAGTCGCCACTACCAAGAAGACCCCCATCATGCTGAGCTCCCATGTAAGACAATTGGCCCGAAATCTCCGACATTGTATTCTGACCGAGTCCAGGNTCTACTGGAACCTTGACGGTTTCCAAAATCCCGATGATGCCACCATTAACAACTACACTGTACACCTGCCTTACTCTGGCCAGCGTGTTGCCGTCGATGGCATCCTCATTCCCAACGGTACCATCTTGCCCAACGAGCAAGGTGGTGTATACGATTTCTGGTCGTCGCCCAAGAAGATCGGTGCCAACCTGACTTCGCCTGATCTTGTTGGCGGTTGTGGCAGCGGCTGCGTCGGTTACGACACCTGCTGGCTGGTCAACAGAGAGCAGAACGGACCCTATGACTGGCGCCAATCGGGACCTGTCGCTACTGTGTCGAGTCCATTCTCTGGTATTCAGATCGACATCTTCACCGACCAGCAGGCTTTCCAGATCTACTCATGCCCTGGACAAAATGGTTCGTTTCGTTCTGTTCTGTTACCGAGTTTTGTCTAATTTTGACGCGCAGGAACCACCACTATCAAGGAGACTCAAGGCTTCTTCAACCAGACCGACCAACCCCGTGTCGTTCAGAAGTACGGCTGCATGGTTATGGAAGTCGAGGACTGGATTGATGCCATCAACCAACCCGAGTGGCAAAGAGAGAAGAGGAACATCTTCGGCCCTGGTGACGACCCATATGTTCTCCAGGCCACATACAAGTTCTCTGTCAACAAAGACACCGCATCTACCTCCAACTGCACTTCTAGCTACTAGAGGGCAGAGAGCGGGGGCATCGATATAATCATTTGAGAATAGAGCTAATTGACGTCTGTTGAATGACACGAGATGTTTCATTGCAGTGAAGCTGGTAACGAGAAATGACGCCAATGAGTCGGGTTAGTTATGGTTGCAAGTCATATCTGTCTACATGACTCGAGATGTAAGTGACGACGACGACAGAGTTGGTTGAACGGATGTTTACCGACATGTATTCACAAACTACCCACTCACACTTATTCTCGTTGCGCACTCTCCTGCCCGCTCACGAAAATCTATCGATCATTTTCGACCATCATCACTCATCGCTCCTTCTTTCCGCTCCAACTCCTTCCAGTAACCACTCCTCGCGCAAGGAACTCCCGGCGCCACATAAGTATAGCCTCGCAAAGAACTCTTTCCCAGATAAGCCGGATACTTCCAGCAGAACAACAATATTACCAGTGACCGTCGAGAGCAACCACGCAAGTACTCCCATAGACGAAGTAAGACCAAGATCGTGGCAAAGCAGCTCTACTGAGCGAAGCCATTCCTCGTTCTTCAACAGAACCAACGATCTCAAGCCCAGCCCCCAGCTTGATTGCTGTGCCTCCAGTGTCCAATGAGAAACTGAATATCGAAGACAAGATATCAGCGGCGGTGGACCACTAAAATGAAGACCTGCGACAGGGAGTCCTATCAGCTGAGAGCAGCATATCAAAATGCCATGCCTGACGCTCTAGTGGCAGGAGAGCGACTGCGTGTAGCCATGGGCATGGAACACCAGGCTTTTGACGGTCACGGACAGCTTGTCGTCCTCCCCTGGCATATGCCTCTACCTAGAGAACTCCAACGTGGAATTCGGCCTACACCTCGGTATCTCAGCACAGCTATCGAGAGTGTCGGTACTGGACGCGAGATAAGCATGATGCCATGCAAAGGAGCTCAACTTGGAGCACTTCCACAACGCAACAAGAGAAGAACCGACCCATCTAATCAACTCGAGCGTGCTCTCCACAACAAGAGCCTCGCCCAGCATCTCTCTGTTCCTACCGTCCCCAACAGCGCAATGCCAGCTCCTCTTCAAAGCAAAGACAAAAACCTGCCTCTGCTCCTCGCCAAGACGAGAGTTCCACTCAAGACCAACGAGGTGATGGACAACGTGCTCAAGCGCAAGCTGGCTCAAGTCAAGCTTCCTCCAGCCCCCAAAGATCAGCCTCTGAGCGGTACAGTGCCCAATCTTTCCAAGCAGCCAGCTTTCCAACACAGAATTCGCAAGTCCGGACCTGCTTCCCGTACCGTCGATATGGCAGATGTGCAGAAGAAGTCTTGTAACCCAAAGCCGGTCGAGTGTGAAGAAAAGTCCGAATCACCCTCGCCTCCTCGTCGTCGCTCCATGCCACCTATCGAAGCAGTTCTGGCCCACGGTTTCAGGAATTTGAACCTCGTTCGCCCTCTTGAGAACAGCACTCCACGCTCACATGCCTTTCAACCATGGACAAATCTTGCTTTTAGCCACAGAATCTTGTCTCCCACGCCAGCTTTCCTACTCAACATGACTCCTTTTCAGTACAATGACAGCGAAGATACATACTACTGGAAGTCCTCACTGCCTATGTTGTTGTCCTACCATCTTGCCAACCCAGCAACTCTGATCGAAGAAACGCTTGTTCAAAGTCTGACCTTCCATCTCCCGCCACCAACCCCAAGACTGTCTCTCGCTCCAGTGGGCAACAGAAAGCAACCCAACAGAACATCAAGACAACCCCACTACGCAACCGAAGGCTCAGAAACCAATACCGAAATCCGAATGATCAGAATGATTCTACCTCCCCTGCTGCAAGCCAACAAACCCAGCGATCCCGAGCTTCCCTTTACAGATTGGCTGCTCATCTGCCTCAGCGACAACACTTCCACTGCTCCCCCTACCAATACTAGAATCTTGCGATCCACGACAAAGGCGAATAGATACCCATACCTTCTTCTCGCTATCCCCACCCACGCAATCTCTGAGACTCATTTTGTGGCAAAGAGTCCGGTGCTGAATGCAGACAAGAAGCATCAGACTGTTACTACAGAGTTGAGGTTTACTGGTAGAGGAAGACTACCTTTGATGTTTGGTGTAGGAAGGGAGCCAGGTTTTATCGATACGTGGGTCAAGGGGTTTGGCATGGGAACGGCAAGGTTGGAGGTTACGGTTGCGAAGGGTGTGAGGCCTTGTTGGCTGTAAAGGGCAGAGTTGTCGTTGCTGCCTGCTTCCTCTTCTCCCGTCAAGGATACTGAAATGGTGTTTCTACGACAAGGTTGCCCTTTTGCTCGGGTTGCTTACTGGTCTCGCGCTCATTCGCTCTTTCATTCTTTCTTGATTCTTGTTTTCGCTAGCCTTTACTCTCTTCTTTGTGTCTCTTTCTCTTCTTTTCCTTTCCGTTCGCTCGCTATCACTTTTCATCATTAGCAGGTCAGGTGTCAACACTGCTTGCTTGCAGACGTAGCCAGAAAAATCAAATCTATCTTTCGCTCTCTCTCCCCTGGAGCTCTATTCCCGATACTTTCTCTTGCCCTTCCCATTGAATACGCTCTTTGGTTTATGCAGATCTCCAAGTTGCAAAATATTTCACAATGGCTGAAAGGAACATTATATGCAGTCTGAGCCTAGAAGTCATCGATCGAGCTGAGAGATGAAAGTGGTGATATGTTTTGTTCAAGCAAGGGTTGAATGCTATAAAGGAAAAGGGTATATCCCAAACGCCTTTGCTCAGTAAACGCCATGTCTCGTATGCTAATATCAATTCGACATTCCCAGTCTCAGGCCAGGGTGACCTCAATCTCCTGTCAAGTCCAACTCTTCTACACCACTCTTTCTGTACATTCGTCGGTCTCTCGGCGTTGGTTCAGTCAAGTCAACCTCCATGACGACATCTTTCCATTTGCCGGGTAAACTGTCTCGGGGTTGGATGAATCGTTTTTTGACTTTGTTCGCCGGTGTCTGGAGTAGCTGCTGATTTTCGATTGTGGAAGTTGATTGCATATCTCCAGTGCTGTGATCATGTCTAGCTTTTGCTGTACTTGATCCAGTCGCGGAAGAGGAGTTTGTTGCTGTCGCTGTGACCTTTGTGACTGTAGCTTCGACTTTCCTGTCCCGCAAGCGCTTGTTGATCGGAAGCAAAGCAGACACCGATATCACAGGTCTTTCAATATTTGGAGTCTTCTTCGGCAGTTCTGGCTCGTATGGTGGGGTGGGCATGGAAGACTGTAGCTCGAGCACTTCGACTTCCTCGTCCAGCGGAGCTGGAGTAACCCTACTCGAGGACGCGCTTGTTCGTACGGTTGGTTTGGCACTGGGCGTAGGCATGGTTGAATGCGCGACCGCTTGACGCGTCTTGTCCGAAACCCTCTGGACTGCGCCAAACCTGGGTAGACTTGGTAAAGACTCTGGTGAAGCCAAGTCGATAGCCTCGAGGTCTGGACCTCGAGGAGTAGAAGGTCGGAGAGAAGGCGATTCCATCTCATCTGCTCCCGTAGTCGGTGCAGTCTGGAACCTCTTCAGAGGTGATCGTCTTCGCCTTCGAGTCACTGTATCGCGCAGTGGAGCGATGGTATCAAAGTCATTCCGAGGAGAGGCCGCAAGCGCTTTGTCAAACTGCTTGAATTGATCTTGGATGCTGGTTGTGCGCACGGGCGCTGCTTTCGGCGAGACTGGCTTCACAGGAGATGATGAAAGAAGGTCAACGATCTCTGGAGTTCCAGAGGCTTTTCGAGCTGGCGAAACCATCCTTGGCCTGGCTCTTCTGAATGGAGATGCTGGTTCGGGTGAAGAACGCTTCGAGTTCCGTTTCTGAGGGACAATTGCTTCGAGACTGAGATCCAATTCGGGTATTGAAGGGGTCCTGCTTGATGTGCCGCCACTCACATCGAGTTCAGTGACCGCTGCTCGGATTCTGAATGAATTGCTCTTGGGAGCTGCCTTCGCGATAGGTTCTTTTTCTCCTGCACTCTGCTTTGCAAGAGCATCAATCCTCGATAAGTCCAGCTCATCGCACTCTGGAGATTTGGACTTAGACTGTGCTGTACGATCCACACCAGGTTTGGCGGTTTTGGTGAATTGATCCAGAGCGCCTCTTTGCATGCCTCCAGTCTTTTTCGTGGCTGCAGGTATGCGGCCGGCCGTTGCTTGGTTCGTGGCGGCTTTACGGAGTCGTGGGGCAGGCTTCGATTTTGTGACTACACCGGCCTCCCAATCTTGAACTTTGAGAGGCGCACCAAGGCGCACGAAGGTGTCGAGGAGCCAGACCTTGTCATGCACAGTCGGATCGTATGTAGAGGGGCCTCGCTTTTTCTTTGGAGATCCAGGACATTCGCCATCTTCAGTCGGTAGCGGCTCCGAGTCTGAATCCTCCTCGTCCTCGGGGACTTCCTCGTCAGGATCTTCGGTACTGAGATCGATATCAATCAGTTCGATAGGCTTGAAGCTGATTCTGAGTTCAGGGATATTGTCGGTTGTTGGGTGTAGGCGCTTGCCATGAATGGCGTTGACCAGAGACGATTCTCTGGCCTTCTGTGCCGAAAGACCACCGCCGTGGGTCTCCGCTGCTTCCCCTCGCATTCTGAGCTCCCGGACAAGTACGGCAGGAGCCAGATTGCGGATGAACTTNTTGGCACCACCAATGCACCGCCAGTCGAAGGCATCACCAGCAAAGTCTCGAAGACTCGGATAGTCGAGCGGCATATCCCACTTGAGCGTATCCTTGAGCCTGGCGATCTTTTCGGGTGCTGAGATGCATGGATGGGTGTAATAGCTAAGGACCTTCTGATCAGGGAAAGTGTCCGGGATGGTCAGTCCAGGTCGTTTCTGACGGAAGTGCTTGCTTTCGTTGGTTCTGATTTCATGGCGTAGCTTGTCTCTCCAAGTATTGAGACCGTCGGTATCTTTCTTGTCCAGGGTGCACAGTTCGTCTCCAAACCCGGCTCTTGCTGCCTCGCAGGCTAGCTTGGGACCACATCCAGGAATACCCTCAGTGATATAGTCTCCTCCACTCATCATGGCAACAAGGATCATACCATTACGGTCTAGACCACTGGTCTCTTTTGTGGCGTCGGCTCGGTATACATTCACGTGGGTGGGTGTCTTGCTGCTCTTTTGTTCCGGTGTCCAGCTTCGTAGAGTCATGCCGCTTCCAAACATGAGAGTATCGACATCCTCACTGAGGACAGCATCGACAATGCCTTCTCGTTGGAGAAGAGCACACTCTGCCTCGGCTTCACCTGGCGCATAATGGAGAGGGAAGCCAAAGTGCTTGAGAAGTTGCTTGGCCAGGAACTCGGGCACGCTGGACACTCTCACGTTGGGCCCGCCGACCTTCTTGTTTCTTTTCCAGGTGGGCTTGTTAGGTCCATCAAAGACGAAGAGAGGGTGGATATTCAGGGAGAGTAGGCGCAAGAGGCGATAGTAGAAGGTTCGCAGAGCAGGATTGGTGCCACCCTTGCCGGATTGGATTTGGAAGAGCCAGATGCTGATGTCGATGGCCAGACGGAATGGACGAGAGTGTTGGATGTAGTGTTCTGCGGCGAGTTTGCTGACGGCGATGCGCTGACCAGGCCCGATCTCTTTGTAGATGCTGCAGAACATGTGAGTAGAAGCCTCTGCCAGTCGGGGAGCACCCTGCGACTCACCCATGGATACCCATACTTCTTACTCAACCAACCTTGAGCGCAACTGATACCAAATCCTCTCTCACGTCCATAGCCACGCAGCGAGTCGAATCCCCAAGTGTCGTAGCCAATTATTTCTTGTCGCAAACTTGTTTGACCAAAGCAGCGACTGCCTGGAGGCGTTGCCATGGCAGCTACGGCCCGCCCCGCGCTGTCATGTGACCCTGGGCGCCATTCCTTCCTCTCGACTTGTTTGATAACACTTCTAGAAGGTTGGCAGTAAGACTGAAGACTCGTCAATTGTATCTATACGTTTTAGATATCGAACATCTGCTTTCCTGGTTGCGACCGCGCTCTATCTATCCTAAGTTGAAAAACGCGCTACGTCACCAAATCTTGGGCGTGAATTGGTTGTTTACTCGCTACGCAAGGGCCATCGATTCTTGTTTGCATCTGTACACATCTGGACCTCGAAAGATTCCCTGCGACTCGTGCTTCGTGGTCGACCAGCAGATATGAGAAGCTGCTCCCCAATGGACCCTGCGACAACAAGCGCGACCTCACCCTTGCAACCAACTCAAGATCAAGTCAACAGAAGACCACTATCTTCCAGATCAGTCAACTATCACACATCGCCTGCTGTCAAATCCGTGCTTCTGGAACCAAAGAACCACCAAGGAAGCAACTGGCAGTTCAAGGTCACTGTCCAAGCCGAACAGATGCCTACATCACAACTTGTTCCCTTACACGATGTCGAAAACACTCAAGTTCCGGATCTCTGCCCTGTCTCTCAACTAGGTGACCACGCTACGGCAGACTATTCCTTATCAGAGATCGACCTCTCCGAGGACCTCATGCTGTCTTCTCGTCATCCAGCAGCGATCGACTCGCTATCACCTGAACCACCGCGACCGAATGTCTCTCGCAGAACTCCTGCAAGTACCCGTGTTGGCTCTTCGAGGAAACAGTTTGGTAGCAGGTCCAGACCATCACAGCGCGCAAAGCCCGAAGCCGTAGATGAACCGCAATTCGGAGAAGATGAAGAGCCGGAGGCGGTACTTGGCGCTTGTGCTCCTGGTGATGCGACTATGCTTGAGAGCGAAGAATTCAGTATGATATCCGTTGATTCCTTGCCTAGCCGAGTCGCTGGTCATTCATCTCCCTCGCACGCTCTCCAGACTACCGAGGGTGATGTCTCTGCCAATCACTCATACATGCCTTCATCACCCCCGGCCTTTGTTGCTGACAGAACCACCCCGGTGCCCGAGGATTCGACTCCAGAAAACCCCAAGGCTCCACAACCATCGCAAAATTATGACGCCGAAATTGCCACACCTCTGAGAGAAAGCGCGCGGAAGTCTGGTAGAGCGTTGCAGGATGCACTGAATGGTCCCTTCCGCGAGTCCGTGTCAAGAGAGCTACCATCCGCACGAGAGTCCATCTTCAACGGCTTCAGCTCTGGTACCAGGCGCCAGCTGCACCAGAGTCTACACACTGGCCAGAGCTTGGCCTCTGCATCAGCTATGCAGAATGCGCCCAGACTTGCACCTACAACTAGCACGATGCCCAACTATCTATCCCCCTTCCACAGCCCAGTGCGACAACAAGAGACTTTCGACTCTCTTCCCAGCCGTCTTCTCACTCCCGAAACAGACGGCCGCTCACGATCCACCACAAGTCTCCAATCTCAAGCCAATGTCGAGTATCCCCAACTCGCCCAACCCACCAGAAGAAGCAGTGCAACTCATGAAGAGCCTGAGATGAGTTATATCAATGTCCAGAGACCATCAGCCACCCAAATCCAAAGTCCGCCTCGCTCCCCGCCAGCATCGGAACATGATGCAAACGAGCATTCGGAAGCCAGTGCAGCCCAGCCAGAGGTAGAGGAAGAGGAAGAAGACGATAAGGACATTTGGCAAGAGGAAGCAAGCCGCTCTATAGTCGACGGAGAAGGTTCTCCTGAGCAGACTGATCTGTTCCTGGATGATCTCGTAGTCAAGCCTCGCAGGAGTAAACTTCCTGGTACCTGGCGTCGCACCTCGGGTGCAAGCTTCTCATACAGCGATTCTCCTGAAGCTCAGGAGCGTCAGAATCGCAAGATCAGTGCTTCTACTATGGGCACCTCTAGGAAGAGTAGCGGCGTCATGACACCGCCATCATCCGATGATGGTAGCGTCGCTGGTGGAGCGGAGTCGAAAGATGGAGTTGACTTAGAGAGAGCCACAGTCGATGAAGAGCTCAGCCAGTCTGAGTCTGGTGATGATACCGGGACATTTTTCCAGCGAAATCTTCCATCTGTGTACAACTCGAGGAGTACAAAACATGTTGCAGACTCAGCAAAGAGCAGTTTTGCACCTAGCAGTCCGCTCAGAAACACAGTCTTGGATTTCAGCCCCTTGAAGAACCTTCAGGACTCTGAAAATGGCTCAAGTCAGAACCTTTCCGCTGGCCCTTCGCCGCTTCGCAGGAGCCTGGTCAGGTCTAGCCACATGAACAACACTCGGACTACTCGACGAGGCGAGAATGTCGATACTTCGGAGACGCAGACGGACTCAAGTTTAGCTTCTGACGCGCAGCAGATTCAAAGAGAGATGAGAAGCAACCCTAGCAGAGCTGCAAGCACCATTTCAAGTTTGACCTCTGGAAGCCAGATGAGAGGTTCAAGAAGAACGGCGAGCGCAAACACCATTGACCTCACTGTCAGCGATAGTTCTGAACAAGAGGTCTCGACAATATCCTCCAGGTCAAGGAGCTATCAGGAAGAGCTGAATCTAGATTCGCCAATGCGTGTCAAGGTCAACTTCAACGACGATGCTGGCAACTCGACTCTACTGGAGCCCAGACGACAATATCCTCCTCTGTTTGAAAATGTTCCGACATTAACGAAACCGACGATCGAGTCTCCCGAAGTTTCGCAGCCCAAGTCACCACTACTGAAACTTACTGAGTCTTTCTGGGAGGCTGTGACCAAGCCTCCAGTCTACGCATCACCAGAGCGCAAGCCGTTGGTCATGCAAGAGGCTGCAGCACCAGTACCTACAGTGCCTGATCACGTCTTGCGTTTGCGTCGCAAGTATGGTCTACTACCAGATTGCCACCCCTTCATATACGCACACATTCGCACACTGCATCGCATGCTCAACTCTACACGCTCCAAATCTGGCAGCAGTATTGTACCACGCAGCGGACCTCTGGGTCATGGTCTATCACGTCTGCTCGGCAAGACCAGGACCAACGAACTGGACCAGCAATTTGTGTGGACGCAAACACATCTACACGTCGTTGACTCGTTCATGTCACTACTCTTACCACAGGAAGAACGTGATCGCTTGCAATACGATACCGGGTCTTGGGGTGATGTCGAAGCGCTTAGACATCGCGGACGAGACTCCAAGGGTAGATATGGTGATGAAGTGGTATTCAATGCCATCAAGGGTGGCTTGATCGAAGCTTCGTGGGTTGCAGATGTACTCGTTGATATTGTGTTCAAGGAAGAGATGAATATGAAGAAGAAGAGAGTTGCTGAGATGATGGCTCGCGCTGAAAGAATGGAGATGTAAGGATAGGTGTACGAAATGTGTTACGATTGGGTGTAATGGGGTTAATTAGACGGTGTTCAGAGCGATAAATTGGGCCCCTCGTATCGCTTGATCCGAAAATGGCGTCTACTGTCTCGTGTATCCCGTGTTTGGAAATGAAAGAATATAAGATCTCCCTTTCTTACTTGTACATGCGCCTGACAGAGTTGTCCATCACATGCGGTTTTCATTCCGGGACGATGCGAGGAGAGTGATGCAGCCAACACATACTCGAGTACTATCGAGACAAATAATAGCGACGACAGCAAAATAAAGGGGAACTGGACATCCAGAGCAACCACTCACATGATTGATCTCTTCAACAACTCCCAAATCCACTATCGAGGAGTTCGTCTGTGGTATCCCGCCGATGCCCCCGGCGAAGCCTGACACCTCATGCGACCAAGGGACACATCGGCGGGACCATCAACAAAAGTCGTAGAAACCGGCGGGAAAGGAGATGTAAGAGTATCTAGATGCATAAGCACTGTATAGCAATGCTCTCCCGCCGATGTCCCGGCGATGTCTAGTTTTTGGTGGGAGGCAGGCTTCGCCGGGGACATCGCCGGGAGGAGTAGAACATCGACGGGACGAGTAAGATATTAGCAAGAACTTCGATGGGGGCATCGATAGAGGTCTTCTAAAGGTCTACAAACATTTTCCCACCGACATTTGGTTGTTCCCGCCGATGCTCTCGTCGATGGCAGATTATAGTAAGGCTGCGAAGCCAGCTGTTTTGACATGGTAGCGACATCGACGGGACGACCATTTCTCCCCTTGTTCTTGGTGTCAATATAATCTGTATCACCTTCTGAGTCTCGCTATCAGGTTTGCCGCCGATATTTATATGTTCCCGTCGATGTCCCGGCGATGTCTGGGTTTTGGCGTGGCCAACTGTTTCGACTTCGAGAGATCGGCGGGGCCAACACTTTTGACTTCGCCAGGTATTTCGCTACGGAGTATATGCATGCGAAAACCTATGCGCACCCATCACGTCCCTCTTGCGCCTAAGCTCCTGAATTTCGCAATGCATGCCTCATTCTTGGTCGCGTCTCAAGAATTTAATATCTAGTATCGATGTCAGCTGGCGGTTGAAAGAATCCGTTCGCTTAGACATGCATCCCTTAACCAGACATAGAAGCAACGGTAGGTCATGACTCGAGTAAGGATAACTGTTTCCACCGCAGGGGTTCTTGGTATGAACTTTAGCCGGTATCTTGTCATTACTAGCAATCTCGAGACGCAAGCTTCATACTTAATCGTCATGCGCCGCATTAGAGCATCCAAGTCCAGGGCTTGGTTATCGACAAACGAGCGATAGTGTCGACTCTTTTCGCTATATGTATCATCCCCTGACTTGGTATGATATGGACTTAGTCCTTAGCCGTTATTCTTTCGCTACTAGACAACTTGCTAGGCTTCGAAGTTCGGAAACGCCGCCGCCTACAGCAGACGGCGTACTCGCAGCCGTTGCTCATAATTTCAATCCAAGGATCCATGGTATGCTAACTAGCATCTGCTGTTCCTTCTAGGGGTTGCTTGTTACGCATTACACAATGGCCTGGGCCAAATGCTTAGTACCCTTCGCGGAACGACCGAGATAACGAAACAAGAGAGATGTGGACATAGGCCGTTAGCAATTGATGTTTTCGTAGACTGGACAACCTCTATGCTCTCAGCTGAAAGCCACCCTGATTTCCTATAAGATGGCTCGAGTCACTCGAGAGCATTTCTAACATTCGCTCGACCCTCGCCCTACCGGACAGCATGCACCCTTTCATCTCACTCTCGTTGGCTGTCTCGCTGGTCACCTTGATCAATTGTTCATCTGCTTCGCCGCTGGCCAGTACTCAAGCAAATCCAAAATGCAGTGCCGGAGATATTGCAGTTGTCAGAAGGACTGTCAACGATGAGACATACTTTTGCAAGTGGTGGCTTTCCGAGTAAGTTTTATTTGATCTCGCATCATGCTTGAGTAACTGCTCACATACACGCAGCACTCGCACAAAATCGCCTTTCCTTGAATTTGCCCCAGCTGAAGTTACCAATCTCTGCAAATGCATTGTTTCTGCTTCAACCACGAAGACTACGACCAAGCAGAAGCGAGCTGAATCCACTGCTCCAAGCGACTTGAAGAAGAGACAGACAGTCGCTTCTTGCAGAGCAGAGATGAGTGTTCAATTCACCGAGCCTTACAACTTCTGTATCTTCTACAATTCCTAGTAAGTCCGGAACCACAACACCTCTGGGCAATGCTGACTTTGCGCTAGCCCCAGAACCACTTCGCCGTTTGCGAAATACTCGGCCAATGATTTGATTCAGCTTTGCAAGTGCGTCGAAGGAAAGGCTGTCTCTACCTCTGCTAGCAAGACGTCTTCCAAGACTTCTTCCACCTCGGTCTCTAAAGCTTCAAGCAAAGCCTCATTGAAGACATCCGCAAAGCTGTCATCAAGCTCCGCGAAGGTCCAGACCTCGACAAAGGCTTCACTTACGTCGTCGAAAGCCACGACAAAGGCCTCGACACGGTCCTCATCCAGGTCTTCTTCGAAATCTTCATCAAGCTCTATCCGGACATCATCGGAGCCATCAACCATGTCCACAGGTAGCTCCAGCGTTGTCTCCGTCTCCAAGGTTTCCATGACAAGTATCCGGGCTTCTTCATCTGCTGCAAAGTCGTCCACCACACGTGTTTTCTCTTCGCCTGCCTCGAAATCATCCACCGTGCGTCTTTCTTCTGCATCCGCTACCAAGTCATCCACCGTACGTGTCTCTTCTCCGCTTGCCTCGAAGTCATCTACGGCACTCGTGTCTCCATTGTCAACCTCGAAGCCGATTACCACACCTGTATCGAGATCATCTGTCATCTCTTCTAGCGATCCTGTTGTGTCAGCCACGATCACTTCAACCTCGACACTGATCACCTCGATCTCGACAACAGAATCCAGCTCTTCTGCTACCGGGATCACGTCTTCGGCATCTACATCAGAGTCTCCCTCTTCGTCATCTACATCAGAGTCCCTCTCTTCGTCGTCTACATCAGAGTCCCTCTCTTCAACATCTACATCAGAGTCCCTCTCTTCAACATCTACATCAGAGTCTCTCTCTTCAACCTCTACGCTAGAGACCACATCCTCATCTGCCTCCTTGACTGCCTCTTCTACATCTGAGACAGCATCCTCGACCCAAGTCTCGGCGAGACCTTCACCCACATGTGATGTGGCAAGCAAGGAGCCCGGTCATATATATGCCACAGGCGGTGGCGTCGATTGCCAGTGGCTGAACATCGACCATAGCTATCTGGCCCCTGGCTTCCTCGCAAACCCGAAGAGTCCCGTCAGCTGCACGCTTGGTAGCGATCGAGTACTGACTTGCAATCTTGTCAGAGTCCACGTCGTGAGTGGAGCGTTGTATTTCGAAATGAAGGAGTCCACTGAGGCAAGCGTCGTCAAATGTGATAGAGCCAGCGATGGACTATTGACTTGCGACCCCGTGATGACGGAGTCTGGAACCAGTTCTAGCGGGCCGTTCGCGGTCTGCCCCCTGGAGGACCGTTCTATGGCAACACACTAAACTATCTCGAGAACACCTCTTTGAGCGGATGTGTCGCACTAGACGGCTTGTACATGACTTGATTCATCTCAAGATAATCATCTTCTGTGAGCTGTTCTCTCCAGCCAGTCCTCAATCAACTTTTCTTCACCAAATTTTGATGTGCTTGTCAGTCTTAATTCATCGTTTCATGCACTGTGCTTCTTGACTAATCAGAACAAGAAGGCTGGGTTCATTGATCTCGCCAGCCACTTCGGCAATGTCATTCAGCTCAGCTCTTTTGTGTCTACATTTTGACATGTCAAATCTAGTAAGAATCAAGAGGAAGAGTAGCGCAGCCCCATTGTCTATAGACACCGTTACTACCCCGGCGAGCTACATATTTCACTTCACAGGATGCGTCAAACTGATACTGACAAGTCTAGAGCCCAACAATACTCGCCCTCGCAATGTTGAGAACCCTGAGACCGACGACCACCTCACTCTTGCCATCGAAATGTGAACCAGAGGTAACCCTGTTGGCTCCAACCACACGAACCCGTTTGACTTCGGTCTTCGCTTCACCTACCTGATGAAGTTCAACGGCGATACCCTCGCAAATTACAACAAATTCCGTCACCGGAGCAGATTCGAGTCAAACTCGAAGAAGCAAACGCAAGTAACAACATGGGTCAGAGAGCAATAGAACTTTGCCTGAAGCTCCACTCCAAGCGTGCTTTCTCTCTTCAGTCACTCTGCGTCAACGCAAGATCATGAGCTTTGTTTGGGATCGCTAGCATGGGATTGTACAGCTTCACTGCTACACTTACTAGCTCCAGTATTCGGCATGCAAAAAGTTGTTACTTTACAGATCGTTGTTGTCGGATATCAGCGTACCATTTGGAAGACTCGATGTGAGCAGGAGATACCGCAACCAAAGGAAGGCGGTGAGGGGCCTCATCTCCACGAGGCGAGACTTGACAGAGCAGAAAGACTGGACAGTGGAGGGTGAGGACTAGATGTCTGCTTGAGATGGTTCTTTGACAACGAATGTTTTATGGCAGCAGACCGGTGGAATCTTGATGACTTCTCAGTACTTCTTGAGCATCTCCTCTGATTCACTTCTTTTGTAGTTTTCTGGTGGACGCGGAGATTTTCGTACGAAAGATTGTCTGTCACGAGTATCACATGTCATGGGTAGAGAAGTAGAGACTAATCATCAAGATGATTGAAGTCACGGAAATTTGCACAGAAAAGAGAAATTCGTTGTAATCAAACGATTCATATTTTAATTAGGAAACGATGAACAAAAAATAAGAAAAATAGAGACTCACCCAAACAAGAGCGCTCCGAACCAAGAATCCCAAGTTGTCACAAAGAGCGAGCATTTAACATATAGTATAGGGCGGCCCTAGCATCCGTACCCTTTGCAGCGGCGAGAGTCTGGATTCTGCGAATGTCAGCAAGTAGCCCATCATAAGCAGTATCAAAAACCCAAGGAGGATGAGAAGAGAGTTGAGGCGGGCGAGGAGTTTGGTGAGAAGTAATAGAAGGAGGGATCAAACCGTGAGTAACACCGAGATTGTACTGCTGATTATTGATAACGGTAGTGCCCAATCTACGAAGCGCAAAAGAGGAAGCCAGAGCATCGGCAGGGGGTTGACGATTTTGACTCAACTCACCAATAACCATAAGATCAAGGTTTTGGGCCCAGATAACCATTTCATCGGGAACGGACAGTTCAACAGCGCGCATGAGTGATGGGATTATCTGCTCAGTCACAACTTGTGCGAAAGAAACAGCAGGTAAGCCCAAAGTCAAGAATCTGCCTTTACGGAACTCTCTCATGAAAGTTTCGGTTCCAAGATAGCCAGGGGTCAGGTAATTTCTGTTCATCTGGGCAAACGACTCAGCAAGGTGTGGAAGAATAGAAAACTCGGGGTAGGGGCTAAAGCAAACGATGTCGTTGGGTGCAAGAATCTCCTGCAAGTAGAGGTCAGTATATCCTTTGGCGGCGGGTGTCCAAGTATTTTCATCAGTCATGTCGTAGTTGGGAGTGCTTGACCAGATGAAGAACGTGGACTGGCTGATTCTTTGCAAGAACATCTCAGGGTTCCAGAGGCTGGCTCTTCCGTTTCTGATCCAGTAAAGGTAAGAGTGTGTGACGAATTGAGAGAATTGAGGAGTGGTTGTGCTGGCAAACGACAAGACTCTTTGAGTGAGCTCAAAAGCATCATCGTAGACGGTGAACCAAACCCTCTTGCTTGTGTTTCTAGTTGTGAGATGAAGAGCGACAGGGAAACCAAATGCGCATTCACGCATCTCGGATTGAAGAGTCTTGTCCTCAGGGGTAGGCATTTCAGGAACAGCAGCCGGCATCCAATCATCCATCCATTGATAGTCCTTCAGTTCAGCGAGCAGGTTGAGTTGAATATTCTTGTTGAGAAGATCAATTTGCTCCTGGTCGTTGATCAAGTCTTGAATTTCGTCTTGAGTGTTCATCTTTGCAAAAGATCGTTTGGTGTAATTGGTCTGGTGTTGTGTAAAGATTGTACCCAAGTTTCGGATTGTTGACCTGTTTTGTGAGTGACCAAGAGTCGTACCGGAGTGAGTTTATGTATCCCCTGAGGGTTCAGCATGGGCCAATTGCCATTCGGATGTGAACAAAGGAGTTGTGCTCGATCCTTGTACATATAATGGAGTGCATTTGGATGCTTCTCAAAGGGTCTTTGTCCACGGGATTGTAACAAGGAGAACATACAACGACCTTGTCGTGTTGATACAATGAATCAAACACAAGATGGAGACAAGGCCTCAAGCAGCAGGGGGAATCAGGACATGAGTGGCAAGAGCAGAAGTCGTAAAGCAGTATCGCTCGAGAGGTCGTAACGCATTCTCTCGTGCATTCTGACTTGGTCGAATGCAGAACATGGACAGTATCTCAGGAGGAAGGAATTCGACAGCTAGATCTACCTCCAAACTTCTTGCGTTTTCCTGTGGCGGCATTAGCCCCGGGAACTTTGTCTAACTCACTTTCTGTTGGCAAGAGATCTCACTGTCATGTTGAACACAATTTGCATGGTTTTCGTCGAACCGGTGGGATGGCGCAGTGGTATTAGCCCGTGTCTCCCATGGAGTTGGCCAGAGCCCACTGGTTCAACTCTCCTCAACGCCAACATTATGCCAGAGGTCCCAGTAATCCTCACTCGACAACAATAACGACGAAAGCAATGCACAGCACTTTCTCTTCCCCTCCTAGCAATACGGCGGCTAGGGGGTTTCTGTTTTGTCAAATCTTGTCATAAATATCTGCGCTGACGGGATTCATCCCATCATGTTGTCATGAGCATTATTGCAGCTGATTTTGAGCGCACCATGTCTGGCAATATATGCTACATCAGTTCGCGCGCACGAGGCATTGGTTTCACTATGGTTTTTACAAAGGGCACATTATGTCAAGAGAACAAAACTTGATTGAGGGTGATAAGGAACAGGAATAAGTTAACTACTGATATAAGAAGGAGGGAACTTACCATGGACGCCTATTGACAACGTTCGCTCACTATCAAGTGCGGCTAGAGTGAAGTCTGAGACAGTGACGTCTCAAATCGGATTGTCTAGTAAATCGAGAGGAACACTCAGTAAAAGTACAAGGGAAGCGTCGACGAGAATTCAAGTCCCCCAAGCTAGTGTCGCGAATCTCACGAGTACGCGGGTTGTTGGCTGGGCGGGATGGTGCAGGGGCATTATTAGCTGAGGGAAGCGGTATAGGTCCAGGGGTAGGAGTAGCAAAGAGAGAAGCATAAGGTTCACCCTCGAACGGCAAGAGTTGAGCTTGAGCTTCATCGTCGAGGAGGGAGTACTCACCAGGCGAGATAGAGGAGGGCGAGACACCGTGATCGAACATTACAACGTCATCTACATCGATCATTTCTGAAAGTTGTGGGTCAGGACCCGGGTCGATATTCGTTTGATTGTCGTGAGGCAGGACGCCATGCTGTCTCTCAAGCCTCTCAACAAGTGTGCCATGGTCTCTAGTATTCCATTCATCATAAGGGATGATTGTAATGTACGTGATCTCGTGGTAGACGGTGAGGTCTTGGGTAAGGTCAGACATGACCTCGTCAACCAAGTCGTTTGGCTCGGGTTCTTCAGGGTTCAGGTGAGCGTTAAGCCAATTGATAAGATACTGACCGTTCTTCAGGAAGTCGTGGTGCTCCCATTGTCTTGCAGGGCCGGTAAAGAGCCTATAAAAAGCATCAATGGCTTGCATGGGATTGGAGTGGACAGTAACAGTCTCAGCTTGTGTGCCAATTCTGTTGTAGGGGTCGTATCTAATGACCATTACTTGCGAGTCATCTCTCTTCCAGAGCTCGTCAATCAGGGCTTGTCGTTCTTCTTTATTCATCTTGGTGGGGTAATATACGCTTTTCCAGAGTCAGGTCGGTGAGGATGGTATTTTTAACCATCCAGAACGCGTATATGTAGTATATTGCATTGCGGCAGCCCCAAGAGCCGGACCATTGTATTCCAGTCAAGACAAAGGATTTCGGATTAGAACAAAGGCGAACGAAAGAGGCAGTGATATCAAACAAAGGCGGTGCACACCTTGTCAAAAAAGAATGGGTGGTCTAGATAGATCATTGTCGTTGACGAAAAGAACGAAAAGGCGGACTGGATGAGATGAGGTGGTGGTGACAGATTGGCATGTGATTGGCGAGTCATGTTGTTTACGCCAAGCTTTGCACGTCAACAGAAGCCGGGGTAAACAATAAATTGTCTCGATGGCAGCATCAGACTGAGGGTCAAACACAAGACGACTAATCACATACAGCAACGATGGCAGGCTCGGATCTGATCGACTTCGAGGTCATCGAGGGACACAAGGAGAACATCCAAGCATTACCGAGTGGACGATCGGCAAGAGCCCTGGCAGCCCTCTACTCGCCGCCTTTGACGAGCGGGAAACAACAAACTTCCCTCTCTAGCGATGCACACGACGACGAGCGCAAAGACTACGAGGACGAACTCGCCTTGATCGACGAAGCAGACGACCCGCTCGACATCTACGACCGCTATGTCAAGTGGACTCTCGACACATACCCCTCAGCACAATCAACACCAGCATCCCAACTGCTGCCTCTCCTCGAGCGTGCCACCAGATCCTTCCTCTCCTCACCACAATACAAGAACGACCCACGCTACTTGAAGCTATGGCTACACTACATCCGCTTCTTCTCAGATGCCCCGCGCGAGACCTTTGTCTTCCTCAACCGTCACGGAATCGCTGAGTCACTTGCACTCTATTACGAAGAATTTGCTGCTTGGCTTGAGCAAGCCGGCAGATGGACACAAGCAGAAGAAGTCTATAACATGGGCATCGAGAAGGGCGCCACGCCTGTCGCACGCTTGACGAGAAAGTTCAACGAGTTCCAGCAACGCAATGTTGCCCGCCCTCAGGATGTTGCTGAACCAACAAGCCCTGCTCTTCCTCCTGCCCGCGCCGTCTTGGGCGCAAAGGTCGATCCTNTTGCCGCTGCCCTCGCAGCTACAACACCACAACCAGCAGCAAAGTCTGCAGCAACCAAGAAGCCCAAGGCTGGAAAGATGGCCATTTTCGCTGACGACTCGCCACAAGATCAGAGCGCTTTCGGCACCCCTGGCGAAAAGAACGGATGGGACAGCATCGAATCCATTCAGAACAGAAAGAAGGAAAACGCCATTGCACCCAAGCCAATGGCGGGAGAGACGTTGAAGACGGGAAAGACAAACACGGGTGTTCAGAAAATGGCTATTTTCAGGGTAAGCATTCCATCTCCCGATCCTCTTTTTACGTTCCAAATATTCACGAATGCAGGACTAACGGGCTGGCGACGTTTTTGTGTATTCCAGTCATCTTCTACTGTTCGACGTGCATACGAATCAAGTAAACATGCTTCGCAACGAGTCATCAATCTCAAGACTGGTAGACCTGAATGTGTCTTTGTGAATCTCGAAGCCGTCTATCCTGACCCGAGCGACCCATCCATCGAATTTTGCTTTGAAGAATTGAGAGCGAGGCATCGTGGTTGGCTAGATTGTGACTGGGCTGCAGAGCGAAGGCAGGCACAATCTGTTAATAAAACACAGGAAAGCAACCAAGTCAACCAACAACCGAAGGAGTCAAAGCGTGGATTTGCCATTTTCAGCGACACTCCTGCCGAACAGCAACCCGAACCAGAACGCCCGGCAAGTCAACGAGGCTTCCAAATCTTCCAAGACGACTCTGAAAACAAATCATCACCCGCACAATCATCTCCTCTTACAATCGATACTTCGCTCAAAGTCGTACCTGTCAAAGATGAGAACGATGAAAACAGACCGCCATCTAAGGCAGATGTTGAGCTCGCAAAGAGGATGCGACGAGAAGAGCGTGCTAACCGAACACGCAAGATCAAGGTCATGGACGTCGAGCATGTGCAAAAGGAGACTCAAACCATCAAACTCAACATGGACTCGCCCTCTGGCAAGAAGCTAAGGAAGAAGAAGGTGGCCGAGCCTACGATGACCATCAACACGAAAGAAGCCATGGACGAGATTTATGGCATCTTTAGTCAACCCGTTGCGACTGCTGCAGAAGAGGAAGCTGGAGAGTCAGAAAGCGAGGACGACAGTGATGACAATAGTGACGATGACTACAGCAGCGATGATGAGGACACCACCACTGGCCATGTTTCAGGAGCAGGAAGCGACTATGGTGACGAAACACGAAGAGAGATCCTCGCATCACAACAATCATCCAAGGAAAAAACAGCGCAAGATGCCGAAGACCAAGACGACGACGATGAAGACAAGACCAATGTCAGTGCCTGGTCCGACTACGATGAAAGCAAGCCTGTCACCGAGACTGCTGCAACCTCCGCACACTCTTCACAAAACAACGAGCTGTCAACACCAATAGATGAGGTGCCGGGGCCTCTACTCGGAGAGAATGGTGAGCAAAAGATGAAGTATGTACCGATACCGCCTGAGGGTTACGAACCTGTACGGTCACAATATCGAGATCCTGTTATCGTGGCTCAGAACCGTTTACCATTCATGACACCCATTGTCGAACACACCGAGTCTTCGATTGGTGCTGCAACTATTCGCGCCGAGCTGGAGAAGGGTTTCACAGCCAAGACACCATCAAGACAGAACCACGGCAATGCAGATATCGAAGAGGAAGACGAGGAAGAAGATGAGGACGAAGACAGTCTCATGAGCAGTCCCTTCCAGGTCCTCAGCGGCGCAGATCTGGAGAACAAACGCAAGATCCTCCAACCCATCCGCACGAAAACCACGAAGGGTATAGTGTCCCTCAGCGAAGATGTTGCTGGTGCTGCTAAGCCAAAGCCTCTTGCATTGCGTCCAGCAACGAATGCAGAGCCCATCAACAAAGGTCCCATCATCAAGGACCCTCAGATCAACCCTGTAGATCCGGAGATCCGACAGACCATCTTGTCGCAAATTCATCCGCCATTGAGCTCGTACGAAGGATACTATGAGCACAAGAATATCCAACACGCACGCACACCAGAGATCCGCAAATACTCAAAAGCAGTAGGCAAAGGCAAGGCTGCAACAGAAAAGAGCAGTGCTTCGCTACCGCCAGCTCCTGTTCTTGCCTTCGAAAACGCGTCCAGCAAGTATACTTTGAGGCGCGAATTGGGTGCTGGTGCCTTTGCGCCAGTCTATCTGCTTGAGAATCACAATCCCTCTTCTACCCCTGAGGATGCCGTGAACAACGAGAACGATGAGAATGCATCTGTGATGGGCCAAGGCGCCTTCTCAGCTATTCGCCGCCATCCACTGGAGGCTCTGAAAATGGAAGATCCCCCATCGGCTTGGGAATTCTACATGTTACGCCAAGTCCACCGTCGCTTGGGTGTCTCTCGAGCCACTGAATCCGTCATTCACGCCTACGAGATGCACATTTTCCGCGACGAAGGCTTTTTGATCGAAGAATTCAGGNGGCAAGGTACACTACTTGATCTCATCAATGTGGCTAGAGCTGAAGCAGGAGGCACACTTGATGAAGCGCTTGCCATGTTCTTTGCCGTCGAGTTGATTCGTACAGTAGAGGCCTTGCACACCAAAGGCCTTATACACGGTGACTTGAAAGGCGACAATGTGCTTGTTCGCCTCGACGAATGCGCTCAATGGTCATCAACCTACGACCCCTCTGGTAGCTCTGGCTGGAAGAGCAAGGGTATCTCGCTGATCGACTTTGGCCGTGGCATCGACATGCGCGTTTTCGCTCCTCACGTCCAATTCGTAGCTGACTGGGAAACCTCCTCAGCCGACTGTGCAGAGATGCGCGAACTTCGCCCCTGGACCTATCAAGTCGACTACCACGGCCTCGCTGGCCTTCTCCACAGTCTTCTCTTCGGCAAATACATGTCCACGATTGCTGAAAAGGGGCAAGGCATTGGTGTAAGCGCCACCAAACACTATAAAATCAAAGAAGGACTAAAGAGGTATTGGCAACAAGAGATCTGGGGCGAGGCGTTTGAGATGCTCTTGAACCCGACGATGTTTGTTCAGAATGAGGAGGAGCAGAGGATGCCGTTGTGTAGAGGGCTCAAAGGGTTGAGAGAGAAGATGGAGGCATGGTTGGTGGGTAATTGTGATAAAGGCGTTGGGCTAAAGACGATGGTTAGGAAGATGGAAGAGGCTGTCAAGGCGAGGAAGAGATAAAGGGGTCCTTGCCTCAGTTTGCTTGGTACGATTGGTAGAGCTGGCTTTGGTGGGCTTCTTAGACTTGCTGGTGTTTGGTAGGTCTGGCTTTGGGGTATGGCAATATGCCAGTATGCAATTTTGATCAACTTCTCATTCGTCTTGCCAGTCTCTCGGCCACTCGATGGCACTGGGTCGATCCTGTGTCCTTGTAAGATGACTAATTTGTGTTTCAATACCCTTGTTTCATCTCTACACCTAAATGTTCTTTTCGAAACCATCCTTTCCGCGTTATCACAATTCCAAACACCTTCGCCCACGAGCAATATGAATAACCTCGATCAGATCTCTCAAGACCACAACAGCACCACCGCAGACTGCGATATCGACGAGTGGGACGAAGATTGTCTTGTATACGCCCTCTTCTGCTTCGAAGACATGCCTTTGGAGATGATCGAAGACGTGCTGGAGGGCAGCGCCAATGAAGAGCACGAAATTTCTATTGGCTAGTCCGATACTGATCACTCGACCCTATCGCGATCAGTATACAGAGAACCCAGTGATACAAGAGCTCCATTACCTCNNGGTACCTGGCGTTCTCCCTTCGTTGGCTCTACCCTCGAGACAGCATTTGCGTATGTTCNNAAAAACGCACCCGGTGATTTTCTCAGCAAGAAACACATTGTGGTGTTGGAGAAGAAGCTATTCGAGGAAAGGAAGATGGTCAACATCTTCCGAAAAGAGNGACTGGAACCAGAAGGCTTCGACGAGGATCTGGGTATGGTTTTACAGCCGGGGGATATCACAGAGGTGGGAGGAATGGCTTGTACTACAGTTGGACAGCTCACTGGTTGTGATCACGGGACGGGGTCTTGGGGGTATTATCGTTGGCGATGCAATTGTTGCGGCAGGTGGAGGTGAAGGCGATATGTGTACTTGTTCCTCCTGAGGTGCGGCCAGATGCTCTTGATGACCGATCATCGGGGGGGGGCCTTTCTAATAATGAATCTCTGATGTTAAATGATGGAAAGTAAGAATAAGGCATTGAAAGCTACCCACGTCACGTACATGATTCAGCCGGCCGATCACTCTCTACCACACAGCACACCCCAGACCAAACCTTGCAATTGACCATAGAGTCAACTGATATCGCAGCCAAATCTTGCCAGCAAACCCAGGCGCCAAACAAAGACGTTGCCCTGCGACCCACTCCCGACACTGAGCGAGCAGAAACCACGAATGCAGCCAAGAAGTCCTCCTCGCCCTTGTCAATCCTCGCTCCGCCGTCAACCTCGGATCCGAAATCTTGAGAAGCTCATCCTGAAGAGCGCGAATAGAGGGGTAAACGCCATACCAGCAGCTTTGAATGATGGACCCATACACATCACCCTCGGTAGACGGAAACTCCTTTCGCACAAGTCTCTTACGCCACACCGGCGACTCGAGCCCAAGATCGGAAAAGGGCGCAAAGCCAAATCGTATGTTGTATATACACGAGCCCAGCGAGAACTGCTCAGTCTCGGCACCCGCACGAGGAGTTTCAAAGTCCTCGTCCACTTTGCAAAAGGGTAACGTGGAAAGCTGCAACTCGGCACCGAATGGGACGGTCGCGTCAAAATCACCGACTACAATGTTGCTCGACTGATCCAGAAAGATGTTGTGTGGTCGTAGATCGCCGTGGGCGTGACCTAGCTCTTCAAGCCATGCCACCGCGCTGACGAGTTGTTGTATCCAGCGTTCTTGTAGGTCGGGACTTGTTTGTGTGCGAAGGCGAATCGCAAGAGTTGTATCGAGCCTGGGCATAAAGATACCTTCGCGTGTACACAAAATCGCCTGGAGAAGATGAGGATGCGGGTGTGAACTCAGCAGCCTGTAAATCCGCTTCTCATTCTCAAGCCTTTTTACATTCTGTTGCATCCAAACCTTGTCATCCGGACCAAGATTGACCTCTTTGAAGAGGATTGGGCACTTGAAGGCAATATTTCTGGTGATTGCAAAGACCTGACCGGCGCTACCTTGAGATACGAAGTTGTTTGTAGACAACGAAGGAAATGGCGACTGTATGATCAGGCTCATGATTCTGGGTTATGCGCACTCTTTGGTCACTAGCATGGAGGAGGAGGAAGTGGTTTGCGTACAAAAAAAAAAGGGCAGCTGTGTTTTGTGTAACCCTTGAGATTCACAGAGTACGGTTAGCGTGCACCATCTGTGCCTTGCAGAATCAGGGTCATTGGCCAATCGCAGCTGTGACCAACGTGAAGATGAACACTTTGTAGTTTGTGCGCTCACCATTTAATTCGCGAGATATCTGTATCCATATCTCTTTGAGGCACTCTTGCAGTAATGTTAATTGGTTAGTGGGATTGAAACAAGGCTTTGTCAATGATGGCGACCATTGGACCTATGTATCGATTGCAGGATCTAATGGAGCCACGTGCATTCAGCTACCCCAGTGTCTGGCAACGTACCTTACCCTCATCTTCTCTAGGGCTGGTGCAAACAAACAAAAGGAAATCAGAGGCCTCTCTACCTCAAAAGCAAACGCCATCTCATATGCAGTCATGTCGTAAAATACCAAATCGCTTCTCCTCTCATAACGATGCAGTGATCAGAGGTCGGCCATCATGTCCTCGTCTTGGTCGCCGATCTCAGGTGTGTCGTAGACGTCCATCGGATCTTCGTAACCTTGAGCACCAGCAGTCTCGGCACGCTTGTTTCTGCGCGTGAAATCGACAAACTCTTTCTGGACGGCAAGTCTGCGATCGGCCTCGCGGACGTGCTTGGCCAGGCGCTCGATGTGGATAGACTTCTCATTCAACAGGGCGTCTTGGTCGATGGCAGGCTGGTTTGGGTTGTGTGAGAGGAAGCGTAGAACGGGCTTAGTTTCGGCGCCGGCGATGGGTGGAGGCAGCATCGCATTCAGGTGGCCGTCACGAATCATGGTGCTTAGAAGAGTAGTGGTGGCTGGCGGGGTGAGGTTGAGGTGGACTGCGATCGTGTCGATGGGAAGAGCGGCATAAGTCTTTTGCAGATCGATGACACGATATCTGCGCAATGATTCGGCAACTTGGTTGACGATGGCTGTGTTGCCGTCCTGCATGAGTTAGAGATGGGATCTCATTCAAAAATAATGGAGCAAACGCACCTCGTCCCAAACAGCAGTGCCAGCAGCAATCTCAGCATCGAGACGTAGGACGTCACGTCTCTTGAATATATCTGCGAGCACCTCGTACGGCTTGGATAGACTGGAGTAAGTCTTGACCATTTGGTTGCTGATCAAAGTCTTGGTGTATGTGAGAGAGCCGGTAGATAGCAAGCTGACGAGGATGGACTTCTTATAGGCCTCGACCATCAAGGGAGTTGCGACATTCTGAGTTGGTGAAGCCAGGACGAGCTCGAGGAAGAGACGGGCGCGAGTGTAGCGATGCAGGCCGATGTAGACGTGTGCGCCCAACAAGTAAAACTCGTGGACATCAGAAGCAGTGAGTGGTGCTGAGATGTGGGAGGATTTTGTGATGAAGGTGGCACTGAGTTCGTGGTTGGCGCATGGTAGACGGTCGTCAACGCCCTTTTGTGGGTCGGTAGGAAGGTTGTAGATGTCCTTGTCAAGGATGGGTAGGGCCTGACGAGGGAGACGGGCTGCCAGACATAGTCGCAGCAGGAGAAGGTGGTTGGATGTGAGTGTGCTGGACTCGGGGTCTAGACGAAGGATGGCAGTTGCGATGTAGGGAATGACGGATGCNCTGACAGAGACGTTAGTGGGATTGCTAAGGCACCGAGGAGGTGGGCATACATCTTTGGAGTGATCATAGTAGTTGGCCAGCCAGACCAACAGCTGCTGGAGTTCGGGACCGACATAGCGAACCTGGACGGGATCGAAGTGTGTGAGGAAGTTGAGGACCAGCGCCACCTGTTGCGCCAGGACCGCCTGTTGGGCGTATGCGAGGAGTACAGCCAAGTAGCCGATTGTGTTGCGAGCGGGATCCAGTAGCNNTATCAAGACAAGTCAGCTATGTGCAGATGGAGCTAGTGAATAGCGACTTGCCTCTGTCAAGGGCTTGCCCTGGACCTGTTGCGGCACATCCTGAGCCTTGAGCTTTCGCATGTGATCCACAAGTCTGCGTAAACTTGCATCGCACTTTCTGTCATCCAGGGGGGCGCCGTCGTCATCGACCAGCGGATCCGACAGCAGATAGCTCACGAGGTCGGCCATGTTGTCTTGTATGCTGTTGTTCGGAGCTGCTGGTGGAGTTTACGGAAGCCGATGACGATGTGCCAAACGCGTCCGAGCTTCTTCTACTGTCACTCGGGCAAACTACTCTCTTCACTCTCGTCCCTTCACTTTTTGAATTGGACGGGCATCTGTTTACTTATCAGGACTGTTCTTCCACACCCTGACGCTCCCATCCAAACTACATGTCGCTACCATGACGCTGTCCGGGCTGCTGTCAACCCCGAGCACCACATCTTCGTGTCCGTTCAAGACCTGCAGCACCTTCTTCGTATTGACATCCCATATCACCGCCTTGCCCTCCTCGTCGCCGCACATGGCGAATGCTGATTCCTCTTCATCCTCTTCCTTCTCCTCCTCGCTGTGATATGTTCCAAAACACGCGTTGATGCTGAACTTTTGATTCTTGTGGCCCTGATATGTCTTGATGCATCGCCCTTCGACATACTTCCACAGCCGGACACTTGAATCCAGTGTCGCTGCAAGCACGAATTTACCGTTGGGCGAGAAGCGTACTGATGTGACTGGTGCATTGTCTTCGTGGACCAGCGTCTTCAGACACTGTCCTGTGTTAGAGTCCCATATTCGGCTATTAGTCGCTGTCAGTAGATTCCTTATCGACCGTTCAAATAGACAACTCACATGAGACCGTCGCTCGAACAGGATGCCACCAGTGTCCCGTCTCGCACAAAATCAACTCCCGAGACCGGGTCCGAGTGAGCAGGGNAGCGACCTCATGACTCTAGCTGTCCGCACATCCCAGAGAAAAACTGCTTCGTCGTACGAACCGCTCACGAGCATGTTACCTTTCGGCGAGAAGGCAATGCAGTATACATAGTTGTGATGACCCGTCAAGGCGGTCGGCATGCATTTCCCCTGCTCTTTTCGTCAGCCTTCGTCCTCATAGCGAAGTATGCGTTGCGTACCGTCCTGACATCCCAGAGCCTGATGGACTTGTCGTCGGAGCCTGAAGCAAGGACTATAGAGTCCGGAGCCCATGAAATGGTGGATACACCAGCAAGGTGACCTNTCAAGCGTGTGTACCAAAGTTCCTGTTTGAGCGTTCCAGACTTTGATGGTGCAGTCGGCGGAGCAGCTGGCGATCCACTTTCCATTTGGAGAGAACCTCACGGCAGCGACACCTCTCTTGTGGCCTCTCAGAGTCATGTATGGCTTGTAGTGCACGCCCAATGGCCGAGAGTCGTCTGTTTGTTGGTCTCGTTCACGCGGGGTCTGCTCGTTGCTGGTGGTGGGTTGATCTGCGGTATCCGACTCTTCCTCGAAAGCGTATCCATTCTCTGCGTCGGTCGGCGTGTCGTGATGGGGCTTTTGGTCGTTGTCGTCGGACGAGTGTGGTGAGTTGGAGTCAAGTCGGCGTCGCTTTGGCGTGGGCTCTGGGCCGAGAAGGTCGTCCATCAGGCCTTGGACCTGGTCGGCGATGCTCATGCTGGACGGTTTGTAGTAAGTAGAGCTCGAGAATTGGGATGCGACGGGTTGCGACAAGAATGTTTGACCAAATTTGGCTTTCACATGCGAATGTTTGTCGCTTCTCCAGAAATGCCTCTCCGGATGACATCAGAAAACCGGCCTCTCCTTTGCAATTTACTCGCAATTTCCCTTCTCTCGATTCTGCAAATCCAAACATGAACGATACCAGAAACACGCTGCAGCTTCCGAGCTCGATACGCGTGCTCACGCTCAACTGCTGGGGGCTCAAGTTCATCTCCAAGTACCGCCATGAACGCCTCGTCGAGATCGGCAACCACCTCGCACGACTAGACCCTGCTCCCGAAATCGTCGGCCTCCAAGAATGCTGGACACAGAAAGATTACCTGGCCATTCGCGAGCGAACAAAACACTTCCTGCCCTATGGCAAGTTCTACTGGAGCGGCATCTTCGGCGGCGGTCTGGCCATCCTGTCCAAATGGCCCATCGAGGAAAGCACAATGCTTAGGTACCCTCTTAACGGCCGACCTGCTGCCTTCTTCCGCGGCGATTGGTATGTTGGTAAGGGTGTAGCCTGTGCTCGCATCCGCCTAGGTCCGGGCAAGAAGGACATCGTCGAAGTCTTTACCACACATCTGCACGCCCCTTACGAAGCCGAGCCGAACGACTCCTACATCTGCCATCGCACTGCCCAAGCCTGGGAGATTGCAAAGCTCATGCGTGGTGCTGCTGAGCGTGGCCACCTTGTCCTCGGTCTGGGCGACTTCAACATGATTCCACTGTCTCTGGCCCATCGCTTGATCGAGGCTCATTCGCCTGTCAAGGACGTCTGGAGAGTCCTACATCCCGACTCTGCCATTGGTGCTGCCAAAGATGATGCGGAAAAGGCGAGAGGAATGCCAGTCCCTTCATCCGACGAATGTCTAAAAGAGCACGGAACCACATGCGACCACAGATACAACACGTGGCGCTGGAACAAGGGCGACAAGAAGAAGCTGCTGAAANAAAGAGAAGATACCTACATCGATGGCTCAGAACCAGACACCAGAGCCAAACGTCTAGACTATATCTTCTTTGGCGGCGACGCAGAAGGCCCAGCATCACAATGGAGTATCGACAGCGTCAATGTCGGAGCCACCGAACGACACCCAGAACTCCTGTGCTCCCTCTCCGACCACTTTTCCGTAGAAACAACACTTACACGCTCGTCCCACCCAACAAATACACTACCACAATCTACAACCTTTTTGCCTCTGGAAACTTACGACCAAATCCTCGCCATGATACACAAGTACGAGCTTCGCGAGCGCAAGCAACGCAGATATCGCTTGTACCACTTTGGCCTCGAGCTTCTCATTGCCATCGGCTGCTTGATAGCCGTATGGTGGTCACCGCGCAACTTTGTCGCTTTCCTGCTGATGCTGCTAAGCACATTGGGACTCTCCGCCGGCGTCATTGACGGCTTGATGGGAGGACTTTTCGTAGGAAGCGAGTTGCGCGCGCTCAAAGAGTTTGAGTGGGAGATTACGAATGCGAGGACCATGGCGCTTGCCGCACAACAGGCCTTGATGAAACAGGTATCCTTGAGTGATGATCGATAAAGGTTATCAGATCTTTCTTCTTTTGGTTTTTGTTCTCGGTGGGATTCTGTCTTCTGAACCATCGTCGATGGGTGGTTTTGGCGTTCATATATTCTGTTCGTCTATCTTGTACAATCATACCTAGCTTAATGCTTTGCCAATAGCCTAATGTTCATATAGTGGAGGAAAGCATAACTGCACCTAGGACGCGAAGGTCGAAACAAATGCCTCGTTCTCTTTGGGTCTTTTTCCTCCTTTTGCTTTCTTGTCTGGCCGAGACCTTGGTTTTTTTTCCTTCCAATCTCTCATGTTCAGAGAGGCACCTGAAGAAAAGTTTTTGCGGTGAGATTGCCCTTGCATTGCATGCATATTGTACATGCTTGCATGCTCTCAACATTGCGTCTCCCTCCCCCCCCCCCTCCCGCAAAGCCATGTGCACTTTGCTTTTACCTCTTTTGATGGCGTCCTCGTCACACTCTCGGCAGCTATTGTGCTTGTTACGTGAAAAGGCGTGTCCCTTTTGATGCACAAAGTTTTCGGAGAACCCAGAGCTGAGCCGCTGCAAAACCTCGTCTAGAAAACCAAGCGGCCGAGGACATGCAATGCAAGAAAAGAAAGTCTTGACGGATGCAAAGGTGCGAAGGTCCGAACAGCTGTCGACCCGCTATTCCGTGCCTTTTGATGCCTCGGAAGCCAGCAGCGAGCAAAAAAAATGTTTGGTAGAAAGAATGGAGTGATGTGGGGACTTTATCGAGTGGAGAATGGGTCAAGAATCTTCAGACGTCGGAGCAAAAGTTTATTGCTTTGTTATACATGTTTGTAATAGTGATGGCTGAGATGGAAGATGGTTGCTTGTACCTGCATGGGATCTTGCATGACTGCGGAAGAAGAATCTCTCTTGCGTGAGTTTCGGATCGCCGAGCGAAACGTGTTTGTGGTATCATTACATCGAGGAAGAGGTGTCATGATACCCATGTGGTTTGGCTATACCATCACACGTGTCTTGCCTGCACCTATGCTGTCCATTAACCATACACTGACACACAAGAAATCCTTATCACACGTGCCTTCATGATTCACACATCAGCACATCAACGCATATGAATAGGGCAACGCCGCCAAAGCCGAGCAAGGCCATAGCACAAAGCAGTGGATCGCCTTAATATATATGTCTCCCCCGTACTCGCATCGCCGGGGGCATACGCAACCAGCAGGCAGAAACACGAGCCATAAGTTGCAAACAAGAGTCAGAAATCCCGCAAAAGTGCACAGAGAGGGCAAGGGGAGAATCCTTCTCAACTGATTTTCCCCTTCCCCCCCAACATATCATCAAATATATTGGCCTTACCATGGAGAAAGAGCAGACTCTCTAGTGGGGAGGCACGCCTGAAACATCATCGAGTGCTTTCGGACAAGAGGATGGCAAAGGCAATATATCAGAGTTCCCCAGAGTCATGGGGAGAGAGAGAGGCAAAGAAACAGAACCAGATATCGCAGATACACGTGGTGTGTGTCTTGTCAGCGGTTCTTGCACAGCAATATCTGAGCAGCGACGCAAGCGGTTGCGATCGTCATGACGGACTCGTTCGTCGCTTGTCAACCGAGCGCCGGTCTGTTCCCTGGTGCCGCAGCCTCGGGCAGAGACGGCGTGCCTGTCAACAATATGCTGCCCATCTATCTATTGCTCATCCGGTCGTGCGAATCATGAGATCTTCCGGCCACAAAAAAGAGGTTGGGGACTCATCACGGAAGCTCTCCGAAGGTTTGGTGGAAAGTCAAACAAAGTGCTGACATGGGCGTTGTGTCCAAGAAATGCAGGTACGGGGAATGTACGAGGGACCTTTTGTTCAGGTACAAGGAGGATAAAGTGATCCAGCAATTTGGTGATTGGCGACGATTGGGGGAGCGCAAAACAGACTCGAGCTTCGAGTATTGGTGTGACATGGTGGGATCTCTGACGTGCCTGAAGATCACAAGCTGGACTTGCTTGAAGAATCGAAAAGCTGAACGTGCCTGAAGATCGAAAAGCTGATCGTACAGATGGTTGTAGATTTGGTTATCACCAATCTGTTGACCCATTGTTCGTGTACAGAATAGATACATTGGCCCTCTTATGGTACTGCGTTCGCTGCTGCATGATGTCGAGCAGTCCAGCTATTTGAACTCTCGCGGTTCGCAAAAGGCACATCTTCTCGATCTTGCATAAAACGTTCCTTCTACGATGTGCCAACAAAAACGGGTTCGCATGGGTTACTCGGCATGAGCTTCGAAAACGGTGCTGCATGTGTTGAACGGTCTTGAACCTCCACTTCAGCTCCCCATCATATTATTATTGGTTTCGAAACTTTCATCATCTTCGACAATTGTTACTATGGGCGCATGTTCGGCTGGCTGGGCAAACACTTGAACGCCATCGACCAGGCGAGAAGGATTCAGACCCTGGTTGTTTGTCGTAGGCGTTCGTTAAATAATATTTCCGTAACATCTCATGGCGTTCCCCTCGCTTTTTGTGGAGGAACTCTCAATCACTGTCCCGCTGCCGCAACAGCCATTGCCAACCTAGTTGTAAGAGAGCGTCGAAGAGCTCTGAACGTTGACGGCACAGTCGCCCAGCACGGGATTAGACGAGCAAGAAGAGGCACGGCGCGGCAAACCGAACAAACGACCCGACCAAAAGATAGGGATCTTCACTCGATGCAACAGAANACGGCCAACGTGAACCTATTTGCTTGCTGTGCCTATTCAATAGGCCGAGCAGCGTTGGGGTTCGGGGAAAAACTCTCGCACTGCCGCCAATATTGCCTGACGTGTAACNNCACAGCTGCGCGCGCATGTTTGATGCTGCTGACGATGAAGCTTTCTGCAGGTGGGAAAAGAATGTCTGCGTCTGTTGTTGATTCTTGTGGGCGAGTCGCTGGCTTCACGAGGCTTTTACCCNNAGTGCTCTGGGGCGGATGGCGCTTGTCGGCTGTCGTGGCCCAGTCCGCGCCNATATATTGGTGATTGTTTGGTCAGCTAATGTGGTGGCATGGACAATCGATAATTGCATCAGGCAAGCAGGACGCGACGACTGCGTCTCTTTTATGCATCGATCGAGAGCTCNNAGGAAGAACAACGTTCTGTGCGTGCTTCTTGAATTTGTGAACTTCTCCTCGTCCGAGATTGAGATGATGATGTGTTGGTTGGCCTGCCACTGGCATTGTTCACCCTATGCCCGTAGGCGGCCTTATCTGATGTGTGGTGCCTTGGCTCTCCATTGCATACCTGACGACTGTGAATCTGCCAGACCATGCTCCCTGACACCTGTCTGCTCCGATCTTAAGCTGAACTAGTATTGCTTTCTTGTACAGGCATAAGACGGTGGATCTTGAAGTGGCACCAACGAAAAGCCAGCTCGTCCGGCTCGTTTTCCGTTCGTCACAGCTCATGTGGGCGTCGAGGCCGTGCATGCGGCGGCATGGACCTCAAATTGTGTGGGACTCACCCAAAGGCGCCGAGTCTCGATGTTTTGCTGAATCGCAGAGACCCACGAGATATAGCTAGATCGGCTTAAGCACGTAAGACGCCGGGGTGCCGGACAGATGCTGAGTCGATGACTCCACAAAGACGTCGAGGAGACATGGGCACGATTTTACAGCGGACGAGAGCGAGCGTGTGTTTTCGAAACCGCACGGCACATGCTTGAGAGCGTTCGCTTCAGCTTCCGGCAGCCGTTAATGTTGGACGGAAAAAGAAGGTTTAGGGTCAACGGTCTAGCGGAGACCTGCATGATGGAACAAGTCAGTTTGAGCCTTCGAGAGTCTGACAAGAGTCGGAGGGAAGGATTCTGGCTGAGGGCTTGCAGCGAGCAGCAAGCGGCAAGAATGGTGGTACGTTGGCGGCACTGTGGCGCCACAACCTGGACAGGAACAGAGACACCTGATGGGCGATGCGGGACCAGGGCCCATGGCGGAGCATGGTGTGTCTGTGGTCGACAAGCTCCATAATCCGGGCCCAATTTACGATCAGCGCCCGCCAACCGGTGCACAAAGCTCTGGTCCCAGGAAGCTTGGGTTCGATTGTGCAGAGCGAGATGGCGCTGCCTCCCCATGCCCCATGCTCTTCGCTCTCATGCTGTGTGATGACTGTGGATAATAATAAAGAGTAGCGAGGACTCGACGTCCGCCGCAAGCCATCAAAACACTCGCCACATCCCACTCCAACTCCATTGAGAAACTGTTTGTTCCTTCCTGCGAAATCAAACGGGCTTTTCCTTCCTCGTTCCTTTCCCCACCTGTCGCGTGCTGGATACATAGCCAAACATTCTTTCAAACATTCAGTCTTTACCCATTGGCCGTGCCACTCTCTCTTCGAAACATAACAACTCCTCCCACAACCCTACCTAGACTTACCTGGAAGTAAGAAGCCGCCTTTGCTCGAACGTTTCATCCAAGCTCCAAACAAACGGTCGTGTCTTTTTCTCGGACAAGCGTTTGATGCTTACATTTCACCACAACGCCATACAAAGCAGAAAGGTCTCGCAGCTCCAAGCTCCGTCGAGTACTACCACCCTCAGACATGGACACTATGGAAAACGCGTCGCACTCACGTTCGGCTTCGGTCGATCACCACGCTTATGCATTGATCCTCGAGCACATCCTCAATGACCCAGCCACCTACGAGCTGCCTCTGCGCACAATGTACACCATCAACTCCACACCCGCTACACGTGCTGGACACTCTCTGTCACACGAACGCACACGCGGAGACTCAATCGACTCGCGTGCTAGCAACTCGCCGACTTCCGCAAACTTCCCTTTCCGCAACGACACGGCCACCGAGTCACTGTCAACGAACCTCATGGCGCAAATGGCCAGCCTTCCTTCGCAACCCACCTCGCTTCCGCCTTCCTTTATCACCGCCTTCCTCCGCAAGGCTTTCTCCGCTGACCTTCGCTTCGTCGACTTCCCTCAGTCTTTGACTGGCCTCGACTACCTCAAGGACCTGGAGACTAGAAGACGCAGAGAAGTTGCTGCCGCCCTGGAATGTCTAGGCATCGACCGCGATACTATTGGTGCTGCGGAAGAGGAGCTTTCTAGACGCTACCCTGGTGTTCTCGCATGGTTCCGTACACTCGAAGAGAAGGAGCGTAAGATCGAGGCTCTCTACACTCAGATCTACGTTGCCCTCCGTCGCTGGGTCCTCATCAACGAGCTCTCATTGACCCCATTCAACAAGCACAACTGCATCGCCATGCTCAACACTCTCTACCCACCGATAGTCTCTTCCCAACCAACCTCTAAGCTCACTCCTGGCATCCTGAAGAAGCAACGTGATACTTTCTTCAAGTACATCCAAGCTGTCGAGAAGAGTGGTCCCGCTGTCCTGGTCAACCTCATCCAGCAAGGCAAGAGACCTACAGATGAGAACGGTTGGGCATCGACTCGCAATACACTCGACATGTATCTCCAAGTCGCCAACAGTCTGATCTCCGAGTGCCAGGAGATCCTCTACACCGACACCGACTCCATCGTCGACTCGGCTGAGACCAAACGCAAGGGCCGCAAAGTCGACTCTGGCATCAGCTTCCCCGATCCTGAGCAGCGCCGCCCTTCATCTAGCAGCAGCAAGAGCAGCAAGAGCTCTTTCTCCGAGGACGCTCCAGTCAACGACGTGCGCCGCAAGTCATCCTCCAACATTCTCAGGACCTCGGGTCTGATGAAGTTCGCCCGCGAGATGAAGCACATGGGGTTCAACCGAACCGATGTCGATGAGATGATCAAGCCAACCGTCCCCACCCCTACTCCAGCCTTCCCTGAGGTTGAGGCACCTGCCCCGGATAGATCATCCAAGAGTTTGCGCAAGATCCGCAGTTTCAGCAACCTCGGCGGCCTGCGTTCTGGCAACTCTAGCTCGACCTCGCTGGACAGCAGTGGCCATCGCAGTGATGTCCCACACTTCGACGCCGACGAGATGAAGAGACAGCGTCTCATCTACGAAGCCAATGCCGCAAAGCAGCAGAGACCTTGAGCCTTGCTGTCTTTGTCACATACTTCAAACACAAAACTACACCACATACAGTAACGACTTCACGACCCTCAACCGCCAGCATCTGCGACACAATGTTTCTTTTGTACCGAATTATACCCCTTTGCAGTTGTACAAATTCTTGCGACCGATGCCTATGTTTTGCACGAGGCACCCATGTTGATCACGCATCACGTTCCTTTCTCTCATGTTTACTTGTCGGTATTCTCATCACGGCGTCTCTACGATACAAAAAAGGGCCGGGAAAATTGGGAGGCTAGCATTTTCGGAAGGGAAAAAGGCATAATCAAAAAGTGATTCTAGCATCTAGAGAGATGGAGTTGAAACTTTGGCGCCTTTGCTTGTCTTTACCTGGTGGCCGGCGATGCCACTCTTACCGTTGTTCTGATACACGCTTTGATGAGGTAGGAAGAGGAAAGGATCCACACTTTTTTTTGGCGGCTGTGGTATAGAGGTTGTACCAATATCAAACTCTTCCTCCATGACTTTTCTTACTTTACCCTGGTTGCCCCTTGATGTGTTCATGCATCTAGCATCGACTATTGTTTCGTAGTAGTGGTAGTCGGTCATGACTCGTTCAGGAGGCGTTGGGTGACATCTCCACCACCGCAAGCCTGGTCTCATCTTGTCCATGCTCGACCGACCGATGCGACGTAGATTGTTTTTTTGAGCAGGTGGATCTCACGACGTTGAGATGATAGCGTGTCGGTACGATCTACCGACATGTCGTTTCGAGTCAGCGAGAAGATGGAGCCGGCAGTTGTGTATAGGACTGACATCCGTCGAGGAAGGGGGAGGTCCATGGCAAGTCAGCTGACTCGCAGCCACCTTCGATCCGCAATTTCCTCTGACCCAGAACATACCGGTAAGTCGAAGGCTCTCGAGAGTGTATCTCGCACTCTCTTGGCCGAAGAGAAGCAGCATGGCGAAACGAAGATATTTTGCCGGCTACTGTACAACGGACTTTGGTCCGAGCAAGTTGACGCGGCAGATCAACACGCAAAGCGATGCATCGATGTCTATCCACGGCCCTCACTGTGCTCTCGTGAACCACTCAGACCTGTTGACATTAATTTCGATGTATCTGTGCAAAGTCGTATTACCTGTTGATCTTTCAAAGTCCGTCTCAGCGAGCAGACAGGTCATCCTCTCAATACCCTACCACTCTGATAAAGCTGTGCTGCCTAAGCAATGACTGCAGTTTATGGCCAATACCCTGTCCGGCCACTATCCATTCTGGATTGACAAAATTTCGAATGTAATCTCTAAGATTCTCCAATTGCGATCATTAATTCTCGAACTATAGGCACCTGGGCTGTTGATGATGATTCTACAGCTTGTCTATCCTCCTTGATGAACGCATCACTATCCGCTTCCAAGATATCCTTGCGAAAGGCCAATCCTCGGTGCTCCTACGGAATGTATGAGAAATCGATAGATGGTGATCAAACAGGTCTTGACTGAGTCGATACACTTAGCCGCCGTGACTAGTGGTTGTTCAATTGATTGGTTGATTCACTTGGTGACCTATCTAGAGCCGCTTATATCATGGCATGCACCCTTGCATGGCTCTAAGCAACTAGTAAACAAGTCTCCGGTCCTTTGACTTTATTGTCGTCTTGCTCCTCGTCCAAATGACAGTCCTTCTTGTACTGACGTCTTCAACATGCCTCTTAGATATTGTGATTTCTCCAACTGCAGGACTCCTGCCGAGCGAGGAAGTGGCGACTGCATGATATGTTCCAGCCATCGTTGCATGGTACACATGGCACCCGAGTTCCACGCATGTCCATCTGAGGTTCGTCTTCCATCTCATTCCTATGACGGAGAGCAAAATAAGTGCTGAATGTGCAGGNACGATGACCCTGATGCTTTCTTCACAGCATACGACGCTGCGAGACAGGGCCATCTGCAAGCATTACTCAACAAAGTCGACTTCAACGCTCTCAAATCCATCGCGACTCGTCTTCACAGCGATGTCCCATGCCACATACCCGCTTCTCTGAACGATACTGGACAGGTAGTACCAGATGCCGCGTCCAAGCAGATCCTGGATCAGACGGGCGGTCAGAATTGCAATCTCGACATCCGCTTCGATGACGGTATTGTCTGGATGGTACGACTGAGATTTGAGGAACCTACAGTACTGCCTCACGATGCACAAGCGGCCATTTTCGCCAGTGAAGTGGAAACTTTGAAGTTCCTGGCTCGGACCAACGTACGAGTCCCAGAAGTTTTCCATCACTCATTCGACGAGAGAGATATTGGAACTCCATACATCCTGATGGAAAAGCTTCCTGGTAAGCCACTGCAGTGGCCCACTGCTTCGGCTCCTCAGAAAACGAAAGTCATGGAGCAGCTTGTAGATGTGTTTCTCGAACTCGAGAAGCATCCATTCTCAGCAACCGGATCACTTTCCCGAGGTGGGCTTGTCGGACCATTCGCCCAGAGCCATATGTTCGTGTCTCCTTCAACATCGCTCGGACCATTTTCGACCTTGGAGGAATCGTTCACCTCGATCTTGAAGCACGAGATGGACATGATCAAAGGTGGAGAGCTAGCCACGCTTGCTACTGACAACTACTTGACCCATCTCTGGAGGCTCGAGCAGTTGTCCGGTCTCTTAGCATGTGTGACAGATGATCACTTCTACTTCAAACATGCCGACGACAAAGGTGACCACATCCTCGTCGACGAAGACTACAACATCACCGGAATCATTGACTGGGAGTTCGCATCGACTGAAACAAAGAACTCGGCATTTAGCTCTCCATGTATAATGTGGCCTGTCCAGAAGTACTACGATGGTAGCAACGACTTGGCACCAGAGGAATATGAATTTGCACGAATGTTTCAAAGCCGTGGACGAGAAGACATGGCGCAGATGATCTTGCAAGGTCGCGCATGGCAACGATTTGTTTTTTTCCTTGCGACTGCGGACACACCCCCTTACGACGTCTTCAGTAATCTGTTCCAGGGCTTGAGAAGAAGCTTCGAGGGAGAAAACATCGGATCTTACCTAGAATGGAGACGTCACGCGAGTGATGCTAGCGATGTCTCCTTCTAAGTCACCTCCTCTTCCTGACACTCACACCCTCTTCTAATCTAAAGCACACCGGTAATTTGTCCTTTAACAAGATCCAATACCGCCCTGATACCAGATGTCCCTTTCTTTTTACCACAGTCACCAGCATCATGGCGAAAATAAAGGTCAATTCTGAATGCTACTTAGATACAGAGCGCGAATTGGCCTCAAGGAAGACACAAGCAGGCAAGAATAGTCAGACGGCACTCAAAGCTAAAGATGAAGAAGCTACGATGAAAGCTTTCGACAATCACACAGGTGGATGTATACGAATCTTGTCTGATGGAGAAGAAGCTGCCGACTGAACTGTTCTAACATTCCAGACGTTGAAAAGAGAATAGACGAAATGACGTTATTCCACCAAGCATCATCTTCTCTTGGGTGTAGCTTAGGCAGCTTTCAAATCCCAAAGCGCTGGACAAGGCATCCCATCTTATTCGCAGGGCTAATTTAGGTGATTTTGCTATGCTAGATGGTTTGAATTGTCTCAAGGCTTCCTATCAGCTCGAATATGTGCAATCATGTAGGCTCAGATAGCGGAAGAGATCGTGCTGCAAAGGTAATGTCGTGGTCGGTGGGACCCTGTTCGTTCTGCTTGGCTGCGGACAAACGTTTGTCCACTGGACAGCAGACTCCAGACTTCATCCGGTATGAGTCAGCCAGTTGTCTTCGACTCATACTATCAACACTCATCAGTCGTGTATAAGTACTTAGGAAACACACTCACTTGCTACTTCTCATTCCAAGCTTGCTCATCCCTGAGAAGGTATATCAGGAGTTCATTGAGCCGTGTGTGTTTCACATATCTTCAAAAGTCCCGACAACCCCAATCACACCACTAGATCTTCTTCTCATTCGGTAATTCGTTCAAGCTCAACATGGCAAGCCTAAAATACACCACCCTCGACGTCTTTACGACCAAGAAGTTCGCCGGCAACCCATTGGCCGTATGTCAAATCCCCAAAGGCGTAACCCTCACCCAAGAGCAAAAGCAAACCATCGCCATCGAGTTCAACTACTCGGAAACCACTTTCCTACACCCATGCTCCAACGAAGGCGACGAGGTTCCCGAATGGCCCCTCGATATTTTTACCGTCAAAACCGAACTACCTTTTGCCGGCCACCCAACCATTGGAACCGCATGCCATATATTGAGCCAGACTGGAAAGACCAAGGGTAGATTCAAGGTCAAGGCCGGCATCATCGAGCTCGACTATACAGATGGCGTAGCAAAGGCTTCCATCCCTCACAACACTCACATCCACTCTACAACCGATTTATCCGCTTCCGCCATGCTAAACTGGCAAACCGGTCTCCAGCCCTTTTACAGATCCGGAGATCTAAAGGTGCATGTCGTGAGTCCAGTCAAGGGCATGAATTTCGCCATGATCGAACTCAAAACCTTGCAAGAATTGGCAGCTGTAAACTTGCCGGGCAAAGAACTAAACTTCTCGCTGGACGGAGACTGGGATGTCGGTCCTTGCTTTAGCAAATTCTTTGTGCGTATGCCCGATCAGGGTGACGGCATCAGGAGACTCAGAACCAGAATGATCGAGGGCAACTTTGAGGATCCGGCCACTGGAAGTGCTTGCTGTGGTCTTGCGGCTTATTTGGTCTTGAAGGAAGGTATCCAAGATGGAAAGGTCAAGTTTGATATCTTGCAGGCTGTTGAGATTGGAAGACCTAGTGAGATTGGTGTCGAGGTTGAGGTCAAGGGTGGTGAGATCAAGACAGTCGTGCTTTCTGGAAAGTCAGTGAGAGTCATGGAAGGCAAGATCTTCTATGAATAGTTGGACAGAGTCGAGTTTGGAATAATCAACCCGATTGGCGTATCTCTCACAGCGATATGTACTAATTGAATCAATCATAGCAACGCACAGCACCTGTCAGAAGAGGTCAGTATCCATAGAGGGAGCGTTATTCCAAGGTGCTTCCATGGCCACACTTCTGGTCTGGAAACAATTGTGCAGTTCAACAGCTTACAACATCGTGTACGTTGATATGTGAGAGAGGATTGTTCGAAAATCGAGACAGTCATAGCATTATCATTAAGCTGTCTGATACACTGCAAGGAGCCCTCCACCAACGCTATTACCTTGAAACCTGGACGGCTCTTTCTCTTTGTCGCCCTTGCCATTTGGATGGTCACCTGCGACCTCATGAGTCTACCATGAAATTCATGTTGACCTTGTGCACATCTGTCATCAATTCCAGAAGTCCTGCATTCGAAGGTCTCATTTTACCTCCTTGACCACACGTTTTCCACAGCTTGCCAAGGGCTTCTTTGGCAGTAGCGATGTTCTTGACGACTTTTTGNGCGCTCTGAGGAGACTTTGCAACAACAACTCCGCGCCTCTCTTGCAAGAAAGTGATTGCTGGTGGGTCGGGCTGGTCCTCACAGGAGAGCAGGTGAGAGGAAGATTGGCGTTTGCGGATTGTCCACTTCAGAGGGTCGCGGCAGCAGAGATCGATGTTGATATGATAACTGGGACAGTTGCGGCAGCACTGCGAGGCAAGGGTTACGTAGCTTAAGTTCGACAGGTGATCGGCGCTCAGGTAGTCCCTCAACCAGGATTCAGTACGAGGGTAGAGGTCGTTGGGGCGAAACAGATGAGAATGGAGAAGAAAGCGGTTGATGCGGAAGAAGATGGCTGTTCCCTCTTGACGAACTTGACGGCAGGTCTGTAGTAGAGCAGGTTTGGCTGCAGGCTCAACGTTTGGGTTGCAGGAGTGGTCAGGCTCTGTACCCAGGAGTAGAGCCGACTCGTAGACCATCGAACGGATCTCTTGAGGCAAGTCCATGAGTTCGAAAACGCGAGTCTCATCAGCTTGCTTCAAAGCCAACGCGTACGATGATTTGACCCGATGACGAGGTAGAGCGATAGCACGTTGGTTGAGCGAGGTGATAAGATCCTTATTGGGCCAAGTGAGATAGGGGTTGCGCAGCAAATCGTCTCGGTGGAGGATGTCAAACAGTGTCTTACACGCTGCACGGTACTCCGAAAGCTTGGTGCGCGTACGGCACGCAAGACCAGAGGGGCTCCAGTCATGATCGTCCATGTCTTCGTCAAGATCGAGCTGTAGCTCATCGACTTCTTCGTAGCGGTAAGGGCAAATCGACGATCTATGCTTGCAGACCCTGAATTGAGCAACGATATAGGCGGCTAGTTTGTTGAGGCTCGTTTCTTTAAGATCAGGNGGCTTGACCTGCCTGAACTCCATGGCGGATGATGCATAGGAGAACTGTAGGGGGAGACGACTATGAGAACATTAGCGTATGGAAGAATTAGGAGCATCAAGAACATATTACCTATCAGCCGGCATCTCATGAAGTCAGCGCGAGGCTGGTTAATAGTTGGATGCGAAGGCAATGATTGCGTTGTCTGTGTTGAAGGTTGAAAGAGGCAAGTGCGCGCGCAGATTAGCGCATAAGTGTGAGTGAAACTCAAGCGAGACACTCACAACACGAACTAGGAAGTCGCGCCTCCCGGGGTTCTGCACTCCGATAAGGTACTCCTTCAAAGAAAAACACTGGTCACATTGCAGCTATGGAAATGCACAATAGCTTTCCAAACAAGGAGCGTAGATACCTCAAAGTAGCACCTCTGCGTGGACAGCGTTGGCCTCTGAAAAGTATTGTGCGTTTCTACAGACACACTGTGACAGTCTTTGGCACGCAGGAGGCCGGCAGAGTGTGTGAGCAACAGTTCTAGGCATATATGATGGCCCGCATAGACAGACCTATTTGCAATTGCATACTGTTGTCATGCCACACGGCGAATGAGGGAGAAGGGTCAGACTGGACTAGAGGATGACAGGCAGAAGTGTAGATCATCATCACATGGCTGTTCACAAGGGATGAAGTAATCGAAGGGAAGATATTGTTTATTGAGGAGGACACTAGCAAGTAGGTAACAAGAGAAGTGTAGTAAGAAAAGGAGACAAGAGTGCAACGCGAAGCGAAACAGACCAAACTTGCAGAAGAAAAGTCCTCATTCAAACCATAGACGAACGCCTTGAGGAATTGATAATATCACGGAACCGCAAATGAAAACGATCCAGTAATGCATCAGTCAACGAGCCATGTCACTTTAGACTTCCATGTCGAGGAAGATCCACTTGTCACTTGTGCAAGCAACGCCCTTTGACCAGCGGTCGAGGGTAGTAAGCTCGAAGCCGACCCAGCCGAGGTCGCGAGTCAAGTCTTTGAGGTCTTCTTGGTCGGCAGAGCGATCAAGGCAAACGACGAGGTTCGAGCAGCCAAAGTCATCGTTACCAGCCAACTCGAGAAGGCACATGAGGCTGCGGAGAATAGTCAGTAGATGGTCACGAGACAGAAGATTCAAGTCAGACATACCCNNATTCTTGAGATCAGGTCCAATGACCGTCTTGTCGAAAAAGACGAATAGAGTGCTTAGTCCATTCTTGTCGGAGACAAAGCCGCGGAAGCGCAGGCCAGCAGCGTACTCCCAGATCTCGACCCACTCACGCACAGCGTTGTTGGGAACAGCCATATCGATAGCGCTGTCGGCCGAGGGCGAAGGAGAAGGCAGCGGGGCACTTCTGTCGTTGCTTATCTTGTTGTTGTAACGCATACCCATCACAAGCGAGTCCTGAGCGACGGTGTTTCCCTCACCAAGAAAAACGGTGTCCAGTGTCTCGCAGAAGAGTCTCTCACATTCTTCCGTGATGGTGTATGCGGCGCCTCTGCTGCGCGAGCGAGCCTTGAGGCCCGGGCGCTGCGGCGACGACGAAGCCCTGTTGACGGGCGACGTCCGTGGCGACGGTGGCGGTGACGTGCTCACCTCAAACCCACCACCCCGCTCCTGTCGTCGTGTTAGNTCGACGATATGAGGTTGATGTTGATAGTACGTACCGCCTGCCCCGCAGGTAGAGTAGTGGAAGCCCTTCAGGGCCATGTCGACGGCATCAACGGTGTAGGCGCTGGCCTGGATGTTGGAACGGGCGGCGACTTCCTTGGTCGCCTGGTAGTAATTACTACTACTATTACGGTGTTGATTGGAATAATTCGCCATTGAAAGGGTATGCCACGGTTGCGTGCCGGGGCTGGACGTGGGTGGGTTGGGTTGTCGGAGACGAGTCGGTGAGAGACGTAGAGTCTGTTGAAGGGCAGCGAGTGCGTGCGAGGTTTGATTGAGCGATTTGGCTGCGGTTGGAGCGAGAGAGGATGCGCAGGGCTTGTACAGGATTTATGAATCGTCGTCGTTGCGACGATTCGAGAAAGCACTAGCCGTGCACCCCCGCTCACGTGACTTTACACCATTCATCTATCAGAAACTCAATCGACGACATGGCTCTCTTTTCCAACGGCTGTCACTTCTATCAAACGTCTTCGCCTCTGTCGCAAGGGTCAATCACATGTAGAGTAGGCACAATAAACATTCAGTGAACATGCCTTCATGATTTGTTATATGTACAATGGACAATTGTCCATGTCTGAAAGTGCTGCCCTCTTGGGAAATTTGAAACCTTCCACCCAGTAATGCCCAATAATGAGAGAGGCCAGACAAGCCTCTACTCCGCATGCCAACCAACGCCGACGCTTGATCATAGACATGAATCCAGCCGAATGTGTCTGGTATCCAAGAGAAAGAAATGCAAAACAAAAGAAACTTCTAGGTTGTGTCGACGAGGGCTCACATCTCGCGATAGTCGACTGATCGCTGTCTGCGGTTGCGTGCTTGGTGACGATGCGGGTTGACAGGACGGCGGATGTATGCACCATCGTCGCCTTCTGCTCCTGGTTGCTGGTTATTGTTTGCGTTGTTCCAGTTCTGGTTGCCATGCCATTGCTGGCCTTGGCCTTGACCTTGGCCTTGACCGTAGCCTCCGTTCTGGCCCATCATCTGGTTGTTGTAGCCGCCACCATACATGTTTCCTCCACGTTGCTGCTGCTGTTGCTGTTGTGGGAAGCCCATGCCGTTCATACCGTTCATGCCATTCATGCCGTTCATGAAGCCCATGCCTCCCCACCCTCCATTCATCATCATCTGGTTAGGCATGCCCATCATGTTCATCGGCATTCCCATCATACCTCCANNGGGAAGCCCATCCCCATGGCTGGGTTGAAACCGCCCNATTCCAGGCATACCTCCTTGTTGGTTTGCGAGAGCATTCATCGACTGGATAAAGTTGTTCTGGTCGAAAGCGCTTCCCTGCATTGGTGGTTGAGAAGCGTTGTTCTGCTTGCGCATGGCTGCGGGGCCAGTGGGGATTCTAGTGTTCTCCAACTCATCTTCGGCGGGACGCTTCTTTGACTCGGTAGCAGCAGTTGTTTGCGGGGTCGAAGTGGCCGACTTGTCTCCGTCTACTGAAGCTGGCATCGGAGAGTTTGATTTTCTGTCGGTGGCGGCAGAGTCATTGGTGCTGGTTTGTTGCTCCGTTGGCGGCGGGGTAGCAGACTTTTCCTTTTCCTTCTCGAGCTTCATCTTCGCCTTGTCTTCTTGGTAGGCCTTGATCTTGTCTACGGCCTCTTCGTCAGAGATGAGGTTGTCAACTAGTGTGTTGTCTGAGGAGCAACCAGGACAGACAAAGTCATTTTCAAGAAGAGCATTCTCGATACAGTCACGGCAATAGGTCTTCCCACAGCAAGGAGTTTTCATTGGATCGACGAACATGCGTTTGTCAATAGGACATTCCAAGCCTCTCTCGCTCAATTCCTGGCTGTCTGTATTGGCAGCTTCGGCCTTGTCGGCTGCTGCCTTGGCCTTGGCCTGGAACTTTTCCCATGCAGCCTCGTCCGGTCTTGCAACAACCCATTCTCCAGTGGCAGTGTACATGACACCCGCTGGCAACTGAGAAACGTCGATGGTTCCGTCGCTTGATAGTGCGGTAGGCTTCTCGACGACCTTGAGGAAGGATCGTGGAATGCCAGTAGTACGTCTGAATTTGGGGCGGCCGTCAAAGTTGGGATCGTTGTTGGTGGGACATGCTTGGATCCAGTGACCCTTCTCACCACAACGGTGGCAGGTGTAGCCTGGAGGGAGGGGCTTATCGGGAACGTTTGCTGTCTTCTGGAACCCGCCAGTACGGTGGACGGCCTTCTGGTTGGCCATCTCTTGCTGTTGCTGCTCCCACTGAGCACCTCCAGCCTGGAACATGGCTGCGATCTTCTCTTCTTCGGTCATGTTGGGGTTCATGTCTTGAGGGGCGCCATTGCCCAAAGGTATTCCGGCTGCAGCTGCGGATTTGGAGGGTTCGATACGATGTTGGTTCTTTGCCATGACGGGCATCTTGCCGGAAACGTAACGTGCGGCTCTACCAGCGCCGGGCTTGGTAGCAGGGAGGCGTCTGGCGAGGACGGTGGTTCCTCGGGAGATGATAGATGTGTCGTCATTGTATTCTTCNTCGGAGTCAGTCGTTTGGGAATAAAGAGGTACATCAAGTGATAGATGCTTACCTTCATTGGTGTCGAGGTTGTAAATGTTAAAGTCAAAGTCAGTGCCGTCGCCGAGTCTGCTCATGTTGATTATGTCTCGCTTGAGCTCAAAGACGGAGATTCCAGTGCCATCAAAGGTCACTCTCTGCACATCCTTCTGGTTTTTGAACCTGAAGAAAACGGAAGAAGACATGGTTAGGAGTTACCGCAAAGGACGGGTTAAGGTTAGAAGCAGTAGAGTAGTACAGCCGAAAAGTGAGAAACCAGATGGATTCCAGGCTCAGATTGTCAAAGAAGGACAATAGGTCTTATTCTCGTGCGAATGCCGACTATGGTAAAAATTTCTTCTTGACTTTGTTTTTTCTGAAGGTTTAGGAGGTCTTCAAGACGCTAAACACTATTGGGGGTACAAGATCTCTGAGTAGAGGGGAGAAAGAGTGTATTGGTGATGTGTGAAGACTTCGGGGCAAAGGTTTTGTATGTTGATATGCAACATGCACAGTCGCAGGCTTGTCCCTCCTCTCAGACCAACTCCTCAAACACTTCCACTTGCTTGTGTGAAGATCTTGCGCGGCTGACTCACTGGGCGACAATAGCGCGTTGCTGGCACTTGTCGATAGGCGCGAGCGGGCGATGTGAAGACGTGCGGACGCGAAGATTCGAGACGACAAATACGGTGACCGTGGTGGATGACGGCTGATGAGAAAGTCGTGTGGTTGATGAGAGACAAGAGAAGGATGTCTCGTCGGCGAAGTCCAAGCTGAAGGCGCAGGAGCCTGGAATCCACTTAGTCAGCCCGTTGGCGTCGGCAAGAACTTTCCGACCCTTTCCGAATCCGGAAAGAGCTCTCACTTTCTCGACCAAGGCAAGCAACTTTCGACTGCCTGAACAACACAAATCTCGAGTTCACTGAAGCACTCGAGTTCTGAGACGATGATAAGGGAGTAATGAGTACTGGTTCACAACAGCTAAGTGTCTCGATGCCTTGTGAAGACCATTGGGAGCATGCGTCTCACGTTCAGCTCTGTCTCATTCATCATCTATGAACCGACTATTGTCTTTGTGCTTTCTTTGTCTCCATCCACTTTCAAGGAATAGTCACAACCACTTTCCCAACTGCCTTGTTGTCCTCCATGTATTCATGTGCCTCGCCTATTCTCTCCAAAGAAAACGTCTTGTCAAGAAAGTGCTCTGGCTTGAACATTCCAGCTTCCACCTTCTTGATCACCTCTCCAACGACTCTCTCCACGCCTTCATCCTCCTCCTGCCCGGGCTCTAGACTGTAGAAAGTCATCTTGCGTGTGGGTGGAATGAGAGCAGGCGTAAACTCCTTCATAGCCCATTGCTTGGTGAGAACGCCAGTGACCACAACTGAGCCATGTTTTGCCAGGTTCGGTAGCGCGAGAGATTGGATGGTATCGGGCCCAACAAGTTCCAGCAGACAGTCAACGCCTTTGGGAGCCAACTTCTTCAGTTGCTCGTCGAGCTCGTGTTCAAGAACAACATGATCTGCTCCGACTGACTTCAGCTTTGCAACCTTGTCCTGCTTGCGTGTTGTAGCAATGACGGTACATCCACGGTCCTTGGCCAGGAGAACGGCCCATATACCGACACTGCTCGTTGCTCCATGAATCAGAGCAGTGGCACCTTTCGTGAGCTGGCCTGCCTCGAATAGAGATCCATATGCTGTCCACATGGACATTGTGATAGCACCCAGCACATTCCAAGACAGTGTGGTCTGTGGTAGTCTGAACAGCCGTTGAGCTGGGCAGATGACATACTCTGCGTAGGCTCCATCAAATGCTTTACCTCCTCCGTAGATGAACCCAGTGCAAAGCTCTCCTTTCTTGAACTTGGTCTCAGAGCCTGCTTCTTCGACTAGGCCCACAAATTCCTCACCNTTCGCAAAAGGTTAGTCAAGTTCGTAGATAGCGTTTTCGAGTGGCCTACCAAGGATCTTTGGCGGATCAGGATGGAATTCATCAACGAACATTCCAAACTCAGGTGGTGCGGGCTCATCACCATTCCGACCACGAAGCTCAGCACGATTCAATCCAGCGACTTTGACCTTGACCAGAACCCAGCTCTGTGATGGAAGTGTAGGTTTGGGATACTCCTTGTCCATTGTGAAGCATTTTGATGGAGGACTGGCACCAGGCGAGGATAAGATGGCAGCGGTCATCTTGCCGTTAGGCGTATTGTCCCATGAAGGCATGTTGATATGTTAACTTCTTCGGAATGTTCGAGTATCTAGTCGGTGAATGCAGGACAGAAAGGCGTTGATGGAAATATAGCGAGGTTGCAAAGAGTGTGACATCATCTCGGCTGCTAGTGATGCGTCTTGCGTGGCATATCCTGTGTCAAGGCTGTCCCAAGGGCCAGTATCTCAGCTCCCTTGAACGATGCGCAATAAATCTGGCGTACTATAGCATTGACACAATTTGCAACTTACATCCTTGCCAAACAAGCTCTCGGACATTCTAAAATCGTATGGGACACAGGAACAGTCTCCTTGCTTGTACAAATGGATCGTGCATGCATTCGTGACTTCTGATAGACATGAAGACTTCACCCAACCCCAAGAGGCACTGGTAGTTGGCATACCCCGGGCACGAGATAGAGACCGAGGGTGCATGTGTCGTGCACAATTACCCTGAAGATATGGATGGATGGATGACATCGCCAATTTTCAAGCAATGTATGCTGTAGCATTCATGGTAGCAATGACTTTATGCGCCTTGGATCTTGGCTCGCAGACAATGACCGGAGTCTCGATGTGAGTGCACTTGCATAGCGGATTGAGATGGTTGGAAGTACGAGTGGGGGTCGGATATGTGGAAAGGAAGAAGAGCGCTTGAGGATTTTTCAGATATGGTACATGAAGAGGCAGCAGGAGTCTATTGGCGATCGAGAATTGGCGCGGAAAGAAACGTTTACTCGTCGTCGTTCTCCATGTACTTTTGCTTGAGGTCCTTCCATTGGCGCTGAGACGGATGTTAGCGTATGGATTCTGGTGATGGTTCTGAAAGATATTCAGACGTACGCCCNTGGTTGATGGAGTTCCAGACGCTGTTGGAGGCGTTGTCGAAAGCNGCTGCAGAGGAGTTAGACCGAGGTGGACACAGGGCGGGATTGACTGGGGAGGTTGCGTACATCTCCATGGCGAAGGCGCTGGTGAAGACTACGCTGAGGAAGACGTAGTTTCTGCGGAAGATGGTGCTGTTGGACAGAGTCAGAAGGTTGTCGAGAGCGGGCGAGGTGGTGGATCGAAGACTGACTTGTAGACATTCTGGAGAGCCTGCACTTGGCGTTAGCAGGGGGGCTAGTACGAGCGCAAAGATAGCTGTCTTACGGAGGAGGCCATTATGAAGGGTTGACGAGTTCGACTGCGACTAGAATTGAATGTGGTGAACCTGCAACTGCAACTGGCGACGACGAGGGAAGCCGCCGCTCGACACTCGACTTCCATGGTCAGCAAGTCTTGGCAGTCTTGGCGTTGGTCTCGCTCTCTTCTGCTGGCTGCTTTCGAGTCTCTCGAGAACTGACACTATTTACGCCCATTGGCCCGAGGTCCTGTGCTCGCGAAGACTTCACCTTGCTGGTATCAAGATGCCCACCGAGGCCTCCAAGGTGTCCCGCGCTGGCATCGCAACCTCAGCAACCGGCGAGCGACACATCCCCTCCTCCGTCCGACCCGATGGATCCGTGAGGAAAGAAATTCGCGTACGCCCTGGCTACCGCCCTCCGGAGGATGTCGAACTCTACAAGAACCGGACAGCCGAAGCGTATAAGAATCGTGGCAAGGGAGGTGTTCCCGGCGCTGATACTGCTTCTGCCCCACCAGACGCTCCTTCTGCCGCTGCCAACAAGAACGCAAAACGTAGAGAGGCCAGAAAGAAGGCCGCAGCGTCTGCTCCCACCAAGGACGACACTCCTGCCGCAACTGCAGCCACTGAACAACCTCCTGCTGTAGCAGNNAACCCGCCAAACAGGAGCCCATCGACCCCGAAGTCGAGAAAACAAAAGAAGCCAAAAAGCTGGCAAAGAAGCTTCGCCAGGCACGCGATCTGCAGGACAAGANAAGAGAAGGGCGATTCCCTGCTCCCGGAGCAGTTCCAAAAAGTCATCAAGATCAACGAACTCATTCGACAACTCGAGAACCTGGGTTTCGATTCCAATGGAGACAAGAAATCTACAGATGCCGAATCGTGAAGTCCTCAAGACTACACCATTTCTACTACAATCGCCATGACATTTGTCGTGTCATACAGGCCAAAAGGCGTCTCATATCGAACATGAAACTCGTCTGCTCTGACCTGTAACATGTTCCCTCTCCCTCCTCCAACCTTCGATGCCACTTGACGGCGCAATTCTTCAATTGCTTGGGCTTGCGACCAGAACTCTACGCTGTTGAGCTCCCCAGTCAGCTCGATGACGATCGGGGTTTCGTCAAATTCGGCAATCTTATGAGGTCCAGAAAGATCTGCTACTGTCAGAAGGCTTGCTTACTTGCTTGCTTCGTTTCTTGGCAAGTCAAAACTTACTGCATTCGTGCCCGGAGGGTATGACCACTAGTGTAGCTCTTGAGATGCCGTACAACGCTCTCTTCTCTAGCGCTATGTGAATCTTTTCTGCCGCTGCAGATACCAACATCGATCGAGATGCAGTCGCTTGGTCAACCAGATTGTATGGTCGGTCTGCTGCCTTTCTATCCTCGGTCTTCCCGCCGTTTGGTTCGCCCGAGTATCTCTCTTCGTAGGGCGGTGGGTTATCGGCCATCTTGAATCTGAGAAGACAGAGAGATTATGCGTGCTGTCTGGAAGTGCTTCTGATGTTCAGAGATTGTAATCAGGAGTTCAGGCTGACTACTGCGCCTTGATATTGTTTGTGTGCCTGAAAGTTCGCAAGGTCGTGCGAGCGTTGTTGAAGATAGTTGGTTAGAAACGTCAGGTGCCTGAATTTACCTTCCAGGCGTCTTCTCGAATCCTTCCAGCGAACTTCTGGATAACCGGCTTCGACTGAGCCTACTCACAGCCTGGTGGCTTGGCATCAATGACTGGTCAGGATTTCCAGCTCCACCTCTATCATGCTCAAGCCAAGACATACTATTCTGAAGTTCGAATTATCGTAGAGTTCGGCACAAAATGCCGACTGACCACTTGGCTCACCAATGCTGTTGCCATATGCCTGCTCTCCTGAGGACTAAAGAGCACCTAGATTACCACCTGACTCGCTTCAACACCAACCAGGCATCATCAAGAGTTCGATGCCGGGAACAACGGCATTCCTCTAAGGCCGTAGAATGTGGCTCAGTCTAAGGCATATCGGCCTGTCGTGAGCCTTGGGCAGCTTCGCCATGCGGATCGCTGGTCAGATGTGCAGTATGACTGATTTCTATTCAAGTATATAAAGACACATATCCAGTCCTTCTTTTTACTCATCTCCAAGTCACAATCAACTTTTACACCATCCTTATACTCACACATCAAACGTAAAGATGGTTTGGGGATACCATGCTGCAGAGCCCAACTCCTACCTCGTCATCACTGGCGCAGGTGTCAAGGGATTGAAGCTCACCAAAAAGGCTATGGTCCTGCCTTTCCAGAAGGTCACCAAAATATCCGTCACTCCTTTCCACTTCACAACCGACCTGCAGGCCATGACATCTGAGAAGCTGCAAGTCTGTCTGCCAGCCGTCTTCACCATTGGTCCCAAGGATGATCAAGAATCACTCATGAGGTATGCCGGCTTGATGACAGACAGCACCTCGGACGCTGGCGTTGCCAGCCGCCAGCACATTCAAGACATCATCATGGGCATCGTCGAAGGCGAGACCAGATCCGTCGTCTCCAACATTACCATGAAGGAGCTCTTCGAGAAGCGCAGCCTCTACCGAACAAAGGTCGTCGAGCACGTCCAAACCGAACTTACACAGTTTGGGCTCCATATCTACAATGCCAGTATCAAGGAACTCCGCGATATGGTTGGATCGCACTACTTCGAGTTCCAGTCCAAGAAAGCACACGAAGGTGCTCAGGTATGTGGATCAAAATTTTCCAGTCGTCTAGTGGTGGGAGCGAAGTGCTGACTGCCAATTCCAANNCAGAATCAAGCCAAAGTCGATGTGGCACATGCCCGTACGTGACTTCCTCTATCTACTCCACGTTCACAGTACTAACCTACACAATCAACAGGTATGCTAGGTGAAATCGGAGAAGCCGAAAACCTAGGCCGCACCAAACAGGAAATCGCAAAGATCAATGCCAACACCGCCGTCCAAGAAACCGAGCGCAAGATCGAAAAGGCAATGGCAGATTCCCGCTTCAAATCCCAGGAAATCGACATTGAGAGAAAACTAAACATCGAGCGTATCCAAGCCGAACGCGCCGCCGAGCTCAGAGATGCAGACCTTCAAAAGGGCGTGCAAGAAAGCAAAGCCTTGATGGAACTCGAGCGCATGAGAGCAACCACCGTGACAAAAGCCAAAGTAGCAAAGGAATCANGCAGCTCAAGAAGCAGATGCACAACTCTACAAGGCCCGTCAAGCCGCAGAAGCGAACGCATTCCAGCAATCAAAAACCGCCGACGTCGAACTCTACACCACCGAAAAGCAAGCAGCAGGCCACTTTCACAAAAAACAACGCGAGACAGAAGCAAAGTTCNNCTCCAAGACAGCAAAGCCGCAGACGCCTCTCTGTACCGCAAACAACAAGACGCCCTCGGTGACCTCGAAAGCAGAAAGGCACAAGCGACCGGCGACCTCGAGATCCAAAAGGCGCAAGCAGCAGGTGACTTTGAGATCCAAAAGGCTCAAGCAGAAGCCCTCTACATCCGCCACGAGCGCGAAGCAGCAGGAATCATCCAACTCGCCACCGCCTACGAAAAACTCGGCAATGTGCTGGGAGGCCCTCAAGGCGTGCGCGACTGGATGATGCTCCAAAACAACATTCCCGTACAACTCGCAAAGGCAAATGCCGAAGCCATCAGAGGTTTGCAGCCAAAGATCAATGTCTGGACTACGGGCTCGCAGGAAGGTGCTGCTGCAGATTCCTTTGCGCCCATCAAGAATATCATGCAGAGTTTGCCTCCGCTGTTTTCGACGATTCAGGATCAGACGGGTATGATGCCGCCGGCTTGGTTGGCGCAGATGCCTAATGGACATGGCCGAACGGACTCTGCTCACGACCTTCCAAATGCTCTACAGAAGCACAAGGGTATCAATGGTTCTTAAGGTCACAGGCTACCGTGCCGACACTTTCCTATCTTTTGTAATGAATCGATATCGTGTTTTGGGAGGCTTGGAGGACCCGCAATATCGAGTTTCTCATCAGCTGTTCTTTTTTTTTTTTCAATATATCCGTAGTCGTCGGTAGAGTAATGCTATAACTCTAGTTTGATATTCGATCTTATCACCTCTCAACATGTACTCTTATGTGTCTCTGTACTAACCCTCTTGCGTTTACCCATTGGCTGTCTGCCTTGCTGTGTCCTCAAAGTAAGCAAAGAAGCGAGGACTAGTTGTAGGATGTATCGTTCCTTCTTCACAGTGGCTTGCGATTTGGAAACGCAATAATCACATCAGCTCGGGGCTTCCTTAGCGAAGAAAAAAGAGGAGGAAAACACGATTGCGAGCCGGTTCGAATGAGATGAGAAGGGCAGCTACAGCATGGACGAGGCGCCTGAGGAGAACGAACAATCACATCACAAGTTTGGGTCACGATTCGAATATGTAGTTGCACTTGCCTTCATGAGACCAGATGAGTAAAGAGAATCCAACACAAGTACGGCTCAAAACAAATGACCCATTGATATCATTGAGCGAAGGACTAAGATTAAGCAGGCTATGGATGAGCGAAATAACGCCATCAGATCTTCAAGGTCGTTAATATGTCTGCCAGTGTCGTAAAGGCCAAGACAAGTATATGCATGCATTAGTTCTTGCGTTTTCCGTCAATCTCTTGCTGACATAGAAGCAAAAAAGCAACCGGGATTGGACGACAACAAAGAAACATCGCAGAAAGGGACAAAAAGCAAAGCAACGTTTTCCTCCACGTTAAGCATCAAAAGCAAAGGCGTAAGGGGTATATCCCGAAATGCTGGAAAAAGAAAAAAAACAACAGGATGTAAACAAACAAAATTGGAATACGACCTCGAGGACTCCGCTTGTAGATGGGAAAGATACTGATGAACAAAGATAGATGCAGAGCCATGAGACGTTAAAATGACAGGCAAACGGAAGTGACAGACGAGTCCAGTAGACGAGGGCATGCTGTCTGAGTAATGCGTACGCTGTGTGTGGTCGTAATATGTGAGAGCATCCGTGGCGGACCAAACGCTCTTAGGCCATAGCGTGGATAGAGTTGAACGAGCCGCCAGATTCGATAGAATCGCCAGTCAGGCCCTCATTCTTGTAGACATCATTCCCATCCCTCTCGGGAAAAAGAAGTCGATCAATTGCTTCAAGAATCAGAATATCACTGACTGCGACACTGGAAGCACACTGCAGTCGGCGAATAAAGGCAATCGTGCGACTGAGCAGCTTTTGCAGCTTTTCCTTAGGCACGAGCTCCTTGAGCCAGCCGATACTGCAGTTATAGACTGCTGCAAGAACAAGCATGTTGCCGAATTGNCCTAGGATATAATGTCAGCTGTTATTCGGGATAAACCGAAGATTGGAGGAGCCTTACGCATGCGCGGTTCCCATAATATTGGTGACAATCAAGCGGTGCTCGAAGTTTTCTACACCATCAAAAGCTACAGTACTGCGCATAGCAGCATCAATACAGATGCGGCACTTGGACTTGACCATCTCCTCGTCGTTGTACCTCGAGATAGCGGTGAACAATGCAAGCTCGGTTTTCCGATCGCGACCGTTGGCATCCTTTGTCAGCTCTTCAAGGGTTTTGCCACTTCCAAGTTCGTACATTACATGCAGAGCATAATCGAGATAGGGTCGAGTACAAACGTATCGGGCACCGTAATACTTGCCTCTCAATCGAGCAGCGACAATGTCCGAAGCAAGGGGATCATCGTCCGACCAAGTGTACTCATCCACAAGTTCTTGCCAGCCTTTCAAGTCATCTGTCTGCTGCCAGAGAAGCTCCGCAAGCCTTTGAGGATCTTCCGAAGATACTNNGCATTCTGTCAGCTTCATTTCGTGAATGGAGTGGAGCAGGAACATACAGCTTCCTCCATACAGATCTGTATGGATTCTGTTCAGCTTTGTACGCAGATACAGTTGAGCCGAATAATATAAAGTTATGATGTACCTCTCCTGCTGCTCCTCCGGGGTCCATGTCTCCGCTTGTGTCATGGTTGGTAACGGATAAGTGACTGACCCCTCGAGCAGATGGAGTCCACTGCGAGGATAGTCCCATTCGGCGAGGATGTCACTNATTCCACAGTTAGCTTAGTCAAAATCGCTCGAATTCTGTGCATACCTCTCAAGCTGTAAGGCGGACCAAAAAGCAAGGATGGTTAGGTTCTCATGCTTGTTCAAGCTTCGTGCCTTCTTCTTGTCCTCGATTGTGTTGTCCAGACCATCNACTATATATGACATAAGTAATCATCTCCGCGCAATTCTCGCGACGGAAACTTACATTTTCATGCGGTAAAGGCAAGTCCGTGCTGCCGTACTGATCCAGCTCCAACTCTCCTGAACTCTGGCGAGTTGACCCTTGTAAAGACCAGCTAGTAGACGTGCTTGGGCAGCCGCGAGCTCGTTTGAGTCTGTGAAGTCCCCAAGAATGGAGGCAGCTTCGCGATAATAAACGAACCCAGCTATCTTTTCATGGTTCTGGGCTGGTCTCTTATCCACCGGCTGACTTCCAGTGCCGTCCCAGGAGCGAGCGCGGGAGATTCCAGCAGAAGAGTTGGCCACATTACTTATGAATTGTCTCGGAGACGAGAAAGCTGGCTGGGTATGAGGCGATGCCATTGTTGTGTAGACGAGGTTAGCCCTACTCGTCGGAACAACTTCTTGTACTGAGCCGGGAAGGGGGTCCGGAGCCTCGCAAATCTTGCCCAAGGCAAGGACTAGATACACGATTGCATTGGTAAGGTTCCTTTCTGGTGCGCGTCTGAATTGTGGCGATGCAGCATTGCTCGTAGGTTCGCCTCCTGGCAGAAGGCCAGTGGCAAACTTGTCGTTACGTTTTCTCCGCTTGGTTTCACGCTCACCGGATCCATTGGTGACGAATAATGGCGAGTGGTGATTCTTGGGTTCGACGCAATGCGTCGGCTTGAACGTATCTCGGAGGTATATTCCTAGACTCTCGACATCCACAAATGGATGCAGGCGGTGGATGTTCTTCTTGTAGGAATTGAATAGATGGTCAATAGTGTCGATGTCCATGGACATGGCAGGTGAGCCAGGAGTGAATGGCTCAGACCTTCGAGAATCATTCTCAGGCGTTGAAGCAATGAGGTCGTCTCCATTTGAACTGCCTGCAGGACTTTCGGCGCCGATATTTACTAGCTCGTCTTTGACACGCTCGCCGGCACCATACAGACGCAATATGCCACGATCTTCGCCTTTCATGACATAATTTTCGCTGACGTTGCATTTGCTAGTCCGCACGAAAGGTTGAATGGAAGGCCAACGGAGCAATAACTTGTGAGCTGCCGTGGTATGGTCGCCAATCTCCCACGTCTGCGGTTGGATGTCTGTCAATTCCTCGGCATTGTTGTTCTCTACAGCCATAGCATCTGCATTCTGGTTGGGTGGATTTGGCGTATCAACACGAGCGTGTGCTGAAGGTTGAATGGCAAGATGTTTCTCGACAACACCGAGACGGTCACTGATGGATTTGAGGGACGTTAAGACTTCGGCTACCATCTCGGAAAGAGCCTGATTGTTCTTGTCGGCTTTCGTGGGATGTGCATCCTTGTAAATACACAGCAAATCTTGCTCCTTGCATGTTGCACAGGGACGATTCTCGTCGCATTTGGACTTACGCTCACGACATCTGTCGCAGGCCTGGGGATATGATTAAGAAACAGTCAACAGAAGTCAGAACGTGAATTAGCCTACCTGACTAGCACGCATACTCTTCTTGCGCGAATTTGGATTCGACATGTGCATGGGCGGCATATACTGTGGATAGTATCCTGGTGGAGGTTGGCCATAAGGGTCCAGCATGGGACCAACTATGTAGTTGACATGTTCACCCTGTGGAGGCGGTGCATGCTGCACATAAGCAGTGGGATGGTGTTCCATGGGTGGGCGAGTATGCGGTGGTGGTCCAGGATGTTGCGCTGATGGCTGAGACTGAGGCTGCGACTGCAGAGGGTTACTTGGAGGGCGTGGATACTGAGGCGGTGCAGGAGGTATATCTGTCTTAATGACGGGGGTTCCGTGGACAGCAGGCGGAGCGGTATATGGATGTTCAGCCCTATCCGGGCCCTCTGGGTGCGGTGCAGGGTGTATCACGGTCGGCAGGGGCTGCTGAGCGTGGTATTGGTGCGGTGGTGGGGGAGGAGGAGGGACACTCGGCAGACTATGTGGTCTCGGTGGAGGATAGATCTGTTGGTTCGAGGGAGGGACTGAGTGGTCGGATGGGAGCGAGGGACGATGGTAGTGCTGGTCGGGGCCGGCTAGGGGCGCACGTCGTTGATCCATGGACTGACAGGTCTGGCTCGTAGACGGCTGTCCGTGTCAGTGGCGCTCCGACGTTGCAAGTGCGCACGCAGGGCTCCGCAGAGGACAGATTAGTGGGCAGATGGGGCAGGTCAGGGCGGCAGTGGTAACGGCGGCGGCGGCAGCAGAGACAGTAGCAGGAGCAGAAGGAAAGCAGGAGCCCTTTAGGCTCTGGTAGGTACTTGGGCGAGCAGACACGGCGACGGTCGGAGATGAGGTGATGAACGTCTGGTCGAAGAGCTTGTTCAGTAATCTGTGAGATGGCTCCTGCTCAGATCAGATCGGATCTGGTAAGATCAAGATGCGGCGGCGGCGGCGAAGGCAGGTGGCAGGGGGGCAACGTGGGCGAGAGCGACGTGCAGACAGGTAGGCGCGACTGAGGTGTCGGGGCGAGTTCGATGCCTTGTGCCTGATCCGAGTGTCCTGGCGGTGGATGACGGAGAGCTGTCGAGGTCGAATCTTTGTGATTTGCTTGTCCCCTGCGAGATACAGTGCGATTCGCCAGGCCCATCAAACGCTGGTGCGCACGCCGCGATCTCGTTTGTCGAAAAAGGTCGTCCTTGTTGCGGATCTACGCTACCGGGCAAGGGCCATGAGCATGCTAGACACGACTGTGGTCCCGACTCCCAGATACACCCTCTGTCTAGCGCCAGTGTCGGCCGCTCTAGCTTCCGTCGTGGAAAGAGGCCCAAAGACTGGCAGACCCTAAACGCATACGAGTCTGCGCTGAATATCGACAACGACTGTCATGCAGCTCTAGTGCTTGGAAGGAGGAGCTCCCAGAACACCAACCCGCCCGCCTTGAGCTTTGTGCGAGTCAGGCAGTTCGCTGCCAAAATCCTTGACTCGCGACCACTCAAAGTCAATTCAAACCTTCATTTGACACTCTAATAACCATATGACATCTCGTACAGTCATCCACTCAATTCAGAACAACAATTCCTGCTGTATCTGTCCAGTCTGGACCTGATCATCTCTTTTTGATGACTCACCCTGGAACACGTTTTGTTTCTCCGAGGCGAAGCTTAATTCTCATGTTCAAAAGTCCTCATGCCGAAACATGCTTATGGACCCTGGCGCATGGCTGGATGTACTCGGCGATACAAGACAACCAACAAAAGGCAAACTCCTTATGTGTTTCCACCAAACGGCACGAGGCTTACTACCACTGCTCGATCCCAGAAACTCCCTCGCAAATCTGCTTGGGTTTCGACCATCTCATCCTGATATATTGATGCACAAAAGTGCCATGTGCCTCCTTCGAGGCGAGCGTGCTGTGCCTTTACTCCAATCTATACTGTCCGTCCACACACACACACACACACACACAAAGGAACGATGAATACTAATCATCCCATCGACCACGCAAGGTGAGCACACGTACTTTCCTAAATAAGAATCACTCAATGCAAGAGCAATTTTTGCCCTTGTCAGATCAGCCGTCTGCCTTCCCGGATCCCGGACATCCAAATCGGCGGTGTGAGTGATATGGCGATCTTTGACTTCTACCGACACAACCGGTTTCAGATTCGACCCTGCTGCCAGGAAATTCAGGTCATTTTCCTCGGCTCCTGCATGGGTGTCATGATATATCAAGGTTTGGCAATGGCAACTAGGACGGCTTACCAGTCTGGGCTGTGCCTCGAACGAACCTGATTCTTCCTTCTCGGTCCAGTACTCTATGAACAGTCGCAGTAGATCCCAGATATTTCCGCAATTTGTGTGATCAAACGCCGCTGCAGTCCCATCGCTACTACTTGCCTGATGGCTTGCTCTTTCACTCTGAACATCGATCTAGCTTTCCTTAGCGTGACGTGGAGAACCGCGCCTGTGGTTTTTGGGAACCTTTGACATGCAACGGGGCGGAGCGTCGCGCAAAGTGGAGACGAGGCAGAGTTCAACCGTCCATCGCGAGTCGTGAGGCGGGTTAGGTTGCACGCCTGAAAACCACATCGTCCCGCGTCGGTCTTCTGTCTGCGAAGCGATGCTTTACGATAGGGCTCTCATCGACAGCGCACACTGCGTACAATTCATCGAAGAGCTTTCACCGCTCGGACAGAATATAACTTATGATCATGAGACAGGAGGTGCTGTAGATACAAGGAACCTTGACGGGTTCTAGAACCGTGATACAACCGTGACTTGTGAACTTGGTTCTGTTGCTGCGAGCGAAAGCAAGCTGCCACGTCGTGCAATTATTGCAATCGGGCATCACGTCTTTTGCCCATTTGATTGGACCTTTTTCACCGCTGTCGCACTGTCGCATCACATCATCACTGCAGGCCAGCATGCAGTATCGTTGAGTAATTGGCGATTCCAAATCGTTCCAAAGCACAACGACCAGCCACCCCCCCGCATAGGTGCATCCTACTCTCATGCACGCTGGAGCAATAGGATGGAGATCTGCAGACCGCTTGGGTACTTGACAGCCTGTCAGGCATCGCCTTTCGTAACGGCGTGCCACTTGAGCCAAGTCCGTTGCTCTCGTCCGCACAACCCCGTCACGCCGTCTACTCGACCATTGAAAGACTTGGTTCTTGTTCCTGTGCTAACCAACGACGGGCTTTTTTCTTCTTGTTTCTACACGCTACGTACACGCACGCCATGATCAACTTTGTTTCTAGAAACAGTCCAAACTCAAAAAATCGTCTGGTCAATGTCGTGCATGAGGGCAAATCACTGTCTTGCCTCGTGCGAGCAGCCGCCGACGGCTATAGTTGGCTCCACTCGGCGTCTATTGAGGTACTGCATTCGTCGACACGCGCAAATTGACCTGCAGCCAACACCTGTTCGATGACCATTGACCGGTCAATTGGCTTTTCAAAAAAGAAACCCGCCGAGCTCCAAAGAACAAATCATCCGTATCGAGTGACTTTACATCTCGACGATCCGTAATACGAGATGCATCTTTCCCTTTTGTTTCGAGACCTGCATGACTTAGTGTTGCTCGTTTATCTCCTGACGTTTTCTTGGCCCGTCAGTGTTTTTGATCACGAAAGGTCTGCGTAAAGGCGGTCCTATCGATGGCCGGCGTGACCGCCGCCGTCTCGTGTGCCCGCACCCAGGTTTCAATCTTGCCCCTGACCAAGACGACTGATCCATCGGGCAATTTGTTCGGCTCGATCATGGCCGTCTCGCCCAGGGCCATGACCACATCTTCGGGTGCGATCCAGGTTTTCTGAACGATCTGGTCGACAGTCCAAGATCGATTTGAAGGATTCGACAAGATGCTCCGACAGATCGAGGCTGACCAGTATGCTAGATAGGCCTTTCTTCCGAGACTCGATAGGGCTNNGAACTTCTTGTCAGCGTGGCGTCCCAAGTGCTGGTTTTTGATAGAAGGGATTCTCTTACGTTTTTCAGGACCACCGAGTCTGCCTTCTCGCCGACTCAATTCATAGCTCACGCCCATAAGCAATTGGCCCAGGCCACGTTTCTGCCAGGGTGGAAAGACCAGAATGCAAGCCACATTGTTGTTGTCCCAGCTCATCTTTTCCTTGCTGAAGAAGCCCACGACTTGTCTTTCTGCGGTTTGCGGGTCCGTAAGCACGAGAAGGTAGTATCGAAAGGTGGTGACATCGTAGAAGACGGATTTTGTGTCAAGGAAGAGCTTGGCGAACAAGGAGAGATTTTGCGAATACAGCNNTGCTCAATGTGTTAGCGAGCTGTCAGGCAATTGTATAATGTAGTAGACCATGTGTACCTTGTGCTCTTCACCGTCGATCTCGTATATTGATTGGTCGGCCGTCTGGTATATCAGCGTCCCTGGTGGCGGCGACGCTTTCAATGGACAGACTCGCTGGAACATGTCAGCTTGGCCTAACGATTGTGCGCCAGTAGATGAGGGCGACCGTACTCTGTGTGCAAGGTATGGCATGAGCTCTTTCGAGTAGCGAAAACAGCTCTCACAGACATAGAGGCGCTCAGCCTTCCTGCCGACGAGATCCTCGGGGTAGAACGAGGGATACCATGGCTTGATCTGGATGTTGCCCAAGACGACGTTCAGGACATTAGGTTCGGTCGGAGACTTTTTGGGCGTCTGAAGTTCCTGGGGCCTCGTCTGAGGGGACACTGCAGCGGCCATGTCGTGGGTTGACGAGTTTGTCCGGACGAAGAAGCGTTCGCATCATCACTGGCATCGAGCGAAACAAGTCATGCTGGGATCCGGGTGTTCATGCAGTGCGAGCCATGCCTGGGATTTGTATCACAGCTTCAACCTGATCGTCATCGTCGTCGCGACGCCGGGCTTCTTCTCCGCCAAGACCATGCTCTACAGGCTAGGTACAGCACCATACGCGTACTCGAATATGTAGGTAATATCTATTTAAATTGACTTTGGATGACTTGCTTCAACCTCATTGCTTGTATCAACGCATGCCAGAGCACGTCAATAGTGCATTGCTTTGACATGCTTTCCAGCCTCGTTTCGCCTGTTTCGGTATGCACCGCGTCTATGGCACTGCATCTCATCCAGACGCCTTATAATTGCGTCCTCGTATTTGTGCTCCTATAGTTCTCTATGGCAGCATAGATGCCTTCCGGACTGGGCTTCTCGGCGCACACGTGTGGCTCATACCCGAACTCTTTGATCAGATAGTCGCGGGTCGTGGGTCCGATGGTTGCAATGAATGTTGTGGTTGGCAATGATTCTGTGACCTCTGACTTGTAGCGACCAGCCTCATCGAGCCATCCCAGGCAATCGAGCATTGCTCTGCAACCCTGAGGCGAGAACACGACTACCCATTGCTCCTTGACCTCAGAGGCAACATTGTCCGCAAGGGCACGAGCAAAGTCGATGTGGAAAGATGCCATCTCGCAAGTCTCGTAGATGACAACCTCGTGAACTCCAATACGAGCTTCTTGATGCAAGTCAGGAGACTGAAGGGATTTGGGTATAATGTCCCTGCGAACTTCTCCTACCAAAAACAAAAGAGGAAGCTTGCGGTCTTGCCTTACCGTCTGACTTGTGGGAAGGCTGTTGTAGTGGTCCAGCATGAAGGCAGAAAGGGCGGCACCATTACCGGTCTCCTCGCCAATGATCTGACATTTCAGGCCCAACGATCGTAGTCCTCTCGCAGTAGCTGGTCCGACAACATACAACGGTAGAGCCTCGGGCAGAAGTTCATCTCTAGTGTCAGACTCCAGCGACTCGACTATTGATGTGAAAGCCTCGACAGCACGTTGTGAGGTAAAGATAATACCGCCAAAGCTTGACTCGGCAGCTACAGAAGTATCAGGGCTGAAACCGCGGCCCGAAGTTATGTTCTTTAGCCAGGTCAAGGATTCTTCCCTGAAGCGGTGTTCTAGGACGGGTAGAAAGGTAGGTAGGTAATTGTTCCAGCCAGCAAAGATTTCCTGGTAGCCATCAGCGGGGATAGACTTTGTCTTGAGCAACAGCACAGGTATGTCTGATGTCGTGGACGCCATGTCGATTGGTATGTCGTTGACGGGTGGTCGATTTGCAGAGGCGGGAAGAACCGAGAGGTGGTTGAAAAGAGGCCCGATGGGACCCGAGCACGGACGAAGGAGCCCCGGAAGTGCCTGACAAATGCGAAATATAGAAAGATCGATAACATGCCTATCACTGAGATTCCGTATCCTATTCTCTCGCAATTCGGCTGCGCAGTGACAAAGACAACCGGAATGCCGCCTCAACCACTAGACGCGACGCCTGAGCAGAAGGCTCAGGTCGATGAAGAGGACAGAACTCCCAAGCAGCTGCCGAAGGGCGTAGTCTTGGGCCCTGATGGCAAGCCGTACGTCAAAAGACAGTAGACAGGATACTAGAACACATACTGAGGCGAATCCACAGGTNGTCGGTCATGCACTTCAGTGTCCTCGTGGTTCGCCATGGCAAAGCAGGGTACATCGAATCCGTCCAAAATTGCGACTACGACACCGCCAGCCCAAGCAACCGCCTCCCTCGACATGCCGGCCGACTGTCCACCAGACGTAGAACAGCTTGGTCGTTCGGCGTGGACACTTCTTCACACCATGGCAGCAAGCTATCCAGAAAAGGCTTCACCAGAGCAGCAAAGAGAGACAACAACGTTTATGCAACTATTTGGCAAGATGTACCCTTGCTGGGTATGCGCCGATGATTTCAGAGCATGGATGAAAGATGGCAACGAGCCGCGAGTGAGCAGCAGAGAAGACTTTGGACAATGGATGTGTGAGGCACACAATGCCGTCAATGTCAAGCTGGGCAAGAATTCGTTTGACTGCAAGAAGTGGGAAGAGCGATGGAGGACGGGCTGGAAGGATGGACGATGTGGTTGATCGTGCCTTCTGTTGTATGTCTATAAACTGCGATGCAAACTGCTCCCACGCCTCTCAAAGGAAGGAAGCAGCGCTGTTGACAAACAAAGCGACCAGGACGACACAAGCCCCCGAGCTCGACGCGTGCACTCTGAGCCCTGTCTGCCTGTGCCGAACGCAACCTTACTCAACTGAGAAGGTCTCGTGCGTCAGCATCACAGAAATCGACGAGGAAAGACACGTCCAAGTGCTACTACAATGACGTATGCATTAAGCTTGGTCACGGTCTTCGCGTTAGAGTCGCGTTTCGAGGCTAAATCGTTACGATAAATACTCTTAGAGGTTCCTTATATACACTCTTCAGCTCCTCACTTTGACTCTGCAAGCTGCAAGCCCCTCTGGACAATCAATTCTCGTTGACATCACCAATCGTCAGCTCCGTCACGCCATCATCACAACCCATTGAACCAATCGCTCTCTTGCCAGCTCGACATTTCCCCATACCTTCCCTAATCCACTCACATCATGCCTGGCACACGATCATCCGCCCGTTTGGCTGAAAAGCAGTCCAGCNCCCCAGCTGCTTCTCAAGAGACAAAAGACAACAAGCGCAAGGCCGACGACTCTCAATCCTCTCCTTCCAAGAAGGGCCGCAAGGACACTGCTGAGCAGAAGACCATCGAAGAGACTCTCAAGCCTGCTGAACACACCAACGGCGATTCTGAATCCAAGCCTCCTGGTGAAGCTGGTCAGACCGAACGTGCTGAACAGAAGCCCGCTGCCGACTCAGCTGAGCAAAAGTCATCCGGGCAAGCATCTGAACAGAAGCCCGCTGAGCAGACTAATGCTGAAATGAAGGACGACGGCTCCATCAAGCAGGTCGGCGAGTCCTACCAGGGCCAGAACAGAGAGGGCGAGTCAAAGGATGATCCCGAGAAGGCTCTCAAGGACTCTCGTGGTGGCCAAGGTCTGAACACCATTGAGCCTGAGAACCCCAAGTCTAAGCCCGAGAACCTCCCAATCGTATGTTCTGCTCAACCTTATGCCATTGCATCGACTAACAATCCCAGGNATGACATCCACCGCGACTTTGCTGCAGACCCCAAGGTCCCCACCGAGGAGAAGCCCAAGGAAGACGAGGACGCAGGTGGTGCCGTCGAAGAGAGCAAGGATCGTGCTGAGCAGATGCCCAGCAACATCCAAGAAAAGGGTATCATCTACTTCTTCACCAGAGGTCGTGTCGGCATTGACGACCCTCAGAGCGTTCAGGACCTGCAGCGTAGCTACTTCGTCCTGCGTCCCCTGCCCACCGGCGCAAAGCTCGGTGACGGCGCCATCGAAGACGTCAAGAACAACCGTCTCTTCGCTCTTCCCAAGAAGGTTTTTCCTAAAGGTCCTAGCGACAAGTTCATGGTCTTTGTCGAGAGGGCAAAGGCTTCCATGGACGAATTGAAGAAGGACTTCTTCTCAAGCTCAGAATACGAAACTAAAACTGCAGGCGACCGTACCACACACTCCATCACTCCTATCGGTGAAGGTGTATACGCCATCACGGCTCAAGGAGCTCGATCTGAATCTCATCTCGCCTACATGCTCACCATCCCGCAAGAACCTGGTCAAATGCAAGAAGACATGGGCATCCGCTCGAAGGGCAGCTTCGTGCTAAGCTTGAAGAATCCCGAAGCCAAGGGCCCATCATATGCCACCCTCGACCACCCTGCCGAGTTCCCCAAGGACATCATTGAAGACTTCCGTGGTCGCAACTGGATGCCCGCTCAACCCAAGCACCTCGACTATGCCAATGCACAACTCCTGATGATCGGCGAACCCCTCGACGACAGCCACGCGCTCGAGGCCACAGCCAAGGATCAAAAGTCCGACGACAAGGAGACACCGCAAGAGGAGATTGAGAAGCTCGAGCATGAAGACGAGCTCCGTGTCGAGCACCTCAAGGGAGACGACACGGTGTTTGCCGACTTGGGGCTTTCTCACAAGGAGTACCCTAGTGTTCCCACCACCTGGTAATCGGTGTGATCTTTCACACCCCTGTAGTTTTAGTTCTATGACATTGTAATGGGAAAGTAAGGAAGAGAAGGATGGTCGTTCTTGTCGGCTTCGACCTAGACGCCAGGGACGCATGGATGGAGGGCAAAAGGACTGCCACTCGCTGTACTACTCACGAACGACATAACGAAACAGAGAAAACGGAATCAAACGAAAAAGCATTTGATGCATGTATCTATTGCCACTGTTTGACCTTGTAATTTGTCCTTAAATCCTCGCCGATGGCATGCTCACGTTGAGAAATGTTGCATTCTGGTCTTGTTCACTAAAAGTCACAGCGAACACAGCTTCTGATGTCCGCCACGAGACACACTATACCTCGATGATCCTGCATGAACAGTCAATAGGTTAACATATGAATGGAGTGGCCACTACATTGGGCTTGTCAGCAGAATGGCTGACCAAAAATAGTCGAAGCTGTGTCGTGGCTAAGTGTGCTTCAGAAGCCAAAAAAAATCATTACCGATCAACATATACGTTGTAATCTCCTCCAATACGACCTAAAAAGGTGCAAGAGAATGGAGAGATAGTATAGCAACCCTCGATTCGAATAGTGGACTTTTTGCTCGAGGGTAACAAGATAGTAGTTGTGTGAAGACAGGGTCACTATGGTTACCAAGACTACTTGAGTCAGATCTATATGTACCCACGAATATGGTCGCTTGGCAAAAAGTTCTGGGAAAGTGCGAATTGGTTCAATGCTTGAATTCTCTTTGCTGTACTGTAACTTTGCTTCTGGGATACGCTTGCTGATGCCGGACAAAGGAAATGTAGTGGAGAAAGAGGAACAAAGCAGACAACGCCCCCAAATGATGAATCCTTCCTCTTTTCGAAGACATTGTGATGAAAACAGAAAGACATGCTCGAATCGTAGTTGACACCTCTTGCGGGACAGAAACACGATGATCGAGATGAGAAAACGACAACTCTCTTCAGGTATTCTTGATCTCATGACTCTAGCTCTTTTGTATGTTTGTGGTTTTTTTCTGGCTGTATCATGGTTCGCTTAAAGAAGCCAATGTTGGCTGGTCTGGTACCAAGGAGTCTTCTCGTCTGAAGACTGTCTGGTTGGACTGGCGTTGGTGTCGGATACGGCAGGCTGCTGTTGCTTGTCTGACTCGATCTTATCGGTCACCTTCGTCGAGTCGAACAACTTCTTCATAACAGGCAGACTTCTAGCCCACGATCCAGGTGCGAGCGGGGGGTCGATGATGGCGGTACGCGGGGTGTGGACGCTAGGACGAGGAGTATTGCCAGAGAAGTAAGGAAGAGAGGTTGCAGCCGAGTTGGTAGCGTTTGCGGCGAGATGAGGCGAAGAGGTCGTAGATGGCGGAAGTGGCACGGTGGAGGGGTAGTAGTCCATGGCAGTGGCGTTCGGCTTGGGTGGGTGATGTTTGGGCTTGTCGAGAGTACAGTCGCTGCAAAGAAAACAGAGTCAGCAATCCAGCTCGGAATCATTGAGTTCATGATAAGTAGTACTTTTAAATGGCAAGAGATATATGGTAAGAGATGAGAGAAAAAATAGATCCAGAAGTGAGAGAAGTTCGCAGCTCATGAATTACCGCATGATCTCCTCGAAGATGAGCTCTGGTACACAGTTAGCATGTTCTTGGGTTGTTCGGTGTAGCTAGTCTTACGCTTGAGCTGCTCCTTGGTGAGATTGTCCTTGTTCTTGTCAAAGTCGAAGAACTCTTCGGGGATGGCGTCGGCGGTGGGCTCGTCCTCGGGGTCGTGGTAGGGCTCAAGGTAAGGGTGTCTCAGAGCTTCCTCAACCGTAATGCGCTTAGCAGGATTGAAGGCGAGAAGTTTGTCGAGCAGGTCAAGGGCAAGATCCGAAGTCTTGGGGAACATGGCCTTCCATGGGATCTTCTTCTTGAAGGGCAAGCTGCGAATGTACTCGCGGGCACGACGCGACTTGATGCCGTAGTAGTCCTCCATGGTGGGTGTACCCAAGACGTCAAGGATGAGAGTAAGCTGGTGGTGGTAATCCTTGCCAGGGAACAGGGGCTTGCCGCTCAGCATCTCGGCGAGGATGCATCCAACCGACCACACGTCAATGGCCTTTGTGTATTCCTTGAAGGTGAGCATGATCTCGGGAGCGCGGTACCAACGGGTGGCGACGTATTCGGTCATAAAACCCTGGTTGTCTTCGGTCGAGGCAGCTGAACGAGCGAGACCAAAGTCGCAGACCTTGAGATCGCAGTTTGCGTTGAGCAGCAAATTGGAGGGTTTGAGATCGCGGTGCAAGACATTGGCCGAGTGCATGGCCTTGAGGGCGCGTAGGGTCTGGTAGATGAAGTACTGACAGTGGTCGTCGGAAAGCTCCTGGGTGCGAATGACACGGTGCATGTCGGTCTCCATGAGCTCTTGGATGAGGTAGACCTCGGTGAAGGTTTCATAGCTGCGCGGCTTCTGGATGTCGAGGATGGAGATGATGTTTTCATGGTTGAAGTAGCGGAGGAGCTTCATCTCACGCAGCGTGCGCAGACAGAACATGGAGTGGTCGAAGGGTGTGATCTTCTTGATGGCGACCTTTTGGCCCGACGGCTTGTGCAGTGCAGANGCTGCAAGAGTCAGTCTGAGTTGGCATGCTCTCGAGGCCAAGAGAATCACATACCACACGACACCGTAGGCACCCTCGCCGACTACATCTTGAATATCATACTGCTCTGACACGTTGAAGGAGATCTTGCGGGATCCGCTCTGGGGAGCTGCGCGCGACATGGTTGCGAGCTGATTGACGGTAAGACTGTCGATGGAAAGTGCGATTAGACAGGGAAGGTGCGAATCAACCTGCAGTTATCAGCCGAGGAATGCAAAGTGCGCTTCTGCCTTCTTTCTTTCACTCACTCGGTTGTCACTCAAGGCCGTTTTGAGAGATGGTGATGCGGAAAGAGGGTCCAGCCGTTCTTTCTTTCTTTGCGATACTATTCTTTGTCGGCGGGCTGATTGCTCGAGTGTTTGCTGCAGCTCCTGTCTCTGTTTGTTTCCACTTTGGCTTGGACGCAAGAAAGACAAGTCGCTCAGCAGCAGGTCAAATGTAAGAGAGCCTTGTTCGACCCATGGCGGGGCACCAACTGAAGCAGCCCAAAGCACAGTCCCGCAAATACGCGCCTGTTTCCAATTGTACTAGACCCGCCCATTGGCCAGATACAGTCCGCGCTACTGACTTGTTTAAATTAAGTCCCTCCCGTCCCCTTTGTCGCATCCAACTTGGCACCCGCTGCTGCAAAAGTTGAAACAGACGTCTCGTCTATATTGATATATCACCAACTATCACTTCCCTACCCGCAAGTCCCGACCAGCCGTTGGAAACCGTCTGTCGATTGTGCGCGCCATGTCTCTGTAGTAGCCATCAGCCATATTTTTCTGTATCTCTATGCGATTCACGACCATCTATAAGACAAAAAAGGAGATTGCATAACCCCTCCGTATAAGCGCCATGCTGCATGAGTCCGCACCAAATCAAACCCCCTTGACCATCGCAATCCCAAATTGTCATCATCTTGTCATCCTGTCTACGTCGTTTTCACATTATACCGAAACCTTCAAGACCTGCTGAGCGGGAGCCTCAATCCCATCTTGGCCTTCCCCTTGCCACTCAAAGAGGGTGATTGTGGCTGCATCATGGCGGTCGGGCTCGTCGCATCCGGGTCAGAGTCATTCTCCACCAGCGTCCAGCTGTCTTCGACCTCTACTTCTTCCTCGTCTTCCGCGTCTGTATCACCCTGTGCCGCTCTAGCCACACGTTGTTGGACCAGTGTCTTTGCATATTCCATGTCGCGATAGATGGCCTTGATAACTGTGCCGACACCATCTTCGGATCGAATCTGCTCTCCTAGGACTCTGGCCTTTTCAATCATTCGTGAATCATGCGTCGCGATCCATATTGCTTTGCCCAATGCGTTCTCAGTGACAGTCAGAACCTTTTGTCCAACTCCAAGATCTTGGACCTTGCTGCCAAAGAAGAACTGGTCACCAAAGAAAGGCTTGATGATGGTCGGGATCCCAGCGCGAAGACTGGCACCAGTAGTTCCTGCTCCGCCATGATGAACAGCAGCATCGACTTGTCGGAACAGCCAATCGTGTGGAGCAGATGCAATCTGGAACATAAAGTCTGGCAAAGGCACTTCGAGTGCTTTGGCATCCTTCTTATCCATGCGGTCGGACCAGCCCTTGGAGAGGATGCAGCGAACATCGGCCTTTTTGACAGCGGCGATGATGTCCAGAGTGAGTTGCTTTGGATCAGGAACGACCACTGAACCGAAGCCGATATATACAAGCTTCGCCTTGTCCGTGCGTGCTTTCTTGATAAACTCGAGAAGCTCCTTCTGTGGCGTGAAGTTGTCCGCTTCGTCAAGGAACCAGTATCCTGTCACTCGGATCCACTCGCCAAAGTCCAGAGGTGGAACGACGACACTGGGCGAGAAGTTGTAGAAGAACGGGACCTTGTCCTGCTGCATCTTCTCCATGTTGGTGGCCTTCAATCCCAGGTCGTCTTTGCGCCACCTATTGATCGTACTTGAAGTGGCCTTCCAGAATATGTTCTCGAAGATGACGTAGGTCATGTAGTTGTATGCGCCACCCATCCTGTTGTTCTGCATGCCAAAAGCATGAGGATAGGCACGCGTTCTGGTCCAAGGCATAGTAAAGGCTCTGAAGTAAGGAATACCAAGCGCTTCCGCAATGTGAATTCCAGCCATGGCGGAAGGGCTCTCGATCAAAAGATCTGAATCCTGACAGGCAGCCCAGGCTGTCTTGAGGAGACCCTTGACGAAAGGCCAAAACTAAGCCTGTCAGTTCGTGCTCGATGCGAGCAGCGGTGAATTTGAACGTACCTTTTGGTTTGTCTCATAAAGGAAAGAAGGCGTGAACATGCCATGATCAACGCAGAGGGCCATCAACTCTGCTGGATTACCTTCAACTGGTGCAAAATCAATGCCATGGCTTCGAACCCAGTCACCGAACTCGACATGAGAGGCAATCTTCGGTCTGTGCCCTTCAGCAAGCAGGCCTTTGCAGAGGGCTATATATGGTTGCACATCTCCACGAGAACCGATAGTCAGGCAGGTGATTCGTAGGGACTCTTCGGGCTTGAAGTTCAGAACCGAGGCTGCTGGATCATCAAAGGAGATGGCTGGCGAGTCCGCATCTGCAACAATGTTAGAGGATGCCACGATCACAGAAGATGTGGCTATTTTACCTGGCTGATCCAAACCATGAGGAAGCTGGAACTCGACGCCACCACGATCACCTTGGCGAGCTTCTTGCAGCAAGAGGTTTTCTGCTGCGGCTGCATCGGCGTCTTTCTTCTCATCTTCTGTGAGTAAGATAGACTCCTGGAACGGCTCCATCGAGTTGAGCGATCGCAAGAGAGTGACCGTGCAGTCGTCACGTAGATCTTGCGAGCCGAACTCGAAGAAGATCTCTTCGTGACCTCGTATCACCACAACCATACCTGAATACCCGAATCGGAATCCTCTCTCCTTGTCAACATCCATGATGTCTTTGAATGGAACAACAAGCNNTAGCCATGGTTAGCGTGCATAGAGTATCAATGACGAAGTTACGCTTACCTTCGTCCAGTTTCCAGGCATAAAGCTACGAAAGCATAACCTCGTACTGCCAACGTACAACTTGCCGTACAAAGGCAAGACGCGATGGAAGAAACCAAAGAATGTTGCCACAAGTTTCTCAGAATCTGGCAAGGCGAAATGGTTTCGGAAGCTCTTCTCAGCCTCACGAACAGTCATCTCATCTTCGGAATCTTGCACTTCCTCTCCAGGCACCAACTCGTCTGCCTCGGCGTAGTGTTTCTTGCCGCCAGCGATCATGCCAGAAAACTTGTCATAATACTCCAAGGGCGAGCCTCCGAATAAACCGCTGACACGCTTGCCGGAATTGTACAAGAAGCCCGAGGCACGCTGAATTGGAACAGCACCGACCTTCATCAGCCCTCCCAAGGTCGAAGGATCCGATTGTTGCATGTCTTGCACTTGTGTTTCTGGCATGTTCTTTGTCGAAACATCAGCTCCTGGTGCTTTGCCAGTCTTCCTGAATGCGGTAAACGGTACATCGCTCTGTGTGTTGGGATTTGCATTATGCAATGCAGTGTTATCGTGATGCTTTCCGATGGTTGGCTTATGGAACATGATGCTGCCGCTCAAGATGTGGCTACCCGAAGCATCCGTGCCAGCTGCAGATTCTGACATTTCACTGTCGTTGCCCTGATCAGAAGAAGACACGTATGATTCTGAAGCATCCTGTAGAGGTTGACCCCATTTCTTATGGGTACCGCGCTGTTTTGTAGGGCGGTTCGCGGTATTCTCTTCTCCTCCTTGGCTGAGGTCGAGGGTAGAATGCTCCAACTCGCTGCTTGATCGAGCACTTCTGGAGGTGAGGCCGGATGCTGGCGATAGAGTTGCCATGACATTCTCGTGAAGACTTCCCGGAGCAGGACTCATGGATGGCACACGAGACTTTCTTCCATGCACTGATGAAGGTCGGCGATCCGACATGGTGAGGACTGGTGAAACAGGACGGCTTGCGAGCACACGTTGCGCACTAGTCTCTTGGGTTAAACTTCGTAGCACACCAAGTGCCTCTTCACCAAACCCGAAGAAAGAGAAAAAGTACNNTAGATGGCCATCAGTGAACATTCGAGGACAAACCAAGCAACTCAAGGCACTTACCTCGTCAACAGCGAAGGTCTCATCATTATCGATGACCCGAATCTTGATGGTATCGGCAAAATCTGGATAGTTGCTTTCTTCGATATCGACGACATTGTCGACCGGCAAACAGATCTTGACACTATCACTGTTGTTGCGTGACCGAAAGATGACCTTTTGTATCTGCTTGACCCACTCCGTAGCGCTCGAGGCAGTCTCCGCCCTGAAGTGGTAGGTTTTGGCATCTGTAACGACAGAGAAAGATGGGCTTTCCTTGTCCTGTCCTTGTGCCGGAGTGATGTCGGCCGAAACGCCATAACGCAGGTCTATAACATCTCTTGGGGAGAATGGAGTTGAAGGGTCCTTGTAGTATGACAAGACATCTCCCTTGAGCACGAACCAGTACTTCTTGTAACGTGGGTTGCGTTGACCACGTTTGGTGAGGTAGCCAGACTTGATGGTGACACCAGCTTTCTTCTGTAGATATGCATAGAAGCAAATGTGGCGTTGCGTGATATAGATGTAGCCTTGCAAGAGGACACTTTGAAGGTACCAGCAAGGGTACTTTGCGACGACCTTCTCGGCTTCGTCGAAATTGAATATGTCCTTCAGGGCATCTGGCAAGGCAACCTGAGTTGCACTCGACGACATATCTGGAACGGGGCTCGGCTTCCTGCTGGCGGGCTTCCTGATGGTCGACTGGGAAGACCCTAGGTCTGTCCCCACATGAGGGCTGGGTTCGGGCTGATCGACGGCAGCCTTTGAAAAGCGAGAGGGAGTTGTGGTTGCGAAGGTAGTCGTCGGCGCGGGCCGCAGACCGGGTAGTGACTGGACCAAGTTGTTGTCAGACAGTCGTTTGAGGTGGTTATTGCGAGAGGGCGGGGTTTGGCGCAAAGGGAGCGTCGGGTGTATGGTAGACCTGCTAGGTCTCGTCGGCGGGGTGGGTGTTGTGTCGTCGCTATCACTGTCGGCCTCTTGGAGCATGGACCGCATCGTGTTGGCCTTTGACTGAGTTGCAGCGATGATGCCAAAGACACTTTGATGCATCATGGCCATGTCTATGATTTGTGCTCTATCCACCTCTTGGTCTTGATCTTGATCTTGGTCTGCATCGTCGTCGAAACGGAAGCGTTCGGGCAGCTCCATCGACACTCTTCGACGAGCTTGCGGTGTATCGCGGCGAGAGGACATGACGGGCGAAAGGTCGGGGTACAGGGCAGTAGCAGCTGAGAACGACCCGTCCCGAGTTCCTGATGCAACAACGTGGTCGAGGCACGAGGATAGACGAACCACTTGGATCCTGCACGCGCCCCTCGAACCTACTCTGCTGTTTAATCTGGGGTTAAGGCTCGTGACAGGCCGATGATCGAAAGGAAGGGACCGTCTTTGTCGCTTCAAACATTACTGTACTGGCTGGCCTGTCTTGCTGCTACATGTCGCATGCTGGGCTGGACTGGAGCCTCAGAAGGTCCGTAGTTTTCCGATCTGCACCTTGACAGGCCGCACATTACTCGACCACCTTTGTGGCCACCACCTTTGACTGCGAAGCCTTCCCCACACTGTCAAGCACGTGCCATCACGTCATCTGATCGGTTGGACTCTCGAAAGACACTGTGAGTCAATCACCAGAAGGCAACGAGGGAGTACAGTGAATATGAAATTAATACATGATATATGATGAAACAAATCACATGCAGATTCGCGGCTGCCTGCCGACAAATTATGAGTGAATTTCGATTACAATCAGTTAAGCAACGCTGATGCGACTAACCGCCCTCAGAGCCATCATCGTACGGCATCATCACTTAAGCCTTGGCCTTGGCGAGACCAACGCTGTTGCTACCAAGGTCGTAGACCGAGTAGTATCTGCGGAGGAAAGCATCACCAAGGATGGCAAGAGGACCAGCAGGGGCAGGGATATCGAAGCCCATGAAGGACGAGATACATGAGCCCTGAACCTCAAGAATGTAGTCGTAGGGAGTGATGGTGAAGTTGTAGCCGGTCAGGGTGAAGCTGAGGTCAGGGAGCGAGTCACGCTTGTCACACTCAATGGTGTACTGGCCGTTGTAGCCCTTCTTGGCGCCGATCTCCTTGTTCAGCAGCTCAGCAAGAGTGCTAGGGAGGGCAATGAGCGAAGTGCCGGTGTCGAGAATGGCACCCATGTTGTCGAACTCGGCGCTCTCCTTGCCGAAGGTGATGGCGTCGAGGTCAACCTCCCAGTAGGCCTTGCGTCTGAGAGGGAGCTTGGTAAGCTCACCGGTGTAGTGGTCTTTGTTAATACCACCGAAGATGGCCTCGGACTCGGCCTCCTTGTCGTTGGTGTCACTGAGGTAGAAAGCGAAGACGGGCTCGTCGAGCAGGTCCTGGGCAATCATCTCGTAGAAGGGAGGGGGAATCTTGTTGACACTGATCGAGTCGTATCCAAGACCAAGGATACCGTCAAAGCGGCCGAAGGCGAAAGCAAGACCGGGCTCCTGGGTAGCTTCACCGAAGAGCTGGTTCTTGATCTTGATGTCACCAATCTGGACGGTGTCCTGGGAAATGTAACCCTCGACAGCACCCGAGCCGTAGCGGATGGCGAAGTCGGAGCCGTTCTTCTTGTATGTGGAAGAGTCGCTGTGGTCGTACTTGTTGTGGAGATAGCAAGCAATGGAGCTGCAGTCAGACGAGGGAATCCACAGGTTGGAGCTGCCGGTGTCGAGGACGACCTTGAACTCTTGGGGAGGGTTGCCGATGGCAATCTCGGAGAAGTCTACGACATGATTAGTGAGGTGATCTAAGGGTGAGTAGGGAGTTGAACATACANNCTGAGCGTTCAGGAAGTTGCTGACGGCGACGGGGTGGCCAGCCTCAGAGTGCATCGAAGTTTCCTTGAACATCTCATCGATGTGCTTCTGGGGACGAACGCCCATGTACTTCTGGCCCAGGGCCTGGACGTGCTCGCCGATGTTTGCGCCCTCCTGCAATAGCTGTTAGTCGAGTGGTGGTTGGTTTCAGAGCACGACGCCACTCACAAGCTGCTCCGAGAGAGGAACCTTCTTGAGCTTCATCTTGTGGACACCAGCCGAAGCCGAGCCAAACAGCGCACCGGCTGCCATGAGAGAACTGCCCTTCATCTTGTTGTATATGTGTGTGGAGTTGAGGGATGTGTGGAGCGAAGATGGAAGACGGAGGATTGTGGAGGACGGATGGAGAGGTAGTCGATGGGTAGCTTGGTCGGACCAAGACGGTGGCTTGCAATCACGAGGGGCGCACTGGCCTGGACGTCATCATCATCACCAAGGTGCTGTTAGGCAACCGCTTTCGCCGAGACAGGCGTCGGCGTATCGTACCATCGCATTCCGTTTCCCGCGGCCGCCAATATTTGCAATCGCAATATTGAACGGTATTGGCTATACTCCCTGCCTCATGATTTTTATCCAACTATATACAGCACAATGGCACTCAAAAACAGAGCACAATTCCACAAGAAGCTGGGCGTCTATTCATGGGGTCGACTTGTGCCTTGCATGAGTAGCTCCATCGCCTCTTCCGCAAACTCCGTTTCGACGCCAAACGCCGAGTCCATCACCTGCCGCAAACGGTAGCACTGGGCAACCACACCAGGCACATTCGCATCTGACCTCGCTGTGCCTCAGATGCTGCAGAATATCGCACAATTGTCGCTATCTGGAATTTCAGACGTAGTTACAGTGTTGCTGAACGATTGCTGTGTTGCGAGGGACAGAGATATTGCCAAGAGAAGAGCCCGAACGCTCGCGTGCTCTACTGAAGCCTCACCTCCATAAGCATCCAATCAATCTATCATGGGCTGTCACCGAGCCATAATTTTCTGCGATACAATCAAAAAATCTGCTCTGTCTCACGAAATCCCGGTCTGTATGCGAAAGCCTTCGACCTTTCAAGCATTGCCAGAGATGAAGAGAATTCCTAGCATCATCAAATGTCTGAGGATTGATTCAGCGAGCAGTCTGGCGCCGAGAAGCCTGACTCTCGGATACGAGGAATACGTGACTCACCTGATTGCATGTTCGCAACTCAACCATCACATACCCAGCTGCTATACACTCGTGTCACCAAGGATACAGCATACCAATCAAGTTGAGACTGGGTGAGACGCGAGGTATGTGACCTGCTTAGTGATGATCGTGTTGGCCATCTTCCCATCCGTGCAAGAATGCACAACTGCCCACGAGTGAGCATTGATTACCAAACAAAAGCAAACAGATGGTCGCATTACACTTATCTCTCAAGAGTGCAATGATGTTTATGATGATAGATCTGAATCTGACATGTTTATAGCTGAAGATGGCTGCCTCATATACCTTCGAAGATCTTTCAGGCCCAAGCCCGACTGTATCTGACAATCCATATGATGGCCTGATAGAAGCTTGCCACGACAACGCTGTAGGTGGATTGCTGATCTCGTGATATAATAGACCTAACAATCGTAGANTCGAAATCCAAGCGCGCTATGAGACTCATCGCAGCAACCGAGGTGCACAGCAGAAGGAGAAGCTCACCTCTCCAGACTTTACTGGTGTCACTATCGATACCATCCTCGCAAAGCTGGAAGATCAGACCATCGAGCCCGGCTTCAGAGACCCAAGACATTGTCTTGTGTTCTGGGCTCGTCCCCCGCCACAGGTCAAGGCTGTCATTGCGGAAGTGCAGAAGAGACTCCAGGCAGTCGCACCCAGTGAGCACTTGTTGACTCAAGGTCCAAAAGTAAAACTAGCTAACAACGACTTTGTGAATCTGCAGNATCTCTGGACAATGCCGCAAGACAACTTGCACATGACAGCTCTGGAAATCACCCATTCCCTGACTGCCCCCGAAATCGAGGAACTAGTCGAGCAGGTTCGACCAGGACTTCCTTCGATCACAGATTATACTTACGCCCACCGAGCCCGCGTAGTCAAGCCGTCACTCTCTTACGACGCCCAAGCCTTCGCACTGTCCTTCCTCCCTGCAGCTGGCGAACCTTGCACCGCGGACCCCTCTCGCAAACCCGAGGATGATGAGTTTACATACCACCACTTGCGACGCGATCTCTATGCCTTGACTTCTGCTACTGGCGTCAAAGTTGCGAGTAGATATGTTGTGCCCTCGGCTCACTTGACTGTGGGTCGCTTCATCAAAACCTCTGACACTGAAACTGCTGAAGGCAAGGTCGATCATGCTCGTATGCAAGAGCTTGTCAACACTGTCGACGAGATCAACGAGTGGCTCAAAGCGGAGTTCTGGCCCGTAGATGGCAAGGGAATCAAAGCCGGTGGTGAATGGATCGTCGGCGAAGGAAAGGGTCTCGATAGCCGCCACGGTGCTCTCTGGTATGGCTTCTTGTTCCCAAATTCGTGAATCGGCTTTGTAAACTAACATTCTCTCTCCCTAGGTNACGGCTCTGGCGAAACTATCAGGCTAGGCAAGGGATTCTAAGTGGTCATGTCACTTCAATCATGAGGTCTGCATTCTGTTTCATATGCATTAGAGTTACATGTCTCTTCTTGCATTCTCCGTTCCTAGAGACCACAACGAAGCATCATTCAAACTCTCGCTCTTGTCGGGAGAAGAGAAAAAGAAAGAAGGAGTATGAGAGACACCAAGATTCTGATTGATCACCCTTAGACCTGGTGAAAGCTATACTTCTCTACACGCTTCACCGCCTATCTCTCCGGTGTCACCCGACCAAGGAAGTGATAACGATTGTTCCCAACACCTGTGCACTCATCCTGAAAGCTGTCTCTACACTGTATGTCCCTCAAAAATGTCACTTATTAGTCCAAAACAAGACCACTTTCCGAATCGAGGGCTGACTGCGAGGTCTGACGAATTGCCCTGAGCATACGCACGTAAGGCACAGCACGGGCAACATCTAGTCAAGCATATCCACCAAGACCCTTGATAGATGCATCACGGCACATGGCTATAGCGGACTTGGCTTGCTATGAACATGGTCCCGAAGAGATGGCCCAGTGGTGACCTGCATCACCATACCTTTCGGCCGTTAGGGTATGCATGAGTATACTGTACGTGCGGTATGGGTGAGAACGGCTAGTGACACGACAGAAGTCAGGGACAACCAAATGTCCATAGTGATGAGAACGACGCTTGAGCGTGTATCGAAAATCAATGGGAGACAGGAAAACAACATCCATCTGAGGTGAAAAGAAGAATCGATTTTGGAGACGACAAGATGTGTGCCTTCACACCTTAGCAGCCACTTTCGTTCCTGCCAAAACTATCCTCGCCGCCAGGGTCGTGCAAGCACCACTCAAAGCCATGATGCCTCCAAAGATCTGTAGGCCAGTGTACTTGCCATCCCAATGGACGATCAAAGCTCCGCCGATGGGATTACTGCACAGTGCAGCAAACGAAATGATTGCAAACACTGTACCATTCCTCACTCCAATCTCCCTGACATCCGAGATCTGAGCAACCAAAGAAGGGGCGAGGGAAACAAAAGACCCACTGCCAAAGCCATAAAGAGCGGCAAAGACAATGATGGGTGCGTTGGAAGCGGCCGGCATCCATAGAGCGAGAATCAGCAGACCGGCAAAAGTCATCATGATGGTCATGACATTGTATCGTCCGATTTTGTCGGCTGCAACACCAGGCAACACACGACCGAAGAAGGACGCGCCGTTCAAGATAGGGATCAGATACTCTGCAAGCCTCGAAGACATGCCCAGAGTCTCTGCTTGGAGGATGAGATAGTTAATCGGCAGGAACATTGCAAAGAAGAAAAAGAAGCTACCGAGCACTGTGAGTAAGTATGGTGTCTCCTTGAGGGGACGTATGAAATGCATAATGTGGAACGGCTTCGGTCGAGGAGGAAGGCGTGACTTGACGGTTGCATTGGCGACAAGCATGAGAACGAGGATGAGGAAACCGCAGACGCGCATCGTCCAGCCAAATCCGATTCTGGGGATAAGTTTGTTGACCATGATTGGGAAGATCACACCGCCTGTTGACGAGCCAGCAGCCATGATACCAAAAGCTGCTGCACGCTTCTTGAAGAACCAAGTAGGCATCACGCTCATTGCTNNGTGAGATAGATCAGTATCTGTAGCCTGGGATAGATATGAAAGATGCATACCTGGGTAGAAGCACATGCTTGCCCCAGCAGCACTGCAAATGCCCTGGGAAAGCATGATCTGGTAGTAGTCCGTAGCAAGACTAGCCATCATGATACCAAAGACGTGAAGGCAAGTTCCAGTAATCAAGATGTATCTTGGACCGTAGCAGTCAAAAAAGTAGCCGATGAAGGGTCCCAGGAAGAACATCAAGAAGGTTTCCATAGATGGAATCCATGATACTGTGCTAGGACTATCCCCTCGTAGTTGATGTGTTTCATAGTACTCTTGGAAGACTCCGATACCTGCAGTGGAAAAATTAGTGTGACATCTAAAGGAGAACGCAGATCAACATGGCCAAGAAAACGGCAAACGCAAACTGTGGTGCTCAAGGAGGAAACAGCAACCAGTATGTAACCCGTGTAGCTGTAAAAATGCACAGTGCTATCAAGGAAAAGGGCAGTACCCATTGAGAGCTAACATCATAGCGGCTCTCTTTAGTTACTTCTTTGCTCCAAGAAAAGAATGGTGCCTTCTGATGGTGCGTCCTTCGCTCTATGCTCTCGTGGGAGGAGGGTAAACATGGAAGAGGACTTACAATTGATCCATCCAAAACTGCAAAACATGCAGCAGAATGCACCCAACACAACCAACCATGCATCCTTTCCGCCATCAGGATTATCTCTAGGATCAAATGCCGGCGGCGGTGTAGCAACAGCATCTCGTTGTCCATCATCTCCGATTGTGGGTCTTTCGGCCGTAGCAACTGCTCCCTTCTCCTCATCAAACATGCCGTCTGGTTCCTGCCGCAGCAGTTCCGGTTTCGAGCCCATGACTGTATCCTGGAATGACGAGTGCGAGGACTTTGTATCGAGACTGTGTTGTTTTGCTGCCATTGTCGTTCGGCTATGTCTATACGATTGGCAGTATCGGGCAGCGGGAAACGCCAAAGTATAATCGCGGATAGTTCAGGGAAGTCAAACAAGAAAAGATGCCCAGTCGTCGTAATGCCTTGTCTTGATTAGGACAAAGGTGAGAGAAGGTGATAGAGATGAGGAAAGGAACACTCAAAGAGTATGATAGAGATGAAGAGGTGCTGGGATGCAAAGCTGGACCTTACCGTATAATAAGGTAGTCTTTTAGATCTCCACCCAAACCACGAACCCAGCAGTTCGGGCGTAGCAAGCGCACCTCCTCTTCATCAATGCATCACTGCCCTTTCTCGGCCGAACGATCATTGAACACGCGCACTCATGATATGTAGCCCTCTTCTTCTGACTCGTCCGTAAATCAAAAGGCGTTTTGTCCCCTTGTTCCAAAGCAAGCAATTCGAATGTCGCTCTCGGGCGCCCCGAAAGTGCCGTCGTTCCCTCTCTTTGGCCGTTGCGAAACTTAACCCATCCTCACCCATGATTACTCGCTGATCAACGAGAGTTGGCGTTTTGGCTCAGAAACGAAGACTCCTTCCTTTGAGAGAAGCGCTCAACGCCACGCTAAATCCACTTTTGTTAATAATCGTCGGCATCGCAATAACATTTCAGTACTTGGACTCGAACACACCTTGACCCAGAAAGTGAATGTGCATTTCTATAGCATATAACGATACTGTGTTATTATGGAAGAAAGGTGGTTCATGGGGTTATGACGATCTTTTCCACACGAGTTACAATGAGAAGACGTGGCACTTTGGTAGAGTTTGCTCGGAGCACCCTTGCTGTCGCTCACGGGCATAACCACCGCTGACCAGATGGCAAAGCATAGTTCGGAAACATAGGCTGTCAGAAGAATGGAAGTCGTTGGTAGACAGATGCTTGGTTAAAATCACAGTGATCGTTGTTCTTGTGCGAGCTCATGATATCTAGCAGATTAACAATAAGAAACTCCAGTCCTCGTATCTCCCTTTGTGCCAGTGCTATGCGAAATAGTATAAAGGCCATATCACCCATGCAATGTCAGCGACATAATGTACTAAAGCAGAAGGATCCATTGAAACAATGATTGTTCCCTCGCAACCTTGCGCTCCAAACTCCACAAGCCATTCATCATATCACATGTCAAGCAATTCCTCGGCGTAGGTATCCAGCTCGATGATTCTGAATCGACCATCCCACTTCTTCTGCCATGCTGCTTTCTTGTAGGCAAGACTGATGTTCTTGCTCCAACTAACAAGCTCGACCTTCCATCCCTTCTTCAAGGCACGTTCGGCCATCTTGAGGAAACCTTCAGAATACTCGGCCTGGGCAGCATCGCCAGTAGCCAGTACCATGGTGGAGGGAGACTCGGTGTCGACAATAGATTCCATCATTTTCAGGTGGATGATCTCGTCGACTCCTTGCTCGATATACCTCTCGGGAGCGAAGACGGGGCCGGTGTTGCTCGTTTCTGAGCCACTGCCGGCGCTGTCTCCTCCGGTGCTGGTGCCGTTCTTATAGCTGCCGCTGCGTCTGCGCCACTTATTCTCCTGTTCTTGGAAATATTTCTGGCGCTCGGTGAGCTCTCGCGCTTTGAGCACCTTATCCAGGATGTTGCACTCGTAGCCGACACGCTGGGCCACGTCGAAGGCAGCCATGTGGGGCTTTGAGCCAACCAGGCATCGTTTGGCGACAGGTCTACGGCGCTCCATGAGCAGAGCCAAGGCGTCGAAGGAGAGGTCCACCTTAGGGACATGAACGTTCGGCGGTATGTTTCTTGCTCGCTTGAGCTGGTCGTGGAATCCAATAAAAATGTTTGAAGCGTCAACAAAGACGTGAATGCCCTTGGGGTCATTCGAGTGTGTGATTGAGTTTGCGGGACTAACGAGACTTGCTCTGTCCTCGTAGAAATCACCGATGATTTTCAGGAGCAAGGCCCAATTGCGGTCCTCGCCAGAACGAACAGTCTTGGGCTGGATTGCCGAACGGTTGTTCTTGATAGGAGTCTCGCTGACTTGCTGAACCTTGTGGAAGGGGTTCGCATTGGCATCGGTGGACTTGTAAGGGGTTGATGTCGTACGTGTGGGTTGTACGGATGCGGGAAGCAGAGGAGAGCTCTTAGTAGAGAATGGAGTCGAAACTGGCCATCGCTTCTTGAACTCTTGCTGGTGCTTGGACTCGGGTGTTTTGGGTGTTTTGGGCAAGGAGTCGAAGTGGATCGGTTCCGACTGAGGCGGTGTAGATGCCTTCTGTTCTGGTTGGGGAGGCTTTGTTGATTTAAGAATGTTGTTGGACACAGGTTTCGGGGCCGTCGCCTTTACAGGGCTCGAAGGNGCGGGGGCCTTGCCGACAAGCTCGGCAGAGACGATGTGGGTGCTGGCCTTGCGAGCTGGCGTGTCGTAGAAAGAAGGTGCCTTGGACTCAGGCTCGTCAACGTCGCTTGTGGCCTTCGCGGCACCGGCGGCCAATCGTTGTTCCCTCTCTTTCTTGTTCTTCTTCTGTCGTTGCTTCTTGGTCAACTTCTTGTCGTCTTCGTCCTCCGGAGGGGCATAGTCGGTAAGATCGCCAAGATTGACTTCGTCTCTCCATTTGATACCACCTTTCGCAATGCGCTTGCTCGGGGTACCATAAGCAGCGCCGTCACTTGCGTAATCGGCCTTCTCGGGCATGCGCTGTTGAAGGGTCGGGGAGGCATCAGCAGGCTTGGGTGCAGGCGAATTGATAGGGGTGCCTAGATATTGCCAGATCTTGCCAAAGTCACCCAACGACACGCCCTCGTCGACAGCATTGAAGTGCTGTAACGGCGAGGCAAGTGGCAGTGACGAAGACTCGTTCATGCTGTCGTACTTGGTGATTGACGGACGTGACGGCACATCTTTTGCTTGAGAATTGGTCGGAGAGAGGGTGTTGATCAGCTCGAAGACATGAGAGAGGTCCCATGGCTTGGTTGACTGTACGGCAGCCATGAGAGGCGGGAGGGCGAGGAGGTAGCGGCGTGTGTATGGATTGTAGTGGGGGTCGTTCGAGGAGTGGCAACGAGCGTGGGCTAGATACAATGGATGCGAGAGTGGTGGGCGAGGGGTGAGCGAGGCTCGAGGGGAGTGGGCGTGTTGTGTGTGCGAGTGAGAGGGCTGTTCATAATAATGTCTTGTCGTCTTCTAGAAGGCGAAGAAGGCAAATGTCAATTGACGGCTATGTAGTCATCCATTGCCCCACATCAACAACCAACCACCAAGACAAGCTGCCCAACACCGCCACCAAGACCCTGACGAGCCTGACTTCGTGACACAAAGTGCTTGCTTTGATCTTCATTCAAGTCTTTAGAACAAGGTCAATTCAACTGATTCATGATCTAGCAGTCGCGACTGGGATCAAATAGCAATCACACTCGATGGCTTGTTTCGATAGCTATACTGTTGACCTTTTGCCCGACGTGAATCGAATCCTTAGAGTACCCAGTCGAGCATCTCGTACGCATAAGAGCAGCCACCAGAACCATAGCCTCCTTCATCCCAGAAAGTATACATTGTCTCTGTTTCTGACACCCGACACTCTACCTCGATCCTAAAAGTCCTCGGCTATCGTATACATATTCAATTGAAGCCTCGGGGTCTCAAATTCACCCCAGACAAGCGTTCTCTCCCATCAACACTCCACGTCTCCATACCAATCATCCTTCTAACCACAAATGTCCGCCGACTTCTGGGCCGGCTACGTCTCCGGAGCCGCCGGCATAATAATCGGCAACNCCCTCGACATCGTCAAAGTAAACCTCCAACGAGGAGACCGAGGAGCAGCTCTACTCGCACCTACCACAGCAGCCCCTCCAATATCACCACTTCTTCCCTCGCCTTCAACAGCACAATCAACAAATGCAGCAAAATCCCTCTCTACCTTGCTCAAAGGCACCGCAGCCCCGATCCTCGGTTATGGCGCTCTGAACGCGTTAATGTTTATGACCTACAATCGCTGCATGCAGTCTCTACACCAAGACCCTGCTCACCCTTCCTCTCTGTCCAAGACTTGGGTAGCTGGTGCTTTGGGCGGTCTGGCCACTTTCCTCGTCTCTGCGCCCACCGAATTGATAAAATGCAGAGCACAGGTCAGCGGCACCGAAAACAGTTCTTGGGCCATCGCAAAAGAATTGTGGAAGGAAAGAGGATTGAGGGGTTTGTATTGGGGCGGTGGGGTCACCAGTTTGAGGGATAGTGTGGGTTATGGCTTCNTAGTATGTTTCTTCTCCTTCTCCCTAGTAGGTCATGGTTTCTGTGACGATGTTGCTAAACGTATTCTCAGTTTCTGGTCATATGAGTTGAGCAAAAGAGCCTTGATCTCCGAAAAGACAGATGCGGAAAAGCCAGAATGGATGATCATCTTGCTTTGTGGCGGTATTGCTGGTGTGGTGACTTGGGCTTCCGTGTTTCCATTAGGTATGCCGGCTGCTAGTCTCTCTCAGAGGTCTACTCCAAAGGACGACACATGCTAATGTTCGTGTTCAGATGTTATAAAAACCAGAGTACAAACCCAAGGCATCTCCAGAGCTCCAGCTGGGTGGCCTTCAGGAGAGCAGTCTGAACTGCTTGCGGCTCGGGACTTGGGCCGCTTAGGCACCCTACAGATTGCAAGACAGGCATATCGAGAAGAAGGGCTATCCGTCTTCTTTCGTGGATTGGGTGTTTGCAGTTTCAGGGCCTTCTTTGTAAACGCCGTACAGTGGGCCGTGTACGAATGGATGATGCACATTTTACTTCCTTCTAAGGCTGGACCATACTCAAATAAACACGACTAGACTACAATAGACCACGTTTTACCTGCATGAAAAATATAGAGAAACAAGGCTTTTCATTGAGAAGGAGAAGGATGTACTTCCAACTATCTGTCTTGAGTAATGAAAAGGAAACTTGGTGATCATTCTGAGTTTGAATAGTGCATCAAAACTATGTGAAACGCATAATGCCATCACTCATGAGGTGCTGCTCATGTGGATACATGCTGAGCACTGATGAGTTGGTCGTTAGACAATATTGGCAAGAAAGATGCCAGTAAAGTTTGTTGTTCCAAGGTGTCTTTCGTATCATCCTTCGAGAGGCAAGAGGCAGCTTTACATGATCTGGTCCTGGGTAAGACCCATGGGCATACCGCCGGTCTGTTCCTGGCCTTGCATGGGGTCCATGGCAGGCTGCTGGTTGGAATATCTGACATAGGTCAAACCAAGAGGGCGACCACCGTATTGGTATCCGGAGAACTTNGGCTGAGAGAGTTGTTAGGGAACATCTCTCTTGTATCTAATGAGGTATGACTTACTAATGGCGGTGCCAGCATCTTCTACGCTGCCAAACTCGACCACACCGGTTCCGCGCGAGCGACCATTGGGCTCGTACTGAATCTCAGCACGTTCGACCTTGCCGATGGTAGTGAAGAGTTCGACCAAGTCCTCGTTGCTAGTAGACCAGGGCAGCTGCAACACGTCAGTCAACCATGCTAAGATCCACGCTCAGGGGTGACTTACGTTGCGGACATAGATGACAGGTCCAGGCTCGCCGCCAGAAGTTGCAAAGTCAGTGAAAGGGTTAGGAGGAGCGGGAGCAGCAGGAGGGCCGCCATGGAATCCACCGGGAGGAGCACCACCAAAGCCGCCACCAAATCCTCCACGACCTCCAAACTGTCCACCAAAGCCGCCGCGACCGCCCATGAAACCTCCACGACCGCCGAACTGCTGCTGGCCAAAGCCTCCACGACCTCCCATGAAGCCACCACGGCCACCGCCGAAACCAGGTGGGCCAGCGAAACGATCTTCTCTGACTTCGAGAACGCGACCGTTCCAGTCGTATCCGTTGAACTGCTGGATGGCGACCTGAGCATCATCCGGGTTGTCGAAGGCGACGATACCGGAACCCTTCATGCGGCCGTCAGGGGTGACATGGACGTCAGCGCGAACGACAGTGCCAGTGTGAGCTNNACACCACAGGTCAGTACATTGTGCATACGCCACAAGCACAGTTTCGAGCTCACCAGCTTGACGGAAGAGATCCTTGAGATCTTGCCAGCCAACTGTGTAGGGAAGCTGAGAACACAGTCAGTATCATCACGGCGCTGTCAGAGAGGCTGCACAAACGTTGGAGACGTAAATCTGGCGGCTTCCACCAGCCATCATACCAGGGCCGCCGCCGCCCATGGCATCGTAGCCACCGCCGAAGCCGCCGCGCATTGGGCCTCCTTGGAAGCCACCACGCATACCGCCGCCTTGACCACCGCTGCTGAAACGGGGCTCTGCTTCGCGGTCNCTGTGAGACGAAAAATGAGCTATGATAGTCAGTCTTCCAAACAGGGGACGAGCACTCACCTCGCGAACGTAGACGAGTCTACCCATAAGATTCTGGTTCGAGAGAGAGTTGACCGCGTTTTGAGCTTGATCTCTGGTTGCATATTCCACAATTCTGTAGCAGGTCAACGTTTGTTGACAAACAGAGAGCATCGGAACAAGCTTACCCGCATCCCTACATTCACCCGGGACAAAGTCCTTCCGTCAATCCATTGTCCTCAAAAAAACCATAGCCAGGGAAACCAGCCAAAAAATCATGAGCCCACCNTTCGACATTCCATTTGGGAGAAGCAAGACATCGGCGAAGATCACCTCACCAGCNTACGCTCGGTCAGAATCGATCTAATTGAGATGATGTGTCCAATGATTCTCACCTTGGCGCATAAAGTCCTTCAGGTGGTGCCACTTGACATCGTAGGAGAGATTTCCAACGTAGACACGGCGGTCTTGTTGGGAGTGTTCGCGGACGTTCTGCATCATTTGTTCTTTGGCGACAACGCGCTCTTCAAAGTTTCTGGGAGCTGCTGCTGCGGCGGCACCGCCTTCACGATCCGAAGGGTAGGCGTTGTTGGCTGCGTAGTTGGGAGCGGCGGCTGATCCGTTCACGGGAGAGCGGGACCTGCGTTCGTCTCTTCTGTAGTTGTCACGCGAGCGTGAGCGGGATCTGGAATCGTAAGAGCGACGGCTGCGACGAGGACTGCGGGAGCGACGGCGCGAGCGAGATCTGTCACGCTGGGTGGGATCAGTATGTAGCCTTAGCGGTAACTGACGAACTGGTCGACAACGAAGTGCTGATAGAGGTAGCATTGGTGGAGGGTGGGCAGGCTCAGCAGCAGAACCGACTTTGGTCATTCGACTTGGAAGCTTCCTGACGGAGATTCTCATTCTCTGAGGGTGGTGTGAAAAAGAGCGGACGATTGTGAGCTGCGAGTCTCGAGTGATTGGCGATGAGCTCGGGCGGAGGTCGAGTGATGATCGAGTGAAGGTGTTCAAGGGAATGGATGCGAACGCAATGCCAGACACAGTTGCAATGCAGCAGTTCCAAAACTCGCGGCAGGTGTTTATGCCTGTGTCCAACGCGCCTTCCCAGCACGCGCTGCGACAAGTCGGTCGCGACTGCGCAATTGCCCATTTCCGACGCATCGACTTGTCAAGCTCCATCGCAGCTCCCTTGTCAGACACACCTTCCAACAGCGATACATGGCAGCTACCCACCACCCACTGCTACTGCCACTACCACCAATGCCGACGGTCGCAACACATAAACAACAACAACATGGGGAGCTGTCTACTTACACTCTCGCGGGGACGGTAGGTATCGGTGTCTGTTTGCTGTGTGATGAGCCTTTGGGTGACGAGGGGAAGGAGAGATGGGGAGGGGTTATGGAACATACCACCCATTGTACGGTAACGGAAGGGTAGAGGTTGAGCTGTCAAGCGCCGAAGAGGTGCAGACCACAGCTACAACAACGGAAGGAATGACAGGGGTTTGCCTAAAGCGCAAGTCTGCGTTAGAAGATGCACCAATGAACGCGAATGGACAACGAGTCTTGATGATGGCTAAACCGGCCAAGTAGTGTAAAGGCTACCCGAGTATCGTCTATTCAAGATCGCCCGATTGATGCCGGCTCGGTATGCCCCCTCCCTCGACACACACACCAAGGGTCTCCTCAATAGCCCACAGGAACCAGCCTTGGCCGAGACTCCATAGCCCACGAGTCTCAAGTCCGTCGCCCAACCAAAGCCACCACTTGGGTGCTTCTGTACTCACCTTGATAAGATGGCGCGCAATCGGCAAGCGTTCGTAGTGCAAGCCTCCGGAAGTTTCTGAGTCGGTACGCACACACAAGTTAGGTGAGCAGATGCTGGTGACGTTTGATGATGTGGAGTCGTTGTGTTCCCGATGCGAGAAAGGTCGTGAGATGCGATGCGCGCGCGCGAAGGTCTCTAACCAAGGACACCACGCTCGCAGACGTGGAGAATGCCAAGCCAGTGGCACAACCGTTCATCACGACGCGTTGATGCTGCCAGCTGAACACTGGACACGAACCCTGCTCTGTTTAGGGGTTGTCTCAATTATGGTCTGTCTCTCGCTTTCGTTGCCTACTGGTAGTGACCAATATATGAGGAACGTGAAGCACTCGTCTATTGAGACACCTTAAAGTCGCCAACGCAATGAGCAAGCTATGCTGCATATCACCAGTTCGCTAGACCCAAGCCCTGCATGTATGAACATGCCGTGTCTCGCGAATTCAACATGTCTTGATAATACATTTCAGTAATTAAAAAATTCTTAAAGGCTACAAAGACCAGCTTTGTTTGACTGTCAAGCTATCAGTGAGTGAACGTGAACCCTCTCGGGGTACGGTGAGGGTAATGGACCATTTCTGATGGTTGCAAGCACCTCCATGATGTTGAGAAATATTGGCTGCTCAAGCTACTGCTGCTCTACCTGTTCCGTCCTCTAAGCTCGGGGAATACTTAGAAGACGAGTGTGTCTGCATCCCAGCTTTATGCTCCATCATCAACTTGCTGGGAGACGAGTACTTGTACGCAGCAGCATGAAGTTGATCAGAAGACCGAGGATACTAGAGTCTTGCCAGTTTCACGAGCAATAGTTGCAGAAGACGATGAATGTGTTCAAGAAATGGAATCAGAGGCTTCGTTCGAGAATATATTGACGACCTTGAAGATAGTCATGAAAACCGTAATAATCAGATGTAAGCCATGCCGCCAGACACCCGCTACAAGCCATGCTTATTTCTATGATACAAGCCGCGACAACAGCCCACGTGACTTAGACGATGGTCTCAAGCTTTCTGGCGTATTCGAGAGTGTTTTCAATGACCTTGTCGCTGGTCGAAAGGATGTCCTTCTCACCCTGTGCCAACTCTTCTTGCTGAGCAGGGAAATAGATGCGACCCTCCTTGGCGACCCATCCACGTGAGTGGGCAAATGAGATGACAGCGCCTTCGGAGTCGAGGAAGAGGAGGTTCTTTGCGTTGGAGATGGGGAGAGAGGGGTATGCGCGCTCGCTGCACGAGGCGATTTCGGAGCGGATTGTGTTGACGAGGACCTTGAGTACCGGTTAGCATGCGACGTAGTAGAGATTGAAAAGAGGATGTAGTGATACCTCTGAGAAGACGGCAAACTCGGGGCTGGGCACTCTTTCACCCTTGGTCTCGCCCCAAACGCGGTCGTAGCTGCCCTCCATCAAAGCCTGCTCCAGTCTCATGGGATATTGAATGAAGGCGTCCTCGTCCAAGCGCTTTCTACCACCGAAAGCCATCTCGAGACCTTCGATGAGGGTGTGGAAAGCGGCGTAATCTCCCTGGCTCAACAAGAGTAGTAGGTAGAGTCCGGTGATCTTGCTCTGGTTGCCGTGCTTGTCGTGCGAGCCCCATCGTTCGTGAGGTAATGAGTAGAAGGGTTGGAGTTGTTGGAAGTAGCGTGTGAAGGACTCGGGGTCTCTTTGGCGGATGGAGATGAAGGCGCCGATCTCGAGAACTTCGCGGGCGAGGGCTAGATGTTGGTGGGATGTTGAAGGGTTGGGGACAAGGGCGTGTAGCTTGAGCAGCGAGATCTTTGCTTGTGACAGGAGGGCGGAAGCGTTGCTGAGGTTGCTCTCGGACAGCGAATGGAGCTGCTGGATGGTCTTCTTCACGTCGCTTTCAGACATTTTGATGTGTGAAGAATTGTTGGCAGTGGAGAAGAGGTTCGTGTATGTTGATGAGGCGGTGCGATGGAGATGGTCGTGAACAGAGGGATGTTTCTTAATGATGGTTGCAGTCGCCGCTTGTGAAGCTACTGCTGAGACGGTCGCTCTGCGTCGTCAGAAGCTCAGACCATCGACCCTCTACAGTCAACATTCAACTCGGTGACGCTCTCACTCCCGCCAACAACTTTTCTTGTACAAACCGACCCTTTTTCACCGCGACAAACACCCATCATCCGAAGATATCCATGCGGCATTCTTTGATTCTTCATCTACGGAACCTGTCCTTTCTGCTAACGCCTTGAAACAAGCACACGAGGACCATATCCTCCGTTGCTTCGGACCATTCTTGCTCGGAGCCCATCACTGCATACATTACCGCTTCGCATTGAACTCAGGCAAGGTTTCTGTTTGTCTACTGCATCAATCTTGACTTCTCGCTATGGATCGAGTGGGTACCTAATCGAGTACTACGGACTGCCACGGGAGACGCCCTTCGGCTGTCGGGTGAGATGGTCGCGGAACCCCTCCGTGTTCGCTTGCCGACTGGCGTCTTGACCAACGGCATCGGTTCCTCCACATCACATGCCATTGTTTAGCAAGGTGCCGGAGGTAGGGAAATAATTCCATTCTTTTCTTAATATCCCCTCTCTGTCTCCTCACTCAGTAGCCCCTGCATACTTTGCGTCCTCCTCTGCTCTACCACCGCTCGTCATGCCTTCAATTACACTCAGCCTACGAACAGTTGGACATTTGGCCAGGAATGGCTCAAAGGTACTAATCACTCGCTACCGTGACTCCTCGTCAATCTTCTGACCTCGTTCAGNNCCTCACAACCTACTCCGCACATTCGCATCCTCGGCCAAGAGATCAGAAATCAACAAGGTCTACTCATCCGCCGAAGAAGCCATCAACGATGTCAAGGGCGACAGCACACTCCTCTGCGGTGGCTTTGGTCTCTGCGGTGTACCCGATACCCTGATCAATGCTGTCAAGAACAAGCCTTCAATCAAGGGTCTGACAGCCGTCTCAAACAACGCCGGTATCGTCGGCTCTGGCCTTGGCCTACTGCTCGAGTCTAAGCAGGTCAAGAAGATGATCGCCAGTTATGTCGGAGAGAACAAAGTCTTTGAGAAGATGTATCTTACTGGCGAGATCGAACTTGAACTCACGCCACAAGGAACCCTCGCCGAGAGGTGCAGAGCGGGCGGTGCTGGTATTCCTGCCTTCTTCACCCCAGCAGCCTTTGGAACCGTCGTCCAGACTGGAGAGCTCCCTACCGTACACAACAGCGACGGATCTGTCGCCCGATACTCGACACCCAGAGACGTCAAGGTGTTTGACGGCAAGAGTTATGTCATGGAAGAGGCCATCAAGGGCGACTACGCCTTCATCAAGGCATGGAAGGCAGACAAGCTCGGCAATCTCATGTTCAGATTTGCGGCACAGAACTTCAATGGTGCCATGGCTCGCAACGCAAAGGTCACCATTGTCGAGGCCGAGCACATTGTTGAGGTTGGCGAGATTGATCCGGCCGCTGTACATGTGCCTGGAATCTACGTCGACCGTGTCATCCAGAGCACAGAACCCAAGAACATCGAGAAGGTGGTCAACGCCAAAGACCCAGCGGAAGCGCTCAATGCTCTCGGCAGCGGCGATGCCGCAAGCAAGCGCGAACGTATCGTCCGAAGAGCAGCCAAGGAGTTCAAGAATGGAATGTACGCCAACTTGGGCATCGGCATGCCCATGATGGCACCCGCCTTCGTCGATGACAGCGTCGAGGTTCAGCTTCAATCCGAGAACGGCATCCTAGGCCTGGGCGCCTATCCCCAGAAGGGCCAGGAAGACCCTGACCTCATCAACGCTGGTAAAGAGACTGTTACACTGCGTCCCGGTGCCTCAGTATTTGGCTCTGACGAGTCGTTTGCTATGATCCGCGCTGGTAGAATCCACATGACTATGCTTGGAGCTATGCAGGTCTCAGCAAGAGGAGATTTGGCGAATTTCGCTATGCCTGGANAAAGTAAGGATTCAACGTACAACCCATTACACAAGAAGGAGAACATGCTAACCATACCACAGATAAAGGGAATGGGTGGCGCGATGGATTTGGTATCAAACCCTGAGAAGACAAGAGTGGTCGTGACAATGGAGCATACCGACAAGAAGGGCGGTCCCAAGATCATGAAGATGTGCGAGTTCCCCTTGACGGGTAAGGCTTGTGTCTCGAGGATCATCACAGAGTTGGCTGTCTTTGATGTTGACTTTACGACGGGATTGACATTAATCGAGCATGCCGAAGGAGTCACGGTTGAGGAGATCAGATCGAAGACAGAGGCGCCGTTCAAGGTATCCGATTCATTGCAGGTCATGCAGCAGTAAGAGTATTGAGAAGAAATTCAAGTTGGTTATATCCAAGACACAGAGTTCTTACTGCAAAGATGGGACGTGACAAGTTCAGAATATGTTACAAGTGATGTACAGAGGTTGTTCTCGAGACACAGCAAGTCTATTGCTGAGTCAATGTGAGAGTGATCGGAAAAAACATAACCATGAAACGCCAACCCAATGCGCGCAGAGAAGCCAGAAGAGGCATTGGTATCGTCACCTCCACGCTTTTCCAGAGACAAGCGCCCTCTCTCTCTCTTGCTCTCTCTCTTTCTTGCAGTGCATCATCTTCTGCTCAAGAGACGAGCAAACGCCGCCTACAGTCGTCCCCCTTTGCATTCCCTCCTCTTTCTCGATTTCCCCGTTGCCTCCTCTTCTCCAAAGAGGTTGTCCCGCGAAATCGTTTCCCCCGGAGTGAACAGACTCAAGGCACAACCACAACACCCATACTGCCGGCCTGCGCAACCACACTCCTCGCCACCCCTTCCAACGTCAACCCACTCAACCTCTCCTCCCCATGCTTGATCCTCGCAATCTCATACACATGCTTCAAACTCACCGTCCCCACAGCGNNCCCAACCCGCCATTTCCCGCCGTCAATTGTCCTCCCGACGCTTTGCCCAGCCCAGCCNAACCCGGCTCTGGAGTTTGGACCGGCGACATTGCCCGCGCCGCGCAATTTGTTCTTTTTGGGCTCTACGCCGGCGGCGGCGAGGAGGAGTGATGCGGTGGGTGGTGTGCGGAGTTCAAAGGTGAAGCTGCGGTCTGGGCGGACGGTCACGCGTGCTGGGACGGGGGTGCCGGGGACGTAGGTTGCGGTGCGCGCGTTGAATTCCNNTGGAAAAAGATACCCTCACTGTCAGCCTCTTCTTCTTTTCTTTCTCTTTGCGTACATGATGTTTCCTCTTTCTTTGCGTAGCTAGAGAGAGAGAGAGAGAGAGAGATGGGAAAGATTGCACACCTTGCAGAAATCCATCGACTTTACACCTTTGGAACCCAGTGCTGGACCGACGGGCGGCGAGGGCGAGGCCTGTCCCGCGCCGACGATGAGTTTGACGATTTGGTCTTTTTGGATTGCTTTGCGCGCCATGGTTTTTTCCGTTTGGGTTGGATATGTGTGTGTGATGTACTCAAGAAAGTGGTTTGCGCCTTTGGGTATATCTTGGAGAGTCTCGATGGTCGGGGATCTTTTTGTGGTCCGTGCTCGGGATGTGGTCAGGAGTATCACCCTGGTCGAGAGATCATCTGTCCTTGTTTAAAGATGATGTTATCGTGCATGTCTGTATGGTTGAATGTTGACTTGGTAAATACATTTTAGAGAGTACGTAGATCTAGAAGTAATATCTGGCCATGTGAGAGCCACGGGCAGCCACCAAGATATAGCTGGGAGATGTGGAAGCATTCCACCATCATAGCATGATTTTATCTATAGCACATTGTTTCGAAAATGGAGCATGAATCTCAATCGTGTTTATTCGGACGTCTTGACATTATGCATTAGAGTAACAAGGAGAGGGCCCCATCCATCGGAGAGAGGCATTTCAACACCCTCTGTCGATGCGCAACCATCCCTCTCCTATGAAGTCCCATGTTCATCCTCTCCTTGTCGATATTTTCACATTATCCATCTCTTTCCATTCCACCCAAAACACCACGTATGATATCCTCTAGCAATCAGATGTATATCAAAAGCAGGGCAGCGCTTGTGACAATGCACACGAAAGTGCCGTCCTGTGCTGCCCGTTGTACCTCCCAATGAATCAAAACCCTCAGTCGTTAGATCCTTGAACCATCATGGCTCTCGGCTTCTCGCACATGTACATCCTCCTCTCATCCCGCTGTATGCATAGCCATGAAATCGATGAAGAAAAAATAAAGACACAGGTCGAAGCGAATGACGAAGAAGGGTATCGAAACTCCCAAAAGACTCCTGGTAAAACATGTCCTCGGAAAAAATGCACAGAAATTGCCGGGTGTTGAGGATAGATTTTGAATAATCCAGTGCTCAAATCCCGCTCGGCCATATCGAAGTGAAAGCGCTGTACACACCACATAGTACCGGAGATGTTGTTGTGGGACCAAGCCCGAAGCACATGTCCCCGTGAGGAGACTTGATCAGACACGTAAAACAACCTTGCTGATCAGGCAACTCATGCCTTTTGTTGTGTCTTTTGCTGGTAGTACTCGTTGTCCGATGTCGAGGCCAGAGTGTCTCCCTCCCAAGACTCGTCTACAGGGCTCCTTGCACCGACCGAAGGGCTTCTGCTGGAGGATGCTACCGAGGACGAAGAGCCCATAGTCCACTCGTCGCCGCTATCCATGCCGAAGTTGGCTGGGTGGAAGTCATCCTCGGCCAGGTCGGTAAGACCATAAGCATGGCGCTCTCTAGCTTCTCCGACCTCGACATAATCGTAATCCCAGCGGAACATCTTGCCAGGCTGCAGTCTTGGCAGGAACTTGCCCTTGGCGATGTAGTAAGCACCGGCGGAAAGCAAGCTACCACCAACAAGATCGACAGCGTAGTGGTGAGAGAGGTACATGGTAGACCACCAGAGCCAGCCCGTGTAGATGATGAACAGGGGACGAAGCTTGGGGAAGGTGTGGCTCATGAACAAGGCTTCGATGGTGGCACATCCAGAGTGCAGCGAGGGGAAAGCACCAAATACCATAGGTGAGGCGGTGAAAGTCGAAGTGTACAGGTCAATACCGAAGAGCTTGTCGATTGCGGCCAGACCGGCGGGAGAGCCTTGCATGGAGTAGTTGGCGGGAGCGAGGCCGTACATGTTCTCGTACCAGGGAGGCGAGCAAGGGAAGAACAGCTGGATCATGACACCGGTCAAGTTCATGTAACCGAAGGCTCTCGCGAAAGTGGGGGTGGTTCCGGGCGGGCCGAAGAGGAACATGAGACCAGAGCAGACGAATGGGGCACCGAAGTGGGTGATGCCGTAAGGCAACCAGGCGAGGACATCGAGGACGACGGCCTTGTGGGCGGAGAGGATGTTGCTCAAGTTTGCACCGTAAAGGATGTTTTCGAGGGCAGGCAGCACGCGTACCCAGATCGGAGGTCTGTATTTGCCGTCGATGAANTCTGGCGAGGGCGAGTTAGCAGGGGACGAGAAGACGCGAGAAGGAGAGGCTGATGCGGCATACTGGCAGGAGAAGAAAAAGACGAGCCATGCGGCAATTGGCAAGAATGGCAGGAAGAATTGGCGAGTGATGGGCAACAGCAGCGACAGCATCAACAGCGTAGCCACGGCCGTCTTGACCATGGGACCGGGCGATTGGATGACGCAGAGAGCGAAGATGCCGATGACGGCGAGGAAGAGGTATTGGGCGTCGTAGACGGACCATTGGTGGTCGCGGAGGGAGCGCAGCGTGTCTTTGGGGTTGAAGCTGGTCTGCAGGGCCGAGATGGACGAGGTGGGCGTTTGTCTGCTTCGGATCTTGGAGCGTGTGCTGCGGAACTTGCGGCGCAGGCGGTGCGGCAGCATGGTGGGTAGAGATGGAAGGAACTTGTTGCGTGTGAAGAAGCGTTGCGTCGACTCGCTGTCGTCGGCGGCGGCCCCGAGGGCAAAGTATTTGCTGCTCATGCTGGTCCTGGAAGGCACGGAGGAGGAATATAGCCACACGTCGACACGGGTGCTGGGGGATGGTCCTGTTGTCGAGTCGAGTCGCGAAACAATGTCGAGACGGAGAGAGAGAGAAAAGTCACAGGCTCACTTGGACCCAGGTGCTTAGGCCTACCAGGATGCTTGGACAGTTATGAAGTAACCATCAACTTTGGCTTGCTTCCTCTCGGCAAGCGGCGCAACCGCTGCGCGATCAAGCGCGCAACCAAAGTCCGTCTCCGTCCTAATTTCCCTATCATCTCACCCAAAAGAAACAATCCCATCCCATCGCATCGTTCCACAGCGAGCATCAATGCTTGCACGAAGTCGCGTGCACTCTTCCATCTGAACTCTTGAATGACTGCTTGGTTCTACTCTATCCATCTCTCTCTCTGTCTGTTTGTCGATGACAGAGTCAACAACACTGCCCGGCTGCCCTCGGAAGCTGACATATCCGTCACCAAAAACTTTGCCTTAGCCTTGCTCCCAAGCCCGCTCGTCATGCCAATAAACACAGTAGTGCATCGAGCAACATCATGTGCAGACAACTCACCAAGGCGCAAGCATCCTCTGCTCCTCCCAATCCTTTGCCGTATTCCCTTCGTATAATCCTGATCTCCCCTAACCTGATGCCTAAAGATCCCCAAACCATCGCCAATTTCGCAAGCGTCGTCGATCGCAAAACAGACAGCATCGGCGACAATAATCCCCGAGTCGTGGAGTAGAGAACCAACCACCAACCATAAATGCCAATAATTCTCTTCCAAAAAGCCACCGTTTTCTGTTTGACGAAACCACAGCGACAAGAGGGGAAGTTTTACACGCGAACTCTACGTTTCCTTGTCACGGCAGGGCAACCTGCGTCTTCGTTTCACAGTCAAGGCCGCACCTGCAGGCAGACTTGCAATCGATATCTCATAATCGCTTGGCTGCTGTTTTTGCGGCCCTTTAACCATTCCCACTCACGCGACTGCCAAACGTCTTTTTATGCTCCTTATCCATTGAAGCACAAAGATAAAAGGGGCCACCACTTTTTCTCCCCTTCACCGGCCCTTTTCTTCACCGTCTAGAAGGGCAAAAAATTTCTTCGCTACTAACCGCCGCTTGTTTGGAAAGAGCCATCACGGTCAAAGAAAAAAATGGTCGCGCTATTACGGTAAACTCGGCCAACTCTTTTTTGGTTCGGAGCATCGGAAGATCGGACAGCAATCTCTATGCCGAAATTAGTTGTGCAGAAAGTGATATTGTCTTATTCATGGTTATGCAAACAAATACGGACTCTAATCCCCAAACCTCTTTTTGTTGAGGCCATGCAGGTACAGAGATGCTGAAGGGAAAGATCAGGCATCTTTCTGCGCAGATCAAACAATGCGACAGTGGGGTTTTCCGCGTTGTGTCTCTTGCCCTTGCATTCCGACCCCGGTCATCCATGCTTCCACCCGTGTGGAGCAAAGGGGTGCTCTGCCGTGTTGTTTTTTCGAGGGTGTCGCTTGACTCGGTGACCATTGACCGCTTCACCCAGGTCCAGATCTGCAATTGGCAGACGACCGGTCAACAGTGTTCGAATCCAGAAATGGACTCTTCAAGACCCAATGATTGGCAGGCAAACAGGTAGGCAAGAACGGCTCTCTCTCATCATCGTCACTGGGGCGAAGAAATGAGGATGTTTGGAACACTTGTTGGCAGGTAGAAAAAGGTTATGATACTATGGTGTTCAAAACATCCAGATAATCTGTAGAAGAGAAGAAAGAAGTAGCAAAGAGGCCGGCCCAAAAGATAAAAACATTCCAAAAAAACATAAACTGCTGCTGTTGCTGCATGGTTCCTGCTCTGTTGCTCGCTGTGCCAAAAAGAATCGAGAAAACACCAATAAAACTCCATCCAAAAGACAAGATACATGTGATCCGCTGTTCTCGCTCGCTCTCCGAAAGTCATAAACCCATTGCTTTCCTTGCTCCATGTCTTCTTTGCGCATAATATCCTATGTTCATGTCCATCCGAATGCTGTTGTCGTCAAAAGTCATGTACGTGTGTGTCTTGATATCCTCTTCGTCATTCACAAGTCCTTGTATCCGTTATGCAGAAGTCTCATAGCTCTCAATGACTCTCGAGCCATGCGTCGAGGCTAGCATTGAACAGCGAGTCGCCAGGACCGCCATACATGCTAGGATTGAACTCGAGCATATCTTCCGAGCCCATAAACGCGCTCTCAACAGCGTGAGTTGCGTTCGGCGAAAAGTCGTCCTTCTCGTCAATGCTGTGGACTGATGAGGTTGCTGCAGGCGACAAGCACTCATTCTCCTCGATGATGATGGGCTTGCAGTCGACAGAGGAGAAGCTGAATGTGTTGTCGCTGGAGCCAAAAGGTTGACTCGGGCATTGTGAGCTTGGTGGAGGGCTGTGAGGAAGCTGAGGTTGAGGAGCCACCTTGACATCTGTAGTAGGCAACGAGCTAAGATCGGCGGCAGTGTATCTGTACTCCTTCTTCGGCGAGGTATTGCCAGTCGAAAAAGGCGATGTAGGAGGNGTGTATCGGGACAGCTCTTCGACAGAGTATTTGCCGTCTTGCTGCTGGTAGTTGGCGAAGTCATCGTCATCAAAGTCGTCGTTGATATTGGCTGCAGGAGTGTTGGGGTAGCTAGCCTCGCTGGCAGAAGAGCTTGCGTATGCGGTAAACTCGGAGTTTCTGCGCGAGTTGATCTCCCTTTGGTGAGCAGCCCTCTCGAGACGCTCAGAGATGTCGTAGTGGTGCTTCTTCGGACGACCACGTCTGACTTGAGAACGCTCGAAACCAGGAAGAGCACCGTCGCAGACTCCACGTTGGCGGTGGCGTGTGAGAGCATCTTGTCTGGCAAAACCATTACCGCAAGGACACTTGTGAGGCTTGTCACCACTGTGGATCTTTGCGTGACGCTTGAGATCGTGCTGTCTGACAAAGCATTTGCCGCAGTGATTGCACTTGAACTGGCGATCACCAAGATGGGTCTGGACGTGGGCACGGATGTTCTCCTTACGGCCAAACTTCTTGCCGCATCCATCGAAGAGACAGGTCCACTTACCATCGCAGTGATCTTGAGGGCTGATGTACTGCTGGACATCTTGAGGTGAGATGCCGGTATCCTCGATGCTGGCGTCAATGTCGAGAGTTTGCAGCATGGCCTCACGAGGAGAAACTGCCGACCGCTGAGGGGAATCTGTGTAGTAGCTCATGTTGGAGGTAGCTTCACCGGAAAGCATCATTGAATCGTGGGCGTAAGTTGCGTGGCTGGCAGCAGGCGAAAGCGCCTCGTACACAGTAGGCAGGGGGTTGAACTTGGCGTCCATGGGGGAGCGCATGGGCGAGCTGGGATCGGCCATTGACGAGGTGTACGAGGGTGTGCATGCGTAGTCACCAGCGAAGGACTCTGCGTACACGGAATGCTGGTCTTGGTAGGGTTCCTGGACCTGGACAACAGGGACGTTGGCGTATTGGATTGGCATGGGCGACATTCCGGGGTGCATGGGTGATACTGCAACCGAGTTTGGCATGGGCGAAACATCGAGGAGGGGACCCTCAGGATGGCCAGACATGGGTTGCTGGTAGTTGGAGCAAGGAGTTGTTGGCCGTGTGGCAACAATGATGGGGGTGGTGGGCATTTGAGGTTGCGATTGAGAAAGTGGTGTCTGAGGAACATATCCGTAGGTGCGGTAGACGGTCTGGATATGTTGTTCAAGGTTCAGGATGGCCTGCTTTGCTTGCTCGGCAGAGGCAATGTCCTGTTCCATGAAGGCTGGTCTGAAAAAGTGCTGCTGGTTAGGGTCCATGTGATATAGTCCCGGCTGGTATGGTCTGTGCTGCTGCGTTTCTTGCACTGAATGCTGTGATGATGGTCGTTGTGGGTTAGTTGGCATACTTACCTCCTGTCGTGATAGGAGAGTCATGCCCTGGTCGATGCTCAGTCCACGGCGGTGGCCAGATGGACGTTGCCTTGACGAGGCAGACATGTGTGTGTTGATCATCGGGACCTCGAGCGAGTTTTGTCTTCTGTGGAGTTGACGTCGTCGTTGGATGCTCGAGGTTGGGTTGTGAGTTGACAGCATTTTGGTGGTGAAAGACTGAGTCCGGATGGGGTTAGTTGTCGAATTGGTCGAGGATAAGTTAATATCTCGGTATTCCGGATCTGTGAAGGCATTGGATTAGTACATGTGCATGTTATACTGCCGAAGAAGCAAGTCATCCATACCTCACGCAGTGCAAGCCGCGTCCGCCGGGCGGAAGAGTGTCTTAGAGTCTGATCAGGCGCGTCGCACTAGAGCGAAGCTTGGTGGGTTGGTATATGGGGCCTAACGGCGTTTGGGATGGATGGTTTGAGGGTGTTTAGTTCGCAAAGGAGATTGAGATTGGTTTGTGCAGATAGATGATATCTACAGAGATTGAGGAGGAGGAGTATACAGGAATGAAATGCGGACGGGCTCGAGGCCTTCTAATGAGGCCTTTGCTTACATGGGGGACGAGTTTGGCGCTGGTTGCTAGGTGAAGCTGGATCTTCTGTTGACGTTGCTGCGCAACGTGCAACGCCATGCACCATGACGAGCCGAAATCTTGGTTTCGTCCCGCTCCTTGTCGGGGCCGCTGTCGTTCTAATGAGGGCGGTGAGGGCGATCGCGATTGTTGATGATCTGATAAGATAGACCGAGCTCCTTCTCTCTTGCATGTGAAAGCGGTTCCAGAATTTGTCGCTGGCAGTCGCTCTTTCCCAAACTTGAGGTTGCATTCAATCTCCCGCAACCACTCAACATGAAGGTGAGTTCTCTGTCTACCCACTGGAGCACCCACTCTGACCCATCAAGATCCTGGATGCCGGTACCGAGGTCCTCGACGACTACGACGTCCTGAAGTTCATTCGCGACAAGCGCGCCCAGATCAAGGCCGAGAAGGAGCAGTCAAAGGAAGAGGGCCGACCAAACACACACAGACCCGCCAACTTTATGAAATCCTTGCAAAAGCATGAAGAACACCTCAGCGACAAAGACCGTCCCTTCTTGAACAACCCTCGCTACGACGACAACTCTCAATACCTGAACAAGTTGATGCAAACTCTGGGTCCAAGGGTGCAGCTCACAAAGTCTGAGTACTTGATCCTCGCCAATCAGCGCCCATACAGACGTGCCCACCTTGCCGCCATGATCGAAGACGCCGATACTCGCTTTACGCCGGAGGAGCTGAATTTCATCCGAGATAGCGTAGCAGAGATCCTAGGCTTCCCAGAGGAAGAAGGTGCAAACTTGGACTCCCAGCCTGTCCAAGTCAAGGGTTGAAAAGATATGTCGGACGAACATCAGCATACCAGACCGAGAGATCCGATTGCATACCGTCACAGTCCTGGTTGTGGACATGACTGCTTCATCACCCGCCTGGGTTAGTCAACACGCTGCAAGAACAGGCATGCGCGAACGAGATGAGCCGAGATGGAGAAGAATAAGGAAAGAAGAGAAAGCCCTGCCGAAGGCATCGTGCCACACGAAGAGCGAGATGTCGCATTGCACAAGCCCACTAGAAGTCCAGCAGCTTGAAGGATGCGACGGCTATCCACAGGTCATGACCGGACCCTTTTCAGAACTCGCCCGTCTCTGTAAATCTGTGTAGATATCAGCGTGCCGCGACATGACTTCACCACACCGCAGCTGTCAACAATGAACATAATTATTCCGTCTTCCTGCAATTTCTGGCCCAGATCGAGTTGCTCAGCTCTCGACTATTCGCATGTTGTTCTGCCGAGGCTAACCAAAACTGATCATCATGGAGCCTATCAGCCTTTCAGCTCATTTCTTCGACGCCATGTCAACGCCATCAGTACGCTATCACCGTTGCGATAAGCAACCACACAACCTTCTTTCACATCCAACGCGATTGCCTCATACAGAAACAAATCATGTCATAAGTAACAGTTTACAAAAATCCTGACTATCCGGATCGGCAGTTTGCTAACACTCAACTCCCCATCCGCCCAGCGGATCTGGTTTCGCTGTGTTTGCCGCTCTAGCCTTCTGAAGTCTCCTGACTCGGTTTACCATCAAGCCAATACTCACGGGCCCGATTATTGTGCAGAGTAGGATTGCCCAGGTGGCTACAAGGAAGATGTCGGAACTGCCGCCGCCTTCTACAGTCCCGAATACGCCATTGCTTTCTGCTAGTGAGGAGATCAGGAATCCAATTTCGCCTCTGGCTACCATGGCACTTCCTAGCATTAGAGAGGGATATAGGGATTGTGGTTTGGGTAGCTTGCGGGGAGCTTGTCTCTTGCGCTTGGAGTTGGCCGAAGGGGTTTGCGGTCGTGTGTTGCTTTGGCTGCATGTGGGTTCACTGGAGGCGGCTGTCTCTGTCGTTTGCTGACCTTCAGGCAATTGAACTTTGGCTGATGTGCTTGTGAAACGGACGAGAACAAGACCGCAGGCCAACTTGCCCAGAATCATGAGGATTGTGTAGACGAGTCCGCGCCAAACGATCGCACCCCGGAACATTTGAGTGATGGGGATTGAGAAGCCAATGGATGCNCTAGTGTGTTTGTCAGTGCTCTGAGCGATGGCGCAGACGAACATGATACTTACGAAGAAGAAAGGTTTCAAGATCGAGTTCATGGCTGGTGCATACATGTGCTCATAGATAGCTGCACCCTTCAGCTTGGCATGTATCGAGGACACAGGCTGATCTGGCGTGCGAGTCTCAGGAGTCGCTACATCAGACGACAAAGGGCCGGAAGATGGGGCTTGTCCTCCATTAGAAGCAGTGGTCTTTTTACATTTGCGTGCCTTATTCGCTGTTGTGGAGCTCAAACGTTCTTCTTGCAGCGTCGAACTTACAAGAGCATCCCACCAGTTGATGACCGCTCCAGCTATGTAAGCTGCAAACAGATTGGATGTGCCAGCATACGTCGACCCAGTGACAAGACCCAAGAGGACCAGAGTGTGAGCACTGAAAGCAGCGACCGGAGTGCAAGCCCAACTTCGAAGTATCGACTGCTCCTTCTCTCTGGTTCCAGCGTTTCCCGTCGCTGAGAACACATGCTTTGTGATGGGTCTCACAACTGCCCAGCAGACAGCAGGCACAACCACAGCAAATGCAATTGAGACAAACACAGGTCTAATGACCGTCACAGCCGAGAACGAGTCGGCAGACTGTCCGAGGTTGGATATGACTTGGACCATGACAAGTCCTGCCACATCGTCCAGCATTGCAGCACTGGATAGAATAACACCCAATCTGCTCTTCTCAAGACCGCTGGTGCTGAGAATGGTAAAAGTCGTACCCAGAGAAGTACTACACAACGCAGCGCCAGCAGCAAAAGCCTGAACTGGTGTAGCTCCAAGAAGTCCCATCAAGACATATGACATGCCAATAGGAAAGGTGATGCCGATGAGAGCCACGAGTCCAGAGAGATAGATGTTAGACCAGAGTGATACAAAAGAAGTTGACAAGCCACCNTATGGTCATTGTTGTTAGCCATGCAAAAGACTCAAGAGAAATCACACACCTTCATATACAATCAGAATCAATCCGAGATAACCCAACTGCATTACTGTATCTTGCACTTCTTCCGACAGCCAATTCGCACCTGGCGTGCCCCATGCCACTCCAATCAAGATTTGACCCACAAGACCACAATATATGGCATTATCGAGAATCCAATTGATGCCATTGAGGACAAGCAGAAAAGATGCTTGCACCAGTATCGTCACGATTCCGGGTTCGTGGTATGGAAGAGCGGCTAAAGCCATCCTGACGAGGAAGTGTGTGAAAAGAGAAATGATGATAGGTCTTGAGTAAATTCACAGTGACATGTTGGATACAAGCAGAAGACCAAGTTGAGCCTCTTTGGAAGCTGGATTGTGTTGCTAAACCTTGGGTCACGTCAACGCTCGGTTCACTTGGCACGATCGGGGCTGACTTTTGGGCAAGCAAAACGTCTTCTTCAGCTCATTTTCCTCTACTGCAACATTTTTAAGCCATGCTAGGTAGGTCCCTGAATTGATGAACAGCAAAGAAGCGTGTCACTTGAAGGACACGCCAAACCAATTGCTTTTGCTAAGTATCGCCAGTTTTCATCCTTCAACCGCATCTTCCTCTTTCTCTTCCTCTCCTTCCACAATTTCATCCTGAGACATATCTTTCCGTCGACTTTGACTTCCTCTCCTGAAAAAATCTTTGATGGCTTCTGTCTTTGATGCTCCACCACTGCTGCCAGAATGCAAGGACCAACTACTGCTTGATCTGCGGTGATTGTGTTCGGCCAATGCTGTGGTAAATTGTCAGTAACTCTTTCATTTGCTCGAATCATTGGGTCTTTATGAGAGAAATGAAAAGAGGGGAGAAGTATACCGTCATGCTCGTCATTACTGGACGCTTTCTTCAATTCGTCTTTGATTTCTTCGGGCGCGACTGCTGTCTTGTTAGTCGATTGACAAGAAACATATTCCCAATCATAGGGGTGTGTAAGTCATGTGGCAGGAGTTTGAGCGACGCACTCATATTTCCTCTACCTCCACGGCCAATTGATATCCGGTGTGGCGGCGCGACAATCGGTTGCTCTCCACTGCTTCTTCTGCTGGATGTCATGACTGGCTGTTTTTCGCGTTTTTGTGCTAGTCCGAGAAGGAGTGTAATAGATGCGAAACTGGCAGGTTTCTCCTATGACGGCGTTCTCTATCTTTATGGCTTCGGATTGCTTTGGGGTGGGTGTTTTTTTCTTCACCAAAAGTCTTCAAAGCGTAGGTGATGATATCGTATACAAGTCCTCGCTCGCATCTCTCATCCGCTATAACGCGAGTCGTTTGGTTTACTTTTGGTGGGGGTTTTTGTGGTTGGTGAAAAGGAGCAGAGGAGTCCGCCGCAAAAGTTGTTTCTTTGCTTCCAAGTTTCTTGCCGTCCCTATGATCAGGTGCTCCTTTGCGATACCGAGGTGAGTGAAGATCAACCAAGAAGAAATGCTGGCTGACAAAAAAAAAGTATATTTCTACGTCATCGTCTTGCACCTCTCCCACACCGCTAACGCATGGTCCAGCAAGTTAGAGGAAAACGTTCGTTCATCATCATCAGTGCAGAAAGCAACCCACGAGACAGACTGGTGTCTTGCTGCCTTATGCTGAGCTCGAGTCTCGTCTTCCAGAAGTCTCACGTCTCCAATAACAGGCCACAAGAAAGATGTAGAGATGGTTAAAGTCGTCAGCTCATGTGCTGTGTACCCACAAACAACCTTCATCATACACATCCCTCCCGGTCCATGCAGATATCGAACCTCTTGCAACCTCTTAGGTTTGTTCGCATCAGTAGCCGATATATCTCAGATCAAACCCTGATCTACGCAACACCGTCAATACCATTTCCAGCGCGACCGCGTTCCTTTGCAGCCTCAGCCCCGTTCTTGGGTCCAAAGTAAGCCGGCTCTTCATCATCATAGTCTCTCAGCCTGAGTCCCATACGACCAGGATTAATATTCCAATGTCCAACAATCAGTGCAATGGAAAAGCAAGGCTTGGCCAGAAAATCCAAGATTCCGTAAAAGACAGCCTCTGAATCGGGAGAAATTATATTGGCACCCTCGGACACCCTCCAACAAATGGGATAGTACAGCCAGATGACGAAAGTCAAAGACTCCACAGAGGAGATACGTTTTGTAGACGTCTGAACCGAGGTGTTTGGCGTGCTTGCGGCCTTCAGTTGCGAGGTTCTAGAAGATGACGAACATTGCGACGGTGCCGAAGGTCCAGAAGCCTGTATGCATGGTAAGTGTGTGTGCGTGAGACAGATGGAGAGCACTATATCCTACCCCACTTTGTAGCGACTCTTGACAAGAGCACCTACAAAACCAGTGACTACCATGAGCTCGGCCAGGACGATGGTATGGAGAATTGTAGGCCAAGGCAAGCCAGCAGTAAGGACAAAGTCCATAAGAAGCAGCGGTGTGGTGACGAACCTAGCTTGTTGTCAGTTCACTGTCCTTTGGATGCGTAATTTGACAACTTGACCAATCAATGTAGCGGACGTAGAAGATCTCATAGTTGACACCAGCGACCTTGGACCAGACCTCTGGAACTCATACCACTCAAGGTAAAGAAAATCACACGGTCTTCTCCTCAAACCGCCAGCAGGGGTTTAGGTTGCAGCGAGGAAACAAAAAGAACGCATCATTCTAGGAGCCGGTGCAATCTATCTATCCATGTGAATATCTGAGTACAAGATCTTCGAATTGAGAAGACCATCCTCCGGGTTGGGCAATCAGCGATTCCCATGTTTGAAATCCCGTGTCAGCCCTGCTATTTAGAATAGCATTCAAGAAATTGCATGGCGCCGATATGAGGTCCCTGGGCATCTGCAATGATTGTCGTGCTGCAGCTTGACCGTCCATCAACGGCTACATTATCAAATCGATATTGAGATATCTCGTCTCCCAAGAGCAGATCTGTGTGAGAAGTGATACTCGGAGTAGGATGAGGAAGGAATGACGGAGGTTGGAGAAGTGCTTGCAGATGCCCCAGCCCTACACTCCCGGGTCGGTCTGAAGCTTATTTTTGTGCCACGAAAGTCTAGGTCTCTGATACCTATCTACATCGGGAAGATGCAATATTAGAAGCTCATAAGCGTTCATATTTCGAGAGGACGGGATCTTTCACCATGTCTTGATCATTGCTTCATGTATTGCTTCCTGAACATGCATCCTATTCCAATAATTCTACCCAGGCTCACTATACTGGTTACAAGAGGACAATCATAAACAGACAGACCACCAGAGCCATCGTAGCGGACTCCATACCCAATGCACGCTGCTTACCACTTGCATCAGATGTGGTCGTCTTCGCTGACGGCGTGCCCTCTATCGCGGTCGAAATTGTTGTCTCTGTTGACGTAACGCCAGCACGAGTTGACGACCTCGACAACACCGCAGAACCCGAGTTCGAAGTCTGAGATGCCATACCCTGCCATACGTAATCGCCAATTCCTTCTGTGGTCGTGCTCGTTCCTGACTGGATCACTAGTGCAGTTCCATCTGTAGGGATACTGAGAGTCTCGCCATTGACGGCGATGGCTGGACCACCAGGGTATAACGTCTGGGATGCTATGATGACGCCAGAAGCAACAGGTGAGAAAGTCAGCTGCTGAGAACCGACAGAGAGTTCAACGACCCCAGAAGTTCCTGTCGCCAAAGAAGTCGTATGGCCATTGACGACAATACTACCTGTAGCATCTGGAGGCAGACTGAAAACAGTACCGCTCACTGTAATGGCACTGCCGCCCGGAATCAACGTTTGCGAAGCAATGACCAATGGCGTGGCAGATGCAGCGACGGCAGTATATATCTGGGATCCGACTGTAAGCACAGCATCATCAGAGTTGATGGCTTGTATCGCAGTCGTCTTTCCATCAATGACCACCGAGCTTCCGGAAGCTGGTAGAGAATAGAGAGTCCCTGAGATATCCACAGCCGATCCACCAGGACTAATGACTTGACTTCCTACAACGTATCCACCTGCAAGCAGTGGCACTGCTGTCGCGCTACCAAACACGACAGCAGAAACTGTCGGAAGATCTGTCTGTCCCATGACAGAGGTGGCTCCGTTGATTACGACGTTGGCTCCAGATGTTGGCAAGGAATAAGTCACACCTGAAACTTCGACTGCGAAACCTGGGTTGAGTGTCTGGCCTGCAACCAGGTAATATGCGCCCGAAGACTCTGGCTTCGCAGTGACATCACCTATGACTATAGTCGCCGGCGGTTGTAGTGAAGTCTGGATGGTAGACATGGCCGCTGCCTCTCCATTGACAATGGCATTGCTGGCAGATGGTGGTAGAGAATACGTGGTTCCGGAGATTGTTAAAGCAGGACCTCCACGATTGAGGGTTTGATCTGCTACCACATACTTGTCCGAAGCTACAGGTATGGCTGTGATCGATCCAATCATTACTGGTGGTAGCAATGTCTGAGACGCTATTGTGGAGATGGATACTACATTACCATCGACAAGGACACCACCCGACCCTTGCATGGAGTAAGTCGTTCCAGAAACTGTGATGGCAGGGCCACCAGAATTAAGTATTTGGCCTCCTATGGCATACGCGCCGGATGAGACTGGCCCCACCGAATTGCCGACGACCGGCGCAACAGACACAGTAGGTAAGGCAACAGTAGAGATCCTGAAAGTCTGTCCATTGGCGATGACATGGCTCTGAGAAGCCGGTATCAGGTAAGTCGTGCTCGATACTACGACAGCAGGTCCGCCCGGAATGATCGTCTGGTCTCCAAGAATAAGAGCGCTGGATGCGATTGGAGTAGCAGTAGCGTCGCCGATCAAAACTGGTGCCGGTGCCACAAGTGAGGGTGCTTGAGAAGATGCCTCGATGGCATTACCGGCAGTTTGTACCAAACGAGTACCTCCAGGGACCTCTACTGCATGCCCTCCGGTACTGGGCGCTGTTGCCTCATCAGGGATGGCTGTTGGGGAGAGCGCTGTTGCTGTGACACTGCCAATGACGACGACGACTGGCCCGCTCGTTTGAGCAGCTATGGTGCCTGGATTCGTGTTGTCTTGGGAAGGCACCATTGACGTTGCACCTGCCCCTTGATTGATGGTCTTCTGTGTAGGCTGGTTTCCAGGATTGCCAGGAGATCCCACCGAAAGTGAATCAGATCCCTGACTGACGACTTGACTGGGCTTACCGGAAGGAGCCACCGATGGTGCAACTGCATCTTGAGTGACAGTGGGTGGGGTAGGCTCCTGAGGTGGCTTGTTGGAAGGAGCTTCTGCTACTTTGGATGGCTCTGGCTGGTCCGATGTCTTACTCCTCCCTTGAACCGCAGTAGGCTGAATGGATGGATTGCCAGAATGATCGGAAGGCACCACCGAAGGTGCACCCCCATTCTGACTCTCAGCAGGCTGCGTAGGCTCGTTCGAGGGCTCACCGACAGATACCTCTGCTGTTGTAGGAGATGGGACGTTGACAGTAGGCGGCTTCGTATTGGCAACAACGGATGGTGTTTTGCTGGCAGGTGCAGCCGATGTCGTCGTGGCTACCGTGTTGAAGTAAACCGCATTTGTCGTGCTGGTAACCGCAGATGAAGACGTCAAGAACGAAACTTGGATGTGCAGCTGAGGAGCACCAGCAGCAGATGCACGTGAGCAGCTCATGATATGCGGGACCTTGGAAATGACGGTAGATTGCTTCGCCAGCCAGGCCAACATTTCATCGCCTATCTCAGTCTTGACAACCCTCTGGTTCCATGTGCTCGTCTGAGACGAAACTAGACTATGATAGCCAAGGTAAAAGCTTGTATAGTCTGTGCCGTCATAGAAGATTTGGCTGTTAGGTATGAAGGGGAATACGGCAGCAGTCGAGAACCAAGATTGTGCTACGGAGGAGACATCGTACGTCGTACGCGGATCGTTCACATTAGTACCAATGCATACTCCAGCACTATTTTTGTAACCGGCGAACACGAAAAAGTCTCCAAAATCCATGCCGGGTGTAGGGAATGCTCTGATGCAAAGTCATCAATCGATTCTCGGTGCTAAGCTCATGCGACACTTACGTCGTGGTCAAGTTTCCAGTGGAGGATATGGATTCCACTATGGTAGCATCGTATGCGCCGGCATAGCTCGGACCATTGAGATCTGTTGGGACACCTGGGATGATAGCGGGTCCGTCCACATCAGCAAGATATTCATTCCGATATAATCTCGAAGTCGGAGGTGCGGTGATTGTTGAGGTTGGAATGATCGTGTCTGTGTGAGTGATCAGCAAGTTTTATATGTTGAAAAACAGAAGGACTTCTAGATGCGAATGTCATCTGGTATGATGGAACAAAACGAGCTCCGAAATTGAACACGCCTCGACTATCTACATTTGATTGTGATTTTCAAAGACGTACTATTGTAGCGGAGGTATTCTGTGATGATGTACCCATCATTTACCGACACGTTATGGCCACTGTACCAGAGGTTCAGGCCCACCCCTGGAGCATAAAGTTCGCAGCAGAATGGACCATGGGTGGTAGTACTCGGTGTGTGGATAGAAGTTGAAGAATTCGTATAAGAGACAGTCGCTTGTCTGGGGATTTGCAGCGCGAAAGCTGCTCTCACACAAAAACATATAACGTGATGTGGGAAAGCATGACTGATGTGTGAGATGGTGTTCTACATGCGATGGTGGAAGCCTCTAGTTATACAAGTCTATAACTTCTGGACATGAGCCTAGTGCAAGTCAGCCTCTTCACACGGCATCAGTCTGTGAACAAGCCGTGTGCTTGCGAAGGATTTGACGCGCATTTATGTGCATGCTCGATGCACTCTTGTAGTCTCTGCAATGTAGACGCTATTGTCAAAAATCTCCCACTCGATGTTCGTGTGCGCCACTGTTTCGTGCAAATCCTTGCGAAGCGTAGAAGTCCAGGCTGATTGGACTTCATGCGGGCGGTCGGCGTGCATGCATGCATAAATCCTGTCAGCCTTGCACCTAATATTGGAAAGGCTGAACGCTAGCCGCTTGCATGGTGTTCTAGGTCAGTGAGCCTCTAAATATATTCAAGAGGCTGGCCGTCCGAAACGAACATAGTGAATAGCATGACTTCTTCAGCGATTTTGCTGATAAGGGCTCATCCATGTCCTGACCACGTGTCGACCAGGGCTTCCATCTGCGGCACAAGATCCTTTATAGTAAATGGTTTCGTGACCACCGAGTCCATTCCAGCTTCAATCGCAGAAGCGATTTGTTCGTTGCGAGCATTCGCCGTGATTGCGATCACAGGGACGTGACCAGATATTTCTCCAGACTGTTCGAGCGCGCGGATGCGACGTATACAGGTCAACCCGTCCATGATGGGCATCTCGACATCAAGCAAGATCATACTCAGTGGCATGGCCTTCTTCGTGCTCGAAATATATGTGGTTTTAGATAGATAGTCGAGGGCTTCGAGACCGTTCTCGGCTACTTCGACCTGACAACCCAGTTTGCGCAATTGTTTTGACATGACCTTCGAATTTATCAAGTTGTCCTCGACAACNTGTGACGTGTTAGTAGGACCTCTGACAAAGACCTGAATATACTCACGCAGAACGTGCATATCTTTCACCAGTGTCTTTGATTGAGGTGCAGTGTCGATCTTTTCAAGAACTTTGACAGCGTCAAATGTTCCACCCACAGAACGTAGCAGGGTCTTAACGCTGATCGTGGACTCGACAGATGCAACAGAACCAGAACGACTCAATCGTACGGCGCGCTTGGCTTGGATGTAGAACGCAAATCGGCTACCAACTGAAGGTTCGCTGTGCAGACCGATCTGACCTTTNTGAAGTTCCACGAGCTCGCGACTTATGAACAGGCCTAATCCAGACCCACCATACTGCTTGTACGTTCTGGGCGCTTTGATTCCCAATCAGCCGTTGATTATATGCTTAGACTTGCTAACACGAGACTTACCTTGTGCGAATCTTTGGAACAGGAGTTGCGATTCTTCTGCTGTAAGGCCACAACCGGTGTCTGTGACGCTAAACATCAGGTAGATATCGTCAGCGCCATCATCCGAGTCCTCAGCAGAAAGCATTGCTGAAACAGTCTCAGTCTCATCNAAAGTCTTTTTGCGCGGTTTGATGAACCGGACTCCGCAGTCCTGTGCTGAGGGTGGGACCGAAAAGCAACCGTGGGCCAACGTGATGCGGCGGGTATCAGAATTTCGAGTGAATTTCAAGGCATTTGTGATGAGGTTGATGATGATCTGCAATAATCTGCTCGGATCGCACACCACATCTGCCACGATGCATTCACTCGGTAACTCTTCAACTTCGGTCTCAATGTCGGCCTTCTTTAGTTCGGCTTCGAACATTTTGAGTGCCTTCTCAATCACTTCTCGAGGTCTTGTTCTTTCCGGAGCCAGTACCAAAAGGTTCGAGTCCAGCTTAGAGAAATCAAGAACCTCGTCGATTATCACCTGTAGATTGTGTCAGCCATTGTCTGGAAAGACTTCGCTTGCAGACTGTCGTACCTTCATATGCAGAGCACAGATGTTGATAGTGTGGGCTGCGTCAGCCACGGTGTCGAACACCTCAGCAGGCAAGGTTTCTGCTGGAATCGATATGACAGATTCTGTCAATTGTATGATGCTGCTCAGAGGATTTCGCATCTCGTGCNNTTTGAGCCTGTTAATAAAAAGAGTCAACGAACGAACCGTTAGGCTACTCACCGATATCATGTCTATAAAGTTCTGCGCCTTTCTTTTCGTATCGATCGCTGCATTCATCCTCTCGGTTGTAAGAGCTTCAGTCAGTTTTTTCGTTGTTATATCTGTGAGGTAGCCTTGAATCGTCACTAAGATACCATTCTCATCACGCTGTGGGAAGCACACGACTTCAAGCCAGCGTGCGCGAGTAGGTGACGACTCGGTGCCTGCCCTGACACGAAACTGGAACACCTGGACTCCATAAGATTCTGCAGCGGCTCTCCAGGCTTCTTTACCAAACTCTTCGTCATCAGGATGAATACAGTCTCGCCAAGCCTGTCCTGTCTTCGACTTTTCTGTGAAGTCCTCTCTTGTCTCACCGAGGAGTTCAAGGAATGAATCGTTCATATAGATCGGTGTGCCATCGCCTGCGTACAAGAACATGCCAATCGGGGCATCTTCTGCCATGCGGCTGAATGTCTCCTGGTTTTTCTCATTCTTCAGAGTAGCAATGCTCAGCTGTCTGGTAAGCTTCTCCAATTGAATGCGATATCCGAGACTGTCATCTGCCTGCAGCAATTTACGTTGGTCTGAAGGAGATTGCAGTATGATGACCGCTTTGAGGAGAATCTCGCTTAGCGAGTATATGAATCTCTTCATTTTTTCGTCAGCTCGCCTCCGAGGGTTTGCGCCTACGACGACTGAGCCTTGAGCTAAGCCTTTCGCGTCGAATATGGTAAAAACGAAGGCTGAGGTGACTGTGCCGTATTCAGACAGGGTGATACCGAGCTCTGGCAAAAACTTGTCGCCTGTCAATGCGATGACGTTTTCACCCCCTTCTGCCTGTTCAAATACCTCGACCAACTCTCTAGATGGATTCTCCAAGGCGGCGTGTGAATTTAGACCGGAAGAAGCGTATATTTTGTACTGCTTTCCTCCGTTGGTTTCGGCCACCTCCTCTTGCACTTTATACAGGAGTGTATAAGCTACATCGTCAGCTTCTTCATCCAGAATGCCGGAATATTCGAGCCAGAGGCTAGAAAGGTCTGTAGCGTGCGTAGTCTTTTCGAGGAGCTTAAAGGAGACATCCTCTCTGTTCCTTCGGATGACTTCAGACGTCACTTCGTTGAAGCAATTTACAGAGCAGATCCAGCGACCGTCGGAGCCAGTAAAGGGAAGCAAGAACCAATCGAAATACGACTCTTCAGGAAAGCCATCGCGCTCAAGCAACATCATTTTTTCCTTATTGTGAACAGATCGACCTTCCTCCCAACTGGTTCGGATCAGCTCTGTTGTATAGTCCTTCATGGCCTGACCCCAGGTATCGACCTGCTTGTTGCCTAGTGAGGCAGGATGTCCGGAACCGAACAGCTTTGCAGCAGACTCATTGTAGAATTGGATCAGATCTGGGCCCCAGTAGACAATCCTTGGTCGTGGACAGTGCATAAAGCTAATCAGTATCTCACGCAGCTGTGTAGGCCATTGATAGATGTGTGGACCACAAAGGGTTCCTATGGCGGTCTTGCTCCAGTCGTAATCCAACAGATAGCGTATCCAAGGGTTGATGGGCACCTGATCTGGAAACCTGATCCAATCATGAAGCAGACTGTCCAGAGGGCCACGATGTCCACTCTCGCCAGGAGGTGACACGAAAACGTGTTTGCAGTATATGACGAGATATGTCTCTCCGAGCTTTTTCTTGGTCCATTCTCTGTTTGCGAAGCCTGTGGCCGGCGTTGCCTTTGTGGTACAAGGAGTGCTCAATTCTTTGGAGAGCCAATCTTCTAGAGCGTGTGACGGGGCGTGAGCGAGGGCGTGTTCGAAAGCAAGATTCTTGAAGAGACAGAGGGGTCGCGATTTGGACGAGTCTAGGATGGCCGTCGGGCGGTTGTCGTCGCTGGCGAGTTGGACAAGAAGGTCGAGCTCCGGTGGCAGCTCACTGGCCAAAGGCTCGGATAGCATGACGTAGGCGTGGATGCTATCTTCTGTATTCAGTGCATTGTGCTTTCTTCAGCTTCGCGACAAGGGCTCGAGTTCTCGTGATATGCGTCAAGGTTGGCCTCGTGCTCACGAGTATGAAGAGATGCAGCAATGCCTCTGCGTAGCGCAAGAGAGGGAAGCGCCTATTATTGTTAAATCGGCAACGGCGGTGCCGAAGGCTTCCCTGGGTCTTGAACCTTGAAGCCTAGGCAAGGAAGCCGCGCTCTTCCTATGCACTTGCTGCTTTCGTGCATACACTTGCCAATCTCTTGCGCGATGCCTTTCGCTACTCGACAAGAAGTTGCACATATCTATGGATAAATTGGTCCAGATACACTTTGTTAAAGCTTGTAAGATACAGCATCAATCTAGATCTTGGCCATGTGCAAACCATAAACTGCGGCTACGGGCAGAACTCCGAGTTGTGTATGTTAGAGATGCGACCCTGTCTGTAGACAATAAACTCAACGTGTTTAGCAGTCATTATCCTCTATTTACTGTAAACTGTCTTCGATGCAACATGTTAGAGGGCTAGAAGATGATTACTCTATGATCATCGGATGTCAAATATCGTACATCTTGGACAGGCGAAACTTGCGGATAAGATCTGTGTCGGAAGATGAGATCGTTTATCATTTGCAGACCATAATTCGACTGCCTATCGTCTACCAACACCGGAGCCAAATCCAGATGTACCCTATGTTATGAGCACCATCGTTTCCAAGCATCAAGAACGAAACGCCAGGCTTTCATCATGAGGACATTACATCATTAAATCAGTCCTGCACCACAGTCCAGCGTCTCTTCGGTATTCCCGCTTCACGAGGAAAAGCACCGTTCGGAGCACTTCCCCAGAGACCTTTTTGGCTGAGAGACCGAGCCAACTTTGGTGGTGGTGTTTCATCGACTGTGGGCAGCGCAGCAACACTTGACTTGGCTTCTTCTTTGATGGCAGTCTCTTCCGTTTCCACTGGCGTCGATCTGGGTTCAGCTTTGGGTGACACCGAACGCTCCGAATTAGATGCCTTAGGAGCTGACAGGCGTGCAGCTAATGAGTTCGAACGAGCTAAGGTGTTGAGGAAGTTGGGTGAATCGCTATCTTTTGCACTGATCGGATTCCAAAGGCCAGTGGGCGAGTCGTTCTTCACAGCAGACGGAAGAACAGGACTCGTTACCACAGGAGCAATGACAGGTCGTGATGGACGGCGCATGCTGCCAAGCGAACTATTGATCCTGGCTCTTGGCTCAGGCAAATTCCAGTTCGAGTCAACGGGTGCGCCTGCTGAAGCATGCGAACTGGCAGACCCAAATCGGCGACTACGTGATTGAGGCACAGCCTGTGAAGCAGACATGATGGGGGAAGATGTCGCAGGTGCAGACGCTTTGGTGGGATCAACACCAGGACGAAGATGCTCAGACGATGCAACGATTTTCATCTCGTAGTGAGAGGACAAACCAGAATCCATAGAGCTCTGACGACGCGGTAATGGACGACGAACAGCGTCGGCAGGATCAAGAATGGGCGAGTTGCCTGGAGCTGGCGAACCGATTGGTGACATGTGCTCGCTTGTAGACGAGGCAGATGCGTCATCTTTTCGCACGGCCATGGTGAGCGAGGCCATGCCGACATCGAGTAGTACAGGTTGATTGGTGAGAGCACCAATCAAAGCATTGCAGCCGGCTCCATGAGTAATCAAGACTACTACGAGATCTTCATCGTCATCGTCAATCGCTGCAGACGCAGCTTCTTGGCCATGATGGGCGGGTTGCTTCGACTCTGACTGAGTCGTGGTATACCAGTCCACCATACTAGACAGGCCATGGCGGAATCGCTTGTGCATCTGGCTCCATTCCTCGCCAAAGCGACCACCATCACCCCAACAATGCGGCTCGCGCATGCTGTCCCACTTGTAATCGACTTTGACACACTGATCACGGGCGTGAGCAACGTAACCACGAGGGATAGGGTCGCCAGGAGAGATGGCATAGGTCGGGGTAGGTGGAGTGTAACCAAGCGAGTTTTCGTGCCTGTGAGTCAGAGGCGAGGCATCGGCAGGTCTGAAGTGCTCGGGAGATTTGGTAGTGCCCAGGCTGTTTGTACGCTCTCTCGCAGGCACGTCGCGCGAGAAGACGTGCCAGTTTTCCAAGGGGCCATTGGTTTCATGCGACAAAGGGGAGGGCACATTGCTGACTGAACTGGAGTGCTGACGGGCAGCTTGGGGNGTTCCCCAGAGGTTGCCTCCGGATACGATAGGGGACGACGGTGTATAAGTCTCGATCTTGTCTGCCTGGCGGAGCAGTTCAGCTTTTGCGGCTGTGACCATCAAGGTGCTCTCGGGAGGCGGCGTAATCATCTCAAAATAGTCGGGTGACAGCCATTCGCCCAAGAAGGCATCCACGCGGAGAGTGGTGCGGCTTTGTGGTATAGGGTCTTTCTGCTCTCTCAGGGAGCTGTGCGGATACTCGCGCGACTCTTGTTCGTGTTCAGGTACCGGGCGTAACTGAGGAGAGGCGGAAGCGTCCCTCGGTCGCAGGCTGGGGGAGCCACGGAGCTGGCCAAGTGTCTTGATGCGTGCATCGCTGCTCTTGCGGGCGACGGCTGGCAAGCCCTGGTACTGCGACAAGCCGGCGCTGATGCCGATACCCGTTTGGACGCATCGCTGGAACGGCGACGAATGGATGACGACCTTGTGTTTCCTGGGTTTCTTTCGCGACCTGGACGTCGACCGGGCTTGTAAGTTGGCTTCGGAGAGGGCAGATTCCTTGATGCCGAGGCCAGCATCTGAAGGTGGTCCAGCAGGCGACGAGGTGCCCGACGAGGCTTTGGCCTTTTCACGTTCGTGGAGGAGGCTAGCTATACGCAAACCCAGCGCTCTCGACTGAATCCAACCACCGTACGTGAGCGGCGGGTCATATGGTGTTGGCGATGTTAGATGCCATGATTGGTCGGCAGCGTCGAGTCTCGCACCATGTCTGTTTGGCAGCAGTCAGCCACTTGTCGGTTCTAATTTCTGCATAAACATGGTGGGAGACAAGAAGCCTACCTGACGACTATTACAACTGCTGGTGCTTTTGTCATGGCGCAGCAAGGGAGCAGTCGGGTGGTGTTTGACAGCTCGCACTCCACTTGCAATTGCCTCGCAGCTATGATGATGCCTTTATCGTACACGCCGCCTCGATGATGTCGTCGATGTCGTCGAATCTACTCTTCACAATCGTCGAACAAGAAAGGAGTGAGTCCAAGAGTCGAATGACCATGTAGAAGTCGGGCGAGACACGAAACACAAAACACCACAGCCAAAAGGCTTTCCCTCTTGATAATCAATCGGCAACTGACACGACCTCCCGAATCATCTCCATCCCGACACCACTTGCCCGCCGCCGCCGCGCCAAGTACCCCACCTTCCGTCGCAGTTTCGCGTGCTTAGCTCCGAATCTCCGACCTCGACAATCTCCCGCCTGCGACAAGAGCGCGACCAGCCACCAAGCAAACGCATCCAAACGTCCATCATTCGTCAATGCCTGCTACATTCGATTGTACAAGTTCATGCTTGCACGCCTAACAGCCAATACATGCCAGCCTTAGAACGCTGTCAGCACTTGTTGTGGCAGGATCTGCACCTCAGCCGCTGCTCTCCTGTTTTCTGCCTTGCCCGCTCCAAAAATGCCTCTTGACAGAGGACCAATCGTTGCAGAAGCCCGCTGTCCCCGTGTCGACTCCTTAGTTCACGTTGAACTGCTCTGTCTTGTCTCACGAGTACGGATTCTGTTGAAAATCCCTACGACTCCTACGACTCCTTCGGCCAAGAAATCATCCGGCAACCGCTTCGGCTGATAGCAACAATCCCCTGACCGCTTTGGTACATGCCGGCTGATTTCAAGCATCCGAAATTTGATATAACATGGTCTGATTCTCGACATATAGCTGTCTGATACGTACGTGAGCCACTGCCCATCACTGGAGGTAGTCACCTCCTGTCTCCTTGTGAATCACATCAAACAATGGCTTGGCACTGAAGTACCCTGCCATTGGGGATCCAATCGCCTTGAACGTGTACACCGCATCCTCTTCATCAATTTTCTTGGTCTCACCTCCACGACCCCCTGCTGCCGCGTCGGCTAGCAACTGCGCCTGACAACACTTTTCAAGAGACACGAACCAGAAAACCGTCTCTTCCACCGTCTTGCCAACAGTCAAGAGACCATGGTTCTGAAGAAGTGCCGCCTTCTTGTTGCCGAGACATTTGGCAATATTTTCTCCTTCCTCGGCTGCGAGAACAATGCCATTGAACGACTCGTAGAGGACATGGTCTCCGTGGAACGAGCAGGCATCCTGTGTGATCGTGTCCAGCTTTCTGCCTAACGTGCAGAAGGATCTGCCATAGATACTGTGACTGTGTGCTGCAGCAATAACATCGGGTCTGGCTTTGTGGATGGCGCTGTGGATCATGAATGCTGCTGTGTTGAGCAACCTGGTCTCGCCACCGCCAATAATCTCGCCTTCTTCATTGACATGGATCAGGTCAGACTTGTTGATCAACGAGAAGGCAACTCTAACGACCAAACACATCAGCCAAGGACATCAACACACTGACCATTCGACCTTTGCGTACCCGAAAGGATTGACCCAGAAAGTGTCGGGCTCTACAGGATCGCGAAGAGTGATGTGACCAGCCACGCCTTCATCAAACCCATACTTTCCAAAGATTCTGAAAGCTGCGGCAAGACGACCCTTGAGATATTCACGTTCTTCGTGCTTGTCGGCAAACTTTGGTGGCCTATTCGACTGTCAGGAGACATTGCAATCTATCGACCAATGTGGAGCCTCTTACTTGGGGAACTTCCCCACCTGGAGTGCTGCGGAGGGTTCATCGAGTCCCGGCTCGTTGGGGGCTACACCGGCCTTTTCTGAGTCTGCGTGTGGTGCCATTTTTCTTTTTTGTTGTGAAGGTGTTTTTGGAGATGCGGAGAACCACAAGACAGAAGAAAGGAGAGTGCGCAACCTCTTTTGTATTCCTGCTGACCTTAAGCTGAGTTTCGAGGTAGGTTCGGCTGTCGGCCTGTCGGTTTCGCAGATGCTTGCCCGATTTGCCCATGGGGAGGCGGGGTAATTTGGGTACGTCTTGCAGATCACCACGACCTGTTACCACCACTACCAGTGAATTATGGGAAGTCTTGATATGAATCCACAGTACTTTGTAAGAAGGAGTAGCATCCACTAAAAATAGCCATGCTGTTATCATTTCTTTTCAGATTCAGCTCTTGCCTGGAGAATACTTTGCATTACACCTATACTTATAATCGCACAAGAAAGAGGAAACACACCGCTATGCTATGCTATTGACTGGCCATGAAATGCTCGAAAAGAGTAACAAAGAAAAAAACAGCAATATAATCACAAACATTCCTAGCATCGGAAAAAAGAAAACCCCCTTTCTTGTCCCATCTTCGGACACCCTAAAATTACAAGACAACAGTAGTAGAAATACATGGCAAGTCAACCTTGAAATAGATCCTTACCAACAATTCTCCCATGGACCCTCGGTACCAGATCATTGCTTCTGCTCCTGACTCTTCTCCTTCTTAATGTCCTTTTCCTTGCCCTTCTCGATATCCTCATTCTTCTGGTCCTTGTTCTTTTCTCCCTCTCCGTTGCTCAAGGTACCGGTATCCAGCATTTGACCCAATTGCTTGAGTCGAACAGGTTTTGTCAAGAAAGAATCTATTCCAGATGAGTAGGCGTCTTGTTGTGCTTGTGCACTGGCGAGCCCGGTGAGTGCAACCACTGTGGTAGGTTTGATATTGTTGGCGCGCTCGTGAGCACGGATATTGCGGGTCGAGGTCAAGCCGTCCATGATGGGCATCGATAGATCCATGAGGATATAATCAAAGGGTGAATCTGCCATCTCGTCCTTGTCACTGGCTTGCTCGCATTGTGATTTGTATGCTTCCAGGGCTTCGAGTCCGTTGCTTGCTGTCATGTATGCGTGGCCGCTCTTCTTCATGTAGGTGACTAGTAACTGCAGATTCACCCTATTGTCGTCTACCAGAAGTACTTTACGGACAGGTTTGTCAGAGTCCGAATTTGTCCTGGAAAAAGGACTTATGGATCCAGCCGTTGGTGCTGGTGAGGCGGGAGAGCTAGAGTTATTGAGCGGAGACGTGTTCAGCTTAGGCATCCTAGAATTCCCTTGCGCTATCTCCACTGTGTCTAGCCGGGGGTGTCTTAGTGGAGCATCTCCGAAGTGGCCTTTTTCCTTTGCCTGCTCGCTCATGGCGTGATTCTCCGATTCCAAAACTTTCTGGAAGGAAGAATCCTGGAGTTGCTGGCCATCTCCTAAGCTGTCGTCCAAAACTTTGCGCATGGATCGCATCGGCTCGTTTGTTTTGGCATTCTTGTGAGCCTCTAAACAAAGCGTGAGTGATTTTGCTAATTTTCTTGGTCCGCATGGCTGAGCGAAGACCCCAGTAATGTGTGATCTAGGGTTGTGCATCATGGCATTAGCGGCAGAGACGCTGTTGCAAATGACCAGCAACGGGATATCGGCCTCTTTGCTTTGAGCGTCCTGGTCAGACTTGCTCTTCATGCGCTTCTCCAGCTGGTCTTGCACTTGTTCGAGGCCCTTTTCAGTAGTGAGGAAGACGTCGACCCCAGACTGATCAATGCCGTCAGATATTTGCATGTCCATTTCGAACCAGTTTTGGCACATTCGGTGGAACGAAGCCATGAATCTATGGCCAGCGTTCTCTGGAGACCGTGTCCCCGGCTGCGGCTCCTTCTCGTAGGAATCTGCATCAAACCCAATAAATCCGATCTTCAGACCTTTGGTCCTCTTAGCCGCACTCGTAATCACACTTCGATCTACATCCTCTTCTTTTACTGCAGTGTGCATCATTTCCAGGGTAACAGTGGTCTTGGTACCTTGGCCCTGTTCACTTTCCACTTCAATCTCGCCACCCATGGATTTGATTATGGCCGAGATGATGGCCAAACCCAAGCCTGTGCCGGGTTGCATCGGATCTTCTTGAGCGAACGGGGTAAAGAGGCTTTTCTCGAGGTACTCTTTCGACATGCCTTTTCCAGAATCAGTAACGGAGAGAGTGACTTTCGAACTGCCTCCTCGTTCCTTAGCAGGCAATGGTTCACTATCGAGCTTGACCTGGATGAATCCACTCGTGGTGTACTTGAGGCTGTTGTTAAACAGATTGCTCAAGATACGACGCCATGCTCCAGCCTGAGTTCTGAAGATCCAATGTGAGTTCTGAGCCTTCGAGATGTCGACCACAATAGAGACGTTACGATCGCCATCCGAGCTTTTTGCATCGCCGTCAACTTGCTTGTTGGCTCGCGGCATCTGCTCAGTCTCACGACCAGCCCTGATGAAGTCATGACCAGCAAAGACTGTTTCCAGTACCTCCTCAGTGACCACACCCAAGTCGACATCAACATCCAGTGCAAAGTTCTGTTTCTGTTCGTGTGGATTCGAACTGTTTGTGCGTGTTTGAGTACTCTTCCTAGTGAAATTGTTGATCTTTGCGAAGTCAAGTAAATGGTCAATCGTGTCAAGCAAAGTGTGGCCGCAGGTGGCAAGCGTATGTACAAGATTCTCCTGGAATGGATCGAGTGTCGAGTCTTCGAGACATTCCACGCTGCCAAGTATGCCATGAAGTGGACTGCGTAGTTCGTGTGAGATGGATGAGATGAAGTCTGACTTTGCTTTGTCGGCAATCTTAGCATTGATCCTCGCGACTTCGCTCATGATGCAATCGCTGAACGCTGCAAGGTAACCAAGTTCGGAGTGCGTGGTCAAAATTCTATGTGGATCCATGGTCCAGGCTATACAAGCACTGAAGAACTTCTGGTCAGAGTCCCACATGGGGTGAATGGCAAAGCTGCGCACGCCTGGGAACAGCTGTTTTATTGTTCTGGCATCGTTGGATCTCGACCGCTTGCGTCTCTTGGTTGTGCCCTTCGGCGGAACTTCATCGTCCAGGGCCTCTGATGGTACTCTATCCCGCTCCAGTGGCGAATCTTCATCCTGATCGAAGTTGAGGACTTTACCATGAGGATAGCGACGCAAAAGTGATCGTACAAACTCTTCAGTAATACCATTGATGAGCTTTGCTGATTGATCACCACGTGCGCTATTCATGGTAGATGTCGATATGCCAAGGATCTCGGAAGGTTTCGCAGCGTTTTTCCTATCTAGGTTCTCATTGTTTTCTGAGTCAGACACCTCTGTGCCAGACCCAGTAAGAGCGTCACTCTCGGAAGCCGATGATAGCTTCCTTCTCTTGGGTCGTTCATGGGTGGTACTTCCAACGAGACCCCCGAAGGTAGATTTAGCGGTAGCATCGAATATGGCAACGGCATCTATTTGCAAAGACTCTCGGATGATGTTTGCAGCACGTCCAAATGTCGCTTTGACTGCGGGCGCAAGGTGGCCCGTGGGCGATGTCTTCTTCGCCTTAGGGTCTTCCATTGATGACGACGGTTGTGCTGATGCATTAGAAGAAGCGTGTGAGCCTCGTCTTGAAGGCGACTTTTCGATGTCCAGGTGGACGCCAACATCGGAGAGGGATGGGAAGTCCTTCTCATCGCTCAGCTTGATATCCGGCGGTTGGTCGTGATGTCTAGAGTACTGGCGATCGGCCCATGGTAAGGATGAGTCTTGCTGATCGGGCGTTTCCAGATCAGCACCTAGGGGTCTCCAATCGCCCAAAGTATCTTTGCCTTCAACAAAGCATCCCAAGCCATGTACCATTCTCTCTTTCTTGATGCTTTCGGACTGTGCGCGAAGCATGTCGAGGTGTATCATGACCGTCGTCGCCATGTCCTTCATGAAGGCCACTTCTTCGGAGGAAAGGCTTTGTCGAGGCTCGGGATCTATGACACAGTAGGCGCCAATCTTGTAGCCGTTGGGAGAGACAATGGGAACTCCGGCATAGAATCTCCATCCATGATGTGTGGTATATGTTTTATCGCTGAATCTCTTATCCCTGGACAAGTCGGGAACCACAAAGACCGTCTCGTCCTTGGTCTTATTGGAGTCGTCGGACGGATGGTTGATCGTGTGTTCACAAATACTCCCTCTCCTAGGAACCATGGTAACACCATAGTCTATCTGATCGCCTGGCTCATGGATGGACTCAGTCTGCATGCTAAGCGACTTGGTGGCTTCGGCGACAATATACTGGTAGTCTCTATCGAAGAACGAGATGACTGCACGTTTGCAGTTCAGTCGGAGAGTGGCCAGCTGGGCGAAGGCCGTCAGTGCCCGGTCGGGTGACGTGCGAGCTCGTCGCGGACTAAATTGGTCTCTCTGCGCCGACAGGCCGGCCAGTCCAAGTCTGACGGGCTGGAAGTATCTGTACTTCAAGAATTAGCTCAATGACCACATTCAGGGTCAACATGCTTGTACTTGTAAAACTCGCGCTCGTGGTTGACAGTGTATGGCGGTTCCAAGTCCGTTGTCGGATCCGCAGGACAGGAGGTCATGATTGTATTGGTTCGTGAAGGCTTCCAGGCGACATCAAAGGTAATTGGGTTCACGATTTTCGCGTTCGATATCGATGGCAATGTAGATGACAGGGTGCGAGAGAGCACAGTACTGAACAACGAAATGATCGTGACGACAAAAAGCAATACGTCATTTCGCCCAAGACGACGTGGACCCTGAAAACGGAGATCGCTCCGGTAAACCCGAGCCCGATTTGTCCCACACCACGTCTTTGACTGCCCGGGTCGATTGATACTCGTAGTGATTATTTCTTTAAGACCAGTAGTTCGAGTAACAAGTGGTAAGAGGGGTCAAGATGTGGCTGGCTAGGCTTGGTGTATATTCAGAACAGGACAATCAAGAATTCAAAATTGGGTATCTAGGTAAATGCAGAATCGGCTAAACAACAAAAAATAAGGCAAGAGCTTTGCAGCTTTGAAAAACAACATCTAGTCCGTAGCATCATGTGACCTTCATCTTTCTAATCCCTTGCTGAGCTCAGCGATCTCATTGTCAGCAAGTGCTGCAAGCCAGAGGCACTTGGCCAGAATCTCAGCATCGGCTTTGATGGCATATCTCGAGCTGGCGTCCAGCAGACGCAAGACTCCTTTGACAATCGACGCAGTAGTGCGGTGGCGCTCGAAGTTCACAAGCTTCTCGTGCGATCCGTCTGTCGATACTCTTCCAGCAGGCGTGATGAACGCTGGCTTCTGAGCATTGAGTGCAAGGTCGCGAGTATAAACACCGAGGAAAGGGATGACACCCTTGCCAGCCGAGATATCGTCGTCGCTCAGCTCAGCCGCCGCACTCTCCATCTCGGCACGCAGCGCAGCGAAGTTACGCATTGGACTGACCAATGTTTCGAGGCTTCGAAGTGCATCCTTTTCGGCTTGTGCTACTTTTGACCATGTCGTGGTAAGACGAGAGAGATCCGAGGAAAGTAAGGCGATCGTAATCTGTGCTGTTGTCGCAAAATTCCGTAGGCTGCGGTGCGAATGTGTTGCGATGTGTACAAATTTTGTAATGCACTGAGCGCGCTCATCCGATGTACCACAGAGCAGAACGGAAGATATGCACCATTTGATGACAAGGTTGAATCGTGTGATGATCAGGTCGATACTGCTGACTTCCGTGACATTGGTAGGGAATGCGTGGATGTACTGCGCCCAGTCGCGCACTAATGGAACCTCTTGTGACCAACTAAGATTAATCAGGTCTTTCCAGTCGACAGAGTCTAATGCGTCCTTCTCGATTATGGTGAACTGCATAGCAAGTGCTTCAGAACTATGTGCTAGAATAAAAGGCGTATGTTGCGTCGGAAGGTTGCGTGCTCGTGGAAGCGCAGAATGTTCGGCTTTCTTTGCGAATTGTTCCGAGAGCAGCAATTCTGAGAGGCGGAACGACTTTTGAGATCTTGCGATTAGCGGACCAGGGAGCAGTAGTTGTGTATTGAACAGGTCACAGCCGTGATCTGAAACTCTGTCTGCAGTTGTAGGCGGAGTCAGGGGCTGGCATTCTGGAGGGGGTTGAGAGTGGTCAACGGAGCCTACAACTGCGTCCTCATCTTCGGCGTCAAGCAAAAAGCTATGTCCAGTGTCCGTCGATGGCTTTGCTTCATGTTGTCGAACAATCATTGAGCTGCGGTCGACGAGAGATTCGCCATCGTCAAGAAGGAATGTCGAGGCAGGGGTATTGGGCGAGTCCGTTCGTTCCAAGTCGATCTTGACAGGAGTGACAGGACGCTCAGGTTCTCTAGGCAGATCAAAACTGGCGAAGTCCTTTGTAGCGATCATCGATGTGTTGACTCCATTTCCTAGGGGTGCGAACTTGCTCGGTGGGCTGGCCGCTGCAACGTCAACTGCTCCATGTCTTCTATGCATGCCTCTGCTGACTTCGGTGCCGGCAAGAGGAAGACCTCCTGTCATCAGCTGTGGTGGCATCATAGTCTCTTTTACTTCTGAAACCACATGCTCTTGACCACTGACTTGCTGCCGCGCAAGACTTGAGAAGTCGCTGTCGTCGTGACCAAACTCGAAAGACTTTACAGTCTTATCAGATGAAGGACTTGCTATAAACTTTCCTTCGAGTTTTAGCAAAGCGAACTCCGGCCCGCCGTCGTCTTCGACGAGTGGCATCTCCCGGAGTCTGGCAACTTCCACTTCCATCGATGGGCGTAAGCGGCGTAGGGATGAATGAGTAGACAGTAGTCGTAACGAGCTTCTTCTCGCCGCATCATGAATATCACCGTCGCTAGCCTGGGGTCTGAGAGAAAGTCTTGCGAGTCGTGATTCGATTTGTGCATCATCACTACCTCCGAATGTGGTCGATAAAATTGGCGACCCATAAATAGAGATTGGTGATGTGACTGAACCAGTTGATTGACGTCTATGAGAAATCCCAAGGTCATGCACAGTATCGACGCCACGAAGATTGCCTCCAGGTTTGCGACGAAGCTGTCTCGCAGGCCCTGGCAGATCTTTAGGGTCTACCAGCGATGACTGACGAAAGCTCAAGGCTGGGCTATCTCCCAAAGAGATGTTCGGCGAGTGGAATAAGGAAGTGGTAAATTCAGTATCGGGGCTGGACATGTAATCTCCTACCACAGCTGCGGGCTCTGTGGAGAGGTTTGGAGCGGTCGGGAGTGGTGGCAGCGGCGCAGTCGGCGGAGGCGAATACGGGGATGAAATGATGGATAAGGTAGTAGGTGCGGTGGTCAAGGTAGCAAACTCGGTCGGCGATGCACACGATGGTAGGTCGGAATTCATCATATCGTAGGGGAGTAGGAAGGCAGTGTTGTTCAAAGCCACGTCGTGGACTGCTGCTTGGTTGTGTTCTCGCGTCGTTTGCCTTGACAAGTCGGCCGATTGCGCGAAACCAGCAATTGTTTGTGCCAAATCCGGAGTCCGCTCAGAGTCATCCAGCCCTGTGTCGTCAATTATCATGATGGACCGACTGCTCGTCGTCACATTACTCAGAAGACGAGATGCTCCAGGGCGAACCGGAAGATTGGTTTCGATTGTCTTTGACCTGTTCCGTGTAGTTGACAGAGCGCTGGACTGAAATTCAGTCAGCTCATGTGCCATCTCGTTTCCTTGCTGTTTCCAAGAGCGCATAACCATTGCGGCCAAAGCATCGGTATGAACATTCTGTGCTTTCCTGGCTTGCATATGTCTGATCATGTCTCTTGGCTGGGGTTCCGTGCTATCGATCTTCCGCAGATCACCAGAACTAGCAGTCTTAGGTCTGTGTTGGAATGGATACTTTCCGCCGGTGCGTGTGCTTAGCGCCCGCCGCACACTGCCGAAGATGTTTAGACGAGCATGCTGAGACGGAACTTCCGACGCTCGTGAAAGGCTCTCTGATATACTGGGTCTGGTGTCCTCAATTCTTCGTGAGAAGGAAGGGCTGGGCGGACCAGGGCCAATGACGTTTGCCGAACTGGGATGGATTACGAGACCCCTGATAATCCTGCCGGGTTGAATATGAATTTCCATGCTTGGCTGCGAGGAAGTTGGCCGTTCGACACGGGAGTTTCGGAGCGCGTCTGAGAAACTGTCACTTCGCTTGTGACGGTGAAAACCCTTCGATTTTGTCGGAGAGTGATGGCCTGGTATTTCGGGTTGATTCTTCAAGTCATGCTTGGAACGCTTCAGTCTAGGAAACGAACAAGAGGTGACCTGTATGCTAGCCTCACTAAGGCGAGATGCTGTGTCCGGACGTCTCAAAGCCACGGTAGATATATTATGACCCATGTAGGACGAATTTCGCATGTGCGATTCGTTAGTCAACGAGCGCATGCGAGTGGTTTCAGGAATCTGCGAATCGTTGTCACCATCAAGCCTGAGTGGCATATACGATTGAGGTGCAGCGATCGACCCCCAAACAAGCGCGCACGTCCGATTCCAGCACTTTTTTAGCTCGTTCAATACTTGAAGATCACCACCAGCTCCACCTTGAGGTCTTTGTGTCACATGCAGAGCGAGTTTGTTGACAAGATTGCAAAACAGACTTCGAAGCTCGTGGTTAGGCTCAAAATCCTGAGTAAAGTAGTTCAGGATCCAGTGGCGTAGAGCAACGAACGTTCGCACACGCACTACCCGTCCGGATTCATCAGTCTGCGATACGGCCCAGCGCAATCTAGCAACCAGATACCTGGCCAGATCAGAGGGCGACAAGAAGGCTCTGTAGGTCAAGAAAAAATCCGACAAAAGATCATAGTCCAGAAACTTGACGGACGTAATTTCGACTACCAGACGAGTGGGTATTGCTGCGACAATTTCGCTGGTGCCGTCTGCGTATCTAACATATTGATTGCTGTCTGGGTCTGCAGCCACCTTGTCGTAGATAGTGTAAGGTATTTCGTCTCGATCCAACTCCAAGGGCGGAGTAGCAAGCGGCGAAGGAAGTAGCTGGCCTCGGCGAGTTTCTACAGCGGACGAGAGTGAGGGCGAGAACCAGGAAACGCTTGGGGATCTGCGTAAATCTATCGAGTTTTGGTGGCGCTGGGAGGAAGGCGGCATCAAGCGATCTAAGCGATCAGTTGAAAGTTGAGCAAAGTCAGTCGTGCTGGAGAAGGCAGTATGGTACGAGTTGTGGAGGAAGGCAGTTCCACGATCGCTGAATCTGGGCGAACCAAGACGGAAGTTAGGTATAGGTACTTCGAGCAGAGGAGCAAACAAAGAGTCCGTAGGATCGGATGGGGATTTCTCTAAAGGCTGATTGTGGTGTGATGGTACTTGGGCGCGCTTAGGAACCGAGTCGAGACTCGGCGAGCGGAGACGGGTGGCCCTGATTGTTTCATGTATGCTCTTTCGACTGTAGCCGCTGTCAAATGACGACCTTCGACGCGGGTCGATTGAATTGGGGTCGAGCTGAGGCATAGACAGTTGAGCAGCACTCTGATGTAGTCCGTCGTGCCAATAGAGGCCAGAGGGGGTGTGCTGATGGGCATCCGAGGTATCCGGGGGCGTTGGAGGAGGACGAAAGGCTCTTGGATAAGGACGGGCGACTGGTCTAGGCAGCATAAGCTTGTGGCGGTGGAGGGTATCCAGAGGAGCTTGGTCGAACCTCAGATACATGGTGCCATTCTGACCAACGTTTGCGACGCTGAGATGGCGGTCCGCCAGCTTGGATGGGTTGTGGAGACGAGGTGACGATTGCGGTTGTTGGTGCTCATTCTTCTCGCGACTGTACTTGAGACGGGCCATCTCGGCACTGTCTTTGGTGTTGCGAATCGACTTCTTGCGGGCCTTGCGACGGAGGATGATGGGTGGCTCGCGCGGCGGTGACAATGGTAGACGAGGGATGGACGAGTCGGTGGTATCGTCAAGATTGGCGACATTACACGAGGGCTCTACGAGAAGAGGTCCTGTGTCCATGACAGCTCATGGTCGCTGTCCCGCAAGACGGTGGCAGGATGTCGACTGGCACAGCGATTGCCCGGGCGGTACAGACGAGGGAGACGCGACGAGGCAGGAAACGTTGTCTCAGGACACAACGGCCGTCCGCTGGTGCGCAACGTGGCACACGCGTGCAACTGTGAACCAAACCGCTATCACAGTGTATCCGGGTCGTCCAGGTTATGCGGTTTGCAACTTGCAAGCGAGGATGCGAGATACAAGGCAGGCGTGCGAGACGTGTCTATGCTGGCTGTGCGTCTATGATGATGGCAGAAGAGGGAAACAAGAAACAACAGCGCCCGGAGACGACGCGAGACAGCAAAGACATGGTGTTAGATTATGACCCTGCCAGGTCTCGCCGACCGCCTGGCTCTTGGGCATGACATCGTCCATCTGGTGTGTGCCTCAATGCCTGTGCTTGCCCTGGGGCTGAATGATTTTGATATTAACCAAACGCTAACCGCGTCCCGCGAACCGTATTCGAGCCACGGCCAATCACCGTTGTCGCGTCGTTGCAAAACCACGTTTTGATCTGGCTCGCGATGTGCAAACCATCAGATCAAGTCTAGCCGCCTCTGCTCCACCTCTTCCGCCAATTAACAAAGACGGCCTTTTTTCTGTTGCTGCATCTGCTCGCGCCTGCAGCTGCAAAGCACACTCGAGAACATGGCGCGAGACGCCGTTTCTCGAGCCCTGCCGCGCATACGCAGTCCTCCGTCCTCATCAAATCCCAAATTTCCTGGTCGATCGTCGACGTAACCGCGCTGTCTGACAGGGAAGCGAAATCAAACAGAAAGCCAAGCCCTCCCTTTTTAGCACCACTCTGAAACATCCTCCCGGCCCTCGGCAGCACCTTAGCTTTGGGTTCTGTTGTTTCTTTTCATCATCTCGCTACTCATGCCCTTCTTTTTTTTCTTTTTTTTTTTTCTAGAAAGACCCGCTTGAGACAGCAACTGCTGTCATCTCCAGCAAACAAGCCGTGAGCAAACAAACACTTCTCTTTCTTGCTGGTCTGATGTGCTTTGACTGCCTCTTGTCATTGCCGAGGCCACTACCTGTGTAAGCTTCCACTCATGCTGTCTGCTTTGATTGCTCGTCCCAAGAAACACAAAGCCGAACTTGCCATGGCTTTTCGCTTTGTCAACCAGATCAGGGCTTCGTAGTCTATTGCAAGGCCACCAGCAGCCACCAAATGGGACTCATGCCTCGCTATACGCGACTCTTCTCATCGACTCGCAGTCGGTAAAGGCATGGTTTCGTCGTATAACATGTCTGTTGACATTCTTTTCTCGTCAACCTCGGCACCCAAACCCGGTTCCTCTCGCTACCGGTCCTGTAGCGTGGAAAAACTATCCACAGCAAAAAAAGGAAGAACGAGATCGATTTCCACAAATTCAACGTGGACATGAGTAGTGACCGTTCAACAAGTTGATGACGCTCCGGTATGATTGATTCAACGACCACAGCTATGTACATCCGTTGGGTGCATAAGCACACTCGCTTAATCTTGGTTGATATACTTGTCACCAGAAGTCTCCGAACTCTCCCTCAAGCACTTTCGCTCAACTCCAGTGCTCAAGTCATTCTCAACTATCAACGTCCAGATGCTGCAACTCTCTGATCCAACCCGAATGGCTTTGCATCAGCCACGACAATTCCTTCTCGCGCATCCTAAGCCTAGCCACGTCGTCTCTGGACCCGAAACGAGGACTTGAACCGTCGCCCTCAAATTTGCAGTCGTCAATGACTTCTCGTAAACCATAAAAGACATTAGCCGCTTTCAGCAGAGCTGGAATCTGAGACACCAGACACACTTCGGCATTCTTGCCATGACGTTTCTTGACGGGCCCTGTTTTACCGCTGCGAGCCAATTTCTGCACTCTCGTCGATGCTTCGGACACGCCATCAGCATACTCTGATACCTTGTCGGCAATGACTGTCACAGACAATCGCGTGTGATCCAACGCTTCTTGAATTGGTGGATGTGTCTTGTAGAGCGTGGCTAGGTCTTCTGGAAGCTCAAACTGTTTCTTGTGGCCTTTTCGGATAGCCTCCACGGCGTCCAGCATTCTGACAAGCGCTTTTACAAATCTAGTGGCTTCTCTCATATGTTCGGCTAGGTTTTGGATTTCTCTTGCTTGCTCGACACGCCAGTCTTGCCCCCTCGCATTTGACTTGTTAGGGTCAATGTCAGAATCGATCCCCATCTCTGTCGATGGGGCAAGAGATGTGTTTCGGCGAGGCTGTATGACCGGTCTGTGTGCCAGCTGGATCATGTCTTGTGATGTTGATGTCCTGGATGTCCTGGATGTCCTCCTATCGTCATTGAAAAGCCCAAATGCTGGCGGTATCAACTTTCCTTTGTCTTTTCTGGAGGAGGGCACCACAGCATCTGCAATCTGCTCGCTTCTGCTGGATGGAGCGGCCGTTGTAGAGCTAGACCCGGACTTGCCTTTGCCGAAAGGCGGAAATCTGCAGAACATTGTTCTTGACTTCTGTATGTTGATGGTTCTGCAGGTGGGCTAACAAGAAATGTTATATATACGACATAGTCGAACCGTGCTGAAAGCACATGCTGGCAGACAACGCTCACATCTACCTACATGCTTTTAGTGTTGTTCTGGTCGACAACCACGGGTCAACAAGATTCTTATAAACGTAGATGAGTAACTGGCATGTCACGCAGACAGTGACGTTTGTTTGACAGCAAACAGTTTGTACTCTTGGAGGAGAGTGTGTCGACTCACACAGATTTATTACTACAGGTATGTCATGCGCTTTGGCATAGCCATTCAATATCTCGATCGACACAGGTAGGTGATGTGATTAGAGCTTGCGTTCGAGAATCGTTAGATAGGCAACCCTAGTCCTCATAACAAACACTCTGCTTGGTAAGAACTCACGAATCAAACAGGAAGCTCTTGCGACATGTTCCCTCTAGGAGCAAGACATGAAAATCTTGAGAATATTCGAAAACGAGATCTACCTAATTGTACAAATTTGGTGTCCGAAATAAGCTCAATCTTTGGTACCCAAGTTGTCTCTCATAGTCCGAAAAAATTGCATTGTTACAACACGATCGACTCGACCAACTCGAAGAGTTCAACACGTTGAGCGTTCTTTGAGCATTGTCAGCCTTTCTTTGTGATACATGAATGGTACCTAGGTTATCATTCGTCTTCTTTGTCCTTACCGACATCTTAGACCCATCGTTCTTTGTTCTTCTCTTCAAAGTCCTTGTCTCAGTAAAGCTGGTTATGGGCATGAAACCCGTGGGAGTGCGAATCAGAATCATACATAACCACCCTCCAAATCCTAGAACTCATCTATTTTCATTCCTCACTCTTCACACACAACAACCAACCACCCTTTGCAGGTAAGTAAATTCCTCCCTATAGTTTGCTGACAAGTGCACAGAAAATCATGTCCGACGACTCAGACTTCATCGACGCTTTCAATGCCACCAATGGTTTCTCCATTGATCAGTTCACCGAGGTCGCCTACCTCCCTGAATCAATTGAGGTTCCCGGAAGTACCGACATTGTTAATAGTTTTACAGCCTCCCCTAGACACGATTGGAGCGAAGACTTGATTATGAGAAGTAGGGATAACACAGCTGACGAGCGTAAAGTCAATCAACAGGTCACTGAGAGCACTGAACACTCTGAGATTGCTGAGACTTCTCAGTCGGCTGCTGTCGACGATGATGAAATGGCACGTCTTCTTGGTGATTATCTTGCCACGCCGGCCCCTGGTCCAGTCATGGGTACATTCGATGGTCAGCCTATTGAGCTTACCGAGGAGAACAAAGCTTACATGGCTGATGCAGCTGCTCAGGCTGGGTTGTGGCTTACCGTCAAAGGCAAGCGCAACCAGCACTACATGACATTTGCGCCTCCTACTGATGGCATCAACCAGGTGTTCATCCCTAACACTCCTCCAGAGACTCCTCCAGAGACTCCTCCTCACGAGCCCAGTCCTGCACCAACCCCAATTGCTTCATCGACTCGCGACGCTGGCCATACTGGTGCTGGTATCCGCAAACGCCCTCACAAGTGCGCTCACTGTATGTCCACTTTCTCTAGCNGTACTGCCCATGTCCAGAAAATCCACGCTGACAAGTTGGCTAGCTCTGCCGCACCTGTCACTGACCAGACACATCAGAAGTCGAATGGTTTCTCTAGGTAAGTCATTCCCAAACATTTCGGTCCGCTAATTTTCTCTAGGTTATTGCAATGCACCGAGGCTTTTTCTCCTGCTTCCACACTACATCAAGGGGGGAGGTTTTTTCAGTCTTGGTCATGCTCTCTCTTTCTCTCCGTCTCTTTCTTTATTCCTTCAAAGCTTGAAAACACTTGAAAAACAAAAAGCAACAAAAAAGATATCATATCTTTTGACGGTTTGGGAGCATGCGATATCAATGAGGCGTTTTTTGAGTCAATTTTTTTACTGAAACCTTTGACTTGTTCTTACGTCTAGCTCTTGCGGTCAACCCCTGGTCTCGTTTTTGACAGGTCTTCCCTTTCGCACTTGACTGTGAAGAGGGAGACTGGATGTTTTGCTTGACTAGGTCGCGATTGAGCACTGATATCCTTTTTACATAGTATTTCTATTGAATACAGAATCCTTGTTCTATGATCTCTTTAGTCTCTTAGTAATGTGATATCGTGCGTCGGATAAATGTTAAAGCTTAGACACAGCATTCGTGATGGTGTCGTAGTTCAAATGTCTTCTCACAGAATTGTTCTATTCACATCACCTGGTTCCCTTCCTTGATCTGGATTGTTCTGTAGTGTATTCAACCGGCGGAGTTCGGTCGAGACTGCTTTGTGTAGATCGCTGCAGGCGCCCATTGGTTCGAATTCACTGTCAAGTGCTTGGCGGCTGAGACTTCCTCCTGGAATTCTGGTGCAAGAACCACCATCAACCAACCTCTTCTCAATGCATGTTCACGATGCCTGTCTGCACCCCTCAATCATAACCGTACCCCGCAATGATCGGCCAAACATCACCAGCAGACACATTCAGCCAAAATGTATGCCTCGTTGAAGCTCGATATCACCTTTTGCATCAGCAAGGGTTTAGGCTTGGGCTCTTTCCTCGTGTTCAACCATGCGGGGGTTGCATATATGACATCGATTCCGACTGCAAGATGCATGGAGCAAGGTTTTCCATGTGTAAGAAAGGTAGGTCGTGTCCAAGCTGTATGCGAAGATCTATTCTTCATACCTGCAAGAGGCTTTAGCCGGCCATGTAGTATTGTACTCTCTGGAAACAGCTTCCTCATCCTTGAAGACTATATAAGAATGCCAGGAACCAGATTTTATCGCACCATCTTTGCCGTTGATCTCGACTCTAAAGATCCTTGGTAAAATGAGGTTTTCCAGCGGCACCATTGCAGGCATTGGCCTCGCAGTGCTTCCGTTGATCACATCAGTCCTTGGTGCCTCAAACTCTACATGTCCGCCTACAATCAACTATACCGCCGACTTTGACTATGCGGAGTGTCGTCAAGACAGCTACTACGGTCGCATCCTCGGCAGAGAACGCAAAGCGATTTTCCGTGACACCAATACACCCCAATACTGTGCTGACTACTGTGGCCGATCTGGTTACCCATGGGCAGGAGTTGAATTTGGAAGGTGAGTCTTTCTATCATGTTTTCGAAGCTGACCCTTGACTGAATCATGAAAANGCCAATGCTTCTGTGGTGGCCAGCCTGATGGCGGAGCAGTGACCGGCAATGTCAACTGCTCGACTTACGCTTGTTCTGGAGACCCGTCTCAGAAATGCGGTGGTCAATACTTCTTGCAGCTGTACAAGGTCAACAATCCGCTTCCAGTCGAGAAGGTCGATGGAGACGTCAAGCGTCAACCTCTCTGCCATACAAGCCCCTTGTGCGAGCACACAGTCTGTGATACATCGCTACCCATCGCAGACAGAATTGCATCGCTGTTGGCAGATATGACACTGGAAGAAAAGACCGCCAATGTTGTCAATGCTGCAGATGGCGTGGGCCGTCTTGGTCTGCCAGGCTACGACTGGTGGAATGAAGCTCTGCATGGTCTGGCTCAGGCTCCCGGAGTCAAGTTCAACAGTCCCAATGGCTCGGCTTTCAGCTATGCTACTTCCTTCCCCATGGCCATTACGACTGGCTCTGCATTTGATGATCCTCTTATCGGACAGATTGCCGACGTTATCGGGAGAGAAACTCGAGCCTTTGCGAACTTCGAGCAGTGTGGCTTTGATTTTTGGACACGTGAGTCGCTGCATCAAGAGTGCGAGTAACCTGCTAACCGACCATGCATAGCCAACATTAACACCTTCCTCGATCCTCGCTGGGGTCGTGGGCAAGAGACGCCTAGTGAAGATGCGTTCCATACTCAGCAGTACACAAAGCAGCTCATTCCGGGTCTCCAAGGCGGTCTGGACCATCCTGAAGAGAAACAGATAATTGCTACGTGCAAACATTTCAACCTCTACTACGCAGAAACCAACAGGTGAGTCTGTCGACGTCATTATATCGCAGTATTTCTAACCATCTCTACANGATACGGAGAGAACTACAATGCTACCGTACAAGACCTGGCCGAATACTTCAACCCGCCATTCAAATCTTGCGTCCGAGATGTTGCTGTTGGATCTGTCATGTGTGCATACGTAAGTCATCGGAAGAACCTAATCTGAACCCTGGGACTAATGGTATCTGTAGNNACTGCCACCTACGGTGTCCCTAGTTGTGCGAGTGAATACTTCTTGCAAGACACTTTGCGCGAAGACTGGAGCTTCGACGAACCCTACAAGTATGTCGTCGCCGATTGCGGTGCTGTGGAATACATCCACACCGTCCACAACTTCACCGACACACCTGCTGAAGGTGCGGCTGTTGCTCTGAACGCTGGTACTGACCTGGACTGTGGCTTGACTTTTGAGACATACTTGAACATATCGGTGATCAACAACTACACTACAGAAGCACGTTTGAACCAAGCCTTGACTCGTCTTTACACTGGACTTCACACTGTTGGATACTTCGATGGCCAGAACCGTTATGCATCATTGTCTTGGGGCGATGTTGACACCGAAGATGCTCGAGCTCTTGCTTACAAATCAGCTTGGGAGGGCATGGTTCTGCTCAAGAATGATGGTCTATTGCCTCTCTCACCTAGGTATCAGAAGGTGGCACTTGTTGGACCATATGCAAATGCCTCCAGTCAGATGCAAGGTATCTATGCTGGCCAAGCACCATACATTATCACACCTCTGCAAGCGGCCGAAGCCAACTGGGACAACGTCCAGTACGCGTTCGGAACAGGTGTTAATGGGAGTAACACAACTTTCTTCTCAGCAGCACTAGACGCCGCGAGATCAGCTGACCTCATCATCTACATGGGTGGTATTGATAGCACCATTGAGCAAGAGACCCAGGATCGCAAATCCATCACATGGCCTGGCAACCAACTTGATCTCGTACAACAATTGAGCGAGCTTGGCAAGCCTCTTGCTATTGTTCAGTTTGGTGGAGGTCAAGTTGATGATAGCGCGCTACTTGCCAACAACAAAGTCAATGCTCTCCTCTGGGCAGGTTACCCGAGTCAGGAAGGTGGTAACGCCGTTGTCGATATTTTGCTTGGTAGACAAGCACCTGCTGGACGCTTGACTACGACTCAATATGCCGCCGACTACATCAACGAAGTCAGCATCTTCAATCCAGACCTACGTCCTAATGGAAGCTACCCCGGTCGCACCTACAAATGGTTCACAGGCAAGCCAGTCCTACCTTTCGGATTCGGACTCTCATACACGAAGTTCGATCTGTCGTGGTGTGGTAAACCTCTCAAGCAGTCTTATAACATCAAAAGCCTGTTCAACAAGCGTCAGCACCACGGTTCCAAACCTACTCCTCTCGACATCATGCCATTTGTCACACTGTCTACAACCGTCTCGAACAAAGGCAACCACACTTCAGACTTCTCTGCCCTCCTCTTCCTCTCAACTTCCAACTCCGGCCCTGCCCCCTACCCCAACAAGTGGCTCGCCTCCTACGCTCGTGCCCACGGCGTTGCCCCTGGAAAGTCTCAGACAGTCAATTTGGATATCTCCATTGGTTCGCTGGCCCGAGCTGATCAGAATGGAGACTTGACTGTCTACCCAGGTAACTACAAGTTGGCGATTGACAATGATGAGCTTCTGACAGCAGAGTTTGAGCTTGTTGGCGAGCCGGTCATTGTTGATCGGTTGACTAGGCAGGGCGTTTATGAGTATACTGTTCCAGTACACTACAATGCTAGTGCGAATCTGGTGTAGGAGTTTGATTTTTACGAGTCTTTGATTTTGTTCTTAGTCAGGCAAGAACGATCAAAGTTATGATCTATCGTCACTCCCAAAGTGAGAGCTTTAGGGTCTGGATGTGAACAGTATGTGAAAAGCGAAATGCGCCTTCCGCAAGTATCTAATTTAACATCTGATGGACCGATGATGATTGATGGATGTATCAAATTTTGATCAGGTCGTGATTACCATTGTTGATATATCTGTTCTACTGACTTTATCGCTACGATGCAACAACCTTGTACTTTGCAAGGATGGCATCATATTGCTGCTGATTCACAGCCAGCACCTTTCCATGCTTGATATCCTTGGGGAAACCGCTCATATCGTCAGGAACCCAAGCACTCATATCATCCAAAGTGTTCGCCGTAGCTGGAATATAAGTCTGCAAATCATTCTCGTCGATCCAGAGATGGAATTTGCCAGCATCCAAGTTGTCTCTGAAGATCAATGGACCCTCATTGTTTGAGTATTGGGACGCGAACGTCACGCGGACATCGTCAGCAGCACCACCCACATTGACCCAGTCGCCAAGGATACCGTTCTCAGAGCGTTGTTGGTAGATTGTATAGTCGACTTCTGACTTGATCCAGCGGTACCAGACATTGGGTCCTTGGTCGGGNGTTGCGATGAATGTAGCATCGATGACGGGATAGCCAGGGTAGAAGTATAGCTGTGCTTCCGAGAATGTCACAAAGTCGGCGGTGGTGACGTACATAAGTTTGTTGGGAGGCTGAGGACCAGTGCGATCAGGGTCGGCATCAGACCAGAAGCGAGAAGCGAAGATGACGATGTATGCGTCAATGAGAGGTTCCCAGTATGCTTCAGGTGCCCAAGCATTTCCAGCGGTTGAGTTGACAAGGTCAGGAGTAAGACGAGCCTCACCCCAAGTGGCCAAGTCTTCGGACTCCCAGATCACTAGTTGCCTTGATCCGAATCTTGTGGCTGCGTTGAAGTCGTTGGTGAAGTTGTTGGCGAGCAAATCGGTTGCGATAAGCCAGAATTTGCTTCCATCTTGGGAAGGCACGATGAAGGAGTCTCTAACGCCTTTGGTGCCAACATCACTGCGGAGAATAGCTTGCGTTTCCGGAGTGCCATTCAAGGAAAGAGCTTGATAAGACAGAGGGTCGTTGCCATTGGAAAGGTGCATGTAAATTGCTTCATCGTCGACAGGGAAGGAAGTAAAAAAATATCCAACTTTGGTGTCGCGCTTCGTCGGCATGGCTGCAGTTGAACCGATGGCAGTCAAAGCCAGCAGAGATTGGAAAACTTTTGAGAGAATCATATTATCGAGTCCGCTTAGGGTTATATCTGGAGACAATGAAGGATTAGATAGGGGAACAGGCTGATGGTTTTTATATCAACCGATCGTCGCGATAATTCCTCCATCATCTTCTGTCAGTGTTTCTCATGACGGTATGGAAAGCATGCTCGCTTCTTCCTGAATTTCGACAAGCCCGAGCCAAGAGGATATGTCTTGGTATTCGGTGCAACAACCGCGACGATGTCATGTTTCTTCAGCGATGGAGTCGCATTTGAAGTGGCTAGTATGCACGACATACGAGGTGATCGGCTTTCAGCCTGAACTCCTCCACCTTGCGAATTGCCGTGTAGCAGATCCTTCTGCTTCGGGCAGCTCGCACATAGCCCCACGGGGCAGTTGTAACTTGTGGGGTTCATACAGGAGAAGACCAACTTGTAAACGACTTGGCAAAAGGATACTGACGCGATGATGGGCAAGACGTTGTCGCTGGACTGACATACAGTGTGGAAGATTGCCGAAGAACCTGATGAGGGTGAAGTCATCAGGGTGCAGACTGAATGAAAGTGGGCTCTCTCCCAGCTCAGTTCGAGTCTTGACAGACTACTGAACGCATACCGTTGACACAAGAGGTGGAAATAGGGATGGAAATACGAGATCCGTTCTAGCCACCTGGAACAGACACAAGTGAGTCGACTCGATTGACATCTTTTGAGCAAGGCAGCATCAGTGCACGATGTTACTCAAAAAGCAAAAACAGCAAATTGTTTTAAGCGTCATATTTTACAAATTTTCAACATCAAGCACATACGGCCACAGTCAGCTGAAAACTGGGCATCCCGTCCGCTCTGCCATACATAAGCAGTTGAACGGCAGATTAGTACTACGGTGGGTGACCACGTGGGAATCCCTGCTGCTGTATGTTTTGTTTTTGACTCACGACTCTGGATTCTGTTTCCTCGTCGACTCTCGGACGGTGTTCACTGCTACATCTGGAGTGATCCAGGAAGAGAAAGGCAGTTCGCTATTTTGGAAAACCATTGAAGGTCGAATACCATGTACCGATAATTACGGGCATCACTAGACACTGTGCTCATCCTTCTTATATGCCCCTCTTTTCACACTCTTCGTCGTATGCTTTCACGTCTCGCATCTTCTTTTCTACAATCTCGACCATCCTCTTTTGCTCTTCCTCATCAAGAATCTCATCTTCCTCTTGAAAAATTGCGCCCCAGTAGACATCGTCTACATCCATGCTCTTCCTGATCCCATAATCGAACCAAAAGCGACCGTTTCCCCAAGACTGCCGCATACGACTCGACATCTCGAGTCCTTCTAGTCGCAATCTTTGTTCCACCCTCTCCAAAGCGCAAAGGAATTGTTGCAATCGTGATTTATATCTCACAAGAAACTCCTTCATGCTAAAGTGTTCCAACCACATGTCCGGTCCTTTTAGGATAAGCCACCATGGTGGGTCGTAAGAAAACTGTGCCGGCATCGCATGCGTGAATTCCCAATCCAGTATTCCTTTTATCTCAAAGGTTTCCGGGTCGGCGAGTATGTTGGATGGCCGCAAGTCATCGCAAAAGAGCTTGAAAGGACCAGTGTCATCGGAGCAGTATTTTGGGATGAGTTGGCGGAATCGGTGGCGTGCGATGAATCTTCTTTTGGCATCTTCTGCGTCCTTTGCCAAGTTGCGTTGTATGCTGTAGTGGATGAGGTTCTCATCAGATTGGTATTCGAGAAAGTCTTTGACGGTTTTGAATACTGTGTTGGGGAAAGCGTCAGTGGGATAATCGGAGACCGTGACGGCCATTTCGTTCATGTTGTATGTAAACAGTCGTTCGGTTGCAACCCATTCTTTCGTGTTTGGGTCCTTTGTTATAGACCCAATGGAGTCAAAATCCAGCCGGGAAAGTTCGAGCATGATTTCCGCCAATTGTTCGTAAACGTAGTCCAACTTGGCTTCGTCTAAATCGTCGCTTAGAATGACATGGTCATGTTCAGACTGTACCGGTTGTTTCAAGAGCGTGGAAAGTGAAGTGCCATCAACACGATCCATAATCATGAAAGGGCCAAGACCACTAGGACTCTCGTCCGTCAAGCCCCAGCTAGTTACGTGAGGTACAGGGATGCTTGTCTCTTCGCTCAAATATTGCAAGACTCGGACTTCATTCTTGACCTTTTCCTCCCTTCGACCGGTACATGTGTGGCCTGGTTTTGGGAAACGAATGATGGCATCAGGGCCTCCGTCGTCGAAGTGAACGCAAATGCAAAAATTAAAAGATCCAGCCAGATACCCAACAAACTCTTCCTTCGGACATCCTGGCCGGCGATTTGATACAAAAGCCACGATGTCCTCTTTCGCGTGAAGGACTTGATACGACCAATCTCTACATGTATCGTCGGCCTGGACCTGCGCTAGTTCATCAAACGCGGTCTTTGGTATATGTTCAGGCGGCCCCAGTGTATTGGAGAAGAAACTTAGGAAGTGAGAGCGATGTTAGTAAAGAGGGCGGGTTATGTGGTGCGTAGCTACCCAACAAGACTGCATTATCGTCAGTGCAGATCAGGGGGGATAGACAAGACGAATGACGTTCCAGAGAATGTGGCGGCGCGCAAGCCAAGGTAAATAAATGCCTGCTGTGCAACATTGATGCTGGACCTCTCAAACGAAGCTGAAGGCTTTGCACCCGCAGACCATCATGTTCTTGAATCTGGTAATGCCATGACACACCTTCCTCGTTGACTTTTTCCTTATCGAATTCAAGCTAATCCAACACGTCTCGTCACTAACTTGCCTCACTGATGAAGAGGTTATGTTTCCAGCAAGCAGCAAGATTACCATTCCACTTCCACCGACAATAAAGGGATGTGTATAATAAAAGTTTCCGCTAGATTTCCGTCTTGCGCGTAACGATGTCAAAGCTTTTCCGACAATCATCGGATACCACAAGCCAGTTAGGGCTTCGGGCTCCTTTACGCCGAGAGCTAAGATACTTGGCGAAAGGTCTCCAACTCAAATACTTAGCGATGTCTCGCTTTTTCACGTGCCTATGAGCCGTTGATGCGGAACAAGCACCTCCGGTCCACTCTTGGAATATACGCAAGAAAAAGGGAATGATGTGATCGGGATGATTTATGTTGGCTGATCTATCGCGTCCAATGGATGCATGCTGGCACGCGAGATTCTTGTTTACGAGTAGATGGTCCCCATTGCTGGATTTTTGGGATGCTAGCCTTTTTTCGGCGTAAGACCGAGTACTCCTTCGAGGGATCGGGAACCGAGTTGTATGTTCTTCAATTTTGGATGAATTCGAAGCACAAGTGCCAATGCAGGGACTCGGAGCGACGAGGTGTTTGTCACATGAGCTCTCTTGTGGTATTATGGCCTTTTGGAAATTCAGCATCGAATGTGATGGATAGTGAGTATCTCGTTCGCAGGAGCTTCAACTGGTTCAAGCCAGAAGAGCGCTCGTAGGCTTTAGTCCGGCAGGCCTATCTCTCTTGGGCGTATTGAGGATGTCGACTTCTTCGGATCGATGTTATCCTCAGTCTGCGCATTTTGTTCCTCCATGATGTCCCACTTCCAGGCTGAATTACAGGGCACTCGTAAGAGGGATGAAGACCCTTTGCAGTGCTGTTGGCGAAGTCCGTTCTGATTCTGGTGTCGAGTTCGCGATGCCACTCGAACGTGGAGTCGACGATTGAGACAGCTCAATCGAGTGCCCATAGAGTGGTCGAGCATGCCTTCAAGATGCATTGTGATCCTCCTCATACAAATCCAGTGTAGAAACTGGCGTTCAGGCCTTTAAGCTCTGGAATCTGGAAACCAAGGGGATTGTCATCCGGCTGTTCTGCATCTTGCACTGCAAGGAATTGTTGGCCGAACACAAGGGCAACGTTGCTGTTGGGATATTCGGTGTCAAGGGCACTTCTGGCAGACTCTGGCGTAAAGTCTCCTGCAACAAGGACGGGCGAAGCCTGGGCCCAGAGTGCCAGAAAAGGCTTGATGCCTTCGTGTTTGTCGCATTCGAGGTTGGTGATTGTATAGGACTTGATGATGTGGACGTAGGCTAACTGTAGCTCCTTGAGCTTTCGAGTGAGAGACGCGAACTCGGGCGCGAGGCTGGACATGCGGAAAGCGCTAGAGGGATTCATGCGAAAACCGACACGGTCAGCACCTATGGCGTCTGCGATGGCAATTGTTACTTCGAGAGCAAATCTAACGCGGCTCTCGACATGGCCGCCATATCTGTCTAGGTGTCTGTGCAATGATTGGTAGATGAAGTACCCATTGGCGCCTACCTCAACACCATCAAAGCCTGCTGCCACTGCGTTCTTTGCCGCTTTGACGAATGCTCTGGTTGTTGACTTGATCTCTTCTTCGTTCAAGGCATGGGCGTGAGACTCGGAAGGTGAATCAGATCTCTCGATGGATGTTGCGTCGCTTGGTCCGCTGGGCTGTCGGCCTCTTGTATACGTCGATAAAGCTGCATCCGCCAGTGGCTCGAGAGAGTCTATCGAAAGAAAGATGTGCGCCCCCTTGGCGTGCACAGCGTTGGTAACCTCTTTCCACCGGGAGATTTGGGCACACGTCCAGATCCCAGGGGTATGCTTACCGCCACCAAGCTCCAGGGACACAACAGTAGCTTCGGCGATGACGAGACCACCTTCGGAGGCGCGTTGGGCATAATGTTCTACCGCTAACGGCGGTCGGACGTGATCTTCGTCTGTGAAGAGTCTTGTAACAGGGGCCATGATAATCCGATGCTTGAGCTCGATTCTGCCGAGGTTGAGAGGCCGAAAGAGATTTGGGGACGACATGTTTGCGTGTGTCAGGTCGGCAGGTTCATGTATGCTGGTGTTCGTTGCATGCGGGAGCTGAGTCGACTTTCAAAAGTTTCTGCCTGCGACTCGAACTTGGATAACCAGAGCGAAGAAACATAAGGTGATACAAAGGTTGTATATCGAGGAAGCTTCGGTAGCAGTCGACAGATGGTCTTACTACGTTGGCAGGAAAGACCCTCAAACGACGGCTTCGCACGCATTGGATTCATGCCAGGCATATCGTGATGCCATAAGCAACGCGCGCGCGAAATTTCCCAACTCAGAAATAGGCAGGGCTGAGACCCATCGGATTGTCGATTCGCGCTAGACTCTGGAGATTCGGGGTCTCATTCAACCTTCGGAAGATGAATTTCTCCAATCGGCCAAGTTCCCGCCAGAACTTCCACCAACCAGAAGTGTTACATGCAACTACAATCCAATGCGCAGTCCTGCTGAATGGTACAAGCAAGTTAATAGTACATCGAGACTCAATTAGCAGTGAGAAATTCTCGACTTGAACGAGCATAAGATGGCCCTGAACCCTTAGATCGGACCAAGATGCTATGGTTCACATATATCTTCAGCCATACGTGACCATGACGAGCCTTAATTGTGGTGTGCTTCCGTGGTAGATGTTACTCTGGCGTATTATACCTCGCTACCTGTACCCCTAGTGATGGGTATTGCTCGGGCGTTGCTTGCAGTAGAGAACCGTCCGTGATCGGCAAAAAGTCTGTCGACGAGTCACTTACCGCCTGTGTACCTATGCTTCTTGCCAGCCCAGGCCGATCAAGGAGGAGAACGCTCAACGGAGTCTGATAGTCTGCTCCGAAAGGGCGACTTTGGTCCGAATGGCTCGTGCTTGGAGGAGAGGCACGCTCAACATGAACTTTCTTGCAGATGCACGACGTTTCCAAGGCGGGTCTTACCTCCTTGGATCGCGGGAGTTGCGGGTAGTCAAATCCCGAAGCCCTAATCTTGTGAACCTAACGTCGACACAAACGTCTCGCCACGAGGCCCGGAGCCGCGTGCGAAATTCAATCTCAAGTTGCACTGTAATGTTACTTCGATGTTGTCTGGAGTTAGGGGGCTCAGGCGGTAAAACCGAGCTTCATCGAAGCGTTTAGATGAAGAATACCGAGTCATCAAATTGATCACAGCGACGAGGATGGCGGTTCATCTTGAACCATGCCTAGAGCACATGTGTCGAACTAGCGATGACATGAAGCTCAACAACTTTGCCGACATCAGAAAGCAATTGCAGTGCTTGTAGTCACTGCCGACCAGTCATGCACACGAGTGTGCTGAGGAAGAATTGTATTATAAGGAATGGTCCAGAATCAGAATCCGAGCGGGATTATCCGGTGGAGGTCGATGCAGATAGATCCAAGCCGGAGCGAGATAATTGCATTCGCTACACGAATAGGTACCGGACAAGGCGTGAGATCTCTGGGTCCAACGGTTGATGAGATCAGTCTGTTCGAGTCGTGTTCAGTCTGAAACGTGACTGCGCGAGTGCGGCGTCTGACGGATGGCGGAAAAATCATGCTGCGCCAGCATGAGTTGAAGACAAGTGCGCTTCCGAATTTTCGTAGGGCGGATTTGTTTTGCTCGGCGGATTTTTGTCCGAGGCCCTTAACGGCAGTCACGTCGCGAGATGCAGCTGTCCTCCAGGTTGGCAAGAGCTGCTTGGAATCTCGACCGAGGAGTTGTTGCCTGTTGGAGAGCAGAAACCAAAGCTCGATGAGCAAATTGAGGGACGGTTGGTCATATATGAACGCGCTCGCTCATTTAGCCGGACACGGTCGTCCTCGGTCGTGTTCATTCGGACAAATCCCGTGGAAGTCACATCCCATGGAATGTCTGGGCGACCAAAAGTCTGTCTCAAGCCGGATTTCAGGTTCACAGCCTCAGACAAGCGGTACAGTGGACCAACAAGGATTGCATGGTCCGAACATTTTTATCGCATTCTGGATGGTTACCAAATCCTGCAAAAGACATACACATATTTGAGAACAAATCGGAATTGGCAACAGTTCCTTCTGTTGACTTCGTGCCAACTGTTGGTAACACAGGCACATTATATATGATAACATATGTGGTTCCAATATATCATACCCAAACCCAGTCCGACGAACTACGGCCAAGAAAACGTTAGTGCTTGCCCTATGATGCGAGTCGCACGACCAGTCATCCAGCTAATGCAGCTGACGTCTCTAAAGAAGAGGCGATGCAGGCTGTGTCTGGTTCGGATCCAACAGATTCTGATACAAGTTAGAGGACTGGACCTGATGACTCCATCGACCCCAAGGTCGGTCTGAAGTGCCAGCCATCGTTGTCCAAGACTGCACACTTTGTTGAGTTGTCAGGAAGGTCAGTCCCCGTTGATTGTCGTTTGGGTACGCGTTCTGAATAGCCATGGCTGTCGTCTGGATACCTGCATTGGTCTGCGTGTATACAGCTTGCATGACAGCGAGTTCAATGCTAGACGCTACAGTGGTAAAGCCGTGGTTTTTCATCAACACTACTGCATAATCGGCTTCAGTCTGTGTTGCATTCGGCAAGGTGTGGTTCGAAGAGAATTCGGCTGCAAGCGCTGCTCCGAGACGTTGTGAGCGGACAAGGAGATCCTGATTGTCACCTGGCTCGTAGTACTGCGTGATGTTGAAATTCGGAACAACCTCGCCTAGNTCACAAAGAATGAGTGGAGCATTGCTAAGGATGATTTTGTGCATACCTAAGAACCCGGCCATATGGATGGATGGGCGTAAAGGNACACCGCTGAAGGTGAATGGGACAACCTGCGGTGAATGGCTATGAACGACACTGTTGATGCTAGGAAAGCGCTTGTACAGTTCGCTGTGAATATATCGCTCAATAAATCCTTTAGGAGCATTCAAGTCGACTGGAGCAGCATCGTCGACGTAGTACTCGACCAGGTCGCTGGCGTTAGCAACCAGAGCAGGAGCAAGGTTACGAGACATGAAGAAGTTCGAGCCATTGTTTGGATTGCGGACAGACACATGACCATATGCATCTAGGACGCCATTGTAGTCGAGGATATGGAGTCCGGTGATCAAAGTATTGAAGAGGGTGGTGAGATTAGCTGCAACCATTTCTGCGGCAGACCAAGACAGCGGGGGTTGTGGTTTGTGAGGAGATGAATCAGCCATGGTGCGAGGCTGCGAGTTTTCTTCCTATCCAAAGTGACGAGGTTTGTATACATGCAGGAAATCGCAGGAGGTATGTCAGTGATCACTTTGTCGTTATGCAATGACGAGGTTGATCGACTGGATGATGACCTCGGATGCTTTGTGGGGAAGCGGCTCGAAGGGGAACTGCGCGCTGCCACCCTGACCCTCGCAGCATGGATCTGTGAAAACGCATCTTGGTACCATCCGCATACTTGAAATCATCATTTTGGGAGAATCGGGATCGTGGTAGATAATGAGAACTATTGGGGCCGGAAGGGATGGAGGAAGGACTTCCTCAATCGAGGCAGAAAACAAGCGCAACCATCACCAATGTCCTGGGAGAATATCGTCCCTATACAGTTAGAATGGCTTTACTTGTCGAAGATTCCTTCAGGTCGACTACATAGCCTTGTTGTTGGGGTCTCCTGCAGTGTTGCATTACAGAACAGAATACAAACCTACTCAAGATAGGGCTTACTATCGTGCAAGGCAAAGGCTCGTCGAGGCGTTCACCTTACAGAAAGACGCGGACTGGCTGAGCTGGAAGCGCCAAAGTGTAGACTTGCACCTCCCACAAGACTCAACCACCTTCAACAGAGACGGAGAATAATGACTGCGATGCCGAGGCATGGCTTGTGTCGAAATGAGGCTTCTCTGAAAGCTTCGCGAAAACTTCCCCTCGTTCTGCTCCATTCATCCCGCATTTTCCGGCAGCCCAAATTCTTGCCGAACCTTGGCTCGTTCACGCCCAAGTCAAGCGTACATGAAACCCAATCTTTCACCGTCATTCAGCCTCTGTTCGCGACCAATATGACAGCGAGCACCACTCTTCTTTTCAAATACAGACACCATCGATTCTGAATGTGAACGTGAACATGAACGACGGCGTAGACGCCCCGCAACGATCTACAGCCGTCATGCAGAGCTCGGCCTCCTATCTTCAAACCTTCGCGGGATCTCTACTGTACGCCATAGAGATCAACAAGCGAGTTCAATTCATTCACCCGTTTGAATACTCCGAGCACAGAGACATTTTGCAAGGCAACGGATAATTAATGTGAGCTAAATGAGTGTCATGTTGTTAGTGATATGCATTCTAATATACGTTTATGGTCAGCGAGCGGGGATGATCTCTGGCGAAACCCTCGGAATCTGTTCCCGTGACGAGCAACGATGGAACTGAGATGCTCCGAAAGCGCTGCCGCTACGTAAGCAACTCGTACAATGCCGTGGAACTGCTATCTGGTTTATGTCGGCGATGGACTGGGCACTTTTCTACTAACTAATGCTACGTATATGCTATTGAGTCCATGATGGATGCTCAGTGAGTGGCGTCTAATATGACCCCAGAAGGATCACAAGGCTTGACTGCGGCCCGAGGGACATGGAAAAACGTGTGGGCGTGTGGGGAAGACGATTGCCTGTTCCTGGGTCCTGAAACTCTTCGACAATCACCCGCCTGCATAGAAACCAGACGCTGCACATCGCCTAAGCAGATGGTCTCGACTGTCGCAGGCTAGCCCTGACCCCCACCGGCAGATTTGTATGGGGGACAGCGGAGTGCTTGCAACCGTTCGTGGTGAGTACGGCTAGCGATACTTCGACATCTGGCTTAATGTGATCATGGGATCAGCAAAAGCTTCCACTGCGATGGACAACGGCAGGCACAATCATCCTGTTGATCCGTCGGAGCACGGTAGATATCAGAGTGAGCCCGTATGCATTGATGTTTGTATGCATACTTATATAACCACAGCCTGGACATAAATAGAAAGAACATGGCCGCCTTTCTGTCAATCATCAACTCCTCTTATACTCCAACTTACCAACATATTCTCGCACACAACTCGCCTATCACTTAAACATGCGTTCAAAGACAAACATCGCCCTCGGCCTGGCTGCCACTGGATCGTTGGTCGCCGCTGCTCCCTGCGATATCTACAAGAATGGAGGTACTCCTTGCGTAGCTGCTCACGGCACTACTCGCGCATTGTATGATGCCTACACAGGCCCTCTTTACCAGCTCAAGAGAGGTTCTGATGGTTCTACCACCGACATTACACCATTGTCTGCTGGTGGAGTGGCCAATGCTGCTGCTCAAGATTCTTTCTGCAAAGGCACTACCTGCCTTATTAGCATCATCTATGATCAATCTGGCCGTGCAAACCATCTTTACCAGGCTCCCAAGGGCGCCTTCAGCGGACCAGATGTCAATGGAAACGACAACCTGGCAGGTGCTATTGGAGCCCCAGTAACGCTAGGTGGCAAGAAGGCATATGGTGTGTTCGTCTCGCCCGGCACTGGATACAGAAACGACGAGGTTAGTGGCACAGCCACTGGCAACCAACCCGAGGGCATGTACGCCGTCCTCGATGGAACTCATTACAACGACGCTTGCTGCTTCGACTACGGAAATGCCGAGACGAGCAATACTGACACTGGCAACGGACACATGGAAGCCGTCTACTATGGCAACAACACAGTTTGGGGCAGTGGCTCTGGCAGCGGCCCTTGGCTCATGGCCGACCTTGAGAACGGCCTCTTCTCTGGTCAGGGTACCAAGCAAAACCCTGCCGACCCTTCGATCTCCAGCAGATTCTTCACTGGAATGGTCAAGGGAGAGCCTAACCAGTGGGCGCTTCGTGGTGGCAATGCCGCATCTGGTTCTTTGTCGACTTACTACAGTGGCGCCCGCCCCACGGTTGGTGGCTACAACCCCATGAGCCTCGAGGGCGCCATCATTCTTGGTATTGGTGGTGACAACAGTAATGGTGCTCAGGGCACTTTCTACGAGGGAGTCATGACCTCGGGCTACCCATCTGACGCCACTGAAGCCTCGGTACAGGCCAACATCGTGGCTGCCGGCTATGCCACCACATCATTGAACACAAAGCCTCTGACGGTGGGCAACAAGATTTCCATCAAGGTGACGACGCCCGGCTATGACACGCGCTATCTCGCGCACAGCGGAGCTACTGTCAACACACAAGTCGTCTCGTCATCAAGTGCCACTTCTCTCAAGCAGCAAGCCAGCTGGACTGTCCGTACCGGCCTCGGTAACAGCGGCTGCTACTCGTTCGAGTCTGTCGACACACCCGGAAGCTTCATCAGACACTACAACTTTGCACTCCAGCTCAACGCCAACGACAACACCAAGGCCTTCAAGGAAGATGCGACTTTCTGCTCGCAGACCGGACTGGTGACGGGCAACACTTTCAACTCGTGGAGCTACCCTGCCAAGTTCCTCCGCCACTACAACAATGTCGGATACATCGCCAACAACGGAGGCGTTCACGATTTCGACTCTGCTACTGGCTTCAACAACGACGTCAGCTTTGTCGTTGGCACCAGCTTTGCTTAGATATCAAAAGTTGAGATGAGGATGATGGAATTTCATGATGAAGGTGGAGTTTGTAGTTTTGTGTTTTAGCCATAGCATTTGGAATATATGAAATGTTTGTCTCATTCGTGTGCTGTTCTTTCCTTAGAGGAGGCTCTTATCGGACGATAGGGCTGTTTCGGCAGTCGGCTCGGACCCTGTGCCCGTCGTCATTGGCTTTTGCAAGAGGAGATGCGGGACTCGAGACTTTGATCTTGTCTTGTCTCTTGCACAACCTGAGCACACGATCCACTATCAATCGAATTCTACACGTCTACCAACGCCGCTTGTTCGTCTTCTCAGCGTCCGCCTCGCACCAACACGTCGCCCCGTTGTGTACATTCACGCCGCCAGAAACGCCACCATCTCTCAGAAACACCCCTCGTCCATCTCGCAACGCACATCATGTCGACCTCATCACCAGTACCGCGTTTCGGCTCGCCCGGCGGTACGTCTAGCTCAGCGCTCCTTCTCGGCCGCCAGTTCAAGCAAATGCAAAGCGACAAGGACATTCCCGGCATCAGCTGCGGCCTGGTCAACAACAGCGTCTTTGAGTGGGAGGTCATGCTCATGCTGCCCGACGAAAGCGGCGGTCTCTACGGCGGTGGCTGTTTCAGAAGCTTGCTGCACTTTCCCTCAGAGTACCCACACATGCCGCCCAAGATGAAGTTTGTCACGCCCATCTGGCACCCGAACAGTGAGTCGCATACACCAAGTCTGTCTTGATCCTGTCCTCCTCGCTGATCGTCTTGCAACANNGTCTACGAGAGCGGCGAGGTCTGCATCTCCATCCTGCATCCTCCGGAAGAGGACAAGTACGGCTACGAATCCGCCGCCGAACGCTGGTCGCCCGTCCAAACCCCCGAGACCATCCTGCTCTCTGTCATCAGCATGCTCTCATCACCCAACGACGAATCTCCCGCAAACATCGAGGCCGGCAAACAGTGGCGCGAGGATCCGGCTGCTTTTAAGAAGAAGGTCAGAAAGTGCGTCAGAGACTCTCAAGAAAGTGCTTGGGATTAGTCTATGCCATACCCTCTCTGTCGATTAACAAGGCGTACATTGTGAGCCTGGCGCTCAACGGGACTTTTTCTGTTCATGTCTTTTCTTCCTTGTCCTTGTCCTTTGTCTTCCTACACCTGCATCACGCCGTTATCGACAGTTACTCAAAGGTTGTCTTCGGCTCCCCGGTGCTGAAATCAGGCAACATGTGAAGCTGTCACAACGTGATGGCTCATATCACTTGTCATGGCTTTGATGCAGACAAAGCTCATGATTCCCACAGGTCAACTATCTCTCTGCCGAAGAGCCAAACACTACCTTCAACACCTGAGCAGTGATGTTCTTGACTGAGTGCAGTGTTACCACTGGCAAGCAGTATGCCCACGACTCTAGGTCCGAATTCGTTAGTTCTACTATGTCAAGTTGGCAGATGCACAGTGACAGGGTCACCTCATTTGTTGAATGTATCACCCTGGTCTTGCATCTCCTAAAGCACATCTCTAAGAACAACGTTGATTCTACATGGATTTTTTCATATGATAGAGCTTTTTCACTTGCTCTCTAATAGCTGTCATGTCTTGTGCAATCAAAACCTTGGAACTGAGGAATATCTTGGATTGACGACTGTGGGTTTATTTTGACGCTTAGCTCTTCCACGCGACCTTGACACTTGAAGCAAACACCATTCTCCAAATATTTTCAAAGTAGACATGAAAAGCACAATATACACCTTGAGCAACACGATCATCCATTCCAGCCATCTAACCAAAAGCCATCAGTCTCGACCTTACCTCGCAGGAGTTTTCACGAATCAAGAAACCAACACGCCAAAAACCATCAAGGTCCGGAGCTTCGGAGACGGGAAAGGCGGGGTAAGAAAGGCAGGCATCTAAGATAGCGGAAAACACTAACAAGGCAGGCACCCGTGATGGGAACACGAGGAAGAGCCTCCAAGATAGGCAGCTGCAATCTGCATTCAATGCGGCTTATCTTTTTGCCGCTCGATCCTTTCTTCGAGGCAACAGGTTTAAAAGAATCTCGCACTTTGCTTGCTTGTATATCTTTGAGCTTGAGCTTGATTCCTCTTCACTCTTCCATTGCGATAGCTCTGAGCTCTCTTGCATTTCAGTCGCGACTAAGCAAAAATGGGAAACTCAGAATCTGTACCTAGAGAGAGACCGCAGCAGCAGAGGTCGTCGAAGCTGGACCTGCTGGCTTTGCAGGAAAAGTACGATGCCTTTCGCATCACCGAGGACCGCGAGACCGACAGTATGATTGTTGAGAGAAACACTGCATACAACGATGGAGGTAAAGTCAGCTTCTGGATACTTGTTATCCACTATTCACCAGGTCAAGAAACCATGCGACTAACAATCAATGATCAAACAGATCAAGTTCGCCCAACACGCCAAACCCACGTCTCGGGCGCCAAAACCGAAGCTCTCATCCACACCATCCTCCAAGATCCAAAGAACCGTCTCGCTCTTTCGGCACTGTCAACAGCAAATCCGGCCCAAGTGCTCGAAAAGCCATCAGCCATTCTCAAAGACACACAGACCTTCAATGTCGCCATCCCCTTCGAGGGCTCCCCCGTCACCAACCAGCGCAGCTCGGGCAGATGTTGGATCTTCGCCGCCACAAACGTGCTCCGTGTCGCCATTATGAAAAAGTACAATATCGAAAAGTTTGAGCTCAGTCAGGCGTACCTGTTCTTCTGGGACAAGGTCGAGAAGAGCAATTTCTTCCTCGAGAACATCTTGGAGACGGCAGACTTGCCTGTTGATAATCGTCTTGTTGCGACGCTGATGGATTCGCCGGTGAGTGATGGTGGACAGTGGTCGATGATCCAAAACTTGGTTGAAAAGTATGGGTTGGTGCCACAGACGCTATACCCAGATTCGTTCAATGCTAAGCACTCAGCCGTCATGGACCGTCTTCTGACGACCAAGCTCAGAGAAGATGCTCTGCGTTTGAGAGCACTCAAGAACTCTAGCTCCAGTACTGCAGAAACTTCTGTCGCAGCAGCCAAAGAGCAGATGATGCAGGACATTGTCAGGATTCTGACACTTACGCTGGGTCGTCCTCCTTCGTCGTACACCAAGTTTACCTGGGAGTTTTACGACAAGACCGACAAGCTCAAGACCGTCAAGATGTCCCCAAAGGAGTTTGCTAGTAGCTTGAACGATACCCACGGACTGCGAGCCCTGGGTGGGACTGATGTCCACAGCTTGTTCAGTCTGGTCAATGACCCTCGCAATGAGTTCAACAGACTGCTGACCGTCGACTTTCTCACCAATGTCTCTGGTGGTAGATACGTTACCTACGTAAATGTCGACAAGCCAGTTTGGAAAAAGGGCGCCATTGAGATGCTCAAGAAAGGCTGGCCAGTGTTCTTTGGATCAGACGTGGGCAAGTTCAGCGACTCCGCATTGGGCATTATGGATCCGGATCTTGTTGACTACGAGCTCGGCTTCAACGTCAAGTTGGGTATGTCCAAGGCAGAAAGACTCACATCTGGTGAGAGTGCGATGACCCATGCGATGGTGTTGACCGCGGTACACCTGTCACCCTCCGGGGAGCCGATCCGCTGGCGTGTCGAGAACTCCTGGAGCGAGGATGCTGGAACCGATGGATATTTTGTCATGTCGGACAAGTGGATGGACGAGGTAAGTTTGCTTCCATTCAATCGTCAAATCGTATTTGCTGATCAAATGGTCTTACCTTGCAGTNTCTGTTACCAAGTTGTCGTTGATCCCAGCTGTGTCAGCCAAGATGTTAGAGATATACTCAAGCAGGATCCAAAGGTGTTGGACTTGTGGGATCCCATGGGTGTCCTGGCATAGAGAGGGTACCCTCTGGCCGATCAGAACGGGTAGTACTATGAGACATAACGGATTCATGCAAGTCATACTTAACATAGTAGACACCGGCGGATGAAGATGTTGAGTGATCTCGTCTGTATCCATGCTGGTGCAGATCAGAGTTGAGGATTCCCAGTTCAGGCAATCGGGCAGAAGCGGTTGTAACTGCTGTAACGCTACACGGCAGACAGTGTTTCGCAACCCTGCACAAGTGACGCATAGTAACTGCATGATGTTTGATCAACCAAACTCCACAGGCGATGCCTGCGAAGTTTGCTCGAATTGTACATCGGATGTCTGCAGTGCCAGAATTGTTGCACAAAGCAGAGATCCTTCGGGTGACAGCCGTTCGTATCACTTATCCGCAGCCTTCAAGCCTCAACACGTGGGAATACGAAGTCAAGTTGCCGTGTGGTCCGAACTTTTAAGCTTATACTGTCTCGGGTCCGTATCGAATAGCGTATTATTGGGAGGCAGAGTTGGAACAGCATATGGTTAGGTAGCTGAATTGGGATGTTGACTTTGGCGTGGGAGGAGGTAAGTTACCTGAGTACTAGCAGTCGCGTCCATGACGGCTGATGACTCGAATCGATTTTGCTCAGACGCAGCACTCTTGTCGTCGCGTTCATGTAAATGGATTTGTAAGTGTCCAGGACTTTCCGCGACGCAAGTCTCAAATCGATACTGTACGTACGCCAGATAGAGAGAGCGAGAAGGTGACCAGCGTTGATCGTTATGGAACGACGGTTTCAGGGGAGTCAGAGCGAGTCAAAGACTGCATAGTCAGGAGGCTGCGCGAGTCAAAACGATCCAAGGGTCGAAGAGATGAACGCCGCGAGATTGCATCGTCAGCCAGTTACGGAAGAGGCAAGCCGCATGCTTTGATGGCTTTTTATTGCGAGCCATGTCGAGGTCTCTCCTGCATGCAAGATGCACTCAAAAGCTGTTGTGGGGATTGTGGCGGCGTGCATGGCGTCCCGCACGGTGACCCGGACTTGGAGTTTATCTCTGCTAACCGGACCCGGGACTGCAAGCTGCCAACCTCTGCTCATCGCCAAAAGATGCAGCAGCAGGGCAAAGAGCAAACATGATTACGAATCTGCCACTTTGTGAAAGCGGGAGCTGTGATGCCGTCACGGGGCGGGCGGCCATAGACTTCGGCAAGCAAACTTGGTCGAGTCGAGTAACTTTGAACAAGTCTCCCCTGATCAAAGTGTTGAATGTGGAAAAATTGGCATGGATGCACACGCTTGCCTCTTCGCCAAGAAGCTATGTTTCTGTGCCGGCCGCGCAACAACTCCGCGTCACAGTTTTGAAACGGTTTCGCAGTGATTAGCCAGCACGGCCACGAATCATGGATGCTCAAACAACGACATGGCGTTCAACGTCGAAAGAGGGCATTGGCGGTGGGGATGGTGGGTTTCTCCTGACTACCAAAGGGGCTTGCGGGAGTATCGAGCGGGTTTGGATGCAACCCTTGGATCAAGACTGCACTGCCCACACAACCAAGGCGGCTAGGTAGATAACTACGCCATTGCACCTTCGTTTCCACAAGCCATCGTTTTCTTGCTTGCCAATCTTCTTGTTCCTGTCCCCGCTTCCGTTCATCAAACAACACGCTTAGCCGGGCAGTCTCTTTCAAAAACATTGAGCTTGCGCTGCTGCATTTCTCCTCATCCTTTTCCTCCACTCGCGCGTACCGACCATCTTACACCTGCCCATCCGGCTTCTCTTGCAGTCGCCCATAACTTAATATACACACACAACCACCACAATGGCTTACGCAAACTTGCCCTACACGCCCAAGCCCATCACGGACATCTTCACGGCTGACACCGACATCGACCGCAGAAAGTGCCAGCGTGTTGTGCCCATGCGCGTCCTCGCTCTCGGTCTCGGACGTACTGGAACTGCTTGTAAGTCAATTGACATTCGCTTGCATCTAGACAGCTTCTGACTGCCAATTCAGNCTCTCCGCACCGCCCTCAAGGAGCTCGGCTTCGACGACTGCTACCACATGATGTCTGCATCGGTTGAGAACNCCCCTGACTGCCTCATGTGGCAGGACGCCTTTGCCGCCAAATACGACGGTGTTGGCAAATTCGGTCGTGAGGAGTGGGACAAACTTCTTGGACATTGCCAAGCTGTCTGCGATTGGCCTGCTGTTGCGTTCGCCAAGGAACTTATCGAGGCCTACCCCGAGGCCAAGGTTCTCGTCACCACTCGCAACGTCGATACATGGCACGCCTCCACCATGAAGACCGTTGACTGGCGCGCAAATGACCCGGAGCTCAAGATGGTCTCGAGATTCGACTGGGGATCCGGCCTCTACCAGCCCATGTTGCGCAAGTTCTGGGACGTCTTCTTTGGTGGTGACTTTGAGAAGAACGGAAAGCAAAAATACATCGACTACTACGAAGAGATCAGAGCCATGGTGCCCAAGGAGAATCTCCTCGAGTACAGAATGGGCGAGGGCTGGGAGCCTCTATGCGACTTCCTCGAGGTACCTGTGCCCGAGGGCAAGAAGTTCNCCCACACCAACGACACTGATGGATTTGTCGATCGCTGCCGTGCCCGCAACCGCGCTCAAATGATGAATGTTGCTTTCCGCGCTCTCGTTGTTGGTGGCAGTGTTGCTGCCACAGCCTTCAGCGCCGCCATGACCATTCGTCGCTTCGTTGGCTCAAGAGGCTCACTCTTGGCTTGAGCACTCTTCCTACGTTTTCATCTATATCTGGCGTTCAATCCTGAGGTTAGCGTTCTGGGAGCATCATCAAAAGAAGGCGTTAATGGTTGTCATGGCCCGAGAATTTGGCTATTTTCACTCGGCGTCACGGGCCTTGAAAGGATGGCACTTTTGGAGAGTGCAGTTAGCACATGGGGTTTGTTATAGAAGCGGTGTATCATTTTTGGGGATTGCTTTGGCTTCATCGGCCATAGCAGGGCATTAGTCGTACAAATTTCTTCCATTCGAATCACAAGTTATTCAAACAATCTCGACATCCATCATGACTCGGACAATCTCTTTACACCACCACACGCAGAATCTTGCCACATCCTTCTGTGGCTTGTTCCAAGATCGATTCATTACGCCGAACTGCTGATGAAACAATTCTCCGAGATACGCAATCTTTCCCAGCCCCCTCCGTCATTCGCACTTGTACCACCATTTGCAGACATCACTCCGCGATCAAGTCAGGAAACATCCCTGTTCATTGCCGCTTATCTGCTGAATAATAGATACACACGCAGCAACAACCAACCACCTGACCGCTTGACTACTCATCATAGATGACAGCTTGACAGAGACAGAGCAAGGAACCTGGAGAGTGAAAGTCCGCTGGCCACCTCACCGGCCACACAGTATGACTCTGTGGATGTCACCATGGGAGAGAGATACATCAATGAGATTGTGACAGTCTTTAGCACACGGAGAGGTAGCCGTGCTCCTCAAGCAGAGCAATTAACCGACAATATAATCGGTCACCATGCACTTGTGTGGTTGAGAGCACGAGCACATTTACGACCCATCTTTCTTCTCTGTCATCAGCGGCGTTTCTCGCGTCCAACAAAGAACAAATCTCTTGCCATCTGGTTCACAGAGCAGACTTGACACAGCGTGTGGCTTGCTGTTCTCAGGACGAAACTGCGGCAGGCTTGGCGGAAAGTATGCATTAGATGAAAGTGGCGCTGAAGCCAGGGGGAAGAGTGAGTCCCGAGAGAAGGGGCATTGTTTGGTTCCACTCGGGTGGAAGCATGTTTGCCGACGACGGAGAAGGTTGCTTGCTTGACAGGAGGCTTCATGATTCAGGTTTGCTGATCTTGCTTTGCAGCAGTTTGATGCTCGTTCGCTAGTTTGCACAATGCTGTACAACGGTCAGAGGCAGTTGTATGCCCACTCCAACGAGTCCGCGAGATCCACATCCTATTCCCGTGTAACGCTTCATCGACGGCAGATGCATGTCGTTGATGGATGCTGAAACTTCGTGGTGTGAAAATCGATCTCGAGAAGCCCCAAATGAAGACTGCCAAGACTGTTTGAGTGCTTGCCGCGTGTAGGGTTGGAGAACTGCGCTGGCTGTGGAGCCCTACGACAACAACCACTCTCTCACCATCCAATCATCATCTGCCTCTCTATTCGAAATCGTGCAATGCAAGCTGGACTCAGACGAGCTACCGGTCTCGCATGAAGGCATACGAGTGGCGTCTGCCCCGCGCGGCAAACGAGCGCTTGACAGAACTTCGCAGAGGTTCAAATGTTCTTGGACGTCGAATCATTGCTGGACCGACTGCCGCACCACTGCATGCTGGGACCCACGATCTCTTCCTTCTGTCATGCATCCATGCTCTGCCCCTGGCTTGGGCCGTGTGTGTCTCTGTATTTCGTTGCGGGTCCCTTGGCAATTGTTTGTATCCTTTCGTGTAGATAGACCATCGCTGCCCCAGACCGGAACGCCGTTGCTGAAAGTCGTCTCCCTATCCCTTTTGCCTAACGGCTTTCTGCGCTTACTTTCTGATACAATAATTATCAGAGGACCCCTTCTGTTCTTGCAGCATTTCATCACTCCAACTGCTTTTCTCTCCTTGAACAGTTCTCCAAACGGCCTGTGGCCGTTCACAAAATTGTCTAATCATCTATATCCTCACCAAAATGCTTTCCTTACGATTTCTATCTTCAATGCTCTTGCTGGCAGGGTCAGCATTAGCAGGTCCTAGTAATGAGACGAGCCCTACACATATCTTCCGCTCGGTAAGCAAGATTCGCAAATCATGCATGAGGCAAACACTCTGTCGCGTGCTGCCTTAACAGCAGAATCTTGAACAACGACTAACAAGCCTCTACAAACAGAGACCGGACTTACATGCGCCTATGCTCGAAACGGTAATATTAAGACCGGAGTTGGTCGCACCAGGATATATCATGCTCGCACCATATCGGAATGTAGATCCTGGACCTTATATCTACGACAACTGGGGACAACTAGTCTGGTCCGGCGCTGGTTCGAGCGGACCCAAGACTGCCCATGCACCGCATACTTGTGACTACAAGGGAGAAGAGCATCTATGCTATTTTCAAGGAGAACAACACCAAGGCTTTGCCCGAGGCCATGGAGTCATTATGGATAAGAACTACCGTATCGTCAAGACAGTCGAGAGCTCTGGAGCAGGCGCGTCAAGTGATATGCACGAATTCAGACTTACACCATACTCGAACGGCACTACTGCGCTCATGACCGTCTATCAGCCGCGCATGTACGACTTGACAACCAACCCTAAATTCCAGATCAAGAACGGCATGGGCTGGATTGTCGAGGGTGTTTTCCAGGAGATCGAGATTGAAACTGGTAGAGTGGTGTTCGAGTGGAGAAGTACAGATCATCTCGATCCTAGCTTGACCTACACATTCCCAGGACGTACAGACACTTCAGGAAACGGATTGACTGAAAATACTCCTTGGGACTATTTCCACATCAACTCTATCGACAAGAACCGGGATGGCGATTACCTCATCTCGGCCAGACACATGGCTGCAATCTACAAGCTTTCTGGTGTAGATGGATCCATCATGTGGGAGATGGGTGGTGCAAACCCGACTTTCCACCAGACAAACTTCAACTTTTCCTCTCAGCATCACGCTCGCTGGGTCAGTGAGAATGAGACTCACACGATCTTGTCTTTCTACGACAATGCTAGCAATGGTTTCAACAGAACAGACAAATTCTCGCGTGGTTACGTCGTTGCTCTCGACCACATCGCAAACACCGCAACCATGATCAAGGAGTATGGCGCACCCGAGGCCTCCGGCGGTATCCTTTCTGGATCTCAGGGCAACATGCAAATTCTTCCCAACGGCAACGTTCATCTTGGTTGGGGCGAACATCCTTACTTTACCGAGCACACAGCCGATGGATCAGCTGTCATGTACGCCAAAGTCGCATACCGCTCCAGCAACGTCATGATCTACCGCTCACACAAGTTCCCTTGGGTTGGTCAGCCATTGACAAAACCAGCCTTGTGGACATACTCGAAGACCAACGACGAGAAATCTGGCATGGTCTTCTACGTGTCCTGGAATGGAGCGACCGAGGTTGCATCTTGGAACTTTTACGCCAGCGCAAACAGAACTGGACCATTCCACTTGGTTGGAAACACCAAGAAGACTGGCTTCGAAACTGTGATGCGCTACAACAACGTCACTACCTGGGGCTTTGCAGAGGCTTTGGACAAAGACGGCAATGCTCTTGAGCGTAGTGTCATCCAGAAGACCTTTGTGCCCAGCATTACACTTCGCGATTCCTGCGACGAGTGGGCTTGTGGGAGGGCAGAGGCGATCCGTGATGAGGATGTCAAAAACGATCCTTACAGCGAAGTCAAGGCCGAATTCCTCAGCAACAACCGCGGATACGACACGAGTGCATACTATGCCGAGCTACCACAAAGTGCAGCCGAGCATGACGCTGAAGAGAGAGCGCAGCGCCAGCGAGCTGTAAAGGCACGCATGCTGGTGGGTGTTCTTTGCGCGACTGCCGGAGTTGGGGTCTTCATTCTTGCTCTGATACTTGCCCGCAAGCAACTATCAGGCGCTATGCCTGTGTCCTTTGTCAGGAGAGTGTCTGATGTCAGAGACGCCATCAGTGTCAGAGTACTAGGCAAGAAGTACATTCAGGTCGACGAAGAAGAGAAATATTCTGATCGATCATGAGCGAACTTGTCCTCTATCGCTTTTTCTTATGTCTTGTCATTCTTGTTTATTGACTTCTATCACTATATCCAAAGCGCGCATGGGGTTGGAGTTTCTGGGATTCGGCTGATGGGTTGCAATTGTTCACATGACATACTGGTTTGGTCAGTGATCACATTCAGCGAAGATTTGAGACTTTGTATATACGATACCGAATTGGTCGGGTCACAATATGAAAAAACACGACGATCTACACGAGAACCCTGTCTTTTGCTGTGTTGATATTAAACATGTGAAGTACTTGCAGCTCTGAATGATCTCTGAAACCATGAGCACTGTGTTTCTTACCCTGTGGGTCATGATCGTCTTTGGAGGGAAACCCCTGGAAAAGTCATGTCAACCACATGGGGTGGAACTTGCACGCGACCAGCGTCGAAGATGGAATGACAGTTATGCCCTGAGTATCTGATGGGATGACATTGACATGGTGGCTGAGTGAACCGCACACACGGCAAACACAACGTTGATGGCGTTGACGGTATACGTTTGTGGGTTTCGCACAGGGACAATGGGCTTGACGGTGACCGACGGGCACATGTTTGCGCGTGGACAAACGTCGTCGGCGCAGTGCATTGGAAACATGACAAGCAGTGGTACTCGTACCACCCAAACCTCTGTCCAGCGGGTCAGGAATCGATTGTGAAAGCGTGTATACGCATCGAGTCGGGCTTGGCGCTTGCAGAGGTTTCGGAAAAAAAGCTCCTTGGGGGGTTGCGGCACGCCTCAGGAGATTCAACAAGCATCCATGTCTTCCCAGGGCCGACCAGCAAAAGAGGTAGTTAGGGGGCGGAGTTTGTGGAAGAGCCCCACTTTGTGATATGCGAGCTTGACACGGCGGACAACAGTCGTGTGCAGATGCGCGGCCGGAACAGGCCTTGGCACGGTGGGAACAGAAGATGAACAGGTTACAGATCAGAAGGCGACCAGGTCGATCTTGGCCGTCATGGAAATCCAAATATCTGTATCCGTGTTTCCAGTTCTCACCTCCTATATATCCATCTGCGAGTGGGTTGTGAATACGAGGTCTCTTGGGTTCGGTATTTTGCTGCACGTCATAAGCGGGCGTTTTCTGGACGAAATTCCTGGGACACGATACGCATTCCAGTATAAATGCACCGACATCAGTACAAGTCCGGCCACCTTCGCCAACGATCGCTGAACCACCAGAATGCCGACACGTCACGGCCGGAACGCGAGGGCACCGGCTCGCCATTTGGATCACCGTACATAAGGGAAGAGGAGGAGACAAGCTACTTTGAGCGCCAACTGCCCGCATACCAAGATGGGCCAAGCGGTCCTACAACGCCAGGTGCTCTCGAGGCCGGCAATGGAACGCCTGTCCCTGACCCTGACCCTGACCCTGACCCTGACCCTGACATCGGTCCTGGCACCCCGTCGAAGCCAGCCATGCCGCCGCGATCGTCGTCTTTGAAGCCATACCAGCTCAAGACTGATTTCGCTCGTGTGCCGCAGTTGCCCGTGGGAGCCACGACTCCACTGGACAACCTCCCCGCCCCAGGACTGGTGACATATCCCCCCGAACCCGCGACATGGACCAACATGCCCAACAAGGGCCAACTTGCCCTGCTCGCCGCCAGTCGCTTCGTCGACTTCTTCCAAATGGCCGCCCTGCAGACCTACATGGTACACCAGCTCAAGAGCTTCGACCGCACTCAGCCCGATTCTGTGATATCGCATCAGGCAGGCATGCTCCAGGGCAGTTTTACCGCCGCCCAGATCATCACGAGTATTCTCTGGGGACGCGCCGCAGATCAGCCAGGAGTAGGCAGGAAACTGGTCCTTAACATTGGAATGATCGGTACTGCCATTGGCTGCATTGGTGTAGGCTTCAGCACTAGCTATCGACAGGCCGTTGCCTGGAGAGTCTTGAGCGGAGCCATCAACGGCACTGTAGGAGCTGCCAGAACCATGGTCGCTGAGTGTACTGACAAGCGCTGGCATCCACGCGCTNTTTTGCTCCTTCCTGCTGCTTTCAATGTTGCCAACGTTTTGGGTCCGATCCTCAGCGGTCTTCTCGCCGACCCTGTAGCAGCATATCCTCACCTGTTTGGCCCCAATTCGACATTTGGTGGTGCAGAAGGCATCGCATGGATGAAAGATCATCCCTATGCTGCACCCAATCTTCTCTGCAGTCTGCTGCTCGTAATCGAAGCACTGCTCTGCACCTTCTTCCTCGACGAAACCCTCAAGGGCTTTACAGAAGTTGATGCTGGCGCCTTCAACCCCATAACCATTGCCAAAGGCATCTGGAACCGCCTCTACGAAGTCAAGAACAAAGGCTACAAACTGGTTGGCGAGACGGCAATGGCTCGGAGAGGTCTCTTATCTGGACGCGACGAGGGAAGCATCGAACTCGATCGCATCGCCGATGCCAACGAAACCCGTGAAAGACAGGACTCGCATGCCATCCGTCCCATGCAACGTCTTCCTTTCCGTCGCGTGTGGACTCCCAACGTATGCTGGACTCTTCTCTCCATCGCCATCTTTGACTTTCACATGGGTGCCTTTTCAACTCTGTGGATCCTGTTCCTGTCCACCTCTCGCGAGTTTGTACCCGGAAAGAGCTCAGACAGCAAGCCGCAAAAGCAGGAAAGTGGTGTGTTTAAGTTTGGAGGCGGCCTCGCTTTCCCACCTCCCACGATAGGTCTTGCGATGGCCATCATCGGCTTCATTGGCATCATCCTCCAATTCGTCCTTTATCCACGCGCCAATGCCAAATTCGGCCTCATGCGCTGTTTCCGCTCTTCTCTTTTCCTTTTCCCTCTAGCGTATTTCTTGGCACCGTATATCGCTCTCATGCCTTCCGATTCCGCCTCACCGGCCCCGGCATCAGGTTTCTGGATCTGGCTCGGCATCGGCGGTGTCGTGTTCCTCCAAGTCGCGGCTCGCACATTCGCTCTCCCTGCTTCCATCTTGCTGCTCAACAATAGTTCGCCGCATCCTTCTGTGTTGGCCACCATTCATGGATTGGGTCAAGCGGATAGTGCGGCGTTTAGAACCATTGGACCCATTCTTTCTGCCTCTTGGTATGGTACTTGGCTTGAACGTGGAGTGGTGGGTATGGCGTGGTGGTATGTTGCTGCCATCTCTGCTTTGGGCGCCGCGGCGAGCTTTAAAGTTAGAAATGGAAATGGGCATGAGATTATGTTGCCGGGAGAGGAGGAGAGGGCCGATGACCAAGGTGCTGCCGAGCCAACGAGGAAGTAGGAAGAGAGTTGTTGTATAGTAGTATTCTTTGTGTTGAAACTCGAAGCTCATGGATGCAGTGTATAGCAGACCACCTTTTTTTCTATCTGAGAGCCGAAGGTTTCTTGTTCGTTGGTTCTTTGGTATCAATCAGTATGAAGATTGCAAGAGCGATGGAGTATAAAGACTAGACATTCCAGCTTCTTGACACGTATAAACCCTTCTTCCAAACGCAATCGCAAGGAATTTTGTCACTTCCTCGATTACTATACCCGTCTAGTCTTTCTCCCACAACATGAGACCCATACAGTCAGACTAGATGCCTTCAAGTGGCAGGCGGTTCGTCTGTAGCACAGGTGCCCTCGAAATAGGATAAAAGGGGCAAATGTTGTGTATTTCTTGCTTGACAGTGATCCTTTTTCGTTCCATGTCCTTGCGAGAATGGTTCCGTATCCTGTTCATCCTCTTTCTGGAGTCTCCTAATCCACTTTGGGCGTGTTTTCAATGTCGTTCTGTGATCTTGTTGGGATTGGTTATGATGCTGATGCTCTCAAAGTCGTTGATGCCAGGTCTGTAGTCTTTGTTTTCCAGTTGCCTAATAGATGGCGATCGTAATGGTAAGCGCCTGAACGTGACTCGAGCCTGGATATGTCTTTGGTGTTAGAGTGCCGGAACCCTCGTCTTCGCATCCGATCACGACACCCGACGAACGACTGCCGTTCAATTGTCTTCCTTGGACCTTGATATCCATCAGCACATGAAGACAATATCTTGCGCGTGCACTTACCCATGACCGCAAGCAGGGCACTTGTAGAAGATAGTGCTGCCCTCATCCGCTCCACGCGTCTGAATGTCGCGGAACTTTAGTTTGTCGTTTTCACACTTTGGACAGATTCCCGAGGTCAGGGCCCAGGTATCTCGATCATCGGCGGTCAGGATCTGCACGTTTGAGCGCTTGTCGAAAAGACGAGAGGGGAATGCATGAGGTGCACTGGTGGTCTTTTGAGAGGCGGGCCAGTTGTCTGTGTGGGGTTAGCTCGAAGCGATATTTGTATATTCAGATCGTGGCCATGTACTGTTGTTCAGGGTGGAACAGACGTCGCATTTGATCAAGTGTTGGTCTGGAGGGTGACGTTCCAGGATGCTACCGCAGTCTGTGCAAAACAGGAGGGTTCCGACCAGTGCCATGGTAGATCCGGCAAGAAGTTGGTTGAGATGGCGGTTGAACTGAAATGAATAGAATTGTCGTAAAGGTTCGCCGAGTCTCATCATGCAGGGCATGGTGACACCACGCAGTGAGTCCGGCGCCTGCGTCTTTCACTTTCATTCGTCAGTACTACAAACCTCACATTGCCTTTTCACGTTTTCAGACAGATATTCAGATGGATGAACCGCGACGGCCACACGCCATATCTGTCTTACGGCTGGATATGCTGAGCACGATCCAAGACGACTTCTAAGTAGGATAGGATCCGACAGTGATGGCCAAGTCCGCAGAGATTCGTAGGACAGCAATGTGATTGAGGACAAATGCCAACGAAGACGAACGTTGCCTAATCTGCAAAGAACGATGTTGTTGTCAATCTCTCTTTGATAGATGTCGTCGATAGTGCAAAAGGGAAAGAGCTACTGAGCACAACCATCAACAAAGCACTTCAGGGTCTACTGGCAAAACGATCTTGGCAGCCGCATAATAATTCGATAAAAACAACTTCACAGAGCTTTCGCTCCATGACTCTTAATGAACCTGACCCGATTTGAACGGATGACCTTGTGGATGTCCCGAGAAGACTGGAATCACACGCGCTACCGCTGCGCCACAGGTCCATATAAGAAGATTTGTTGACAAAAGACAAATATCAAGCTACATAATGCTAAGCTTGGCTTCGAGCTCTTCGGGACCTTCGGATTGTCGATCTGCCGAGGCGTCTTCATCTGCAACATTTTTCCTTTTCCGATATACCACATCACCTTGTTCCTTCGGTAAAAGTATAAAATTGGAGATAGGCTGCTGCTACATAAAGCCGTGGCTTGTCCGCTCGCGGTTTTCTCCCATCGCGATAGATTGCTTTGCTCCGTGCGATTACGTCCGGTGGACACGAGTAACCCTCCTCTAGGAACCCGGGGAAAGCAATTGTCCCGCTTTCACGTCCGGCTTACCCACCCGGACCATTCTACTCGTGGTCATCCACGTCCTTTATCTTCCTCTTGAAGAAGCTCACGGAAGTAGCCCTTGGACAAGTACAAAAACACAAAACGCCCAAAGAGCAGAGCAAAAACAATACACCCCCCCAAATATGGCGACTCCAGCACCCATGGACGAAGTAATGAAAGGTCTCAAACACATGCCCATGCCCAAAGAAAAACTCGACCAGATCAAAGCAAGAATCCTCCAGAGCCGTGCTGATGCACAAGCAAACGACCCCCTCCTCAAGCTTGCAAAAATCACAAAAATGTGCATAGTAGACATCAAAGACCGTCTCGCCTACATCCAAGAACGACGCGATCAAAGAGCCGAGGAAGCAGAGCAAAAAGCCATTGCCTTTGCGGCAGCACTAGCAGAAAGAAACAAGGCAAAAGAATTCGAAAAGACGACCAAGAAAGGTCAACAACTGCATAGGTCAAGGATAGAAGGTTGGAGAGATGAGGTCAAGCAGTCGTCTACAACAACACATGCTTCTGTGCAGCAGCAAACGCAACAAATCCCATCACGTCAATCCACAAAACGACCACTTGACAACAGCTCAAGTTTCGAACAACTGCTCAGCACCTCAACACCACTAAACAAACGCATAAAAACAACCGCCCAAAACGACTCTTCCTCTCTAGTCGCCCCACCCACCAGCAGCAAAAAATCAATCCCCTGGCTCAGCACCCGCGCCTCCATGGCCGACGAAGACATTTTCGCAGACGAAGACCGCCACTTCCCAGCCCAAGAAATCAATCTCGACAAGAAGAAACCCATCCACGACAAAGATGACGACGACGACGACGACGAGGCAGACGAGAAAATCGACAGAAACGAGGACGAAGACGCGGTTTCTGAAGATTCGTATGGTTCCACCAATCTTACAGAGTTGGAGCAACTGGCAGCAGTGGAAATGGCCATGGTGGGTGTCATGACCGTCGTTGTGNCCTGAAATGATGAGGCGATCGGGTCGGACTTGGGCAGAGATGGATGTTGACGATTGTTTCTAGCTTCGTGTGCAGAACGAACAGAATAAGATGGTGTTTTTCGGGATACCCAGGGGCTGTACGGTAGTTGTAGTTGTCTAATATGGAGATGATGAACAGGTTTCAAGGCAAAAAACAGAGTGGTATCATTGGTCAAGTAAAGCAGAAACTGTCAAGAAAAGACTTGGGTCCTAAGAAGAGAAAGAAGAAAATGATCAAGACCTTCGAGATCGCAGCGGGTATCATCGACCCCATCGCCGCTCGCTTGAATGTGCTCTTATCCAATCCCAGGGGCTACCATGAGTGAAATCAGATTATATGCAATTGTCGTGCGCGCAGGAACAGCATGTACAAAATCGTCATCGCCATTGTTGGACACTAATAGCGGGGATCACCAGTATATTCAGGCTTGCGCGCAATGTTGACGATTGGCGGCGGACCGTCTGTATCAGGATAAGGCGGCAGAGCTTGTCGCAATGGCGCAATATTGAACGACCCNCCATTATATGATGAATGCCTCATTGGACTTCCAACAGTTGGACTACCAAGGGCAGGACTCAGGGGTGCCATATTGTCAGGGTATGGTAGAGGGGTTTTGGGAGGCAAAGGAGGCGCATATCCGGCCGTACCGCTGTCTTGTGATTCTGGTCGATGTTGGCTTAATGAGCCACTAGATCTGTGCATGGAATCTATCGATGGTCGATAGGCGCCCGGCGGAGGTGAAGGACGTGTAGCGCTGGTCGGTGTCCTGACAGGGTCATGATTGGGCCATTGATCGTCAGGTACAACCGTGTATTTCATGTCAGAAATAGAAGACTGTCGCATCGGCGGCTGTGATGTTGGAGGGCGTTGCTGATATGATTGGGGTGGGAAGACATCATCGGCTGGAAGCTCGACGGCAAGAGGGTGGCTAGATGGAGCGATCGAAGCAAGCGGAGCATTTTGTCTGTTAGATGTGGTGTTGATGATTTCCTGGCCGTCCCAGGAGGGCTGTCGCTCATGACGGATCTTGCTAAAGTAGACTTTGGCGAGCTTTGCAGCAGCGTCGAAGTTCTGTGCCTGAACATCAGGTCGAGCAAGGTACATACGGGTGCTGGTGCTGATGTCTCCAAGTCTGTTCCATTCGTTCATGCCATACTCGCCGACACCAACTTCGACGTTCAGACGATAGTAGTTTTGGCGGTTGACTTGGCGCTTTGACAAATATTCGTCGATCATATATTGATGCGTTTCCTCACAAGCCTCAATCTTCGCAATCAGCCTGCGACGGGCTTCGGCGAAGTCACCCATGCCTCCTCCAACAAAGTCCTCCCACCACTCGTGCTGACGATTGTTCGTGCCGGGAGGACGTTTGCCGGTACCGACACTGAGGAAGACTCCTACATCTCTTCCTGGCCATTCGTTGCAGACGGCCTCGTCAAGAATCTGAGGACTCGGATTGTACTTACCGGCACCTTCGTCAAGGAAGGTACTTTGACCAACTTGAATGGGCTTGAAGGCAAGGGCAGTGGCCGAAGTGGCGCGTCCAGCTTGCCAGATATAACAGTTGTACTCGGGCGAGGGCTCTTTACGTGAGTCGTACGAGCGCAACAAGGCGGGCTTTCCACCTTTGGGGGTGCCACGGTAGACAGCAGTGACGGCAGTTTTTGTCCTGTTCTCACGACTATCGTAGAGCAAGGCGTTTGGGTTGCCCCATCTCGAGACGCCAACAGAAGTACGAGGGTCCACTGGAGTCATGCCGATGGTGCTGTGTCTGCTGGCGACACTGACTGAGCGAGCAGGCCGGGCAACTTGGAGACTTTGACGGGACGACGAGGAAACGGCATCTTGGGAGTCGTTTCCTTCATCGTCGTATATTGTGTGCTCCCTTACGCATTCTCGGATGGCTTCTTCTAGCTTGCTGGCTTTGAACAGAGTGGAGCGGTAGGGGATGCCGGCAATGGTCTTGTCTGTCTCAAAGACTCGTCGCGTCATGCGTACATAGACGTCTTTGCATGTCTCAATGTCCAGTCGCAAGCGGCCGAGCATGATGGCAATCAGGCCGCCGGTGCCAGTCCCCGCGATCAGGTCGAAGTGGTCGCATGGTTTTGGAATCTCGTGTCGCTTCGGCGCGCGACCTTCAATCTCGACAAAGGTGCGGTGCATCAGCTCTTGCAGGATGATCAGCATGCTGTAGCCGCGCACGCCTCCACCGTCCAGACTGAGGATGCGCAGCGGTGGGCCCTTGGTCGTGTCCTTTCTCCGCACTCCATTGACAGCGTCCATGGTGTCGTCAGTTGGTAGTCCAGGGTGTGGGCGCGTTTCGAGGTAGGTTTCAGATGGTCCAGTCGGTCTTGTCAGGGCGTAGGAATTGTAGGGTCGTGCTTGGCGTGTTCGTGTAAGAAGGATGGATGCGTTGGTGGATGCCTTGTTGAATGTCTTCGGTTATCTCACTCGAAGAAGGCTGACTGATGCGTCATCGCTCGAGTTGGCATTCGCTCCGTGTGAACGGCTGGAAACAATCGCAGCAATCCTCTCTGAACGCTTCCAAGATGATATGCGAAACAACTGACATGGTCACCGACCAAAAGGCAAAGCACTTTCATTGGCGCGTGGCGGGGTCGGTGACGTTTTGGCCATCTCGCGTCGTGGCTGTGTGTGCCATCCGAGCCATGTTTTTCTGGTGCCTGTCGCTCTTCATTTGGCGACAAGCTTCAATTCATGCTTCTTCTCAGCCTTACTCGCCCGATCCTGATGACATCCGTCGAGTCTGTTCAACTCTGTTGTCTTCTCACTTCCTTACTTTACGGTCGTCTGGTTCGCTCGCAGGAAATATACTCCGCGTTGATGCATGGCCAGCACCAGGAATAGAACAACCCGAGTGTGCTTGGCAAGCAAAACTGTCGGCTGTTCATCTTTGCTTGTGCCACAATTAGTGATCGATCTTCTACTTCTTGCTCCGGATCATGCTGGGTGATGAGACCATCAAAACCATCGAGTATATCTCTCGAGTCACAAAACTCACTGTAGTCTGTCTGAGTGCCAAATGGGGCAAGGGCTCCCCAAGCTTTCCTGCCCCTCGGAATCCTCTGCGGGGGAACATCTTACTGCAACCTCACCTTGCTCACGCCCTTCGCTTGACATTCTTTTCTCTTCCTTGCATTTCTGAACAAGATTCGTAGGTCTGTTCATTGCCATCGTTGTGAAACTCTTCATCCATATTTGCCATGCATATCAGTAGGGTCAGTATCAAGGCTCACTGCGTCGCCGAACCGCTTTCTCACAAAGTCAGATTCTCGTCTATCCCATCAAGTCCGTCCGGCCTTATGAGCCTTCCTCGGCCGAAGTAGCTAGATATGGCTTCACTCATGATCGCCGTTTCATGATTCTCCAGGTGCAACCAGATGGCTCACTGAAGAACATGCATATCGCGCACTACACCGAGCTAGCTCTCTTGTTCGCCGATATCAGATTTTCTGAAGACCAAGACGCTACGAAAGCCTTGATACACCTGACCTGGCGGCCACCTCATGGCGAATCAAAGGCCTTGGACATTCCCCTTGTTCCCGACACGACTTCGCTAGAGAGAATCCACGTGACCATGCATTCCAGTCCTACCGATGCATACAGAATGGACGACGAATACAACAAGTGGTTGTCTGCATGCCTAGGTTATGATGTGGTGTTAGCTTATCTTGGCGACAACGAGCGTTCAGTTCTTATGTCCACTCACCAAAAGAACAACCAACCTCGAGCCCAGCAGGGAGGTTGGCTATCTTCCATCACCAGCAAATTACCTACTTCAATCGGCACAATCATCTCTGGCGAAACCCAAGCTGATGACAAAATCACTTTTGCCGACTGTGCTCCTTTCCTTGTCGTAAACGAAACTTCCCTCCACGACGTCAGCAGACGTCTTCCCGACGGCGAAGACATGGACATCACCAAGTTCAGGCCAAACATCATCGTCAGTGGCGCTGAGTCATCTTGGGAGGAGGACTATTGGTCAGAGATGCAAACATCAGGCAACGTAAAACTGCACCTGGTGCAAAACTGTGTCAGATGCGTGAGCTTGAACATCGACTATGCAACGGGCAGACCAGGTGAAGGCGAATCCGGAAAAGTGCTCAAGAAACTGCAAAGCGATCGAAGAGTTGACAAAGGATCGAAATACTCGCCCGTATTTGGTCGATATGCCTTCTTGGGCAAGGGTGATGAAGGCAAGACTTTAGCTGTTGGCGACGAGGTGACAATCACCCAGCGCAATGCTGAGAGGACGACTTNNTTGGTAAGTTGCTATTGATCATTGTTGTACACTCGATACTAATGTTCTACAGATTGGCCTGGTATTTCTAGTGTCCCCGCACCAGCTTAATCTGTGAAATATCAAAACCTCCTTGATCGAGATTCCATGGCCAAACCAAGTAGACAAGAAAATCCACGCTTGAAGACAGCAAAGAGAATGCAGCCCTAAAAGAAAGATGATCGGCGTAGAAGCAAGAACTAAAACAGTATCAGAACCAGACGCCAACACAGCGAACTGAAATCTTTCCACGACGAATGTTCCACAAAGGCATTCAGAGACATGCAAGCGACAATCTGGACAACGTCCTTACTCACCAACATGTCAAAAATCATACACGACGATGGTGACTGGATTGTTCTTGTTCAAAGCTCTATGCTCTTGGTTAGCGAAGGTTATTGAAGCACTGCTAGGAAGGCATGCCATTTTCAGCATCAGATGACTCGGACGATACAGGTGGTCTCATAAATCTTTTGATGACATGCCAGATGACCAAGATCGTGGGAGGAAGTCCAACAACTAGGGCGACAAGTGCGATGATGGTGTCGGTTGTCATTGCTATTCGTGCGGTAGTATGAGTTGGACCCAACAGTCTTTGAACGGATACGATTGGTCTGAGGAGAGAGGCAGTCTGATTGACGAGGTGTTTGAATAGAGCATGATATGAACGCAGCATACGGTCTATATGTGTAGCCTGGGTGTTGAAGGCTCAAAAGAATCTTTGGAACTGGCCAATGACCGAGCGAAGTGTGCTGCGGATGGCTTCATGAGCCTCAACTCCAGTCGAATGTGGCTAGTATGGCCATGAGTATGATGTCTTTATACAGTATTTTGGTCTCGGCCAATCAAGATGAATGTCCTTCAGAGCCTCATGGAGAAACACAGCAAATTTGATTCCATATGGGCACAGTATCTTGGCATCAGCCAATGACAAGCGTACCTACCGCTAATTCTATATTTACTGAAGCCCCAGAAGACCGTCTGAGATCATGTAGGGTCGTCTGCCACATGCTTTCTGGCTGTGGAGAGAACTGGTCGTACTTTGGAATCGGCCAATGATCTCGCTCATGAAATGTCCATCTGATCATCGTGACGAGATTGAAGCAGTTTTGAATCAATCTTGAGCTGGACCAATGGAGAGCATTCGAGTGAGACCAGGTCAAGTCATGCTAAGATATGTGTTCCAAACAGATAAACGCCCCTGATAGCGTGGTTATGAAGAAGTCTTCTGACGCGGTCGGATTTGTCATATTGCAAAGCTATGTCATTACGAGGAAAAGCAGCAACAGATTTTCCAACTGGAGATAAGCTGGAATACAAGTAGGAAAACGCTTTGCTCTCCGTGTCTCTCTCTCTCTCTCTCTCTCTCTCTCTCTCTCTCGTTATGATGTCAACCTCCTACGGACTTCCTTGCTCGAACAAACAGTACCAGATGCTCAAAGTCCCATCCCATATATACTCAGGGACAAATTCTCCATATCGCATGGGGCCGTCGATTTAGCCAAAGAATGGTGAAGAGGCTGGGCGGAAGTTTTCACGAAACTGTAACTTTGTGGTCGTAGGCTTCGGAACAGAGAATTGTTAGGATCCCAAGATAGAGTAGATGGGTTGCCAGTGATGGCGGGGGTGGCAGCCTTCTTGATTTGTATAGGCATCGCACGAGCAATAGCTGATGTGGTCTCCGGGGCCAGACGATTGTACAGATGGTCAGTCGTGGCATCGCAGTGTAGTGCTAAATTGAAGTCCTTCTCCTCATGAAGTAGTGTTGCCAGACCTTTTACAGCCTCGTCGCTTGGATCATGATCGGAAGTGGATCCTGTGTCAGGATTCTCGGCGACATCTCTCTTCTTGTTCGAGCAGTAATGTGTACTGCTGGCGGACATCAAGATGCAGCTATCGCAACGTTTGCAGTGGAAGTAATCCTTGCCTAGACCTTCGCCTTGACTACAGATGCCGCAGTCGTCGCAGTGGTAGTAGGTTTTTGAGCTGTCATCATCCCATAGCTTACATTTGGAACAGTAGTAGTAAGCAGAGTCAATGCAACATACAGTGCAAATGAGACCGGCAAGCTGGGGGGTACCGCAGAGCGTGCATCGCATGTCATGTATCATGTTACGGCGCAGTCGATGAGAAAAGCCTAGGTCTGAAGAATCGTCGTGGCAAACTTGACATGGATACCATTTGTCGCAGTCGAAGCAATGTATCTCGACGTTCCTGCAGTAGTGCTCACACCCCAAGCTAGTGTGACCATACCAGAGACGAGGTTGGATAGCACAGTTGGGAGGTCGACATGGAGGATCGTCGCTACGTACTTTTGGAGCTTTGTGTCGATAACGAGTCAGAAACACGCATACTCAAAGAGAATGGGAGACATACCATTTCTCCGAATGTGCTGTACTGATCCACTTACGAATCTTTTTGTGTTTTTGTGGACTGTGTCAGAGTCCACAAGCTCGCCATTCACCCGGACTGTCCAACTGTAACCTGCATATTCTAGTCTTCTTGTTTTCCAGTCGATATAGTCCCAGACCTCGCTTTTGATGTTTTTGATGTTCTTTCTCTTTCGAGCTTGCTTGGCTTGTGGTATGCTGCGCGATTGTCAGCTTTATCGCTTCTCCGTGTGCATTATACTGGATCGAACATGGATTCTTCTTCACCGTGAGCCAAGCCGCGCTTGCGTCTCGGGACGTGTCTGTATTGACAAAAGCTGTCGGCACAGTGAGAACCTCTCAGGGAAGACGAGCATGGTGTATACGATGGGTCTGGTTGCATTTGGCTCATGACGTCGCTGTCTGAGTATAACAAAAGTATATGGAGCTTTTCTGTACGATTTCCCGGACTCTAAACACTTGGAGTATCAAGTGTTTTGTATAGACATGGTCGAGTTTCGGAGTGAGCGATGAATTCTTATGTACGCTCCTGGTGCACACCAACCTTGAAAACAGTGCAGCAGTCCATCTCCTCGTACGATCGAGGCCGATGTTTCAAGCAGCAGAACGGAACATGAGCTGTGCGATCCATGGTATGTGATTGGTGCTTTCCAATCTTGCCCGTCTATTTCAATTGGTCAGTTCCAAAACTGCAACCCCACGTCGAGGTACTCGGGTACCTGGCTGCCATCCACTGCTCCTTCTTCGCTCATCAGATTCGCTGAAGTGACTGTTGATCGGGAGCAAGATATCTAGTGAAAGGATCGAAACCGACGTTCGGAGAAGTCGTCTGCGCTGCGTATCGACCAGTGGAGGCGGCAGTCATTTGTGCAAAGGTCGACTGGGTATCGATGTCGGGAGAAACACCAGATACGAACAAACAGGGACAGGACGGTACAAAAAGAGTATTAGAAGACCATTGACAAAACATACAGCAGCAGGGATTCCCACGTGGTCACCCACCGTAGTACTAATCTGCCGTTCAACTGCTTATGTATGGCAGAGCGGACGGGATGCCCAGTTTTCAGCTGACTGTGGCCGTATGTGCTTGTAAGTCAAAACTAAGAATCCTATAATGATGTCAACAAGCAATTGCGAAGCGATTCGGTGGTAGAGTTTCATCCTGCGACACCTGCCGTAAGCTATCATGAGTGTTAGCGCAAGGCGTCCAGCTAAGCTGTCATCCATCGTCAGTAAAACATGCAACTTGTTAAGTACAAAACAGCGACGAGATCCATGTACTCATCTTGTCCAAGGCACCACTAATGTCAAGCCCACATCCCCAGGAGCGCATGGAGCAAGCAATCCACCGATTCGAGACATTACAGCAGAGGTCAAACATACAATGGTTGGAACGACAAGTTCAATTATGCCGAGGGCTTGACCCCGACACCACGAGTCTCGACAAACGCAAAGACGAACTCGCAAACGGTCCAAGGCACACCTTCTGGTCATGGCAGGCCAGCCACCTCGCAATCCTGGAAAAACGTAGAAAGACGCTCGCAAAGAACCTCAAATTCGAATCTTGGACAGCCCTAATCAGTCATCATAATCTCACAGAAGTGAATGAGATACTATCTGTGGATATTGGTCAATTTGATAAAGGCACTTGTCCTCCAGCTCCCGCAGATGAACTTTCTGCTTTTCTGCAGCAGCTCCGTAAAGCCATTAACGAGGATTTCGATCTCGACGCACCGGATTTCAAACTCATTGATCTTCCGGAAGACTATGGCAACCTCCTCAAGCTCACAGATGGACTCTGCGATACCGACCTACGCAACTCGGGCGTCTGTGGTATAAACGGCATCCGCAATGCAAACATTGCCAAAATCACTGGTTATTCCGAGTACAACATAACAAGAGGTCTTTACAACGTCGACAATGTAGGTTGGGGTGGCAGTCTCTGGAAATACGGCTGGGACATCAGCACAGGTTTTAGTCTGGGCGGTGACAAACACCACGGTGACCAAAACTGGTTAGCATACTACTACTGCGCTCGTACATTGGACATACGACAAGAAATGCCGCCATATCCAAATTACCCAGACACGGTCAAAGAGCATGAGAAAGAGTGGAAGTGGAGAATCTTCTATAAAGAGCCGGAGCGTTGGCAGCATTCTTTTCACACCTGTATTGTCTTTAATGATTTGATTGAGTGGTTGGATTTTTATCAGGAATGGTGGCATAGGGAGAGTGTTCAGTATCCTGCTTGGGAGGCTAGGATGCTTGCGTCAGTCGAGCTACAATGCGGACGCCCTGATGAGGACGAGGACGAGGAAGATGAGGAAGAGAGTGGGGATGATGATGTATGGGAAGAGACGGACCTCGATGTAGGCACATTTTTGAGACGGCATGATTGGCCAATCGATCTTCCTTATGTCTCCGCAGGAATCAATCTTTCGGAACGACGAAGGACTCACGCTTCTGGTCACCTCTGATGAACACTCGATCTGGCATACTTAGTCTCGAGTATCGATGCACGCTCGTTTTTATCTGATTCGAAAAGATTTGCATTGCGTTACTCTACACCGCCTACTCTACTCTGACAATAAAGATCTTGGGCCACCTTCCATACATCTTCAGACACTTTCAGTTGTTGCCAGTCTCTGCTGCAAGCGAAAAGCCAGTCTCCATCTTAGGGCCCGAGTGCAATGTCGACCCATTAGACCCCAGACTAAACACCTTCTGCATACTTGGGCTCATGGGGCTCTGCCTACTGATATTGCTCTTCACCAGATGCAAATTCAATCCTTCCTCACCGTCTTCGTGGAAAGCAGCGCCCTTGCCAATCTTCTGCAGACTGTCTCGCATGAGCATCTCATAGTATGCAGTTGCAAACAGTGTAGCAGGGACATTGACGAGAATCGAAATCCATGAGTAGCTGTGGTAGGAGAAGGCTTCTCGACCAAAGAAGATGGCAGCGACGATACGGGTGCCGAGATCACGAGCCAAATTTGTGCTGATGGTGATATCGGCGAATCCCCATACCATAGTCGAATAAACAAGGCCGATAGCCCAGGGAGCCACTTGAGGAGATATGAAAGGGTTGGCCGGGTCGAGGCAAGCCCATAGAACGATGCCGATATACGAGTCGACAAAGAACTCGACGAAGAACAGATAGCCGAGACTTTGAGTCGGTGCTGGGAAAGAGCAGAAGATGCTGGCCGGGCCGCCGTTAAAGACTGTTCCTTTACCGGCAGCGATGGTTGTCGCAGCGTACGCAGCAATCTGTTGGTGGTATTGGCCGTAGACAAACAGGCCGGCTATGAAGGCACCAAATATTTGAGAAAAGATGTAGTAGGGGACTTTCTTCCATGGGAAACCTTGCCAAGTAGCGAAACATATTGTCATGGCGGGATTGAAATGACTGTAGACACGTTAGACAATGATCATTTGTAAAGCTTGACAGAACACGTACCCTCCCGATGTCGAACCACAAGTGATAATAGCAAAGGCAATGCCAAAGCCGAATGCCAGGCCGACCCCAAGCAGACTTCCGATTGCTGCGTTCTCATCACCAAGCGTAAACGCAGCTGTTGCGGCGATGCCAGGGTAGACATAGAAGAAGACACCAGTNGCTAAATTGACATCAAAGTTAGCATGCTGTGTATGGTTGATGGTGAGTGATCTCACGTACGCTTCGGCCATCATCTCGCGAAGCCATCTTGGTCTTGCTCGCTCGAAGTCAAGTTTGCGCTGTGAAACAGCCTTGGTAGAGACGACATGACGCTCGTAGTGTTTTTGAATGGCCTTTGAGACAAATCAGAACCGATGGAGGTCAGAATAACAGGGATGAGATACCTCTGTTGCACCCAACTCAAGATCGTTGGTGTGTAGTCTTTGGATGTGCTCCGACATGGTTGCTGTTTGGACTTTTGGAAGAGTGCAGGATGTCAGGAGCACCTCACAACGAGGGGATGCATACCCTCATATACCTACTCCTACCGAGGTTACCGGTGACTGATACTTGTTTCTTCGAGCAGCTCACCACGGAAAGAAGTGCTAGTTAGACGCCCTCGCCTTCAAGTGATTGAGACATATCGGACGGATCCATCGGCTTACCAGCCGTATTTGCCTCGCGAGGATCAATACTCCTGCATGTACGAGTAGCGCGGCTAGAGATGTTCAACCTTTGGGGCCCCAGATCGGCACTGGATATCTGCCGCTATAGCTGAATGACATGATACCAGATCTACGGTATAGATAGAAAAGCATGGTTAATGAACCACACCGCGTGGAGCATAGTTTTTGAGTCGCGTGTCGGACGCTCGGTGCCCGTGTAAGTTTGACAAGATCCGTAGAGTATCGATGGCAGAAAGAAGCTCATCAAGAGGACACGACAAGCATCGGGCTTGATTGTCACACGCGTTGACATGTCTACATCCGGCTAAGCTTGCTATAACGGTGACATGGCTTGCGTAGGTGGAGAGAGGGGAACAGTAGGTATTCGCTGGAATTATGAGATCCGATAGCTCCGGCGTGGGATTGCGAAACCGACTCGTTGTAGGATGCCTCGGTATGCGGCTCAAATGACCATGCCATGTGTACTTGACATCTTGTATCGAAAACGGACGGACTGGTTCCGCCCCAGATCGATGTTCATTGATTGTCGTACTCCGCGCGGGGTACCCCAACACGGGGTACATAGCCGGGTACTCGACGATCCGGCTCTATACGAATGGATGCGGGAATGCTTTTAGGGTAAGGTAGATTGTAGTTAGTCAGCCTTGACCTATCCCTGCTCGTACCCAATGATAATGTCATCAGTTAAGTCGAACCGTCATGCCCTGACGGTTTCGAAGTTCACAAATTCATCAGACCATACCTGCTTACTACTCGCGCTCAAATCTTGGGATGTACTCCAGAAATCTTTCCGCTCGAGGGAAGCCATTAGAGAACGATTTCGGAGATTGCATAGATTCAACCATCAACAATCAACCATTGACCTATGGGATTACAGGGTTGGTATAAAAGAAGTATTTTGTTAGCATATGGACTGTCTGAAAGGGTATCTTGTTTAAAGAAGCAAAGTCGTAATCATATCATAGACCATTAATGGGTCTAGGCCAGCCTTCTCGGCAGTGTGGATGGCAAGTCGTCCCCTACGCTCCTGATTGTTGCTTGTAAGAGGTTGGTGGGCAGAACAGCTTCAGTCTTCCTCATCGCTTGTAGCTTCGTGATTCTTCTTCTCATACTTGAATCTGTCGAGCTTGCTTGTGGAAGAAGCGGTGTTTGTCTCTGGTTCGTCATCGGCCGGCTCAGGCTCGGCTGCGACTTTCTCGATTTTGGGGGTTTGATTNGATGAAGAGGTTTTGGCATCACCCTCTTCGCCATAGTTCGGACGAGGCAGCTCTTGGCCCTGCGACTTCAGAGCAGCCTCTATCTCGGGAAGGATTCCAAGGAAAGCTGAGAATTGTTCCAGAGAAAGTGAAATGCCCTGAGCAGCTTAGCAGACCTTCTTGAATTTCAGCAACGCAAACGGAAACCTACCTTTNCTTCCTGGAAGCGTCTTGCCATCCTTTTCGTAGTACTCGCGGATGTTGATNCTGTATTTTTGCGTAAGAATCCTATGTCGAGGTATACGGCAGTGGCAGGAACTCACCAGATGCATGTTCTTATACTCGGACAAGCCGACACGGCGTTTTCCGGAGAGCNNTGGATAACGGTGAGTTTACATCACACTCGACTGTTGTAGAAATCGTACCTCCCAGTAAGGGTTGCCATCCTCATCAACTTGCTTGTCTTTGGAGATTGCCGTTTTGGCGCGTTTGGACTGAGGAGCATCTTCGACGAAACCGCCATCGGAGTCGTAGTCATCAGCCTTGGTGACGCGCTTCTTGGTTTTGGGAGGCATGTTTCGAGGATCGATTATATTTCGAAAGGGTCGGTTGACAGACGTGAACTGGGAGACGTGCTCAAACGCGTGGACGTCATATTGAGCCAAGACTTGCTCTAGAACGCAAAAGCACTGTTTACAAGACTTACGAAGTTTCCCAAATGAGCTCTGTTCTTCGCTGTTGCAGATTGCTAAGGAGCACGAAACTACAAGCGCACTTTCAATCCGACAGTAGCAAGAAATGCTCTGAGTAAGTACTCTCTGTAGTAATGAGGTTTCTGCATTTCTATGTTCGGGTATTCCTATACTGCCAATGCAAAATGCCATGCCGATATGTTGGGTAATAATGCCTCTGCGTTCTTTATCATGTCCAGCTTCCGACCGTAAATAGCGGCGGTCCAAGATCAACTGAACAAGATAGAGTCAGTCGCTTGGACAGGCATTGCATTGGATTTGTGCAGATACGCGTGTTGGATACTAAGGTCGTCTAGCTCATCTCAGGTTGTAGAGAATCATTCAAGCCTCAACTTTACGCATCACATTGCCACCAACAACGATGACGAGCACATCATGACTTCGCAGGACGTCACGCAAGACGATGGCAAAGAAAGCGACTATGGATCCGAGTTTGGAACAGACGACGAAGTGACACTCTCAGTCCTCCTCACGCAAGTCGCGTCGCAGCCTGCCACATCAATAAGCAACCATGCTGAAGTCTTGCCGGGCACTCCCACTTTGTCGCCATTCGCCAGAGGCACGCGGCGCAAATATGTCGACGACAAAGGCATTGTCTTCGAGATGGTCTCGCGCGACGGCCCTGTCGGCGAGGCTTCAGTCGAGATCGAGTACGACGAGCACAACCGCGTCGTTTTCTCCCGTAAGTCGCTGGTTTGCATGCGGTAGTCGTTGGCTTGCAACAATCTACTGCCAACCGATTGTTAGGCTGACCGCTGACCACAGCGCTTCACAGCTCGTCCTGACGCTGCCCGCCTGTCCGTACCGTCCCGCGAAGTAGATGCCGAACCTGAACAACCAGATCCTCTAGACACGCGATCACCAATCGAACGATTCCGCACGCCCCCGAAGAAGCCTCTCTCTGTCACTGATATCATATCTCCTGCTTGGTGCGAGTTGCAATACTGGTACAGCTTGACCAAATATGGAAGAGTCCGCCGAACGGCCGCCATGAAGCAGGGCTCCTCCGTGCACAAGGTTCTGGAAGAGCAGGCTGCTACAGTCTTGCCCGTTGACACGATACGCCTGCTGGTCGAGAGAATTCTACAAGAAGAGTTGAAGGCAGTCGTATCGGCCGAGACGGTAAATCAGGTCGTACAAAAGGCTCTAGAACAAGAGAAGCGCACTGCAGTCCCTCTGGACGTTGTCGGAGGCCTCGTACATCAAGTTCTGGAGAAAGGCAAGCTCGAGCCAGTCGCTGTCAACACTGTCAGCGAGTCGGTACATAAAGTCACTGGTGCACAGGTCCAAAAAGCTGTCACCGTTGAAGTCGAGACCAAAGAAGATGCTTTCGGCTTGCGAATCTGGAATATTATACAGAGTCTACGAACCCTAAGAACAACCGGACAGGCTCGCGAATTTGAGACCTGGGCCGTTATCGAAGGTCAAGTTGTTAATGGTATTATTGACGAGCTCAGTTATGAATGTCCTGACGAGGACTTTGAAGCGAGTCTAGCTCAGCAGAAGGAGCCAAAGCCCAAAAGAGGAAGACCGAAGAAGCAAAAGTCACTACCGNAGTACCAGACCAATCTGGATACTTTCTTCAGCGGCTCTCAAACAACAGAGAGTAACGACACTGCATGGCTGGGAAGTCCTCATGCCAATCGCAGAATATACATCAAGGATGTAAAGACTCGTGGCTCAAAAAGCATGCCCAAGGGGGAGGCATCATTCCGACCTACCTCTATGCAACTGATGATGTATCACCGCATGCTTTCTTTGGTCGCCTCAAATTCGGTACCAGCTGAGCAGGTCTTTGCTCGCTACGCTCTCGACAGCAGCGTTGCTTTCAGCGACATGTTCGTTGCCCAGCTAGGCGGCATCGAGTCAGATGTTCAACTCGCAGCGGCTGAACAAGCAGAGACACCAGTTCAAGACACGATCGATGAGTTACTTGCTCACAACAGCCTCGAAAAACTCTGGACGTTAATGATCTCGGAGTTTCAGCTTGCTATACCATTCTCCAATAAGCCATCATCGCCATCTCCGATCGGCGACGTGCTCATGGCCGAATATAGAGCGTCTGGCAGCGGCTCCGTGATAGGATCGAAGACCTTTGCCTACGATCCCGATGTCCTAGACGCCTACTTGAAGAAAACAATGGCTTGGTGGAACGGCGAACGGATGCCGAAGGGCGTGGAGATCGAAGAGGCTTTCAAGTGTCGAATGTGCGAGTTTGCCGAAGTGTGCGGCTGGCGCAAGGACAAGGTTGAGGAAGGCGTCCGCAAAGCCAGACTTCGGAATCAAGGCAAGAAGAAGAGCGACGTTTGATCGGTATCAACACATGCTCAGCTGAGGCTCTGCATTCACGATTGCGCGATTGCACGATGAGATTGCCATCAAGACTACTTTGGTATATCCATCAGACCTGACACCGAATTCTACGTGCCTAGGCTCGTAGGATGAGTCGTGTACGTCGTACGACGCATGGTATCGTTGGATGTCAAATGTCGGGGATTGGAAAGGCGCCTTCCAGATGCAAACGTATGTATCAATGCAGCCATGCAGTCAATACTCGATATGCATGGCATGCATGGCCGGTGAAGGTATAGGGCTGCGTTTGATTGTCAAGAAACAATTCCCATGGCGGAACTTGCTCGGTCCGTGCCGACCGACTTTCCACATGTAACGGCGATGGTGGAGAGATAATTTACTTGCGATCCGTCTTATTAGTATTGCGCAAGAAGACGCATCCAGGTATATCGAGAGGAAGATGCATCCTTCAAGATCGAAATGAAGAGGAATCGGAGTGGCTTGAAGGATTATGCGATTTGAAGCTGAGAAGCATCAAAGCATTCGGCTGAGGCATTGACCTTGGATCAACGAGACAGGAAGTCAGATAACAAGGCAATGGCAATTAATACCGAGCTCACGGTCTTGTCTTCCAACGTGCAAAGACGTCAATTGTGACAACGTGACAATGTCTAGCTGTAGCAAAAGCACGAACTCGGTTCTCCTTGACCGAATGTCCGCCACGACTTGGTCTTGTGTTGCTCGTTCGTGAGATCTTTCCCGATCAAGTCTACCTCCAACATCGCTATAGCTGAAAGCTAGAATTAGTCCCCTAGCAACATGTATAGCTAGCAAAGGCGGTGGGCAAGTGGTACACACATCCACAGTCGCTGTTTCAAGGCATACTCCAACACTTGAACTCTCGATCTTGAAAGTCTGACCCCTTATGTGGAGACCCTTGGTTACTGGATGCTGGGGCAACAAGAGATAATCGTCTCAATGCTCCTTTTCTTTGCACTGCCCTCGTGGCCAGTTTCTGGACAACTACTTGCTCGCATGCTTGCCTTGATGCCTAATCGTCAAGCAAAGCTCGCGCCTCTCTTGAGATAATGCGGTACTGCCACGCCATCTCCCCCACAAACAGCTAAGCTCTCGGATATCATTAATAGTGCTCGGGTTGATCAGCATAAGATAGAGTTTATGTATAACACTATTTCAAACGCTCTGCCTGGTTAAACTTTTATTCAAGGGTGATCAGGGTGGAGGGGAACAGCAGCGGAGAAGCCGCCGTGGGTAAACAAACACATTTTCCAACATCAAACAACGTTCTGCCAACTGTATAATTTATGCGTATCTGTGTTCCAAGATTCGTTTACAGAAACGTGGCTGTAGGGTCATCTCCTCAACTTTGATGGCTGAGAGTAGGCAGTGTAGTAAGGCCAACCATAAAGTTGGTCCGAGTAGAGGGAGAGGGGTTGACCTTCAAAGATCGACTGCAGGTCTCTCTGGGACCTGCAGCAGCGCAGCGACGAGCCGGCCGGCGGTGAAGGCAACAAGGAGAGAAGTGACAGGAGACGCACGGTGCGGTCTGGGGATGGGAAGTGGATTCGTAGACTCTGCCATTCTTGCTTTAGGCGCGCCGGGAGTGGGCGTTCGCGCCATGAACTTTTTACGTCCTTCTTTTGCTTTCGGCCACGAGGGTGATCGTGGTGCACCGTCGGGGACTCGGCAATAAGCAAAGGCTACCGTGGTGGTCATTCGAGGCTTGGTGTGGATGAACATGTGCTCTAGAAGAGGCAAGACCAAAGTGGCTTTTCGAGTCAGGAGTAGAGATTGTGAACAAACGTTGAGTATGTTGACAAGTACGAGATGTGGATTACGAGTCAGCGGTCAACAGCATTGAGGAGATATTCCTAGTATGTACAGACAGACCTTGAGTCCACAGAGCCCCCCTTTTTCAATTGTGGTTGCCCGGGTTCAATTGCACGCCAACTATGCAGCTACATAGCTAGGCCCGTTGCATAAACCAGGAAACTCAGTCGAGTCAACCAACCTTGAGGGGGAACCATCCCAGGGTGCTGGGTACAACGTTGATGGTACGTACAGGACAACTCGCGAACGGTACGGCAGCAACCTCCACTCCTTGATGACCGTTTGTTTAAGAGTAGCCTCCTGGTTTCAGACAGCTTTGGTTGTATTAATAGACAATCGAACAATCATCATTGTTGAAAGATGCGAGAGTCTTGCAACTCCAATTTCACAAGCGGGCAGCGGGACAAGTCTTGTTCAAGGCGGTGAAACACAGGTTGACCTGGAATACTGCTTAGCTAGTTTCCAGCAACCCTATCATGTGAGTCTGGCGCTAATTATTGCACATCTCGATCTGACTGGGCCCTCGGACATTGACAATGGTCGAGGAGCTTGAGCTTCATGAGAGCAGGGTAAGAAGGTAGAGATGAGGGGCCAACGGCAATGCAGCGCTCAGCGCTCAGCTCGAGGCGGACGGTAGACGGACAAAGTGGCTAGGGAATAGTGAACCGGTGCTGTGCAATGGTCTGACTAGCTACTAGATTGTGCAAGGGGAAGATATGCAGCATGATGTGGTCATGCCAGAAAAATGCTTTTTGCATTGATTGTTATTCCGTTTGTTTGTTTATACCGTGCAAGGACCACGTAGCTCTCGGCTGAGCCAAGAAGGCTCCGACACCAGACGGCGGTCGAGTTGACGTGTGTGAAGCAGACGGACCAAATTTGCCTGGTGTCAAAAGGAGATTTGGTCGTCATCGTATTCGTTATGCACAAGAGCAGGCGCCAGCAAGTGTGGGTTTGGCATGGTGTTTATGATTGAGGTTGGACTTGAACGGCTTGAGGCTTGGTCAAGAGGCCGTGCATGCAAGGCAGGGTCAGTGCGCTTGTCGCGATGCCCATGCACATCGGTCGCTGTTGCCCTCCGCCGCTGCTGGCGCCTTCCCTCTGTAACTCGCACTCGCGCCCATTTATCGACTTTCTCGCATTCTTCTCCCGCCTGAACCGCCTGGATCAACTTGTCTTGTCTTCCCTCAACTCCGTCTTCCAACCTCGACGTCTCGCAGTCCGAGCTGTGCTCAACAACAACAAAGCCGCTCTATCAGCCTCATCCCCGCCCATCCACACGCGCCGCGCCGTCGCATACCTCTGTTTACATTTTCGATCACCAAGACCTCAGCACGTCCAACGTCGTAATTTCCATCAATACTCGAGTCCTGCGATCGCCGTTCCCTCAGCTTCTACGCCTATCGTCTATCCAACAACCCTTTGCCTGTCGTGGTACACCTGACTGCCGCGTCGCCGATCGCATCTGTCGCATTCATCCTGCACACGCCCTCAGCCAGCAAGAGTGGAGCGTGTTGATGGCCACCTAGCTCTGTCAACCGTCTCGCTTCGCGATACAAGCTCTCCGTCCGACATACATACTTCCGGCATCCACCTCAAACGCCCTTCGTGCCGCCCCGTCCATCTAGACGAACAACCGTCATCCTGGCCATGGACTTTGAATACTCTCCCCACCGTTCAGCTGGAGGAACCCTTCATCTGCTTTCGCCGACGCACCCTCAATACTCCATCGACGCGTTTCCGTCCATCAAGCAAATCCGCCGCTCTTTGTCGCGTTCTCCCTCGAAGCCGTCGCGTTACCATCTGGTCTCCAGGTCTCCCAAGAAGTCCCCTCCACGCTCCAGTCTATCGCGTGCGTTGAGTGCGAACACTGGTGCCGATTCTTCTCTCAAGAACAAGTTATTGCTACGACGAAACGCGCCTGTTCGCGCGAATGCGCGCAAGGAAACGCCGCACACTTTGAGACGCGCCTTGAGTGACGCCAGCAGCCAAGCAAACACCGTAACTATGGAACTTACTCAACAACCTACTCCTGGCGACCAGGAGAACTCATACCTAACGTCGCCCACTTCAAGGCACCTGGATGTTCCGCGGGATGCCCGCTTCGAAGTCGATGACGAGCCCATCAAATTCGACTTCCTCAAAGGCCGCAACAGCTTGTCTCTGGCCATGAATGGAACGCCGGCAAAGTCCAGTCCTCTCAAACGCAGCGATGGTGTTATGAACCTCGACCAGGTCAACCTTGGTAGTCCCAGAGCCAAGCGACGCAGCTTGCACAGCGCCTCCCTCGGCATTGACTTTGACGTCTTCGAGCAGGCCTTTGAAAGTGCCAACAACGGTTTCAGCGACGACGAGCCTACGCCCGTGTCCCCTGTGCGTCAACGATCTCCCCAGCGCTCCAAGCCTTTCAGCCTCAGAAGGTCTACTCTCCAGCAACGAGCGGTTGGTACACCTCGTGCCAGACCCTACTCAGATCTGAGCGAGTCTCCTAGCGGTCACTCGAAGGCACGCGCTAGAATGTCGCTTGACGGCTCGCTGCCTCTTCGTGGTCTGGAGCACTCCATCCATCTCCCACCTCCAGAGCAAAAAGTTATTTCCCGCTCAGCACCAAAACCTCACCCCCTCTCTAAAGCATTGAGCCCCTCATCTTCGGCATCAAGTCTCGGCGAAGATACGCCACGCCTTTCGCCCAAAAAGCCACAATTCTCTAGACCGTACCCCGGCTTTTCCAAGAGTCTACCCATCGGTGCGCTCAGACCTAAGCCGCACACCGACTCGAGCGGCTCAAGCGATTCGTTTGAGACGCCGGAAGCCTTCAAGATGGCAAAGCCATTGCCACAGGCTTTCATGTCGACCGGCTTGATCTCTAAGCGTAATCGAAATGTCGACCTCCCTCAGTCTTCATTTGGTAGCAGCATGAACATGCCCGACACACCCTCGAAGAAGACTATTCTACCTCACCTCGGTGGTGGCACTCCAGCCCCAGCAGCCAACTTTGGCAAGTTTTCTCGCCCTCTGCACGAATTTGGATCGCCAACAACCCCTTGGAGTCCACACCCCGTCCAAGCATCTCCCGAGTCATTCGGCAAAGGAGTGAACATCTTCGGTCTAGGCTGCTCTTCTGGAAAGTCAAATCGACGCAGCAGTTTCCTTAGCATCACCGACGAAGATCTGAACAAGTCACCTCTCGGTCATATGGACGTTCAAGCTAGCGGTGACGAGATGCCACCGACTCCGACAAAAGCCGCTTCTTCTGGATCCACAACCATTCGACCAACATCCAAGGGCAAGGGAAACAGCCTGCGAAGCTCCTTGTTTGGACGCAGATCGTCGATTGCACCTGACACTTTCGACCGTCCAAAATTCGAGGATCAACAGCCAGCAAATGACTGTAAGTATATTTCTTCAACTACTCCTTCTTCGGAGTCCAAGAAAAGTGCGAGTTCGACCCCATCTCTTACTATCACACCATGTGGCTCGCCATCTTCTCCTTCTTTTGAACAAGCCATGAGCCTTAGGCAGTCTCATCGCAAATCTTGCCCATCTCCTCTTACTCTTCGGTGCCGGGAATTTCCTTCTTTTTCTTCTTCTTCTACCTCATCTGCAGGAGATGCTGAAGCAAAGCAACTATTAGCAGTCACGCCATCTAGCCACTCGAGCTTTACGGACTCGAATCTTCCTCCGAAGACTCCTCAGGAGAGCTTCACCCCGCCGGATCCTAGTGGTCTGTCCATCTCTGGCGAGCACCGTGGGCCGGTCTTGTTCGGCATGAGCGGCCTCCAAAGCTCAAACAGTTTCCCACCTGCTACTCCGACCGGACCAAGAGATTCTGGAATGAACTTCGGTGGAAGTATCAGACCCGGTGCTTTTGGAGCATCTGTTTCAGGCTTCTTTGCGAACGACGTTGACACAGCACTCACATCTCGATTCGAGAGTGTTCAGGCAGTCGGTATTGGAGAGTTTTCCCAGGTTTACCGCGTCTCAAAACCTGTCGTTGGCAGTCCGGCTGCTCGCCACGAATTCACACGCAAGCTTGGAAATGTCTGGGCTGTCAAAAAGTCAAAGAAGCCGTATCTTGGTGTCAAGGACAGAGAAAACAAGATGAGAGAAGTCCATGTTCTCCAAGCCCTTCGTGGTAACGAACACATTCTCGATCTCTGCGATTCGTGGGAGTCAAAGAACCACCTCTATATTCAGACCGAGTTCTGCGAGAACGGCAACCTCAAGGACTTCCTTACGCAAACTGGCTTCAAAGGTCGATTGGATGATTTCCGCATCTGGAAGATCTTGCTCGAGATGTCTCAGGTATGTGCAGGTCCTACTGAATATCTCCTTGGGTTATACTAACATATCGCTANNCAGGGTGTCAAGTGCATTCATGATGCTGGATTTATCCACCTCGATCTCAAGCCAGCCAACGTGTTGATTGACTGGGAAGGAGTACTGAAGATTGCAGACTTTGGTATGGCCACAACATGGCCTGCGCCCAAACACATTGAGGGAGAGGGTGACCGCGAGTACATTGGTCCCGAGGTACTTTCTGGCAAGTTCGACAAGCCCGCCGACATCTTCTCTCTTGGCATGATTATGCTTGAGATTGCCGGAAACATTGTTCTTCCCGACAATGGTCTTCACTGGCAAAGGCTGCGTAGCGGCGACCTCAGCGATGTGCCTAGCCTTACCTGGAGTTCCGATAACAGCCTTCCTAGATACGAGTCTGGCGAGCCCATGGTCGACGATAATGAGGAGACCCTTCGATTTGATGACGACATGGATATGGGCAACCAACCCGCCGTTACCGGTCATAGAAGAAGAGAGCTGGCTCAGCCACCCAACTTTATGATTGACCCCAACGACAGCGAGGCACTGGACAAGATCGTTGAGTGGATGATCTGCCCGTCTCCAGAACAGAGACCTGTGATCGACGAACTTCTCAGCTGTGGTGGAGTCCAATGGGTCGAACAGAGGAGACGCGCAGGTGCTACAGTTTACGAGGGTAACTGGGGACCAGCAGACGATGTTCTCAACGCTGGTCATGACATCGACATGGTCGACATCTAAAGCATATTCATGTTTTTGAAGCAAGGGTAACAGACCCTATACACCAAACAAGGCCAGCAGGACAGACCTGGCGACAAAGAAGCCACTTTTCGAAGCGAATTCATTGCCAACGAATTGCAAGCGTTGTAGCTGTCCAAGCGGCGAGCCGATTCTTGGGCATGACCACACTATCACGCAACATCAAACTTGTATCAGTAACGACAGCACGATTGATTCCCAGGAACCCAAGGATTCCATCTTCCACGTCCTTTCTCTTTTTTTTCTTCTTTCTCTTCTTAGCACTTCTTCTTCTTGTTGCCCTCTATCTCTATTTGATTGACGATGGACGTCGTTTTCAAGAAGATGGCCGGTTTGGGCACTCTTGTTATGTTTTTGTTGCTCTCATTTCGTTTACTCTAGACATTGCTCGGCGATTGGTCTATGTGGTTTGGCTCATGGGATGGCAGAATACCAAATGGCGTTTGATCATGGGATACATGGCTATTTTTCTTGGTTTGATAGCGAGCGTGTGGTTGGAAGCCACGTTGCGCAGGCGTTTCCAGTGGCATAGGCGCACATGTCGGAGGATTCCAGCCCCCAAGGCGGCAGCATTTGTGGAAGCCACAGGCAAGGGGAAGATTATTAGGCGCGTAGCTGATATGGCGAGAATTCATGGACTTTTCTGATGTGCTGATGAAACATGGCTTGTGCACTGTGCACTGTGTCTGTCGACGAGGCGATGATTGTTGTTCTAAGCTTACCGGCTCGAGGCTGCTGGCTTTGTTTCGCGACAGAGTGGCCGATGGAGGGAAAGAGAATGGGCTTGGACTTGGTCGAACAAAGGAGGCACGATATGTAGAGAAAAGGACTCGTGTGCCATGTATAGGAGACTGGATTATAGTTTTGTGCAAGCAGCGCTAAAGCAAGATTGAATTGTTCCAGAAAATTGATCGAAGAGCGGATAAAGGAAGAGGAAGCGATGGCTTTCTGGCTGCATCTTGGCTCGATGACATGGTCCTTGACTCCTTGGTTTGCTTCGCACACGCCCCTAGCACAGGCAGCGCCCTCGCATTTGCATCTGGTTAGCCGTTTTGCTTTTGCTGTCGCTCTCGCACCTGCACCTGTCCGCGCCTGTCGCTAGCACGCTACACACCGACTATCGCAAACACAACATGCAGATGCCCCGTCCTTCGTGACTCCCGTCCACGAAGCCTTGATCAAACTCGACCAACAACTCCACCTCGCACGCCGCCATGGCCGACGCCCGTGAAGCCCACCCGAGGAGCGCATCCAGCAGAGACAGCAGCCCCGTTACTGTGCGACACGCCTCGTCCACGTCCATATCCTCGATCCCCACGCTGCGGAAACAGCCCTCGGCCACCTTTGCTCCCTCCGAGAGTCCTCGCTCGTCCAGGAATCCGTCGCCGGTGCGCTCCGCCATGCGCCAACACGGTACTCCGCCAGCCTCGGCCGTACAGGGCAGAGCCGGTGTCTTACGGTCCCGTCAGAGCAGCCACGACACCAGCCCTCACCGTACCCCGGCCTTGTCCACGCCTACCTCGGTGCCCTCGGCCGCTGCCATCCAACGTGCTCTCTCCGCCGCAACCATCCCACAACTCCAACAGGCCCAATCACCCAACTCTGTCACCGATGCTGTGACCCGACTTACTGCGCAGAAACGTCCTCTTGCCACTGCCTCTGGCGAAACCACTCCAACCATCGTACCTGCCTCACCTCGTCTCAAGTCCCCTCCTCCTTCTTCCGCCCGCTCTCGCAGGAATTCCGCCTTATCACAAAATCCAAAACCTGCTCCTCCATCTATTGTCGTCGAACCCTCTTCGACCCCCTCGGAACATTCAATCTTGAATGAGGGCATCAAAGAAGAACCTATCCAATTACAACCTCCACCACCTCCAAAAGTCCAGTCCAGGGGCCCTAGCGGCCCAAGACCTGTCCTTGAAACAGTTGTCGAGAACATAGCGCCCAGTGGTACCACTAACTCGAAAGGGTATTATCAAATTGTTATTCACAGCATGCAGCACATAAGCTTACGTGGTATGCAGGACCGGGGCGCACTCTGACGACGACGGGCCTCCGACTGTTCGTGGTAAACCGAAGGATAACAATGGAGAAGCCTCTTCAAAACTCGCAGAAAGCGAGAGTGATGCTAACTTGAGTGACGGTCGAGGTCGCAGAACCAGCCAGAGCTCGAACATTCGTCCCAAAAATGTCGCCGCCCTCAAATCGGTATATCCAGGTCTTGGATCTAGCAAATCACGCGCCACTGAAGGGACTCGAAACATGACTGTCGAGACAGAGACCGTCAGCTCCATCCCACAATCGCAGATATCTACCATCGATCGTTCTACCTTGGGCAGGCCCGACTTGGGAGGCTCTCTTCGCATGAAGCCCAGCACCGAGACGATACGACCAAGAAAGGAGAGAAAGCGAGCGACGCGCAAGGCGCCCTCGATTAACAACGGAACGGGTGTGTTCAATCCCCCATTGCATTTGCGTCATCATTCGTCCGTTGCTTCGTTCTCTTCCCGTCGCAGAAACATACCCACTTCTTCTGGTGAAGCCCAACCCTCACTTGATTCCGCCGATGATTATGAAGATACGCGTTCAGATTCGTCTTTTGTTGCTCATTCGCCGCGTCGCGTTTCTGCTTTTCGTCGCGCTGCTCTAACCTATATACCGTCGCATAATACTAACGCATTTATTCGTTCAGCCTCCTCCAAGGCCGATATATTCGAGGCCAGGGTTGCAAATGCCGTCGACGAAGCCAACTCTTCAGATTCGGACGAGACGTTTGTATACGAATCGAACCCGCCTGAGCAACAGCACAGAGCCAGTCGACATCATTCGCGTACACCTAGTGGGACATCCCTACATAGCCAGAGCGACTTCCGCCATGGAATGCGACCCTACGGCGATCATCGCATCGCAGGCAAGCGCAGTATGAAGTTCTCTAACAACCCTTATAGCGTGTTGGACAGCCCTGAAGCCATGGGTGATGGCACGGTTCGGGCCCACCATGCCAGGCATATTGGCAGATTCGGCCGCCCGGGCGGCAGCAGTCGCACTTCTCTATATGATCAAGACTCGCCCTTCATTCAGGCATCCAAACTACGCAGCACCACCTTGTCCGTTTCAGAACGAGCACCTTCGCGTCCAGGCACGCCACGCATCGTCCAGAGCGGACAACATCGACCTTCCGGATTGTTCGGCAGAAAGAACGACAACTCACAGTATGACTTTGAGGGAGAAGGCGCAGACGACGAGCGCACGCCCATGCTGGGTAGCGTCAGAACACCAAGGAATAGTCAGCGCAATTATGGCAGGAGGTTCAACAGCGACAACAGCATGCGCTCAATTGACTATTACGGCGTCAGAGAACCACGATCACGGTTTAGCAGAGTCGGAGGGTTTATCCTGGGTCTTCTAGTTGTCATGATGGTGACTATGGGTGCTGTTGGGCTGCTGGTCATGTTCAACAAGCCCTTGACGGACTTCCATGTGGACAAGATCCAGAACGTCCTTGCAAGCGAGCAAGAGATCATGTTGGACTTGTTGGTTGGGGCTGTCAATCCGAACATCCTGAGCGTGACCGTAACGGACATGGACGTGAACATATTTGCCAAGAGCAAGTATGTCAACCCTATTGGAAGAGATAACGGCTCCTTGCCAGCAACGACTCAGCGAAGACGTCTGATCACTCGTGGAGAGGCTGGAGGTACCCCGTGGCAAGACGAACACGGTCACTGGCATGCAGGCTCAGGTGTGGACAAGGGCACGGATCCTATCGAAGGCGACTCGCAGACCATGCTCCTCGGCAGGATTCTACATTTCGACCAAGCTTTGTGCTTCGAAGGATCACCCATCAAACGTCACACACACTACTCGCTGGGCGAGCTCCGTCTTGGGTATCCTGGCAACAAAACGGAGAGCGGAGGATCAGAGCGCTGGGAGAGGGTACTGCAATACCCTTTCGAGCTCATTCTTCGAGGAGTACTCAGATACCAACTGCCGATGAGTAATCGACGCCAATCAGCAGCTATCGGCGCCAGTGTGATAGTACACCCCGAGGACCCGATAGACAGTCATGGGCGCATGCGATTAGAAGAGGTGGACCACAGCGAGGAGTGGCAGTGGGCAGAAGTGGACGATGTAGAGAGCACCGAGACGCTCATGACAGAAGTGTACTAAGCTTCTGTCATACGAGATTCCTCATTTTTCTCTTCTCAAGAATTTATGACATTCAAGACCTTTTAGCATTTTGAGCGAGTGGGCTGTCCAGGGAAGGATGTTTTTGGTTTACTGGTTCGAGGGCCAAGGCGAGGGCTCGGGACAACGCATACAATTGGGATGGATGGACTAGGGAGGTGTACGATTTGTTTTCTTTTGGGACAAGAAGTGGAAGTGGCTCAAGCCAAATGTAGGGGTTGTGTTTGAGTAAATGCTTAGCTAGTATTGTCGAGCGTTCGACAGACCGATTTCCATAGCCTTGGTGCTTTCATGAGACCTCATTCTATGATGCCATGAGTTGCTATAGAAGATCCAAAGATTGTTCCTGGACTAGAGATGGGCACAGAGACAATGGTGTAAAGATGGGGAAGTTCAGAAATGGCAGCCTCAGGCAGCAACCCCAGGCCTCGGCCGTGATCGCTCTTTCCCGGACTCCAGTTCGCGGAGAACGAGACAAAAGGAGGCAGTTGTCGACCAACAACACCACACTGTAAACATCTCACCAATAATACCATTACTGTCGCGGAAGCTTACCGATTCTAACGACATCGATTATGACTGGATCTTCGAATTGAGTCACGAGCAACGAGACTCGCACGACCAGCGACCGGCGCGTCATCTACACGCTATAGAGGACCGTCTACACAACCTCAGCAACCATGGACGGACCGGAGCTTGGGCGCATCGAGTCGATCGACTCAACCAAGATGCAGACGCCGATGCGCATGGGCGTGCCACGAATTGACACAGAGCCACTCTTCACTGCCCTCAAAGCTGCTGTTGGGGAGTCCTGGTCCGAGTACAAGAACACATTGTCCTCCTTCTTCTTGGGTACCGCCTCTCTTGCTGCTTCTACTTAGCTCGTGCATGCGCTGACCATCTCGACCCCAGGGAAATTGAACCAGGCCGAACTCTCCCAAGTCACCGACCGGGTCCTCTCATACTCATCAACCGTCTCATACAACGGTGTCCTGGTCTCGACCATCCATCTGCACAATAAAATATTCAGTGCTATACACTCGAACATCTACCGCGATCCTCCACCGGAACCCGTCGCATCATGGGTGCTAGCCACCGATGCCCCGGCCTCGGCCAGCGCAAACAACAAAGTCTCACAAGGTGGTGGTGACAAGGCAGAAGAGAGGTTGAAACGCGAAGTCATGGCTCTATCTGCCCGCGACAGGAGAAGGATCAAGAGTGCTAAGGACAACCTCCCTGCCGTGCCGCCCTCGGGTCCTTTGCGCGAGAATGCCACATACGCAACCGCCCTCACAGTACCCGTCACCTCCTCTCAAATACCCGACGCCATACCGACCACTGCAACCTCACTTAGCAAGACCAACTGGGATTTGGAAATTCGAAGAAGATATGCCGTGCCGCTGGCTTCTGAGACGCTAGACTTTCCCTCACGGGCAGACATCCAAGCCCGTATCGAGCCCATATGCTATGAAGAAGGCGTGGGCCTGTCAGCAGTACCCATGACATCCGCCGCTTTGCAGGCCATAGCAGAGCTTGTCGAGGTTGCTACCGAGACATACATTAAGGAGAAGCTGACGAGTTGGTTCTCGGCAACACGCAGCAACGCTCCTGGAGACTTGGGTCCAATAACAGCAAAGTTCCGCGCTCAAATGCGCAGCGAGGAAGATGCCGTAGATCGTGGACAGCTCGGCAGAAGTGCTGCAGGCTTCTTGCCATGTGAGCAAGAATCTCTTACGCGGAGAGAACCACTCAGCATGGACGAAATACGCATGTCTATGCGCTTGGACGAAACACGACAACGTCTCGATCCCTTCCTTGCCCAGGAAATAATGGACAATGTGGAAATGGACATGGTCGACACGCCAATGGCCCTCACGAATGGTGATCACAGTCCGCTGGACAACAAAGAAGCAGACGGCGATGCCATGATGACTGATGATGACGACCTTGGCTGGGAAGGTGCAACGGCTGCCGACAGAGACATTCTGTTCGGCGTACTGGATTCTGTTCTCGCTCCAGGAGGGCCCTCGTAGGACACTGGTTCGCGTTAGGATGGCGTAGACACACGTAATGCGACCGCTCCCGATCCCGTCGGCACACCACATTCCGACGAACCAGATCGTGAACTATGGGATCTCGAAAGCGCTGCGCTATACAACCAAGACGTGTCGCCGGCCAGAACAACACGCTTCGATTCTGCTGCCCCAGCTCTCCATGATGCTGAGGAGGAAGCGAAAATACCTCGTGGATCCATACAAGGACCCAAGCCTTACAAGTGTAATTTCGAGAGACTTGACGGTAGCGGTCTATGCGACATGGCCTTTCGTTACCAATGGTTGCTGAACAAGCACCAAACGTCAACTGTACACCTGCCACTAATGCTTTGCCCATGCTGCCCCGATAGTGGTAAGCCGCAAATCCCTCGAAGGCTCTGGATCCATGCGAAGAAGGAGCACCCCATAAAATTGTGGACGGAATTCAGAGGCCATTCATGCACCCCTCCAACACTTTACCTCACGCTCGTAGCTCTTTCACGTCATTTCGACGGGAGCCATCAAGAAATCTCGATTTCGGAACGTTATCTTGCGACTCGAGGGTTCTGAAGCAAATCTCGCGCCCTTCCTCTCCCCTTTCTCTTCTTCCCTCTTTAGATAATTCTTGGTCAAAAAATGAATTGTTAATATCGACCTGTTGTTCTCATGATTCGCGATACTAGGAATCCTGGTGCTCACACGTTTATCGAAATGCACAACACATACACTCCATGCCATCAAGAACAGATTGAGGTGTTCACCAAAGAAGAACAAAAGTCTCGTCAAGCAGTCCACCGAAACACTTTTTTGGATATAGAACACATTTTTTGTGCTCACAAAAAGCTGGACCGAAAGTGCTTTGGTCCAGAAAGAGGGCGCGATTGGGAAAAAGCCATCGAGTAAGACAAGACCGAAAACCTTAGTATTTCTGCAAGTTGAGGATGTTGGTATCTGATGACTGTATCTATTGAAACTTGTATCGTTCCTGCCCAGAATTTTTTCCAATCATGACAATGCATGTTGCTGTGTTTTGATTGACACCACTTGTCGCCATCTAAGGTCTTACAGAGATCGAGGACCTTTGAAAGGGGAGAAATGGGAATAAGCGATTCGGTCGAAGAGATGCAAACCACACCAGAAAGGGCCCCTACCCTACCCATTGATATTCGCGTCGGTTTGACCCACCGGAGCAACTCTGTTTCAACCATGCAAACACAAGTCTCCTCGCGACTCCGAAAAAGACGACTTGGCAGTTCAGCAAAGTTATTGAACAGCTTTACTCTCCTGAGCAATTCGGTTCGGAGAAGCTACAGTTGGGATGACAAAGGACGGAGAGAAAACATAACCCACATGATAGCAACGACGGAAAGGAGAGAAGGAGAGCACAGGTCGAACTCTGGTGCTCTCAATGGAATATTACTAGCTATAGTACAGATGTTTTGTTTTTCTCCTCCCCTGCCTGGAACCGTCCATGCCGCAAGAATGATGAGATGAAGAGAAGAAGAGTCGAGAACACTGCATCGAGACCAATAGCCAAGCATTTGCAAGCAAACCACCACCTGTCAACGAAGCTGTGGGCGAGAGAAGTCACTTCAAGCAGTCCGAGCGTGTATAGCTCATATACAGTACCACCATGTCCCTTATTTGTCAAGAGTCGCAGCCGGATTTTGTTTTCTATGAAGCGATGAAGAATTGCTCAATAACATGCCCATAGCTAGACCGTCGAGAGGGGCGGCGATCTTTCCGCTCTTAGTATGAATCGATTAGTGTGTATGCCACAGCGACTGAGCTGGATTGGATCAATCACTGATCGGGCAAGGCGGCAAGCTTTCTTGCAATGAGTGTTTGGAGCAGCTCCAGCTTCTTGCGTTGCTGTGCAGCGCTTTGCTCTGTGTGTTGGTCTGATGCCGGAGGTGAGGGCGGACCTGTTGTGTCAGACGACTTGGCTGCCTTCTCCGCTTCGATCATTTGCTCAACCACATCAGCTGGCGCTTCGGCCTGTTGAACACAGTCAGTTACATGAGTTGAAGTATCGTGGAAGACGGTAGAGCTTACAATGAGGGTAGTAAGAAGGCTGCTGACTTGATCTCCGACGAAGTCAAGGTCGGCTTGCTGATTGGCAAGACCAACCAAGTCAAGCGCAGTACGCTGCTCGACGAAGGAGCGGCGGAAGAAGCTGTCCTTCTCGTCGTGGTGCAGGACTTTTCTTCTCTTGCTCGGACGAGGGTTCGTCTGGCGATTGTTGTAGTACTGTTCGGCTGCTTGGCTTCTGCAAGACTGTTAGAGAAAGCTTACGGAAACCGAATAGAGGAACACTCACCGTCTGACTCTGTCAATGAAATCAAGCTTGATGCCCTTCTCAGGAAGACGATAGACAACACCTGAGACATCGATTTCTTCAAACTCGGACTCATCATCACTCGAGTCATTAGCGATCTCGACCACGCCATCGTTGATGAAGTCGCGGTTGAGGGCGATATCAACGACCTTTGCAGCACGAGGTCTGCGCATGTGTACTCTCCGCTCCCTCTGAAACTGGCGATCAGCCAAACGAGGCACTTCCATCTGGCGAAGCATATGATCAGCATGAAGAGGACAGAGCCAATCACGAATCTTTCTGCCAGTGTGGTCGCGATAGGGGACATTTGCAAGAGGGGGGTCGAGACAGTCAAGGTGCCAGTGTGCGCTGCACTGATCGCAGGTGATAATCTCGCGCCGACCAAGGGACGAAAGAGAACAGTTGTAGCATAAGATGGCTTGCCCTTTAGCATCTTTTGTCTTGAAGTGATCGGGCAGCTCTTCGTATCCAGCTCCTCTTCTGNNTTACATATGTCAGTCACCAGTCTTGCATTGCACTGCTTATCGCTGAATTTTGCACGACAAGCGCTTGTGGTGGCGCATTTATGCATCGACTTACCGAGTCTTTGTAGCAAGTTGCTCTACGAATTTGCCGTCCTTAGCGGTTGCAACGCCATCAAAGTATTCGCGAATGTCCTGTGGGAGCATGAAATTTGATGGATTGCGCTTTTCAAGGTTGAGAAGCAACGCAGCAAAGAGGCCACGGGACTGTCTCTGGGGTTGTGCGCGCTTTGCGGTACAGCCGAAACAGTACCAAGCCTCGTTCAATTCAGGCGCGTTTTGGCTCAAAGGGGGGTCAAGACAGTGCAGATGGAACGAACTGTCGCAGCCGTCACAGCAAAGAAGAAATCCGCTGGTATTGCAAGCTGTGCAGAAGTCGTTATTGTCAGANCTGGGTGGTGGAGGGTGTCAGTGAAATTCTTCTGCAGAGTGATCTCATAATGTATGTGGATCAGATGCTATCGGCAATAGCATCTTTTGCACGAGCAAACGGATGACATGGAATGTGCTGGGGAGGAAATGATAGCAAGGAGTCCGTACCTCTTCGTTCACATCAGGTCCGCTGGGGCTGGCTCTACGGCTTGTTCCGTCCTCGTCAGCACTTTGCCCAGGTGCTTGCTTTTTGACTGGCCTTTGCGAACAACAGCAGTTAGCATCATAGTATTCGTGTCCTTCCGTCTGCGGAGTGGTAGGCACTGATTTGCTAGCTACGCGCATTCTCTCAGAGGTGATTACTTACGAGTGCTTGGTTTTGGCTTTCTTTTTCATCATCTTGGCAGGCATAGAAGCTCTCTTGGGCGTATTGTTACGGGATGCAGACGAGAGCGGCGAGGATACATCAGTCAGAGGCGATACTGCACCAGCTTGATTGTCTCTGCTGTGGGCTCCGTTGGCGGTGAGTTGCACGGGTGGTACGATCAGATTTTGGTGTGCGCTGGAAATGGCCGGTAGATCTGGTCGTACGTGGCTTTCTTCCGTAGGAGCATCACGGTTGACTGTCTGGTCAAACTTCTGCTTCTTCGCTTGAAATTCGCGATCGATTTCGTCATTTCCTGCTTCTATTGAAGAGCGCTTCATAGAGCCGTTTGTCTGCGGAGGAGCTGCAAGCATAGTAGGAGCGCCTGCAGGTGCCGATGATCGTAATGGGTCGGAAGGTGGCATTTCTTCTTCGATGGAAGTGAGTGACGATAAGGACGAAGAGCTCGACACGCTTGATGTACGCGTCTTAGTTGTGGGTGGAGGAAGTGCTGGGGTTTTGGCAGGCTTGGTGACGCTCTGCGTTGTTCTCTTGCCTATCTTGAGTGAAATCTTTGGTTTTCGTGGAACGGCTTGAGTCTCAATAGAAGGGTGCGGAATCATCTCGGGTGCCAGTGAAGAAACCTGCTTTACTTCACTTGCAACGTCCTTATTGTCTTTCATCTCTTCAGCAGCCCTTATCCTCTTTTTGGCTCGATTGATATGCTCTCTGAAAATGGCGATTTCTTGAGGTGTCGAGGTCTGGTCGAGAATACCTTGCAGCAAATCTACCAAATGTGGCTTGGAGAAGCTTTCGAGATAAACGTCCTGGATAGCGAGACCGAGATACCTATTCCCGACCTCTAGAGACTTTTTGACAGCAGCTTTTACAATCCCATACAAATTAAGCTGTTGGTCATCGTCGGGCAGCGGTATAGTCTGATCGAATGATTCTAGGTACTTTGCAACCTCTTCTTCTGAGGCGGGCCTTGGAGGAGGGCGCTTGGCAGAAGCTGAAGGGGGAGCACTTGGTGTGGCCGAGGCGACAGGGGTAGGAACAAATGAAGGCACAGGAGTCACAGAGGCTGCAACCAAAGGTGTAGTGGGCTTCGGCGAAGCAGTCGACTTGACCGTGTTGGCAGCGGAGCGCGAGAGACGGGCTTTCGCAGGCTTCTTGGATGGACGTGGCGTGTAATCATCATCACGCTCATCGTCGACGATGACCAGAGGCTGTTCGGGCAGAGGATCCATAGGTGCAGGAGTTGCTTCTGGCGTGCCCTGGTTGGATGCGGTGGCCATGGGGTTGGCAAGAGATTTGCCCAGAGCGCTTTTCTTAGGAGCGTCTGGCTTCACCCTGCCTCTGACCTTTGCTGTCGGCCGACTGCCCAGGGCTTGCATGTCTTCGAGGACTCCGTAAGGACCTCCNCCGTGGTCTTCGAAACTCGGGATGGGCGATGCGAGCGGCGGTTCTATCCAGTCCTGGGTGGAGCCATTCTGAGCAGGAGGCTGGGCGACGCTACGATTTTGGGTCGATGCTGCGGGCGGTACACGAGGACTGCGGTTCCTACTCCTGGTCGACGGCGTCGAATCCATCTTGTTTTTGATAACTCTTTCCAGGCCAGTGATGCCTCTTGTCATAGATGTGGGTGCGTAGGTGTCCGCCTGGCGGACGGAAGTCGCGGTGTTGAGTGGGGAGGCAGGTGCGTCGAATCTGAAGCGTAGAAGGTGCGGCCGTGACGCCTGTGACTTTTTTTGGTCGCGAAAGAGCACCCTCTCCAGACACGCAAAACACACTCAATCCTGATCAGATCCAACCCAGGCGTCGACTCGCTCTCTCTCCACTTCGAGGCCTCTGGGAGCTGTGTTTGACGTGTCGAGGTGTGCGGCTTCAAGGAATCTCGTCGCCGTGCGCCAAGGGTGAAGGACCAGCCCCTTCAACAGTCAACCACCATCACCTTCATCTGCTAATCACGCGCCTTCTCATATGACCTGCTAATATATGTCTGACGTGATGCGTAATATTGCTTCGAGCTGAGTATGGGCACTCGTATCTGACTTCCATTCGCTTGCGACTAGTGCCTGGCATGCCATTCTTGCCTCTCCCCCTTGACTTTCCACCCTAAGCAGTTCAGACTCGTGTCTTGTTCTGCTGATCATGCCGTCGTATGCCATCCTACTGCGTCTCCACAACTGAGATGTTTCAGTATGGCTGCTCAGCTCCGCTCAAAAGCTCTGTCCTCGGTCATCTTGCGTCTTGACAGAATTTATGCCTCGGTGCCCTCGGCCTGCTTGGTGCCCGTCTTCTTCTTCTTGTTCTTGTTCTTCGACTCCTTGGCAAGAGGCTGCTCGAGAATCTTCAGAATCTCCTCGTCGGTGATCTTCTTGTCGGTCTTGAACTTGGTAAGGTCAGGAGTAGGAGGAGCACTCAGACGGGTGATACCGTTCTTGTTCACAGCNTGGTCAAAAGTTAGAAAACGCTGCCTTCGTAGAAAATGTCACGCAAACTTACCAACGGTGGTGAACAGACGGCAGACAGCCTCGTTGTCCTTGTCACCAATGACCTCGTACTGGCGGAGAACACCACCACGGACGCACTCGACGACACCGACCTTGCCGGCGCGCTCATCCTCGAGCTGGCGGATAGAGAAGGGGAAAGTACCGAACTTCTTAACGACCTCGGACAGAGTGGCTCTCGAGCTGGGTCTCTTGAGGCCGTAGGTGGTGGTGGTGCGGCGGTGGAGAGTCGCGCGGTTGCCGAGGGACTTGACCTTACCGGTGCCCAAACTGACACCCATCTCAACACCCCAGGCCTCGCCAACCTCGGGGAGGCCGTCACCTCTAACACCCTCGCCAGGAGCCAAGATGATCTTCTTCTTGCCCTCGATCTCGTTTCTCTCGAATTGCCAGCAGGTGGTGTTCTCGACCAGGTTGCAGTCGTAGCTCTTAACGAGCTTCTCAAGGAGCTGAGTGATCTTGCCTTGGCTGTAAGGCTTCTGGGCACGTGCCTTGGCAATCTCCTCCTCAGAGCCAGAGGCGAGGAGACCAGAGGGCAGCATGGTTCTCAAAAGGAGCTCGTTGGCGTAGTAGGTGGCAAGGACAAGGTCGGCCTGGCGGCCCTCAAGTTCGCCATTGGCGTTGGCCTCGGAGGAGGGAACAATGATCGAGTCGCAAACAATGGCACCGAAACCATCAATCTGAGCACCGAGCTGGATCTTGACGCACTCGGCAGCCTTGAGCTCGACAGCGGCCTCCTCAGCGTCGGACTTGAGGGGAGTGTAGGGAGTGACGAAAGCGCTGGGTGAGACGGTGGTAGGGTGAGCAATACCCTTTACGATCTTCTTGCCCTTGTAGACCTTGGCAATCTCCTCCTCGAGGAGCTGGTCGCCCTTCTCGCAGACCTCGACGATCTTGGCGCCCTCAGTGCACCATCCTNNTGAACACATGTCAGTCCTCGGTCTTTTGTGTTTTGCGTCACGCTATGTACCTGTGACAGCCTCGAGAACCTTCTGAGCGATCTGAGCGGCAGTCTTGTACTTGGTAAGGNNCTAATGTTGAGGTCAGCGGGCGTCGTCTTGAGGAGAGTCGAGGGTTGGGCCGCACGTGTCTGGGTTGTTCAGACTGTAGTCTGCTCGTAAAGGCAATTAGCTTCTGAATTTTCCTGCTCTCTGAGCGCATGGAGAGTGTGCGTACCAATCTCGGCGGGTGCTGTGGTGGAGGCCATTTTGAAGATCTAGAATGAATTCAAACTGATCTGGGGAGTGTAAAGCGGTGTGTAAAGAGTTTTGACGTGGTCGCAGAAAGGAACTTCGGTGGTTTGTAGTGCAGTGCAGCTGCCCGCACCAATTTCGGCCGCCTCGATTTGTGCGGGGCATCGTGCTTTGCTTGACCTATGACGATGGCTTCCAATTGCTACGAACAGCCCCTCTTCTCTGTTTCCATGAGCTGATTCAAAGAGTCTAGTATCATAGCAGGCCGAGATCGAGTCTATCTGGGTGACTGTCTCCATATCTACTCTGTCTTCCTCCGTAAGTCGTGGCTTCCTGAAGCTCTCTCTACATTCTACCTGTTCCAGCCTGTTTCATAGATAGCTATTTTTCAGTTTCAAAGTCAATGGCTGGAGCAGATATCTGGAATGCGGTCGCGGCCATTGTGATCGCAGTCAGGTATATAATGTGTCGGACCAGCAGACGCATGGAACGAAGCAGATGCCCGCTGTGTACAACTCTCGACAACCCAGGATGTGGCCGCTGTGCCCTGCAGGTTATCTTTGACCAGTGGCGACACTCCAGTCACTTCAAAGGGGAATAGATTGACAGGGGTATTCTACAAGCTTGATTGTTTTGTCACAGCCGCGGAGTGATGTCCATATTGGCCAAGTCCTAAGAGCATCCGAGATTTTGTTCTATATAACCATGGATAAAGCTATACAGTACAAGTAGATCAAGGTAGCTTGCACCGAGCAAAAGCCGGAATCAGTTGGTGTCGCACTAGTTTCTTGTAGAAGATGCAAAGACATGTTTTGATGGGCTGCGTAGTGCTTTGTGTGATGGAGCAAGCCTACTCGGATACGACAGAGCAAACCTGATTCCTATATCAAGACTGCCGAAGCTAGACTCAACGACTGCTCTCTTCACTTTGAATATCCTGGTCAGAAAGCGAGAGGAGTGTTTCATTACGACAGCATCTTGTTTGTTGAGCCAAGCCATCCTTTCTAGGAGTGAACAAGCTGGAAGTTATCGAGTGTCAAGAACTTCTTATCCAACACCGACCCAACTCCTGATTCGGTGACTGTCGCCGCACAACGCAAATTGAGGTTCCCACAGCTGCTGGAACAATCATTAAATCACGATTGCAAGAGAACAATACTCAAAAGACAATGATTGCCAGGTATGTTTGCGGCAGTTCTGGTTGGTTGCGTGGAAACCTGAAGGGTTGATTGCTGATTGCTGGCAGGATGTGTTTCTATATAATTCGCCAGCCGTTCGCGAGCGCCTCCCACCAATGGCGTAAGCGGGCCAAACGTGCAAACGCCGACGCGCTTCACACGTCACAGCACCTCGTTGTAGAATCTTCTAATCTGGTGTTGACAAAACCTGTTCACATACACAATAAAAGCAACGGTATGGGCCAATCGCAGCAAATTTGACTTTGAGATATTCGACACCTTTACACGCCCTTCAAGGACACCGGCGCAAACAGCGTACACAGCTGAATTGTGGTCTCAACATCTTGCTGCATCAGAGGTATATACTGCCCCCTTTCTATCTGCACTATCTACCTCTGGGCTGGGACAAGCTGCGCTTCGGTTGCTCGAAGCCAGTGTAGCTACAGGGCCACGACGTGGACTTCCACGGTCTCATCGCACAGCATCGTCGAAAGCACCAAGCCTAGTCTACGCTCATAACGCGGAATGCTGACCAACTGTTCAGCTTTATAGATCTTCTACCATCAGGAAGCAATGGCCAACCGTCCTCCAAACCCTCGCCTTGGCTCGATCAACCCTGTCTTTGACCCAAAGAACACAGAAATTCCAGTCACCCCGGGTGTAGATGTCACTGGCCGCACCTCTTTCTTCCAAACTCAACAAATCTCTTCTCCTGAAGTTGCCTCACCTGAAGGTACCGGAGAACGCAATCGACATCAAATCAGGACTCAACTGNACTCAAGTGAAGGTCAAAACGATGGTGCTGGAGAAGACGTACTTCGTCGCTTGAGCTTGAAGGGACATCAACAAACCACTGACCAAGCTGATGTTGACCCCAAGGCCGCCCACCCGAGCTTGAATCTGAGTGGCCAGGTTATCAGCGCCTTCTTTGCTGTTCCCCACAAGATTGGCTATGCTGCAGGATCAGAATGGGATCTCCAGAGTCGCAGAGGCACATCTGCGCTGTTCGATTCATTTGCTCATCTGTCATCAAACGAATCTCCCTGGAACCACACTCTTGTAGGCTGGACTGGAGAAATTCAACCAAAGACTCGTAACGGAGTTTTCATGGACGAGAACAACGTGTCATCCATGAGCGTAGCACCTCTCAACAAAGCATCCGCGCCCATCCCTGTAGACTCAAATGTTCCGGCACCCGAGCCTGGCTCAAACGAAGGAATGCGAATCAGCAAGGACGATCGTCAAAAGCTAGAGAGAATTCTTGACCGCGACCCTCAAGGCAGAACCATCCCTGTCTGGCTGGCTGACGAAATGGACGGCGATGTGGCTGTCATGAGAGACCAAGCTAGATGGCGTCGTTATGCCGAGCACGAGCTATATACTCTGTTCCACTACAAGCAGAATGAGCCCACCGATGGGCGCTCGATTCGCAAGGCCTGGGCCGATTACTTTCGCTTGAACAAGGCCTTTGCCGATACCATCCTCTCGACCTACAAGCCCGGAGACATTGTCCTGATCCACGACTACCACTTGCTTCTGCTCCCAGGACTTCTCCGTCAGCGTATTCCTAACATCTACATCGGATTCTACCTTCACGTACCGTTCCCCAGTAGTGAGTTTTACCGTTGCTTGAGCAGAAGAAAGGACATTCTCGAGGGTGTTCTCGGAGCCAATATGATCGGTTTCCAAGCCTTCAGTTACTCTCGTCACTTCTCTTCATGCTGCACTCGTGTGCTCGGATTCGATTCCTCGGCAAACGGAGTCGACGCCTATGGAGCTCACGTCGCCGTTGAAGTGCTCCCTATTGGCATCAATGCTGCCAAGACTCATGAAATGGCATTCAACGATGCTGCAGTTGATGAAAAAATCGCCGGTATCCGAGAGTTGTATGCTGGCAAGAAGATCATTGTTGGTCGTGATCGTCTGGACTCTGTCCGTGGCGTTGCTCAAAAGTTGCAAGCTTACGAAATCTTCTTAGAGCGCCACCCCGAGTGGCACGACAAAGTTGTTCTGATCCAGGTGACCAGCCCCACCAGTGTCGAAGACAAGGAAGAAGGCACGGATAGGACCGCCAATAAGATCTCCGACTTGGTTGCAAGAATCAACGGCACTTACGGATCCTTGAGCTTCACTCCTGTTCAACACTATCCTCAATACTTGTCAAGAGAGGAATACTTTGCCCTTCTCCGCATTGCCGATGTCGGACTGATCACAAGTGTCCGTGATGGCATGAACACTACCGCCCTCGAGTATGTCATTTGCCAGAAGGACAACCACGGACCATTGATCATTTCCGAGTTCTCTGGAACCGCTGGCAGTCTGGGCAATGCTACACACATCAACCCCTGGGATCTTGGAGGCACCGCCGACGAAATCCACCAAGCCTTAGTCATGGACCCCAGACAAAAGTACGAGATGCACAAGAAGTTGTACAGAAATGTCACGACCAACACCGTGCAAACATGGACAAGCAACTACGTCAAGCGTTTGCTCACGAACCTCACTTCGTTCAACCAGGCAATTGCCACACCTGCATTGGATAAGACCAAGCTCCTTACTCAGTATCGCCAATCGGAGAAGCGCTTGTTCATGTTCGACTACGACGGAACTTTGACTCCCATCGTCAAGGACCCTCAGTCGGCCATCCCCTCCGACCGAGTCATTCGCACTCTCAAGACACTGGCTTCCGATCCCCGCAATGCTGTTTGGATCATCAGTGGCCGTGACCAGGCTTTCCTGGATGAGTGGATGGGTCACATCTCGGAGCTTGGACTCAGTGCTGAGCATGGAAGTTTCCTACGCAAGCCCAAGAGTGAACATTGGGAGAACTTGACAGAGAAGGAAGATATGTCTTGGCAACAGAAGGTCATCGACACCTTCCAGCACTACACTGAGCGCACCCAAGGTAGTTTCATTGAGCGCAAGAAGATCGCTTTGACCTGGCATTACCGTCGTGCGGACCCTGACTGGGGTGTGCATCAAGCCAATGAGTGCCGCAAGCAGTTGGAGAACACTGTTGCCAAGGAATATGATGTCGAGGTCATGCCTGGCAAGGCTAACCTAGAGGTCCGTCCCAAGTTCGTCAACAAGGGCGAGATTGCGAAGCGTCTGGTTGAAGAGTACGGTCACGAGAAGGGCATGGCACCTGAGTTTGTCTTGTGTCTGGGAGATGACTTTACCGACGAAGGTATGTTTATGACTTGCACCTATGGATCATGACTAGAAAGCTAACACCGAGTCCTACAGNACATGTTCAGATCTCTCAGCAACTCGAGACTGCCCAAGGAGCACGTCTTCTCTGTCACTGTTGGCGCAAGCTCAAAACAGACGCTGGCTAGCTGGCATTTGCTTGAGCCATCGGACGTCATCTCGGCCGTTGCTATGCTTAATGGTTCTGTTGATGCACCCAACGTTGGCCCAATCTCTGTTGTAGAGGGAAGTGTTCCCGAAACTCGCAATGGATAGAAGGTGGAAGAAGGATTACGGAGGATTCTCCTTGATGCATCCGGCGTAGAGGTAGAGAGCTTCAGAGGCATGTGCGGGTTGGGCTTTCATCGCGAAGGAATCGCAAGACATGGCAATCGTTGTAACATTTCAAAGATTCAGGGTCCCTCACAAGCAAGGTCTTCATACTGTGGGGATGGTAGAAATGTCGGCAGTAGAAGCCTGAATCAGTCAAAGACACGGTCGAATGTTTCACGCGCCGTTGGGAAGTTAGCGACAACGTGTTTTTGGTGGCTTGCCGAGACTCTGGGCGAGATTTGTTCGAGATCACGGCCAATAGTTGAGTGCAGCGGATCGTCATACTCAAGGAGAAGCAAGCAAGGTAGAGGAACTGATATGATCGAATATAGTGCGACCACGATAAGGACGTCTGGAGCAAAGGGCCCAGAAAGAAAAGTAGCGTCTTCAGGGACAGACGTGTCCCCACGTGTGAACCCCTCGTTGACCTGAGTCAGTTGGCGAGATGTGCATATCACCCGGCTCAGGATATCATCCGTGCGGGCGGAGAGCCCTTATCCATGGACCATGCCCTTCGCTCTTTCCCCTCGTGCCCTTCCTCTCGACCTTCTGTTGTTCCTTCCGCTCTTCAATCTGTTTTGCATACGCCAACGTCACTCTCTTTTACCTCCGACCCTTTGGATAAGCCACTCTGCGATCCCTGGATCAGACTCAGCAGGCCGCCCTTCCACTCGTTTCACCATTGGCCTGAACAACAACGACTTGCCATAACGACCTTGCTACTTGCACACGTGCCCTTCTTCTCTCACGACAACATTTTGCCATAAACAACACAACCTTCGACTCTACCTTCCAACCCACGAGAACAACACCTACACAAACACCTATCAACGAATCCATTCACTGCATCAAGCCGTGCCATCCACCACCTACCACTCCGCTTCTCTATCCAACCCTACCACAAGAAACAAAACCGCAAACATGGGCTTCATGGACTCCATTCGCGCCAAAGTCGAGCTCTATCGTCTTGAGCAGCGCTACGCCCGCAGAGACAAACGCTCAACCTTTACCACTGGCGCCCGCTACGTTGACGGCGAGTACGTCTTTGACGAGTCGCCAGGTAGTCCCACCGGCAGCACTGGCTCCTGGCAACGGAGTACCAAATCTTCAAAGTTTGCACCTGCAGTCAAGGTCAAGGAGTTGATGACTAGGAGTGTGAGGTGATTGGCTTTCGCCAAAGCCTTTTGTTACTCTTCTCAATGGTGGTATTTACTTGGTATTCTGTTGGCATACGGGTTTGTGGTGCAGGTGCAATCGGTGTTTTTGTTCACAAAAAGTGGATTGGAGTTCTTTCTTGTTTCTGCATGCCTTTACGCTTCTTGGACTGTCTCATGGACCACGAGCATTTTTTCTTTTCGTTTCTTGTCTCTCTTTTCTCTTTCCCTCTTCTTCATGTTCACACACTTTTTTGGCTTTCACTATTTGCCGGGTTGGTTTTCTAGTTTGTCTCTTTCTCTCGCTTCAAAAGACAGCAAGATCTCAGTTCTCACCAGCTTCGGCTTCTGAGCTTTTACGAATATCATTCTTACATGTGTGCTGTACAACCAGACACGCGACATTTACTATACCCCCTCACCCCCCCTTATCGATTACGCTCTCGTAATAGTTTTGACTTTCCGTCGCCGCCGTTTTGTGGCATCTAGACCTGTCTCCGCGTGGAAAACTGATAACGCTTTCTGGGCTGAGATGACCAGGGTCACCCCTATTCGATACCAAATTGTCTTGTCTCTGCTACTATCTGGGCATACTGTCGACAAGTAGCTCTTTGTGTAGATCTCTACACCATGCTGTGGTCAAGCAAGAAGAGGAGCAGGATATTGCTCAATCTCACGCCGACGAGATCACACGACCACGAAAGTTCGACCTTGACATGCAAATTCCTAACATACGGAAATACATATGCTGTATCTTTACTCACGACACAGCAAACGGGGCCTGCATTGCCCGGCCAGTCTCGCAAGCAATGTTACAGCTAACTACGCGTGCTCCAGCTACCACACCAACAACTACCGCGCCCACTTCGCCGTCAAGCAAATCACCAAAAAAAACACCCTAAAGGCAACATTCACTCTCACTCTCGCTTTTTGTCTCGATTGTGGGCGTGAGTATCAACAATTACACTTCGAGGTCAACAGGTCGAAAAGGACAGATGGTCACACGTACTGGAAAATGTGCTTTTCGTGCACAATTTCAAAGAGACAAAGAGTTTTTGCTATGCTTGCTCAATGTGTAGCGAGTGTTTGGGGGTCTGGGGCAGTGGGTTTTACGCGGGAAATAGGTGTCCTTTCTTGTGTGGTATCGGTTCAATTCGGGAGATGTAATCGGGGTATATGCAGTATCTCGAGCGTCTTTCGTGATATTTTTTGCATATTAGTTTGCGTCTTGTTGCCATGGCCTTCTCAATGTCCTGATTGTGAATTAAGAACCAGAAAGCGAAAACACATGATAAAGAAAAGAAAAAAGGTATCAATTGGGGAAAAATAAAACTTCTATACAAGAAAACGACCATAAAATCAAACACCCCACGGAATGAAACCCCCCAATCATCCCTTTCCCACGCAAAACACCTCTTCCCGCTGCACGCTGAAAAAGCATCCTTCCAGGTTCCAAGAAACAAAACGATGCCAAAAAAGAACAAACAAACACAAATGTAGGTACTGAGAGTATCGTCTTCGGCTGGGAAATGTCGTGCATCACTTCTCCCTCGTCGGCAAAGAAGCAGCCGCGGCATTGACAGTGGCAGGAGTTGGCGTCACTTGACCATCAGTCTGTTGATCGTCAACCTGCAGCCCATCATTTTGTCCTCCATCAACCTGCTGTTTCCGAGCAACCTGACCATCCACAGGAGCAGGCGTATACGTTGATGCCTCGCTGAGCACATCTTGACTCAGTTGATTGGCCTGCTGCTGCAGATTGGTCATCGTCTTGGGTACTTGATTGAGATAACCCTCCAGCATTTGCTTGAGGACATGTGCTCTGACGGGCTTGGCGAGATAGTTGTTCATGCCAGCTTCGAGACATTTTTCCTTGTCGCCGCGGATGGCCGATGCCGTCATGGCGATGACCAGAACTTCGCGCACGATGGGGTCGGGGTGTGCTCTGATTGCTCGTGTGGCATTGTAGCCATCGAGCACAGGCATCTGCACATCCATGAGGACGAGGTGGAATGGCGTGCCTGCTTTGCTTGCTGCGGCAAGAGCATCGACTGCTTGTTGGCCATCGCCGTATGCCTCGCACTTGAACCCGAGCTTCTTGACAAAGTTGATGGCGATTTTCTGGTTGATGGGGTTGTCCTCGGCGATGCAGATTCTGAGCTTGTCGCGAGGAATGTGGGCGAGACTGATGTATGACGATTTCTTCATCTCGTCTTCACTGGGCTTGTACATGGCTGCCATTGGATCGGCTAGTGGTCCAGCGACTCCATTTTCGGCACCAGGTCTGATTTTCTGGAAAGGGAGGGAGAAGGAAACCGTTGTTCCGACGCCAATCTCACTCTCGAGCCAGATTCTTCCGTGCAAGACCTTTTCGATAATGGCCTTGCAGATGGAGAGACCAAGTCCAGTACCGCCATAGCTACGTGCTGTGCTGCTGTCTGCTTGACTGAATGGCTGGAAGAGCTTCTTCCTTTGTTCTTCTGTGATGCCGATACCGGTATCTGTCACACTGCATGTCACCTGGACGGCATCCTCAGTCTCGTGCTCGATGAACGCCCTGATAGTGACTGTTCCCTTTGCCGTGAACTTGTACGCGTTGCTGAGTAAGTTCATCAAGATCTGATGCAAACGGACAGGATCACTCATGACAAGCAGACTCGAGGGCATCTCAAGTTTCTCGACAGTCTGCAGTCCTCTCTCAAGATTGGTATAGGAAAGAGCTCTGACGACTTCAGAGATGGTCTGGGTGAGGGACAGCTGCACAGAATAAACAGCCATCTTATCAGCTTCCAGTTTGCTGAAGTCCAGAATGTCGTTGATGACTGAAAGCAAGGTATCCGCACAAACACGAATGCTATCGGCATAGCCCTCTTGCTCGGTGTTGAGATTGCTTCCCTTGAGCAACTCGGACATGCCAATGACTCCGTTTAGAGGAGTGCGCAGCTCGTGGGAGACATTAGCCAAGAACATACTCTTTGCTTTGGCGGCCTCCTCCTTGAGCTTGACCATCTCCATAGCTTTAGCTTCCGCAACCTTGGCCTTGCGCTCAGCTTCGCGTGCCTGCTCAAGAGCCTGCTTCTGGACTTCAAGCATGGAAGAGTTGCTCGCCGAGACCTTCTGAACCTTCTTGAAAAGTAGTGCATTGGCGATCGAGATGGAGATCTGGTTGACAAGCAGGCGGAGAACAGTGATGTTTCGCTGAGATAGCGAGTTTGGAGGTCCCTCAATGTATATTGAACCGAGTAAAGTGTCGTCCCCATGCAATATAGGCAAGGCAATCACGGCCTTGCCTTCAGGATGCTTTTGTCTCCAAGATGCGGGCATGTTTGCAAATCGCTCGTCGTCGAGTACGTTGCGTAGGAAAAGCTCCTCCTTGAATCGCAGAACGTAGAACGTGATTTGCTTTGACAGTGGGTCATCGATGTCGCTGATTGGCTGGCCGACATTACCCTGGTAAGAGATGTCCGGTCCTCCCACAGCAGCGACATTCCAGCCGACCTCGTCATCATTGACAACAAGACCGCACAGAGCGGCTCCAGTACTGTCAACGATGATGTTGGTCAACTTTGCAAGCAATTTGTCGACCCTGAGCTCCGAGGATAGTAACTGTGATGATTCCAGAATACTGGCGAGGTCAATCATATCAAGACCGACAGCAGAGAACCCACCTTGCAAGTCGTGCTGTGTTTCGTGCTGATGAGGGATTGTTCTTGCGCTTGGGGTCAACCACTCATTTGTCCTGTCGCCAGAAGCTTGAGGGGCTTCGTTCTGTACCATCGAGAACGATATGTTGTCGTTTTCGACAGTCTGTGTTGTTGCATCTGCATTTCCAAACGTTCTCGAGCCAATTAGCAAGAATTCGTGTCTCTCGCCTACATGATCCGCCTTTGCTGTGGCGTCGATACGACGGTATGCAGCGATAGCATCTCGAACCATCGCACGTGCAGGACGAGTGGCTCCTTTTCGGACCAGAAAATCGCCATAAAGCTCGTAACATAAAGCCTCGTCAGAAAGAAGACCATGGACTACTGTGTGGTCGATCGCGGCCTCATACGACAGGGTAGCTACGTCCGATCGTACCTCAATGTCAGCAATCTCTGCGCGAAGAAGGTGCAACCAGACAGAAAAGTTTGCCTCGTTGACACGACTCGCTGTCTCAATCTTGGTCTTGAACTTGTAGATAGTTTTGAGGACGCTTTCGCGATCCGCACACTTTGGCTCTTCACGCAGCTTTGCAACCAACGCCATTGAGACGTAGAAGTAGCAATAGTAGGCGTGTCGTATGCACCAGACATCCGCGATAGATTCCAGCACCGAGTTGCCGAGTTCTACAGCCTCTCGCCAGTATCCAAATCTATACAGGATTGCGACCCTGTAGCTGTTGTAGAAAAAGAGCGGTCGAACGGCAGAAGTGGAATGAGATTTGATGTAATCCACATATTGTTGCGTTTGATGGAAATCGTCGTCGAAGATATGCGCGGCTTGACGCCAGTTGGTCCTGCCCTGTAGCGCTTGGATGAACTGGCGTACCGAGACAAGGAACACGCCCCCACGCAGATCCGTAGGCCAATCCGGGAAGTTGTCGTATTGGTACTGGATGTAAGCACTGACCTCTTCAAAGTTATGAGAGGTCCACAGCTTGTATGCACACATGACGCCAACATTCAGGAGATGGACCAACTTATCGCCAGCAAGAACAGTCGCCTCCATACCACGTTCCAAAACAGGTATCTGATCTGAGATGTCTGAAACGAAGTGTCCAAGGAAGAGACTGTGTAGTGTGACACCACGGCCGATCGTGTAGGAATCTGTGTCGAAGAGGTCGAAGAGCTTCAAAGCTGTGTTTCCAAGCTCGACGCCCTTCTCTATCATCTCAAACCGACCAATAGCAATGGATGCTAGATGGACAAAGCCCACGGCGATCTGTGGGAAGAGTCCCCTCTCAAGGAACAATCGCATCATCTTCAGAGTCAGATAGTAGAACAATAACGAGTCAGTCCAGAATCCAGCGCTGAGAAGCTCAATCATGACAGCTGCGGTTGTGAAGAGATCTCGGTCGATCGGCGCATTCCTCCCTTCAAAAAGTTGTCGGTCAGAGACGTTAATGAGGTTCACAATTTCGTAGAACTCCTTATCACATTCTTCGTATGTCGTGTCGAGGATTTCAATACCTAAATCTGCCAGTGCTCGCTTCATGTTGAGGAAGGCAATATGCGAATCACCTTTTTGTGCATGCATTCGGCTCTGGATTATGAATGCTGGTGTCTTGTCAGCAGCAGCTTTGGCATTAGTCATGATCTCCTTGAGTATGATCTCGGCCTCTTCAAAGAATCCAAGATACCAGTAAGACGCCGCTGCCTTGGTCATGAGAGTCAACGTCTCTTGGTAAGAACCTTCTGAAGAATCTTCTTTCCAAGGATCATCGGGAAGTAGCATCAAACAGTGCTGGAAGAAGTAGAGCGATATTGATCTGGCTCCCTGTTCTCGAGAAGTCTCCGCTGCTTGGTAAAGCAGATCTCTAAACGGGCCTTTAACAATGCTGGGCCGAGCTTGAATGGCCTCTACTGCGTTGCAGATATGCCTGGCTTGGTCGAATAGAAGTTGAGTGGGTTTGGTAGCACTGTCATAAGGGTCATGGTACATCAAAGATGCCGAGATGATGTAGTGCATCTCTTCCTTGCGACAGTCATTGGCAAGAAGTTCTGCGGCCTGCATATATCGATCGTGCGAGAATCTGAATTTGTCCTCATCCTCAGTGGCAACAATGATGTAAGAACTGATAGCGTCCTGCAAACCGGTCACTGGATCCTTCTTCTGTGGTAGATATTCGTCCTTCGACTGCTTAGAACAATCGCAACTCATGACTCGCTTCACGAGAGTGAAAGAAAAGGTGTTACCAATGAAGCTAGCCCAGCAAAGCACAGACTTGCAGTCGTCCGAGAGATCTTTCAGTCGTTTTACAAGGTAGTTGTTCGTCGAGAATTGATTGGCCTCTGGCGAAGCAAATTCGTCAAAAGTTTTGTCAAGGTCAAACTCCCACTGTGAAGAACGCCATGAGTAGTATATGCAGTGCTTTCGATAGCAAGAATCAAGCATCTCTCGGACGAAAAATGGATTGCCTAAAGTCGCTTGCTGAATGACAGCAGCTAGAGGTAGAACGTACTCGGGAGAGCGATGCAAGGTTATAGACACGTATTTTGCCGTCTCTTCCTCACTGAAAGGCTTGAGATCAATCTTCGTGGCTTTCTCAAGCAGTGGTCGAAGTTTGATGGGAAGAGCTTCTTCATCCCGGTAAGTAAGAACAAGCACCAGAGGTATCTTGACTTGGACAATGTTGGTTAAGAGTTCAATACTCTCTTCATCTGCAAATTGCAGATCGTCAAGTGTTATGCAAATAAACTTCTGCAACGCTAGTAGTCGCAGAACGTCAAGGAAAGTGCGAACAAAGCGGTTTGACTTGCTCGAGTTACTGCCTCCAGCACGTAGCCAATCTGATGCAGTGTCGCCGCTGCTGCCGCACTTCTCACGAGGCAACCGTAAAGAGGCTGCGTCCGAGCTCAAAGAAGCTTGGTGAGTAGGAAATTGTGACAGTAGCCAAGGCGGAAGATCGAGGAAGCCGGAGAGGAAGCCCCAATAAGGCTTTATATATGTACGAATGTTGTCGTGAAATGGTGTTGATACATCGCCTTCAGAGAAGATTTGGCGGAAGAGAGAGGACACAACACGCACAACTGGTTCGAAGGGTGCTCGTTTGACTTGGTCGAACTTGGCCGATGCGTAATAGCCGTATTTCCTCGACATGTTCTGGACGTCGTGCAACAAAGAGCTCTTTCCAAGGCCTGCAGCACCACTGAGGCACAAAACTTCAGTGTGGCCAATCTGCTTGAGGCGTTGCGCGGCGCGAAGGGCAGAGCCTTCAGATTGACCCGTATATGAATTAGATACGGTAGATCTTTGACTACTCTCGACGTTATACACAGAGGGTCTGCTCTCTAGTGACGGCTTGGGCTCAAGCTCGGCACCGTTGTAAGCCAAGTTGTTCTCTTGCGAGCTGTGTTCATGCTGCAGCTTCGAGAGGTCGGTTCTATCCGATGAGACGACGAGTTTAGGCTCCTGATCAACACCAGAGCCAGTACTCTGAGAAATTATGTCGTCTAAGAGGCCGCTTTCGTGTCGATCGGCTTGAGTAGGCGTTGAGATCGAGGCCGAGGAGTGCGAACTCAAGCTATGCAAGCTGTTCTTGGAGGTGGAGATGGCCTGAGAAGCACGCCAAGCAGACTTCTCTATAACGTCAAGGATCAGTTTCCGTTGCTCCTCGCGTCCGATCTGCGAGTTGGGCAAGTTAAAGAAGCAAGAGACATCCTTGGAACCAAGCTTGAAGGATTGGAGTGCGTCAACATCACCATTAGAGAGTAGTCTCTTCACCTCGAGCAGGTCATGCTTCAAACCAGATGAGGATTGGTAGCGATCACCCATTTTCTTCTGTGTCATCCTCTGTATGACATTCGAGATGATTTGAGGCACATCAGTGCGTATGCTATCAACTGCAGGAATGCGGCGTGATAGTAGACTCTGCATAATCTCGAGAGGGTTGCTCCCATGATAGGCGGGTACTCCAGTTAGCATGGTCCAGAACAGGATGCCAAGCGAATATATATCAGTCCTAGTATCCGGTTCGGCAGGCATGCGACCAGTCTGTTCCGGAGCAATAAACTGGAGACGATTTTCGACGCCGGCCTCAGAGGTTAGTGAGCTCCAGCCAGCAGACGTAAGGCCGTTCTCGAACGATCGAGCACCAGAACCAAAATTGATCAAGCGTACAGTCCGGTTCTCCTTGCTAAAATGGAAGGCATCACCGCGAAGTTCTCCGTGGACCAGCTCTCTGCTATGGTGAAGGATCTCGCAACATTCAGTTGCGCCAATAGCGAAATCGAGGAAGAGACCAATAGGTAGAAGTTCGGGCATAGGTGAGTGGTCGGTTTCGGGGTCTCCATGTGGGCTGATAGGCGAGGTAGGCAGTTGCGCGCGACGTACGCTTGGACCAAACTCGACCAGCTCTTTCATGTAGTCCCCGCCGCTATCAGGGGCCCGGGCGATGAAAGCAACGAGAGTGACTTCTCCAGGTTGGCGTGCGGGCAGGCGGCGAAACTCAAGAGGGTCTATGAAATGGCGACAGTCCGGATCCTCTTCTGCTTTGATCTTCTTTGCGAGGGCAAACTCGCGCTCGAGACGAGTTGTGTGGCGAGAGATGCGAGCGACGACCTCATAGCCCTGTTGCGCATCGGAAACACTTCGTTCGCTCTCCTTGTCTCTATTCTTTTCTGATTCGCGATCCTTTCGTCGGTCCTTGCTGGCGGTTCTACTCGAAGGTTTGCTCGATTTGTGATCAACGGGTTGTGAAGCACGACGATATCCATGGACGTGCCAGTTGTCGTAGGANCTAGACTCCGGCGTCAGCAAGCTGGATATGTCATCAACAGACACGGTGCAATGGCATACAGAGTGGTAAGGAGCGATGGCCTCGTCCCAATCATAGGCAGGGGCCTCGGTTCGTAGGCGTTCAAACAGACGGGCGACCAGGAACTGCATGTCCAGTTCGGCCTTGACTCTGGCCTCCATCATGATATTCGAAGGGGGGGCTTCTGGGGCCTGATCGTGGCCGTCGCAGCCGTCTATGCACTCATGAAAGGTTTAAAGGGTCCTGCCGTAAACAAAGATCATCAAACGAACGACACTCGACTGCAAGTACTGTAGCACCAGATCTTGTCGAGAACGCGACAAACAAGCAAGTTCGACGATGCGACAAACCCGCCATGTGTCTCCACAAGGCTGTTCGAACCGCCTGTTGACGACGTCAGTTTGGGAACTTTCCCACCGCTTCAGTCGACCCATCAAACCTTATGTGCCTCCCGATCGCAAACTATTCCTGTTTGATGCTACATGGCTGCTCGTCATCTTACTTCCACCACCACGATTTCTCTCTACCACCCCTATCCAGACAATCTTCCAACAACCATCACATCTTCACAAATACACAGGAGCTTGAGCCCGTGCGACAGCTTCAAGTGATGCCGCCATAGATCGACACTCTGTGCCTTGGCTGAAGACCGTGCTTCCAACGAGCTACTTTGTCTTCCAATATTCTGCCGCTCGTACTCGCGTCAAAATGACCCCTGAAGCTGCCTTTGCTGTTTTGGGCTGGCTGCAGAGAAGCCCTGTCGAACTCGAGTTTGAATGTCGTTCTTGCAATCCCTGCAGACCAACGTTTGGCCTTGACAACCACAAAAGCGTCAAAAATCAACCAAGATGATGCAAAAAATCAAAATTATAACCAAACAGGAAACAAAGACTAGACGTAGAGATCAAATGGGGCTTTATCATTATTACTACAATCGTACAGTGTTGTTTGTATCTTGAACATCGTGAGAAGAAATCTAAAGGAACATGAACATGGCAGCTCCAAGTGCTGCGACCAGAGCCAAAGAGCTCTGTGCGCCAACAACATCCTTGCTCTTGAATGCAGATGCTCCGCTCTTGCCAGTCTTGTTGGCAGCGCCGGTAGCGGAAGCGTTGACGGCAGTGGGAGAGTCTCCAAGACCAAGAGGCAGTCCCTGGTAACCAAAGGTCAGGTTCTGCGCAATCGACTGGTTGTAGCACTGTCCGTTGGCAATGTCAAGACCGCTAAGGTCATCGGGGTTCAGGAAGAACATGTACTTCTGTTGGTTCAAGTCCTTGAAACCGCTGGTATCGTAAGGGAACTTGTCACCAGAGTCTGTAGCACTGGTGTTGCGAAGGAAGATGCACTGCACCTGGTTGGGGTAGGTAGTTGCCATAAGGGGGTAGTCCTTCATGACATCGCTGTTGCTAGTATCGGCGACAAGGATGAATTTTCTCTCGGGGAAGGTCTCGAAGATCTTGGTCAGAAGGAACTTGCGGATTGAGAGAGTGGCAGAGACATCCGAGAAGTTGAGAGGACGGGTATCGAAAGAGCCACCAGGGTAGTGGTTGTAGGTGAAGTTCATGTAAGCTCTGGTGACTTGCTCAGGGGTGGTTGTCAGGTAGTGGAAGTGCATGTTGGGCAGGCTCTTGCTCCAATTGGCGTAGATATCAGGCATGTTCTCCCAGGGGACGTACTCCTTCGCAAAAGAGTTGAGCAGGCCTTGGGCGGGCTCGTAGATCTTGGTGATACGAAGAATGTCATCAATATCACTGACGACGGTGAGACCGGTAGTGGGTACGAGGTATGCGGTTGAGTTGCCGATGGAAGCACCCTGAACGTGAGTGTTCAGGCGCTGAACCTGATCAGTCTCGTTTCCGTTCGCGAGTCCGTTGCCGTTGATAGGGACAAAGACATCAAAGTCTCCCTCGGCAGTGGTGTTGTATGGAAGAGTAACAGTCTGGTTACCGCCGCTGGGAGTCACTGCACCACCGCCACCGGGCTCGCCCGAAGAACCTTGCTTTGCGGCGGGTTCAATGCTGATGGGCGCCACGGCTACGTCTCCTTGCTGGATGACAAAAATGCTGGCAGTCACATTGCGGGCGCGGTCTGCTTGGTCTTCAGGAAGGTCTTCAACAGAAGTATCAACGAGGAAGATGTTGGCCAGGCGGTTGAGGTCTGCAGTAGAGGTGTTGGGCTGCTTGTAGACGTTACCATGGAATCTCACATTCCAGCCAGACTCGGTCCAGTTGGCGTAAGGGTCGAGGTTGAGGACCTGGGTTGGCAATGCAGAGACCTGAGTATCATTGAGGCCGAGCGACGAAACAACAGCATCTCCAGTAGGGAAGCCCTGGAAGAAGTTGGGGACGCCTGAAGCGACCCAGGATGGAAGGTCTGAACCAAGTCCACCAAGGACCGAACCAATGTCCGACTTGATATCGCCGATGAGATCACGGCGGAGCCTCTCGTCGGTGCGTGATGGTGAGAGGTCGACTGGCGATCCAGTCACTTCAGGTGCCAGAGGCTCGGCTTGGTAGACGCGACGAGGTGTAGGTGCTGGCGAAGCATTGGCGAGAGAGTATAGCGATGCTTGGAGCAAGGCTCCGTAAGCCAAAGAAGAACGCATGGTTGCCGCGGAAGCTAATGAAGCTTGGCCTTGCTTATGTTTAGGGCGGACGCGTCGACGAAAAGACTAAGCACAAGAGGAGCGACAGTAACTCTGTGAGTATAAACCAAAGTGTTCAAGCAGACACGCGACAAGAGCCAGGAGCTGGAGCGACGATCCAAAAAGCCGGCAGGGAGTCGGCGTTGTATACCTTATAAACAAGCCCCCGAGCCGCGCCCCGTAAGATAATCAGGGATTTGCCCCGAAGCCTGTGACGTCGAGCGAGTGACAGCTTCGCGCATCCAGACACTCTCACCGTGCACCGCACCCAAAAACTCGCGGATCTCACGCCCGCGGAGAGGACATCCTGTTTAACGATGGGAAATGTGGGCTCTGAAACTTGAATCCGGATGTCGGCTTCATAGGTACTTCTACGGAGTACTGTACTCTATACATCGAGACGTTGTCATCCTTCATGCGAACTGTCATCGGCAAAAGTCTGTAGATACACGCGACCTGGCAGGCAGGTCTAGGCTACACAACACAAGGCTATAAAAAGATACACCAATCTCCCTCGAGGACAAGTCACAACAGGTTTTGAATAATCAAGAGTGTAATCCACGCTTCACGCTTTCTCTAAAGGCAGCTGAACACTTGAAAGAGATTGTCGCCCCTTGGGAAGCGGTCAGAATGCCAAGCCAAGAATCCTCCAACAATTGCTGCCTACAAGAAAGCAAAACGTGTATATCAAATCTAGGTACTCCCTTTTACTAGACTCCCTCGAGGCTTCAACAATCACGACAACATGGCACTTCCTTCTGTGGTCATTTTCGAGCCCGGCAAGCATGATCACCTCATACCTGCATTTGCATTCATTCACGAAAACTGCGTCGAAACAGACCATACTCTCGTAAACTTCCATCCACCATTCAAACACCAAAACCTCGAAACACCGGATGTCAGGGTTCTCGAGTATTGGAAGAGTAATGCTGCTAGAGTCAACGAAGGCACAAAGGTCATTTTCATGCAGATGGCGGTTTCCGAAAGTGGTCACGAGGAATTGGCAGGCTATGTCGCTCTTGGAAGCCAGGCTTGTGAAACAGGGCCATTCAGGGGCAGCGTCGAGAAGCTCTTGGTCAGCCCACGATATAGGCGAAGAGGCATCGCAAAGCGTCTCATGTCAAAGTTGGAGGAGGTGGCACTGGCGAGAGGAACTTCTTTGCTGGTGAGAAACTGATGGGTGCTTTTCTGATGGTCTAGCTAAAACTGACTGCGCACAAGANCTCTCGATACCGAGGCTGGCAGTCCTGCAGAGGGCATCTACCCTCGACTTGGTTACACTCGGCTCGGTGCTATTCCGAGATACGGCGTGTCGCCCAAGGATGGCAGGTTGGTGGATGAGGTCTTCTTTTACAAGGATCTCAGATCGACATAGGATTCGGTCGAAACTTTGAGGTCGGATAATCCGAATGTTGAAAGGCGAAGAGATATGGTCATGCAAAAAATAAATGTACAAAAGTTCTCTTGAAGGAAAAGAAGTGGATCATTAGGATTTAGTGATGGTGACCTTGCCATCACCTTCCACTGTTGCATAGCTAAGCTTGGTGGGAGCAACAGGGGCTGAAGGGGGTTCGGTGATGGCGGGTGTGGCAGGCTTTCCAGCCTGGAGCACACCTGCAGGGGCATCGCCAGCTTCGTTGACATCGCGAGCAGTAAAAGCATCGCTCAGCTTGGCGGCCCTGGACTGTACGAGGATGTTGGCAGGTCCCTGGAAACGGAGGAACATTCTGTCTCCCCATATTGAGCGGCGAGCCCAAGTGCGAATGGTGAACAGCGTGTTGGCCAAGAAGCGCCAGACGTTTGATTGACGAACGACTTTGAAGAACCTGGTGTCGGGAAGGTAGGAGAAGGCGTTTGGGATCTGCAGGCGTAGGTTGGACGACTTGAAGCGGTATGGCTGAGGAGCGTGTTGCATGATGCTATAAGCGATAACATTGCTGGGGTGAACAATGTACTCCTCGCCAGACTTGAGAGCGAGCTGATAGACCTGGCCCTTGCCCGACAAGCAGAGAAGTCCACGGCCAGTAACACGAGAACTTCCCCAGTGCGCAAGGCTCATGGAGGTGTTGATCTGGGGTTTGATTGAAAGAGTGTGACCAGTCCAAGCAAGGAGAGCGTTTCTTTGAGCGATCATCCAGTCAAGGCGACCATCAAGGTGAATAACGGAGAAGGTGGTGAGGGGAGACTTGGTCGAGATCAAGGCGGTATAAGGAGCGGTCGATGTGACTTTTTGGTAGAGGAAGGGAATGCCAAAAGCAGCACGGCGGAAGGGTTCGAGGACGGAGAGCGAGGATACGGTCNNTGAGATGGGAAATGAGTATTGGAGAAGTTGGGGAGAGTCGGGCATGCTCACGCTCTCAGCATTGCCGTGGAAGCCAACCAGCGAGCCCTTGCGAGTATAAAGGTTCTGCGAAGCCGAGATGGAGGCGGAGAGAAGAGAGAAANNAGGGCTACCCAGGACCTCGAACTGGGCATCTGAGTCATTGTGTCAGAGAAGTAGAAGACGGCTATGCGCTGAGCAAGAGAAGGGTACCGGGNNAGCAGTGCTGTCTGCGGCGGCAGAAGCGACGGTGGGGTTGGTCGATGATGGGGTGGCCGCAATCTGGACGAATCGTCGCGGCGGGGAGCGCAAGGCATCACATGGGCGGCGACTGGGACGGAGCAGCTCTTGCGCACGACAGCGCATTGCGGTAGACATTGCGCGACTGGCGATGTTCTTCAATCGAGAATGTCTTGCTAGTCCAGCGACCGAGACCGAGACGCGTGCCTTCCCGAAGCCGAGCAGAGTGACGTGCTCGTCTGTGCTGAGTGTGGGACAAGATGGCACTCCGACCTTTATCTTTCGCAGTCGCATTGTCGCTCCTGCCTGCCAGTAGCCCGCCGTCGCTCTGTTTGCTTGCGTTTGCCTCGTCTCGGCGACCGAGCCTGTCCCTCTGCCAACCCGTATCTCATCTACAGCGTCCTTTCTTCTTACGAGAAGCTGGCCATCATGGTGTTTTGAGCTGTCGAACATAGCAACCACACGCAATACATTCCGTCATGTCCGCATCCTGTGCCCTGAGAGGCATCTATACTCGCCATAGGTTGGCCCATCCTTCCCCTTCCCTCGCCTTCTCCCGCATCTCGACCTGCCAGAAGAGTATCCGCCCCACCGTTCGCGTCTTCACCACCTCACCATGGCGCCAAAAAGACGACACTGCTGTAAAGACTGCTCAGCAGGAGACCAAAGTCTCGCCTGCTGAGCCCACCAAGTCTCCAACCGTAAAGAAAGAGAGGGTCGACCCACTTCTAGCAGAGCAGACTGTATCCAACAAGGAACAGCGCAAGGCAGATTGGGCCATCATCAAGGACATGGCCCATTACCTATGGCCCAAAGATGATTTCGGCACTCGCTTTAGAGTCGGCTTGTCCGTTGCTCTCCTTGTAGGCGCAAAGGTAGCTATCCACTACCGAACACATGTCGCCTGCTGTCATATTAATGCCATTATANAGGTTTTGAACGTCCAAGTTCCTTTCTATTTCAAGTCCATTGTAGATTCTATGAACATAGACTTTGCTGCAGTCGGTGGCACTGCTGTTACTGTCGCTGGCGCCACTATCTTTGCCTGTAAGAACATGCACCATCCCCATTCTCTTAGCTTCCTCTAATCTTCCCCAGATGGTGCTACTAGGATAGGTGCTGCTGTGTTCCAAGAGATCCGTAACGCTGTCTTCGCCAGTGTTGCGCAAAAAGCCATTCGCCGCGTTGCAGCCACTGTTTTCGAGCATTTGCTCAAACTGGACCTGAATTTTCATCTATCTAGACAGACTGGTGGCCTAACAAGAGCTATTGATCGAGGTACAAAGGGTATAAGTTTCCTTTTGCAATCCATGGTTTTCCACATCATCCCTACAGCTCTTGAGATCTCTTTGGTCTGTGGTATTCTTGTAAGCTTATCATCAAATCTCATTCTTATGGCCTCCCTAATGTTATTCTAGACATGGCAGTATGGCTTCAAATTCGCCCTTATCACAGCCGCCACCATGGTCGGCTATTCCGCTTTCACAATCTTGACAACATCATGGAGAACCAAGTTCCGTAAGGCTGCCAACGCCGCTGACAACAAGGGCGCCACAGTTGCAGTAGACTCGCTGATCAACTACGAGACTGTCAAGGTGAGTTTCGTTTGAGATATACATGTGGCTACCTCTGATGTTCTCTAGTACTTCAACAATGAGCGTTACGAAGTTGGTAGATACGATGCGGCCCTCAAGAACTACCAGGATGCATCTATCAAAGTTGCCACGTCTCTGGCTTTCCTGAACAGTGGACAAAACCTCATCTTTTCCAGCGCACTGACTGCCATGATGTACTACGGTGCCGATGGCGTCGCCACTGGTCAACTGACTGTTGGTGATCTGGTCATGATCAATCAGCTCGTCTTCCAGCTTTCAGTCCCTCTTAACTTTCTTGGCTCTGTATACCGTGAACTCAGACAGAGTTTGCTGGATATGGAGACATTGTTCAACCTCCAAAAGGTCAACGTGGCTATCAAGGAACCCGAGAATGCAAAGCCTCTTATGCTTACTGGCGGAGGCATCAAGTTCGAGAATGTCTCGTTTGGCTACCGCCCTGACAGACCGATCCTGCGCAACCTCAACCTTGAGATTCCTGCTGGCAAGAAGATTGCCATCGTCGGTCCTAGTGGATGTGGCAAGTCTACCATTCTTCGTCTGCTCTTCCGCTCCTACGATGTTCAGGGTGGCAGAATCTTGATTGACGGACAAGACATCCGTGACGTTCAGATTGAGAGTCTCCGTAAGGCGATTGGTGTTGTCCCGCAAGACACCCCTCTCTTTAACGATACCATTGAGCACAACCTGAAGTACGGTGATCTAGAGGCTTCTCCTGAGCAGGTTGAAGCTGCTGCCAAGCGTGCGAAGGTCCACGACATCATCCAGAAGTTCCCCGATAAGTACGCCACTATGGTTGGTGAGCGTGGTATGATGATCTCGGGTGGTGAGAAGCAACGTCTGGCCATCGCTCGTCTGTTATTGAAAGACCCACCATTCCTTTTCTTCGACGAAGCAACCTCGGCCCTCGACACACATACTGAGCAAGCACTTCTTGGTAATATTAACAGTATCCTCAAGGAGAAGGCACGAACAAGTATTTTCGTTGCGCACAGGCTGCGCACTATCTATGACTCCGACATTATTATCGTCTTGAAGGATGGCGTTGTAGCAGAAATGGGCACGCATGAACGTCTTGTCGATAGCGGAGGTGTATACTCGGAGCTATGGAGTGCACAGGAGATGCTGTTCATTGATGAAGAACAAGAGAAGTCCGAGGAGAAGAAGAAGCAGGATAGAAAGAAGGTGTAAATCTGATCCTGTCAGATTCATGTACATATTGTAAGATAGATATTATGAATATGCTGTGTCGAAGGTGATCTTCGAGCACTGCCTAGTTTCTAGATCGGACGGAATCCTTCGCTCCCTATGCGCCAAAGTTTGTCACAGCTGTGCGCCCCTTCAGGTCGGTCAGTGTGACAAACTTCTTGAGTGGGCTATGCTTGGCGAGGAAGCGCATGACTTCCATCTTGCCGCCATATCCATTCAATAAAAGAGTTGGGAGGTCCGACTTGCCCAAAACCACGATGCTCCGATCATGGAAGCTAATCCACCGTCTTACGGACAAGCCACAACTGCAAATGCCTGGGACCTCGTTGCCGACTACATCCCGTCTTCAGACCTCTGCTCTGCCGCCTTGGTATGCCAGCAATGGCACATAACTNTTGCACCACACCTATGGGGCAACCCTGCCTCTCACTTTGGTGACGAGAATGATAGAGTTTATAGTGAGTAAGACAGAAACATGCACGACTTCATAGCAAGCCGCGGCAAGATCACCTCACATCAGTAATCAGTGGACTCACACATGTTCATATAGNTCGCTTTGACTCGGTTCATCCGTACCCTACCATGGGCGAGACGTGGTGTCCGATCTTTGACACACACACTCCATCTTCCTCCAGCACATGCTGAGATTTACAACGGCCCACACGCAGACTGGTTGAGAGAGGTACTCGAAGGTCTTCCGAACCTCCAGTCATTGATTGTTCGCGGCTTGCCTTTCTTCGACCACGCAGCTCTGAATGCGCTCAGATACACTCGACTCTCTGGCAATAGGAACCAGCTAGTCCCTGCGCAGACGCCTTTCGGCATGCGATTGCTGGACGCGTCAAGATGTAGCAACGTGACCGCGACCGGTCTGCAGCAAGCTATCAGACGATTTGATTCACTGCTATACCTCGACCTATCATGGACATATCCTGCCAAAAGTCCTGAAGTACTCCGAAGCCTTGGCCAGTTTCGAGGTCTACAGGTTTTGAAGCTTCGGGGTATCTCGCTGAAAGACGACGATGTGCTCATACTAGCGAATGCAATCAAAACTCGGGTTCGGAGCTTAGATCTACGGAATAACCAATTGACAGATCGAAGTATACGTATTTTGCTCCAGCATTGCTTCACGCCACCGCCGCGTAGAGACAACGATGGTCAAGTCATGTCTCCCTCGCTACTGCCATACCTAGGTGCCGAGATGCTCGCAATCTATCGAGGAGTCAACTTCGAAGCTTTCCTAAGAAATGAATTCACAGACAAATTTGTCGGCCGCTTGGCTATCGAAGACGCCCCAGAGAGCGGTACTACCCATCTTTACCTATCGGACAATCAACTTACTGTCGAGGGGCTTTCTGGTATAATCAGATCTGGGAGGTTGCACGTACTCGACGCTGGAAGTCTTTTGCCTGCGATGGCCTCACAAGATGGCTCGTTCAGTATGAACTTTCCTAGCCTAGCAAAACTTGCTCCTGTGTTGGCCGAGTCGGCAAGTCATAGCCTGACGTATTTGAGAATTGACCACAGCTTAGTGACTGGAGAGCCACCAGTGATGCAGGAAGATGAAAATCAGCCGATTTCTCAATACTGCGAGCTTGCAGACACCTCCAACTACCCATCTGGGATTGCTGAGCTTGATCATGTTACAGAGGTCTATGAGATGATGGGCGACACTGCTTTCGCGACCGAGCTCTCTAGCGATGCTCTCTCTATCGTGGTGACGCCTACAAGCGTCGAGAAGCCTACTACATGCATACATCAAGCTCGAAGGAGAAGTCAGGATCTTCCAATACCTGTTCAGACAGAAGAAATGAACGAAACAGGCTTACACGTAACCGCACTTGAGCAGGAGAATGATAGATCAACACCAGTGGTCGACGAGACTCTGACACCAAGTCCAATACTTCCCTCTCGTGGTCTCGGTCGCAGCTACTCCTCAATCGTGAAAGAGCGCAAAACCCGGCTACAGACACACTTGACCCAAGCAAAGGCTNTCCATCCAGGCGTCCTACCGCATCTAGACACCTTGGTTCTAACCGAGCTCCCTCCAACCTCACCAACATCAGATACCCCAAACAAGCTGATCTCTTTCATACACGCTTGCGCCGAAGAAACCTCTCTCGCAAAACTTCAAGCCCAACTCGATTGGACACTGCCACCCGGCCGCAGACAAAGCCACTCACACCAAAAAGAGCTTGTACGCAAGAGCTTCGCTCTCGAGCAACTCGTTCTCGAAGTCGCCCCTTGCAGTGTTGATCAAAAGAAAGCAGAAGCAGCCAGTGCATGGCGACACCGCGGCACCAAATCCGTGACCCAAGACCAAGATAGTGAGGCCCTGTGGGCAGCCTCTCAAACCGACTTTTCCTTTTTCGGCGAGGGCGAGACGAACAGTTTGGATACTTGTCTCGAGCCCTCCAGACCACTGACCATCATGTCTGGCATGGAAGTTTCTGTCGCGCCTCCTTCCAATCACCCTCCCAACAAGTCTGTCGATGAGCCTCCCAAACCGAACATTGATGTAATAGCCCAACTTTCCGCATTCCGCAAGGCAACTAAATCAGCATATCAACAACGACAAGCACAGGGAGAGGAAAACCCCGAGGTACCTGGCTTTTGGGATGGCAACATCAAGGTGGTGAGGAGACCAAAAGACGTAGATCCTCGATTCGAGGACGATGAAGTATGGGCTGATTATTACGGGAATCGGTTCTCGAATGGTTATCTGTATCGATAGATATGTATGAGTTGAGCATGGGAGGCTTGGGGAGGGTGTCACCCTGTCTTTTTGCAATCATCCTCCTCAAACTCACGCCAACGAGCTCCTGCGATGGACCTAGGAGTTTCTAGACATTGTGAATAGTTTCTACTCGGATGTTGTATTTGCCTTCTCGTTGCACAAGTATCCATATCGTCGTCATGTTAGAAATCCGTAAGTAAATTAAATTTTACCTTAGGACAAGGTACTCGTCATCTTGTCCCATGATGAGTCCAATACGTCAAAAGACTCTATAGCTACCTCACCAAGGACGTCGTTGCAGTACCTGCTTGCTGATCGCCACAAAGCATTAAACTGCATTGTGAAAAGAATATCGAGAGCATTTCTATATCAGCTCACATGCCAAAAAAAGGCAAACAGAGAAACCCCAATACTCAGAGTTACATCACGAATATCATTCCATTCAACAAACAAATCCAAGCAATCGAGGAAATAGCAACCATGTTTGTAATCTGCTTCGATTGGAGCAAAGAAGAAGACTAGCTAAGCAACAAGCAAAAAGAAAACAAAAATTCAAAGGCAAAAGGCAAACCTCCCTCTCCAGCCAAAAGAGAAGGCAAAAGGAGTGCCCTTTGTGTGCGAGAAAGCAATTCGTGATTCTCATTAGAAACAAGCAAGATGATGGGGTCAAAAACTAGAGCAAAATCGTGAAGAAAAAACAAGGGGGGTAGTAGGGCAAATGCGTAGCAAAGGTGGGTATCAACGTCTCTTCTTCGCAGCACTGTCACCAAGCAGATCGCCGGTAAGTCGCTTGAAGATACCTCCAGCGAGCCCTTTTCCACTGAGTAGGTCTTCGATCTTGTCGGCAAGGGGGTCTTCGCCGCGTTCTGGCACTTTGCGGCCTTCTGGACCGAAACGTGGTGGTAGTTCGACTGTCTCGCTGGAGTTCACGCTGTCTGGCGAGCCTGTGCGTCGTTGTTGTGAAAGATCGCGGGATCTGTGGCGTCTGCGGCGGCGGTGTTGGGTATTGATGTGATCATCGTTACGTTCGTGTTCCTCGTGTTCGTCAGTGTCTTGTTCGTGGTAGCGATGGCGTCTACGTCTTCTGCGTTTGTGCTCTGTTTCTGTAGTGCCGTCGCTGCTTAATTCGCTTCTCGTTCTGATTCTGTCGTCGTGTCCGTCGCTTTCCGAATAGTCCACATCTTGGTCTGCATCTCGAGGGTTGAGTTTCTTCCGTGCATCTGGCGAACTCGTACCTTCGCTAGGCGGTACATTGAACTGCACACTCTTCTTGTTTACACCATCTNNGTATGTAATGTTAGCTCTAATTCGAACGTGAAAACTAATAACCGAACCGAACCACCCACCAGAAGAATCGTGTGGATCAGATGTTGTGCCGGAAGGAGTGTAACTCACATGTTCTGGACCTGGCCGGCCACGATTGTCGCCGGCGTAACGCGAGTCACCAGCAAAGGTCTCATTAGCATGAGGATAGCCCAGGTTGGGATCTGGACTAGGATAACGTTCGTCGTGTTCGTGTCGGCCCCGAGGAGCACCAGCTGCTCCTGGAGGCGGGGAAATCNNCGCGGGATTGTAGGGAGCATATTCGTGCTGTGGATATTCTGGCTGATGTCCGTAGTTCTCTGTTGGCGGAGGTGGGAAAGAGTTGGTGGCAGGGTAGAACTCATGGCTCTGAGGTGTTGGAGGGTAGGCGGCGTTGGCCCCCATGGGTGGTGGGGAGTATGGTCTGTCATGTGCATACATGTCGTCCTCTTCATCACGGCCTATGACATGTTGTTAGAAAGTCATCGAACGCGTCTCAGATTTTGAAAACTCACGTCTGCGATCCCGGTCCCACTCACGGTCTGACCTCCTACGCTCATCCCGTTTGCCCAACTCGTGTGCAGCTACAGCAGCAACGCCCGCGGCGGCAGCACCCTCAGCCAAACCTCTAGTTCTGCTTCGACTTCTCGACCTTGAGCGGCTCGATCTGTCATGTCTGCGTCTGTCAGGGCTCAACGAGGCGGAACTACCTCTGCGCCTACGACGATACTCGGCTGGTGGTTCCTCATAACGTCGGTTCGGGTAGATCGGATCGTCGCCGTATTCTATAAGCGCGGGATCACTCGAAGCTCTGCGCAAACGAGGCTCATCATCAGGATAAGGAACAGATCTGCTACGAGACCTGGACCGAGGGCGTCCGGGTTCGGATGCGTCGTCTCTGGCAGCTTCTTTGCGAGCCTTACTCCGCTCATACAAGCCTGCAAGAGCAGCACCACCCAGACCAGCTGCAGCAATCGGCGCACCGGTACGAACTCTGCTTTTCGACCGGGACTTCTTGCCACCTCTCGAACGACTGCGCACGCGATCCAAGATACCAGCAGCTGCAGCGGTTGCAAGGCCGGCTTGAGCAATGCGACGATTGCGATGTCCGGGATCGCGATGCTTGCTTTCGCTTCTGCTTCTGTTCCGGGCATCTAGCGGGGTAGGAACACTGCCAACAGAGGAACGGCGTCTTCTAGACCTGCTGCGTCGTGGTGGTGGGAGTTCATTGTTAACGATCACCGTTTCCTTGTTGCCTCTGTTGCGAAGAGCGTATGCTGCGAGAGCACCAACAGCAGCAACTGTACCGACTTTGGCCAAAGTACGCGCACGAGAACGACTCCTACTTCTGCTCTTGCTGCGGTAACGGCGGCGTCTTTCACGTCGGCTGGAACGTTTTGAGCGATCACTCGAAACTGACCTTGAGCGAGAGCTCCTCATATGGCTTCTGGCACGGCTCAGGGCTTCGGCACCAACAGCACCCAGTGCAGCACCGCCCAGAAGCTGGCGACCACGATGACCGCCTTCCTCACCCTGTTTTCGACGATGATGGCGAAGGACTTCTGCGGCTCCAAGACCGGCTATGGCACCTTCGGCTAGATGGCGGCGATGGTGTGGTGAGTGGTCGCGCGAGCCGCCGGTTCGTTCTGTGCGAGTGATGACAATATCCTCGTCGCTGCTGTAGCGATCGTCGGCGTAGTTGGATGCTGAATCCCGGGGGTCAACATCGCGTCTATAATCACGGTTGTCATAGAAGTCCTCACCACCGCCTCCACGACGCGGACCTCGATCAACCTCACGAGTGGTCCGCTCGTAGTAGTAATCATCGTCATCCCTCCTTCTCTGCGCATCATCACGCTCGATCAGTTCGTAATGGGGATCCTCTCGCTGGAGAAGGACGGGCTGTCGAGGGGCGTCCTTGATAATGATTGGTTGTGGTTGTTGGCGTATGATGATGGGCTGTGGTTGGTAGTACTCGGTGGAGCGAGTGTACCTCTCCAGGTCCCATTGATCGTGACGAGGCGGTTCACGCTCTATTTCTCGCTCGAAGCGGAACTCGCGGACCCGATCAGGGGGAGAAGGCGCACGCTCGACATTACGTTCGTAGCGGATGACTTCCCTTGGGGCATCTCGCTCGCGGGTGCGGTATTCCAGATCGCGGTCATATCGGGGGCCNTGTTCGCGGTCGCGCTTGATGACTATTTGTTTCTCGTAGGTATCTTCCTCCTCAAATGCTCGGTCGGGTACTCGATAGCGGCGGACGGTCGTGTAAGTGCGCGGTTCGTCGCGGTCTTTGTAGACGACAGACATGACGACGGCGCGGGACCAGTGACGGCAGTTTGGTACTGGCCGTTAGGAACCGCGGACGACAAAACGGGTGGAGCAGATGGCCGAGTGGAGAGTGCGTGGGGAAACAAGTCGACGAGCAGTTGCAAATGAATGAAACAGCAGCAGAAGTGACTGAGGCTAAGCAGGTCGAATGGTGAGATTGCGCAGGGCCAGGCAACAAGGCGCAGACGGATGCAATCTGCTGCGACCAAGAGACTGCCGACCGTGGTGGCTGGTGATCACCCAGCCCTTCCTTCCTGCTGCACACTTGTTCCTTCCTTCACTCGAGAGCGGTGACGTGCGGTTCCACGTGCACCGACAAACCAAGCAGGCACACAATAGGAATAAATCACTCCTTTGGTCTTCCCGCTGTTGCTGCCCAAACACTACAAGGTTTGACAGGAACAAGCTCGTCTCATGGCAATCCAAGCCATCGTCCACCGAAAGAAAGATCGTCAGGACTTCCTGTCAAGACCGAAGCCTGATTCAGCCCCCTCAATCTCAAAATCCTGCTCCTGCTCGTTCAGTCATCCGGCCAGTCAAATGCATGCTGACGTCTTGCCATTCTTTCCATCTCGTCGACCTGCATCTAGCACATGTGACGCGCCAAGTCTGTTTTGTGAATCGTTCTTCGTAAGTGTACATATATATACAGTAGTATGCTCTGAGTCGAGTCTATGCCTCGACTTCTCTATCGATCTTGAACTCTGGGAGCTGGGTCTGCTCTGAGACGCGTGTGCCTATATCTTCCAATGCGGCCCAGATCTCTGGATATCTCTCCTTTGCCCAGGCCTCTACCACGCCCTTTTTGACTTGCCCTGGAGCAGCATTGTACAGCGATCCGATTCTATCCATGTGTTAGTTCTCGCTCTCGAGTCTCTGCAACGTCAAAACTTACACAAGAGTATCCATGTCAAGTCCCTGTTCGACATGTGCTTCCTCTAACGAACTAATAGCGTTCTCTACATGTCCGTTGCCTACTAAAGCTGCGGCATAGCTGGCCCAGAGATCTTGGTCGAGCTCGATGCCAGTGCGCCTTAACTTGACCCAAATCTTGCGTGCCTTTTCGTCGCCCCATGGCGCGTCTTCGCATGCTCTCATTGCAAGGTGGATGCTGTTGATATTGGGCCCCTCAAGACTTGTTGCAATATCGTCCCAAAAGCCCAGTGCTGTCCTGGGAGCCTCGCAGCTCGTGTACGCTTTCATCAAAGCATTGTAGAGATGTGTGTTTGGTTCGATGTTGAAGTCCAGTTTGAGCTGATTGTAGACGACCTCGAGGCTTTCTTCGTCCCTCAATTTACCAATTCCGGACAGACATGCCACATATGTATCGACCGTGGGAATGGTATCCTGACGAGTGTGCGCTCGCATGTGGTTGAAGACGTGCACTGCCATATCTGGACGCTGCCGTCTAAAGAAATCGTTCATGACTTTGACACGCTGCTCCCGAGCAGTGTCGTCGAAGACCTGCTTCAAGATGATGTAGGTGTCCCATGCCTGAGCTGTCGTCGTCGAAGGCCTGAGACAATAATCGATCAGGGTGCTCTGTACAGATGCACGTCCAGCCATGTCAAAGCTATAGACGTGAGTGTTGATCAGATCAATTACGTCGTGTACCTCGTCACGAGAAAGATGCAACACCGACAACGCGGACACGGTCTCAGGCTCGAAAGGTGCTTGTCGATCTGAGAGATCTGCTGCGACGTTCATGATGCTGTCAAAGTCCTGTCGTCCAGAAGCGCACATAGTCCGGATGAGCTCATTGACAACAGAGACGTCATCGTTCTTCGAAAGGTCATGAGACTGTAAGTGCTTGTACACGGTCAAAGCACCATCCACGTCCTTGACGGCGAGACGATACTGCATCTGGTAGATGAGGGTTAGTGCATCCGGTTGGATATTCCTTGTTCCGCCTACAGAAATCAGGCGTTCGGCGAGATATGGATCTTTGCGATCAACAGCCACCTTGACTAGCAAGTTCAAAGTGCGAGTATCAGGGATACGCCATTCATCCTTCGGAAGAGATTGGTTGGCTCGTTCCATAACACTGATCATGCGATCAATCTCATCAGCCCCTTTGCCTGTCGCTACAGCCCACTCTAACATCGTATCCCATTGATATTTAGTTGGTGTTCCTGCTGTTATGTCTCGAATGACAAGTTGTCCAAGCTTCGAGTTTGACGTATGCATGCTAAGACTGAGCAGTTTCCGTTGCGAACGCTGGAAACTTTCCACCTTAACAGTATGCTCCTTGACTTTGTTATACCATTCGGTCGCTTTCTCGATGTTTTCCTCATTGAGATAAAAGCTAAGTATTCTTTCGATGGCCATTTTTCTAGATCCTTCGGTGGCATACTCATCGATGTGTTCAAGAGTACAAAGAAGTTCCTGTTCGTTTCGTTCCCTTGCAAAGCCCTTGATAATGTACTCCCATGAGGGTAAGGGCTTGTAGCCTACCGTGTCGCTGTAGTTTCGTCCGTATTTGATAGCTTCGTCTCTAGCTGACTCTGTACCTCCTACAGCACACATAGCTTTGATATAGACGTTGACATCTTTCATCGTCAAGCGTTCACTGATCTGCAATCTGTTCTGACAGAGAGCATTGTATAGAAGGCCGACAAGCTCTCGATAAATAGAAGATTTTCTATGGGCGCGATGATCAAACACTTCTATCCATCGGCGGAGCATGTCGGGTTCAAGGGTTGACAGGCCAAGGTGTTGATCCAGATAGTTTAAACAGCGAAGAAGATGTTGAGCATGGACGTCGGGTATGGCTTTTGTGCCGTTGTTCTTGTCCCATTTAGAGTGCAAAAAGTCGGTGACGGCTTTAAGGACGTCTTCGGGCGGTGGCAGTCTAGCGCTGAGTCTTTCCATCTTGGAGTATTCCATCATCTTTTCCAGGCCGGGAGCCATCCTCGGTTCCGAGGCCACACGCTGAGGTTTTTTGAAGATATTCATAAAGAAGCGGCGTTGAGCCCTCGGGAGGACTTGGATATGAGGCGGACATGGCGGTGTGTGTTGGTGTGGACGAAGACAGCCGCGGTGTGCTATGGGTTCGCTGGCCAGCAGTTTGCGAAAGACGACGCGGTTGAGGTGAGAGCGCATGCCGGCGCTCAAATTGGACGTCGCAGTTGTGAAGAGAGAATCAGGAAAAGTGTACAAGAAAGAAGGTCCAGACCAAGGTGCAATAGAGTATTAGGGTGGAATATTCGGTGACATAAGAATAATTCGTAGCTGTCGCGCGGGTCGAGTTGCTGCTGTCCCGGTCGGACTGGCAGCCCGCGAAAGTCTTCGGTTTTTTCCGGACGACCTTCAATTGCGGCCAACCAGAGACTCCCGAAACATTGCAACCAGTCGACGACGGCGCATTCACTCTTCCACATCATCGCACCATGTCTGTCATGCGCCCTTGTTCACGAGTCGCTACTCGTGCCGCCTCTTCATATCCCTCCTGTGTGCGCACATTCGCCTCGTCGACACCACGCGCCGACGAGCCCAAGCGATCTGATGTCTTCGGAGGTGACTATCGCAACATGACTTACATAGTCTACATTTTCTGACCCGTTCCAGGTCTGCTGGAGTCACTCAAAGCCACAAGCGACAGAGCCCGCCCGAGAGCCCCCCCAAGAACAACTACACGTACCATGCCATACAACTCACAGGATTCTGGCCTTGCCAGAAACGACCCTCACAAGCTTTTGGAGCAAACTGCAAGAGATCTCAGGAGAAACAGACAGGACGAGGCCACAATGACTGCCGTACAGGAGACGGTCGACTTTGAAAGACAGATGACACGCAAGTGGAAGGATGGAGACGTCTATGCCCCTCACGATCTGAGCGGTGTCGAGATGGCCAAGTGGCAGAAAGGCCAGCCAAAGGGTAGACCGAAGAAGGATGTCTTTGATATGTTGAAGATCAATCCCTTGAATCACTATTGGGTATGCCCTATTCAAGTCGAAACTCTCAACCCATTGCTAATCTGTTCTAGANACTTTTCCATGATGTCTGAGTTCATGACCGAGATGGGCAAGATCAAGCACTCCAAGGACACAGGATTGAGACCAGTCAACCAAAGGAAGGTGGCCAAGGCAGTCAGAAGAGCTATCGGCCTTGGTTTGATGCCCAGTGTGCACAGGCATCCCGAGATTCTGCAACCGAGAGGAGCTCTAGGCCGATAGAGGTGCCCAAGTTATCAACCTTTGTACAATTATACGTAAAAGCTCTACATTTGCTTGCGACTTTCAGCTGCCAACATCGCCCACCACTGTACTCCAAGTACTTTGTTTCCAAATATCGACTACTTCTCGATATTGAGCATGTCTTTAGAGCTTTGTGTGGTCCTGAGACCAAATGTATTAGTAGTAATTAGAGATGGTTCAATGGGATAGCTTCTTTGGTAAGCATCACGTGGAACGGCGACGTCTGATTGGCCGAGCGACGCTTACCACGACGCGGGCGGCGGATCGAAGTCGAAGTTGGACTCTTGACGACTTGGACCTGGAGATCGCATCCCGACCCAATTCCCACACCACAACTCTCTCCCGACACAATGGCCTCCAAGCTCGCCCCTATGGCTTTCAGAAGCAGCAGCAGAGCTCTGCGCGTCCTCGCCAGACAACAACCCCGCCGCTCCTTCGCCGTCTCTTCCGTCTCCCGTAGCGACTCGCTCTTCGTCGTATGTTCTCACTCGCCTCTCCGGTCGCCTAGTACTCTCTAACCGCACCTCATCAGCNACCGCGATTCACCAGAGAACAACCTCGACGTCCCCTTCAAGTTCAACGCCCAAAATGAGAAGCTCATTGAGGAAGTCCTCAGCCGATACCCTACGCAATACAAGAAGGCTGCCGTCATGCCCCTGCTCGACCTCGGCCAGCGCCAACACGGTTTCTGCAGCATCAGCGTCATGAACGAGGTTGCCCGTAGACTGNAAATGCCCCCCATGCGTGTCTACGAGGTTGCCACTTTCTACACCATGTACAACAGAGAGCCCGTTGGCCGTTACCACGTTCAATGCTGCACCACCGTATGTCTACCAGAACGAGACCTCCGGCAAATCGCGAAACTAACATACAGTAGANCCCCCTGCCAACTCAGAGGATCCGACGGTGTCATGAAGGCTATTGAGGAGGAGCTCAAGATCCACCACGGCGAGACTACAGAGGACAAGCTTTTCACCTTCACCGAAGTTGAGTGTCTGGGTGCGTGCGCCAACGCCCCCATGGTTCAGATCAACGACGATTACTACGAAGACCTGACTCCCGAGACGACAAAATCGCTGCTCAAGGCTCTCAGGGAAGCTGCACAGAAGGCCGGCGCAAGTGGACAGGCTTCCGGTCTTGCTGGCGAGGCTGGAAAGGCCGAGGGAGCTGGAGGTTCAGGCACCACAATTTCTGAGCAAGGAAGAGGTTACGCTGCACAGGGTGTCAAGCTCCCTACCCCTGGCCCTCTCAGTGGTCGCAAGTCCTGTGAGCCTGCCCAGGGCTTGACCAGCTTGAACGGTGAGATGTGGGGCAACGAGAAGCTCAGAACCGATGGTGCTCTCGACTAGATGCTCTTAGAATGTACAGTATGTTTCTACCGTTATCTTGATTCCCACGGCGTTGTAATGTCAAGCCTGTATCTTCTCTCTCTCTCAAAAAGAAAAGCACCACGCGTTGGGCAATTTGACCTTGTATGAATCCGAAGCAACCATGTATGGCCCCAAAGGACGTTGGTTCAGTACAGGTCCACCCTCCGTATCGTCTAACCAAAGAGATATTCTTGTATGCACTCACGAATCCGTCTGCAGTGAGCAAAGCCTCGGGGAAGCGTTCAGTCACGATCAGGCGATCGCCAGCTTCACTACAAAGTATCTTTGGAAGGCGCGACTGACATTCAAACATTGCTGCTTCACTTTTGATCCAAAACAAACGCGCGAACAACCACCACATCACGCACACACACTCTTCACACTCTTCCTTCTTTCCTTTCTCTCTCCATCTTCATCACACACTCCTTTACCCAACTTCTACATCAAAAGAACCAGAAAACAACATGAAGTTCATCACTTTCGCTACTGCTTGCCTTGTTGTTGGCCTCGCCCATAGCGCCGCCTTGAGCGAGAAGGCCCTTGGTACGCTTGCTCGACTCACATCAACTATCTGATGCTGACGATCTTTAGCCAGCGCCCACTCGCAGATCATGGGCAATGCCTCCTCTATGCTGGGCTGGCAGGTCGCCGGCTCCCTGCAGAGTCTTGCCCCTGTTGATCAAGGCTGTCAAAACATCACCTCCTTCGGTCACGGTCACTGGGCTGCTCTCGGTCTCAAGCCCGCCGTCATTGAGCGTAAGTGAATTGTCTACGAGCACATGTCTCAAACAGCACTGATGGAAATTTNNGAAGAGGCTTTCTGTGTGGCTACCGCCAGAGTGACCAACTCCTCTGCTCTTGCACTAAATCAGATCAAGCTTGCTGCTACCGACATGTTCATTGCCCAGCTCCTTCATGCCTTTGGCGATGACCCTGAGCCTAACTACAAGTGGTTGTGCCAGAACTTCAACTACACCGCCATCAACGATGACCTGGCCCTCAACTCTGGTCGTATCGGCCAGGCGTTCTGCGCCAACCGTCCTTACGCTACCGCCTGGGTTGACCCTTCGCATGAAGTTCTCGTCGTCACTGACAACTACATCTACAACATGGCCTCCATCCTCTTCGCCGATCTGTACAGCTTCAGTGCCTCTACTCCTACTGAACGTTGGGTCATGTGCGAGCAGTACCAATACATGTCTCAGGCCCAGCTCCAGGTGGGCATCAACTCGGCTGTTGTCCGCAGCCATCTGTGTGTTGACCACGATGCACCCCTCATGACCCAGAGCTATTCTCAGTTCATCATGACTACCATTTCGACTAGCATCTTCGCCCGTCAACTTTCGCTCGCTGTCAATGCTATCAACGATGACGAGAAGCGGACTTGGCTGTGTGAGAGTATCCAGCACGGCGACCTTGGTCTCCTGGGAATGGCTGCCAATAACACCTTGTTCTGCTAAGCTTGATTCGATCATCAGAAGTGGTCTCTTTGCATGGTCACTTTTACCTGGCACACATACACACGTCTTTCCTTGAAGTCCACATAGAGGAAGCCTGACTTGGCTGAGGAGGAAAGGGGAATTACAAGAGATGGTTATCTTGTCTCTTGCTTTGAATTGCTGTCACTTGCTGCTTATGAAGATATTGTAGAAGTTGTTCAGCACAGATAAACCAAACATCGAAACTTTACATCAGAGATGACATCCGTTGTTGTATCTTTACATTCCCAGTATTGTCTCGTGACCATGAGACTGCCCTGTCCAGCACAACTTATGTCATACAAACTAAAAGAATCGATGAGAACATACCTACTTCACGCCCATCCTTTTTACCTTTTCTCTCCCCATCAAACCTCAGCAACAACCTCCAACTCAACCAACGCACCCTCCTTGGCCAACCCACTAACCTGCACACACGTACTCACAGGAAACGGCTCTTCAAAATACTCTGCCCATATCCTATCCACCTCTCTAAAATCCTTCATGTCCATGATGTAAATCCTGCGTCGCACGACCTTGTCCAAACAAGAGCTTGCAGCTTCCAGACATGCTTTGATGTTGGCAATCGCTTGATGCTGTGAGATATCAGAGAAAGCAGGAAGGAAGGAGAAAGGCGGGGCAAAGTTGGGGAAGAAAAAGGGCCAAAAGTAATTTACGGTTTGAGGAGATATACCGCCCGAGACGATTTCTCCTGTTGTGGGGTCATCGCCCATCCAGCCGGCNTTGAGAGTTGGGAAGTGTTTAGCTGATTGCTTTGTATGCTCGATGGTTTGGTTTCGAGATGGTGGGTTTTAAGTGTGCACTGTGTACTTACCGACATGCAATGTATTGCCTTGACGCACTACATGCGAGTAATTGCCATTGGTCTTTGGAGCGGAGGCAGCATGGATGGCTTGTCTTTGCGAAGGCATAGTTTGATGATGGGGATTTTTGATGTTTTCGAGTGTTGACTATACAGATGGAGAAGTGGAGTTCTCTTTGCTTGTACATAGCATATTTACAGATGGACGTCATGTTGATAATCTGACGTCACCCAGCAGAATAAAATAGACAGCAAACTCGTGGATGTGGAGAAGAATATCGGCAAGCAAACAATAGCATAGAGAAGCGTAGAGGCAATAATCAAAGAAAGACACATAGCCAGAATCGACAACATGGGGGTGGTCTAAAAGACCATGAATGTGTACACGGATACAGTTTATTATCAAGGACATATGCCATCGTGAGTTCAAGAACCATCGATGTGAAAGGAAAACACGTCAAGAACGACCACACATTAACCTTTGGATCTGGGGAAACAGTCAGTTTGTTATTCGCCATCAAGACAAGTTATACGCAGACTCTAAAGAGAAGACCTCTGCCTCAAGATAGCAAGGCAGAGGACGCTTCTATATATCTCCGGGGTACAATGATGTGGACAAGCAGGCCATAGTGTTTCGTTCGCACAAGTAGCAAAAGGGTACTTGACCTAAGCTACGTTACGCAGCCCAGGTCAAGGTCCAGGACCATGAGCGGGATTTGAACCCGCGACCTCCTGAAAATGCCAAGGACATTTCAGGTATGCTCCCAACTGCACCACCATGGCTAATTGCTGGGAAATCAAAACTTTCAGAATATAGTGGTTGTGAGTGAAGTGTAGGCGACAGCGGGAGGCATTGGCTAGACTTGTGGTGGAGAGAGATTGAATGAGGCTGTTTCGACGTTTGGATGGCCTCAACACCCGAGGCAGTCAGGCTTCGTCTCATTTTGTAGCGGGACACTAGATCTCGTGGTATGAGCATCTGAGGGCGAGATATGGTCTCGTCGTACAAAGGCTCCATTGGTATCGGCATGTCGTTAGTCTCATTCCGTGATTCTATGTCTGATGTTGCCGTCTCGAAGCTTGAGTCTCCTTACAATCGGTATCAGTTACCAGTCGTGTAAAGGAGGAAGCATCCGTCCGACAGAAGAGATCGTACAAGTTCGGGTCCATTCATGGAATTTGACAAGTCGAGATCGGTGCGATTTCATGTCGTTCTCAGACAGGGTGACTGGCGTATGTTCCAGACATAGATGAAGAAATACCTTCTTGTTAGCCGAACAAAATAAGGATGAATAGTGAGTGATATGCATAGTGTAAATGTTTGTCATTACTACATGGCCCTTGCGTATTCGCATACATGGTATAGAGGGCAGAATATGGACGTCTAACCGAGGACCTTCTCGACGACCGAAACTAGAACGAAATCAGTGATATGTTTCGGCAGAGGAATTGCAAAGACTCACCACTCATGCCGGTGTTGTCGGGCTCGACGTGGGCCTCCTTGACCTTGCCGTCCTCAATGACCAGGGCGTAGCGCTTGCTGCGGTGGTTGCCGAGGATGGGGGTAGCATCGAAGTCGAGGTCGAGAGCCTTGGTGAACTTGCAGTCAGGGTCGGCAAGGAAACGAATCTGACAAGCATTAATTTAGGTTGATCAAATCAGCAGTCACAGAATGGAGTCACTTACGCCGCTCTTCTTGTCAGCGTCAAGATCGTGAGCCCATGCCTTCATGCTGCACTGTGAGTTAGCGTTTTGGTCTCAAAACGGTCTTGCAGCATTGCTAGCTCTTACACGAAGGGGTCGTTGACAGAAACGACGAAAACATCACCAGCATCCTTGAGGTTCTGGTAGTTGATGTAACCGGGAATGTGGGACTCGGAGCATGAGGGGCCTGTAAGGAGGAAGAATGTTAGCCGAACCTTCCTTGTTTGGTATTTTCCATTCTTCAAGAGACAGGATCAAGAATTGAAACTCGGAGTTTGGTGGAGATTGAAAGTCGAAAGTGCATTGGCGACAGCGGGCTAGCGGTCTCGCAAGTCGTCCGGAGAACAATGCCGTGAGTTGGCAGCGATCGACCTAGCACTAGACTCGGTGCGGGCATTGTGAATGCTTGAGGTACCGGGGCGCAGGGGGTACTGGTGAAGCAGACGATGAACTAGAAGAAGAGAGCAATCTTACTGAAGGCAGCAGGGACACCAATGATGAGACCCTTGCCCTTGAGGAGCTTGGGGATGGAGACCTTGTTGCCGGGAGAGTCCTCCATCAACTCAATGTCCGGAATAGAGTCACCGACCTTGACCATGATGGGAGCTGAAGCGTGGAATGAACGGTTAACGAGGGGGGTGCGGGAGGAGCGGAGGGTCGAGGAGAGAGCAGTTGTTGCGCGAGCGGTGAACATGGTTGCGAGCTGGGGAAAGGTGTTTCTTTAATTGACCGTCACCGAATAGCAGATGAGGGGTAGGTGGATGATTTGGAAGAGGCCAGAATATCGAGCCTCTGAGCTTAAGCTGGAGATAACAACCAAGCTTTTGTTTGCAACATTTGATTGGCGCTTCTCTACCAAACGACCGGTTGCGCGATCACCCACCTCTTCCATTCAACTGACAGGCTGCATACAGACGGTGAAGAAGATTAACCAGATTAAAGTGCATCGCATGTACTTGATGTCCTGACTGCTACCGGTTTACGCTCAATTCCTCCAGGATCACTTCTCAACACTGTCACCCAAGCTGTAGCAGGACGTTTACCACGAGTTTCAATTTCCAAACAGTTTTGGAATTATTGGAGGCCCACGATGCGTTCAGCCTTTTGACCCGGATGGCTTGAGAGAGGCAGCATTAGCGGAGCCGTTGACGCCATCTCGACTATTAGATCCAAGCTTAACCGTAAGAATCGTCAGCTCTCCTTTGTCCTGCAGAAGCGGAATACATGCCATGCCACTGGTGTTTTGACGGGAGATGGGCGCTCGTGCGAAGACGGCACTCGGCGGGAACAGCGTGGTATAAGGCCGCGGACATGTGGATGTGGTCGTGGTGGTCGAAGGGAGCGCATTCCACGTCGGCAACCGAAGCTTTGGGGGGCGCCGATCTTGACTCTGCCATCGACGTATTCAACCACGGCCAAGGCGCAATTATTGTTTTCTTTTTCTCCTGCGACTCGAGCGATAGACAAGGAGGGCAGATCCACTCTAGCACACGCTAAGCCCGGCGTCCTTTTGCACAGAGCCTCGGGTTTCTGGCCTCGACACTTGCACCCTGCTTTTCGAGCTTTCTTCCTTCCAACTTGCTGAACTCTGGCCCTGCCGACTCCTCGCCCTCGCAATACCCACTGTCCTCGGCGTCCTTGTCGCACGCCCACCGCCAGAGGCTTCAGCCAGCGCCGTCGCTCACGAGCGCTCTCGAGCCCTCCTGTATTCTACGCGGCGTCAGCCTGTTACATCACCCATCTCGGCATCTACCCAATCGCTCGCACCCCGACCCCGCTTCCATCTCGACAGAGCCGCCTTCATTGTAAAGACGGCCATCTCGACCCGTGCAAATTCTTTGCGCGTCGCATAAACTAGACAGGATACGTCATCGTTCGCAGCACAACCCATCGCAACCATGGACAACAATCAGGGAGGTGGAAACACGTCAAGCGATTTTGTAAGTTGAACACACTCTTGTCCCAAGGACAAAGGCGCAATCGCTTCGCTACAATGGCTAACGTCTATTCTTCTGTGTCGGCAGGTTCGCAAGTTGTACAAGTAGGTCATCGGCTGCGCGCGAGCGCGTTCATTTCGCATGGCGTCATCTAATTGGCTCGTGATAGGATGTTGGAGAGCCCACAGGACGAGAGCGTAGTACGATGGGGCAACGAAGGCGACAGTTTTGTCGTCCTCGAGGTGCGCATGCCGACTTCTCCAACACATTGAGGCTTCGCTGACCAAACGGCCTGCAGANATGAGAAATTCACAAAGCACATCCTGCCCAAGCACTTCAAACACAGCAACTTTGCCAGTTTCGTGCGTCAACTCAACAAATACGACTTTCACAAAGTCCGGCATAACAATGAAGAGGGCGGCGTGTCTCCCTACGGCGCTGGTGTACGTCGCTCCTCCTGATACAATCACAGCGCAAGAGGATCGAAGGACTGACAGATCGATAGGNCGTGGGAATTCAAGCACCCTGACTTCAAGGCCAACAACAAAGATGCCCTCGACAACATCCGAAGAAAGGCGCCTGCGCCGCGCAAGCCCAATGCCATGATGGACGATATGATGCCCACTCAGCAGATGGATCTTTTCAACACACAACTCGTCGCGACCCAGCAGCAATTGCAACAATTGCAAGAGCGCTACAACGAACTCAGCATGCACCACTCAATGCTCCTCCAGGAATTGATTGGTGTCCAGAAGACAGTCGTCAACCACGAGCACGTTATGCAATATGTCATGAATTTCCTGCAGTCGGTCGATGGACAACGACGAAGAGAAAGTCGCGTTGCCAATCCCTTTGCGCCACCAGCTACCGGTGCTGCCAATGGCAAGCAACTTCCCCCTGCACCAATCCCAGAAGATGAGCCGGCATCACCACTGCAACACGCCGCAAAACTACTCTCAGAAACCAATGCCGACCATATCTTGAACACGCGTAACCTCGAACACATGAACGAAATGTCGTTGAGGATGAACCCGGCTCTTACTACACCCCCTCCGGATCTGGCTCTGCGAACCGGCGCCAGAATAGCCAGAGGCGGCCCCAACGGTCCTCACTCTGCTGCATCGTCTACATCCATGTCTTATGGTGAACTCGACAACCTTGTATACCCTGTTGGCCAAACAAATGGCATCGATCCCATGTTCAGTGAGCACATTCACAACATTCCCTATGCAATGCCGACAAAGGCCCCCGAACCGGCGCCTGCACCGCCCGCAGCCGATGGCAGGAAGAAGAGCATGCAATATGACCCTGGTTGGGCTAGACAACCTCAGGTGCTACTAGTTGAAGACGACCAGACTTGCAGGCGGATAGGCGGCAAGTTTTTGTACGCTTTTCACTGTGCTGTCGACAGTGCTGTAAGTTTGAACTTACTTTTGTCTTGTGCATCTCTTTGCTAACTTATTTCTAGCNTCGATGGCTTGGAAGCAGTCAACAAGATGAACGCCGGCGCAAAGTACGATCTTGTGCTGATGGACATCATCATGCCCAACCTTGACGGTGTTTCGGCTTGCCATCTGATCAGACAATTCGACAACACACCGATCATCGCTATGACCTCCAACATCCGCAGTGACGACATTGCGATGTATTTCCAGCACGGTATGTACTCTTGAAAAGCTCCTTGGTGAATCTCAGGCTAACCCTGCTGCANNGGCATGAACGATGTGCTTCCCAAGCCTTTCACAAAGGAAGGATTGTTGAGCATGCTGGAGAAACACCTTGGCCACCTCAAGAAGTCGCCCTCCGCTATTGATGGAGTATCAGGACCACCTCCACCTCTTGCTCAAGTTGCTGCAAAAAACGCACTGAAAGCTGAAGAGTCACCTGCTACCTCGCCAGCTACTATCAGTAACTGGACCTCACCTGGAACCGGTCTAGGCATGTCGCCAGCGGCTAGCGACGCCGCTGGAAACGATTATAATTTGGGAGTCTCCGGTCACCCGTCGGCCCCATACCACGTGCAAGTCGGCATGCCTCCACCAGGCATGCCTCCACAAGTCGGATACGGTGGTTCGCCTCGTGGCATGCCGCCAGGTCTAGGACCACAACCAGGGGGCCCACACAGACGCCAAATCTCTGACATTTCGGGCGGGCCCGGTGATGTCGGAGGCGATGTCAAGAGACAGCAAATGTTCGGTCCGCCCCAACATATGCCGCCGCATATGGGACCGGGTGTACCGATGGGACAGCCTGTCCAAAATCCGCTCAACCCCATGCATAGAAGACCTGGTTGATTGCGTTTTTAATGTTTAGATAAAGACAGTCCCGTCTGGTGAGCCAGAGATTGCACCGCACACGAGTTTTAATCAGGAGTTCTTTTTCTTCTCTGGGCAGGCAGTGCCAGATGGGTTGCAACAGTTTGTATGTCACTGTTTGCGACACGTCTGGCTGTTTGATGTCCATGTTTTTGCACAACAAAGCATTTGACTGGCGTCTTTGTGTTGTTAGATTAGTTTGGAGATATACGACTGCAAGGCATCAACCAGAGGTATGCATGAAAACAAACCAGTTTCTCTTTATCCACTGTCTCGTCACGTACCCCGGATCGTTGATCTTGACATTGCTTTGGTTGCTCTCCCGACCAGATACTTCCTGACCACTCATCTTGATCTGGCGCCGGCGAGATTACTGCTCACGACGACAAACCACAGGCATCTTCACTCTCGTACAACGGAATTGCTGTCTTTGTCCGTAATCACACTCACCTCTGTCAATTCTCTTGCAACAGAACAACACTACCAAGTATGCCAAGTTGCCATGATCTCTGCTTCTTTTGTCTAATCATCTACCACAGCCACCGAAACCATGGCACCACCTGAACAACGCTCATTGAGACAAGAGTGCGGAGTCCTCCATCAGAGAGTCAGCACTCTCGGAGCGGCTACACGAATTCATATCAATCAGTTCAAACAGCAAATTCAGACGCTCGAACAACAGACACAGACTCTTGCACAGCATAACCATGTACTCGAACAGCAGAATCATGCGCTTGAACAACGTATTCACGCTTTGGAAGCATCAAACAAGGCATCCGAGGCCGTGAAATCTCATGCCGTAGAGATGGACTCGACAGGCTCGATTTGGCTAGCTGAAAGCACAGCAGAAGATCTTCCTGCAGAAGAGAACCCCGAAGATCTTTCTTCGAAACATGTCTCAAGAGATGACATCCCTTCGCCTGTCCAGCAGCAAGACTCATCTGTACCTGCCATCAACTCTGTTGAGCACCTCTTCTCGCCAGTCCGCCAGCAAGACTCACCTCCACCTACCACCAACGACACTCAGAGTATCGACTACAGTGTCTGGTACGAAAACGGCACTCTGACAAGCGACGCCCCAGACCACTTCCTCACCACCCAAGACTGGCAAAATCTCCTCACCACCTTCGCAAGCACCCGCACTTTCTTCGACCAAAAGGACGCACACTGGCACCTCACCACAAACACCAATGTCTGTGTCCGAGAACTCGCCCAGAAGACCAAGAAAAAGACAGAGTGGACTGTAGACGCGCCAGGCGAGTTTTGCTGTAAGAGATGCTTCAACACACAGAGAGTGTGCTTGAAGTACAATGAGCAGTCGCAGCGATTGGAGGCGTTGCCTTTGCCCGAGGAAGCTAGGCCCGAGGGTGCTGTGCTGGGGGTTGAGTGGTTTGTTGCTGCGCAACCTAATCTGAGCAACAAGGCTGGGTTCAAGGGGTTGTGGTGATTGCTTCCTGTCATCAAAACATCAGAGGTGCAGTGATCAGGGTCTTGAGGATTCAAGTTCTTTGGGCTAGTTCTTCCAGAGAAAGAAAAGGAATGGATGGCGTGATGGAAGAAGGAGCATGCAGACGGGAAGAAAGAAGCGAGCAGAGACAATGGAGGAAAGTGCAGAGCAAGAGAGAACAACACCAAAGGATACGAAGTACAAGGGGAAGAGAGCAAAGCACAAGGAAACAATAAGAATATATCTCTCAAGATCAGAATCCGCAAGGTCTTTGGTACTCTCTCCCAAACAGTGTTTTGCAACTTTCCAAAAACAGTGGGAACATGGTGCCGTTGCGCTGACATTACCAATTTCATGGATCAGAGCATGTTTTTGCACAAACATAACTAAACTATTCAAGCTCTATTACTGTAAAACCATTCACATACACTAAACACCAATACAGATCCGGAGTTTCGGGACGCCAGACTGTTTTTGCTCAAAAAATAAAAAGCCACTCAGATATTATTCATTTTTGTCAAAACTTTTGTCTCCACAAACAGAAGTGAAAGAATTTTTTTCTATGATCAATGACTGCCTCAATTTACTACGCAAATAAGAGAAAATCCCACCACCAACACCCCGACTAAATAGAGCAAAAAGAGCCAAAAGGAATTCCCCCCTCCTCCGATTCGATCCAATACCCCCTTTTCTTGACCCCGAAAAAAAAAAAACACCGTTTTATATCCAGTAACCCAGCCCCACTGTAAACGAAAAAAGTTGTCATCGCCAAACAGACATCGTCCATGCAATAGCAAGGAAAGTAACCAAAGAGCAAAAAAGCAAAAGAGAAAAAAGATAGCTAAGCTTGGTTTCGATCCAAGGTCCTCCGGGTTATGAGCCCGGCGCGCTGGTATGAGTTAGTGACGATGTTTTGGTGGAAATTTGGTGATGGGGATTTATTACGAACCTTCCGCTGCGCCACTCAGCTGGGCGATTATCCACTTCAGTTATGGACGTGAAAATTTCAGTTTAAAAAATATATGTAGATACTGACAAAAAAAGTCTTGGTATTTCCTGGTTACTATGTGATAGGTGATCATTGACAGATCAATGTTGATTCATCACCTTGTAATCTAGAAGAAAAGTATTGTAGTATTGTTTTCTCTATCATAAGATGAGGGTCTCCATCATATTCAATCTAGTACTTTGGCTTGAAGGGAATAGTCTTCATCTGATCCACCGGATTGGCCTTGGTGCCAAAGAGCTTATAGATCCATCGGAGGATAACAAANAAGCTCTCCGGCTCACCCATATGCTTGATACCCGGGATAAATCTCGCCTCCTTGGGTGCTCCATGCAGCAAACAAAGATAGTAATCATCAATAGGGAAAATTTCATCTTCGGTGCCATTGACAAGGAATAATCTTGCACACTCTGGTTTGTCCAAGGTGCCATCTTCGAGTAAAGAGAACTTTTTTGCTTCTTTNTTGAAGGTCTCAAAGTCGTTGCCGTAGCCGTATTTGTAGCAGAGGGTGGTGGCCAGGTCGAAGGGGTATTCGAGGTTGTTTACATTGTTGAGCCATTCTTCGTCAAACATGTGGTGGACACCACCGCCTAGGGCAACCACACCAGCAAGACGAGTGGGATGCGTGTGGGCAAGGCGAATGGCGTAATAACCTCCTGTCGAAAAGGCCCAGACGCAGACCTTGTCTTTTGCAATGGCGGGTTGNGTGTCGATCCAGTCTAGCAAACTGCTCCATTGGCGATCGGGAGATGTTGGGTCAGAGGCTAGAGCTGGAGAGTCGCCGGTGCCTGGGATTTCGACGACGATGGTGCCGACGCCGTTTTGACGCCATCCCTCCATCCAGACGGAGAGCTCTGTGCGGTAGCCGTCTAGACCGGTCATGATCAGAACGACGGGGGCAGGGTTTGATTCGCTGGCATCTGATGGGAGCAAGTGGTAGATGGGAATGTTCTTTCCTTCTCCTCTGATGCCATGGGTGTGCGGTACTTCAATCTCATGGACGGGGTGTTCGCGAAGNCCTGTGATGGGATATTAGCCTCACTCTGTTGAAAAGTGTCACAAGTATACACACCCTAGCCCCTTGATGCAAGCCTTCTTGCCTTCCTGCCAGGCATACCGTTGCTTCTCTGAGCGAGGAGCAGGAAACCTTGAGATGCGGTAGACAGCACTTGCCCGCCTATACTTTGTCAGTATTGGTATCTTCTTGTTTGTGTCCCAAACTCACAGGTAGAGTTCAGAAGCCTTCTCCTTGTTTCCCTCTTGCTCGGCCTTTTGTGCCTCAGAAACCAGCTCCTCGGCTTTGGGGAAGTAGACTTGAGCATAGTCGTCCCAGTCGTATGGCTCCTTGTAATCGCCNCTAATGTTTAATGAGTAAGAGTCGTATGTTTAGCTGTGGATTGAGCTCACGGCGACAAGCTTCTCGACTATGGGTTCGAAGTCTTTGACTGCAGAAAACATAAAAGGGTAGACACCCATCTCGCACNNTACATTGGTCAGCCTGATGATTGTATAGCATGCTTGTAGTTCAACGCTTACAGGCTTCTTCCACTTGGTCTCCCAAAGCTGCTTGTAGCTCTCATGGTGAGGGGCTGTCTTGTACAGCTTATCCTGAATGAAGTATCCTCCATTAGGTGCAGCCATCTTGTATAAAATTCTTCAAGTGAAAAGTCGTCAAGACAATTGTAAAAGAACCAGAAGACATCCGGGAAAAGGACAGCAGTGTTGACTTTAATAGTAGAGAGAAGCAGAGTCGGCTCCTCCACAGTCGACCCCACTATCTGCCGAAAGATCGTGTTACATCGTCGCGATGATTAATGTTTCGTGGTCCTAAGCTCGGTGTCTTGAGTGTTCGAAATGTCCGAACCTGTTGCATCGACGACGTAAATAGAGCTTCGGGTATCACAGTATAGAGCAGTGAATCTGTAGTATAGAACGTTCTAGTGCCAAGCTCGCCGCACGGATATGATCAAGAACGTTTCATGAGCAGACGCTTGTGCTCTGTAGCCTTACATCCGGACTCGGGTGGGGATAGAGTTGATAATTCTCCGAAGGGTACCTCGCGCCTTACCCGTTCTATCTGGTAGTAGAGGTATAGCACTTTGGATAGAAGCATGTCAGTCAGTCGCTGGTAAGAAGGTGTTGAGGCTTGTCGAGAATTCGATGTGAAAAGATTACTGTATCAGAGACTTGATGATGTTTTGTTTGAGACGTGACGATACAGACATGGTGCCAATCATCAGATTTAATATACAACTAGCAATTAACCCATATCGACACGAGGATGCTAGAAGAGAGGCTCAGGTATTGCTGAGATGCGAATGTCCTGCAAANNAGTCATCCAGTCGTTGTCATTGGTATTACCATGGTCTTCGAATTTCGAACCTTGACAACCCTCCCAACGATTAGACACCATTTGGTCCCCAGCGTTCGAGGAATCGGCGTCGACCATGAGCTTACGAACCATCGGTGCAAACTGCTTGATGGTCGAGGTGCTGCAGTTCAAAGTCACATTGTTGAGCCGGAGCTCCTCAAGTCTGCTCCAATGCTTCGTCATTTTCATAGACTGGTTGTCATCGCTTACGACAAATGGATTCGGACCTGCTGTACCGACCCACGACAGATCGAGCTTGACGAGTGTACGACTGAAGCTCTGCAGATCGTCTGCAAAGATCTTCTCAAAAAGCTGCTTCTGACCTTTAAGCAATCGGCCCTCGGTGTAAGGACTAAGTATTCCTAGCTTTAGTGTCTTAAGCTTGTACCAGACGGAGTTTCTCGAAGCACAAGCTTCGCCGTAGGCACCGGCTCCGGCCCAGCGAAGATGCATGATGCCCATGGCGTGAATGGGATAGAAATTAACTGTATGTATTTGCTCAGGATTGACGCGTTCGAGAGTGATGCGCAACATGATGAGCGCTGACTCAATGTCAGTACAGCCAGGCCAAGTGGGATCACCATTGCAAGCGATGTGCACAACTTCCAAGTTCGGCAAGAGCTTGAAGATTTCGCACCACTGTTGGAGCAGGTTTTGGTCAATGTCACCGGGCTTCCTCTGTACAACGAACTTCCAGGCGATGGGCGGCTCCGCATATGGACAGTAGGAGTCAAGGATATCAGATGTTGCATCACTCCCACTGCCAGAGCGTGGAGTCGATGCATTTGTGCTGAGAGATGGTGTTCCTGGTAAGCAGCATGCCTTTGGGGGATACGCGATCTTGACCACAACATGCCGACAGAGCAACCCGATGTCCTCAAGTGCTTCCGTACTCTGCTTTCGCCCAGGAGGTACCGGCGTGTGGACGAAGAGAGTCTCGAAAGCGACCTCTTTAAGCTCAGCAAGGCCGTGTAGTGAACGAGACGTTAACCTCAGGTTTAATGTATCTTGAGTAGTAAGATACAGCTTGAGGAAGTGACCCAGACTGGGTCCTTTGGAGAAGACTTGAAGGCGGAGAAGTGCTCTCTCCAGTGGCGAAGACATGGTGAGGTATGAAGTGAAGTGGTAGATGAGCCTGGCAGAAACCTTTGAGGGATAGGCATGACTGCCAATATATACGAAGCAGTGCGTTTTTTCCAATTACTCTGTGACAGGCAAGCACGCCATGTGATGTGTCACCATGCGGCTAGTCGGTTTGACGCAGGCTTTTACGCGATGGCTTCACGTCGAGGTGTCACAGACGCACGCAACGAAGCTGCCAGCACGGCGATGGTATAATCAGGCGATACGCTCATAGGCAGAGTCGCTAAGGTAGTCTTTCTGGGGGCCCTTGACCTTGTAACGCAAGCCCCATCTCTTCATGTTGTCGTCCAGTCTGAAGTCGTGAAAGGCCCAATACATGTCTTTCTCGCACAAGTGGTCTCCCTTGGCAATCCAGCGTTGATCAAGAAAGGAAAACTCAAGTTCGTGGAACAGATAGTCGACCTCTTCGCTGCCATCAGGTGCTGGCTCCTTGACAAACCACATGGCGATCTTCTCGTCGTCAGGACTGAAACGATATATGTATTTTCGGTTGGCCAGCAGTTTGTAGCCGAGCTCTGTCACAAGCTCACCGGTCTCATGGTAAAGTAGAGAGCTTCCGTCGAACGTGCTGTCGCTGTAGGGCTTGAACGTGGCGGTGCCATTAAAGGTTCCAGAAGGAAAGCCAGGGAGAGCACTGGTGAGCGATCGGTGGAGCTTCCATGTGCCGGACAAGCTTTTGAAGATGGTCTCAAGCGGCGGCATTGGTGGTTCGAGGAGTGGCATATCGACCAATGTATGTTCGTTGACTTGCTGGTTGCTTGTCCAGCTTGGAGCGTCGAGCGTTGAGTGCCTGCCATGAGGTCCGTGCACCTAGTATACTGAGCTCGCATGCTCCAACGCCGCAAAGCTCTTGTCATACCGCGCGAGATGTCTCAGATATTCCTTGCTAACTATCCCAGAGCTCCCTTCTCTTTCTTACACACACACACTTCTGCTGGTCTGAAGTTAGTTGTAGGCATGTCGACAGTACTCAGAGGACATGCCAGAGCACGAGAGCTACGGAAATGAGAACAGATAGGTTTGGGTGGTCGAAAACAGGCTTCGCTGAATTAAGTGGTTATGGTACAAGAAAGGGTAAGGTGGAATCCTCCGTCAAGTATGATGGAACTTGCATGAATCGTAGCCATTCTCTGGTCGTTGATGTGGTATAATTTACTTCTTCTCAACCTTGTCGAGGTCGGCCTTGTCCTTTGCGAGCTGGGCCTCACCCTGCTTGACCTTCTGTCTGAGGGCCTCAAGCTTCTCCTGCTCGTGGCGCTTGACGTAGAGGTTCTCTGAGGCCTCCTCGCGCTTTGTGAAGGCATCGCTCGAGGCAGAGCCGCCTGATCTGGGAGCACCGGCGTCACCAGCAGCCATCATGCGGGGAGCAATGGAGAAGCGGGCCACCTGGGAGTTGGCGACGAGGGGGCGGGCAACGCGAGCGATCCTGAGAGCGGAAGACATGATGTGTTCTGGAGCAAAGTCAGCATGACGGATTGGTGATGGTGATAGCAGAGGAGGAACTGACTGTGTAGTTGGGAGTTGGTGGACGAAGTTATGGATTGGCAGGAAGTGGTTTGTTTGTGTATGAGTTTGTGTGAGAGAAGAAGAAGAAGAAGAAGAAGTAGCTACTGCGTAGAAGCTCAGGTGATGAGCCAATGGCAGTGCACCTTGTTTTGGAAGGAACGACCTCTGGACTACGTCACCGCCATCGGGCATCGGAGCTGAGGGAAACGTCAGGGCTGAGAGCGGAGAGTGAGCAAGCACCACCATTACACAAAAAGCTTCTCAACCAAACCTCAGGCGCCTTGTCGTTGTACATTCCATTGCATTGTCCCTGTAAGTTGTCCCTTGCTTCATATCCTGCCCGCTATCATCTATCTTCCACTCCGGTCGGCCAATGCCTGCTCCATCATCGAGCTTCCCCACACGTTCACGCATTGTTGAATGGAGGGGCTCCTAGTGAGGGGCGCATCAAGATAGCAGCAGCCATGAAGCAATAGTCGCCCATGGCCGCTGCACACTGTATCCATGCATACCGCGCCGGGGATGCCGACGAGTGAAACCTCAATATCGTATCCGCCTTGGACCGGTTGCACCATGCTTCACCGCTGCACACTCTGCCTCCTCTTTGTTCGCAGTACTGTCCATGGCACCGACTTGTCCTTACACTTCGCCGTCACTTGATCGCCTATGTCTAACCGACCTTTGCTGACACGCATCTCTCACAGTTTTCATCTCGCCCTTTCTCGTTCCCACCAGCGTGCATTGACACCTGCTTCTCTACATACCACCACTTAAACTACCCAACACACATCCGTCAATATGGTCGGTCTCGGTCCTCGCAGACCCCCTTCCAGAAAGGGTCAGTCATCCTTTGTAAAGAGCTAGAAGAACATGAGATTTTGACAACCGACCANNGGTTCCATGGCCGATGTGCCCAAGGATCTCCTTGCCCAGATCAAGCACCTCGAAGAGATCTTCACTGTCCCCAAGGAGAGACTTGACAAGATCGTTACCAAGTTCGTCAAGGAGCTTGAGAAGGGTCTTGCCAAGGAGGGTTCAACAATCGTCAGTGTTGCTACATCAAAGCTCCGAGGACNNCATGTTGCTGACAATTCATAGCCCATGAACCCTACCTGGTGTATGGGCTTCCCCACTGGCCACGAGACCGGTACTTTCCTCGCTCTCGATATGGGTGGCACCAATCTCCGTGTCTGTGAGATCCACTTGCCTGAGGAGAAGGGAGAATTCGACATCATCCAATCCAAGTACCGCATGCCCGAGGAGCTCAAGACCGGTACCGCCGACGAGCTGTGGGGCTACATTGCCGATTGTTTGCAGCAGTTCATCGAGTACCACCACGAGGGCGAGAAGCTCGACAAGCTTCCTCTCGGTTTCACCTTCTCATACCCCGCCACTCAACACTACATCGACCACGGTATCCTGCAAAGATGGACCAAGGGCTTCGACATTGACGGTGTTGAGGGCGAGGATGTTGTTCCTCCTTTCGAGAAGGCTCTGGCCGAGCGTGGTGTCCCAATCAAGCTGACTGCTCTGATCAACGACACCACCGGTACCCTGATCGCCTCTGCCTACACTGACAGCGAGATGAAGATTGGATGTATCTTCGGTACTGGATGCAACGCTGCTTACATGGAGAACTGCGGTTCCATCCCCAAATTGGCTCACATGAACCTTGACCCCGAGCTTCCCATTGCCATCAACTGCGAATACGGCGCTTTCGACAATGAGCACGAGGTTCTCCCTCTTACCAAGTACGATGAGATCATCGACAAGGAGTCACCCCGTCCTGGTCAGCAGGCCTTCGAGAAGATGATCGCTGGTCTGTACCTCGGCGAGATCTTCCGTCTCGTCCTGCTCGATATGCACGAGGGCAAGCACATGTTCGAGGGCCAGAGCGTCGACAAGCTCAAGAAGCCTTACAGCATTGATGCCTCCGTCCTTGCCGCCATTGAGGAGGATCCTTTCGAGAACTTGTCCGAGACTGCCGAATTGATGCGCGCCCAGTTCAGCCTCCAGTGCAACAAGCCCGAGCTCGAGTTGGTCCGTCGTCTGGCTGAGCTTATTGGTACTCGTGCCGCACGTCTGTCCGCCTGTGGTGTCGCTGCTATCTGCAAGAAGAAGGGCTACAAGACTGCTCACGTTGGTGCCGACGGATCGGTGTTTAACAAGTACCCTCACTTCAAGGCCCGTGGCGCTCAGGCCCTCCGCGAGATGCTGGATTGGCCCGAGAAGCAGAACAAGCGTGATGCCGACCCTGTTGAGATCATGACTGCTGAGGATGGTAGTGGTGTCGGTGCCGCTTTGATTGCTGCCCTTACCCTCAAGAGAGTCAAGGAGGGTCAGCTCGCCGGTATCAAGGATGCCAAGTCCATGCTCGACTTCTAAGCGTTGCAGAAGAAAGTGCATCTTTAGATGGTTTCTCTTGGGCGTGGGGAGTTGCAGATGCTGGCATGTCATCATGAGGCCGAAGAGGGGAAGCGGATAATTGCTTGAGCACTTTTGAGAAAGGCGCTTCCTTTCGATAGCTACACATTGCACAAAACATGAAACGAATTTCTTTGATAATGACGATTGTTGCCGTGAGGATGTGATATGCGTTCATAGACCAGCAGACTGATGCCTGCTCTATCGATAGACTGCCCGCCCACTGAAGCACCTGCTGCTCGAATAATGACCAAAAACGAAAAATAAAGAAGCAAGAAGAAAAAAACAATCGAGTGTATGGGGGTATCGTAACGTGAAAGAAAAGGACAAAAAACATAGGAGAAAAAAACCAATGACCCTTCATCTATCATCCCTCGTCCACCTCAATCCTTTCAACACCACCACCCTCAGAACCCCCAATCCTCGTCATCATCACTCAAATCCCAACTCCCCGGCACCCTCCTATGCCCCCTCAACTTGCCCGCCGCAGTCGCAGCAGCCGCAGCACCGCCACCAGCAGCAGCAAACATGTCGTGGAAAGCCGGTTCGGCCAGATTCAACGCACCACTAGCGACCAATCTAGCAGCGATCCTGAGCATGGTGGCTACAAGATTTGCCGGGGGACCCAGGAACAAAGCGCAAGTTTTGCGGACGAGGAGGCCGGGAGAGGTTTTTGTCGTCAGGGCTGTGGAGGATGGAGTGGTGGGTTTTGTTGGTGGTGTTTGGGTTTGTGGGTGGGGTGTAGAGGGGGAGGGAGAGGGTGAGCGGGAGGAGGGGGTGCGGCGTTGGCGGAGGAGGTCTGTTGCTTCTGAGGGGGTGAGGACGGGGAGGGTGGACCAGGATGTTGCTGTTGAGAGAGAGGTTGTGGAGAGAGCTGGGGAGGAAGCTGTGAGGGTTGTGCATGTGGTTTCGGTTGTGGACATAGATGGTGATGTTGTCGGGTTGTGGGTTGGTGGTGTTTCTATGGTGGAGTTTGGTAGTGTTGGTTGTTGGAATTGGCTGATGGTTGGTGTGCTCTCGTCCTTTTCCTCTTCTGTCGGACTAGGGGCTCCTGCAACTGCCTGTTCTTGCGGTTCTTCTGGTAAGGGCGTCTCGATGATTGTGGCATCGGCTTCCTTCGGGAGGATGGAGTGAGTTGAGTCTTCGGCCGTGCTGAGGTCAGTTTCATCACCTATTTGCTCGACGACGATCAGAGGTTCCCTGAGGCTAGGGTCCTTGTTTTCGTCTATTATGACGGTGACAGGTCTGATTGAAGTCGGATTTGGTTGTGCATCGCTCGTAATGTCCTCATGAATATGGTAGTCAGGGGAGTAGAGAGGTGACTCGGGTGTAGACGGTAGTCGTGGAACAAGAGCGGATGAAAGTGGACGTGCAAGACGTGGCGCAGTGTCGCGAGCAGTCTGGTCAAAAACACCAGCCATCTTACGAACCTTGTTGACTTTGGATGGAGGTGACGATTCGAGGCTCAACTGCGGAGGGGCAGTAACCGACCGCATGGCCGCCAGCTTTTTGGATGGGAACGGCCCGGATAGTTGTGGTGCCTTATCTCCTCTGCTGGCCGGCCTTGTGTCCTGTTCTTTTCCACTCTCTTCCTCTGACTTTGCGCCCTCTGTCTTTGCGCTGTCCTCGCATTCTGAGCGTTCGGTGTCTGATCTCGACGTAGATCTCGATTTGCTTCTGTTGGGGTGCAAGAGCTGCGGCTCTTCGAGTTCGGCACCCTCTGGCCTCCAGACCTTGTCAAGTCTCCAGCGTTTTGCAGGCTCGATGTATTCTCTCGACAGTCTCCGCGAGTTTCTGCTGGGCATTTCTGGCAGGTCCTCACCGAAGCCTCTCTGGAAGGGACAAGCTGTTCTCTCGTAGTACAAGACTTTGGCTAGTGTCTTCTTGAGCTGCTCAACGTATTCCATGTCCTCCTGGGTGGTTCCGGGTAACTCGATTCGGTAGTAGGTATTGGGCAGGACGCGCATGGCGAACTTTGAGACACCGTCGACACACCAACACTGCGAACGTGGGAGGATAGCGTGTAGCAAGCTGCCAGAATGTAGAAAGGCGACGGATCCAGGTACGCGGTAGATTTCTAGTGGTCCTNNAAGATGCTGTCAGCTGCACTGTTGTCGCTTGGCTGGCGTGTGTCGTCTCATACCTGCAGCCATGGTCCTCTCAGTGGGTGAGGTCCACAGCAAGGATGTGGACGCATCACCCTCTCCATCGTAGCTGGCAATGCTCGATCTCGAGTTGGGTCGCGATTTCAGAGATGACGCTGTGCTGAAGGATACAATCTTGGCCGAGGGGTGGACAAACAGCGTCTCGATGCCATCGGCGGAACCAATCTCAACCTGTTGTGGGACTGTCTTCGGGTTGGCGAGTCTCGAAGGGAGGGTGAAAGATCGTCGCAGAGCTGAGCCTGGAGCCGAGGCCAACGGCATATCCTTGGATGTGCTGGACGACGGCCGCGAAGACATAGCATCCCCAAGTCTCGGACCCGACCAGTTGTTGATAGGATGTTGGATGTGGATTGCTAGGAGAGATCTAGCCAGCGATTCCGAGTGAGACGGACGCCTTCATTCCAACACGCCTTGCCTTTTTCTGTGCGGGGCATCGAGCTATCCAGAAAAAGGTTCCCTCCAATTTAAGGAGTCATTTTATGCAACGAACTACTACGTAAAGGGCTGTATCACTCGTACACGCAGCTGCGCTCTAGCTGTTTCAGATGGAGACATTTGACAAGAGTCAGAGGATATCTTATCACAACTCGTCCGAGTCATGCTGGATAGTATACTTCAGGCCGATGCCATCTCCTCTCTCTTCCGACATGATATAAGCATCTGTACGAATACACAAACACTTGTAGCATTCTTTATCATGTCCATAGAAACGTCTAGGATAATAACGGCCAGGGCCGCCCGCTCACCACGCAGCGAACCCCTGGATGGTTCGGTCGGGCCATCGGCCTTCTGCAAACGCCGTTCCACCATGACGTACGCAGTCGTGTCGATGATGAGCTTCTGAGTTCAAGCAAAATGTTGAATTGAAGGTCACCGTCCTGTCGTCGCTACAACCAAATCAGAGGACTACAGACGGCAATGTCAAACTTTGACCCCAATGCCATCCTTCGTGGTGCGCAGCTCACCGTCGTCGGTGGTAAGCATGTCCAAGATCCTGTCGTGTGCCTGTACAGCTTGACTGACGCGACCAAGNCCTATCGAGCATTGCAGAACCCGAAACTCTTTACCTCTGAACACTACAGACAGGCTGCTCTGGCCGTAGCAGCCGGCATCGCCATTCGTGTCCTCGTCGCCATTCCTGTACGCTATCTTCACCTTGCCATCTTCGCACCACAGGGATCATCTCTCTAACATATAATGACAGNNGCCGTCGGAGTCCGCGTGCTCATCTCCTTCCTAGGACTGTTCACGGACCTAAAGAGCTCGGGATGGGACGACGAAATCATGGATGGTGTCGAGTTCCTGGAGCATTCAGTGCTGCAGCTGCCCTTCTTCCTCATGAGTTTCATGAGATACATTAGTCCTTCGCTCGACAACATGTGAGTTCTTGATATTGCGCAGCTACCAAGACATTAGAGACTGATTGTCGCCAGGTTTATGGAATCCCTCAGATGGGTCGACGAGACATATGTACAAAAGCACAAGGGCGAAGATCCTGACTCGCTCCGTGCCATGTATTATCCCAACATGCGCCAGTACAAACATCACGGTCCCGCTCCCGCTGCTGGAAAAGAGCCTTCGCAAAACGCTCCCAAGCAAGCCGCTATCAAGTTCTTGATGCGATATGGTCGCAAGGCTGGAATCTCCCTGGCCGTCTACCTGCTCTCGTTGCTACCATACGTCGGTCGCTTCGTCCTTCCTGCTGCATCCTTCTATACATTCAACAAGCAGGTTGGTCTGCAACCTGCCATTCTCATCTTTGGCAGCTCTATCTTCTTGCCTAAGCGATATCTGGTTCAGTTCCTCCAGAGCTACTTTGCTTCCAGGAGTTTGATGAGAGAACTGGTACGTAAATGTGTTTCTGCGTTACAATCACAATCCTGACACACAAAACAGCTTGAGCCCTACTTCTCACGTATAAGATTCACCCCTCAGCAGAAGAAGATTTGGTTCCATGACCGCGAGGGTGTTCTTTTCGGCTTCGGTGTCGGCTTCTTCGTTTTCCTCAAAATTCCCCTTCTTGGTGTGCTCATCTACGGCATCGCTGAAGCTTCGACTGCCTTCCTGATTACCAAGGTCACCGATCCACCACCGCAACCCGAAGAGTGGACCAACTTTGCCGAGACACAAGCCCACTGGCGCAACAAGCATGAGTTCTTGAAGCTTCCTCTGGACAAGCTGGACGCGCTGAACATCACATCGAGTAAGGAGGGTGAGAAGCCAGACACCACAACCATCAAGGGCCGCCAGTTTACCTAGGGGGCTGCTTAGCATCGGGTGTTGCTCGAGAGTAATACTCAACTAGTTCCAGCAACATCTACCACAGAACATCCAAAATACAAACCACCTCGTTCCAATCAGATATCAATCAATTCCGAGTTATGTCCAGCGGCATTGATCCGCCCGTCCGTGCACCAGATACCCCTCGATGGAGCAAGCTACCCCACACCTTGATTGGCATATCGTGAGTCGTGACGATAGATGGTTACAACCTGCCGTTCTTGTGTAGTCAATTGCTTATCTCTTGCCAATCCATGAAGAAGCGGGCATGGGCTGACTACTCATCATGACTGATCCGACTCCTAGATATAATATGCCGTAGCTTGCCCCTCTCGAAGCTCCCTCTTTTCTGCACTCTCAATCTTCAATTGCTTCTGATAAACATTTGTTCTGCTTCAATTGAGCTATATCAAGATGGGTAAATCAGAGATCAGATATGCTGCCAAAGTCGATCTAGAGAAGGATGCAGCTTCTCAGCCTCAACTTCATGTAATCGCGATCCATATGCTTTTCATCCGAGTGTGACTGACATCTCGCAGANACCGCTGGCACCCCGACAGTATCTTCTCCCCTAGCCTCTCTTTGACAAGCTACCACTGACCCCCACTCTTCANNGTCCCCGCAGCCGGCAAAATCGCAGACGGTGAAGTCGTCAAGATCGAATGCGTCGACTGGACCGGCGGCCAGATCAAAAACACCGACGACGCAGACGACATCAAAAACGTCGACCTCACCAAGATCCATTACCTCAGCGGACCCTTTGAGATCGAAAATGCCGAACCTGGAGATGTACTGGTGGTAGAGATTCAAGATGTACAGCCTTTGCAAGACCAACCTTGGGGATTCACAGGTATCTTTGCAAAGGAGAATGGAGGTGGATTCTTGGATGAACTGTATCCCGAAGCGTGAGTTTTTGGCTTTTTGATCCACTACTTTGGTGTTTTCTTCGGGTTACTGATGGACATGGATAGAGCAAAAGCCATCTGGGATTTTGAAGGCATCTTCTGCTCTTCCCGCCATATCCCCCATGTCCGCTTCCCAGGCCTCATCCACCCAGGAATCCTCGGCTGTGCCCCTTCAGCCGCCATCCTCGCAGAATGGAACCGTCGCGAAAACCAACTCATCACCGAATGCGCACACATGACCCGCGATGTCGCCAAACCACCCGAACCCACAAACGTCCACGCCGGTGCCGCCGACGCTACTCTCAAGGAAAAAATCGGCAACCAAGGCGCGAGAACCATCCCCGGCCGCCCCGAACACGGCGGCAACTGCGACATCAAAAACCTCTCGCGCGGCTCGAAAGTCTACTTGCCCGTCCACGTCCCCGGCGCAAAGTTCAGCGTGGGCGACCTCCACTTCTCCCAAGGCGACGGCGAAATCTCCTTTTGCGGCGCCATAGAAATGGCAGGCGTGATCACCATAAAGTTTTCCGTCATGAAGGATGGAGTCAAGCACTTGGCCATGAAATCTCCAATTTATATCCCCGGCGCCGTGGAGCCAAACTTTGGACCCGGAAGACATATCTACTTTGAAGGGTTTAGTGTGGACGAGCAGGGAAAACAGTACTTTNTGGATACCACGGTGGCGTATCGACAGACTACGTTGAGGTGTATCGAGTATTTGAGGAGATATGGGTATAGTGATTATCAGATTTATCTGTTGCTGAGTTGTGCGCCTGTGCAGGGGCATATTGCTGGGATTGTGGATGTGAGTATCTTGCTGTATCTACTCCTTAAGTTCTTGACTCTTGCTAATCCTATTGCAGNNATTCCCAATGCTTGCACAACTCTGGGTCTTCCTATCGATATCTTTGATTTTGATATCAGACCTGAGGCTCCTGTCAAGAAACTCGACATGGGGACCTGTGCTTTTGTGTCCAAGTAGACGCACTTGGCACACACCGTTTGGGAAGACTTTGCAGCCTTGTGGTTGGCGCAGTGATCTTTTTGGATATATGGAGAGCAGTCACTTCTTGCTTGTGTAGATTGATAATGATGATGATGTAGACTGATGATAAAGTCAATGGCCTTTCTTTGCATTTGAAGTAGTACTCGATCATTGAAATGCTCTTATAATCATTTTGTAGCAATGTCGTCGTTCATGGCAACCACCTCTTCTTGATATCGTCCTTGCATCCCCTTTCATGAATACGTTTGACTTTCTGTTCTTCCTCCCTTCCCTCAGTCTATGATGATATACTCTATTGCACGCTTCCACCTTCCTTGTTGACTCGGGTTCACTGGAACCTCTTGGACCACGGCCTGAGAGACGAGAACATTGTTGGAGGGCCCTGCTGATGTGCGCGTGTGAAACACCTCACTGGTGCTGTCTCCTCCTCCCATAGCCACAGTACTGCGGCATGCATTGGCAATTTGCAATCCGAGAGCAAAGGCAACTTTGCGGTCTACTCCATTACCTAATTGCATCCACTGCTGACTCGGAGTGCCTAAAATGACTTCGTTATCAGGCAGGCCCTGAACCCGACGAGCTTCCATTACAGTAATGGTGCGATGCTGGTCATAGTGCAGAGTACGGCCAAGAAACGAGTCATGGGGTTTGATGTCGGTGGTGAGACAACCAACCAGACGATTCGGGTAGATACGTGCCCAAGATTTGCTGTTCTGACCAGCGCGGTTCTTGTTTTGCCAGGCGTAACTTGATATCAAGTTCTGCGACATTTTGCCTTTGGCCACAGCTTGGACAAAGCCTTGTCCGTATGGCCATCGAGGCACCATCTGAATCAGTGCTCGCTTCTGAGATTCTTCATGCCTGCAAGTGCGATGGTCTGGCGCTGCGATACATGTCTGCACATGGCTCTCGCCGATGGCAGGAAGATCCTTGAACGCTTCCTTTGCATTCAAAGAAACGAACGGACAGACATCGTACTTACGCTTTCCAAAGGGGAGCCCATTAGAAGCATAGCCGATTGCCCTCGCATAGGTCTCTGGTTCCTCGCAGGTGTGAGTCTGAGGTGGGTGGCTTGGAGCCTGGTGGCCTGGTGCTGTCGCAAGAATGAAAATGCGTTGTCGAGACTGGCAGGATCCATAATGGCCGGGATCCATGAGCAGCTGCTGCGTTTGATATCCCATGCTCACAAGACAGCACAGAACCTGCGAGAAAACATTCAGGCTTTTAGCATTTCCAGGGTTCCTTGCCATACCAATGACGTTTTCTAGTACGAGGTACGTCGGTGTGTAGAAATCGACATATGAGCACACCGAGGCAACAAGAGAGCAATTCCGTAGCGATCGGTCACTGTTTCGGTCTCGCTGGAGGACCGAGAAGCCTGGACACGGAGACCCTGCTGCTAGGAGATCGACATCCCCAACAGTGGCGATACGACTGTCATTTGTACCCTGTATGGCTTTGCCGAGATAGTCGTTGACGCTACCGAGGAAAAGATTCAGCTTCTCTGGCTCTCCTGCATTGGCTCTGTAGGAGTGGAGAGCCCTTTCAGCCCAGTCGACGCCCCATCTGAACTCGATACCTCCACCTTCTTCAAGGCCTCTATCAAATGATCCGCTTCCACAAAAGATCCCCATGCCCTTAAGTTTGCTCTCCGCAGTGGTCTCGTGGTTAACGAAATTCCACACGGGAGCCGAAGGGCTGATGACATACCAGAGGTCGCCTGCTCCATTGCGATCGTAAGGTGTTTTGATATCCTTGGAACTGGCGAAGGTAGTAACTCTGCAACGACGAGTGACGCAATCTGGCTCAAGATTGAACATGCTGTCTGTCAAAATAAGCTGATTAGGAGCTGCCTGCTTGTCGCCTAGATCACGCTGACAGCGGAGGAAGGCCTGTAGAGTAACGGTATTGGCTTCGAAGCCACGAACGATGGCAGGCTCCAACGACTCCTTGCCAGTAATGAGCCGATAAACCAGCACTGTGTCTCCAGGTGCAGACTCTCGCCTGACTTTGTCCATGTCTGTCTCGGTGTTGCTACATCCACAACTAAAGTCTGATTCTTGGAGTTGCACAAAGTCATATGCTCCAAGTGTTGGCTCCGTTCTGAACTTTTGTCTTACAAAGAAGCAATCTTGGAACTCCTCCGGGTTAGTGACAAACCACTTGACTGGAACAATCGACTGGATAAGCCCAACGTCAATAGAATCCTTTCCACAAGCGCAGTTGTCACTCATGAACAACTCATTCTTGTACGGATAATACCCGTGGCCCAGCGTAGTATCGGACGGCTCGTATAGCCATAGAACATCGATTTTATGCGCGCCTGACCTCAAAGATCGAATATCTTGTACGTATGCGTACCACACAACGCCAATTGAGTATCTCCATTGATTCTGCGTGTCCGCGGCGATACTAACCACGTCCCCTTTCCGAACTGCTCTTTGGGAGGGTTGAGCTGTTGGCGTGGCGGTTGGACGACAGTTTAGTGGCGTGAGGCCCAACTCAGTTCTTCTCGTTTTCTGCTTTCGCGAGGCAACAAGGCTGACGTCGGATAGGACTTGCATCTGGGTATGGAAAGGCATCTTGCGGAAGAGATCGAACACGAATGGAGTTACAACTGTTTTATCGTATGCGCTGTTCTCCATGGGAATGGCTTTCAGCTGCTTGGTATCTGTTTCTCCGAACACAGGCTGGTCAAGAAGTTGATCGTTCAGACTGTAGCATTCCTTGATGATGAAACCGAGATTGGCGCAAAACGCCTGACCAAAGTCGCGTGATTTGTGTTGCTCCAACCAGTGCTTGGTAGCGGAAGATGTTCCATGCCTGTGCACCAGGTAGGGACAGAAAGATCGTCGAAACAGACTCAAGGTGACAGGTTGCTCGGATTCCTCGAGAAAGTCTACCACATACCTGGTAAATCTTGAGACCCAAAGGAAAGGATCATGGTAACGAGTATACTCCTTTGCAGGAGACCCTAACTGATACCAGACTTTTGCCTTTCGGCCTAGGGTTGTTTGTATGCAGGCGGAAACAGTGTCACTTGCATCTCCGTAGCCCTCCATGGCCAGACAGTCGAATGGAACACCTTGGACATGTCGCTCTGCTTCACCATCAATGCTGAGAGTTCCGTCAAACAGGAGTTCGTTCACGCCGCTCTCGGTCTTGAGGTAGTGTAAAGGACAAAGTTCGTGGGCATGTCGGTAGTCGGTGCTTTCGCGGTATATGCTGAAGTTGTCCAGCATCCATATATTATACTCATGCGAGGAGCGGTCCTGTGAGTTCCAGACAATGCCCAAGGCGTTGATAGCCTCACGCTCTGAACCGGCTAAAGGACGAGGTTGGTGCCGAGTGTAGTAAGAAACCGGATAGCATAGGTCCCCACACCGGACAGACACCTTCTGCTTCTTTGGTTTTGGTTGGAGAGGTGCAGCGATGACAGCGTCGTCTTCAAACGTTCGCTTGCGGGACTCGTCGCGAGAACTGGGTGAGTCTGTCGGCTCTGGTGTAGGATATGCCAGTGGTGGCATGTTTGAGATACAAGGGCGCGTACATGTGAGAAATGGGAATCGATTTAAGGAACAATGTGGAAACAATTGATGCAGTGAAGACGAAGGGGGCAGGAAGAATCACAAGTGAGATGATCGATCAATTAGCAATTGAAAGGAAGGAGCTCGCGTTTGCTCCTGCAGACTGAAGGTCTGGTCTCTTGCAACTGAGCTGCCTTCCATAGTGGAGGGAAGGAGAAGAAGTGAGGGCAAACATGCGACGTACGAAGGTGTAGGTAGCTTGAGTGGATCAAAGGGATAAACGTAACGAAGGCCGAGGAATTTTATGCGGCCTCAATTGTGCCTCTCCGAGCGCGTGTTGATAGAACTGTTGCGAACGGCCGAGTATCACGTTGGCATCGTGTGTGTCATCCCGCATGGATTGGGTCGAATCTACCAAATTCTTGACTCAACTCTCAACTTTATCCTCTACGCGACAAGATCACTATGGCACCCAAANAGAAGGCTGCCCAGGCCGACAAAGGCCGTGTCGAGGACGAGGTTGAAGAGCCGCTCCAGGCTGTGGTATGTAGTCTTGCACTATCCATGTCACACAGCCACTAACGAGCACAGATTCTCGCAGACTCATTCGAGACTCGCTTCAGCCCTTTTACCCTTGAACGCCCTCGCGTACGTACACGACCTCGAGAATGATATGAGCACAGTCTAAGAGCCGCAGNNTGTCTGCTTCCTCTGGCCAACACCCCTTTGATCGAATACACCTTCGAGTTTCTTGCAAATGCTGGAGTTGACGAAGTCTTTGTCTACTGTGGCGCCCATACCGACCAGGTCGAGGAGTACGTTCAGCAGTCAAAATGGACCTCCAAGGTCTCTCCCTTCAACAATGTCGAGATAGTCCGCTCCTCGTCCAACTCGATCGGTGACGCCATGCGCGATCTCGACGCGCGCGCTGTCCTTACTGGCGACTTCCTGATTGTCTACGGCGATGTAGTCAGTAACTTGCCTATCGAAGCCGCTATTGCCGCCCACCGTCAACGTCGCACCAAGGACAAGAACGCAATCATGACAATGGTCCTTCGCGAAGCTGGCACTGCCCACCGCACCAAGATGCAGCGTGTTTCGCCCGTTTTCGTACTCGACCCTACCAAGAACCGCTGTCTACACTACGAGCAAATGCGACCCAACCAGCCCTCCCATTTGGTTACCCTGGACCCGGACATTCTAAAAGAGCATGACGAACTTGAGATCAGGGAGGATTTGATTGATTGTGGTATTGACATTTGCACACCGGATGTACTTGCGCTCTGGAGTGATAACTTCGACTACGAGGCACCGAGAAAAGGATTCCTCCACAGCGTGCTAAAGGATTACGAACTGAACGGCAAGACCATCCATACTCACATCGTCGACGAGCACTATGCGGCCAGAGTTAAGAACCTGAGAGCCTACGATGCCGTCACCAAGGACATTTTGAGCAGATGGGCATACCCGATCTGCCCCGACAGCAACCTGGTGCGCGATCAGACTTACAGACTTACTAAAGGTAATGTTTACCGAGAAGAAGGAGTCGTCCTAGCAAGGTCATGTCATATTGGCCCAAGGACTGTTATTGGTCGGGCGACAGCAATCGGAGACGGAAGCGAAATTTCCAACAGTGTGATCGGCAGGAGGTGCATCATCGGCAGGAACGTCAAGATCAGCGGCGCATACATTTGGGACGACGCTTCGATTGGCGATGGCACAGTAGTCAAGGACGCTATCGTTGCAAACGAGGCTTCGGTTGGCAAGAAGTGCAACATCATGCCTGGTGCCTTGCTGTCGTACGGTGTTTACATCTCTGACGGCACGACGATCAAGTCGAGAATCACAAAGGTGAAGCGTGAGTCGGGTTACGAAGGAGACGAAATCGTGTGCGGAGAGACAAACAAGGAGGTTGTTGGCCAGAAAGGAGAGGGCTTCGAATACGAAACCTCAGAAGACGAGGACGAAGACGACCAAGAGCACCACAGCCTGCACTCAGCAAGCATCTACAACATGCAGAACCAATCGGCCGAATCGATCTCAACCCTTAACTCGGAAGACTACAGCGAGGAGTACGAAGACAGAGCGGAACGGAGCACAAGGTCGCAGAGTTTCGGCTCTATTGGATCTGTCGATTCAGAGGACAGTAGAGCTGGTCGCGAGGCCGTCGACTTCCACCACGATGCAGCAGCCAGTATTTATGACTCGTTGCAGAAGGGCGATGAAGCTGCCAACATCCAGCTCGAACTGACTGCACTTCGCATGTCTGCCAATGCATCGCCGCATATGGTGCGTCGCGCAGTTGTGGCGGCCTTCATGAAGCGCATGGCTAGTCTGATTGAAGAGGGTCTCACGCCAGCACAAGCGGCCAAGAAGACGATACCGACGCAGCAGATGCTGATTGAGCGTACCATGTTCGACCGTGGTGAGACCTACGAGGACAAGGTTGATCAAGTGGACTTCTTGCTGCTCGTGCAGGCAGATGTCTGCCACCGCCCAGATGGCGAGAAGATTATGCTTCACGTCTGCAATGAGCTGTACATGGGCGATGCTCTAGAGTTCGAAGGAGTCATGCAGTGGTGGGCGGACGAGAAGAATGAGGCTAGCGATGAATTGAAGCAGATCAAGCTTGCCATGGGCCAGTTTGTGGATGCTATCAAGGCTGCCGAGGAGAGTGAGGAAGAGAGCAGTGAAGAAGAGGAGACGGAGAGCGAGGAAGAGAGCGAGGACGAGTAGATCAGCGTGGCACGATACCCATGAAATCACAATACCTAGAATGTATTCGACAAAGTCGTGGATGCCTTGTGAAAGCGAAAACAGGCAACCGCGAAACAAAGAGCGTCGAGGTGGTTCCTTCTTGGCGTCAATTACGTGGAATGTCTTAAAGCCGGGTTCAGAGAGTCGAATCTCTGGCAGCCACTCGGTCTCGGTCGAAGGACGCAGAAGTCGGAGCGCCTTTGACGCAGATTTGAATCAGTCATCAGTGTACTCTGGAAAGCACAATACATGCAACACGCCGAGCCTCAGGTATCACTCTGTCCCGTCACCTGCTTTTGTCAGCCGTCACGGTCATTTTCACCCACACGCCAATCGCTCACGGCTGCCCAGTGCCCCTCTCCACACTGCAACTCGCTCTCTTCCGTCATAAACGGCCCTGGCGACTGTCTCGTCGCCACATATCGCAACCACGCCTCCCATCACCCGCAAACGCAAGCTGCTGTCGCCGGACACGGCCGCGAAGCAGAAGCCGAAGATCCACCATCCCGCCAACTCTCCCGTCGCCTCCGACAGAGCCGACTCCCTCTCCGCCAAGCAGCCCGTTCACGACGCCGCTGCAGATAAGCCCGCCTCGCCCGACCAACTGCCCGCTACCCCTCAGACTCTGAAGGGTTCCGTCAAAGCTATGGATTCCGATGATGACTTTAACAGTGCCGCCTCGGTGAACAGCGATGCCGAGTTTGACATGGACGACGAGAACAGCAGCGTTGCTGACTTTGGTGCCGGTATGTGTTTCCCGTAGCGTGATATTGAACTCATGGACTGACAGTGCCATCTCACAGACTCCGACATCGAGCTAGACGACGATGGCGACATCGGTTTTGGCTCACAAGACAAGGATCTCAAGCCACGCAAGAAGGCATACGAGGTTGATTTCTCCGTCTACAGCCCACAAGATATCCAGAACCAGCAAGATCGTCAAATAGAAGAGGTGTCCAACATCCTAGGCCAACCACACGAAGCGACAGCCATCCTCATGCGCTACATGCGATGGAACAAGGAGCGTCTGATTGAGCAATACATGGACAAGCAAGAGGAAGTCTTGGAAAAAGCTGGCCTTGGTCAAGACATTGCTAGCCCGCCTCGCTTGGAAGTCATCGATGGGTTCATGTGCGAGATCTGCTGTGACGATACGCCTGGTATGCAGACGTTTGCCATGAAGTGCAACCACCGCTTCTGCGTCGATTGCTACCGCCAATACCTAGCTCAGAAAATCAAGGACGAAGGAGAGGCCGCACGTATCCGCTGTCCCGGTGAGCAGTGCAACAACATCGTCGATTCAAAAAGCCTGGAGCTTCTCGTCACAGAAGACCTCAAAGACAGGTACCACGAGCTTCTCACACGGACGTATGTTGACGACAAGGACAATCTTAGGTGGTGTCCTGCTCCCAACTGCGTCTATGCTGTCGATTGTCCGGTCAAGCAAAAGGAGCTTAACAAGATCGTTCCCACGGTCAACTGCGATTGTGGTCACAGCTTCTGTTTCGGATGTCAGCTCAACGACCATCAACCTACTCCTTGCGTGCTCGTCAAGCTGTGGATGAAGAAATGTGAAGACGATTCGGAAACCGCCAATTGGATCTCTGCAAACACCAAGGAGTGCCCGAAATGCAACTCGACCATCGAGAAAAACGGCGGTTGCAACCACATGACTTGCCGAAAGTGTAAGTACGAATTCTGCTGGATGTGCATGGGGTTGTGGTCGGAGCATGGCACGAGTTGGTACAATTGCAACCGTTACGAGGAAAAGAGTGGTCACACTGCGCGCGACGCTCAAGCAAAGAGCCGCGCATCTCTCGAGCGCTACCTTCACTACTACAACCGCTACGCCAACCACGAGCAGTCTGCCAAGCTAGACAAGGACATCTATCTGAAGACGGAGAAGAAGATGATGCAGCTTCAATCAACATCAGGCATGTCTTGGATCGAGGTCCAGTTCCTCGACTATGCGTCACAAGCTCTCCAGCAATGCCGACAGACTCTTAAGTGGACATATGCCTTTGCCTATTACCTGGAACGCAACAACTTGACCGAGATCTTTGAGGACAACCAGAAGGACTTGGAGATGGCCGTCGAGGCTCTGAGTGGCATGTTCGAGAAGCCGACCGATCAGCTCGCTGCTCTCAAGGTCGAGATGATGGACAAGACCACTTACTGCAACAAGCGTCGCATCATTCTGCTTGGTGACACGGCGGAAAACCTCAAGAAGGGTAAGCAATAACGTGTGTTGCTTTGAAACATTTTGACTTACTTCCACGCAGGCAACTGGAAATTCAACGTCGACGAGCTCTCCGAAGACTAGTCTTCTGTCCATATTTTTTTTCACGAAACCGCATCCAAAGACAGCACATGGGGGAATTGGCGCTTTCTGCAGCAATTGCCGGAGTAATAAGAGGGTTGGCATTTTTCTGTTTCTGATCGCAAATGGTTCACGGCATAAGGGGGTTCGGTTCTATGGAGTTATGAGCGTTCGCATTCTCGTTATCACCACGGAGGGAATTCGTCTTTCCTTCCAAAGCTTGTTCAAGCATACTTCTTAGCCGGAGCAGTCATAGAAATGACCATCTATCATTGACTAATCAGTTTGTTCTCTTTCCAAATGATGCATTCAATGGCTGCTCGTCATCGATGTCGATCTCCCCAGAATCGCGACTTCCTGAAACGGCACATGTATTGAAATCACGATCGCGGGTCGCGTCCACCGTGTTGACTTTTTCGATCGTTTGATTGATTCTCTCTCACAACATCGACGATGTTGTTGTAGAATGCTATCATCGAGTTGTCATTGATTCATTTGTTTTTCGTAGTCACTGCGGTGTTTTGATGGAAGAGCTATGTGTATATAAGGACCTTTTCTAGCACATTGTATATTCTGATCATTCAATTCCAATCTAATTTACACACTCCAAACGCACTCGAATACCAACTCCATTATGCAAAACACCGCCGAAGACATCTCTCACCAGGCCACTGGCCACAAGGCTAACTTGAGCAACCCCGTTCGCAATTCCCTCTTTTCCCTTTTACACCCAGCCTTCTAATGCCAATGGTTACAGAACACTTCCGAGGCTTCCAAGCAGCATAGCAAGCAAGTGCTCGAGTCACTCGGCGGCGAGAACGCTTTCTATGGCAAGCAGGGTGAAGGCGATATCGAGCAGAACCCTGGCAATGTTGCTGGTGGCTTGAAGGCGTAAGTGGCTCTATGTTTGCTATCGAAATTGAGGATGAGGACTGATAGAGTGGACAGCGCTATAAACAACCCTGAGGGCAATGAGCATTATGTTTCCGAGGAGGGCAAGCAGCAGGCCAAGGAGAAGTTGGATGGTATGCAGTAGATTTAGTTCTGAGGATTATTTGTAATACTAGTGTACGAGTATTGTATGAAATGATGAGTATTCAAGTCAGTTCAATTCTGTTGTTTGCTACTCTACATGTGAATGAAAGCTATTACAGCGATGATACACGACATCAAGATTAAAGATGAATATCCTGAAGATACACTAACACCGGCCGAGGTGTTTGAAGTTGTCGAGCTGGGCGCACTAGACGAGGACGATGAAGAGGAGCTAGTTGAACCAGTCGAAGTGCCTCCAGAACCCTTGGAAGTTTCGTCCCGAGTGACAAGATAAATCTCGCCTGATGCGTCAGACGAGACAAAGATTCTGCCTCGATTGTCGAGCGCCATTGCAACAGGACGGAAACAGTCGTTGGGACAGGCCGAGTTGTTTGCATTTGCAAAGATGTCTGTGGCCGCTGTCTTGCTTGTAAGCTCATCGACCGGCTCGCCAGCATCTGTGAAATTGACTAGCGATAATTTATAGCCGACAGGGTTGGGACTGTTCCAGCTGCCGTGGAAGGTGATCCATGCCTGTCTGCCTGTGTCGTTGAACTTGATATCCAAAGGGGCCATGTGTGAGGTGAATACTAGTCGACTTTGAGTTTGGTCCGCACAGAAAGCGTCCGTCTTGTTTTGGTTGTCCAGATCTGGCGTTGCATCAATGGCAAACTGTGTGCCGACCTCGATCCCTCCGTTGTTGGGCAGTATTGAAGGGTTCCAAGCTGAAAAGCACCATGGATAGCCAAAGTTCGAGCCTTCTTGACCGGACTCGGTGCCATTGACATAGCCTAGGAAGTTGAGTTCTTCGCCAGGGTTGGTGGCGTGTACGTCGACACCATCTCTGGTCATTTGATCTGCAGAGTTCTCGACACCCCAGATGCCACCAGTTCCTGGATGCTCTGCAAGACCGACCTCGTTACGCAAGCCCCATCCGAGTAGCAGACCGTCATCCTGGTAGGTGTATGTACTGGTACGATTTGTCAAGTTGAAGGCCTTGACTGATGCAGTGCCAGAGTCCACATTGGTAGCAGAGAGATCGAGGTTGCTCAAGCTGCCGAAACTGATAACCATCATGCCTGGGGCATGCTGTGGAAGCAGAAGAGTACGCGTGCTGTGATCAGTTCCTGACATGTTGCTGACCAGTGTCTGCTGGTTTGACACAGAAATTGCCGATGAGTCGTATTGCCACCCGTAGGTCTCATTGGTGTTGGAAGCGTAAAGCATGCGGTTCTCGTTGTCGAAAGCGATACCATGATTGAGCTTCGTAAAGTTAGCTNNGGGATCGGACTTTGTCCTGTCTGGAAAGGAAGAACTGACTCCCATATTCTCCGTCACATTGGTCGATGATTTGACAGTCACGCAGCCACCATCATCCTCGGACAAGGTGTGCGCCGACAGACTGCCTGATCCAGACTCGATGACAAGCAATCTACCCTGGTCATCAAAGGCGATGCCACGAGGTCGAGACAATCCAGTTGCCACTACCTGCCATTTGTAACCAGAGGCGATCGAAGGCTTGACTTTACCCGAAGGCGAAGGTCCACAAGATTGTGCAGATGCCGTAGCCAGCAGGAATGCAGTCGCAAGATAGGAGGAAATCATGCTAATTAATGACAAAAGATATTTCCTGTTAGATTGTGTTTTTGCTAGGAGATATCGAGCGAGAACCAATGCGGATATAGGACTACCCAGGTACCGGAATACCTCTAACGTGATGTTGTCATTGAGGCTCACGAGGTCAGTTGTATCCGCGGGCCAAGCATCTTGACTTGACGATCAACGAGATAAGGAATAATTATTCCGTGTCCTCCAGCTCTTGGTACTCGAGCCAAGGATGAGTGAGCTCTGTGCATTGTGAACAGTAGGGAAATAGAAGGTGATGTTGTGAAAAAGAGAGAGCTTCGCGATCGCGCCTTCTCCAACTTCAAGCCAAAACAGCTTCAATCAACCATCTCTTCGCTCTTCACGCTTTCCCCGACCATCTTCATTGCCAAAATCAACGACACAATGGATCTGGACGGCCTAGAAATTGACCCAGCCATCGCAGAAGCAATGGGCTTCACGAGTTTTGGCAGCAAGCGTCGCAAGCACGCTGCACGCGCCGACGACGCCTTCATCGATGACAGCGGCAACCAGCTTCCAGCCAGTACGGGCGCGAATGATATTCCTTTGGGTACCAGACCGGTGATCGACAGTTCAGCTGAGAAGGTTCAAGAGCAAGGAAGTGCGCAAGAGGAAGCATCAACAACGAGAGTGGNNAGGACACACAAGAAGAGCAGGCACGAGCAGGGGGAGGTGCGAGCAGACGACTGGGCTCTTGGGTTCCCAAACGATCAAGAGCTTGGTGCACTCAGACGAGGTGTCAAGAATGCGAGGGGTGATATGGTCGTCTTTATGCCGTCGTTCATTGAGGATCCTTGGAAAGGACTTGCCTGATCAACTCGCTCGAAAGATCGACTGGTGCTCTGTCATTCACCTTGGCTTACACCTCCAAAACATCGCCAGTCTGCAAAATGGATCTGAACTTTTGAGAAGCACATCTCGAAACTCCCATTGAAGGACAGGGTCGCCCTAGGGACACCACCGCCAACCGACTTTTTTTTGCTTACAGGGCGACACGTTCCCTGGCTCTCCTACTCATATGGAGCAATAGGATTCTGGTAAAACTTTCGAACTTCACATACAGTTTTGAAAGGCTCGCACACCGATTTCGATCACAATTACCGAAGGACTATTTTGAAGCTTCATATATCTATGTGCTGAGGCTGGACACACCTTTCAATCTTCCCAAATCCATCAACCCTTCGATCCACCCACACATCGCCGGAAGCAGTGAGCACAGCTTCTCTCCTTTGATTAGCTACGCAATCTTCTTCTTCTCAAGACTGATGTACTGTACGCCTCACGATCAGTGTCGAGTGCGCAATCGTTCTCTGGGAAGTCTCCCTGTATCTCCCAAATATGATCAGTCGCCTCGATCAATGCACCCACAAGCAGCGCAATCATGGACAGCCCGAACGGCATGGGCACATTCTTCCATCTCTTGGCGGGACAATTGAAAGGGCTGGCTCCAAAAGGCATGTAGCCTTCGTCGTAGCCCTCTTCGATGTGAGTCCAACGCTCTGGCACGAATACATTTGGCNNTGGATACAGACGAAGAGCCTCTTTCGCAATATACACAGCTGCGACAACTCCGTGGACTTCGGCCAGAGGTCTTTCGAGACCACGCTTCGTCGGCTGCTTCAGGAAGTCGAGCAAGACATATTTCCAGAAGATGGCGTGATCGTGGTTGCGAGCTTTGATCTCTACGAAACAGCGGATGACTACACGCCACATGGTTTCGTAGCCTGGAAGGATCAAGTTGCATGGATTCTCGTTGCTGTCTGCCTCGTCCCAGTCCGGAAAGACGGCTTTCACGGCATTCGTGAGTGAATCTTGCTTGTCGAAAAGCCAAGCTGGGTTGTCGCCCGTGTAGCATTCCTTGGAGCGAAGCCACTGCAGATTCACTTCGTGAGCGAGCGTGGCGATCTGCTCGTTTGTGCTTTGCTTCGGCTCGCGGTCAGGCCAGAGCACACTCATCATGGTCTTGAGAGTCAAGAGTTGCACTACACCGAACAAACTTGTCGTGTCTCCTGCCACATCGAGAGCTTCCTTTGCAGTTTCACGAGCAGTAGTGGTGAAGTTGGTCCATTCCTTCTCTTCAACGTAGAGAAGCTTCTCAAGAGAAGTTCTGAAGCTCTTGCAGGATCTTTCGTCTGAGGAGGTGAAGCAGCTGTCGATACCGAAGGCCATCCTCAGGCGCTGATTGGGACGAGCACGAGCTTCCAGTGCTGACAGAGTATTCTTCGAAGCTGCAGGAGCCCTTCCACTCTTGATGATCTCGCGGCACTCGGAAGCATCGGCGGTCCTGAAGCAGTTTTTCTGCTGTCCCGCTTCTGAGACCGGCGTTTCTTGAGACGGATAGACCATTCCATCGAGTAGGACTCCACATCCAATGACGGCCATGAAAGATAGAGTGGAAGCCAATCCTGGGGTCGATTCTTCGCATATCTTGCTGGAGAGGAAGCCCACGAGAACCCAGCTGACAATTTCTACACGTCTGTTGAAGAAGACGGCTATGTCATTGTGGTAGCCGTAGTGATTGAGGGATCTTGTGGCTCGGGAGAGCATGATGCCCACAAAAAGGGCTGTCAGTAGAGACATTGCAGGATGTTTGTGATGACGGAGCCAGTACCCAGAACGGACATATCCTATTTTATACATCCATCTTCAAGCGTAACAGAAGCAGGCATGGCTTTGTCTTGTTGGTTCCAAATCGCATTGGTAGTCTGGTATTTTTGTCTCTCTTAAGTTGTGAATCAAATTTTGTCGCTCACCCTGCTGCCTGATACTTCTCGCCAAAGAAAGGATTAGACAACATGGGCGTCCAAGATGAAACCTCCACGCACGTCAAGCATGTCCGTTGTCTCAAGATCAACGCGCATGCGATGTGTCCCCGCCGTACAGCAAGACTATGAAACCATCTCTTCCAAAGTATCATCGCAAAACAAAACCAAAAGAGAAACACAACACACATGGACCCAAACAAAACAGAAACCCTCTCTAGCCGTCGAAAGCCAGGAGGGAAAGAGAAACTCAGTTTCATCATTATTGTTGTCGGATGAGGATTACTGGGACCTCTGGCATGAAAGAAGAGGGGCATTTTACGTTGAGACGACCCGGGAGATCGAAACAGTGGACACCGGCCGCATGTGTGGGAGGCATGAGCTACTACCACTGCGCCATTCCACCGGTTCGATAGGAATAATGCTGGTTGAGGCGGTTATATGGCTGTGCTATGGGTTGCTTCACTTTTGGCCAGCGACTTGAAGTTGGGAGGGTCGTTCACTGGGTGATTTGGTTTGCAGTGAATCATTACAAGGATGTGAGACAGATCTCTGATTATGTTCAAGCAATATCAAGATGATTGAACAACTTGAACAACATGACTTCCCATGAACTGAGACGAACTTTTATCGAATTCTGAACTTGTTGCTCTCAATATCTCTATTCGGTGAAACCGATGTATACATGCCCAAAAACACCCCTTGATGCCTGAGTCGCTGAAACTCCACCTTTTGCTAATGCTTGCCATTCTCACAATCTCCCGTGATGACCATGATCCATTGTTCTACGTCTGTGTATACCCAAATGTCTCTTTCTCATGATTTGTCCGTCACTGCATGTGGTACCATGCGCAACGGGCTGAAACACCACATGTCCAAAGTTGCAGATGCCGAATGTGTTGGAGCTATTGCAGACCAGTGAGCCATCAGGACTGCAGGTGGGAGTGTCGGTGTCGTTGCTGTCTGCCACGATTTGGCCGTCTTGACAGGCTGTGCCCGGTGCTACTGGCTGCCAGACTACTTGGCCGAAGTTGCAGAGGCCGAACTGAGTGGGTCCGTTGCAGACCAGGGCGCCGTTTGTGGTGCACGACGTGCCGTTGTTGTAAGGGCCGGGAATTATGCTGGGCGTGCTTGGAGCGGAAGATGGAATGTATGTAGCTGAAGCAGAAGTTACAGCAGCAGAGGCGTCAGTGGTAGTGGTGTTTGCTGCCGAGGGCACGGGTGCGGCGGATGTGAGGGCAGTAGTAGTTGTCGCGCTCTCTGTGCTCGATGCTGCAGCGGTGTTGCTTTCAGTGGCTGTTGCTTGACTCAAAGCTGCACAACCACTTCCAGTTGGTGGAGCAAGTGCTCGCGTGTCGATTGTTGTGACATATCTGCCAGGATTGGGGATTTCAAGATTGCTGCTGAGCTGACTGCCGCATTCTGAACTTGGAAGATTGACTCTGAACATGTCTTCGAGTCGGTCGAACTCCTTGGTATCTTCGGAGCCACCAGAGACAGTGATTGGCGCACAGTTCATGTAGAACTCTGGCTGACCGCTCAGCTTAGAGACCCAGCTCCAAGCTAGAGTAGCTTTGCCATTGGGAACTTCTGACGGAATTGTGTAGTTGAAAGGGTGTGTGCCTCCATTAGCATCGTCGATCGGACAACCTCCAATGAAGCTGGCGATTGTTTTGAATGTGCTGTCGGCGTTAGGTTGTCTGTCCAGAGTTACACTGATCTGACAGGAGCCTCCGCCATGAGATGCCGATCCGTCCCACGTCATAGTTTGAGGTTCTCCAGCGACCAACTCATTCTCGTGGTCAACGATCCATGGGTCAGCATCACCAATTCGTTTGGATTGACAAGGAAAGTCTGATTGTTCTGATCCTGGTGCAACGTTTCTGAGAGGATCGAGTTGGAGTGTGCTCTTGGAGTATGGGACTGGGTTGTTGAGCTTGAGGTGACAGTCGACCAGAAATGGGAGTTGTGCTAGTAGTAAGATTTTGTACGTTGATGAGAAGGACATTTTTGCTAGCATTGAAGCAGGAGAAGTGTTTGCAATGGGAAACAGAGATCAAAACAAAGGACAAGAGAGAGCATCCTTATAGGATCTGCTCAATAGGAAAACAATTGTAGAGGAGGGTGAATGGCGTAGAATGCGCCAGCCACATTGTCGAGCTTCTGATTGAGTCTGACACGCATCAAGAGAATGTGTTATGTGAAAGGGACGTGTCTTGGAAGCGTTACGTGTTTCGAGATCGACCAATGGGCTTGCGAATTATTGCGGAGATTCGTAAGTGTTGATACCTACATGCTGGGAGCTGGACGTGTCTCTGGAATGTGCTGGTGATTCTTTTGACGCGACCAACACCCTCGGTGCCCTTGAGATTCTGAATCGAATCTAGAGGAATGAAACAGACGGCAGGTCCACCGACGTCGGTGGTAATTTTGTGACTTACAATATCGAACCGTGTCTCGTTGACCAAGACATGATAACTGTGTATCTATGCGAACATCTAGCAAATCTACGAGCATGTAGTTTCAGAAAGGAAACTCGTAATCGAAGAGACTGAAGTTGCTCAGAGAAGGTGGCCGTCCGTGCACCGACGATGCTTTCATGTGACAGCGGCACCAAACCGCCTCCTTCCCTCGACACAACTTAACGTTGGGAAGAGATGCTGCATTCAACGACTGCTGATGGCAACTCGAAGCAGGAGCAGCAGCGTCGCAGCTTTCCTTAAGGCATTGATAAGACTCTTCTTCGACGTAGCCTTTTTCTGGCACATGGTTCGTAGATTGAATCAGCTTGTTGTCATGTTCCCAACTGATTTCCCACAGCGATTATGGGCGTGGTGGACTCGTAAAAGTCAAAAGGACATTCAGCTGGAGTGTCTGAACACTGCTCGTTACTATGAAGAGTGGGAAGCCGCAGCTTTCGCCTTGGACGAGCTCTACGGCAATGACCTCTGGTTCGAGCTTTCCTCGCGTGACCGTTGAGAACAATAGCTTATGATTGACAATCCAGGCNGACAGAATCCCTCTTCTAAACACTATGACTATCGCCTCATCCACTCAAGGCTTCAGTACATACTAGAGGCTCGCGAAGATGAAGATATCCTCAGTCTAGTGAATCTCCTGCGTTCTGGACTGGTCCGCAACCTAGGAAATATCACAGCACCTCGTCTGTTCAATCGAGCTTATGCTGGTACTAAGCTCCTGATTGAAGACTACATTACCCAGGTCGCACTCGCTGTCGAATATGTCACGGCCTATCCTACGTCGCCGATGTATGACACCAGTCTGACCAACCAGGCCAAGCTCGATCTTCTTCATGATACTCGACAAGCGTTTGGACGCAGTGTACTTGTTCTTCAAGGAGGTTCAATCTTTGGACTATGTCATATCGGTGTGGTAAAAGCCTTGCATCTTCGAGGTCTACTGCCACGCATCATATCTGGGACGGCGACCGGTGCTCTTATGGCCGCTCTTGTCGGTGTACACAATGAAGACGAACTGCTCAAATTCTTGAGTGGCGAGGGTATTGATCTTACTGCTTTTGCTACACGTTCAGCTCAGATGGCCAAGAATGGAAACAGCGGTTTGATACAGCACGGTTGGTTCTCGACATGGTTCAGACGTGTCAAGCGCTTCGTCACCGAGGGGTATCTGCTGGACGCTCAAGTGCTAGAAGAATGTGTTCGCGCCAACGTCGGTGACTTGACCTTCATGGAAGCTTATCAACGAACTAAGCGTGTGCTGAACATCACTGTGGCTCCGATGGGTAACGGCATGCCAAATCTACTTAATTATTTGACAGCCCCAAATGTGGTATGTCGTCAAAGAAATCTACGCAAGCAAACATCACACTGACCCAACTACTAGCTCATCTGGTCTGCAGCTCTAGCATCTAACGCGTCTGATGTCCTCTACTCTCCGGTAACCATGAAATGCAAAGACGAGTCTGGCAACATCGTTCCTTGGGCATCCACTCACCCGACCAACCTACGCCCCTCGACACCACTTGGCTACGCCCCCGAGCGTGACTCTCCCCTCACCCGCATCGCCGAACTTTTCAACGTAAATCACTTCATCGTCTCCCAAGCTCGTCCTTATATTGCACCTTTCCTTCGCAGTGACCTTCACAGTCCCAAACCTGGTTACAAGGGCAGATCGTCCCTGACGACCAGTCTAATGAAAGTCATGGTCATGGAAGTTCAACATCGATTGCATCAACTAGACTCTCTGGGCTATCTACCAGTACATATCCGCCGCTTCTTGCTGGACGAGAACATTCCCGGTGCTTCTTTGACTCTGGTCCCCGAAGTAAACTTTACCGACTTCTTGAAACTGCTCGAGAACCCCACAAGGCAGAGTGTAGAGTACTGGATCTTGAAAGGAGAAAAAATGGTCTGGCCAGCTGTCGATGCATTGAAGGTCAGATGTGCAGTCGAGGTAGAGTTGGATCGAGGTTATCAGATTGTGAGAAGGAGGAAACCATTTGACGCGAGTCCCATAGCGTCGGCACATGGAACTGTCAGGCTGGACAAAAAGGGCATCAAGAAGAAAAGTTCGAACTCTGCGCTCGAGTGAGGAGAGCTATCCTAATTCCAAATTATTACTGGGGCTGATTTCTGTATGTGGAAATCACAGAGGGGCACGAGCGGGTGCCGACATGAGTTTGCTTCCAAGCGCCCAGCGCCACACGCCAACCTCAACGCTTACACCAAATTGCCATCGATTCCAGGTCATGCTTCGCGATGCGCAATGATGTGTAACTCTGCTATCTGTCGCATCACAGCGGCATCTCTTGCATGTTTGGACTACTGACATAGGTGCTGTTGTCACACTGCCACGTTATGCTGACCAGAAGAGAAGAAGATGCATTCATATATGATCAAGCATCAGACATCTGCCGTTCAAACTAGAGAACCACAAAAGCTATACACACAAAAGTCCTCGAAATATCAAGCATCACAAGTACACATTGCACCATGTCAATCTCACCACCGATATCACCACTCTTGCAAACTACAACATAAGAGTCTGTTCCTTTAACTAACATTAGCCATGAACACGATCGAGACTGGAAACATTGGTCATCCATCGATATAATCTATCCCTCCCAGTCAAGTAGAGAATCCTCACCATACGACCAACCATCGGGACCCTCAGAGTCGAGCCCAGAGACCCAAGGCCATGAGAGCCTCAACTCACCGACACCCACAAAGCACAAATGGAGACAAACACTCGACGACTGGTGGCCAGAACTCCTCAGCCTTGTTCTAGCAACAGCAACTCTGTGCATCGTAGCCATCGGTCTGCTTTTCCTTAACAACAAATCACTGGCTTCATGGCGTCTTCCCATCTCACCTAACGCAGCAGTATCTGCTCTCATTGTTGCGACAAAAGCTTGTCTTATTTACAGTACAGCATCTTGTCTTGGTCAACTCAAATGGCTGCATTTCCGCCACTCGGTGACTGCAAGAACGCTTTACGACTTTAAGGTGTTTGATGAGGCGTCCAAAGGTCCTTTGGGTGCTGTGAAACTTGTATGCAGAGGACGATACATTTCTCTCGCAGCGGGGATTGGAGGAGTGATTGTGGTGGCAGCAGTTTGTATGGAGGTATTTGGACAGCAGGTTTTGGTGTTTGAGGGTAGAAGAGTTGTCAATGTTCAAGGAGCAAAGGCAGCTTTTGCAGTGACTCAACATTTGGCAGCACAGGAGCAGTGGTATTTGGATTATACCATGATGAGTGAGTTGCAGAAGATATTGTTGGCTGCAATTTTCAGAGGGGAGCAAGAGCCAGGATTTGAGTGTAGTGCTGCAGAGTGCACTTGGCCTGCCTCTGCCACTCTTGGCATCTGCTCTGATTGCAAGGACATCACGAACTCCAGCCCAGGAAGCTGTGAAGGAGGTTCGCAAAACTTGGAGTGTTTGTTTGAGGTCCCTGGGTTTGGAGAGTTGGGAGGAAGTGTTCAGCCAGGGGGACCTATGCCGCTTATCAACACCACGACGGTCGATGGTGTATACGATGCCACGCCCAGCTTCTACAATTTTTCGACCTTGGTGGTTGCCGAGAGCACGAATTGGACGGCGAAACTGACGACTTGCGAGTTATCCTGGTGTGCATGGACATATGCCAATGCTTCTTCCCAAGGAACAAATTTCGATCTCGGGACACCTCATCAATTCCCACTTCAATTTACAGGGACCTGGGAGAAGCTGAACGAGACTTTGAATCTGGACGATACACAAAGCGTGTGTACGGCGACTGGCGATTACCCTGCTGAACTCAACAATACCTTCACCATCAGCCAAAGCAAAGAATACTTTTTAAAGTACGCAGTAAGGTTGATACTCAAAGCGGGATATCAGGGTGCAGACTTTTACACCCAACTTACTTTGGCGACTTCATCGTTGGACTATACGGATACAGAGGCCATGTCGAGCAATTTGGCAGCTTTCATGACTAATGCTTTGCGGACACAGGACGGACTGCAATCGATAGGTACAGCTTGGGAGTCAGTAACCTTTGTCCAGGTTCGTTGGGCATGGTTGATTCTGCCAGCTGTACTTGTCTTTGCAGCTGGGGTATTGTTGTTTCTTACGATTGTCCAGAGTAGGAGACATGACACTGTGCTCTGGAAGACATCGCTGTTGGCATTTCTCTTTTGTTCCAAACATGCATGGACAACGCCATCCGTCCAAGAAGACAAATCTCGATCACTGAAAACAATGGAAGCGGCTTCCAAGAAGATGGAAGCAAGATTGCAAAGGGATGACCAAGGTCGATATCAACTTGTTCAAATTTGAGATCTGTATGTCAGGTAGGCTCTATGTCTGTACAAAATGCTTGCGCAAAAACATGGTTCAAACACCGAGCCGTTGCCGAGGACATGTGAAAACACGGGGAGACGCGGGGAAAAGAGTATCCATCGTCATCATCGACTCTTGAGAGAGGCATCTGATATTTAGCCCTAGCAGTTCCCTTTGATAGTTCTACCCTTTGCCAATTCATATCCAGACAACACTCATAGACCCAAACAAACAACGTAAATCATCCCCTAGCATCAACCATGGGCCACGTAAGTCAAACAATCGCCAACCTTCAAATAGCACAAGACTGACATTCGCGCGTGGTTCAGAAATCACTAAAGGACACAGCCAAAGACAACCCCAGTCAACTTGGCGACCCAGTCTCTCTCAAGGCAGAGACATCAAACACTGAGCCTACCGAGAACGACCGTCCCAACAAGTCAGGCGATGGACGCAAGTCACTCAAAGACCTAGCACAGGAGAACCCAACTCAGCTAGGCGATCCCGTATCGCTCAAAGCTGAAACCAGCGACACCGAGCCCACAGAGAATGATCGCGGCGCAAGCAAGGCACACCCAGAGAAGACAGGAAAGCCAAAGTTGTGAGAACTGCTGGAGGAGACACATTGTTGTATTTCATAGACACTAGTGCTGGGCGCCGCGTCTTCGTCTTCCTTTGACTCTCCCTTCATCTTCTACCTCTTCCTCTTCTTTGCCTTTTTGCAAGGGTGCGCTTAGATTCCATTCGTCCATGTCGTACCAGTCTTCGCCGTCGCTCATTTCGCCCATGTGACCTTCTGTCTTACACCAGCGCCAGACGTCTTTTCTCATGCGGTCTGCTTTGAGCAAACCCTCGAGCATCTGTTGCGACTCGCGAACAACTTGTTCCTGCTTTTGACAGTAGAGCAGTAATAGACGGCGTGTATCGTCCGCCTCATTGGCAGGAAGACCATAGTCTCGGTCTGGTAGTGCGGAATCTGGAACGTGGAAGAAGCCGTGGATCGAGGGTATGGACGAAGGAGCGGGCGACGAAGAAGGGAAGTTAGGATCGGGAGTTGGCGATGTGCGAGCTTGACGCCTAGTCGTCATGGCATGTTGAATGGTTCCTTCAGGTGAGGCGTCTGGCGAAGGAAGAGTGTTGGATGGATTTTGTTGTTGGTCGACACCATCTGTATGGGTCCCGTTCTGCTGCGGCGGTTCTGGTTGTGATTGTGTGTTGTTTTCGGGTCTGTAGTGGTCTATTGCAGAGGTTTCGGGAGGCATGATGGTGGAGAGGTTGTCGTCAATAGGCGCGGCCGAGGGGTCTAGCAGCATGAGATCGTGTTCGGATTCGAGCTTGCCCACGGGTATCCAGTGGTCGTCGCCACGCAATCTGAGTAGAAGCTGCTTGATGTGCCATAGTGTCTGTTTTTCGCGGTGCATGGCCTGGCGAGCGTTCTCTGCCATTTCGCTGATGGGCCTCGAGAGGAAGGGTACGGACAGAGAGGGGTGATGTGCGAGGTCGGCGGGCGAAGTCAAGGGGGCGAGCAGGTCTTCAAGCTTGGTGTCTGCCCATGGGTTGCCGTGTTGGTCGGAGCTGTCTTGGTCGTCGGGATCGTATTCGTCGTCGTCTATGAGGTCGCCGTCGTCGTCGAAGCGGAGGGGNTTCTCGTGCAGGATGTAGCGGTCGTAGCCGGCGTAGTCGATGCGCTTCTTGTAGCCACGACCATGGGTGGTGTCGAGGCGGCCTTCGCGCACATGGCGAGCATTGCGCTTGAGCTTGTTGCCGCGGTTGGTGGGCTGGGTGATGGACGAGTCCGAGTCGATGTCGTTGTCGCGGCGGCGCATAGCCAGCTTCATGCCGCGTATCGTCTCGGCGATGATGGTCTGTTGTGCCGCCATGTTGACAGAGCTGGGGAGGTGTGTTGAGGAGGAGGATGTGTGAGAGAGAAGAAAGTGTAGGAAGATTGACTCGCAACCTCAAACTCTCCACTTTCGGCCTCTCCCCCAGCTTCAAGGCGCGTCATTTGCACGGGGCAGCTGATGATAGCAACAACTTTCTACACTGACTATCAGTAAACCATGATCGCGCAGACATGGAGGCCTATCCCGAAGACTATGTCGCCCACAATCTGCCCTTCATCGCCTTAGCTGGCCTCCCGACGGCCGACTCGTCTACCAATGCTTCGACAGCGACGCCCACGAACCCACAACAAGGCGGTGGCCTAAGGATTGTGGACAACTCTCCTCCACTGTCTGGCCCTCATGCCGATTCCATCTTGGACGAGTTCCTGCGTGCCCATGGCGCTTCTCTGTCTTGGAGCGATCAGGCCTTGGCCGACAGGTCTGGCTTGATAGGCTTCAAGTTGTCGAGTATCGGGAGGGTAGGTATGCCGCCGACAACCTGCACTCTGCCATGTCTGTCATACTGACCAAGCCCAGNNTCTTTTGTCTTCCCTCCCAGAAAGGCTGCCCCTCCGCCCATAGTACCCTCACAGTCTCCTCCCGGGAGTCCCAATCCATCTTCATCCACCAGCCATGACCTTCACTCGCCTCTATCCCCGCTCTCTCCTTCTTCTCCCGTCTTTCCTGATGGCCTTATGACTCCCATGTGGCTGGCGAAGCATCAATCTCGTATCCCTGCCGTCTATCTTTCCTTTCAGACTCTGGACCCCGATCCAACCAACGATGCCGCTCTGAAGAATCACATCAACGACACCAAGAATGCAATCGCCAAATCTGGTTTCAAAACGCGATACGCCGTCGTCCTCGTTTCGGATGATGCTGCCATCTCTCCCCTCGACTTTGAAGAACGTCTCGCCAATATCAGGAGAGCAACTTCCCTCGATCCAAAGATTTCCTGCTTTCACTTTGACGTCTCAGACTCTCAGACAGATCTGCCCACCTTCGTGTCGAGTGTTTTGAGAGCCCTGCAGCCCGTCTGTATTGATTACTACAGGGACTTGACAAAGCATTCGCGAAGAAAAAGAGGCCGCCCTGCTCCTCCACCTATCACCGCTGCAGCAAGCCGCGGCACATCGCAGATCCTGACCGTCAATGGCTGGAACGTACGCTACGACTTTAAACTAGCTGTCTTCGCAGAATTCCGACAAGAGATGGACGTAGCCCAGAGGCATTATGAGTCTGCCTTGGAAGAATTGTTCGGTCCTGAAGGAAGTCTGGAACATACACCAAGTTGGTCGGCTCGCTGGCAAGAAGCCCGGTTACTTTGCGACGTTATTGCTTTTCGTGTCTTGCGCTGTCAAATATGGAGGGGCATGACATCTGGTGCCGCCGAGTCGTGGTACAACTACAAGGAGCGCATGCGAGATTTAATCGATCGTCGTGGAAAGGGCACAGACAACAGTTACAGCTGGGAAGCATGGGAAGCGCGCTGGGCGAAAATGATGGCGCAACTCATCGAGATGGCTGATTTGCCTGTCTTCAAAGCTGTGGATTTGTCCGACCCTGAAGATCAGACCAACGCTCTTACCATATATGCTCCAGCCGAGAAGCTGTACTCGACCATGGAACGTATGATGCCGTTTCATCTGCTACACCATCCAGGATACTGGTGGAGACTGGCCTGCAAACATCTCGTGGCGCGAAAAAGAAACGCAGAAGCTATCCCTCAAGAGGACAGAACACTTCCGAGCGAGACTACTGCGGCTCAGCTTGCGAGCCGCACCAGAACATATGATACCTACATGGTACCACAACCTCATGAAGAGGCACCCTTGTCTGGCCACAGCACATACGACTATTTGCTGGATCTGCAAAGTCAGACTGAAAGGGTAGAAAGTATCATGTCCAACAGAGGCCAGACGAGAGCAGTCCAGCAAGTCAAGATTGATCTCGCGCGCGAATTTTACAAGGCTGAGCGTTATGGCGAGGTACTCAAGACTCTGCAGCCAGTGTGGGAGAACATGGTCTGGAGGCGCGAGAAGTGGTTCGACCTAGCATTAGAAGTCCTAGAGTTGACCTACGATTCTGCCGGAAAGACCGGTGATGCTAAGCTCCAGGCTGAAAGTGCCTGGGAGCTCACATATCAACGTAAGNTCCCGTTTGCCTGGCATTCATGACTTCTCTGACCCGCAGCAGCCCTCAAATCTTGGAAGAATATCGACCTTTTGCAATGCTTATCAGGAGCTGATATCAACGACGACCCTATGCACATTCTGTTAAATACTCAGTCAAGATTCTGTCCATGTAAGTCTTCGTGCCGATGCTACCTTGAACTGAGCTGATCCTAAGATTAAGTCTCTATTACATTTTCATTCCTGTCAGGCGAAGGATTCGTTGGAGATACCGCCATCTGTCAAGTTGCAGTTATCTTCAACGGATCAGCACAGCAAAGCAATTTGACCTTGACAGAACTTCGTGTTCATTTCAGTACCAATATCAAGAGCTTGGTGATCAATCACTCTGGAGACGTCAGCCAATCTTTGTCAACGAATTTGAAAGTTCAAGAGGAGCATGACCCATCTCACCCTATGGCAAAGAGTTTACTTACAAGTGCGAACCTGACATTCAAGCCTGGTCAACTTCGTGTTTTCAATCTGACGATACCACTTCGCGATCCGGATGCATTCGGTGCCACTGGTGCATCGCTAGTGCTGAAGTCATCAAGCGCCACACTCGAACACGTTCTCAGTCATCCGACAGACGTCGCTTCTTCAAACTGGTGGCTGCTATCAGAAGACAAGCTTTTGAGAAAGCAGATTTCCAGAGCAGAGCCGAATACCATCCAAGTACTGCCAAAACCACCAAAAGTCCAGCTGCGCATCACAAATCTCAAGGAGCAATACTTTACTGGCGAGAAAGTGGCCCTCGAAGTTCGAATTCTCAATGAAGAAGCAGAGGAAGTTAACGCCTATGTACGCGCCGAAGGACAAGACAATGTAGAGGTTAGCCTGGAGCTTGCCTGGAAGGACAACAAAAACGAAGCCAACGATCTGGACCTGACCAACCTTCAGATTGGCAAGATAACAGCCAACGAATCTAAATCCCATACACTCGAATTCATGGCGCCGCTAGAACTTTCAGAGTATACTCTGAGGTTGGAGGTTAACTACCGTCTGGCCTCAGATCCCGAAACACCTGTCATGAAGACATTGGAGTCAGTCATACCATTTGTCAGCCCCTTCGAGGCCAACTATGACTTCGGGCCTCGCCTTCATACCGGAACATATCCAAATTATTTCAGCCTACCGGATCTAAGTGAAGACAATGAGGAGCAGTCGAAACCAGCAAGAGGCATGTCACAAAGATGGTGTTTGACCAGTCGCGTGGTATCCTTCTCTACGGAACCTCTACTAGTCGAGGCAACACGGCTAGTTGTCAACAGGGTCACCAATAACGCTTTGTGTAGCGTCGAGGAGTCTTCCAAACCGCAAAAAGTCTCGCGAACCATGGCTTTAAAGGATATGATGGATGTTCCTCACATCCTGGAAGTGCGCAAGTTGACGCTGGAGGACCGACGTCCTTCTGCATTAGAACTGTCTCTGGCAGTCACTTGGCGCAGGAACGACGCTAGCGAGCAGGATGCAACAACTACCATGCTTGCAGTTCCTAGCATGACCATTCCCTCTGCTGAGCCCAGAGTACTGTGTACAGCGAACACACCTTCGGACACAGACAACGAAGCCATCACTGTCTCATACACCCTTGAGAATCCGTCGATGCACTTCTTGACATTCAATCTGACCATGGAAGCAAACGACTTGTTTGCTTTTAGCGGATCGAAGCACCGAGCTGTGAGCTTAACCCCGATGAGTCGCGTTCAGGTTGACTACAGGTTGTTTGTGTATGATGTAGACGAAGATGCTCGCACCGAACGCCACGGGCAGAAAGGACATTGGGTCTGGCCAGCGCTACGAGTAGTGGATGCATACTTCCAAAAGACACTCAGAGTGCTGGATGCCGGAGATGGTGTGCAAAGTGATGATAGGGGTGGTGTGGGCATCTGGATAGCCGGATAGTGGCTGTTTCGAAAATAGATGAGCTTCAATCTCGGGAATCAACACCATCAATGTAGCAGGCAACTCTTTACGAGCGAGACAATCTGCTCGTCTTCAGCTTCTGCGAGTCAAGAGAATAGACCCCTATTTCTTGCTACAGTAGCAGTGATGAGTTGTATCAAAGTTGCCCTCGCTGTCACCGCAGCGTTTGTTTACGGAGTCCGAGCTTTGAGTTGCTGCGGCTCCCTTGGCAAAGTTGGCGGTTCATTGAGCATGTATATACCCTCATGTGACAGACGGTAATGCGCTCTGTCTGGCGAATATTGAGGTGTTTCGGTTGTTGTACAAGTCATAAAGATGTCATATGTAGCATTGAGTCAAAAGATGTACTCCAGATAAGCGTGACACACTCGATTGTTGCAGCTTGTTGTAAACTGTCCTCGTCTGCCGGCGTTGAGCTGACGTATAGCAATATTGGAAGTCGCTCGTCCTTGCGCCTCCGCACCACATTGAGTCTCCTTCCTTGCATCTTGTCCCGTGTCCTCCATCTCAAAACCCAGCCATCAACTTCGTCAATCCCATCAGAAGTCTCGAATATCGCCGCTTCTCAATTGAGTGAGCTCTCTCGTTGACTTCCTCCGTCCCGCCGCTCAACTAACCTGTCGTGTGGTAGCGATCTCTCAACATGGAGCCCTGGCAATCGTGGGCAGTCGCCCTCATTGGTGCCGCCGCCGTCTACTACTACTACTTCCAGCACGGCAAGCCCGTCGCCAACAGAACTCGCTCCGCATCAGTCTCGGACTTTGTCGCTCCTCAACCTAAGGTCGCTCGCCGACGAGACTCGACCAAGCCGAAGCCCAAGTCCGAAGTCACCAAGGCCACCGGCGTCACTCTTCCTGAGCTGAGCGTCCAGAGCGGTGACGACAGCACCACCAAGGTCTCGGATGGCTCCAAGAAGCGCAAGGATGGCAAGAAGCAGGCCGCCGCACCCGCTCCCTCTCTCACACCTGCTCCCCCAGCCAAGCGCCAGGAAGTTGACGACGATGTTGCTCAAGAGGAGGATAACAAGGCCTGGGCTCAACAGCTCGCCAGCCTCAAGAAGGGCACCAGCCTTGCCCCTCCTTCTCGCACCGACTCGCGCAACAGAACAGTGAAGCAGTCTTCCAAGACCTTCTCTTCTGCTTCTTCCAACGCTGCCGATGCTGATGACGACCTCACCCCTTCCATGTCTCCCTCTTTGGCCGCTGGTGATGTTTCAGACATGCTAGAGCCTGCCGCTGACGGCCCATCTGTCCTCCGTCTTACCGGATCCACCAAGGCCAAGGCCAACCAGCCTCGCCAAACACAAGCAGAGGAGCAGGAGACGAAGAAGCAGAGACAGAACCGTAAGAAGGTCGAGGAGCGTAGACTCCAGAGAGAGGCCGAAGAGAAGGAACGTCAGACTCTGCTCGAAACCCAACGCCGTACTGCCCGCGAAGCTCGTGGAGAGCCCGCAAAGAACGGCATTCCCGTTTCCAAGCCTCCAACCAGCAGCGCATGGGCTGCCGATGTTGCCAACCGTGTCACCCAGGCTCCTACCGTGGCCGTCTCCAACGAGAGCGCTCCCCTGCTCGACACTTTCGAGTCCAGCAATGGAGCTTCCGAGGAGGACCAGCTGAGACTGGCCAAGCAAATCAGCCAAGATGACTCGGGTTGGAACACTGTGCCCAAGGGCAAGAAGCAGCAGAAGAAGAAGGCTCCCATTGTCGGATCCGAAGACTCAAACACCAGTGATGCCGGCTCCGTGGTCAACGCACCAATCGAGAAGGTCGCACCCTTGCCCAAGGTCACCGCACCTGCACCCAAGCCTGTGGCCGCTTCCAACGGATTCTCGTCCCTCTACGACTCTGGCTATGATGCAGGCAGCCACCCTGATGATTCTCAGTGGGCTGCTTGATCGATTCAAAGTTACGAGACTAAGGCCACAGCGCCGTCTATGTAAAGCCACACGGACAACCAAGTGTTTTTCGGCTTCTTTGATCTAATACAGACGCTGGTGGATAGAGACACGGAAGTCGGATGGTCGAAGCAGAATGCTAGCTTATCTTGTGTTTTTTTTGTTTTCACGCAAGGGTATTCCCACAGGGCATCTCGAGGGGTTTGTTACAATCTTTGCTTACAATCGAGTGCTTCTACAAGCCGCAAAAGAAACCACAGAAGACAAAGAGAAGCGACTGGATTGAGAACAGGCGTTCAAAGGGTTCTTCGTGTTCCTGCCCGGTTTATTCTTGTACTTTCGACGTATCCAAAATGCAATGGTTTTCTTTCTATATCTATATTTATCAGCTGTGCGGTTTCGATGATGGCATTGTGGAGTATGGTCGTAAAGCTTGATGGACTCTTGAAGATGCCGAGGAATGAGGACAGTATGCGTCACAGCTGTATGCGACAGAGGTAGTGAGAGCATTGCAGAAGGGAGTCGTTGCAGTAGCAGATAGAACAGATATCGGACGACGTAGAAGTACAATGGAGGGGTATATTTATTATAGGCCCTGAACGGCGGGCTGGTCAAACAAAGACTCTGGGCAAAAAGGGAGTTCTGCACGTTACAGTAGCTGCGACAAGCTTCGATTTGCTGACAAGTGGTCTATTCTTCCCCACGCCTCTAGCCTCTCTACTAGACCTCTCGTCCAACCCCGACCAGAGTCTCCCCCCCCTTACACCATTTTTCCACAGCAACCATGGCCCAAATCAGAGGGACGGCAGGATACCACTTGGGCTCGCAGCCTTCGTTTGGCGGTCCCGGACGACCAGATGCCACCAACGATCCCAGCCCGCTGGATGCCATCCGCGAACAGACCAGCAAGATCGAAGACTGGCTCGACACCTTGTCGCATCCCGTCAAGCCGTGAGTGCCTGCGAGTACGCCTCTCTCACGCCCTCGCCCGACTAACACCACTCCAGCTNACATCCCTGCCATTGGCCGCTTCCTCATCGTCGTGACCTTCCTCGAGGATGCCCTGCGCATCATCACCCAATGGAGCGACCAGCTCACCTACCTGCACGACTACAGACACAGTATGTTGTTCTGTCGCCTCGCCCGAGAGTCCCAACTAACACGCTACCACCAGNTCCCCTCTGGCCTCACCCACCTGTTCCTCATCGCCAACGTCATCGCCATGAGCGTCTCGTCCTTCATGATCATCGTCCGCAAGCACAGCGAATACGCCGTCATGGGTCTCTTCGGCGTCGTCGTCACCCAAGCCCTCGGCTACGGCCTCATCTTCGACCTCAACTTCTTCCTGCGTAACCTGTCGGTCATGGGTGGTCTATTGATGGTCCTGTCCGACAGCTGGGTGCGCAAGCGCTTCGCCCCCGCCGGTCTCCCCACTCTTGACGAAAAGGACCGCAAGATGTACTTCCAGCTTGCCGGACGCGTCTTGCTCATCTTCCTCTTTGTTGGCTTCGTCTTCGCTGGCGAGTGGAGCTTTGGAAGGGTTGTTGTCATCTTGCTGGGTGCGGTTGCTTGTGTCATGGTCGTTGTTGGCTTCAAGGCAAAGTGGAGTGCCGTCATGCTTGTCGTCATTCTCAGTGTCTTTAACCTGCTCGTCAACAACTTCTGGACTGTAAGTTCTCTTCTGTTTGCATTCTTTGGATCGAAGCTAACTTTTCCCAACAGCNTGCACCACAACCACCCCCACAAGGACTTCGCTAAGTACGATTTCTTCCAAATCCTCTCGATTGTCGGTGGTCTTCTTCTCTTGGTCAACATGGGCCCCGGCCAATTCAGTGTCGACGAGAAGAAGAAGGTTTACTAGACGACCCCTCTAAAGAGACAAGGAGCTTCAAATGGATCAGTCAGAATATCCAAACCACAGCATACAGGTCCCCAATAAGTCTTGTTGTTTGTGTAGTATGGAAGAACAAGCATGTCTTCCATGCTCTCTGTGGGAAAACAAGTAAAAGGGATACCGAGCAGCATTGAAAGAGTGGAGCCAGGCCTCCTCGGAAACCGTAGAAAAGGAAACAGCACGAATTTCCCAAAAGAAATGTTATTCTTTTTTTTGTGACACTTTTTTCCATCTTCTTTTGCTTTTTTTCTTTCTGGTCCATCTCCGACTCCTATCACTTTCGATCCTTTTGGGTGTTTTTGTAGTGACTTGCTGCATTGTCCTGCTTCTTAGTCTTTTTTTGGCAAGGTAAGTGAGAGAAAGTGTATGGGTACATGTATAGAAAGAGCACACACACAACCTCTCCATGTGCGATCAACTACGATATGCACTTCTCTAGAGATGCAACAGTAGTCTTTGCACCGGCAAGAGGCGATAACAGCATAAGCTCTCTCTCTCTGTAGCCACACATTTGAACTCGGAAATAAAATCTCACTCATGCCTTTTTCATGGGTTTGGTTTCCAAAAAAAAAAAAAGGTTACACGAGAAGTTTTTTTGTGATTGGACAAAGTTTTTTTGCTCGTCTGATTGTGTGTATGTGTGTGTGTGTGTGTGTGTGTGTTTACTCCTATTTCTACATTTTGTGTTGCTTGATCGGTTTGCCTTTGCCTCTGCCTCTTTCTCTTTTTCCTTTGTTCATCAACTCCCCCCTTATACCATCGTTCATTTCAAGAGCCATTACAGTATCCAATCTCAGATACCCTCTCTACCGACCCAACTAGTGCTAGGACCTCTCCAAACCTTGACGCCAGGAGCATTAACTCTCCAACCCCAGATCCCTCTAGCACCTTTACCCGAAGGCACAATCCACTCACCCAAACCATGCATATTGCAGTCTTTTAAGCTGTGCTTGCGCCACTGGCCAAAATCCTCAGGGTCCTGGATGCCTCTTTTGAGAAACGTGACTTCAGGGTTGTGCGCTTCCCAGAGTTCGACGGGGTGCACGGCGGCATTGTCGAGGTAGTGGTGTCCGGCTTCGGTGAGCAGGGACAGAGAAGACATGTAGCCTGGGTTGATGGAGCTGATGATGTGGCGGCGCAGGGACAGTTGCATGGGGCCTTGGATGGTGATGAAGGCGAGAGGAGGGTCGCGGTTGGCAAACATGTCGATGATGGCGGGAATGATGGCTTTCTCATACACGTGAATGTTGATCTTGGGCGAAGGGATTTTCTTGGTCGTGTATGAGGGGCCGCGCTTGCTGGATGTATCCGCAGTAAGGGTGGTGAGGGAAGGTGGGATAAAGTCGGCGTTGGCGGTGGAGTTCATGCTCGAGCGAGTGAACTTGGGCTTCTTTGCGGCACCTTCATTGTTGCCGTCGAAGGCGGGAGCAGAGTTATAAGGGCCCAAGTCGGCGTCGACACCCTTGCCTTTGCCTTTGACGGGAAGGGGAACTTCTTCCTGAATGGTGATCTCGGGCTTGACATAGTTGTGGCGAGTGAACAGGTTGGTGCCCTTGATGTAGATGCTGAGATGAATGACATTCTTGCACAGGGGTGCAAAAGTTGCCAGAAAGAGACACNNCTGAGAAAAAAGACACAGTCAGTAAGATCTGATATGCGCAGGACATTACACTACAACTTACCAGCTATCGTCTTCCCAATCGCCAAAGTCTGAAGAGTTAATGACCAGCTTGAGGTGGTTGGTCTTGAGGAAGTCATCAGAGCCATCAGTGTTGATTTGATCCATGAATTCCCAAAGCTGCTCCATGGTGACCTCAAGCTGTAACACGTCTTCGCCATAGTCAGGCTCAGGGGCGAGAATGTGTCTCATGTCTTCGAGGGGGTCGCTTGAGCGAGGAGGTGAGGGTGTCGAGTGTGCGCCGGTGCTGATGGTTGAGCTTGAGCAGCGTCTCTGTCTCATCTGGTTGTAGACCAGCTTCCATGCTTCGTCCACCATGATGGGCCAAAATGTACGCGAAGTGGACGCGAATTTGGTTGTGAAATTCTCGCGTTGAGTGAGGTAAACGAGAAGGGCTTCTTTCTATAATTCCGTGCAGCGCCTACAGCTCTGCGTAGACTGCCTTCCAAGCATCTGTATAGCCTCTGGCGCATCGCGCTCAGTGCTCGCGCTCAGTGCTTCCTCTCGTACGCCCTCCACCATAGGGCCATGTTGGCTGCCACTATCAAATCCAACATCTTGACGCCTTCATCCTCGATGATGAGCTTTCCGAGCTTGGCCTGCTTCCCCTGGAACCCACCTCCAGCACGCTCCTGTCCGAGAGAAAGATCAATGTTACCATGTTCGTCCAGAAACTTTGCCATGCCAGGAGAAAGAGGACTGTTAGTAAACTCGTCCGAAGTTGAGTGCCTGTGCAGGGTCGGCCTTGGAACTACTGAGGATCTCTTTGCTCCAGGATCAGTAGACACAATACTCCTAGTAGTGCTGCCTGTTGGAAGATTGAAGCGCAGCTCACTAACTTCAGATGCAGCGCTTGAAGGATTCTCGAGGACATGTTTGCACNNTGCAAAACATTAGCACACCACCTTGTACCAGACTCAACACAGACGTACCTTCAATGATCTGCCAGCTGCACCAGTCGAGAACTCGCATTTACCACCCCATGGGCTGCGGAAGGTGTAGCCCTTGCTCCTCCTGTCGACCAGAGCTTTCGGTGCAGCTTGCAAGCTCTGTCGATTCAACTGCACAGAAGGATGTTGACTTTGCTGCTCACCGCTCCAAGAAGGAGTCTTGCGATGTCCATACGAGTGGTCAGCGAATCTTGAACCATCCATGTAGAGCCTTCGGCGAAACGTGTTATCATAGTCCGAAGACAAATTTGGTGAGAACAAAGCCATATCAGCACTTCCCTGGGAGACTGGTCTGCTGTGATCAGACTGCAGGAACTTCGAGTATCCAGGATTGTAGATCTCGATGAACAAGGGAGCCCCTGCCTTTTTGGTTTTGATGGAGCCGTCTCCTCCTAGCACGGAAGAAACTTTATGCACCGGCGGGTCACGAATCTTGGCTACGTTCCACTGGAAGCCTGATGACGGATCTCGACGGATAAGGGTCAGTGAGACACAGCGTTCGTCCTCCTCGGAAGTCAAAGGGCCTTCGTAAGAGGATCGACTAGCGCTCTCTGTGGCATAAGAGCTCCTGCAACTCACAGAAGGCCGACCCGAAACGACGTTTGGATCCAAGAATTGGTTGCTGAGTGGTCGCCTGGAAAAGGATGGTCTGCCATCAACATGCTCATGGACGGTAAACTGGCCATGTTGGCTCGGGGGACTTTTCATAGGTGGTCGCGGCGGGATGTCTGGAAGGTCTAGGCTTTGACGGACTGGTTTACGCTGGGGAACTCCAAGCTGCTGCTTGGTGTCGAAGACGGCACTTCTTTGTCTCGGAGAACCATCTGCAGGAGAAGTTGGAGGTGTTGGTAGTGGTTTGCGATTGATCATTGACGCAGCAGGAACATCCGGTACAGTGATCTCCTCGGGTAATTCGAGAAGGCCATCCTCTGGAATATCGATATGCAAGAAGTACAAGGAGCTCTGAACATCTTCGGCACTAACGACCTTTTCCCTTGGTTTCAGAGGGGTCAGAAAGACATCNTGAATCCTGGTTAGCATCAAACTCCGGAACAATTCAAGAAGATTCGTACCTTTGCTGCCGGGAACTCTCACGATATACAGAGTCAGCTGAGCGTGGGGAAGTTGAGTTGGATTTCTTGGGTACGCCGGAGGATCGGAGGCAATCGTCGTCAGAAGAGCCAGAGATCTGGCTTCGATTGCAGATGCCATGGATGCAAGGGATAGCACGCAGGTATCTGCAAGATACCAAAAGCTGCGGCTAGGCAGAGACGGTATAAGATATCAAGTTGGTTGCGATTCAGGCAGGCACTTTGCAGCAAACGTTTGTTGTCGTCAGAATGTGGCTGAGCCAGGCGGCGAGTTGATCGAGTCGTGTAAGAGGATAAGGTAGGACAAACTGGCCGGCCAGTCATTCCTTAAGGGGAGTCATAAAGTACGATTTGAACAAAAGTTTAATAGGTGGCAGGGAATCACGAAATGCAGGCTGGCTCTTGTTTATCTGCAAGCGCTGCAGCCGACAATGCCGAGATGTTTTCGGCTGTCTTGACAACGACGGCGCCGACACGAAGTGTAAGAGGCTGAGGATGGCTGCAACGATCGGTGCATGTCACGCGAGTGTATACCTTACAGAGGTATGACTCCAGATGAGGATGCTAGAGCACACGGATTGGCTATATTTGACATGTAACGGTGTTGATGGTGACTTGCATAAACGAGGACTCGTAGCACAAGTGCAATTCACAAAACGTGGAGTGGTCTCGCCTGGTCCGTGCTGCATCATCATTGACGCCTTCGACCTTGAAGCTATTCGCAGTCAGCGTCACGCCTTCTATCACCACCCAGCTCGCCTCAATCGTCGCAACCATGTCGGACCCTCGGGATATGTGGAAGAACCTGCAGAAGAGCTTGGAGCAAGCCCAGAAGTCGGGAAGAAAGTGCGCAACCCTCTTCCCATAGTTGTATCTTCGAACAAGAANNGCTGAGACGAGGCAAATGTACAGATTCGGAGCCGGCGGCCCTACACCCAACCCCAGAGGCGCTCTCGGTGGCATCGCTGTCATCGCCCTCGGTCTGGGCGGTGTCTACCTCTTCAACAACGCCCTCTTCAACGTCGATGGTGGTTGCCGCGCCGTCAAGTACAGCCGTGTCGGTGGTGTCAAGGCCGACATCTATCCTGAAGGAACCCACCTGAAGATCCCATGGGTTGAGACTCCCATCGTCTACGACGTCCGCGCAAAGCCTCGCAACGTCGCCTCCCTCACCGGCACCAAGGATTTGCAGATGGTCAACATTACCTGCCGTGTCCTGTCCAGACCCCGCGTCGATGCCCTGCCTCAGATCTACCGTACTCTTGGAACCGACTACGACGAGCGTGTCCTCCCCAGTATCGTCAACGAGGTCCTCAAGAGTGTTGTTGCCCAGTTCAACGCCTCCCAGTTGATCACCCAGAGAGAAAATGTTTCGAGACTCGTCCGCGATCACCTCGTGAAGCGCGCTGCCAGATTCAACATTATGCTCGACGATGTCTCATTAACGGTACAACCCTACAATCTTCCATCTGACACTCCATTCAGCTAACACGTTTCCCAGCACCTCGCCTTCTCGCCCGAGTTCACCGCCGCAGTCGAAGCCAAGCAGGTCGCCCAACAAGAAGCCCAGCGTGCCGCCTTCGTCGTCGACAAGGCCCGCCAGGAGAAGCAAGCCATGATTGTCCGCGCCCAGGGTGAAGCCCGTTCCGCCGAGCTGATTGGTGACGCCATCAAGAAGAGCCGCAGTTACATTGAGCTGCGTGAGTTTGAGAACGCCAGAAACGTGGCCTCCATCCTGGAGAAGAGCAACAACAAGGTCTACCTCGACACCCAAGGTCTTGGTCTCAACGTCAACGCCCTCGGCCACGACAGATCTTTGAACAAGTAAACATTGTTCTGATCCTGCTTTTTCTCTCTTCTCTCCCCTGTTTACAAAACAACGATTTCATCGGCATGGTTAGCGTAAGATACTCTTGACGGCGTTTTATGGCTGGCTGCTTCCCCAAACTTGTACAAAAATAAGAATCCGAACAACCCTTTTCTACTCACTCAGTGTGTCATTTATACAATCCCCTCTGCTCTGTCTTGTCAAAATCGCGTGTATTATGGTGATTGTACGTTTCTGCATAACAAGAAAAAGCAGGATACTCAACTCTCCTTTTGCATTCCGTTACTCCCCTACATACCACCACTCCCCTGAGTCACGCGATCAAGATTGAACGCAGCACTAACCAGCGCCAAATGCGAAAACGCCTGAGGAGTATTCCCAAGCTGCTCTCCACTCCTCGCAATCTCCTCGGAAAACATGTTCAAATGATTGGAAAAACTCAACATGTTTTCAAAAATGTTGATGGCCTTGATCAAGTATTTTTTGTCATAGGCGCCGGCACGGGTGAGTGCTTCCACGAGCCAAAACGTGCACATAGAAAATGCGCCTTCGCGGCCTCCGACGCCATCGTCGGATTTTAGAGTGTTGTAGCGGTAGACCAGGCCGGTGGAGGTGAGACCGCCTTTTTCGGGGGCGAGGAGGATTTGCTCGAGGGTGGATGTGAAGCGGGGGTCATTTGGTGCGATGAAGAAGACCAGAGGTGCGATTAGGACTGCAGAGTCCAAGACTTCATTGCTCTCATAGCTTTGGATGAAGCATTTCATGTCGTGGTTGTATCCTTTTTCCATGACGTCGTCGTAGATTGCATCGCGGGCTTCGAGCCATTTCATCCTGTTTGGACAGGGGAAACAGCGTTTGTCTGCTAGTCTCACTGCTCTGTCGATGGCTACCCAGAGCATTATCTTTGAGTATGTGTAGTTCATGGGTGCGGATCTGACTTCCCAGATTGACATGTCTGTCTCTTTCCAGATGCCGCAAACATAGTCTGTGAGTTTGCGGACTGCGACCCAGAGGTCGTAGCTCACGGGTTTGCCGTACTTGTTGTAGAGGTAGATGGAGTCCATCATTTCTCCGTAAATGTCTAGTTGCTTGTGAAAAGCTGCGCCGTTGCCGATGCGTACGGGTTTGCTGTCTAGATATCCAGACAAGTGCGAGAGTTCAATCTCGGGCAAGTCGGTGCTGCCACGGATGGAGAACATGATAGGTAGACCACCATCAGGTTTGCGGGAGTCGATGAGGCGAGCAGAGAGGAAATTCATGTATGCTTCTGCTTCTTCGGTGAAGCCCATGCGCAGCAGAATATAGGTTGTAAAGGACGAATCCCTGACCCAGGAGAATCTGTAGTCCCAGTTTCTGCCGCCGCCAAAGTCTTCGGGAAGGGAGAAGGTAGGCGCCGCGATGATGGCTCCGGTGGGTTCGAAGGTGAGCATCTTCAAAATCATCAGACTTCTGCTAACGACCTCTCTCCAGCGTCCCTTGTACTTTGATTTCGAGATCCAGTTGAACCAGTATGTTGAAGTGTCCTGTTGGATCTGGTCTAGGAGGGCAGTAGAGATGGATTCCTTGTTGCTCTCTTGAAGATCTCTCAATACGAAGGAGACAGATTGGCCTTCCTGGAGTTTGATGGTTGCAGTCACGCCCTCGCCTAGAGAACAGCCTTCAATCTGTTTCTTGGAAAAGGTAAGCTCTGGACAAGGGGCATCATCGCCACAGTCAATGGTAGCCACAAGCTCCAAAGACAGCTTCTCGGAGCGAAAGTGCACTACTCGCTGTGCTTCATCGTCGGACTCGACGATCTCGGTAGTGTGAGAATCCTGAGCATAGTTGAAAGCAGGAAACACCTCGACGTCGACATCAGTGGCACCTCTGATACATTCAACCCTGCGGACCAGCCACTTCTTGAGTTCGCTGCGAGGATCGATAGTGCTACCTCTTCCAACAGAAGGACCCAGCTTGTCTGTTCTTAGCGGACGGGGNAAGAAGTCCGTCAAAGTCAAAACACCATCGTCGTGCAGATATCTGGTTGAGAGGATGTTGTTGCTGGGCAGATATTGCTGCTTGGTTGTGATCTTAAGACCAGGAGGAGGGCCGATATTAAAGTGACCGCCCTTGTTTTTGTCCAGCATGCGGCAGAAAACAGAGGGAGAATCAAAGTCGNNGGCCTGTGTTGATTGTCAATTGATCTCCATCACAGCTGCAAGTAGTCTGCGGTATGCCTACCAGCACATCATATCAATCCCTCCATCAATTGCCNNTTGAGAATGTGTCAGCTGGAGTCAAACTTGGTAGCCAAAAGTACACACCACTAGGGCACTGGTGTGCATATTTCCTATCAACCCATATTGCTCAATNCTGAGCTGTGTTAGCAAGCTATCATGCACTAGTCTCGAACACACATAGCTACTCACTGGCATATAGCCTGTGCTCCTTCGCAGGCCAGTAGGATCAGAAATGTGTTCTGCCATCGTGCTTGAGATCTAATAGCTTGAGAATGTCGACAACTGAGGCAAGATAGCTAGCTGACAGGTCCCTTCCTTGTGGTACTTGTATGCAAGAAGTCTGGGGTACGGGGCAGAAGACGAGGTATCAAAGTAACGGTGAAAGGAGCTTATATCGGCTTACAAACTATGTACAACGTCACAGGTCATCAATACACATGGCTTTAACCAAATCCCTTTCCGCTATGGATCTACCGGCTCAATCGTCATACGGATGTGGAGTATCCGGCAACGAGTTGAGCTTCATCATCTAAATTGTCAATTCTTTGGCACTACACATCGCATTGGTCTGAGAGGAGAGCAGCCTTTGACCAGGCATTGGCGGTTTCAAAGCAAGGTCCACCTTCACTGACACGACCTCATCTCATCAAGATACTGGAAGTGGAACCAGAAGCACGAGACAAGAAGCTGTCACCGGTCGTGCCCGGCATCCTCGGAGGTCGCGACTTCACGCCGCCAACCCGGGGCGCGAGAGCGGGCCGAGCCGCCTCATACAATCGCGAACTGCAACGGCGATTAAACCATCTCGCAGGCAAACATCAATCGCATTCGGGATTACCTGGACGAGTCGCTACACATACCGGGACGTACGCCGCTGACGTGCGCATTCAACACGACTATCCCGTTCATGCTATGCCAACCGCACCTATTGCGTCTGCGTGACAGCCGACAGAGCTTACACCACATCTTTCGCCATGCCGTGACATATCCTTCTCAGCGACTTCGCTATGAGAGTCATGTCTCCAGGAGTCCTGCCAGAGTAGACTCTAGAGACAAAGAAGCTGCGCGGATGGAGGCTCTAGAAGCTGCACGGCTGAAGGCTCTGGAACGCCTTGATCAACACATCAATCCGAACGACTTGTCGGCCACCCTCGAAGCACACCGAGACTCAAACCGCGCCTCTGTCATTCGTAGACTATATACCCAATCCGACCCCGAAGTCTTGCGCCCTTCCTTCTTGGACGACCGACTCCCCATCAGAAAAATATGGGCGGGACAGCCACCTGAGACGCCGTTACGAGAGAAAGCAGACAAGTCCGGTCTGGCAACATTCAACAAGATCGTCACAAAGGCCTCTGACAAGGCAGACCCTGCCGCTACGTTCCAACTAAGGTCCTTGAATCGAGCTGCAGAAGTTGCGAAGAGGGAGGAAGCAGACGAGTTGCGCCGGGAAAAGAACGCCGTCCAATATTCACAATGGCGCGATTTTCTTGCTAAGCACGAGAGTCCCCTAGAACCAGTGCCGGAATACAACTTTGAAGACCGTGCTGCTTTCTTCGGAGTCCTGCGTAGAGTCTTTGTTGTCATCCGTGCAGAGCAGGCTAAGCGATCAACCACATTGCCCATCCCTGCTCTCGCGCAGACGGATTTCTTGCAATACGAGAGCTTTCCTCGACCCATGCTTGCTGGCCTCAAAGGCTACCATCGCCCGTTGGCCTGGGCTATTCGACCGAAGATCAAAAACTTCTCTTCGAAACAGTGGCTCGATGCCGAAATCGAAGCATTCGCCGAATGGATGGAGATGACTCGATCAGAAAACGCCGCCAGAGCAAAGCTATCCGAAATCCTGATCGATCTGGTCAAACAAGCAGATCCAGCTCTCCTGGCCCAGAAGTTCGGCTCTCAGTCGACGGGCCTTACAATGCCAAACTCAGACATTGACATCCGTGTCGTTGATTCGACGCTCGACCGTACTCCTGCGCCGAATGATATCGACAAGGCCGCCAGAGCAGCATTCATAGGAGAACAGTTGGCATCACGGAAACAAAAGATGATTTCCCATCTCCGCACCATTCAGTCCTTGTTAGACCAACACGAAGACTTTGCCGATGCCGAAATAAACGAAACGGCATACTTTCCTCTCGTCAAAGCCGTCCACAAACCCACAGGCCTCAAAGTCCAAGTCGTGTCCACAAGAAACACACACGCCTCCCAAGAAGCCACCNAAAAATATCTCGCCGAGTTCCCACAACTGAAACCAATCTTCTTGGTCCTGAAGACTGCTTTGAACTTGCGCGGTCTTTCAGATCCATGGACTGGCGGCATTGGCTCCTATACTCTGTTCATGATGTGTGTGGCAGCCCTAAAGCACCAAGCCGAGAAGCAAAAAGGGTCCAGATTGATAAGACCAGGCCCCTGCTTCATTCACATCCTTGACTATTGGAGCAGATTCGACACCAAGTTCTTTGCATTGAGCGTCGAGCCTTATCTCAGGTTCCAGAAGAAATCGTTTCCGACCTGGGAGGAGAGGGAAGCCAGGAAGACGGATCCGGTAAGCACATCTCCATTCTTTGTTCCCGTCCTATCTATCTCATCCTCAAAAACACATTTTCTATCCCCATCTAAAACATCATCACTAACAACCTCATCACAGTCCCTCTGGGCACGTCACCGCATCGCCTACCCCATCGCCTACAAACCCTACATGCTCCACCTCCAAGACCCCGCAAACCCATACAACGACCTCGGCCGCAGCGCCCTCGCCATCAAAGACCTCCAAGCAACCTTTAAACGACTCCACTCGGATCTGACCTGGGAACTGCAAGATCCAAAACGCAAAGACGATGCGAGTAATTTGCTCAAGAATGTGGTGGGTAACAGTGAGAGGTACTTTGACGAAATGAGGGTTCCGGTGGATCTTTGGGGGGAGCAGTGGGTAGAGGAGATGGAGAGGGGGCAGAGGGAGGTGGATGGGTTGAGAGAGGGGTTGAAGAGGGTGCTTCTGTGGATGTTTCGGAAGAGAAGGATCCTGCCACGCAGACATGACCTAAACCGTATATTACAAGACAAAGCTTTGGAAATGCATAAACAACTACAACAACAACAACAACAACAACAACAACAACCACAAAAGAACGGGACAGCAAAGGACAGCAATATGTTCGTTATCATGTGGGATTTCCGTATGTTGTGTTTTACCAGTCTATCTGACTTTCTGAAAGTGAAAACCGATGCGCCATAACACTCCATCGCATGTGTCTGGCAGTAGAAAAGCAAGGCTGAGCCGAGAGTTGCGCATGAGTGTTGAAGCAGTGGGTCTTTGCGTTTGCGCCCGAGCAAGCGGTAGCAGCCAGCCGCCTTCCTCGAGGAAAGAGATACGACCTGTTGATACCGCCGCTCGACTCGTCAACAAGAGAATCCCAAATCATCCCCAGAATCCATCCGTCATGAAATAATGCCTCTGCACGCTAAGGAAAATAAGATAACCCTTGATGCACTCGTTCGGCCATTGGTTGCGCCCTATAACAGGCTTTGTTGCTAGACTTTTTAGATGGCGTACTTTCTTGTCCACTCTCTGGCCGTAGCCTCGTAGCGCGAGCGATCAGTCTTGTAGACGTGTGCGATCTCGGGAACGAGCGGGTCGTCAGGGTTGGGGTCGGTCAACATGGAGCAGATGGAGAGCAGGACTGTGGGGTTGTGTTAGTAACAGACATGAATTCATGAGCAGTTTGTGCCGAGTTCTGCATTCAAGCAGTGATCAGGCGGATTCATAGCAAGATACCTTTTNGAGATGGTCAGAGCAGGGCTCCATTGGTCTCTGAGAATGTCCAGACAGATGCTGCCGTTGCTGTTGATGTTGGGGTGGTAGATGCGAGTGGTGAAGTTGACCTTGGGAGGCTTGAAGGGGTAGTCTGTGGGAAAGTGGATGGCGAGGAAGAAGACGCCGCCCGAGTACGGGGAGTCACCNCTGGAAGTTTGTCAGCCATGCTGTTGCTTGGCTTGTTGCGGAAGTGGCGACGGCGGGGTTGTCCAGCCGTCGACAGCTCAAGCGTGCAATCGAAGACTTACGGGACCCATGATGGTGGCTTGCCAGTGGAACNNTGTAGGCAGAGAGAGTCAGAGCGAGTTCTGTTTCGGCATGTTCGAGTGGCCACGAGGCAGGCGCTCAATTTTGAGGCGGAGTTTTCAGGGACGTACCAGGTCATCTCCGATGGGACCAGCAGAGCAGGATGAGGGAGGGTCGCTAGATGGCTGTCAGTGTCTGCTCTTGCGATATGAAGACTTGGTGAAGCGGTCGATGGACCATCATCAAGGTGGGGGAGGGGAAGGACAGAGGGGCGCTGCGACGTACCGGCCGAGATCGGTCAACTCCTTGTTAATTCTCTTGAGCGCCATGGTGTGCGGTAGTTGTGTGTGGAAGGTGGAAACAGGTGATGGACGCAGCCTCGGACGTGGTTGCGTTGGTGGTCGGGTGTGTGGTATGCGGAGCGAGGAGTCGTCGCAGATGTGTGAGCGAAAAGGACGGAGTCTGGCAAGCGTTTAGATTGATTGGCCTCAGCACGGCCGATGCGTCATTGCCGACTCACCGACGCCTGCAACACAACAAAGACGAGCGGCCCTGTTTCTTCTTTTCACTTGCACTGTCGTTTCACTTGTCTGTAGAGCAACACATTCAATTCAAGGTCTTGATCTGCAGCCTTCTGTTTATGAAGCCTCTCAACGTCGTGTCAGTGCTTGACAAAAGCTATTCAACGATCACGCGCGCCTCTCTTGTACTTGCTTCGGCTTGCGGCCCAATTCTTCATCCCTCGAGACACAGCCTCTGTGCGTGCATGCATTTGACACCACAAACAACCAGTCGAGGTCGATCATACTGCACGGCATCACGCGCTCTATTATTGCAGTCACCCTCATGCAGATTCTCTTCCCGAATGGGCCGTGTATCTTGTACAATGTTTGTTTTGTGTGCTCTGTTTCGGCTATCTTACACAACATGAGAGCATCCGTCAACCTATCGACCGGATACAGCGCCTGACTCTCCATCAGGCATGTCGATTTAACAGAAAGCTTGAAGACCGGTGATTGCACGGCCAAGAATAAGAGCNTGGTCATGTGTTAGTCCGTCCTGGCTGAGTAAGTCTTGTCCAAACTTACCATGAATATCACTCTGGCCCTCATACGTCTGAGTGACAAACAAGTTCGCCACATGTCTTCCAATGTGGTACTCATCACTGACAGCGTTACCTCCGAAGACTTCCTGCAGTNNCTGTGTACGATTTAGCAGTCACTCTCAGGGGTTGTTCTTAGCTGGGTTGACTTACACTCGTGCGTTCACCAAAGCTCTGTCGCAGTTTTGTCTCTTGATCATTGAAATCATCTCAGGGGCAGCCTTGCCTTCGTCCTTCAGGCGACCGACTTGCAACGCCGCAAGAACACCGTAGGCTGCGTCTGTGGTTGCATCAGAGAGCTTCTTCTGCACCAACTGATATTTGGCGATCGGGTTGTTCTTGAATTGCTTTCGCTCCAGAGCGTACTGTCTTGTTCTTGCGATGCAGTCCTCGAGAGCACCCATGGTGCCCCAAGCAATGCCATAACGGGCTCCGTTGAGGCAGCTGAAAGGTCCTCTCAAGCCCTCAATATGTGGGAACATGTTTGCTTCTGGTACCGGGCAATCATCCAGCTGAATCATACCGGTAAGGGAGGCTCTCAGACCGTTCTTGTTCTTCAATGGAGGTGTCTCCAATGTTCCAGGGGGNCACTCGGATCTCTCAACCAGGAAACCACGAATTTTGCCAGTCTCCTGCAGCTTCGCCCACACGAGCATGACATCTGCAATCGGGGAGTTGGTAATCCACGTCTTTGCTCCGCTCAGGCTAAAGTAACCCTTCTTGGTAGGGTGAGGTTTAGCGACTGTCTCCATGCTGCCAGGATCACTACCGTGGTTTGGCTCTGTCAGACCAAAGCAACCAAGCATTTTACCCTTGGCCAGCTGTGGCAAGAACTTGTCTTTCTGCTCCTGGGAGCCGAACTCATCGATACCACCCATGACCAATGAGGACTGGACAGACATTCCTGAGCGGTAACCAGAGTCGACTCTCTCAACAGCACGAGTGATGAGACCCGATGCGACCGAGGAGACACCAGCACAGCCATGGCCTTCGATTGTAGCACCCAGCAGTCCAAGTTCTCCCATCTCTTCAAGAATCTTTCTGTCGTAGTCCTCGTTCCTGTATGCATCTGCTNNTGGGTCAGTGGTTGGAACAGGCGGTCGTCAAGCGTAGGACTCACCGAGCACGCGAGGAAGCATGCGCTCTTGACAGTAGGACTCGGCAGTCTCTGAAATAGCCAATTCTTCCTCGGTGAACATGTTGCTAGCGCCTAGCGGGTCCGTCCAGTCAAATGCTACAGGAGTGTGTGCATGGCGACGGGCGATTGAAGCAGCGGGGCCTCGTGAGCCCAACTGCCTTGCCGTCTGACGAGCGACTGATTTGAACATGGCGGGGGAAGTGTAATGAGATGGAAGTGTAAGGAGACGGAAACAGTGGAGAATATCGATCAAGTAAAGAAGAGATTTGGCTATATAACTACTCGGAGTAGATCAAGTACCTAGGAGGGCAAGAGAATGGCGGCAAAGGAGATGCGTGTTGTGTCGGAAAGTCGGCTACGCCCCGCTGTATGTAGGCTGAAGATGCCGAGGCTGGAAGTCGATGGCCGACATCGAGTGTTTATCATTTCGTTAACTTTTGTATCTGAGATATGCACACGAAATGCTCGGTAGGTGACTTGCGACGGCCAGCATGTGGCTTTCGAGAACCGAGCCCCAAGTCTGCATCGTCATGGGCAATGTAAGAGATTCGGGCAATTGTGGTCGTCCCGATTGGGAAGTAATTGATTTACGTCACCGAGTTGCGCTTTCTAAAACGCGACTGAGTGCGCGTCAGGCAGCTTCGCGAACATGCACTTTCTGCTTCTAACAGTCTGCCTGCCATACCGCTAGCATCTGATTGCCACACTTTAACTTGACAATTTGTTTCACTTTCCACTCTCGCATTGAAGCAACCAATCTGCCGAGATGGGTATCAAGCGTAAGCAAAGCAAATCGCTTCTCCTCCGTCCTAGAGCTGACCTTCCGCAGACCTCTTCCAAGTCATCGACGAGCACTGTCCAGATGCTGTCAAGACTGGAGAAATCAAGAACCAATTCGGTCGCAAGGTCGCCATCGATGCATCCATGTCACTGTACTCGTTTCTCATCGCCGTCCGCTCCGAAGGTCAACAGTTGATGAACGAATCTGGAGAGACAACCTCACATCTCATGGGAATGTTCTACCGCACACTGCGCATGGCCGACAACGGCATCAAGCCCCTCTACGTCTTCGATGGTGCTCCGCCAAAACTTAAGTCTGGAGAACTCGCCAAACGCTTCCAGCGCAAGACTGAAGCCGAAGAAGCACACGAAGAGGCCAAAGAGACGGGTACTGCTGAGGATATGGAAAAGTTCAGTCGCCGTACTGTTCGTGTCACGAGAGAACACAATGCTGAAGCTCAGCGATTGCTCAAGCTGATGGGCATTCCCTTCATCATTGCTCCAACCGAGGCCGAGGCTCAATGCGCTGCCCTGGCTCGTGCCGGCAAAGTCTATGCTGCTGCCAGCGAGGATATGGATACATTGACCTTCAACGCCCCTGTGCTTCTCCGCAAGCTCACATTCAGTGAACAACGCAAGGAACCCATCCAGGAAATCCATCTGGACAAGGTTCTGGAAGGTCTGGACATGACCATGGATCAGGTATGAGATCATCGATATTCGTCTAATGAGCTGTGCTGACCAATATCGATAGNNTTCATCGACATGTGCATTCTGCTCGGCTGCGATTACGTCGATCCTGTCAAGGGCGTTGGCCCCAAGGTCGCCTATACCATGATCAAGGAACACAAAAGTCTCGAGGCTGTTGTCGATATGCTCGAAAACAACAAGAAGTACACAATTCCAGACGACTGGCCTTGGGCCGAAGCCAAAATTCTCTTCAAAGAACCTGATGTCCGACCTGCCGATGATCCTGAGTGCGACTTCGAGTGGAAGGCACCTGATGTTGAGGGTCTTGTCAAGTTCCTTGTCGAGGAAAAGGGCTTCAGTGAAGACAGAGTCAAGAACGGAGCTGCCCGTCTCGCAAAAAGTCTAAAGAGTGCACAGCAAAGCAGACTCGAAGGTTTCTTCAAGCCAGTCGCCAAGACTCCTGAAGAGCAGGCAAGCTTGAAACGAAAGAATGAAGCCAAGCAGGAGGAGAAGAAAAAGAAGCAGAAGCAGTCAGCCAAGGAGAAGAAGGAGGCTAAGGCTAAGCCTAGAGGTACCGCCTAAGGAGACGATCGGACTGTAATATCCAATGATGGACAGGAGTTATGATGGCGTTTGCTCATATTGGGATACCCGCCAGGAGGATCAAGTATTTGGTTTGTTGAACAGGCGTTTACTGCAGCGGGTGGCTCGAATGGCAGCAGACAGCACAAGGAGCTTTTTTATAAGTCATATGGATATCATAACGGCTGAATGCTAGATTTTTCGAGCAGATCACTAGCCTGGCAGGCCCTTCAAGCCGTGCAGTTCCAAACATGCCACCAGTCCATCTGTACCAGGTTCCACTTGATGAGTACTGCGACATGGCAAGTGCATCCTTCTGGTTTTTCACTCATCCATCCATCATACTTCTCATGCGGCCAAGCTTTGCATGTAGCCGTACTCGCAGGGTAGAGGTGAGAATTCCTCACACATCATTCGTACAGGTGGTTACTGAGGTCCTCGATCGGATCTTCTCTGTTCCCTCTGTGGTCTGGTGCGATATAAGCGTGTGGAATGGTGTTCGGACCGATGCATTCGTCCGGGTCCAGTGCTTGAAGAGCAAAAGCATTAGCTCGTTGGGTAGTTCAGAAGATGATATCATGTCCGTTTGTTGTCTCTGATGTCAAGATCAGTAGAAAGTCTTCTCGATTTGTGTCGAGTAAAAGCAGGAGTTATATCAGTAGTTAATCAAAAGTCATTTATCGACGCCTACAACTAGGCGCCCATCAGTGCTGAAACATAGAAACATCCTTTCACTGGCTCCGCATATCACTTCAACCAAGACATGTCAGTCTGGAGGGGCTTCATAGGGTCATCAACATTCGTACACAATTGTTGGGCGAAGACTAAGTTGTAGAAAGATGATTGCTTCACGATGTGGATGTCAACGGATGTTGCCAACCACGATAACTTCCTCACCTTCCAAGTTCCGAACGAACTGCATCCGATCAATATCTTGTTTGGCCAACACGACTTTGGTATATATGAGTATGCCGAAGAAGCCTGAAGGATTCTTACAGTCTTGGGCTTTCGGGGATACATGACAATCTGATTTGGACAGCGTCATGAAGCAAAAAGATGAAGCTCTCTACACTTCTGTAGCTATGTTACGGAGAAGGGAGGAAGTACCGCCGACTTTGCTGCTAGAGCAGTATTGCATAGCATGGAATTCCTAGAATAACCTTAGAGTCGTGTAAGCACTCGTAGAAACCAATGATTATACCATTCGTATGGCATATCATAAGAATGCTGCCTCGATTGAAAAGAGACAGGGTCACTCCGGGGACGACCTGACTTGAGGAAATCTCAAGCTAATCAACCCTATCGTCCAGGGTAGACATCGCATCACAAAAAGTGTCGTCTTCCATCTCGGACATGCCCTCACACGAAAGAACAACGTTTAGGCAACACTATTGAAGAAGGCATTATCCAAACCAGCCACCTGCCAAGATGGGTATAGCGTCGTAGGATTGTCAAAGCGGGATTACGAGCAAGAGGCCTTCGCGACTTTCATAAACGCATCCACAACCACATCTGAGGACCTCAATCATTCTTTCGCGTTGAGTCATTGCTAATAAAAAAAAATGTTGCTCAAGAACTCTGCCCTGTTATCAGTCGTGTTGTTGGCTTCTTCTGCAGTTGCTCAATTTCCGCCAAAGCCTGAAGATGTCAAGACTGTAAAGTCAAAGTTCCATCATGGCATCGAGATCTCGTACAAAGAGGTTGATGTATGTATCCTTCGTATGCAACCCGCTTGCTCCTAATCAATCACCGCAATCGATGCACTTTGTACTGTTTGCAATGTTAATTGCATTCCCAGCNCTGCTGTTTGCGAGACTACCGAAGGTGTTCGCAGTTTCTCTGGATATGTCCATCTGCCTCCCCACAGCATCAATGAGACACACGAGAGACAAGACTATCCTATCAACACGTGAGTGTAGTGTAAGTGTGTTGAGTATGTTGCCGTATATTAATGTAGTACAGCTNTCTTCTGGTTCTTCGAATCTCGCAAGGACCCTCACAAGGCTCCTCTGTCGATTTGGCTCAATGGTGGACCAGGAGGAAGCTCCATGATGGGAGCTCTTTCTGAAAACGGTCCTTGCTTCGTCAATAACGACAGCAATTCTACATACCTCAACCCGTGGTCGTGGAACAATGAGGTAGGGCAAAGATGTGCTATAGCACAAGACATTGCTCATCCATTCGATAGGNTCAACATCTTGTACATTGATCAACCTGTTCAAGTCGGATATTCGTATGATACCCCAACGAACATCACTGTAAACTTACTTGCCGACAATGAGGGACCCGACTCCATTCAGGTTGCCGACTTCAGCTCCGGTGTTCCGGACCAAAACTCTACTTTCTTGGTTGGCACCGCCAGTAGTCAGAACGTCTCTGCCACCGCCAACAGCACGCAGCACGCGGCTGTTGCTTTCTGGCACTTCGCTCAAACATGGTTTGAAGAGTTCCCGCAATACAAGCCCCACGACGAGAAGATCTCTCTCTTTACCGAGTCTTACGGCGGTAGATACGGTCCTACTTTTGTCAAGAAGTTCATGACCCAAAACGAGTTGATCGCCAATGGATCGATCTCAGGCCCCGGCACCCATTATTTGCACCTCGATACTTTGGGCATAATCAATGGCTGCATTGATTCCGAGGATTCCGCTTCTGCATACGTCGAGTTTCCGGTGGCTAACACCTACGGCATCCAAGGCTTCACCGAAGAGCAGTACTTCGAAGCCAAACACAACTTCATCCGCAAAGGAGGTCTGCGCGACCAGATCCACGAATGTCGCAGGCTGCAGGTCGAATCCGATCCTAACGACTACGGTGATGTCGAAAAGACCAACAAATACTGTATGCAAGCCGCCGAGAACCTGGCAAACCAGACTGTCGCCCTCTACATGGAGACCAAGAACTTTGGATGGTTTGACATTACTCACCAACAGAACGATCCGTTTCCGGGCACATACCTTATGGGCTACTTGAATCAGCAATGGGTTCAGGAAGCACTGGGTGTGCCCGTGAACTTCACTGCCGTTTCGCCCACCGTTTATGAAGCTTTCATGCACACTGGCGATATCTCCAAAGGTGGACTGGTTGAAGACATTGCTTACATCCTCGACAACGGCGTCAAAGTAGCCATGATGTATGGCGATCGCGATTACGCTTGCAACTGGCTTGGTGGTGAAGCATCATCCCTAAAGATCCCGTGGGATTCTCAAGAAGCATTCTCGAAAGCCGAATACACACCTCTTGTTTTGTCTCCTGTACATTCAGGTGGTCTGGTCAGACAATACGGTAACCTGAGTTTCACCAGAGTGTACCAGGCTGGTCACTTGGTACCTAGCTACCAGCCTCAAGCCGCATATGAGATCTTCATGCGTAGCTTGTTCAACAAGGACGTTGCCACCGGTACAGTTGCTGTGTCAGACCAGTACAAGACCAATGGAACCGAGGACGCATGGACCCCTAGTGATGTTCTGCCCGCGCCCGAGAACGAGTGCTATACTCTGAACCCCGACTCCTGTACCGAGGAAGAGCAAGAGTGGCTCAAGGATGGCAGCGCCATTGTCAAAAACTGGATTCTTATTGGCCGTGAGAAGGGCGGTAAGAGAGGTGGACAGCAGCAGGTTCTGGCTGCGAAGGGCATGCTGGAGCTCTAGATGGGCTCAGTAACCAATGTGATATTGATTATGGCAGTCATTGGGCTTACACAAACTTCAAGATATCAATCGAGCAGCATACCTTTTTGAAGAAAAGATAGGTATATCTGATCATGGTTCAAGCATGTATTCATACTTACATCACAACTTGTCAACCGAAAAGCTTGTTTCTCTGAACTCTTGTGATGGAGCTGTTCCTCGCCCCTAAATGAGACTTTCTATAACGTTAGGGATTGTTTCGAGCAGGTGGGTTTGGTAGCCATAGCTATCTCGTCAAGTTCTACAAACGCATCTTGCCCCTTTTCCTTCCAGCTTTCCGTCAAGAGCCGGTTTTCTAAGAAGGTGCGTGAAAGCGATTGAAGATCAGAAACGAGTCCGAGGACAGAGAACAGCACGAATACAGAGGTACGCTTTGCTAGCCAGTAAAAGAATTGGGGTCAATTGGAGAACGACTTTTTAATCGAATCGTCTCTCATCTCCGGACCCTGTTTACGCCCTTGACATTAGAGAGTTCCATCGAGTTGGGCCATATGATCGAAACCCGTGGTAAGCATTGACTTGGTTCAAGATCATGGCAGGAGGGTGATGAGTGCGGGCTGCAATCAAGTGAGCGTCGCTCCTTCCTCCATGGCAACAACAATCACGGCTGCTGAATGATTGAAGGCTTTCACGTGTCAGTCTCATCCTTGAAACGCTGCTTCCGCAACATCGCTTCGCACCTGTAAACTCGCTTCTGGTCTCTTCTTACCATCTCTTCCTTGACACCATCAACTTTTGGTCACTTTCATCAACACACTCACTTCTACTGTCATCCGTCCTTCATGACCTTCAACCTTAGCTTCCAGGACGCCTCAGGCGCTTGGAGACACACGAATCTACAAGAAATCACAGAGAAGCTTTTCGCCCCAACTCCAGAGCCCGCTTCTTCGTCCACAACCAAGAAACCCAAGAATTACTACTGTAAGCTTCCTCCTCCGAGACCAGTTCTCCGCCTCTCGACGACAACTAACACGTAACATCAAGGTTCCTACGCCAAGCACGGCCACAACAATACGCACGACACCAAAGACTGTCGTCAGCGTAAGAAGATAGCAGGAGACTCCATCCATCCCGCTCATCCGACACAAAGGTATGGAGGCCAATTGCGCTCTACACTCAGTGACGAAGCGAAGTTGACCAATGTGATTAGCCATGGCGCCAAGCACTCACCAGAGTTGCTAAGAAGCATATAAAGTTGGAGGACAGCGAAGAAGACGAGGACGAAAAGAAGAGCAGCGAGGAGGTCATGGCCGGCTTCAGCAACGAGGAGTTGAAGGAGATCTTCGAGAAGGCCAAGACGGAGATGAATCGTCGTGGTCTCAGATGAGAACGTAGATGCCCGAGTTGATGTGTGTTGTGGCCTGTCGATGTTTTTGACGGCGTGACAATTTTTCAGACATGGACGGAAAGCGATGTCTCTGTGGACCAGGAGACGACGATGATTCTCCTTTGCTGCTTGCAAGGATATGATATTCTGCAAGGCTTCTGAGTATGGGTATGATTTGCTGCTGGGTGCCTCCAAAGCTGTGCCTAGATATATAACATTATTCCTAGCAAATGTTTATGGCTTCATGGTTGTCCTCATTGTCGAGGCTCTCGAATCATGAAATAATCGCTCACAGGCTCCGTGCCTCCGAACTGGGAGTAGTCCATAGTTACCGTCTCGACTGTCTTGTAACCATGATTTTGGTAGAGCTTCGCGCCCGCTGCAGAAGAAGTCACATACGACCTTAGTCCATGCGCATCAGCCACTTCAAGACCAGCTTTCAGCAACATTGCTCCTATACCGCGACGTTGATACTCTGTCGCAGTGGTCAGATAATCCAGNGACTGTTTTCACTCACTGTCAGCTCGCCCATCTTTTTCCATAATGTTTGGTTGACATTGCACGAGCTTACACAAAAAAGGACCGCCTTCATTAATCTTCGCATCCATTTCCTCCAGCGGCGTATTGAGATATTCGAGCAAATCCATCCTCATCCCTTGTACCTTGCCATCATCCGAAACTGCCTTGAACATTTGCTCATACACCGCACGGTCCTCTGGCGTGGCTTCGGCAACTTGGGCTTCTGGCCATACCACTGGATCTGTAGACGCGAGATGCGTGGGTAGTATCCATCTGATGTAAGCAACTACTTGACCGGTTGCGTTGTCTATGGCGACTTGATGGCGCTTGGTGGTGCGGTTGTTGATCAGATTCCAGGGGAGGCGTTGGCTGAGGTCGTAAACTATTTGGGTGGGTGTGGTGGTGGATTCGAAGAGGGCTTTCCAATGGGGCTCTGCCCAGCGGGCCGAGACCATTGCTTTTGCGATGGAGGGTGCGAGGGCAACGTCTACTGATTTGATGGAGAAGGACATGTTTGGTGACAATGTGTTGGAGATGAAATTTTTGGTGGAGAGGTATGTGCGACTTGTTGAATGTGGTAGACTTACAGTGTTTCTATGGTTATGGAGATGGCGATGCCTCGACAAGCCACACCGGTCCTCGAACAAACGCTGCTGCCTGGCGATAAGCAGTTTGCGTTGCGAGAGGACGTTGTGGAGGATTGCGGTTGATTTGTCTGTTTCGGCAGATGAAAAGTGGAAGACGCTAGCACCTTCCCAAAACAGACGCCGGATGGTGAGAGCAAAGAACAACTACAACACAGATATCGAGTAACTTCGAGATGTACGGCCAGGCACAGAAAAATTAGACATCAAAGGCAATCTCAGAGGACTCGACCGAGAGACTTTGCAGAATTATATCTGATCGTAGCTATACTCGAGAGTTCAATTGATCACACATCGTTTCCGTAGCAATGGATGTTCATACATGCATCCCCTACAACTTGGGCCCCTGCCTCTTCTTCACCCACTCCTCGACCGCCTTGACTCCCGCAACAGCAACCTCCTCATCCTGCTTGGGCGTCCCCGTACTGACACCCACAGCACCAACAACACTGCCCTCGATCACAATCGGCACACCACCCCCAATCAACATGAACCTACCACCATTGGAATTGTGAATCCCATACGCGGGTCCTCCGGGCAAGAAATTCGGACTCTTGTATGCCGAAGTGGGTTGCTTGTGTCCAGCTGCCGTGAACGCCTTGTCGATGGCAATGTTGATGGATGTCAGTTTTGCCGTGGGTTGGCGCACAAAGTGCAGCAGTTGGAGTGTGGCGTCTACTATTGCAATGTTGAAGTCTNNGCCGCAAAGGAGAAATCGGGAATCAGTTCTGGTTGTCAATGGTCGGTCACAGAGAAACACACCAACGCCTATTTCCTGGGCCTTCTTCTGGGCAGCTGCCGAGNNGGCTACCTCGGCTGCCCGCAAGCTGAGGACGGGCAGCGAGCGCGTTGCTGAATCTGAAGACGACATGATCTGTCAAGTTCTTCTTTCTGTTACGAATCGAGGCTGGAACAGGTATCGAAATCACGATGGATATGTAATCGTTGACAGCTTGGAGGTATGGAGTCGTTGGAGTCGTCTCCACCCGAGGTTGCGGCTGGTCCTCTGCCCGCTCTGTGCTTGCCCATCGAATGACTTCATGACTTTCACATGCTCTGTTCATTCATGCAGGTACTGTATGTCTGAAAGCCTTCGGGCAAGATTTGGAGGACAGGTGTCTGTCCATTTGTACAGCTGGCACCTATTCACCCTCATTAATTGCTTCGCGAACCATTTGCAATCACTCCAACACGTGGTTCGACCTTTCCAAAGGGTCTGAGCGCGGTTCAACAATTGATACGCGTGAGAACGGAAATGACTACGTACGCCGATAACGGCCTCAGAAGTCAGCATGGAAGACAAAAAGTTAGACAGAACTGGGAGAGACAAAAGTTTAGAGGTCGTGAAGAAAGTACACACTCCTGCTCTGGGAGTGTGGTGGTGGTAGTAGATTGTTGGTCTATCTTGAAAAAGAAGTAGAATCATTTCCCATGATAACAAAATGCCGTGAGTCTGGGATATTGTTGAATCATCGCCAAACGCCGACGCTAGATGCATGCATAGCACGTTACAGCCAACCCGAGTCTATGTTGAATACCCTCTTAACACATTGCCTCAAGTCTGGCTGACCTGCGCTCCATAAAGTAGTGAGCCGCAGGGTTTGATGCAGGTTTTCCCTTCCCAATTATACCCTGAACGCCATGCCACCTGCGAGCTCCGTTCGCACAGAGTCCTACAGTAGGCTTTTCGAAAAACACAAAGAGCCCGACATCAAGTTAATAAATGTCTTGACATGTTTAGAACTTGAGCTCCTTGGGCTGCTCCCAGGTGAAGGTCTGGTCGCTGAAGTGACCGTTCTTGGCAGTACGGTTGTAAATGGGGTTGGTGAGGTTAAGCTCCTTGACGATGACACCGGGACGGAGGTCGAAGTTCTTGCGGATGATCTCGACAAGCTCGTCCGAGGACTTGTCGGAGGTACCGTAGGACTCAACGAAGAGCGAGAGGGGCTCGGCAACACCAATGGCGTAGGAGAGCTGGACGAGACAGCGGCGGGCGAGACCAGCCTTGACCAGGGACTTGGCGATCCAGCGGGAGAGGTAGGCAGCGGAGCGGTCGACCTTGGAGTAGTCCTTTCCGGAGAAGGCACCACCACCGTGGGCACCCCAACCACCGTAGGTGTCAACAATGATCTTACGGCCAGTAAGACCGGCGTCACCCTGGGGACCACCGATGATGAAGAGACCTGAGGGCTGGATGTGGTAGACGGTCTTGTCATCGAGGTACTTGGCGGGGATGACCTTCTTGATGATCTTCTCAAGGATCTCCTTGCGGAGCTCCTCAGTGGTGATGTCGGGGCTGTGCTGGGCGGAGACAACGACAGTGTCGACGCGCTTGGGGATGACGGCACCGCCGTCGTGCTCGTACTCGACGGTGACCTGGGTCTTGGTGTCAGGTCTCAACCAGGCGAGAGAGCCGTCGTTTCTGGCGTTGGTCATGGCAGCGTTGAGCTTGTGGGCGAGCTGGATGGTGAGGGGAAGGAGCTCGGGGGTCTCGTCAGTGGCATAACCTNNGGAGGTTGGGTTAGCACAGTTGTGCAGAGGAGGAATTCAGCAAGACTCACCGAACATGATACCCTGGTCACCGGCACCGAGCTTCTCAAGAGCCTCCTCGTAGTGGAGACCCTGGGCAATGTCGGGCGACTGCTCCTCAATGGCAACGAGGACGTTGCAAGTCTTGTAGTCGAAGCCCTTGTCGGAGCTGTCGTAACCAATGTCCTTGATGGCCTGGCGGATGATCTTCTGGTAGTCGAGACGGGCCTTGGTGGTGATTTCACCGAAGACCATGATCATGCCGGTCTTGGTGGCAGTCTCGCAAGCAACCTTGGAGAGGGGNTCCTCCTTCAAGCAGGCATCGAGGACGGCATCCGAGACCTGGTCGGCAATCTTGTCGGGGTGACCCNNTTGGGAGGTGTTAGTACGCAGGAGATACTAAGTGGAAGAGGGCCGGAAGCAGCTTACCTCGCCGACAGACTCGGAGGTGAAGAGGAAGGTGTTACCCTTGACGTTTCCGTTGGTGTGGACCATTGTGAGGGAGGAGGTGGGGGAGGGGCACGAAAAAGATGCAGGTGGAAGAAGGGAAGGAGCGAAGAGTGGAAAGGTCAATCGTCTCGGGGGACAGTTGACTCTTATGGCAGGGGGATGGCAGAAGGAAGTGGGGAGGTGGAATGCGTTGAAAGAAAAGATCACGGCCAGTGGAGGGCTGGGGCACGATGGGGCTAGAGAGCAGATTGCATTTTGCGGCAGGATTTGCACAATCCAAATGCCGAAGACAAAAACCCAACATGACGCGATTTAGACGTGCTTGGCGCAAATTTCCCGCTGCTCCAACAATATCATCCCATTATTTGCATAGCTACCTCCGAACCACAAGGAACATCAGCATAACCCGCCATGTCCAAGTACGGCGTGTTGGCCATCGGTCCAGCTGGTGCTGGCAAGACGACCTTCTGCTCGGCCTTGATTGGCCATCTGAAGAACTCGCGCCGCTCATGTTTCTACATCAACCTCGACCCGGCCGCCGAGGAGTTTGTCTACGAGCCCGATCTCGACATTAGAGAGCTCATCACCCTCGAAGATGTCATGGAGGAAATGCATCTCGGCCCCAACGGTGGTCTGATCTACTGCTTCGAGTTTCTGCTGGAGAACATGGACTTCATCACCGATCCGCTGGAAGAGGTGGGTGAAGAGTACCTTATAATCATCGATATGCCCGGCCAGATCGAGCTGTATACCCATGTGCCCATCTTGCCCACCCTTGTCAAGTCCTTGACCAGAGGCAGTCTCAACGTCAACCTCTGCGCCGCCTATTTGCTGGAAGCCACCTTCGTCGTAGACCGCGCAAAGTTCTTTGCCGGCACCCTCAGTGCCATGAGTGCCATGCTCATGCTCGAAGTTCCCCATGTCAACATTCTGAGCAAGATGGATCTTGTCAAGGGCACCGTTGCGAAGAAGGACCTCAAACGTTTCATTGACCCTGATGTCAGCTTGCTTGACGAAGACCCGACTACTGGCTTATACTACGACGAAACAAACGACCCCGACGATGTTACCGACTCCCAAAGCGTCATGGCAGGCTCTTCGTTCAACAAACTGAACCGCGCCGTTGGTCAGCTCATCGACGACTTTGCCATGGTATCATTCCTCAAGCTTGACGCCCAAGATGAAGACAGTGTCGGTGCTGTGCTCTCCTACATTGATGATGCCATTCAGTTCCACGAGGCCCAAGAGCCAAAAGAACCAATGGATGAAGCACAAGACGAAGAGATGGCCGAGATGGGTTGAGACAAACACGTTCTGCCTGCTACACAACGAAACCGCAAAGCCATAATTCGAGTACGCCCATTTTCCGACGTCCAGAAACACAGGCTGAACTTTCCACCGACATAATGGCCACCATGTTCTCGGTCACCGAGGAGAACAAAACCGCCGACGAACTTCGGAGACTTTAAAAGTCCGCTGTCCAATAGGCATCGTGGCTCGGCGTTACAAAGCGGTGCCAACATACTCCGATATGTCTCCGGAAGCCCGAGCTTCCACATATCAGACTGTAATTCCTCCAATGAAGCTGACCGCTCGGTGGAACAAGGATGAGCACAGCTCGCGAAGAGACGCCGCTGATGTAAATTGTGGCAGTAATCGCTCTTCTTTACCATCAGTGCATATCCAGGCTCATAAACAGTAAATCAAAATGTCCCGTCTTATTCAAGGCCCCGAAACTACATCTGTCTACTTCCTCGTCTGCATGTTAAGTGCGGGGGCCGCAAATCTATTGGGCGGCGAGAATCGCGTTCCAATTCCCTTCTGGTCTATAATCTGACCTCTCTGATCCGTTCTAGGTAATCTGTGTTTCGCTCAATTTCTTGCCTTCGTCCAAGTACCAGACAGGTTTGACTCAGAGACCACATACGATGAGAGTAAACCCAGAGCATCAAGACGTCAATTGTACCGAACAATCTGACCGGCTCTGTGGTCCTGTTTTATTGCACTGGCCATACAGATACCCCTCTGCATCTTCATGTCCGGATACAGCGCCCGCCACTTCGCCTTCTACCTCTCCGAGTCAGAAACCGTCTCTCAGATCACAACAAAGATGTGGAGAACGATTGACTGGTGCTACATCTTCTACGCTCTATCTACACAACTTGCAGCGATTCTACTCGCCACTCGACTCAGGTGGTATCTGTACCAGAGTTTGATCTCTAATCTTCTGTGGGTATTGCCGTGGGCTATCGTGGTGAGCAAAGCAAACATCACACCCAGCGATGCTTGGACTTATCATTCTATCGTGTTCGGTGGCTCTCTTGTTTTCAGCTTCTTTGATGTTTTGATTGTTGACCTTTTATGGTTGTGGGCATTGCTGAGAGGCAAGATGCGTTTGCCGAAGATTTACTGAAGCGAATTCGCATCATCCTCATGAAATAACAAGACTATCATGATTCCTATGTTCAAACGGTCTTACGTGGTCTTACCGTGTGCTAAGCATGTAAGGCGTTAGCTATAGAATTGCACGATAGTAAGGAGAAACAAGACAGTATCCACCGAGAGCCAGCATCCTGGCGGCTCTCTATGGCTCGCCCTCTGCTTTGAAAACGAACTGTGCCTTTCTATAGCATATACTTCGCTCCACGCATCTATGAGAGAAGGGTGGAGCTACAGACTCTAGCACATGGAGAGGTGGTATATATAGTAGTATCATAAGTTCTGCAAATGCACAGTTGTTCAACAAGATCTTGTTCTCTGTATGGCTTCAAATATATCTAGACAGAAAACACGAGTGTAGATTGCCAAAACCCGACTCCCACAACCCCTCGCCCTTATCAGTCTTCCTAACGACTTTTTCTGTAGTACCATATCGACGCAATCCATGTTTTTAAGCTAATGCCACTTAGAAAAAGGACCCAGTCATTTTACTACGTGTCCCTGCCGCATATCACCGGAAGATCTCACTAGACAAAATTAGCAAGAGTCAAGTATAAACCAGTACTAGCAGCACTCACACCTGTCCACCAAGTGATGATTTTGTCTCATGAGACTTCGAAGCTGCGACTCTCTGATATCCACAATTCTCTGCAACCGGGTACTGCGGGTGCCACTTAGAGCAACATTATGCTGAAGCTGTGCCTCTCTGACAGCCACAATTCTCTGCAACCGAGCAATCCGTGCATCTCTCACAGCAACAGTATTTTCAATTCGTTCTTCTTTGCCGGTCAAAGCGGTCTCCAACTCATCAATGCGTTCCTTCCGCTTCTTGAGCTTAGAAGTCAACTCTTCAACTCTGGCTTTGAGAAATGTCTCGAGCTTGGTAGACGAGCCTTTGGGCCTTCCGAGAGGTTTCTTTGGGCTGGGAAGACAGTAAGAATAAAGTAATTGTGTTGAGAAGAGTTACTAACTTGTCACACAAAGGTTCGACTGTTGCCGAATGGAGAACAGAAGGCTCCTGAGAGGGTGAGGGTGAGGGTTGAGTAGGCATGTCGATCTGTTTTTGAGTGTAAGATTAGTTCGCAGGTGAGAACAAGACGTTGAATAAGAGAAAAGAAAGAAGTTTAGAGCTAGGTATATATGGGAGTTTAAATATTGCAGGTCTACAATAAGTATGAATATAACATTCAACGCCAAGGAATATAGTACTTAAAAACAATAAAAAACAATAGATTCAAAAAAACAAGTCAGAAGAAGTAAACTTACTTTAATAGATGGCCAGTTGGCTTGAGAAATGGTTCTCTATATAAGATAGAAGAAAGTCTTCTAGTATCTAGGCATCCAATAGATCTCTTCTATTATAGAAAAGAAGATATCGAAAAAAAAAGAAAAGAGAGTAGGTATGGAAAAGGGGGAACTTATATAGTCCTGTTCTCTAACAAAGAATGAATACAAACTGATAAGAATGACTTTAAACTACTAGTAGCAATGACTTCAAAGTACTAAAAATGACTTTAAAAGACTAACAATGACTTAAAAACTACCAAGGAAGAATTCAAATCATGGAGATACAATTTGAACTAATAAGAACGAATAAGTATACTTACTCAAACCTACACGAGGAGCAAAATGTTCCGGTGGTTGTATATTCAAAGATTGTTGAAAACTGGCGTCGGATCTGTACCATACGGGATCTCCGGTACATCTGGCTTATACCTTATGGGGGAAGAGTGGAGGAAACAGGAAAAACTTGATCGATCCCTGCTGCGACCTTACATGTTCATTCCATCAAGATTCAACCAGTGCAGAGCTTATCGCTGTTTTGTGTACTGAGGGTACGCATGCATACATAAAACTTCTTGATTGGTCACTTTGTAAGAAGAAGAAGCTATAGAAGTTAAGATTTTCGGCGACCACTAATGACATCTTCTGCTGTGGTCCACTCAGACGTAGACATACTCGACAGTGCACCCAGCATCGTCAGTTTCAGAAGGAGCAGCCACGGCAGCAGAGGTCGAAGATACACTCGATTTGACGCTGGTGGACTTGGTCATGGTTTGCAGAGTGGTAGGGGCAGCGCTGGAGGAGCTCGAGACAGCTGTGACAGACGTGGGAGCAACCTGGGAGGAGGTAGTCTTGACAACTGCAGCAGACGACGAGGATGTGGTGACAGGTGCCTTGGAAGGAACAGCAGAAGTAGAAGAGGCCTTGATGGGAGCTGCACCACCAGAAGGGCCAGAAATAGAAGTAGTCAGCTCACCATCCTCAATGTAAACACTGCTGAAGAACCAATCCTCCTTGGTCTTGGAGAACTTGAGCACACCGACATGCCAATCGGCGCCGTTGGAGCTGACAGAAGCCTTCATGGGACCAGCCTTGGATACCAGTTTATCTCCGCCAGTGGAGTGGTAAAACTCAACCGTACTGGCGTCAAAATCAATGCCATAGGCAACGTTGTGCCACACGTTGGCTTCAAAGTCCATGTCGAATTGAGCCTTTCCATCAGTCATCCACTGCAGCTTTCCGTTGCTGCCGTCAACGCCGTACTTGAGTTCGGTAAAGTGGGATTCGAAGAAGCCAATTTGATGCTCAGCGGTGGCGTCAGGTGCATTATCGGCACCACGCCTGAGACTGAAGTGGTAGTACTTCTTGCCCTTGTTGATGGCGGCCTTGGTGGAGGGGATCAGCTCAGTGCGCATCATGCTCTGGCCGTTCCATGAGGATGTGCCATCGACAGTGATACGAGCACCATCCGAGGATGAGATGTCGGCGGGGTTGGCATAGTCAGGGCTGATGTTGATGTAGTCGGTGGTTGCGCCAGCTCCGTGAATGTAGTATTGGTAGGCGCCGACCTGGTTGTTCCAAGACCACTTGTCGATCTCTGCAGCGGACTTGTCGGTGAAGCGGCCGTCCCAGATGATCTCGGCCATGCTGGAGCCTGCCAGCAGGGCGGTGGTAAGAGCGATAGAGTTGAAGTACATTTTGGTCTGTGTTTTTGAATTGATAAACGAATGGCAGTACGAGATCAACTCGTGAGGATGGAAAGTAGAAGATAACGGGAAATGGTAGAATAGAAACTCAACGTTCAAGACTTGCTAAAGGAAGAGAGGGAAACAAGGAGCATACAGTAGAGGGGAAAGCGCCTGCTTAAATCGCTGAGCAAAACATCATACAATGCTTAGAGTTCAATCTATGTGGCTCTTCGCAGGCCTTCGGATTGGACATCACTAGATGTTCTTGCAGTACGAGATGAAAGGGTTCGACAGCAGGCGTTAAGCGATGTTGAAAGAAACTCATGATCTGCCCCCGCAGTGGTTTCGCCTCAGATTGATTGCATATACACAACGAAGAGAGGCTGGACGAAGACTTGAACTCGACCCAGTGGATCTTGGTACAAGACCAGCAGAGATCACGTCTCGAGTTATTGGTCAAATAAACAATTCAAGATGTCTTGTGGTAGAGAGGGGGCAGCAGAAAGCAGACGAGAGGTGAGGTTCGTGGCTGGGAGCGTTTTGCCAAGACCGAGGCTCTGCGAATCTGAAACGCAGCAGCAGAGCCGAGCAGGACAGGGAGTGGTTCCACAGCTTCCAAGCGAGGCTCAGTCGACGACAAAGAAGAGGGCACACCCATAGGAACGACCTGACGCGTTGGGAGCTGCGAACAGAGGGCAGGTGGAATTGCCAGATCTAAGCCAATACGCAATTGGTGGCGAGACTTCGGCACAACTCAACAAGCTGCTGACCAGCCCACATCCATCAAAGATCAATCAATCAGCAGGTGATCATAGGAAAGAGAGGGGCAAGGAGAGAGAAGGAATACGCAGGTAGTAGCAAGCCGACTGGCGAGTAACCGGATACACTTGCATGCAATCACACAGCAACGTGTCTTGGTCTCACCGGTGTGCTGAAATCCTTCCGCTTCTCACCAAGCAAAAGTCTCCGAATTATGTCTCCGAGAACTACCCTGGAGGTTGACAGCAGCGCGCTGCATACCACAGCCGGATCCACAGGATCCTACCCTTATGGCTCGCATGGATCATGGCTATAAGTATACGAGGGTTCGCTCCTGCTGTTTTCCCGTCGCATGTTTGATCATTCCCTCCCACTCTGCCTACTACTTATATCCGATCTATTTAACCACCACCAACAATATTCAAAAACTATGTCAACCACATCTGCCACCAAGCACGTTAACTTCAAAGTCGGAGCCAACGACTGGAACAAGACTTCCGCGAACTATGCAGCAAATGTCTCCAGAACACCCATGAGCATTCCCATAACCCGACTTATCGAACTGCTCGACTCCCATTCATCCTTGTCGTCCGCAACTTCTATTCTAGATATCGGCTGTGGCCCCGGCAGTGCAACTTCTCAAATCATCTCTTCGCATCATGCAACTCTGCCCACCACCACCCAACTCCTCGCTACAGACTTCAGCAGCGGGATGGTGGGAGCTGTATCCCAAGCGCGTGCCTCCAAGCTCAATGAGTTGAGTCTAGGCACAGAGAAGGAAGCTTGGGCTAGGGTGACTCCTCTGGTAATGGATGCCATGAACCTTGCACCTTTACTCGACAACTCAACCTCGCACATCATTGCCAATTTCGTCTTCTTCATGGTCGAAGACCCGGCAAAGGCACTTAAGGAAACTTATCGTGTCCTCAAGCCCCACGGTGTAGGCGCATGCTCCTCTTGGAGCCGCTTGCAATGGATGGAATCACTCGCCATCGCTGCCTCTCGCACCTTCCCGAAGCTCAACAAGCCCACCCCTGAGATGCCTACAGTCTCTCCTTCATGGACTAGTTGCGAAGGCGTAAGCGAGCAACTCAAAACAGCAGGATTCAAAGAGATACATACCGAGTATGTGGAGGCACCCATCGTTATGCCTGATGTAGAGCAATTCGCGCACTTCTTCTTGACCAGTGGGAATCCTGCAGTCACTTGGATCACAGACATCCTGGACGAGCAAGAGGTCAAAGAGGTGGAAAAGGAGCTTGTGCAGGTGGTCAGAGAGAATTGCGAAAAGAACGATGAAGGTGCTTATGTGCTTGCCGGTACTGCTGTTGTTGCCATCGGCCGCAAGTAGTGGTGGTTTTCTTTTACTATAACAAATTGATCATCATACTTTCAATCTCTATCATCTTCGTGCTTAAGACTATCATAAATGGCTTCTTCCACGAGATGATGCAAACCAAGAAACCGCCCATTCCCCCCAAATCGAACCACGAACCTCCTCACTAGCACCTATACACATCTCAAATTCAACTTTGTTTCCATAATCGGTCGAGCGGTGTGTCAGCTTGTGCACTCCTGATTCGTCATAAAAATAATCCCTGCCTTGCACGTCTTGATTTATTGGCCCCCCGGATGACCCACATCTGGTGACTATGATCAAGGAATAGAAAGGGAGAGTTTTCCCATAGAGAGCTCAGTGCTCTGGGTTTTTGCTGTTTTGTTTTTATGCTTGTTTGCTGTTTTGAGTCGGTAGATTTGCATTGTTGCTTTTCTAACAAGGGGCGTGTGAATCTCTGTAAATGTCACGTTCATGGTCTCTCACACCTGGAAGAAGCAGTTATAGTCATCAACAAGGTGGCAATTTGTATACCATCAAATGTAAAAAGTAAATCTATCCAAACCAAAAGGATATCACAAAACCACCATGCCAAACCACAAAGTACCCCTCAAAGTCCATTCCACCACTTTGTCTTCTGCACTTCGAAAGTCTCCTCAACAGCGCCATCACCAACAGCACTGCTGTCCGAAACAATAACCTTGTACTTGCCCTTCTCAGAGACCCAAGCATTTCTGCTCTCATCCCAGAAACTGGTTGCGTATTTGAGTGCCGCTTTGAGCTCGACTGTCTTCTCCTCGCCAGCTTTGAGGAATACCTTGGTGAAGGCTTTGAGTTCCTTTGTTGGGCGACGAATAGATGGGGACACTGGTGAGATGTAGAGTTGCGCTACTTGTGCTCCTGCAACTTTACCGGTGTTTTTGACGGTCACTTTGGCGATGAGATCGCCTTCACTGTCCGAAGGGGTGTCGAGCTTCAAGTCTGAGAAGCCAAAGGTCGAGTACGATAATCCGTGGCCGAAGGGGAAAGCCACGGGGCGGCCGAGGGTGTGGTAGTAGCGGTATCCGACGTAAACGTCTTCTCCATACAATACTCTGCCAGCCTCAGAGCGATAATTGAGGAATGCAGGGTTGTCTTCGTTTTTGATGGGGAAGGACAAGGATGTTTTGCCACAGGGGTTGACATCTCCGAATACGACATCTGCGATTCCGTTGCCGGTCTCATTACCGCCGTACCAAGCTTGAAGCACTGCAGGTACCTTGCTCAACCAGGGCATCTCTACTGGCGTACCGCTCTGGAGCACAACTGCTGTGCGGGGNTTGGCCTCTGCGACCGCTGAGATGAGGCGATCCAAGTGACCTGGTAGTTTCATGTCCGGTCTGTCGAAGCCTTCGCTCTCCCAGTCCATGTTCAGTCCTGCGCAGACCAGAACCTGGTCAGCAGACTTTGCAAGCTCAGCAGCGCGGCGGACTTCCTCGTCGGCGTCAATCTTCCAGGCTCCTCCGATACGCACAGCACCGCCGCCAAAGTCCACACTGCCACCGGTCAACTTGCTGGTTGGTGCACTGGCGAACTCAAGGCGGACTTTGTAGGTCTGACCCTTCTTCATCGAGACAGCGCAGATGTCTTCCTCAGTACCCAGACCGAAGAATGCAGAACCTTGGCGTTGGTTTTCCGTAATGTCGAGGACAATTTCATCATTAACAAAGACCTTTGCCGATCCGTACACGCAGACACCGAGTTCATACTCGCCATCACGATCAGCTGTAAAGTATGCCTCGATATCAGCATACCAGAGTCCAGACTTGAGTTTTGGGTTCTTGTAGTCCATGAACATCATCGAAGTGTTTGTGAAAGGGCCCAGTACATCGACACATTTGCGGTCCTTGTCCTCGGGAGGTTCGTTGTAGGCTCTGAATAGTACACCGTGCTCGCCATCCTCGCCAGCAGTTGTTTTCCAGTCAATACCTAGGCTGGGCATTTCTTTGTGGGAGTATGCACCAATGCTGAAGTCGATGTTCTGCTCGCCAACCTTGTCGACAATACCCTCGTAAGGAGTGACGGCATAGTATGGACGAAGAGAGGCTGAGCCACCTCCACAGTATGTTGCAGCCTTCGCGTTGGGTCCAATGACCAGGATCTTCTTGTCCTTCTTAAGTGGTAAGATGTCGCCTTCGTTCTTCATCAGTACGATCGACTCGGCGGCGAGCCTTCGTAGTAGTTTGGACGTCTCGGGTGTGTCGTTGGTCGTCTCCTCGGCATTTTCCTTTACACCTGATGCAGCGCACTCATTGACCAGCTCCAGGACCTGTCTTGCTCTCTCGTCAAGTACACCAGCAGGAATCTTGTTGGCAGTCGACGCATGCACCAAAGCTTCTCCTCTGTAACGAGTGGGGCCAGGCATCTCCAGATCCAATCCAGCGACGATAGATTCGGTTGTTGAATATACACCAAACCAATCACTCATCACTAGGCCCTTCCAGCCCCACTCCCCTCTCAAAATATCCTTCAAGATTCGCTGATTTTCGCTAACATGCGTGCCGTTGATTTTGTTGTAAGCAGTCATGAAAGACTTGGGATAAGCATCTCTAACCGCCAATTGGAACGGCATGAGGTAAATCTCCCTCAAAGCGCGTTCGGTGACAATGGAATCTACTCTGTTACGCTCGTGCTCCTGATCATTGCCGACAAAATGCTTGATGGTGGCCACAACGCCATTCTCCTGCATTCCCTTGACCAGAGCTGCGGAGCCTAGACCGGCTAGAAAGGGGTCTTCGCCAATGGACTCGAAGCCACGGCCACCGAGGGGAGAACGCTGCATGTTGATGGTGGGGCCGAGGATTACATGGGCGCTTTTGGCAATGGCTTCTTTGCCCATCAGACGTCCAGCTTCCTCGAGAAGTTCAGTGTCGAAGGTTGCGCCTAGAGCTGTGCCGCAGGGAAAACAGGCTGCTGGGGCGCCGTTGAAGAAGCGAGTGCCGCGAACACCATTGGGGCCGTCGGAGAGTCGTAGGGAGGGAATGCCATGCTTAGGGATTGGTTGTGTGTGCCAGAAATCAACACCNTGGAAGCCATGGTCAGAGACATAAGAGTGGCACTAGCGAAATGTGGATGGTGATGAGGTACCTGCAAGTAACGATACCTTCTCCCTTTCCGTCAGCTTCGAAAGCACACCCTCTACATCTATGGAAGCCATGGTTTCTTCTTATCAAGGCAAATGGGTATCACGAACGACCAAAAACAAACGGATGCAATGAAGAATGATGGTGACACAAAGGTAGGAACAATGTTCTTATACGACAAGACAACCCTACATCGAAAACAAATCCAAGCAGACAAGCTCCCAACCCCTAGCACGTGTCCTTGTATCGAAACACGAATCAGCCTGCAAAAGAAGGGAATCACCGTTCTTGGCTCCACGCTATCCGCGGCAAGTGAACTGTTTCCAGACACTCTTGCCTCGAGACTCAGCACGCGATGAGAACCCACGGTCGTCGAGAACGGAATTGCGGCCCTGCACTCCGGACCCGAAATCATGCCGTACTCTCGGCTTTCTTCCCGGCTAAATCCAACCACGACCCTCTTTCCTGCCACCTCTTCCTCGTTGGTGAAGGAGGTGGACGCTCCGTGTGCGAGATACGAAGCTGTATCAGCGAGGCGAGAGCGGCAGTCTCAGAATATTCGTTTGTAGCTCTGATATTGATAGAGAAGCAGAACTCATGTCGTCTATCTACCGGAATGCATCCATTTATCTGCCCCACCTCGCAGCTTCGTCTCTTGGGGGTCGGAATTTGACCTCCGGCAGCAACGGTATTGGCAACTGAGATCGATGGTCAATCACATTCGAGTATTCGTGCTCGTACACCGCAATTGACTCCACTCATCTCTAACCTCCCTCTTGTCCTCAAAGGACCACGTCTACACAACCGTCAAAGTAGCATTAGCACGGAAATCAGCCGAGCTACTACCAACAAAGACGGTAAAGTTGCCAGGCTCCACCACATACTTCATACTCTTATTCCACAACCCAATGTCAGCAATGCTCAATGGGATTTGCACCTCAGCAGTCTCGCCAGCTTTGACAAACACCTTTTCAAAGCCTTTGAGTTGGATGTTCGGGACGGCAACACTCGCGACTTGATCTTTGACGTAGAGTTGGACGACTTCGGCGCCGTCGTAGGTGCCGTTGTTGGTGATGGAGACTGTAGCGGTAATGTTGTCGGTAGCAGAGACGTGCGAGGAAGAGAGTGTGACGTTGCTGTAATCGAATGTGGTGTAAGAAAGTCCATAGCCAAAGGGGAACCAAGGTATGGGCGTGTTGAGAATGTAACTGGAGCCAAAGTAGAGGTTTCCATCGCCACCAATAAAGCCAGGATAACTCGGTCTTCCGCTGTTTAAGAAGTCGTAGTAGGCAGGGAGGGTGCCTACGTCGTGAGGGAAGCTTACGGAGAGCTTGCCGGATGGGTTGACCGCGCCGAACAAGATATCTGCTAGGGCATTGCCACCTTCCTCGCCAGGGTAGAATTGCTGGACCAGACTGGCCGTGGTGTTGGAGATCCAATCTTCAGTCAGAGGTTTGCCTGAGGAAAAGACAACTACGGTGGGTTTGCCAGTGTCGATGACGGCTTTTACTAGAGCTCTTTGTGCACCGACAAGTCCAAGATCGCTGTCATGTGTCAGTGTGGTCCTCATAAACTGATTGTTAGCAACATACCTTTCATCGATGTGTTCTCCAGTGGTGGCATTCAGTCCCGACCACAGCTCCTTTTGGTCTCTAGACCAAGTACCCACGATAACGACAGCCACATCAGCATTCTTGGCAACATCAACAGCCTCTGGGATACCAGACTCATCAGTCGACCATCTCTCACAACCTTTAGCATAAGTGACAGTCGCGTTAGCCGATGAGCCAACTGCATTCTGGATGCCCTCGAGATACTGCACACCCCTGTACTGAGACTCATAAACGACATAATCGCCATAGTTCATAAAGCCAGAAGCCATAGGACCAATAACGGCAATCTTGTCAGTCTTGCTGAGCGGAAGTGTTTTGTTGGGGTTTTGCAAAAGAACAATGGACTCTGCATCGAGGTCACGGGCAAGCTTCTTAGCAGCAGCATTGTTGATAATGTTACTCCATTGGTCCTTGGGAGCAGCAGGGTTGGGGTTCTCGAAAAGACCCATTTGGAACTTGACTCTCAGGACTCTGGCGACGGCTTCATTGACGACACTGATGTCAATGGTGTTATTGCCGACGAGTTCAGGAATAGAGCGGAAGTTGAAAGAACCGCCTCCCATCNNTAATCAATTGTCAGTCATATCCGTCTCATGAAGAGGAACGATTTGAGTTACCTCAACATCGTTTCCAGCTGTTAGGCACTGCTCAGTAACACATCCAAAGTCATTGACACCGCAAGTCAAAAAGTTCTTGAACAAACGATCTGTCGCGCCCGCATCGGACGACACAAAGTACATGTATCCNTAGACAGAAAGTCAGTAAGTCGATCACCCAATGTTGCATCATGACATACCCCATTCATTGCGCAGAATCTCAGTCAACATGTGATAATCAGCCACAGCCGGGATACCATCATAAGCATGATACGCAGACATGATAGCATAAGCCCCACCATCAACAATGGCTCTGTAGAAACTCGGAAGCCAAGTTGTCCTCAGCTCCCTCTCACCACCATGCACAGGTGCAGTGTTGAGACCACCTTCCGGCTCAGAGTAAGCAGCAAAATGCTTGACCATAGCCGAGACATTTTGGCCTTGACATCCAACAACGTAGTTGTATGCCATCTCACCAGCCAAGTAGCCATCTTCACCATACGTCTCTTCCACACGGCCATAACGCAATTCGCGAGCCAAGTCAGCTAGAGGAGCAAACAGCTGGGTGACTCCCAAAGCAGCGGCTTCGAGTGCAATCTGCTCGCCCATCTGACGTTGTAGTTCACGATTGAACGAACACGCTTGAGCAATCGGCGAGTTGAAGATTGTAGCATTGCCAATCAGAAAGCCGTGAATACCTTCAGTTTGAACGATCGCTGGTATGCCCAAACGAGTGTTGTTGACGGCATAATCTTGGCCAATTTTGATGCCTTCGGCGAGCCAGTCCCAGGTGACAGGATAGCCGACGTAGAACATGCCAGAGCGGTTTGCAAAGTTGAATTCGAGGCCTGTTTGGTTGTATTCTCCGGAAGTTGTGTTGAGCCAGTTTGAGATATCGCCTAGAAGGGACGGTCAGTGGCAGATCTCATGTTCTGCCATGAGAAACGATATACCTTGCATCAACTGTGCCATCTTCTCTTCCAAAGTCATCAGAGACACGAGGTTCTCAACTCTGGCATCAACAGATTGAGATGCATCTTTGTAGATAGCTTTGGCCAGTGAAGCATTCGAATGTGCTTGAGCAAGACTCAGACCAACCAATGCTAGGCCAGCAGCATAGAGACGAACCATGATTGCAATCACTATACTCTCTGTCAAAGCAAAAGATACAATACGAAAGCAGAAGAGGCAGACCACAAGCTTATACGCAACTTACAATACCACCCTACCTCGCAAAATCCTTGGAACATGATCGCTTAGTTGCATGCCAGGCACAAAGTCCGAAGGTCATCATGCATTGCTGATCTCTCATACAGGCTAATATGTAAGAGCGAGGGAACTCGTACTTCCAACCATGAAAAGAAGAGACTTTTGCTCGTCGACGGAGAAATTATCTCTGATGATTGTGAGGAGCAAAGGTGAAGATCCCCGCATTTGGTCACTCCATGTTGCCCCGCCTTCTGAAGCGATGCACATGGGCCATCATCTTGGTTAGCCCTAACGCATCTTGATAGAGGGTCAATGTCATCACTGTGCTGGCATGCAATGGATGGAGCAGGCTTCCGATGCAAAGCTCTCGGACGAGATGACAATACGAGATTTTGCTTGGAAGCCCGGTGGGAGAGATCCTCGTCCGTCGACCTCGGCATACATTGAACCGAATTTCTTGCTTCGACCATGAAGATCGATCACTGCAAGTGCGGAGATGTGGGATGTGAATTGTGAGATGTCATGTACCATAACGGAGCATGAGGATGGGATGCTGAATATCAGCTGATATTCTGCTAGTGGAGCTGATAACAAGCAGGTAGAAAAGAGCGCTGTAAGAAAAATGCCTCTGACGAAGCCAGCTCAGTGTGCTTCGTGAAATATTGAGAAAGTCGTGATTAACAAAAGAGAAAAAAAGAACATAGTCAAGGGTCATGAATCAACCGAACCTGCTCCTAACTCTTCGCATGCCCACACCGCCTGCTTCGCTGGCAGCACCCGCTTCACTGCCAGCATAACTCGTCGTTCTGCTCATTGGTATGGCGGCACCGATTACACTGGCTGGGGCAGCAGTGAGAGCGTTTCCGTTGACTATGGGTGCTGATGGTGCAGCAGCAGCGGCAGCCGTACCCACACCAGCACCGTTTCGAAGAGCAAAGCGTAGAGAATCAGGGTCTGCGAAACCATATGGAGGTATTCTGTTCACGCCACCACTGATAGCTGCAGGACCGGTTTCGAGAACTGGCAGACGGAAGGGCGCAACTCCTTGAGTGGTTTGGCAGGCTTGTTCGAGCAGGCGTTCACGTATTTGTTGAAGGTTGCTTGGGTTCTCGTCTTGTTCAGGATTCGATGTAGGCGGTGCTTCGTCCTCTCTAAGCATGAGTGCAATATCGCTGTCGACCTCACCAGCGCTCACGCCGGGTGGGGTAGGGGCACCCTTGTCAGTCTTTGTGATGGGGATCAAGACTGGCACAAAGGGATTTGTGGTGGTAGAGGTGAGAGCAGCGGCTTCTGACAGTGCGGCCAGTGGGTTCGCTCTGGTGGCACCACGGGTGGCATGATGTGAGATGTTACGCTCCATCTCTGGGGCTTGGGTGGGCGGTGGTGAAGCATTGGCTTGATTTGCGACAATGTCGTCCATCTCGGTGGTAATGGCAGGAGGACCAACGACGGCATCGGCGGCGCCGTCGACAGATGCGAGCGAAGGAGGATTTTCAGGGTTCTGCTGGCTGGCTTGGGGTTGATGGAAGAAGTGGTGTGTTGCGAGTTGAGCGACAACAGTTGCGTGGTTCAGCTCTTTCTCGGTAAACAGACGGTCGATAGAGAAGGCCGGTGCTTCGTATTGTGTGTAGAGCGTCTTGGTGCGGGCTTCGTGGAAGGGCGAGGCGGCTCCATTGCTGTCGTTCTGCAGCGGACGGAAGGATGGGGCAGGTGAGTCGGTGGCTTCTTCGTCGGCCGGGGCCTTGCGTTTTCTCTGCCCTTCTACGTCGGCCTCTCCAACACGATGGCGGGTGTGACGAGTCTTGCGATTGCTCTGGAGGCCGCCTGGGCTCTGCGGGATGTTGACGGTGAATTGGCTGGGGTGGAAGAACAGGGCAGAGTTGTCTGCAATGTCGAGTTGCTCCTTTTCGCGCAGCAGCTTGTCGCGCTTCTTGGTCACGCTGTTGATCAGACGGCTGCGCACTGTCGACGCCAGTTCGAGGTGCTCGCGTTGAGCAACCTGCACCTTGTAACCCGAGCTCTTTTCTAGTTCGGCGACGGCCGCGTCGTGACGGTTCTGCNNTTGTGTCAGTAAAACAGAGCGTCTTGGTCGCAAGGGCGAGTCTCATACTTGCAGAGCTGTCAGATCGGCGTCGCGCTGCTCCAGAGCATGGTTGATCTGCTGGACGTATTCGTGGTACCTCTTGCCGGCCAGAGCGAGGTAGTCCTTGACAGCAGCGTCCGTGTTTGGCAAGCTGCCGCCAGTGACGTTTTCAATCTCTCGCTCGACGTCTTCGGCCGAGTCGTCGAGCGGACTGTTCTCGTAGGGGTTTGCTCTCAGAATCATCGTCATATCGACCTGGATAGCCTGCAGCTGCGCGCGGTAGTGCTGGTGCTGGTCTTGGGTGAAGGTCTGGATCATGTCCGAGAGCTTGTCGGTGATGTTGTTACGGCGTTTGTCTCGCTTGGACAAGGGTTGCGGCGGCGGCGATGGCGACACTCGCCGGTCGAGCGCCATTGGTGAGGTATGTGCCATGGTTTCTGCGTGTTTGGCGTGTCGAGACAAAGATGCAACTTTCCTCTCTCGTCATGAGCAGAGCCATTTTGACATCGCAATGCTCCAAATCTGGGGCACAACCGAGCACTGACTCTGGTCGGCCAACCCTCGGCCCGACTTTCGACCACCAACCTTGCCCTTGCCCTTTCCCTCTCTCTGTCTCTCTTCAAGCTTCTTGTCATCACATTCAGAAAGGACGTCACTTAGAGGGAGGCATTCTTTTTACATAACTCATGACATATCTTTTTTGTCTATCTAGGTGTTTTTGTCATTATTCATTTTCTTCGTAATCCTGCTCCTTCTTCCTTTCTCCTGAATGCTTTTGTCTTTCCCTCCATGAAACCCTGATCAAAGACTCCTTCGCTGATGTGTGCTGAAACGATCAAACAACAAGAAAAAAGCATCCTGTATTTCAAAATGCTGAGGCCATGCATTCAAGAGATGCTGAGGCCGTGTGAGAACTTGAAATGCAAAAAGAATCAAAAATCCATGCTGGAAACAAGAGAACTTCAATCATCCTGAACGAAGACGGACGAGAACTTGATCAAGGAATTGAACTTGTCGTAGCCCAAAACGCGCTCATTGCTTTCNAAAACGCCATCGCCTCCAGCGGCGATCAGCATCTGACGAGGTACGAGCTTGTACTCGCCGTCGGCTTGGTCGTGAATGAACTGAGTCTTCTCGGGCCTGCTGAGCTCCTGCTTAAGCATAGCCTCGAAGTTTGTGCCATTGCTACCCTTCTTCTTGAGCTTGGGGTCCTGGAATTCAAGCAGGACATTTGTGCGATGCTCACGGTGCTCGAGGATATCGATGTCGATCGTGTCAAGAGCAACGAAGCGGTAGACGTGTACAGGGTTCTCCTGCTTCGGACGACGCACTCGGCCAATGGCTTGTGCCATCTGAGCCTCGTACTCATACTGGGTCCGCTTAAGTAGAGGGCTGAAGAATACAACATGGTTCGCGTTTGTAAGGTTGGCTCCTGCTGCAGACTCGGCGTCTGAGCTCAAGATCAGGACTGTCTTCTCCTTACTCTTGGTGAAAGGCTCGAAAGACGGGTTGGTACCCTTGAGGTTATGGTAGCTGATCTGGGCATTGGCAAGAATCTTGGTCATGTCGGTAATCTGATAGGCGAACTGCACAAACACAATTGCTTGTTGTGCTTGGGCTGCAATCTCCTTGAGCAGGGCCGTAAGCTTATCAGCCTTGCTGCCATAATCGCTGGCAACCGATCTTCCAAGCTTGCCCAGGTTGAGAAGATGATAAGACTTGACCTCCTCCTCACATCCAGTGACCCGACATTTGCCGAGCAGATTCTTGCTAGTCTCAATGCAGCCTGAACATAAAGCGTGACCACAGATCGCTGATATGTTTAGATTGCGCGAGTCTTCGACGATGGTGTTGCAATCCTTGCCGTCACAAGTAAGGCCGTCTGAAGGAGCCTGGTCGTGCCTCTCGTGCTTCAAGGCGTTCTTGACGAACCGGAGAGTCCTCATCGAGGTGGCGTAGGCTTTCGCATCGTTGACGACTACGCTAATCTCTTCCTTGGCGGCCTCTCTCTGTGCGTTTGTGAACTCTTCGGTCTCCTTTTGGCCGCTGCCAACATCGAAATCCCCCTCAATGACGCACTTGGTTCGCTTTCTCTTTCCCTTCTGCTTAGTCTTGGTTTCGGGAGGGTCAAAAGCCTTCTTGGTGACGACAGGTGGTTTCCATCCTGCCATATGTGCTATCTCGTCAACCACAGCCTGATCTCTATAAGCATTGGTTGTGAAAATGTCTTCGATCCAGGTGGGGAAAAGTTTGGTTCTGTTGGAAACTCCTGCAAGGCAAAAATTGATGTTTGTTCGAAGTGATTCTCGGGCAGCTCTGCAGTCTCCTTCAAACTGCTTGACCAGAGCTTCAAGTCCTGAACTGACGTTTTGCTGATCGGTCTCACTTGACAATTGCTTCTTGGGGTCGAAGACTGCGGCTATACGCAACAGAGCTTCTTCTGCCGTGGAAACATCCGGCATGACGCTGAGCCCACCTGCTCTCTTCCTGCCCCTACGCATCTTCATATCCTGGGAGTTCAACTTTTGGGAGGCGTCAGTGTAGACCAGGCGGTTATCAGCGTTTAAGGTAATGGGAACGATTCTATCCTCGTATGGGAACTGGTCAGGCCTCATCACGTTCTGACGAAGGAATGAGTCAAGGAACTTTTGAGCGAGACTATGAATACTCTTCTGCGTAGTGCGTGAAGGTAGCTCTCTGAAGGTTTCAAACATCTCCAAGTTTGTCAAGTCCTGACGCAAAGTTGACATGTTTGCTGTTGACAGAAGTCCTGGAGCACTGGCACCAACCGGCAAATGCAGGCCAAGGAAACGCGCCATTCTGGAGACATCGTACGTATCCTTGAGTCGGGGCGTGGCTGAGAGAGCCCAACGCTTGTGTGCGTTGACATTGCAGTACACTACGAGTTCGTGAGGCTCCGTATAGGAGAACTCGTCAACGACCAAGCGATTGAATTCAAACATCTCAAGAAGCACGCACTTGTCGATGTCTGAGTAATCCCGAGATTCATCGAGGTTTCCCATCGTAGGGCTCGCGGATTTTGACGACTTCTTCTTGTTGGCATACTTCTTCCCCTTAAGGCGCTTCGACTCCTCGACATATCCCTGGTACTTGGGATCCTTCAAGGTCTCTGTGTACACCTTCTCAAGATGCTTTTGCAGCTGCAGCTTGAGGTCTGGCTTGATAGGGTTCTCAAGAATGCTCAAATGCTCTGGAACTCGGGTAGCAGCGTCTCGGAGATGCGACTGCAAGGATCGAGTACTCTTGCCAGAATACCCAGGTAGCGCAGCAAATACTGCGAGTCGTTCAGAGTACTGTGAGTTAAGCAGGATGCTCTTGCTCAGAATGATGATTTTGGCGTTTCTGAAATCGGTCTTGCTCAGCTTCTTCCATTGAACGATTGTCTGAATGACGATCAGGGTTTTCTTGTCATATCCAAGAAGGTTCTGGACCTCCCCTGCCCATTGCTTGACAAGGTTGCCTGGGCAAATGACTAGTGTGGCAGCAATCTGGATGAGTGGATTCTTGACAACCCCTTTGTTGGCACACGCCTTACCCATCTCCTTCAAGATTCCATGAACCTTCTTTTCCTTGAACTCGGATTCAACAAGTGCAAGCGATGTGACGGTTTTTCCGAATCCAGCGTGATCGGCAAGGATACCGCCCTTGACACGGACTTCAGTGGAAGCCTCGGATTCGAGACGCCAGCCCAGATGAGGTAGTAGAGCCTCTTCAGTCTCCTTGACGAGAAACGACCGGCCGACATCTTGCTCTTGTTGTTTCATCCAGGTCAGAGATCTCTGCTGGATGTCGTAGAGATCAATCCCGGCCAGAATGTTCTTAGCAGCCACGCATTGGACGTTGTCGCTGTTATTAAGTAGCTTGAATGGTGGAAATTTCGCGGACCGTTCTTCCACCCAAGACGTGTCGAGTTTCCAAGTCACAGAATCAACCGTGCCATTTAAGAGCTTGAGTTTCCCAGCGACTCTCTGGCATAAAGTAGTGGTGTTCAAACCAATGTTCAGCGTGCCTGACTTTCCTTGCAAATTGCATTCAATGACAAATGGCTCCGGTCGCGACTTGATAGCATGCTCATATCTTCTAGCAGTCTCTGAGTCTTCATAAGGCTGATATTCGATGTAGTTTGGCTTTGGAACGATGCGCCAGCAAGGCTCGGGAACGACAGGGGCACAACCCTTGCAATCGGGATCGGCAGGCAGGTCTTGTGCACCTTGCTGACCCAGAATTTGACGAAGAGGTTCCATGGCCCACCCGAAGGCCGCAAAGAAAGCCTTGTCGTCAGGCTTGATTCGATGCTGTCCTTGATAACGCTGTTGAGGAACACAAGGTAGGTTGAGTTTGAGGGAGATCAGTGCCTTTGTGACACTACAATCGGTGTTCGAACTAATCGATCCGTCAGAATGAATGCTAGGTTCCATGTTCGCAACTTCCAGTGAGCAGGAGTCATCGTCAACCCAATGACCGTTCAGTGAGACTTTGACATTCGCAGGAGTCTCGGTCTGTTTCTCGGGCCGCCAATTGGCATCAACCTTGGCAGTGATCTCTCTGACCTGGTCGTATTGCAGTCTCGAGTGGTCCCGGGCAAAGACAAAACAGTCGTCCTCAAGCTTGCCGATGGGTGCAGGATCCAAGAACAAGAACATGCTGAATTCTTCAACCGGCTCAATACGCTTGTAGAGGGACTCGCACGCAGTGCCGCAATCACGGAGAAGCTTGTAGGTTCCTTGGACATGCTTCGGAAGGCCGCTGTTGTCGCTGCTTTCGATATACAACTCAGACCAGATCCGCTCTTCTGCATGTCTGGGTAACGCAAGACGGGCAGCCCAAGAAGGCACTCTGTGGCCCTGGCCTTTGATGTTGACCTCTCTCGATGAGATATCCGTGTCTTGAAAGATCCGCCATTGCCACGTGCCTCCAAAGAAGGTATCTTGCTTCACTTGAGCTACAGCAATAGGCTCTCCGAAGAACTTACGGATTGGATCCTCGCCAGCAAGTGAGTTGGCGGGCTTTGCGTACAGCTTCCAAGTAGAAGCATGAGCGCCTAATACAAGTTCGAGGCGGGCAAACGACGACTCGTAGGTGATAATCCAGGAACAAGTTCTCCTGAACGCCTTGAAAGTGAGAGGCTCGCTAGGGGCGTTTTCGACTGCGTCAAGGTATTTTTGCTTCAGGTCTCTTGGCTGCTTGGCTTCCTGCGTTTCGCCACTAGGCTTAGAGACATCGACAGACTTTTCGATACGGAGAATTAGGCTGTGCGAGGAGCTAAATTTCAAAACCATAGGGATGCGAGATCTCCATTTCTGAATGAAGTTCTCCGGCTCGTCGCGCTCGGGTTTTGATGGTTTGCTGTACTCATGGCTCGGCTTGACGCCGCAAGTGAGACAAGAAGTATGACCGCATTCGGTGCATGTCTGGATAGCCTTTTCGGCTAGACCGATCTGTCCCTCGCAGACGCACATGGTAGCTGATTTGGATGCATCAGCCTGGAGTTCACGAAAGTCAATGTCTCCTGCTATCAAATGAGAAGTCGAGTGAGGAGTGAGCTTTTCGTGCGAGGTGATAACACTCTGAAATGTAGCTCTCTTGCTTTGGGGTTCATGATCAGACGCTTGCGATAGCGTCTTGAATCCAGCGATGAGAACTGAGGCGATGGCTGAGCCCACCACTGTAGTGCTCATGGCGTTGCCTGCGAGATCCTGAATTTGGCGCTCATTCTCGGTCGTGAAAGAGATCTTGTCCAGTGGTAGACCTTGGAGCATCAAACTTTCTGTATAGGTTAGAGGGCCGCCTCTATCTGTGATGTAGAAAACGCCGGACGGGGTGAGGCAGGAGGCGATCCCAAAGGGTGCACCATCGACGAAGCGGTCAATGTTCTGCGATACGTCCCAGATACGAGTCTTGTACTGAGCATCGTATCCAGGAAGAGGAGCCGGTGTGACGTTGGTTTTCCTGTTCATCGGCAAAACAGTCACGTTGGCTTTACGAAGCAGTGACATGTCCATAAAGTCCCAGACGCGCTCGACTTGTTTGCCAAACCAGAGACGGTTGCAATACTCAGGCAAGACAAGTGTGCCGCTTTCCTGCCAATTTGTCAAGGGGCGAGCGATGCCGAGCTGATGCTCTCTGCGGTAATTGATATGGCGAATCTCACACTTGGCCCAATCAACGTCTCTGATCGAGCTGTCGAGCACAGATTGACGAGCCAAGGACTGGCTGGCCCGAGTGACTAGTGGGTCGTCGTTGGGCAAGATGAACGATGACAAGGGGGAGCTGACTGGACGTCTAAAGTCTGCCATCCTGTCGTGAAAGTCCTCCTTGAAGACAGCAGGCTTAATGCCGCAGGCGCCCAATTTAGCCGTGTCGATGCAAACCATGTAGCCTCGTTGGCGGGTTTGCGGCAGATAGTAGTTCTTACTATCCACAAGAACACCAGCCGAGGTGTAACCTACCTGCTCATAGTCCTCCAACATTCTGTCCCACGGTGCGCCGAAGACATTCTCCAGGACAAGCATGGTTGGACGATATTTCTTAGCGTATGCGAGAACTGCAGCGAATGTATCACCAGATTCACCGTGTGCCTCGAGGGACTTTTGATGGTTGTTGAGATTTGAGAAGTCAACACAAGCCGTGCCAGCGATCACCATATCCACATTGCCTGGAATCTCAACCTGGGCGCCGTAAGCAGTAGTAGCCTTGCCATCTGTGCTGCTGGTAATTTCGGTGATGTCTCTGAAGATGATCGGGGGNTGGAAGTTACGCTCGATGTATGCCTGTTTAAAAGGCACAATCTCGGCACTGAAAACATGTTTGTAGTTCAGCTGAAGGCCGCCGTCCTTGATCTGGATGCAATCTGAGATCATGTCCAAGGCAAGAAGAGGGCTCTCAGTGCCCGAGCACATTGTTGCAACTCTCAACGGGCGTGAGCCGAAATGCTTACAGACATCCTCGAGGCTGTATCTGGGAGTGTGTTTGTTTGCCTTGGCTGACGGTGGTGGTGGTGGCGGCTTGGGTTGAGATCCCTTCCTCTTCTTGCGTTTGGGCTCGGGCTCGGACTCAAAATCGGGCTCTTCGGGATCTGTCGGAGGTGGAAGCTTTTCGAATCCCTTTCTCACCAGGTCGCTGAAGATGGACTGAGTGGTGAAAAGCGGAGGCAAAGCTCCATCGACACCCTTCTCCAGATCTTTGGCTAAGTTTAGCATGTTGGCCTTGTCGGACTTCTTCTGTTGTTGTTTTGAAGAGGTGGCACCTTCCACCAGCTCAGTTGGAGCGGCGGATTCAAGGATGGACTCTGCAGATTGGCGGCCGCGTCCATTGTTGTCCTTCGTTTGCTTGACTCTCAATCCCTCATCAGACCCAGATGAGCCAGACTCAGATTGACCAGATGACATCGATCGATCAGACGACGCGATGGAGGATGCTGACTGCTCCTCGCCTGAGTCTATGTATTGGTCTTGGTCGTCTTCCTTGGTCTCTTGCTTTAGTTCCTCGTCGGAGTCTTCAGTGTCGGTGTGAGTTGTGTGTCTGTTGAGGCCGCGTTGTTGGTTGGCAAGGCGGTTGGATCTGCGAGTGGTGGCGGGTGGCACTTCAGGAGGTGAAGAAGCGCTGGCCTGTGTAGACTGTCGGGTCTTCTTGCGCGGGCGCGGCGCAGAGCAAGCGTCGAGTTTCTTTCTCTTGTCCGCCGCCATGATGGGTGAAGAAGTGTGGGAGTGCGTCTCTGCGGTTGATGGTGGATATTGGTGCTTGACAAACTGATCCAGGGGTTCGGGTTGTTTGCGCGAGGGGACAACGACTGAAGCAACAATGTCAGTAGGTTGGAAATAGACAACAGACACTTCCAGCCCTACTCTCGATACGCGAAAAGATTTGTCGAGGAGTTGTTGTGTTCCTTCGCCTTGCACTGAGTTTCGTGGTGGCTTTCGCAGGGGGTGAATTCTGGGAGCGTCTGCTGTGGTGGTCCGTTTTGCGAGCATTGACTTCAGGACGCTCCTCTGCTTTCGAGCGACGGTTCTCTCGATCCTCAAGCCAAAACCGAATGTCCCCTACTCTTCTTTCAACTGCCCCATCAATCGAAGGTTTCATCAAGATATGCTCTTCAGTATCCGAGTCTTCATTGTGTGCTCTTTGCACATACGAAGTGTACCTACCTCGAACCATGGTGAACCTACGCACCCCTTCCCAGTACTCATTCAGGAACTGATAAGTGGGCAGTTGTTGATACACATGCCAACCTTTACAGACTCGAAGAAAGTGTGGACGACGCGACGACACGACGACGCGACGACTTGGCAGGGACTCCATACTCTTTCCCAAAGGGGCTGGCGTGGTCGGCATCTCTGATACCCGACCACCGAGCCGAGGATCATCCAGAAGTTGTCAGGGTCGTCCATTCCACAAGGTTTGTCGAGACAGAAAGCAATGCCACATTGCTATGAGCGCGTTGGGATGCTTGTACTTTGCAGAAGGATGAGACCAAAGGTATGCCCAAGCCAGTGTAGGTTTGGAAAGTATTGTTTTCTAGGCCTGGTCGAGAGTACACTCGTGTATCGTTCTGAAAGCTGTTCTGACAGAAAGATGTCCTAGACCAGAATCAAATCCCTGATGACTTCAATGAGAAGCTGAGAATCGTCGGGCCTCATTCCCACGACTGACGAGGCTTATGATCAGCATTGGTGGTCTCCAATGAGGACTGCCAGGATGTGATGTCCTTTGTTGATGTTGAATCGGGCTCCAATGTCGAACCTTGATCCAAATCCTGGAAGCTGGAGAAGCCAAAACACGAAAGGCAGACCCTGTAATGAGATGTCGTGCCAGAGGTCAAGGGCTAAACTCTATCGAGGTAATCACGGCTCCGAGTATAGCATGACTAACCCTGAGAACGTCGTGCTCGAGTTCACAGGGTATGAAGGAACTTGAGATCTCCATGGTGGAAGTGCTCTTCAGTAAATTATCTTTCGACATGCGTCAGCCTGTATATTTCGCGAGAGAGCGTGATGGAGACAGCTGCGGTGAGAGATGTCGAACATGGAAGAGACAGAAGAGGAAAAGAGACATATGTACCTCAACACGTGCGATGGTAGAGACGCACGTGTCTTGCAAATCATCGTAAAGAATTAACGCTGACAGCGTGCAGAGAGTCCTCTTCACGTGTTGCAAACCATCGCAAATTGACGACAACAGCAACACAATACGTTAGATTATGGATGACGGACATCAGAGGAGAGTCCCTGTTGACTCGAAAGAGTTGGAGAATTGCTTTGTCGTGCGTGGACGAAAGCCCCTCGCCTCGGCGCTCTATGCACTGACCGCCCGAAAGAGTCTCGGCGACGAAAAACCTTCCTGTGTACGATGGAGAGTAATATGAGCCGAGGTCAGAGTGATAGAAAGGGGACTTGTGCTTTGGAAGGGAGAAGGTGAGTGGTGTGTTTGAAGGCAGAGGGAGAGGTAGTGTGAAGCATGATAGGTAAGCACGAGGGTCGTACCTTCCCTTCTGTGGCAATGACTGATGACCGTACGTATTAGTGACTCTGCACAAGCAACTGTAAAGTTGTCTGGAGTCCGAAGAGGCAAGCACGATGTGCGATGGAAGGAAACTGTGGCAGTGGAGTGTAATCTCGAATCTGTATACATTCATACCTATCCATGATACGGAAGTCACTCATACCGCCGTGGAACAAGCGTGAGGCACAGGCTTGTCTCTGCATAAGGGGATAATTTCAAGCTTACGAGGAGAACAGAGATTAAGTGGTCACTATCTATCAATGCACTGTATAACTGTCCAGTACAGAGTCCCGCTCCTATCCACCATCGATAGAGCGACCGCACCACCGAGAAGTTCTGCGAGCTACACTATCTCAACGTAAAGACGTCTTGGTGCCATTATTGGGAAGCTTGACACGGAGGAGAGCAAAAGGACGCTGTCTCCTATCAGTGCCAGGCCAGTTCAGAGGACCAAAGGGAAGCTGGTTGTTGGTAAAGTAAAGGTATCCATCAGTACCCGTGCTCATCNNTGCAAGATGATTAGCGACCAACTCATCTCAGTAATATACACACACTAAACTCACCGTATCAACCCAATTGATACGAGGATCGCGCAAGAACAGCGAGTCCGTTCCGTTCGCAGGGTTGTAGAAGCTAATGGCATTCTGCTCAGCATTTCCATGATAAATATATCCATTAGTATCGGTCTCGTATCCATCCGAAACACCCTTTTGGCCGCGGCTGACCACTGAAGCCTGAGCAAGAGCTTCTGAAAACGGTCCATCGTCACGCAACCTAGCTGTAGGCACAGAGTACAGATATCTCTTGCCCACACCACCAAAGAAAAGATCTTCGCCATCGGCAGAAAGAGCGATACCGTCAGCGCCAAAGCCTTGATATCCGAGGGGTTGGCCGGCTTGGTGGTTGTAGAAGGGTATACCCCAGATGTAGGCGAGGAATTGCTGAGCAGGTGCTACGTATGTCGAGCCCTGTAGGTGACGCCAGGATTCGCCTGTGCCGAGATCGACAATGACGAGTCCAGTACGACCTTCAATGGAAGAGTCGGTGATGTACGCCACGCCTTTACCGGAACTTGTAATGTTTGAACGTAGGTCAAAGCGGACGTCATTCAAGTAAGAGTCCCCGGGAGCAACATTCGCAGGAAAGACGATTGTTTGGAAGACGGTGTTGTTTGAGAGGTCGATACCGACCAGCTTAGGTCCGCCAACAGCAGCATTGACAATGGTACCATTGGGGTCTTGAACTCTGCCAGTGTCGAGAACCCAAAGACGGTCGAGCGGATCAACGACAACACTCTGAACACCGATAAAGTGATTCTGGTAGTTAGCTCCTGTGGGAGGTGTCGTTGTGTAGTTGATGGCTTCAAAGTCAGTCAATGCATTACGACTCTTATGGCAATCTAACTCACCTCCTCCTGGGGGGTTGTTCCATTCAGCATTGGGATAGGCTGCTTCTGTCGAGTTTCCAGTCAACTCGGCGACCGTGTACTTATTGTTGGAACCATTGTTTGTATTATTCTTGTCCAAAGCTCCAGGGTAGTTTGAGAACTTGCGTCCAGTCGAGGATACAGCAATGCCAGTAGGCCACTCGTCATAGTACAAATGCACAAGTTCCAACTCAGGTCCAGCCTTTCCAGGATCTTGGATGAGTTGCTGACTCGAGGCAAGTGAAGGCAGCAATAAAGCTGTAGCAAAGATGGTCGACAACATTATTGTGACGGTATTACAACGAAATCAGAAGAATCAATTGACCTGCCTCGAAGTCTGCTAGCTACTTGTATGCGTGCCTGGCCTGCAATGACATAACCTACCCATGAGATTGCCAGAGCACGTCATGAGCGACTCTGGAAGGCTCGGCATCCAGGCACTTTATTAAAGGTGATGCCGCATCAAGAGGTGAGGGGATGAGGTTGCGTGCGAGGACGGCAGGTCGGACATGCGGGGAAAAGCATATCATCATCTTTGCGTCGAGACTTGGACGTTTGAGCTTTGGCCGGTAGAGCCTCAGGCATCATCACCCTGGCAAGCAAATTACTCACTGCAGCATGACAAACAATGCCAGAGAGCTGGTAGAATAATCTCAAACTTCACATGAGAACCAAAAGCAGAGGGCAAGGGATCGAGAAAGTGGTTCATGAAGACATCGAAGTTGGCACGAAGGCTGTTGGTAGCTGGAGGCATGATTTTGTATCTTTTTCTTTTCGCTCGCCCGCCCGGGCCTCTGTTTTTGCTTTTGCTTCAGAGCCGTGACGAACAAAGGAGTAAAAGCAACCCTAAGTCGAAATGCGTGACTCGTCCCAGCCCAATTCGCTTACTCCGTGTTGACCATGATGATGATGTTCCAATGAAGGAGCACCAGCCCAGCAACGCTGCCAGAATACTCAAAAACGCGACGCGCTTAGAAGACAAGGGCGGCACCCTTGGTCTTCTTGTCACCTCCGAGCTCGAAGTGCTTGCAACGCTTGAGGGCGAGCTGTGCCTTGGTCTTGCAGGCTGTGCACTCCAGTCTCAGGACGACCTTCTTGGTGGTCTTGGCCTTCTTGTGGAAGACTGGGAAATATTAGGAGCTAGGTCGCAAGTTCTGGACAAGGGAATACTAACCGGGCTTGGTCTGACCACCGTAACCCGACTGCTTGCGGTCGTAACGACGCTTACCCTGGGCGAAAAGGGAAGCCTTGCCGGCCTTGTATTGGGTGACCTGAATGTTTTGAGCAACCTATCTCTTTTCATGCTGAATAGCCAATTTTACCTTGTGTTGAGTGTGCTTCTTACAGTCCTTGCCCTTGCAGTAGGTGCGGCGAGTCTTGGGAACGTTGACCTGGAGAGCGCACCTTGATCAGCAGTCGTTCAAGGGTGCCTGTTGTGTTGTGCGCCGTGTCTTTTTGTTGCAGCAATCCAGTCCGCTCGGCCGTGGCTAGTGTCGGCTTGTTGGACTCGTCTTGTTGTCGGGTTCGTCCAGCATAGTGCGATACGGTGGAGTTGGGCTCTGGTCACTTCACACCTTTAGGGCGAGATTTGGGTGCAAGATGCGAACAGATCAAAGACCAACTCCTACAAGCAAGGCGTTCGGATGCGTCGTTCGAAAAGAATACGGTAGGCATAGCGTGGAAGTTTGTCGACTTGTCAAGGCTCGTGGGCGGCGATATGCGCTATTCGATCGTAATGGACGGCGGGAAGTCGAGATGCGGCCTCAGTCGGGTCGAAAATGGTCCAGATGTTGCTTCCGAAAGACACGGCGCACGAAATGACATGGCTGCTTACCATTTTGGCGGTATTTGTGTGAGTCGCTGGGTGGTGGAAGGAGTCTCGTTTTCGCGGGCCAAATCAAAGCGTCGTGGTGCCTCGCCCGGCAAGCAAAAATTCCACAGTGCGTCGTGCCGGGGATTAACCGAGTGCTGCCAAGACTAACTTTGTGCACAGTTTATGCAATCATCTCTCATTTGTTGTTCGTTGAGGTGAGGCTATGTATGTATAGAGGTGATTTATCTTTACTGAAGGAGTTCTCTATTTGGTCACATTCTTCTCGTCGGGGAGCATCACTTTGTATCCATGTCGCTCTTGAACTTATGTCTGTGAGATGGTGTTTCTGTGAGGTGGGCTTGGAGGGCACTTCCGACGTTGACTTCAACCTGGATGGGAATGAAGCTTTCTTTAGCATCTGCCATTGTTGACAACCATAACTATCTAATTATCTGTACCATATCAATAGTAAGGTCTCGACTCCTCCCACTTGCGCTTCTCAATCTCTAGGCCACTTCCAGATGCCATGCTATCATCCAGTCTTCCAGGACTCGTGATCTTTCCCACCGGAGTCTGGTGTGCTGAACTTCCCTCGATGCGGTAGACTGCGCCAATCCACTCCCACATTCTGCTGACATCTCCTGTACGACCCTCGCGCACCATAGTTCTGACATTGGCGTTACCCTCAACTAGCTTCTGCACGGCTGTCCAAATTCTGTTTCGTTCCTGTGCGCGGTGCTCATCACGGAGCACATCATCACGTAGAGCGACCATGCTTATCAATGGTTCGGGATAACCGACCGGATCTTGCGCGTGCAGACTTGCCTGGGTGGCGAGCTTGTCAAGAGCCAGACCTGCCAGACGCTTGGCCTGGGTTGAAGTAGAACGGCGCTTCGAGATGGTACGCTGGCCGTATACAGCTGTGAATGCCAAGGCCAGAATGCCTACAAGTTCGCGAAGATGCTGTCTAACCGTGAGGCGAACCGATCGTTTGAGGGCGCATCTGAAGCCGACGGCTGCGAGAGATGTGCTGCGGAAGGAGCGGACAGAGGTTTGTCTGTTGTATCGAAAGCGGGTCTGTTAGTGAACTCTTCACGTAAGCCTGGTGATGCATAACTCAAACAAAAGATCGAGTGTAGAGAGAAATGAGACTTACGGGTCAACTTTTGTCTTTACCTCATCGCGTTTGGGGACATCGTCGATTGCCTGATCGATCAAATCGAGAATGTCCTTCATGTTTTTTCCTTTCGCGGCAATGGTTGCCTTGATCTCTGGTTCAGTAAGGTATGGAGTTTTGGTCTCACCACACTCGTACTTTGCGTTAGCCTCACGCAGAACGGTCTCGACAGCATGGCTTGTCAAAGCTGTGATCTTGCGAAGCTTCTCACTATCCGGCTCGCAGGTAGGTGGTATCGGGACGAGACCACCAAGCGCGAGAGGGTGCGAGACAGGCACAAAGCCATCATCGCAGACAATGTGGAGATTCTCCCGGCATTCCGCGTGCATGGGGCATGGCTCGCATTCTGGTTGCAAGAACGATGCCCACTCTGGAATATCGACACCGCCCAGTTTTTGGGATGGCTCGCCAATGCCACAAAAGCCGACCTGAAGCTTCTCCTGGCGCCAGAGAGCGGCGACTGCAACGAGTATGGTAAGTACGACAGTTGAGAAGCCGGCCTTGGCTGCTCCAGATCTCGGTTTCTGCTTGCGAGGCACACGGCTGAGGGCAGTGCGCGGGTTTTCTTCTTGAGCCTTGATGAGTTCGTGTTGTTCTTCCGGCGTGAATTCCTCGCCAGCAACCATTTGATCGTACTCCTCCTCATACTCTGGCTCGACCTTCACACGAGCGACGGGCGTTCTCGATACGGCAGTGAGATCCTCATCTTGGCGGTAGAAGCCATCGGTTCTGCGCCTGGCATCTCTGCTTCTTCTTCTTTCCCTGTCGGCCGATGGACCAATTGTGGTTCTTCGTCGGTCTCCGCTCTTGCTACGATGACGGTATGCAGACGGTGGGGAGCTTCCACTCTGGAAGGGGTTGTCCTTGGAGAAGGGCGAATCTGCACCTTGGTCGCGGTAGACGGGTTGTGGAGGTTCGCTGGGGAAGGAGGACCTGACGGCACGTCTTGGAGTAGGCTCGGGCTCAACGGTGGCATGCTTGCTGGAAGCACGTCGAGCGCTTGTCGGAGCAAAGGATTTCCTGGTCGAACGAGGTGTGGGTGCAACATTCTCCTCGGCAGCTGGTCGCATGACGGTACGCCTAGTAGTTCGCCTTGCTGGAGTTGCGGAGACGACGATGTTGTCGTCGGCGGTGTCCTCTTCGTCGTTGTCGTCGTTGGTGCTGGACTGGCTGGAAGGTACGTCTACGATGCCTCTCGCCGAGCGCACGGTACGGGACTGGACGTTGAGTATCTTTCTAGCCTGAGGAGCGACGTTTGAGTTGAAGATGGCAATCAAATCGGACTTTTTCGCAGATGAAGGGTAGGCGACATTGTGGGCGACCAGGATGGAGCGCAGGCGGGGCACTGTGAGAGAGGTAGGATCAAAGTCCGGCTGCAGGTATGCGTATTCGTCGTCGGCCATGGCTGCGGAGTGTGCAAGGATGATTGCTGTTCGCCGCCTAGAAGAAGACAGTCGCTCGTGCACCGACTCGTTTGCGCGGTTGTGCAGAAAGGAAACAGGGAAGGAACGAAGAAGGCCGTGTTTATCGTGGGTCCGAGCTCCTGTTGCCTATCCAATTGACGTAGTGCTGAATGTGGGGAAACAACCATGACTTTTGAGATTTTGTTTGAGCTTGCGTAGAGACTTCTGAACCAATACAACAACTCACTGTCTTTCGTCATGTCTTGCGCAAAGTGCCAANACCCCCTGACTCTTGAGGTCGACTACTCGGACGATGAGGATGTGTCCATGGGCGCCGGCTCGTCCAGCGCAGCAGCTCAGAACACGCACACTGTCCCCGACGACGTAGCTCTCAACTGCGGATGCCACTTTCACTGGTATGTACAACTCCTTTGTATGCAGCTCTCTAAGTCATCTAACCATGTCCCGTCAATGTACAGGCAATGCTTGATCGACGAATACCAAATCACCGAATGCCCTTCATGCCACCAATCCCTGCTCACACCCGGCCCCAACGGAGGTCAACAGCTGCTATGCACATTGACCAACGAGGGCGGTGTACAAGAAGGCCTCGATATTCTGCCTATCCTGACCGAGGAGGCCTACCTACATGCATATCCCGAGGACAGAATCAGCCGCGCTTTCCTTGAGCTCTGCCGTGAAGGCGATGTCTCTGCTGTTGTGGATTTGTTGAAGAGCTGCAATGAACCCGATTCAGACGACGAAGATATGGATGATGAACCTGCTATACCCAAGAAGTCCATGGACGAGATACTCCGTTACCAAGACCCTATTGGCGACATGCAGTCTGGTCTTCACGCAGCCGTCGCCGGAAACAGCCGTGAGGTTGCTTGGTTGTTGCTATTGCTCGCCTCTCAACTGTCTGAGATGGAGTTCCCTGCTCTGGTTTACCAACAAGCGGCCTCATTGGGCATCATGAGAGAGGATCAAACAGGAAAGGTTGACATCAGAAGCCTCAGGGATGGTCAGGGAAGAAGCGCGGAACAACTAGCTGTCGAGCTCGGTGGTGTGTGGCATGGCTGGCCCGGTAGCGGTCGCTTGTCGGTTTGAAGACATCAGCCCTTCATGCTCTGATTGCTGCCCGACTTTCGTACTGTTCTTTGCCTGGACAGAAGCTGCGAAATCATGAAATGATTCACATCTTCATCTGCCCAGTAAGAAAGATGCGAGGCCACTGCTGCAATCAATGAAATGTCGAAGGCACCCNNCTACATCTTGGATTAGTCTTGCTTGGTGCGGAGGAGTAACTTTCCCACTCACTCTTGGATGCTGTAATCAACCCTTCCATTCGAGTTTAGTGCTCGAACCTTGGCCTCTTCCTTCTTCAGCTTACGTCCACGTTCTTCCGCTTCCGCTCGTTCGCTTTCGGCCATGTCGTGATCTACATCACTCTGTGCGCTCTTTCGTGTGTTCTGGAAGCCAGCATACAGCGTTTCCAACTCAGCATCGATGAGAGTAGGAGGGCGTTCACCAGCCTCATCAGCTTTCTGCGCATCGCTGACCAATTTGTCTGTGGTATCTCCGTCGACTTTATCAATCTTGGTGTTTGTGACTGGTGCAGTAGGAACTATGCCTCCAGTTATGTTCGTTCCGGCGCCTAGAGAAAGCGGAGTGCGAGACTGACTCGTACCTGCTGGCCCTCCGAGTTTGCCTGCATCTTCGGCTGTGAATCCAAGACTACGGTTGAGCAGACTGCTTGCGATACCAGAGCTGAAACTCGACCAGAGTCCAGAGACGCTCTGGCCTACACGCGCGCCGATACCTGTAAGGCCTTGACCAGTTGCGGTACTAAAGATGCCTCGCTTGGTGTAGGGTAGTGGCTGCGGCTTCAGAGATGACATTGCAGGCGAGATCAGAGGTTCGATGCGATAGCTGATAGGGTCGGTAGGATGGAAGATGTTGAATACCTGTCGGCACTTTGGTGAAGAGATAGGTAGGTCAGAGTTTTGAGTGCCCATTCCTGTCAAATTGTCAGAGCTCGACGACGTCGAACCGAAGAAGGCACCGGAAGGAGAATCCATAGATTTCTGGGTGCCCTGTCCGGCGTCTCTGGCTGAGATTGTGCGGCCTTTCAGCATCTGGAAAAGACCGATCGGCGACCCGAGGGCGTAGAAGTCTTCAACCTCAAAGTCCAGCTTCATGGGGTTGCGAGCAGCTTTGCCAGAGTGTCTTTGCTGGGTCTCGTTTCTCTCCTGAAGACACAAGATGTCGAACATGATGGCTGACCCCAGCGAGTGGCCGACCAAGCTGACTTTACCCTTGAACGAAGGATTGCGTTCGCAAAACAATTTGTATATCCGGTTGCACTCCTCAAGCACGATGGTTGCAATGGCGTCCTTGTATGCAGGGCTCTGGTACAGGAGGATGTCCAAGGCTAAATCGGTGATAAGATTCCTCACAGCTGGCACGCCTTCAACAGAAATGTTGTCAAGATTCGGGTAGTCTTCCTCTTCGCCAAAGCCACCGAATGCAAGATCGTGTTCCTTTCGGTTGTGCTTGAGAGCACGGTTTGGGAAGTCCAACTTGTGCCTCCAGTTGATAGGCAATACTTGAATGCGGCAGTTCTTGGGGAGTGCGTTGACCTCTGAATTAAGCGCCTGCAAATCAGCGCTTTCTCCGTAAACGGCCTTGAGAGTCTTTCGCAGGGTATTTACATCTCCCACGAAATTCACCGACTCCATGCGTAGGCCTAGACGCTGGCCTATGCCGTGGGTGACCAGAAGAAGGTGTTCAATCTCACGATCTTGTTGCTCTCCCTCTCTGTCGCGATAGTCGTCTTGAATCTCTTTCTCATCACGTTTACGAACCTCTTCTTCCTGTTTTTGAGGGTCTTCCTGACCGGCGTTGACAAGGGAGCTCATCTGCTGCTCCAAGGTCTGGCGGTGCTTTTCAGATTCAGGACTTGCAACTTCTGCATGGAGGCTGTCTGATTTGTCTCCATCCACAGGCACAAGCGCTTTTCCCTTCCCAGGTTCTTGCGTAGGGACATCTACAGTGGTGGATTTCGGTTCCGATTCTGCCTTTGTCTCCTTCTCGTCAGGCTTCTTGGCCTGGACAACGTAACCACGAGTGACTTTGATACCAGCGTAATGAGCACCTCCAGCAAAGCGTCTGTAGACACCGCTACTCATTCTGCTGATAAAGTCGTCTGTAAGTATCCAGGCGGTTCTATCGTCCTGATAAGTCACGACAGAATTCGAATGCGGTCCGAATAGGCGGTATGTTTGTACTCGATGAGCAGATTCTGCATCTTCGACATCCTTGGCGTTCTGGTCGCGAAGATTGGGAAGCGATCCTTTTGACGCCAGTGGTGATGAAGTGGTAGAGCGAGACTGTGAAGCTGATCTTGCAGGAGTAGGCTCCTGTTTCTTCCATTGCCACGGAGTAGCCCTAAGGTATTGTTCCTCCAGCTGAGCAGCCAGATTCTCATCGCAGGGCTTCTGGACAGCACCCTCTTGTCACTTTGTCAGCATTGAATATTGATGGCATGGCAGCTTTACAAACTAACCTTGGTAGAACCAAGTTCCACGACGAACTTCATACACTGGTCCCAGCCAGTACGCAGGGGCAAGCTCTCTGTTCAAGACATCCACATCAAAAAGGTAGTCTTCATTGACAGGGACTTTAGCAGATTTGTGGTGAGGGTCAAGTCCGAGGTCTTTTGTATCTGTAATATCCTCCGTGTTTTCAAGCTCCCTGCGCTCAGCAGCATCGTCCTCTTTTGAGATCCTGTGGAAAGTCCTTTCGATGGCGCGTGAGTCTTTTCGGGAAAAGGGGGCGTACTTCTTCGGAGCAACTTTGGGTGCTTCGACACCTTCGACTTTGCCCAGGGGCTTCTCGGAGTAGACAGGTTTGCGTTTGGGGACGTCAACGGCAAAGAACCATTGAACACGCATCGGTGGGCAGTCTCGAGGGTAACGCTTCAGACTAAGGCGGTGTCTGTGGCTGACTTTGTGGTCTCCTCCTCGTTGCTGCCTAAGGCCAACGTCGCTGGAAGACTGCTCAGAAGCATCTTGCGGTTTGGCGACAGGGCTGCGAGGGGTAGCAGGGCTACGAGGACCCCAGGGCGATAGCCTGTTGATGCCAGCAGCCAGGTACGACTGGTTGTCAGGAGTAGACATGTTGCTGCCCTCAGCCCTATGGGCAGGAGAGATATATTTCGACCAGACGGGTGTTTGCGCAGAGGAGCGAGAGACCGAAGTAGTGTTTGGGGGATATGCCAGTTGGGCTCGCACACGGTTGATCAGGGGAAGCAATACGCGCCAACGTGTCTACAGCTCGAAGCTATCGGATCTATCGTCGTCACGTCTTGGCGAGTCACTGCTGCGATGGGTTATAGAACGACCGGACAAGGGAGGGAAGAATAACGAAAGCTGGCTGTCTCTGTATGAAACTGGGATAGCTGTAGAATGCGAGCTTCTCCGGACAGACATGCCCTGCATAGCGACGTGCCTGCATTCTGCCCCTCGTCGCGGAGCTCATTCAGCTAAAGTTTACGCCAGCTCGACTCTGACGTACTTTTCAGCCCTATCGGCATCACCAAGCCAATTAACCGACACTGTCTGGATTTCGTCCATCTGGTTTTTTTCCTCTCTGTCCTCCTGCATCCCTATCTTCACTACGACAACCACTGATCTCTGCAGCCTTTCTGCAATATGGCGTCAGAAAAGTCGGCTGAGCATGCTCATATCGAGAAGCTCATTGCCAACAACCTCCCTACCAGCCCCATTTACGCCCTCTTGCTGACTCCGGTACGTGTCGTCTCGGCATCCAAAGGACATGTAGTGTGTCGCTTGACCTTGACAAAGAGTCATCTGAACTCCAAGGGAGGCATCCACGGCTCAGTCTCGGCAACCATTGTAGACTGGATGGGTGGTATGGCTATTGCTTCGTACGACCTGCGAGAGAAGACTGGTGTGAGTGTTGACATTCATGTCACGTACCAGAGCTCTGCAAAGGAAGGTGATGAAGTCGAGATTGAGGGCATCGCCGACAAGGTTGGTGGTTCGTTGGCCTTTACCAAGGTCAACATCTTCAAAGTCCAGGACGGTCAGCGCGGCGTCGCTGTCGTGACAGGCACCCATACCAAATTCGTCAGAGTTTGATGAACACAACACGCTTTCTTCTTTGCGTCTGCCATACATTTGCTCTTTAATGGCCCGGACTCACTCGGAATGCGAAGATCAACGTCTTTCGTGCTTTAGAAGCCACTGGGATCTTGCGATCTGACCAGTGCGCAATTTTTAAGAGACTACATTTCCTCATAGACATCCCTCAATATACATCCTGCATACACAAGGCCTGCCAAATCTTCCGAAATCATGCCACTGCCCATGTGTTGTTCTCCTGCAGGCTGGAAGCCTTGCGTCGAAGCCATGCAAGGCCTGGCTACATTGCCGCTATTGTTTCATTGACATCTCTCTGGTACTTTGGGCTCAAAAACTACGGGTGTAGGGTACGGCAGAGCCCCTCTCAGGGGCTGCAAATAGTCACTCCCTCTAGCCTCTACGGAAGGCCATCCTACACAAATCCACCAACTATCGAAATTCTCTCCGACCTTGTCCGTGCAGCGGCTGGCCTTGTCATGTTCCCACCGAAAAGTTCGTCCCATCATGGAAAGCGCAATCTAGGTTCTGCATCAAATATACCACGCACTCGTTTCTAAAGGATCTCGAGGATCGAACATCTCATCTAGATTTTAAACTCTTCGTATGCATGTCTGTCATGCTGCGTCTGTGGGGTTAGGCGCAGTAGGTTCCGCTGCTGCATGTCAATCCGGTCGTTCGTGGTTTGTTTCATGGATAGAACGCTCACGCAGAGAAAAGTCGAAAGAATGGTCCGCTAAGATCACTTACAGATGTCAACTCGAGATAAGATCCACCGTCGCTTGCAAACGACTGAGACACGGCAAGGTGTAAAACTAGCAGTGAGTGACAACTCAGCAAAGCCGCCAAAGCGTGCCTGTTCACCAAGACCTTCGGTAGCCGAGCAGCTCACCAATAACTTGCCCTGACAAATTTGGGTTTGAGAATCAGTCCTCCCTGCCGTCTTGGTCATCGGCTTCCCGGGAGCTTGTTCACGAGTAATGGGCGGTGAGAGCATCCATCTCGCTGATCCGGAATCGTACGCTCATCATTCTTCCTCTTTTGGAACATTAATATGCGCAGAGACAGGGGTTTCAAGGTCCTCCTGCTCAATCAAACCTGCCCAGAGTCATCAGACGACGATAAGGTGGCACGGTCGAGTAAGAGACATAGAGACATTTCGGGGCAGAGTGTCCGTACGAAGCTGCGGCCTGAGAAAACGGTTGGCTCTGCAAGGGACAAGCTGCTCTGTTTTCTAGCACGGTGGCTTGGGCTAAGGGCTTGGGGGGTGGAGGATAAGCCTGATTGATGATGTGGCAGCTGTTTATTGGAGCCGTCTGCTGGGCCAATCAGCTTACCATTCCCCTTAGTCGCGACAGTTCTTGCTGCTAGACCCATCGTCCGGTGCTCGATGGCTGTGTGGATTCATGAACTAATTATTGTTGGCCTGTTGGCGAGGAATGTGAACAAGCTTTTGTCCGTCTATGGCCGCATTACGATCAGGCAGTTTCAGATGATCAGAAGTTCTCGACAGACAAAGTTTCTCGTGGCCTTTGCAGTAAACTGCACTGAAGCGGAGATCGTTCGCACACTCGCGTCATGCAGGCGGAGCGGGAAGAGTCGAGCCAGTAGACGCTATCAAGATGGCGCAACTCAGGCGGCGCACCCGATGCCTAGTGCCGCTGTTAGTGCCGTCGTTACATCTGGGCTCCGTGCGGTATCACACAATGACCGGGTCGAGGGCCAGAAATGAGAACGACCAAGTTCTCGGGTCAAGCTGGCGGACCAACGTTTTGCAGAGCAGATTGACATGCTTCCTGCGGGAGCGTCATCATGGAGGCGGAAAGGAGTCACCAACGTGTAGCGTCTGCTTGGGATCCTGGATCAGAATCGGCTAGACATGCTGGACTCCACACATTCTCCATCTATCATTTTCATATGACTCGCTCCGCATGATGGAAAGGCTGGCAGTTGCAGAGAAAGGTGCTGCGAGCTTGATTTTCTTGACAGCGACCGAGCTTCCACATGCGCTGTCGTGTACGTAGCTTGACAAGTGACTTCACGCACTTGCTTTTGCCGGCGATAAAATGCCAATCGTTGGCAGGGTGCTGTTGGCCCACGCCATGCCATCTTCTGACATTGAGAACCGTCATGCTTGTGCCAGTGAAGGCGCTTATCTTCGAGCGATTGGCGTCTGTGGTGCAAGTAGAGGCGCTACCTTTGTTTAGGTGCTGGCCATGCCCGTTTCAACAATCTCGACGGGTTCGGTGCGTTTCACACAACCACAACAACTGCTCCGACCACCTCCTCCTCCACCTGCAATCTGTCGAGCAGAGTTACAATCGCACCAAGAGGCGACCGGATCGTAGGATCGAGACGACGATCCACCGCACGAGTAATGCTCAATATATGGATTTGGAAATAATAGATGAAGTATGACCCGAGTTGACAAGAATAATCACTCGACCAAGAGCGCGCTGCAGCCGTTCCGCAGCAGGAGAAGACAAGATTCTCTTCATTCTGCCACCAAAAGCCAAGTCGAGGTCTAGAAAAACATCGACCTTCTCGCCGGGTCAGAATGCCCTAACCCTTTCGGGGAGGCGCAAGTCTACCCAGCATTTGATGAGAGGACGTTCAGCGAGTGAAGTCGAGGATGGACGAACTGAAAGCTTGCGTGCCGCGGGAAACGCTCTGTCTACTCGTGGGTTTGCTTGTGGCCATGATCATCGTCCATCATGATCCACCATCCACGATCCCAGCGCGACTTTGCTTCGTGACAGTGGGTCTTGTCTGCCAGTGGCGTGCATTCCGGACGATGCGAGTTTCGGAACGCCACATCGCGCCTTTTCCCCACCCACCTCAACGATGTTCAGAAACAACCTACCCACGCCGCCACTAGCCAACCAGCGTCCGTCTGCACATCGCGTCGGGCCGCTGTTTGCTGCACAGCTCCGCCGCATCTTCATCCCGGCGCGTTCTGCTGACCTGCTTTCCCCGTAGTATACGTAGGTACCTTGTTGCAATACCGACACGGGACACACTGGGCGAGCCTCATCCACAAAGCTTCTCGAGCGTGCTGAGCGTGGGTGTGTACCTGGGTGGGCGTGTGTCTGTGTGTCGTCTCGCTCCTCCCTCCGTCTTCTCATGTCACGCAAAGCAGGGCAGGGCTTCGGAGAGGAGGTGACCAGAATTAGATCATCGTCTTCTGTGCCCTCCCTACACGTGCTCTGCTGACGGCTGTGCCTCCTCCTTTGTCTCCCGCCCAGTTAGGCCAGGGGATAAACAGCATTTTACCCAGCCGTCGGCGACCACGCCAAGTAGGATCCCCGCTCGCGAGGGACAAGTTTAAACGGCCTAGCCGCTGGAGACCCCTGCACCTTCGTAGTCTCACCGAATCGTGCACGCTGCTCCGGCCTTGCGCTAACGGGGCGCCTTCCTCCTCGGATAGACCCCAACCTCTTTGCTGAAGAGCTCCGGCCTGCTCTAATACTATCTATCTGAGGGCCGCTCCACGCCCTTTTTCTCGTTCGCGTTCGTCTTTCATGCACTCCTGCAGCTAGGCCAACTACGAGGTGTGTGTGTCTCCAGCTACTTCTATCTGCTGCTTGTCCGTTGCCGATGCACCTGCATGCTTTCACCTTGCCTTACCTCAACCACCTCCACCACACACTACCACACTCACATCATCCCACACATAGTCGCTAACCCGTCCCGTCGCCCTGCAGCGTGTTTCTGTCCACGACCTACGAACTGCTACGACACGACCTTTTTACGACCATTCAAGGACAATTTATTCGTTTTGCCCACATTTTTTGTGCATCCTCCTGCAAAAGTATTCTGCTGCTTTTGCTCTCTGCACTCAAGCTATAGACGTTTGATTAGTGCGTGTCTGCAGCCTTTGCTCTCACCGTACTACAAGCTCGTCGTCTGTTCACCCGACGTGCCTGACTCAAGCTTCGACCTCACGATTTCAACGACCGGCACTTTGAATCACCTCTCGCGCACGCGTCTTGCTCTGATTCAAGTCTCATCACGACCTGCCCGCGACTGCTTTGTTTAGCTTCGAGGCCTGATTGATCAAGTCACCACTCAATTGACGTGTTGACATTGGATTCAATCTCGTCGGCTCTCTCGTGGTTCCTTCGTAACCACCCCACACTCGCTTCACTCTAATCCATCAAGGATTGTTCGGAGGTGCTTCCTTGAGCAGCATCTTCGTCGTTGACTACAGACAAACTGGCTCTACCATCCATCTCTCACGTTCAAGCGCGCGGGTTCGAAGACCAGTGGTATCAACCATCCAACATCCTCCAAGCCACATCCACTGCTGAGCGTTTGCCTGCCCTGTCCCAACTCCAGACCTTCCCGTCTGTGGGTTCTTCTCCAAGAGGAAGCTCCATCACTTCAGCGGAACCTGTTTGCGGTACCGACACAGCTACATCCTACTCATCCTCCTTCCACGGCGCATATAGCACCGGACTCAAGACGCCTTCCNCCGATCACACCCCCGCCTATCGCAGAGATAGTGTTCAATCCGGACTGCACGGCCAATCCATTCCTATCACGAGTTACGATCACAACAGCACTTCCTGTATCAGCATGAACCAACCCCAGCCTTATATGGACGTGAGCCAGAGCCACATGTCTAGCAGCATCCCTTCTTCGGCTCCCCCGCCAGGCCTCGGCCATTATGCCAACTACCACCAACCGCAGCCCATGTCGAGCCAGCCTCACCCGTACGGCTCGTCGCCTTCATCCTACTCCCAATACTACACCAATGGCCTCGCTCCTCTCCACGCCCATGCCTCGGCAGGTGGCCTGGGCTCTCAGATGGTCCCACAATCGCAACTGCCCCTTCCTAGTAAGTCTTGCGCAACCCCAATGTTTATTTAGCGTGTCGCTAACCTTGTTTCCAGCANNCTCGCAAACAGCGTATCACCCCAGTCGGCACAGGGCCAATATTCTGGTGCATCATTCGACACAACAGGACAAGTCGCACCCCCTGGCATGAAGCCTAGGGTGACTGCCACGCTCTGGGAGGACGAGGGAAGCCTTTGCTTCCAGGTGGAGGCAAATGGCATCTGCGTGGCCAGACGCGAAGACAACCACATGATCAACGGCACAAAACTGCTCAACGTGGCTGGCATGACGCGTGGTCGTCGCGATGGTATCCTCAAGAGCGAGAAGAACAGGCACGTGGTCAAGATTGGTCCTATGCATTTGAAGGGAGTTTGGATCCCCTTCGACCGTGCTCTGGAATTCGCCAACAAGGAGAAAATTACCGAGAAGCTCTACNCCCTTTTCGTGCACAACATCGGCGCTCTGCTCTACCATCCTTCGAACAGCGCCAGCCGTACAATCGGTGGTGCTACCTCGCTGGTTCCTGGCGAACGTAGACGTCCTGATGAGTACATGAGGGGGCCAGTGAGTCAGCCTCCTGCCATGCCTCATGCCCATTCTATGGCCATGCCTCAACCGCCACACTCGCTCGCTCCTCACCCGAACGCTGGAAGACCCAACTTGGACAGAGCTCATACTTTCCCCACTCCTCCTACCAGTGCATCTAGCATGATGGGTATTGGCAGCTCGGAAGGTTCTTACCAGTGGAGTGCTCAACCTCCTTCGACTATGCAGCAGCAACAACCCGCTCAGCAAGCTCTGGCTATCGACACCAACATGAGCAACAGATCCGTGCCAACAACCCCCGCTACCACTCCTCCTGGAAGTGCTATGCACAGCATGCCCCCTTACCAGACCAGTCAAGCATACGACAATGGTCGCCAGCTTTACTCGGCTCCCTCACAGCCTTCCCAGTATGGTCCTCGTTATGGCCAGCTCCAGCCTAGCCCTTACATTAAGAATGAAATGGCTCCTCCGGCTCGTGCTGGCGCAGAGGCCGACCATACCGTCGACCAGAAGCCTCAGGATGGTTACACCAATCACTCTGGTGCCCACGACGATGCCGAAGGTGAACATGAGGGCGAATACACACACGCTTCCGGGCCCTACGGTGGAAACCGTGCTTCGTACGCTTACGCCACACCTGCCACAACTGCTTCCTTGCACAGCGATCAGACACACATGTCCTCGGACATGACTGGCTCGCCTCATCACAAGGCTTCTGGTGGTGCAACTCCCCGTACGACTAACAGTTACCACGCTGGATACACCACGCCTCAACGCCCTCAACAGCTCCAGTCCAACCTGTTCAGTGTCATGAGCGACAGCCGCGCTCCTAATGGCTCTGAGATGTATGGACAAGCCAACCATGCCTATAGCTCCCAAGGATACCAAGGTGTGAACGGTATGCAGAAGCGTATGCGTGATGACGATGTCGACGATCGCTACAACGAAGACTCGGACGGTCTCAAGCGAAGAAAGACAGTACGCGAAGGCAGCGCAGGCATCGGACGCCCTCGCTCCGTCCTCGCCGGGCACCGATAAACAACGCCCTCTTATCTGTGCATTCTCCTTGCATTTTGGCCCCTTTCTCATTGCTGTGTTTTCCCAACGCCTCACTCCTTTTTGAGGTCTTTTCGCTTTTTTCCCTTATGGTCCTTTTTGCGACTTCTCTCCTTGACTCACTATAACGACAACCATGATGACGAACAAATAACTTTATGATGAATGATGTTTCATTTCATAAAGCGGAACGGGGACCACAACCGGCATACTCGGTCCTCTTTGTGTTGTTTGGATTTGCAGAACATTGTTTTCATTCACTTTATTCCTCTTTGTGTTATTCTCACGCTTTGCATTGCTTGTGTTGCTTTTTTCTGTTCTGTTTTTTCTCCTCTGGCTCTTCCTAGGGGGTCGATGATGATGATGAAAGCATGCCTACACACAAAAGAAATGGGCTGTCTCGGGGTGTGTGAAAGACGGAGGGGTGCAAAAAGAAGAGGAGCTAGGAAGGCTGAAAGGCAAAGGAAAGGAAATAAAAACGGAAACATGGGTCTCTCTCTCTCTTGTAATGAACAAACTTCCTCTCTCTTCCAACGACCAATCCTCAATCATTACCTTGTATCGAGTGTGTAATGGCAGTCATGGCCTTCCCTCTCTAGAGCGATTCGATCTCTTATTTCACTCTCTTATTTTCATACACGCCTACAAAAAAAAAGTTCACTTGTTTCTCGCTACCGAATATTTATACTGCTCCTTCTTTGGTTCTCCACGTTGTGTCAATAGGTTTAGGTTCGACGTTTTGTTCGTTGCCATCTTGATCCTATCTGCGATCTCTGAAAGAGGCTGGAACCGGTTTTTTTGTTGTTTTTTGCTCGATTTGTTCTTGTATTCTCTCTTCCGTTGTGAAATCTTTTGCGTGGTCATCTGAACAAGTCTCGAGAGTATACATTATATCTCTGTTGCAGCAATAGTTTATTGGTCTGCGTGTGTACGATCAGTATTTATAATCATGTGGTAATAATCACTGTGCTCGGCGTGGAGCGTGGTGTCAAAACATTGCGGTCAATTTGGAAGAGCATTGTCATTGTAACAAAATCCCAAAAATCAGACGAGAATGGTTGATTGAGTGCATCGAGGGCCCTCATAAACTATTGAGTATATCTAGTGGTATTTTGAAAGCGCACAGTGAAAGCCTAAAGCCTCTACCTCGCTCGTTGACGTGGATATGTCGTTGGTCAAGAGCACAGACAGGGTGATACCAGCGACCAAGCGACTTGAGGGCCAAATGTCGACGAACTTTCAAGCAGAAAGACATCGGAAGTATAATCACTTCTAGATCAGGTCTAACTGCTCGGCAAATGTTGCACCTTACACAGGAACTACTTCTTAGGCTCTGCATATTATCGAGAAAGGGTCATGGTTGATAATGTAATATCAGGAAGTTTCGATACATTGCGTTAACGCTATGCCTTCGTCTCCATCCATCAGTTATACTTGTACTTCTCACTTCCTCTCTTTATAAACTTGACTGGCACCTTACCAGCGCGCATCTGAATTGTGATGATGGTCATCATGCCATGCTTGAGCAAGTCTTCCGCAGTATCTCTAGCCTGATCCCACGTCTGTCTTCTCGAAGTTTCATCCATAGCTGCAAGTTTCTCTTCACTTGCATGCTTGTCCAAATCCAATTCCACACTGTATTCGCGGAAGATGGCGGCCAGTACAGCGAGAACCTCGACTTGCGCGAAACGGCGACCGAGACATGCGCGGTAGCCCTCTGAGAAGGGGATGAAAGCTCCTCGTTCGGGATTGAAGAGATGAGAAGATGTGTCTGAGGATTGTGGGCCACCAATGTCTTCTTCAGAATCTGATTGTTGTGTTTGTTGTTGCTTTGCTGCTGATGAGTTTGACTTCGAAGGATCCAATATCCATCGTTGAGGTCTCCAGGATGCCAGGTCTTTCTCGATTTCGGCTTCTGAGGCGTTCGGACCACAGAGTGTAGGCCAGTATTTGGGATTGCGGTGAGACCCAACAGTGCAGAGGGTGATGGCACTGCCTTCGGGTATGATCACACGGCGGCCGGCGAGGGTCAGTGGTTGTGGCGAGCCTTTGGGTGTGCATTTAGGGATGCCGACCACAGGTGGGATCAATCGAAGCTCTTCGTTCATGACGGCGCCACACATGCCGCCAAACAGTTTCGGCACATCCTGGTCATAATCCCATTGGTCAATGGTTCGATCACCAAATATTTCGTCCAGGTCCTTCTGAAGCATTTCCTGAGTGGACCAGTTCATCGCGAGGTACAACATGGCGAAATGGAGGGTATTTGCTGCAGTCTCGTGACCAGCCAAGATGAAGACGAAGGCATTGCCCAAGATCTCGTTGTCGGTGAGTAGTTGAGTGTCGGCCTTCTCTGGGTCTTGGTTTGCCTTGATGCCTGCACCGCTCACAAGAGCTCCCATGAGATCCATGCCTTCACGCTTCTCGCCTGCTTTGACTTCGGCCTTCTTGTCTTGGTACATCTCCCGCATATACTTGCCCCACTCGGTGAACGATTCGTAGGCGATTTTGTTTTGCTTGATTGGTGAGTTTGCTGTGTACTTTGTTAGTATTCGTAGAATTACTGAGCCGGATCCAAAACTTACCAAGNNGAACCATCTCGGTAGTAGCATCACAGCGATGATGTTTTCCAGTAATGTGCTCAGTGCATCCTTGTAAGTCATGGTGTGACCCTCAGGTACGACTCCAGCTTGTCCATTCTCCTTGACTTCTTCGTGCGGCCACAACAGACGTCTGCCAAAGCCAGCACGACTGATGACATGCAAACTCAAGCGCATAGTGGCAGCGGCAATATCAGACACAGTAGCCTTCTCAGCCTTCTCATCAATGAACGAAGCCATCATACTCTGAGCTTGATGCAGACTCTCCTGCCACACCAGATGATTGTTCTTCTCGGTGAATGGAGGAGAAGTGATCTTGCGATGGTGGCGCCATATCGAGCCTTCTGTACTCACCACGTTCTTGCCAAACAGATCCACAGAGCCGTAGATTTCGATTGGCTTGGGGAAATCATTGCGACGAGTGGTGATCTGTGTGGTTGCCTCGGGGTCGGCAACGTACACCGAGTTCCTGCCGGGCGAACACACAATGAAAATGTCACTTCCAATGGCCTTGAAGGGTTCGTGTCTCTTCAACCAAGTCCACTCAGGGTCCAGGAACNNCTGAATATCGGTCAGCTCGATCCTGCGTCGGATGGTGGGTGTGCACGGCTGTGGTGCAACCTAGATGTGGACGTACTGTAACCATGGATCTGTCCAAGATTTGGGGAGTTTTTCGAGTAACGGAAGCCAGAGCCTATGTGTTACGAGCCAGAATTTATTGAACACATAGACTGGTGCTACAATATAGGGCAGACCCGATTGTTTGGCTGCGGCGAGGTTGCGCGTGTAGCAACGATGATAGTTGAAGGCGTAGACACTGATCAAAGAGGCGACCGCCAACCACACAAATGGCATCATGATGAAGGCGAATTCTTGGGTGTTGTGTAGATGTGCAAGAGGAGGAGCCTACGCTGCCTTTATCTTTCTTGCGCCAAGTCAGTTGAGCACCAGGAGGCAATGGCTTGTTCGTTCCTTCTTTCTAACTTTCTTGTCTGGTGATGTCGTACATGTACTGAACGACGTACGATAAACGACCAACGGGAGTCCGGGGAATGGGGTGAAACGTTGAAGATGAAGCCCGAGGAGACGGTGAGCACTCTCAGTTGCCCGAGGACACGGAGGACCATAAGAAGATATATACATTGTCAATTCGACAGCCGCAGACGCGGCAAATACGCTTGCATCGGTCATTGATGCGGTCTGGCAAAGAAAGTTGACCAAAGAGCCAGCCGCCATGCATCTCGGAAGCCGGCACCCTTGAAAACCCTCTGCCATCTGCATCTCGGGCGCAGTGTCATGTCATGCAGTAAAAGCTTGATGCCCTCGGTAAGCAGCAAATAAATAGCGTGCCCTCGCCCTCGTCGAATGACCTTTCGTATCACGGCCAAGACGTTCTTGGTGATTGGTTTGCCGCGACTCAAAATCCACTTCGCGTAAATAGGCGTGTGTTGATCAGATCTCGCTTGGATGCAGCTCAAGGAAGATCATTTGCAAGCGACGTTCGAGAGCTCCTGTGCCTCAAAGGTTGCCCTCTGCCATCAACCAGATATCCAGCACTTCAGCTGCACAGAGATGCATCAGACCCGCACATTATCGCGTAGATCGTTCATCGATATAAATATTGGAATGCACAATCGGCTCTCAAGCCAGACTTGTGTTCTTGCAAGCACATCAAAACCCGCTCTTCAACAGAGGACCTTCAGTATTGGAAGTATCAAGACGCATTCACCAGCTTGAGGGTACCACAGGTAGGATATAGGCCCTAAGTCTTCTACCGGTACGCGCTGCAGTTGAGGAAGCGACGTATGGGACCTCTAGCAACGCACCTTCCTGCTTCTCGGCAGCAGGATGGCCAACCTGAAGGTGAAATCTCCTTCTCCTTCTCTTTCGTCCGCATCGCCATCCTGCACCATCCACCTGTTCATCATTCACATCGATCTTCTATCATCCTATCCCTTTCTAAACACACCTGAAATCATCATTCTATCAGCTCCCGTAACCGAAGGCAGCACGAGACCTCGTACCTGCAAACGATCCTTCGACCCTGCATTCGCAACGACCACCTTCTGAAGATCATACATTTTCATCCCGAATATCCCTGCTATCCGCTATGCAGCTCTTCCTTATCAACTTTATCTTGGTCGTCTACACCCTATCAGCCTTTGTCCGTGCCGATGCTGTTACAGATGCAATTCACTTGCAGGGCCTCGCTTCCAATACGGCGGATACTGTTTTTGCTTCGTTGAACGGGACTGCTTATCTCGTGGGTTATGCAAGGTTGATGGAAGAGGTGAAGACTGACGAGCTCAGANACACATCGGATCTTGTCTCTGGAGTCAGCGCCGCCATTCAAGGAGCAGATTCGAGCATGATGTCCAATGTCGTTCGTATTGCCTTGATTCTCAATTCATCATTGGGTGCCTTGTTGACCAGCTGTAGTNCCTCTCCGGGCAACGCCAACATCATAATTAACGATGCCTACTTCAACGTAAGGCACAGTGTGATCTGAGTAGCAAGCAATGAGGACAAGCTGACTATTCCAGNNTACGTCAACTCAATGCTCTATCTCGCTGACTCTGTCCAACGCCGTGGCCGCCTCTTCCACTCGGAGTTGAACCTTCCGGTATATCACGCCCTTCAGAATCTGTCTTCTGCCGTCTCTGTAAGTCTTGACTTTAGGCTTCTGTTCAGCGGTTTTACTAACGTATTGTACAGANCTTATGGTCACGACCTCACTTCAAGAAACTTGATTCAGAGAAACAGTACCATCCGTACTTTGACTACTGGCAGTGCTATCGTCAGAGCACAAAGTGCATGGGCCAACAACCAGAACTATCCCGGCAAGCGGGAGACTTCGAGCTGGTCGGGTTGATGTGGCAGATTTGTCTGTGGCAGCATGAGGAGTTGTACTCAGTAGCTCGTTGACATAGTCTTAAAGCGTCTGATCCTGCCACTGAGTCCTTGGCTTGAAAGTCATTTGCCTTGTGTTGACATTAGCACGTCACCTATGCGCTCGTAGTTCAGAGGTAGAAGGAAAGATGGTAGGAGTCAGGAAGCGATAATGCTTCGGACAGAAAAGCAAACTTGTCATAAAAGGGGTATTTCCACCTGAAAAAGAACCTGTCCTCCAGCAACACCATGAAACTCCCCATCCCAATCCGTTACAATGCGACTTTGCTCGAGCAGGCAGAATATTTCTCACTTGCCAGCCTGATCCAAATACGCAGCCGCATCCCTCGCCTGCACCAACCTCGCCCCAGTCGCGCCAATACTCTCCTTGACCTGCACCAGCCCCGTCGTCGCCTGTTCCCAATTCCTCCTACATTCGTCCCAATCCCTGACTTGGCCCACACCACACAAATCCCGCTCTTCCTGCAATCGTGCCATGTTTTCCTCTTCGGCGGCTTTTTTCCTCTGTTCGAACATCGCGTCTTGGTTTGCGAGATTGGCGGTATATGCAGCAGCGGCTTTTGCAGGAGCTTCTCTGCGCAAATTGGCCAGTTGAAGCGTCAAGTGCTCGATCTGGCCGGCGAGGGAGCGGAGTTTTAGCGAGAGTTTGGAGTCGTAGGGTTCGAGTTCTNNGTGTTGTTGCTCTTCTTGTCAGCACTTTTGTTTTCCTCTCTTCTTCTTGTCAATCTGGTTGTAAAGAGTCGAACTCACCTTCCCCTTGCCCTCCGCCATCTTCACCGCTTCCTCCATGTCCTTTCCCTCCAACCCATTGATCGCCAAATTCGCCTTTGCATCCTCAAACACGCGCTCCAAATATCCAGACACCAATTCCTCAACCCGAGATTTTAGCGTGTCCTCGGAAGCAGATTCTGGCGCGGCCGAAGGTGGGAAATGCAAATCTAGTTTTTCGCGCAAGCACAGGGTTGCGTTGGAGTGTAGATAGGTGAGGTCGAGTGGGGATTGGAGTTCGATTTTGCGGTGGGTGGTTTCCATTGTTGTTTTTCTTCTTGTCGTAGGGGATTGTCGCTGGGAGTTGGAGAGAGATGGAAGAGTTTGGAGAGTTTGGGTTTGTAGGTGTGTTGGTGTGCGTGAGAGGGTGTGCGTGAGGAGGTCGGAGATGCGCGTGTAGGCTGAATGGTATAGTTGTGATGAGTGTGCGCAAGTCGAAATGGTGTCGAAGGGTGTGTGTTTTGTGCTCTTTGTTTACTTTGGAAAAGCGTCTGGAGCAGTGACGGCGATGGAGCAAAAGTGCCAAGACGCTAGAGAGCGACTGCGGGGGGGGGGGGGGGGGGGGGGTTGGGAGTTTGGGAGTCCTTATCGCCGAGATAGGCCATCATGGTACCTTATGACTCCTACCTCGGCACACGCAGACAAGACAGTTGAGAGCCATCTATGACGATCTACACAAGAGCAAGGACAAGTAAAATATGAGGGAAACGCATTTCGAAATCTATAGACTACCATAGCCAGTAATGCAAAAGCCCTTGTCTCTGCAAAATGCACACGTTCCATGTGTCCGCCGTGCCTCGCTTTGCCTGGAGCTATCATCCCTCCTCAATGAGCTGCCTTATGTATATACCTGACCCGCCTCGAACGCCTTGTTCGCCTCGTGTGCAAGAAAGAAGAAACAAAATCCCAGTATCCCATATGTTCACTCCCCCTGCCTTGCCGATAACTCCATTGTGTCCATTATCATCATCATGTCCGTGTCGATTTCGTTTGTAGTTGTTGATGTCAGGCTTCCTCTACTGGGGAAGAATGGCGGCAGCCTCCTCGTCTGTGAGGATGATCTCCTGCACAGGATCGGGTCTGTGCTCGAGGTCCGACGAGTCGTAGTCGAGGTAGGAAGGGAGGAAGATGTCNTGTGACCAGCGTTAGATCTTGTATCGGCATAGAAGATAGCTTGACATACCCTGGTTCCAGTCGAAGCCTTGAGATGTCTTGATGCATGTGATCTGTGAAGAGTTTTAGTGTCGATCGAGGCTGTAAAGCACCTTGATGAACTTACCAGACGGGNNGTTCTCGGGGCCGCCAATGTTGACGACAGTGTACTCGGACTTGTTGAGCGAGTCACCTACACACAAGTTAGTGACANNAAGACTTGAGAGTGATACTGTTGCAGACATACCAAGCAGTGAGGGTCTTCTCTCGGCATAGCGGGCCATGGCGGATGGAGTCGAGGCCGAAGATGGAGAAGCAGACGTCGAGGCCAGCGATGAAGGTGAGAAGGAAGGAGAGACAGTGTTGTTGGCCCAGCTGGGATAAGGAGACGACGAAGACGACGACGCAGAAGCAAAGCCAGAGCTACTCGAGGCGGGCTGCTTGCGCTTGGGGATTGCTATCGACGACGACATGGCGGTATCGTCGAGGTTGCGGGGCCGGCGATTGATGTGCTTTGGAGATGTGATATATGGACTACAGCCCACTCGTGAAAGACAACGAAGCTAGAAAGACGAACCAACACTCAAGAGTGTGAAAAGCGTGCGATGAATCACAGGAATAGCGACGAGGGTCTGATAGGCAGAAGGGAGGTCTCGAGGTCGAGAGGGTAGGACAGATACGGGACCGACTATCGCCGAACCCCAAGCCTCCGCCCGCTCTACATCATCCCCATGTGACTCAGGCACGTTTCACTTCATGCATCATACCCAACATCATCGACGTGCAGATCTCGCTGCATATACGCACATATCTCTTCGCAATCAAGTAGAAGAGCCAAACCAAAATGCCATGAAGATGAATATAGAAAGACCAGGAACCCGCCCGGTACTACTGCCATGTTAAGAATAGGAATCAGAAATCCCTCGGCCAGCCAAAAGACACTGATAGTCTTTCCCACTACCTCTCGCTCTTCCTTTGCTATCCATGAGAGTATGCCGCGAATTGCAAAACACACATGCTCGCACTCCCCTCCTCGCGTATCGCCTCGCCGCTCCTCCATTACTTCTCTTGTGAAAAGAGAAAAAGGGTATCTCAGAATCCAAAAACCGCACTCAAAGCAAAAAAAAAAAAGAAAGAAGAAAAAAAAGAATCATCGCGTCCGTCCCTAGATTTGCGCCGCAACATGCCGTATGTCCCATGCCTTGCTCCGAGAAAAGCCACAGACACCTATATCGTTGTTTTCTTCCCATCATGATCAGATTTACCAGCGTTTCCGGGCAAACTTTTTGTTGAGATGGACGAGCAGCTTTGACACGTTGAACTGCACGTATTCGAGATCGAGATCTTCTTGGCTGTCCTTTTGCATCTCGAGCAAGTCGTCGAGCTTCAGGTCCAGTTCGAGCAGTCCGCGATTACGGCCNTGTGAGTTCGTTAGTCTTTGCGTCATGTAACTCGTCTTCCTTGACTTACCCTTGTAATGCAAGGAGATGATAAATGTTCCAGGACTCGGGCTGGTCATATTGAAGTAGATGTTCGCTTGTCGATTCGGGGGCACGTTACTCCTCTGGATGACGCCTTCCTTCTCCAACTGCGCGTGCGTGAACTTGTATGGTCCGAGCACCTTCTGGCTCTGCACTCGCTTGGTCGTTCCCTCAGACTGTCCTCTGACGTTGTGGAGATATGACTTGTAAGTCTCGAGCTGGCCGACGAGGTATGCGTTGTGGTCCCTGATTGTCTGGTACACCTCCTCGAGCTTTTGACTTTCAGTCAAGACCTTTTCTTTCAACGAGCCGAGGTGGTTCAGTTCCTGCTCTACTTCATCACGTAGAGAAGCGTAGTTGTCCGCTTTGTCGATCATGCCCATGTCGTTCAACTGGCTCAGCAGCTCCATGCTACGGATGCCCTTGCGCACCATGACCGAGTCGTTTTTTGTAGTGGCGGCTGCTTCGGCGACTCTGTCAAGACGGAGCGGTCGTCGTGCAACCACTGCATTCGAAGGCAACGAGCGAAGGATCATGACGAAGGTTGATTTGGCCTCCATGAANAATACCTCCTCTTGAGTTATGTCGAGTGCCGCCGTCAGATCATCCAGTGCTGTCTCCCATTTGCTGTACAGAGGGAGGTTGATAGCACGGTTCTCTTTTCTTGGTAGCTGTGCTGGTGCCGGGCCCAAATCTTGCAGGAGGATTTTCAAATGCGAGCCCTCATCTCTTACTACCAGCTCCTCGGTGTGCTTCTCGAGAAGTGCGTGCATAGCGTAAACTTCGTTGAGCGAGATAGGTAGTTCAAGGTCCTTNTTGGAGAGGGCGACGTAGTTGTCCATTTCCAGCGTCTCGTAGAAGTCTTGTACCTCGCACAAATCGAGCAGAAACTTGTTCATGCGTTCTTTGTTTTGCTGGATGAACGGTTGAAGTACAGACATGTACGGTTCTTTGGCGTAAGAGGGCTTGTTGGCCAGATTCTGGAGCATCTTGGCGACCNNTAGAAGATATCAAGTCAGTATGCTGTATCGAGGCCTTGTTGATTATGGACGTACCAGGGTAAGGGTGCGCTTAGGGTTCTCGGCAGGGTTCTGCTCAATAAGCATGTACGACCTGGGAGTGACTATGGCGGGGTTGATGAAACGCAGGAAGAAGAAACCGCCGATCAAGGTACAGATTGTCTGGTCCTGGGCATCCGGATATTTTCTCCTCGAGAGACTCCTAATCTGTTTGCATATCCATCGAATACCGTACGGCGTCTCGTCCATGCCGTTGACAATCGTGTCCAGGAAGTAGGTGGCAAGTTGAATCAATTGGCCGACCCTGCGGCTGATGATAGCCTGGACTTGGGGGTTTGCAGCAGCCTCTTCGGCAGTGACGCCACCAGGGGGCAGACTCGAAGTAGAACCGCGGACCGAAGCACGCTCGGCCATCATAGTCTCGTACACCTTGAGCGGGTTGATCTCGAGGTCGACGTCGCGCAGCTTGCTAGTAACATAGTTGATTTTTTCGGATAGGACTGTCTTCAGATAACCTTGACCAGGACCTCTGCGTGTGTAGGTTGTCATCATGCGGGAAACGGGGGTATTGGCACGAAGGAGGGAGGAGTAGTCGGGCGTGTTGTCGAATTGGTACGTCAGAACAGACTGTNNAGAACAGACAGGTTAGACGGTGCTTCGAAGACGGGTCGGAGATGGCATGGAACTGACCTGGAACATGGTGAGCAGCAGGTGCTCTTCACGACTCTCGTACTGGTTTCCGTAGATGGTGAACATGACTGTCTGCAGCAGCTGGTCGATCTCGGACAGCGTCACCAGGCGACACAGATGGGCAATGTGTTTCGGCTCGGACTGAAGGAGGAACAACAGATTGCCATATTTTTGAGTCTTGTCGTCGTTGGGAAAGGCACCTTCGGTGAGTTCGTCGGACTCGTCTAGGTGGTCGGCTACTTCATTGCGCNNTGTGCTTGGGTCAGCCGGGTTCCAGGATGCGTGACAGGCTTCAGGACGAACCTCCTCCAAGGCCATGCGGTTCTGCACGAGCAAGGCAATTCTCGAGTCGAGGTATCGCACATCCTTCTCCAGCACAAAATTCTTCTTGGACTGGGACGAGATTCTTGACTTGAGGTCACGGAGGACTTTCTGGGCTNNGTGTCGCCGTCAGTGAGCGCCTGGAAGGTATTGAGCGAAGAACATACCGCGTGCAAGGTCATCTTCAATCTCGAGTTCGCGCGGGTTGGCATTCATAGACAGGTACAAGGCCGTCATGGAGTAGCGCTTCGAGGTGCGCGTTGACCTGGCTCCATCGTGAGAGGAGCGCGTGTTCTGTCGGCCGACCATGGGCAAGAAGGATGAAGACGACGATGTAGAAGCCCGCGATGGCGCATGCAATGTTGCGACCGACATGAATTGGACGACGGTCGCTTAAGTCGACAATCGCTTAAGTCGTAGGAGGGGACGGGCGCCTCGATGTTCGGCAGCACTATATTGCCCTCTGTGTTGATGTCTCGGAGCGGTCGATGCGAGCCTGGCAATAAAGGAAAGTGGAGTAGGGTAGGGAGCGAATGCGTCGGAGGGTATAGCACAGTAGCAGAAGAGGCTGCTTGGACGCGCGATAGAGCAGAGACCGAGTACGAGTACAGCGACACTTGCGCTGTCCGCTTCGGACAAAGTGCTGCGCTGCTTCTTGGGATGAGAGGGTCAGCCAGGTACCGGCGTGGATGACAATTGCTTTTGGCGGATCGGGTTGCTCGGGCTCCCGTACGCTTGATGTGAGCCAAACTAAAGTGCTTTTCGCTGCAATCAACCGTCAAACAATCACACGTGCGCTGTTGGGCATTCCACGTCTCGGCTGAAGCGTCGTAGAGAGAAAAAGTGAAGCAAAGGAATGTTAGAGCTGATGAGCAGCAGCCCGATGCTTTCTTTCTGTCTGACAAGTCTCGCGACCATCATGCACTACCCTTGACTCTTTGTACCAGCTGCACGTCCCCTTTGTATGAGCCCCCTTTGCTGGGAGCAACCTTATTCGAAGCACTCTCTCCCACCATTGCTTCCAGCCTGCTCAGCGCCGCGGCACACCGACGCCCTAGCTACTGGCCGACCACTTTCTGCCATCAACGTCTTTGCATTGAGAAATCGAGGCTCTCGGCAAAAGTCAATGGCCACTTCTCTTTGTTGTACTCGATAACTTGGACGTCGTAGGCACATGTCCCAGGCCTGCGCCTTGATCTACAGAGGTTGCACGACATGGATAGTAAAACTTGCATTCTGCGGTTACAGGAGCGGCCTTTGGTAGCTCGCAATATCCAGCGGACTTGGGCCCCATGTCTTTTCTATTGTCCATGTCCTGACCTGACTCTGTTGCTTGGATGCTTCTTCTCCATCAAGCCGTGTCCTAGTCCGCATGCGGCTCGCAGATCGCACCTGCAACGTGCGTTGATCAGGGTCGCATGGCCAAAGCCCCTGACCACTATGCAACCACTGCCCAGCTTCCTGACTCTTTCATCTTCTCGACTTCACGAGAAATCCCAAAATTGCAGCTCTCATATCTCGTTCAGGTATGCAGGAGCGGGGACGAGACCATGTCTCTCAACAGATCCAAAACCCGGACTCTGCGCTGCAGCCGGATGCTAAAAATGACTCCTCCGCGCGGCATTCCCAGAAAGTCCCCATGAAACACTTTGCTAGCGCCTACCTGAAACGTCCAAACCGTCGGTCGTGATTTGCCGCTTCCACTCCACATTACTCGAGTAAGCGAGTACTTGTCCGCAAGCAGACTCCAGCATTCGCAGCTGGGGTTGTTTCTTTTCTTCTTTGATATGAGATTAACGAGCCACAGCAGCGATCAGTGTCATGAAAGCCACGTATCTGTGAGAACATCGAATGAGCTTTCTGCAACTGACAAGGCGACGAGATGGTTGCACTTACATGCCTGCAGAAAAGATCCACTCGCGTGCAGTCAAAACATGTCTGATGTCCATGACGGAGCACAGTATCCATTGACCCATGCTGCAAACAAAGATTGCAAGGATACGGCAGAGGAAGTTGGGCATCACTGCAAAAGCTAGAAATGGTAAGAGTAGCAACAAAGGCAGACCGGCTGTCATTGCTGTCATTGTCGGTACTTCGACTCTCCTTCGAGGAAGCACGAACAGATCTTTATCGTGCTTGAGAAACGTTGCTTCTGTCATATTGACAGGGCGATGTGCACTCATCCACTCGCGATAACGCGCTATCTCTGCTCCTTGCGGCCTGTATAGCTCTCTGGATGCGCTGCAATAAGACTCAACAGCACGNATCTACTTCTCATCAGCCAAGTACTCAGCCTCTCACATCAACACACGCTTACGATATCTTTCCAGCTTGACGAAGATTTCACCCAACACAAACTTTCTCCTAAACATCAGCTCGCTGTCTGCAGGTGTAATCCGTGCTTCTGCTCGCCTTGATGCAGGCTTCGACTTTCCCTCGGAAACCACGAGTCCGATTTGGGATATCCATTCGTCTAGGTTGCGAAGTTCTTCTTCGTATTCGCAAATCTCGTCCTGTAGGTATAGGAGCAATCGATGATGTAGATGCTCGAAACTGCGGTACATTGGTCTCGCTCCAGTGGTCCCATCTGTCAGCTTGGCTGCTAGAAATTCGTAGCCTTCCAGCGTGGTCTTCTTGAGATCTGGAAAGCTTGGAGCTGGAGGGGCAGACGATGGTATGCCGGCTTGTGGAGGCGGTACTGATCGCAGGAATTGACCGTTGTCATGGGAGAAACTTGCTCGTTGCATCTGCGGGCTAGTGGGGTACATCTGTGCGTGCTGCCGGTATGGTCCTGACATTGGAGCGGGACCACCAAAGCTGGGGCCTATGGGTCTCTGTTGGGATGCAATGTGTTCGTGAAAAGCTTCTACTTGATCCTCGAGCCTGATGTTGGATTGAGGGCTCTGAGGCAGTGAACCTGCTCTGATGCTCATTCCAGGATATGCAACTTGATTTCTTGGCTGTTGGAAAAGAGATACACCTGTGCGGATCGGAGTGGGTGTAGGCCGACCTGCTCCGTGGGTCCAGGCATCATCGCCTTGCTGACCTGCCCAACCACTGTTTTGAGGCGGAGGCATGATAGGTCGGGGCGGTGGAGGATCTGAAGCATCGGGTGAACCGTATGCTGAGCGCATAGATCGAGGCGAAGGTAAGGAAGCAAAGCCATCGGCTTTTGATCTACCGACACTCTCTGGCGTCGGCGGACCAAACCATTGTGCTGTAGGAACATGCTGATATGGCTGGCCTTGATGTTCAAGGTTCTCAGAGGGTTTCGGAGAGGGAGGTGTCCACTGCTCGCCAGTTCCTTCACTAGTTGGCTGCTGATGCTTTTGGTCCTGTGAAGGCATCTCGGGCTTCGACTCTGTGGAAGGAAACGTATCCCGCCTTAAAGTCCTATCGCTTCCACTAGATCTACCAGAAATAGCCGTGGTCTCGGAAGAGGTCGTGAGTGTCGATGGCGTATGTGTACGCGGTTCCTCATCCATCGCAGACTTCCTAGAACGAGTGACATCGCCAGGCACTTTACGAGGCCCATGTCTCCTCATCAGCATAGCTTCGTTGCCAGTAGTATTTGACAAGCGTCGTCCAGTTTCTGCAACCTTGCGAGAAACGCGTTGTTGCACATTTGACAAAGCCTGTTGTTGGGTTTCGCGTTTGTCTGTCGTGGGGGTGATCTCTTTCTGTAGGGCTGAGAGGCCTTCATCGATATCTGACCATACCTCGGATCCTGATCGCGAAACCTTTCTACAGGATGGACTGTGTAAAGGCAGTTCTGTAGAGGACTCTTGAGCCAATGTAGATGGAGTCAAGATTGGCGAGACTGGCGATGGAGTGTTGATGGAGTTTGGCTATCGTTGTTATTGAGTAGGGGTTCTTTGATGTGGTCGGAAAGAGGGGCAGACGAGAACCCACCATTCTGGCGCACGAGCGACGGCACTTTCAGCCGTGGATCTTCCTTTGATTGGAATCTTTGATCTCAGCTACTTCGTGCTCGTTATCGCTCACAGGAACCACTGTTGTAGGCTTGTATGTATTAGGCCTGTATACCGAACAAGTACTTTGGCTGCTCAGATGGACGAAAAAGATGGTAAGTCATGATTGCAAGAGCGTGACCAGCCCGATAGAAAACAGAGCAAATAATGTGGATGGACGAACGCTGGTCCTGTGCAACCAAGGGCTTCCCAGTAGATTGGTAGAATCTGGCCGCGTGCATGATCGGGCATTGCTGTGCTGGCGGCCGACATATCCAATAGTAATGACGTGAATGAGGATGAGATGGAGGAAGTACAGTGACTCGAGAGTCTATATGAACTGAGCTTTGATATCTGGATTTGAGAGATCACATCGATGTTCGAGGATTTTGGTTTGTTGCAAATGGCCGACAATCTGTATGGAGAGGTAAAATGGGACTTTCTACTCTGTTCTATATACTCTTGGTCAACATTGTTGTTAGTTCTCAGATGAACGTATCAGCCCATAGTTTATAGCTCAACACTCTGCACTGATAGAATGTCGTTGGGTCTTCGCTTGATCACTCATGGCAATGTTGAGTCGTGGTTGTTCTCGCCTTTAGTTAATTCAAAAAGCTGCTCCATCAGAAGCGAGAGTGTCATCTATCCAATCACCAGACAGCGATAAGGAGGGACAAATGTATAGAAAGAAGGAATAACATTGGCTATTGTTGTGACCCATGACTGGGAACTGCCTATCATAATAAAACCGTAACACATAACATCAGCGCCAACGCCAACGCTAAATCGACCGCAGCCATCTTGACGCTTTTGTGGCCCTAAAAACACACTCAAACGCTTTGGATTCTCTATAGCAGAGTGTCACCAAGACCGCAACGGACAATAGAGATACCGGCACGGACGGTCTCGCTAGCACCGTGGGACTCGAGGCTAGGGTTGACCTCGACCAAGTCCAGGGCAACAAGGCTGCCAGTCTCGTGTACGCACTCGGCGATGAAATCACCCTCGCGCAAAGTCAAACCACCACGGACGGGAGTGCCAGTGCTGGGTGCCCACATGGGGTCGAGCGAGTCAATGTCGAAGGACAAGTGGATGGGAGTGTCGCTACCAATCCAGCCAAGAGCCATGTCCATGACCTTGCCAATACCGTATCTGNNTGATGGACGATCAGTATCATGGTATGCTTCAAGAGTAGAGAGTATGACTTACCTGTCGATGTCGTGCATAGAGAAGGCCTTAATGTTGTGCTCACGCAGAATCTTCTTCTCGCCGCGGTCAATGTCTCTCAGACCGATGTAGACGAGCTTCTTGACGCTGACGCGCTGGTCGTCCTTGATCCAACCGAAGCAGTCCTCCTTGTCTTCCTTGGCCAAGCCGGTCAAGAAAGCAACGGGCATGCCGTGAATGTTTCCACTGTCCGATGTCTCGGGAGTGTTGATGTCGGCGTGTGCATCGACCCAGATGACGGCCATCTCTCTGCCAGTTCTTTCTCTAATGGCCTTTGCTGTGCCGGAAATGGTGCCAATGGCGATCGAGTGGTCGCCGCCGAGAGTCAGGACAAAGCGGCCCTGGCGAGCGTGCTCGTAGACCTGCTCGCTGAGACGCTGGGTAACGGCACTGACGGCGCGAGGGTTCTTCATGCCGCGGTAGTCGGGGTCCTCCTTGGGCATGATATCGGAGTATTGGTGCACCTCTCCGTCGTAGTGCACGTTGAACTCGAGCTCATCTCTCAGCTGTTCGACGAGACCGGACTCAATCAAGGCCATGGGGGCAGCATCGACACCGGACTTGCCCTGCNNTCGATCGCGTCAGAGATGCCATCGCTCAAAGAAAACTTTGGTCTCACTCACCTGGCCTCCGCAGAAGCCTACAGCAACAAGGCCCAATTCATTGCGAGAGGGCAAGAACTTGGGCTGGAGGGTTGGTGCGTCCATTGTGAGTGAGAGATTGGTAGGATTAGGCTCAGATGGCTCGTAGGAGGGAGAAATAGGTTATGACAAGAATTTACGCGTTAGGACAGCGGAGTTCGCAGAAGAGGGTAGAGATGGAACAAAGAGATGGGAAGAAAGGGAATGAGCGAGCTTTTCAATAAAGCCCAGCTGACCCGTTGAAATCATCTTCGTGGCCTTTTGAGATAGACCATAACGTAAAGTCGCGGTTGCAACTGTACTTAGGGGAACTGCTGTTGCGTTCTTCTCCTAAGCGCAGGTATAGACGCAGTCGGAGAAGGTTTGGTGAGAGGCTGCGTCTGTGCATCGCTGGCCGAGAATCTTTATTACGAAGCAGAAACGATCTTATCTCTGCGGAGTCTGGGGATAGATATTGAGGTATGACGAGGCTATAATTGTTCTCTTTCCTCTAGAAGCCTTCAAGGCAGAAAGGAAACTCACACAAGGACAAGGTAAAGTCCCACCCCATGTGTTTGGTATTCACATAGGGATTGGAACAAGCCAAGAATTCGGTATGGCTTGCACTGTTCCGAGGCGCACAACGACCCGATTGATCCGGGGGCCCTAAGCAAAACTCGCGGTCCTCGAGGATGTCTACGAGTCCGCCTGATGCTAACAAGCCTCTCGATCGACAACTTGTTGACACGAACAATCGGACTCCCTACAGTCAAGCCTCGAGTGTTTGCTTGTTTGGATGGGCATGCATATGTAAATCATTCTCTTGGCAGATGCTGGATAAAAATCCCCATGCACTCCACACAGTCTCACTGAAACATGTCCTGGCATAGGATTTCGGCCGAGGCCTGATCCAAGACATGTAGAATTGGAATCGGACGGGCACGAAAGGATCAGTTTCAGAGAGCATCAAAATCATCGGAAACAAGAAGACGGTATATTTGATCAAGAATTGTACTTGTGTACATTGATCTCCGAGTTTCTTGGCCAGCAGTATCGAGTATGGCGGGCTTCTCTAGCGTGTTCCGCAACAGGCAAATTGTTGCCAGATTGTGGTTTCTATCTGAGAGTGTTCGGATGGTCATGACCATGGACAGATTATGAAGTGTCGATAGAGTCTATTGGAAACGACGCATGCACGATGTACACGAGAGTGTACCTGGTTTGCTCGAATGTAAGATGCAGGCAGATATCCGTACGGCGGGAGGCGGCAGACAAACGTAGGTGGACAGGCCAGCCATGTTCCTTTGTCTGTTCAGCTCTTGGCTCGAACAGGAAGGCGTCGCTGGGGAGAACAGCTTGAGAGAGTAGTGTAGCGTAAAGAAGAGCGTAGCTAAGACAGTATAAGGTGACAAGATCAAAGTTTGATAAAGAAGTGTTATGCGGAGATGTCGGTATCTGTTTGGGTATGCAGGGTATTTGGTGGCTTCAGGTCGCGGTGCATGTGAAAGTGATGGATGTGACGGAGCTTCGACCAAAAGGGAGCCCTCGCTCGCCAACGGGGGTGCAGTCGACGCCCCTTTCAGCAGAAAGCGGGTCTCTAGTGTCGTGATAATCGTGGGTACAACCATGATTTGAAGATACCACGCTGTGTGAAAACATTGACTGCCGACGACTGCCACGATTGGGCTGAGGAGGGAAGAAGCATTGATCGCCGTGTCCAAGGCATTCCCTGACATCGACCACACGATCAGCAGCGCAGGGTGCTCCGAGGAGCCTTGGAGCATTCATTCATCATCCATTGCCATCGTCCATTGCCAACGAGCCCCTCAACTCGACACGACACGACACGACCACAACCACAACCACGACACGAAACATATCCATTATCGTCGACAGTCGCCATGCGCTGAACACGAACGACACCCAGCAGCCTCAGGACACCACAGCATGCTCCGCACCGGCGCAGCGCAACCCGGCGATGCGAACATACACGCCCGACTCTACGATCAGCTCGAAGAACAGCGCCGCGAGCGACAGTACTATGAACGATACGACACGGCTGGCCTCGGTGCCCGCGCGCCCTCACCTGGCGGAGACTCGGTCCTGACCGTCCGCATTCCTGCCCACCAGGACCAACATGGCCAGCATGACCCCAGTCGCCGCGCCAGTGTCGTCCGTGACCGTGGCCCCAGCGACTCTTCAAACTGGTCGCATACCGACAGACACGCACATGGCCTGGCCAACCTGAACCGATGGTCTCACTCAACCACGTCCAGCATCGCATCCATCGACACCCCACCCACGGCAGTCAAGCACTCGCAACCCCGTACCAACCCATCACACCACGGCTTCCACACGGGCTCCATCTGGGCTCGTCGCAATGTCTCTGATGCCCAAATGTCTCCGGAAGACGTCTCACCACGATCCATCGCATATCAGCGCCCTTCGGCCATGCAGAGCCCTGACTATCATCGTCGTCGCGCCCCTCGCTTCGAGAAGCCCCTGCCGCCGCGCATGTCCATTTCGAATCACTCTCCCAACGACGAAGCACAGTTGACCGCTGCCACCTTTACGCCATCAAGCGCTGGTCTGCTCACTCCCAACAGCTACGCCAATTCCGACTACTTTGGGAGCACCGCCTCAGCCTCAAGCAGCTACGACAAGTCCCCCCATGCTCTACCGCCGCGTACCTCGTCGCGCCAGAACGGCTCCATGCCAAGATACGATACCAGTCCCGCTGAGAGTACCTCAGGCAGGGGAAGAGAAAATGGCGACAAGAAGATCATGCTGTCAAAGGCTTTGGAAAAGGCAAACACTGCCGTCCTATTGGATAATGCTATGAATTATGAAGGTGCTCTTGAGGCTTACCAGGACGCCTGCCGCTTGCTCGAGAATGTTTTGGACCGTACATCCGGCTATGACGATCGTCGGAAACTTGACGCTATTCGCGACACTTACACCATTCGCATCGACGAGCTCTTGCAGATTCAACTGACCACCCAAGCCACGAGGAGGGACAAGCAGCTTCCTCCGAGACCCATGAGCAACGAGTCCATGATATCTGCTGTATCTGGCCCGGATCGCAGCTCGGCCATCATTGAGACTGCCACATTGACTCGAATCATCGAGGCGCCGCCTTCCAAGCACGCGTCAGTTGTGCCCTCACCCATGGATGGTCCACCTACCTCCTTCTTGGCTATTTCTCCTGGCCATGGTCCACGTACTTCATTTCTCACCAGTGCCATCCAGGAAGTCGAAGGCACATCTACCCCTGGCGCCTTTTTGGGCCCATTGTGGGAGCGCGAACGATCAAGATCTCCCTTCAGAGATTCTACCATTAGTCATGAAACTGCTCGTCCCTACAATCTTGAGCCTGCGTTGATGCCGCGGCCTTTGACGCCCCCAGGATATGAAGAACATGAAGGATCTGTTGAGCTCGATTCAAGACCCACGACAGCAGAGTCCCAGGAAATTCATCAAAATGTCGATCCAGTATCTTGGTTAGACACAATAGACGAGTCTGGATCATCTGGCTCGCCATCCAATACTACCACATCCAGCCGCTCACCTTCTTTCTCAGTACATGACCGTTCGCCGAAGCGGGGACTACACCGTAGAGACATAAGCGGTACTATCAGTCATGCTAGCCTCGACTTTGATGCTGCTTTCGATGCGGCAGTCGAAGCTGCTTATGAAGATGGCTATGAAGTTGATGAAGATTTCCTCGTAGATCCTCCACCTCCTGTCCAAGACAGTCAAACAACACACGAGCCGGAATCAAATCTACCTACAGCATCTTCTCTGGGCTATTATGCTACGTTTGACGGCCAACTCGACGATGACGAGGCAGAAGAGGAACGCATTCTGGCAGACATAACAAATGATTATATAGATCACGGCTTCGACTTTGACATCCAATCCAAGTCTGCTCTACCGCGGCAGTCCGACTCGAGTACATATTCTGGCCGCACGTACCAAAGTTCGCAAGTGTCCAACCGGACAACTGCAGGCACTTCGCTCTCAACCGTCGCAGAGAATGCTGTATCTCGCCATACGCCTTCTTCGTCGCTGGCAACCGACATCTCCAAGACGTCCCCTGAGCAGACCAGCGGAGCTCAGCAGACGACCACTCCAAGCCGAAAGACAGCCGGGCCCAATTTCAAACAACTCAAAATCGAGACCTCGCGCAAGCCTACTCTCAGGTCACGTGGCTACACAAATACCGAGCCGAAGGAGGCAGCTGATGGTGCGGCCGCAGAAGATGAAGCGGATGCAGACCGCCGAATCTCAGAGGTTCCTAGCTTACGTCGCGTGGAGGCAGCGCTTGCCTCGCCTTATCACATGCGATCGGCCGCTTCGGATACGGCAACATCCATGTCTCTAGACAGCCTGCCAGAAAGCGGCGATGTGCTCAGCAGTAGCTACCGTTCGCCAAGGCCAAGGATGTTCCGTGGCAGGAATAAGTCGTCTCTAAGTCTTCGGGAGACAGCAGGCTTTATCTCGGAGGAAAACGATACTGCCCCAGCTTCTCCCATGTCAGCCTTCCCGGGCGGCGGAGAAGCACCGCCTTTCAGGAGGTATATCACTCCGCCTGGAGGCTCTATATCTATTACCCGCACAGATTCGGCTTCCGGAGGTCACCATATCTTTGAGAATTTCCTCAACCCTCCCAACCAACCACCCTCACCTGGAGCAGACGATTCATTTTCACCCTCATCTCTAGAGCCTTGTCCGGAGCCTACATTATTACGACCCTTCTGGATGCTCCGCTGCATTGCTAGCGTCATCAATCAGCCTCGCGGTGGGTTCTTGACCACTCGGCTTTTTGTTCCTCGCCAGGTCTGGATGAACCGTACTGTCAAACTCAAGAGCGTTGAAGACAAGATTGCCAACTGCGATCTGTTGACAGCTGCTTTGGGTAAGTTGTCCAAGGTCGACACTTATGACGCTGATGCAGTGCTGGAGGAGCTTCAAGGATTCGAGGAGGTCATGGAGCGCGTACAGACTGTGCTCGTCAAACGACTCGGTAGCGAAGTTGGCGTGCAGGGTGTTAGTGCGCTCTTCAAGGACGCTGCAGTTCAGATTGACAGCACTGGTACTACCACCGATGTCCGTGAACCAAAGCAGAACAAGAGCTATCTCAGCTCTTGGCGCAAGCTTCGGGGCAAGAATTCGACAGGTGGCGTCACCATTCCTCTGAGCAGCACTCGTACGGATAAGGAAGTCGCCAACATGGCCAGTGTGCCCATGACCAGCTTTGTACCGATTGACAAACGTACTGCGCACAAGCACACCTCCTCGAAGGAAGCCATCTCTTTCGAAGGCCCGCACAGGGAGTACATGAGCAGTGTCTCTCGATTGTGTGAAGCGGCGCAATTGCTCGATCAAGTTGCTCGTCAAGTCGAGGATCCAGGGCTCAAGCACTCTTCGCCTACGCATATTGGCCTCGAACTAAGTACTCGCCATGCTGCAGAATTCTTCGGCTTCTACATCTGCAGATTCATCCTCGGCGACGTGACTTTGTTGATGGACAAATACGTCAAGAGAAGTACGGAGTGGGTCATTGCATGATCTTGTGATACTCTCTTGGCCCTATACTCATCAGAAGAACCCGTTCTTCTTATATCTTTGCATTCTTCTGTGCAATGCATTTCTCTGTTGTACACCTAGAAGGCCGGTAGAGCCATCACTGTTGTTGTTTTTGTTGCTTGGCATCTCGCGTTCTTGTTGGAAGCATACCCCAAAAGGTCATGAGTGACCTCTGCCTTTGTTCTTGTTTTTGTCTTTTCCTTTTGCGAGTCCATCATGTTGTTCTGAATCTAATATCCATGAATCGGGGGTCAAAAAGAGGAGAAAGGCGCAATAAGTTTCCACGAGCCTCTGTTAGACGAATTATTACCCCTTGTCCTATCCAATCAAATTCGTCCATCCAAACTACTATTCTACTAGACTCGCCGTCTATAACATGTATACAGTGCATGAACGAGTTGGCAAAAGCTCGAGTGTTGATGGAAAGCACATTTTCCTACCGAGACGTTGAGATGCCACCATACATATGTACTCAAGCATCTTATGCCAATCGTTCTTCTAAAACTCCCATGCCATATTTACAGTCCTGCCTTTGCAAGAAACAGACCAGAATGATATCTAAACTACTCCCAAGGCATCCGCTCCACCGCCCGCCAAGACTTGACAAGCACAGACCACTTCCACCCTCCGCCCATCGCATCTCCAAGAACACATTGGATCCCAACTCCAGTGCGCCCACAAAAAGTTGTCTTGTCAGTCAAAGCAAGCATACAAACACACACACGCGCGCAAACCTTCCACAATGGCAAAGAAAGGTATGTCGCAAGACCATGTCCTTGCACGTCCCTGCTGCCAGCGATAATGATACTAACCACTACAAAAAACAACAGCAAAGTCACGCACCATCGCCGTGCGCCTCATCTCCATGGCTCTTACTGGTTACTACAAGACCCTCGTGCGCCCGCGTCAACACAGACCGTTGAGTATGCTGAAATACGATCCTGTCGGTACGTTTCTTTGTGAACTTTCCGACTCTGTTTCCCTTTGGATACGATAGGCGCGATACCAGAACGTCGAAGGGGGGAGAACGAAAGAGGAAGAGAAGGAAAGAAATGCAAAAGGGACAAAAAGAGCAGAGCAAGAGAAGGAGGAGATTGGCAAGAGACGGGGTACATTGGTACTGGAGAGCATTGCAAAGCGCAAGGAGCGAGGCCGAAAAAGAAAACAACGCAAAGAAACAAAGGCTGATTGATTACAACACACAGTCAAGAAGAAGGTTCTCTTCCTCGAGGCAAAGCGCGGTGGTTCAAAGTAATCGCATCGATACTATCGGAGATACGACTGGTTGCCACATCCGTGGCAGCTCATTCTACGAACTGCTGCTATATTGTCACCATTTTCGATCGTCACACTATCCGCCCGGAGGATACCAGGGTTGCTGTTTTATGGAGTCACGGGAGAGCATGGGTCAGGCGTTCTTGGGTTTCGACATTATCAGCAGAAGGCTGTCCATATCAGGGGCCATGTACAAAATGTATCATAAGTCATACAATCTTCCCATCAAAGGAACTGTTCTGAGCAATTCTTCAGCCACGAGCAAGCGACTCTCCATTATCAAAGCGACTGTCCTCCTTCCTCGCCTACTGCAAACCGAGCAACCAATTCGTAGACCATACCATCATAGAATGTTGTTCATAGAATGCTCCAGCAGACTCTTCTCATCCTTCACCCTCCATCACTTCGCAACATCAACGACCGACGCGTGGACTGTTGATTTCGTCGTTGAAGCGGTTCGACATGTTCTGCTCCTTGTCTGTTCGTTCTCGTCAGATATGTCATATGCAATCAGAACATCACCCTCTCACTGGATCTGGTTGAGCGACGTCTCTGAGGACCTGGTGTTCCAGATATTGTCTGAGAGCGGCGTGGAGTTGCGGTAACGCTGCGCTGGCTGCTCGATGTAGCAGCGGGAGCCGCCTTTTCTGTACGTGGCTTCTTGCTGACCTTTGTACTCTGAGGAGCGGGACGCTTCTGGGGGCTGCGGCTGCCACGGACAGAGCTGCTGGGAGCCGAGTACACATCCTCGTCATCATCATCCTCATCTTCATAAGTGACGCGTTTGCCCTTGCCACTGCCCACGGTCTTGAAGTTGTGAGGACCGCTGCTCAGTGCTGACACCTTCTTCTGCAGTTGAAAAGCAACTGCTGATCCTTTGGGCAATTTAGGAATTGTGATGGATTGCAGAGCTCCAGGTCTGCTCTGCTTGGGCTGGCTCTACGGTCTGGGTGTGAGCTTCTTGCCTACACCTTGTAGGTTCCTGCCGCTTGCCTTCATGGGTGTCTCAAATGCATGCGATGTCATAGCCAGTTCATCGAAGGGGTTGCTTAGACCCAGTGACTGCTGTTGCATGCCTGGTTCGATATCCTGGGACTCCTGGGACTCCTGCTGAATGCTCTGCGAACGATCCATCTGGCTCTGTGTCTCTTCCCATACAGACTGCGCCGCGTCTCTGTAAGTTGGACCAAGTTCGCGAGCCTCGCTCAGAGACGAAGATGATGAGACATGTTTGGGGGGTTGAGGTAGCGTATGTGCCTGTGATTGGTTGGTCTGGTTTCTGAGGCTGACCTCTTCTTCATTCAGTTCCTCTTGGGACCCAAGACTGAAGGTCCTCTGCGAATCCGAGTGCGAGGTGTTGGGTCTTGAGTTGGCCTTTGGAAACTGCAAATGCGAATTGTCCAGATCCAGCATTTCCTCTTCTTCCTGTGGAGGACTGTTCAGACGGTTGCTGTTATGGCTTTTACTCCTGGGCTCACTGAAAGGTCCGAAGATAGATGCACCTGTGCTTCTTGGCTGCGTACTTTCGGGAATGTCACTTGTGGGCTGAGTCGCACTGGTGAACATGGCTGAGCTGGTAGGCTTCGAGATCGAGCGAGCATTTCTGTTGACTGCTCTTCTGACCTTCTTGGTAGGTGGAGTGGATGCCTGGTCCTGGGAGTCCTCCTGTGGTTGAGAGTTGGGAATCTGTACGGTGGCTGTGATGGCCTTGATATGATTCTGCTTGAGTTTCTCAATGTCCTGCTTCAGCTTCTCATTTTCTGAGTGCTTTTGCTGAATCGCCTCTTGCTGTTGAGTGTGACGTTCATCCATCTCCTTGAGACGATTGTTGACATTCTCTAAGCTTTGTCGCAAGTCCGACATTTCTTTCTGTCGCTGTTCGGCCTCATCAGTAGATCTTCTCTCAAGATCCCCAAAGCTAGTCTCAAGGGCACATTTCGACGAATTTGCTTCCGTCAAACGCGTCTCCATGGTTTTGAGCCGGTCTTCGGCGTCTTGGGACTTGCGAGTTGCATCCTCTTGTAGAGTGTTGACAGTGACCTCATTGGAGCGCTTGGCTTCTTCAAGACCTTGCTCCAAGGACTTGACATTGTTCTCCGTGGTAGTGCTCGTTTCTTTCAGTGACTTGATCCGAGCATCTCTCTGCTGCAACTCCTGTGTTATTCTCCTCGAGGAGTCTTCCGCCGATCGGCGTGTCGCATCGAGATCTTGTTGCAGTTTCTCTGAGCGACAACTTGCCTCAGCGTTCTCTTGATTCAGGCGTTCGATCTCGGCGTTCTTTTGCTGCAACTCTTCTGACCAGGCGGCGGGACTACGATTGCCGTATTCTTGCTTCATGCGATCGAGTTGAGACCGTAAGTCTTTGACAGTATCGTCTCTGGCCGAGAGCTCACGATGGACCTCTTCCTTCTTTTTCTGGAGCCTGAGTATGTCATTGCGGAAATCGATAGAAAGCTTGCGAACTTCGATCGTGTGTTCATTCACAGCCTCATCAATCTGTTTCTTGGCCTGTTGAAGGTCAGCAGATTCTCTGTTTTCGGCACAAGGACAAGTTGCCTACATCTGCCTCAACTCTGGCCTTTTCCGGACCGAAGTCGGGAACTGCATGTCGTGCATCTTCGAGCAACTTGGTGATCTCACTAACCTGACCCTGGACGAGAGTTAGTATGTGACCGCCACTTGCTCTTCTACCAGAACTCACCTGGAGATCTCCTTTTTCGCGCTGGATGGTAGTCTTCTGCTCTGCAATTGACGCAATGGTAGCCATACTTTCGGCCTTCTCACTCTTCAGCTTCTCGAGCTCCTGTTTCAGATTGCTTTCAGACGTGGTCAGCTCCAATAACTTGGCCTTGTCGGCTTCCGCAGAGACTTTGTGCGACTCCAGAGTGGCCTGCGAGGACTGTAGTTCGTCGATCCTGTTTCTGAGTTCCGCTTCGGCGTTGGTTCTGTTGGCCAAGTCTTGTTCAAGCTTCTCGATCTTCTCCTTGCTTGACTCCGAATTCTGTTCCTCCTCAACGATACGTTCTCGTAAGGCGGCGTTCTTCTCCTTAAGATCTTCCCAAGACTTGAATTCAGCCTTGATGTTCTCAAGAGCTGTCACGACCTTGTTCTCGTTTTCTGTGCGAGCTTTCGAGATGGAATTGTTGGCTTTCCTCAATTTTCTGACGTGCTTTTCGAGGCTGAGAACTATTAGTATATGCCACGCGCCACATATGGAATACACTCACCCGGAGGATAGCTTCTCCACTGAGGTCTTCACCGTCTCCATGTTCGTTCCAGAAGATCGGACTTGTTCGGATATGACTTCGTTCTCTTTCTTCATCAGCTCAAGAGTTTCTCGAGAGGTTTCATGCGAAGAAGTGCCTTGTTCGATGAAGGTCTTGAATTCGCCCAAGCGATCACTGATCTTGCTGATGCATCCGTTGAGCATCACTTCGGTAGAACGACTCTCTGTCTGGAAAGTCTGGATACGCTTGTCGAAGGCGGCTTGGCGTGACTTCTCCTGTTCCAGCGATCTGGAAGTTTCAAGGAGGCGTCTCTCGAGATCAGACTTCTCTTTTCTCAAAGTCATGATAGAAGACTTGCATTCTCTGATGAGGCTCACACTGTTGACCTTCAACTTGTCGATTCTTGCAATTTGTTCCGGAAGGCTAGTGACCACGTCCAGGTTGGCGGAAACCTGGGACTTGAGCTCTCTGAATGCCTTGTCATACTTGGCTCTGCTGGTTTGGAGTCCCTTGATATCTTGACCCAGGCCGTTGTAGGCATTGATGATGGTCTTGAGCTTCTCAGCTATTCCAGAATACCTTTTGAGACTGGCTTTTAGATGTGCACATTCGGTCTGAAGGCTCAACCTGTGGCGGTTGGCCTTCTCCAGCTCTGCCTGTTTGGCGGCAAGATCTTTTACCCAGTCCTGATTCTCCTGAAGCCGCTCCTGCTCTTTCAAGTAATCAGCCAGCTGGTACAGTTGGGCAGCTGTGTATGACGAAGAATTGGTCCTAGGTTTGGCCGTCGAGTTTGAGTTCCGTGCAATCGAGCCAGGTTGTGATGGCTTCCTTTTGTTTTTGGCCACTCTCGGAGAATCGGAGCGGCCAACAACTCCGCGTACAGATGGTTGTGCGTCCACAAGAGTAGGTGGCATCGTGTCTGCTGGAGTCTGTGGACCCTGCACATTACGATCTGCGTTAGGCAATGCTACTTCGTGAGCACCCAGATTATGTGCCTCGGGAACAGCTGCTTGTTTCGCCTGGGCGAGTTGAGGCTGCTCGATAGGAGGGTCTTCTTCGATAGGATGCTGAGTTGTTGTAGATTGCTGTTCCAGAATCGAGTATTCCTCTTTGTTGAGGCGCTGATCGTCACCCGCATGTTGGGCCTGGATGAGAAGCTGTTCATCAAGATTTCCACGAGACGCGGCATGGACAAGTTGTACCTCCGCAACTGGATCCTGGCTTTTGTCATCAGGCAAAGCATCTGGAGCAGCTGCATCTTGCATGGAGACGTCGGCAGACTCAGTACTCAAGGCCTCGAATTGGGCGTGAGCCTCGTCCTCGATGCTCGTATCTTGCTGCTGAGCACATTCAGAGAGGCTTTGTGTCAGAACCACGACGGGCTCGGCTGGAGGGGGATCAGTGAGCGTGAAGATCATGTCAGTGTCGGAATGGGTCTCGGAAAGTATTTCTGTATTCTTGACAGAGCCGATGTGAGAGGCAAGCTCTGTTGCTGGCGAGCCACGTCGGACAGGACTGTTAGCTCTTTCATAAATCGGATCGTTTGTCACCATGGTGTTGTCGTGAGGTCGAGTCATTGAGACATTGCGAGAAGTAGATCTGTAGTTGGGGTCAGCAGGTGCAGAATGTCTACTCTGGAGGAAGTACTTGCCTCTTGCGTTTAGGTTGTTTTTGGTCCTGCATGTGCGTACGACCTGGGCGTTGTGAAGCACTTGATCGTGTATGCGGGTGCGAGGAACGCCTCGAGATCTGAGCATCGGAGATGTCCTGGAATAGAGGTGAGCCATGTGGCTGCACATCTCTTTGGAATTCAACATGGGCTTGGATATTCAAAGTCAGCCAGGATCCTAACCAGGAGAGAACTCTTCTCAGACCTTGTGGAGTCGAAACGACCGGAGATTCCTGTTGACCAATGCGAGCCGAGACTTGGTGTTCTTGATTGGACCTCTCGAATGAGCTAGGGGGAACAGCTTGACTCGACTGGCTCAAGGGGATTGACAGCGATTTGCTCGAAGCGTCGGCAGGAGGTGCCTTGCGGGCTTCGAAAACAAAACGTCTGTTGAAACTGGGTTCAGAGTTGGCAAGAGGAGTGATGATTGTTCTTGGCCCAATGTCAAGCTCTTCTGCCGAAGGCATAGCAGAACACTTTTGGATGATCTCTCTGTCTTGGTGATCAAGTTCGTCGCCTCTGCTGCTGGGTCTACTACTGGCTCTGCTTGTGGAAATGCCGCTATCAGATTGGGAATGAGGGCGAATAGGCACCTCTGTGCCAGACTTGGTGGGAACACTGGTAGTCTGCATGTTTTCGCAGTATGGCAAATCGGTCATATCGTCGGTGGCCGGGCCGTCAGAGGAGGCGGGTCTGGTCATATGGCTGAGGCCACTGCTCATTCGTGGCTGGCTTGACTCAAGCATGGCTGCGGCACAAGGTGTCGATTTCAGAAGCAGTCGATCAGAGGAGGATGGAGGAAGATGGTATGAGAGGTGAAGGGAAGCGAGGTGGAAGAGAAAGAACGGGAAAGCGTTGGGAGACATGTGAGCTCGTCTGTCGTGCCTTCCTGAGCAGGAACTTTCGAAGGGAAGGAGCTGCCTACTGCTCACTATCTGACCCAATGGACGGACCTCATGGACCTACCTCAACACATGCTCCCCGACATGCCATTCTGAACCGTACATATAGTTTGGTCTTGGTCAGACGGGCATGTTGCGGATTTTGTCAAGCAGTACATGATTTATATCTGCTGCTGCTGTCAAATCACTCAAGCTCAAGATGCCTTCGCGCGCCCTACGACAATAGTGCATCACACTTCAGCGCGCTAGCGATCGGACCACCGTCAGCGTCCAAGATCGTCTGGATGGATAGTATCGAGTGCTAGTGCAGGAAAGATGTCAAGGTTGAAGTTGGATAGTGCTTTAGAAGCGTTGGCTTGGCAGGCTCGCAACTCCGCGTCACCCCCGTGTCTCCATGATATTCCATGTTGTAACAATAAACACTGTACCGCCATCACCACATGTTCTTGATACCGATACGATAGAGCTGGCTAGCCATACAGGAACCTGACTGACTTGGTCACACGCGACTGAACACAGCCTCGTCATGGCCGACTCGCTATACGAACTTCTGGCACCGTACTTCGACCGGCCAACGCCAGCGTCCACGACTCCCGATTCTATACCTCTACCCAATGATCCCACAACGAGCGCATATCTAGCCCGACTACCGACTCTCTCGCTACAGTCTTTGACTACGACTGAACCTTCGTACCTCAATGCGGCAACCCAATCGAGTCTCCGTTCCTTGCAGGCACTATCCAAGCGCTCGCATCGCTCCGTCATCACTGCAACCGACCACCTATCGAACCTCTCCACCCTTCTACCCTCATTGTACACGCAGTCGAAAGAGTTAGAAGATGCATTGCCGAACCTTGAATCGGCCGCTACAGACTTTGCGACCAAATATGACAGAAATGCCGATAATGCCGTACTCGACAGGAGGAAAAGAGCAATGTTGCTGAGCAGAAACGTGGATAGGGTCAGCGATGTCATGGAACTACCGACTTTGTTGTCTACTGCTATTAGCTCCTCTTCGGCTGCTGTCACTCAAGGCACTGGGGGCGCAGCTGCTTCTGGTTATGCTTCTGCTCTCGACTTGCATGCTCATGTCAAACGTCTGAGAACGTTGTATCCAGACTCCGATCTGGTAGGAGACATCTCGCGACAGGCTGATGACGAAATTCAGAATCTTATAACTGTCTTGATCAACGGCCTACAAAATCCCTCACTCAAACTTGCTGGAGCAATGAGGATGATCGGCTGGTTACGACGTGTCGCTCCTGAACTTGCTGATGACACCTACAGCAGTGTCCACGGCCAGACAAGAGGCAGATCTTTGGGTGCTGCTACAGGGGAAGGGTCATTGGGTGCGCTCTTCTTAGTGTGTAGGCTGGGCACACTGCGGCGGACACTTGAGGCATTGGACCCCCTAAAAGACCTTGCGGATCAAGAAACAAGTCGTCGATCAGAAAACAGCACCCGCAAAGAAGCCTGGATGGGAGGTGCTCAATCTGAACGTTACTTGAAGAGATATGTTGAAGTGTTCCGTGAGCAGAGCTTCGCCATCATCTCGATGTACAAAAGCATCTTTCCTTCAGCGTTACCGATACCTGGAGTGGCCGGGTCAGATATCACATCGCCTGTTGGCACACCAACACAGACTCCCAGTGTTTTGAAAGATGCGACAACGTCCTTCTTCGAAGGCGATGATGACAAAATTCCATCAGCACTTGCGACTTTTGCACCGCATCTGGTCGACATGCTTTCTGAGACGTTACGTATCTACATGCCAAATATCTCAGAAAGGTCGTCAAGGGACAGCCTGCTCACTCAAGTGCTATATTGCGCGGGCTCCTTAGGTAGACTGGGTGCCGATTTTGGTATGATGCTCGCTCTCTTGGAGGACGAATTGAATGAAGAAGCCGAAGTTGGCGAAACGGTGCGCCTAGACGAGGATGAACATGAATGGGTACAAGTTATGAAAAAGCACAGAGTACAGGCTAGTCGACTAGAAATCCTGGCGAGTGGTGTTGGGTCTGGGCGGAAGACGAGTACCAGTCTTGAGACTCGCAGGCCTTCTGCCGTTCCCGGTTAGAGAATGACAGATGACAGACGGACTCATGTTTGCCCACCTCCTCAATCTTGCATGTTTGGTCGAGCTTTGCCGTCTTTGCCGGTCGGTTTGAGACTCATGAATGTGCATAACCTGTTAGAGACCGGAAGTACAGCGATGGTTCCTACGGTTGCAGATGTTCGGACGAAATCAAGATCATAGAATAAAAAAGCATGAGATAACTATTGCCTTGGCTACTCGGCGAGTCTGACTCCTCCAACTTGGCATGGTGGTCGATGGAGCTTCATAAAGTGGCTGGTGTTTGCGGGAGTGGCTTGCATGGGGACAAGGGAGAGCCGCTGGCGCAACTTAAAATCCATGATTCGCGTCATTCTTGTGAACGTTCCTTTTTTTCTCCGACATCGAACCTGATAAAAATGATCAAAGACATGGCACGCGACGAGCAGGTTGCGTGTTGATACCGTACCCTTGTCGAGTAATCGATCTTGATGTTGTTGTCATGTTCTGTAGTACATGTTTCATCTTCTGAAGATGACAATCACCTTATACAGCTGCGAACCAGGGGAAGGTGGGTCAAAGAAGTCGGGATGCACATGTCCGTCGATTGTCTGCCGCGCGGCCATGGTCGACTGTATCTGTTGCAGTATCGATCTTATAGCAGCTCCGTTGCGGACACGCGGGATGCAGGATAACTTGGTGACGCGGTCATTAGATGCGTGGCCAAGTTGTCTTGCTCCGCTACGCTGGTCACCCAAGACCTAACCCGCCCATCCGATCTGCCTATTATCATCAGCTCCTGCCTTCTACTGTTGTTGTTTTTAACTGTGTCTCGCCAGAATTCTGACTATTTGCGCAACTCGCTTCATCAATTACTCGAATCTAGGATCGGCTTTTCAGTTCACAGTCACAGCGCGCCCAGTCATCATTGATATATGTCTGCTTAAATCGTTACAAACAGCCAGCCAGACTGCCCACAGTTCGCGATGAAAGGATCAAATGCTCTGGTCTTTGCCAGTTTTATTCACACCTACACACTAGCTCTCGACGTCGGAGCAGAAACATACTTTGACCCAACCGACGGTGAAGCTTGGGAATTAAATTATGGTTATTATCCCTATCGATCATATCAAACCACCGACCTCATCTCGCCACAGTTCAGAACCTTGGTTGATTCACCCGACTGCCACGGTGACCGACATGTGTTTTTCACGCCTCGAGGATTTTCTATCGCAGCACCTGGACCGATGATCGTGGACAGCTATGGCGAACTCATCTGGGCCAAGAGTACAGACGGACAGGCGTATGACTTCAAGGTGCAGGAATATAAAGGCGAACAGTACTTGACCTATTGGCAAGGTGACGACAGAGTTCGAGGACACGGTGCTGGAGACTACTATATGGTATGCTTTCTCGAGGATGTCAGCAATAACAAAGAACAATTTGCTGACGAATCCAGCNTTAATACTGGCTATCAAGAGATCAGAAAGATCACTGCTCTTAATGATTTGGCGGCCGACCTTCACGAACTCGTCATTACGCCTCAGGGCACAGCGCTACTCACTGTCTACGAAGTCTACCCACACGACTTGAGCGAGCTCCGCGACTTTGACGAAGGAGAAGAAGATCCTCACTACATCTGGGACAGTCTATTCCAAGAGATCGACATCGAAACCAACGAACTCCTATTCCAATGGCGCGCCTCAGACCATTACTTTGTCAACGAGACCTTCAAGTCAATAGGAGGCGCCGGCACTCGAAACGAGCCCTTTGATTGGTACCACATCAACTCAGTGCAAAAGGACGAATTTGATAACTACCTGGTCTCCGCTCGCTACACTCACACCGTGACCTACATCAATGGCACTTCCGGCGACATTATCTGGATCCTAGGAGGCAAGCGCAATATGTTCAAAGACCTCGACGACGGCTTCGCTACCAATTTTGCCTGGCAGCACGACGCTCGACTCCACTCCAAGACAGAGTTTCCCCAACTGTTCAGCGAAGACATCGCGCTGTATGGAAGTAGAAAAGAGGTGGATGGTGTCACGAAGCAGCTTGTCACTCTTNTTGACAACAGCGCAGAAGATGTTGAACATACACTAGACTCATCTCGTGGACTCTTGCTCGAGGTCACCTACCCTTCTGCTCATATACCGTCATTCCAAAATGACCTCACTGCACGTGATGTCGCCCAGACTGAGGATGATAGATACTCAGCAAAGATCGTTCGATCGTACGATCATCCTCAAGGCCCTCTGTCGACCAGTCAGGGGTCGTTACAGGTACTACCGTCCCAAGACGACAAAACAGACTCCAGAGTCTTCGTTGGCTATGGTTACAACGCCCTTTTCTCCGAGTTCAGTGCAGATGGCACACTCTTGTGCGACAGCCATTTTGCAACCAACTACTCCTGGGGTCTGGGCCAAGTTCAATCTTACCGCGCTTTCAAATTTCCCTGGACTGGCCGTCCGGTTGATCCTCCAACTGCGGTACTTTCAACGGATGGTCAGATCTACGTCAGCTGGAATGGAGCTACTGAAGTCAGAGGATGGGTTCTCCAGCATACTCGTACATTTCCTACCACCGAAAATGCCTGGAAGAACGTACTTCACATCGACAAAGCCGGCTTCGAAAGTGTCATCGATATCGAAGACGTCGACCTGCTACGATATATCCGGGTCAAGGCGGTTGATCAGAATGGTGTGATGTTGGGTGTGTCAATGGAGATCGATATGGGCTGGAGTGCGGTCTTGTCTAGCTCTGTGCCACAGCTCAACGCCATGAACAGTGTGGCACCCATCAAGCTGGTCATGTTGATTTGCATCAACGTTACCATCGTGTTCGTCATGTACGAGCTCTGTAGGCGTCTCTGCACGTGGCGTCAGACTCGCAAGTGGCGACAAAGAAGAGGCATCCGTCTGCTCTCTGACGCATAGAAACCTGGGCGCGAGCTCTTTTTCTTTCCATGTTGTTGCATAGCGATGCACGCACAAGATGCCTTTCTTTTGTCCAATTTTGGAGTCAAATTTGGAGTTGGCCTGGCATATTCCTTTCCATTTGTACGCGGATACCCTTTTGTTTTACCAAGCTTCTTGAAGTACGCATTCCGTCGCGTCCAATAATTCATTTTGACGATATACCGAGCTTCTCCATCCGTGCGAGCAGATCTTTCTTCGTCCTACAGTCTTCGAAACCTTCGGGCATCACTTCGTTCCAGTCCGCTTTTGCATAACAACCATTGCAAGCATAGCTTTCCGAGTCCACAGACTTCCACCATGCCTTCAACCCATCTCTACGTGACATGCCACAGCTCGTGCACGAGTGCACGNNTACCTTCTTGGGGTAANNGAAAACAGGACGATGGGATATCCAAGGTAGCCGCTCACGAAACCACGCAGCACCTCGGATCCAATTTCCAAGGGCTATCCACCTATTGAGTCGGGTCCATGTCTTTTGTATCTTNTCAGCCCGCACCAAGTTTCTGGCAGCTACTGTTTTACGATACTCCGGATCATTTTTGTACCGAAGGAGTTTGTATTCGGATATTAGAGCCAACTGTTCTTCGTACTTTTCTGGATCCTCCTTGAGTTTCGCGTAACTTTCTTTGTCCCAGGTTGTATCGACACGTGGGGAGTAAGAAAAGAGGCGCAATGCTTGCAAGGGCCGTATAGATACAGGTCGACCGATCAGTTTCCAGGGAGCCGGAAGGTGGCATGGACGGTGCAGAGAAGAGTTGGTCAAGACAAGATTATTGATCAATGTACTGTAGGCAGAGTCTGAAGGCACGGTCCTGTTACTTCCATACATCAGCCATGGCCGCTGATGAAGGACAAATCTCAATGCTCCTCACCAAGGGGTATTTATGCTGGAGGATCAGCCTTGACTAAGTTTTGGAACGAGCGTGTCTCGTCAACGCTGCCAAAGTTCGTGTCTTGTTTCGCGTCCGCCGAAAGCGCTGACGAAAATGGCAATTCAACGCGTGAAGACCCCGGGGACAAAATACTTGGCCATTACAAGAGCACTCAAGCACTCTCCTGGACTACACTTTGTCCTTCTACAAGTAGTTCATGGATTATCGATACGATGACCCTCGAAGCGGATTAAATCTATGCTTGGGTTGAGGACGTGCGTATAGAGGTCTCATTCATACAGCTAAGCAGCGTGCCTTGAGAATCTCGTCGAACCCGAAGGAATGACTTTCATATATGACCGCGGCTTGCCAAACTAGCGGCCAATCGTTCGAAGCCTCAACACTCGGGGCTGACTTGTCAAAGGAAGGGCGCGCCCTTGTGAAGAGTCACAGGCATCTAGGTACTCAACGGTAAGCAAAGTCAATGATCTGACCTCCTTCGCTGTTTCGCTATTATTCGTCTGGTCGTACGCCCTACGCTTTCCTCATTCATGATTTTTGACATCCTGTGAACATTTTCGTTCCATTCTACGCCCTTGACAACATGTCTTTGTCGGCTCTGCAAGAAGAAGCCGACCTTGGCGAATTCTTCGACTTCCAGAACGCCGTCTCGGATGGCGGTAGCATGCAAACTAGCAATGCCATCGCTGACCTGGATTGTCTTTCTCATACTGTGGAGAGGTCAGCTCATTGACGTGTTGCTCATCTACAGATATCTAATACTGAGCTTAGCCATCTCCACGAGGCAACAACCGTTCCCGAGTTCGCCAACGAGGAAATAGAGGCAGCAGAATACAGCAACTTTTCAAGATGGATCCCTCGATTCATTCAACCTGATGTAGCGTGTACTTACTGTCGAGATCGTAAGCTCAACTGCTATCTCAGTTATGGAAAGGTCACTTGTACTGCTTGTGTGAGTAACATGCTATCATTACTGCCTAACAAGATTGCTGATGACATGACCCAAGNNGACACTCTCTTTAGACCGTGCAGCTTCGTAAACCCTCACAGCCACAATGCGTATGTGCCTCCCGAGGGCGAGTCGTCGATGGGTCTCGTCGATACTTTACATCCTATAGGAGAGGATTGCCCTCAAGAACAAGGGAAGTTGACCGGCGTTCGATCACTCAAGTCAATGCCGGACAAGAAGTCCAGCAGTCGCTTCGGCAAGCCTGCACTAAAGGTCTTGAGGAACTGGTTGGACGAGCACCAAGCCAATCCCTACCCAACAGAGGACGAGAAAGAGCAGTTAGGTCGAACCACTGGACTACGAGTTACTCAAATCAACACTTGGCTCGCCAATGCTCGTCGTAGGGGCAAAGTCGGTGTCAAGAACAAGGCTACCATGGACGGCCTCTCACACTCAGCTACCACTTCGCTACCACCCACAGCGGCTATCGGTATTCCCGGCTCTACAGAGATTGAAATCAACAAGTGGTCCGACATGAACCCTCTGGAGCGATGGAAGCATTCACCTCCTCAGAACGAACCTGCTCCGTTCAACGCTATCGCCGACGCCTTAGATAGAAGAGATCTGCCTGACTATGCAGAAGAGTCAAGTTCGGCATCAACCTTCGGTTGGCAAGGTCTTGAGTCGAGTCGAGATGATTCGTCTTTCTCTCATAACAGAGCAGGATCTGTAACGTCCATGGAAAAATCTACGTCAAACTCTGCTGCATCATCTGCGGCATGGTCAGGCTCGCGCGAATCGTTCGGATCATATTCGTCGTTTGGAAGCAGTCTCAACGGCAGGAAAGAACGAAGACGTCGCCGAAAGCTGCCCGGGCCGGTTCTCAAGAAGCCGTCAAACGACAAAAACGTCAAGAAAGACAGAATCTTTCAATGTACATTCTGTACAGATACCTTCGTAACAAAGTATGACTGGCAGAGGCATGAGAAGACGTTGCATCTGTCTTTGGAAAAATGGATTTGCTGCCCATTGGGTCCCGAGACTCTGGATCCTGTCACAGGCAAAGTTATCTGCGCTTACTGCTGTGCCCCAGAGCCGACAAAAGATCATATCGAGTCACACAATCATCGACAATGCTTGGACAAAGGATTTGAAGGTCGCACATTCTATCGCAAGNATCACCTGCGGCAACATCTTCGACTCGTACACGAATCGAAACTTTTGCCTCACATGGAAGACTGGAAGACAGCCTTGTCCAACGTCAACAGCAGATGTGGCTTCTGTGACAAGCGGTTCAACGTGTGGTCAGAGCGCAATGACCACTTGGCTGCACACTTCAAGGAAGGAGCTAGGATGAGCGACTGGAGAGGCTGTCGAGGTCTGGATCCGGCTATTGCTGCGCTTGTCAACAGTGCCATGCCGCCTTACCTCATCGGCCTCGAGACAGACTCGGTCAACCCTTATTCTGCTTCATCTCCTTATAGGTGTATGACCGTCCAGACACATCTCGATAGCGGAGGTCCGCCAACTACTTGCTGGGAGATCTTGACCGTACGACTTGGAAAGTTCGCAAAAGAGCAAACTGATAAGGGTATCATCTTGACCGATGAGATGCTGCAGAAACAGGCACGACACATTCTGTACGACTCGGATGATGCTTGGGACAACACTGCGGCCGATAACCCCGAATGGCTTGACCTTTTCAAGAGAGCTCATGCTCTGGATTATATCCCCTCCGAAGTTTCGGGTATAGCTAAGAACATCCCTCAAGACCTCGAACTATATACGGACCTGGGTATGAGAATCCCCTTCAGCGTGCAGCAAGCACATAGCATCTCAGCCGATTTCCCACCAGCCGGGCTACCAATCGGAGGAAGATATTCTGAGCTCTCTGATTCGAAGATACCACAAGACCGAGCAATGGCTTTCGAATGGTTGTGTGCAGGACAGCACCTGCGCAACACTTCTACCTCTGGCAGATCATCACTATCGCAGCCTTCGCCACAGAATGGGTCCAACTTGGCGACGCCAGCCACTTATCAAAGCTATGGTTCAACGCCTTTGCAACTTGACACACCTCAAGATATGAGCTCGAACAACTGCTTGGATGCAGATATTGATGCTATCTTGGCAGAAGCAGGCTACCAGCCAGTACCTCAAACCAGTGCAGGCGATCGGGCTCGGCAGCAGAACGCAGAATTGGCACAGAAGCATGGTCTAGACTCTTCTCTGACGCCAGAAAAGGCACAAGAACAGTTGGCCGAGCTGAACGCGGCTATGGCTGTACTCACTGAACAGGCAGTCTTGTGCGATGTACCGCTATCTGGGCAGTCATCAAGCACAATGGACTATCCAGACATGAGCATGGAAGTAGAGCTTTCACACTTCATCAAAGCGACGAGTACATCAATCAACAACAATCTCTTTGCAACGAGTTGGGAAAACAAAGATCAATTTGCATTCGGTACGGCCGAACAAGATGCTAGCATGACGGCGACGGATATGACACTCCAAGATTTAGATATGGATGATATACACTTTGGAGATATGGATTTCGGCTTGGGCTTTCAAATGAAGTAAACTAGAAAAATAATACAACTTGTCTCGGATCTTCATTCAGCACAATTGATCTCGTGTCCTCCAATGCTGCTACACCAAGCGTGTTCTTGGCATACGTATTGTCCAACGATAATCAACGCAACCTCTGGGTGACCTTTGTTTTTCTATCAGGTTTCTGGCAGGACAATCGATATGGCTCTCTTTGCGTTATGCTGCACAGCAGACATTCCGAGTTGATGTACGTCTCGAGTTTACACCCTCGACGACTAGTGCTTACCGCAGGACCAGAGAATCAATAACTTCCTCGAGCAGACCTATCAGAACAGCAGTAAAATGGACTGTCAACCAAGTCTTTTGCTCATCACATCGTTGAGCGGCCTCGATCCAACCAAACAAACTGCTGCAACAATGCCACCAATCAGCTCCTTCACATCTCCGTTTATTGGTACATCGTCCGGCGATGCTGCAAAGATGCTTCAATCAGTCGCCGCACCAAACATCGTAGATTCGAATCTCTTCGCTGTGTTAGACGAAAGATCACTATACGATGACTCTGGCTTGATCGTTCGAGTCAAGGATGGTGTGGTGGACCATGTGCGTGTGCACTTCGACACTATCAATACGGAATTGATTCACATTCAAGTGATGACGGGCGATATTGCAGAGACTAATTTCATGGCCGGGGAGGGCGGGGTGTTCAGAGTTAGATCAGATGGGAGCAAGAAAGGAGGGCCTGCGCCGAGAAAGAAGTTGGGTGGATAATCTTTTGTCAAACCAATCTTAACAATGATGGACCATGCGCAGCTACCCAACTCATCCACCTCACTTTGGACCGAGCCGTGTGGGTCTAATCTTTGGTGGCGTCGCTCTTGATCTTGCTCATCCAGTGTGTATATCGGATGCCTTGTCGAGAGCACCCGTCTCCAACAAAAAGGTAAATGGCAAAAACAAGCTTCTCCCCTATAATTCGATGTACAAGATCGCTACAACGCATCTGGTGTGAACATGCTGTATCGTGTTGCGAGTGAACGATCAGCATTGGGACGATCGGCTGTCAATGATAAATTATGTAGAACTAATTCGATGAAAAGTAGGAAAAGAGGGTCTACAGTGGGGAAGGAGTTAGGTCAAAGTGAATAGGATGAGTAGACAAAACCCTAGGACTATCGTGCCCACCCTCTGAGGGTCGACATGGGTATAAGTTCCCGTAAATGTTACTCTGCAAGCATGTGCTTCACTGCACTTTTTCGACCTCATGATGCTGAGTCTCAACACCATCCATAGCATCAACCTTACTGCTGCGCTTCTCGACACCAACGTCTTGCTCTTCAATTCTATGAACCTCTTCATTCTCTCTTTCGATGTACTTATGCGGTCTCTTGCTGGAGATGGCGTCCTTATCCCTGAACACAAACAAACTCGGATCAGATCTAAAGTACGCATCCAGATCCTCGAGGGTACGCGAAGCGGTCTCCGGATAGAGCATGTAGATGGTCGGTAGGAAGAGGGCATTGGTTGCCACCCAAATGGGCCAGAACTTCCAGCCCAGATTTTGGAAGCCGATGGGAGTGATTTCGACGATGACAAAGTTTGTGATCCAGTTTGTAGCGGTGGCAACTGCTGCACCCTTTGTGCGCATCGGAAGACTGTTAATTTCTACACCGATGAGTTAGAGCGACGCACCGAAAGATGTCTCGGCTCACGACAACTCACCAGCAGGAAATAGCCACAGGACACCGAGCATACCCACGGCGAACGCGATGTTGTAGAAGAAGAAAAAGAAGATGGCCGCTTTGGCACATCCGGTACTACCGTCAGCCATTGCATATTTGAGAAGGATTGAGATGCCGAGAAACGCGATAAGCTGCAAGAAGGTGGAGATCATCATCAGAGAACGGCGACCTAGGCGTTCAACGAAGAGTACTGCAACGCCAGCGAAGATGAAGTAGGAAACTGCATTGCAGGCAGATAGCAAGCGAGCCATCGAGTTGCTCAGTCCAACGTATGTGATCATGATCGTAGGGGTATAGTAGNNCCTGTGAGTCGAGGGTCAGTCAGCATGTTTCTGGTGTGAAGGTTGTGCTAGTCACGTACTCATGATATTAATTCCTCCAAATTGCTGCATGAACTGGGTGCCTGCTCCAAGAAGCAAGCGGCGGACACTTTTCGTTCCATCTTGAGTGCGACCTCGAAGGAGATCATTCCACTTGATTGCATGCTCGCGTTCGTACTGAACACCGTAAGCAATCTCTTGATACTGTGCTGTGACGTAAGCATGGTCGATGGGCTTATCATCGAGATCGGCTAGGATCTGGATGGCCTCTCTTTCTTGGTCGTGAGCGATGAGCCAACGAGGCGATTCAGGCAGCCAGGGAATGGTAGCAAAGAGAACGAAGATGAAGATGAACTGCAGAGCTAGAGGTAGCCTCCACTGAACCGAGCCTGGTACAAAGCTCAAACCATAATTGATCCAGTTGACGACCATAAAGCCACCGACATTAGTCATCATCTCCAGAATGACGAGTTTTCCTCTGAGCTTCGCAGGAGCAGTCTCCGTTTGCCAGATTGGTGCGGTTGCAGTGTTGATGCCGTTGCCGATGCCAAGGATCACACGTCCGATGAACATCTGTGCAAGACTGAAAGAGCTGGTTTTTAGGATGACTCCGACTGACATAATTGCGGTGCCCAGCAGAATGGTCTTTTTCCGTCCTAGCCGTTCTCCGATAGTAAAGGCTATGATCGCACCGAAGAAGCAGCCCACGTCATATATGGCAGCGAGAGTTGACAGAACCTTGGTTCTGGAAGGTCCCACAAGATCGTGCAGCTGGAGGAAATTCTCACTGACAACTACTCCTGAAAAGACACCCTAATATAGCAAAGTGGTTAGCTTGGCTCGGAACGCATTGGTCATCCCACTGACTTGGTCATAACCAAAGAGAGTCATATCTGTCGCACATGCGACAGTGATCCAAAACACCAGCCATCCACCCCTAAAGCCGAAGTACCTCTGCTTTGGAGCAAGATACATAGCGTACAAGTCTAACGTGGTTACAGAAAGTTGGCTTTGCCGGAGGTATAAATCAAAGGTATGCTGCCGCTTTTACGACCAGAAGTAGCACTTCTTATACTTTGCTCAACCCGGCCACTTCTCGAGGATGATCCGGAACCGTTGGTGAGTGCTGTGAATTCGGCATAGCTCTCGAGTAACATCATTCTGCCTAAAAGGTATTGGCCTTGCATTGCGTAGGTTAAAGTGACTTTCACTCCACACAAGTACCATCGCTGAGAACACCGTTCGTATCATGGTATAGGGCCATCTTGATACAATCTTACTAACCTTCAAACCTATCGAGGCTAACTCACATACCTGTCCATGGATATAGGACCGAAGTTGCGACAGATTGAAAGGCCGCCATCTTTGGCATGCTCTGGAATATCAACACAGCGCAAATGGCCTCACCCGGTGCCATAGACTCCCACATGGTAGTCGTGCGGAGAGAACAGCCGAATCTGTTTAATGCACCTGATGCAGAAAACAGTCATGTGGACTGATCCTTCAATCACGGCTCTTGGCGGCGGTAACACAGCATCTCTACCAGGTCTGTGGAACTAAAGTCTTCGCGGACGCGCCTGTTCCGCATGCAATCCTGCAGAGAATGCTTGGCAACATGTCCTACAGCAGTGTCCCGTGGCGAGCTTGACTTGGAGTGTGCGCTTGAAGCCCTGACGCCATGATCTTGTTGGAAGATCATTATAACAATAGTCGGATCGTTCGTTTCAGATCAAAGGTCAATCATGCTTGTCGTTGCGAGAGTTTGGCTGAAAGGTTGATGCAAAAACTGCCGAAGATCTGGCAAAATTGCGGGCAAACTTCTCTCTCTGTCGTTCATCATTCAACGTGACTTCCACTCCCACCTCCAAGCGTCCATGAAATAACAACAGAGACAACTGACTCCCCAGTCGTGTTGGTCATTGCTTTTATGTTCCATCAGTCGTTATGTGATTGCTGCTGTATCCGCGAGCTACAAGCTCGACAGCTTCACAAGTTACTGGTGCTTTTATTGAACAAGACACCACGCTGAAAGCATACTTCAAGCTGTGTCATAGATTGAATGAGGAAATCTCGCGGTCTTTCATCACTAACTGGTTGTCGCTGGCCCGACGTCATGTAGTAATCTTGATCCAACAATGTCTTCTGCAAAACGCATCTCACAAAGGACACCGCTTGCTCTGGAAGCATTATGAGTCTTGACAAGCGGTTTCTTTCGAAATTCCGTGCTGGGACAAGGTTGTTGAATCTAGTTCCATCACTTTCCGTTGTGTCTTGTTTGTTCGAGACGAAAAACAGAAGTCTTGGCTTTGTTTTGCAACACCACGGCCATCGCATAAAATCATCGCGAACCCACCGCTCCTTCCCACTCTTCATGCGCACGGCAAGATGCTTATCGCCGCACGACTCAACATCAAACCCTCTTTCTATCCCATACGTAACACTCCAGCTGTCAACCTGCTCCGCGATCATGTTCCTGGCGTGGACTCCGTTGAGATACTGGCAATTGGATGTGGCGATGTTCGAAACATCCTTTTCACCATATGGTCTGAACAGCGTCGCGCATGCAAACTGAACTTCACTGCATGCGACTTTGACGCTGCTGTTCTAGGTAAGCTTCTTTCTGAGATCCATCGAGTTGAAAGAATTGCTAGCATACGAGATGATGCTCCGGAGACGGGGCCTCGTCGCCCGTCGACAAAACTCGATGAGCTCAGCTGAGACATGATCCATCACTGACTGAATTCATAGNCCCGTAACGTGTTTCTCCTGACAGCTATCACTCACGATCCCACCTCCGAACTGATCGAACGCTTATGGCGAATCTACTATCACTTCTACGTCACCAGTACCGACCTCACATTCGTCCAGCAGCATTGCAACCAGCTTGTCACCGCAGCTGAAAGCATATCAAAATGGAACGACTCGTCCTTCGGATCGTCGTTCAAGTTCTCTGGTGTGGCTTCGTTGTTTGAAGTGAGACGTATCTGGGCTCTTTACGCTCAGTCAAGGACCACACAGGAAGACGATGAAGTCAGACAAGCCATCAAGTCTGTCTACGACCGCAACAAGACGGTGCTGCCAATAAGTGGTGTGCGACACGCCGGAGCTCATGGCGCCTCTGGGTTGTTCACACTCGGTGATGCTTACAATGCCTTCTGGAGAACTGGTGTCGTGGCCGGCAATGATCAAGATGTATCCGCTCTTTGTTCAGACAATGGTGGCAGAGTTAACCCACTGATGTCTGTTTCGCAATCTGATCACTTTGATGTGTTCAACACCACCGATCCACTAGTTGGTTTCCATCTGGCCGAAGTTTTCGATCGCCCCCAATCATCGGACGCGACCACGGACTTTCTCGCACGCCTGGCCAAATCTCAATTCTCTGAGTGGTGTCAGAGTTTCGCGTCATGTGTCGCATCAAGCTCGGTCAACATCATGCACCACTGTGGAGACGCCGTCAACTTCTCTTATGCTCTGCAAGCCATTCAGGGCTTTACGTCTCTACCTTCTTCCACATACTTCTACACCAAGCCGTACAGCGCTGTCCCGCTCGAGCCACCCTCAACGGTAGCCGCCAGTTACGATGTCATCGACACCTCAAACGTCATGAACCATATCGGTCTTTTGGCTCTTCTGCCTGCTGTCGTGCCTCTTTTGTCTGAGAGACCTGGTTCTATCTTGTACACTGAGAATCTCGTACAAGGATCGGAAAAGTCTGAAAGACTCTTGGAAACTCTGCTACATTCAAATGTCACGATGTCATCACTGCTGTTTGGTGTCGCCCCTACTGGTTACATCTTAGGAGCAACAGCAGACTCTACACTTCTTGAGCAGATGAGCGAAGTGGAACTATCTGATGGAAGCCAGAAGCAATACCGCATACGTATTCCATGGCAGCGTGCTGCTCAAGGCGATAGCACGGTACCTGACGTCAAGTCTGCGTCATATCGTCTCAACATGGAACCGCACGAACTCGCATCTTTCTTCATGCAGATATACCTTGACATGTTCTGCGAGAATGAGGATCTGAGCATCAGAACCGAAGTCTTGAAGCGCAAGTCGACCCGGCCTCTGGCTGGCGACGTCGATTATTATTCGCGGCTCACGCTAGTAACACTCATCGCTTCAGCAAAACGTACTATCTCGACTGACTGGCAAGAGTGTGTGAATGCTCTCATGCAGATGATTAAGGACGACAAGTCTCTGTACGGAGGCTCGAAATCACTCGTAGAACTTACACTGCACCTCCACTTGTCCGGTATACGGCACGTATCCGGTCTAGAAGAGGGTCCATCAGGAACGGCCTACGTTAACGAGATCAATCCTTCATGCGCATATCAAGTTACTATGCCCGGAACCGTTCACGTCGCCTTGATCGTGCCCAGAAGCAGCCTCTCGTGTCTCACACGCTTTCCTGTTGATCTAGTTGGAACGCCAGGGGTACATCTTTGGCTGCGCAACACAAAATTCGAAATCAGCTTCTTCGCCATCGATCTCTTCTTTGGTCACTTTAAATCAGAGAATCTCGGAGAAGCGCATCTGAGCAATCAAGCAGAAGTCATTGAAGATGCTCGTGGTTGGTCGGGTGATTCTGACTTGATTGTCACCTGCAAGATGCCCACGTATGCATTGACGCTAGACTCTCGTGAGAACGTGCACATTGAGCTTGACGTCAACACTTCACGCCCCTTCCTACAACGTGCTGGAGAACCTGGGGTCCGATTCGGATACTACAGTGCTACGTTGGACAGCAAGAACGTCCGAGTCCTGACCCAAGCACCCAGCACAAAGCCTAGCCCAGTGCTTGACATCAACTACGCCTTTACTCCAGAACCACCCGGATCCGGTTCTGCTGACGTGGCTCTTAACCCTGATGGTACTGTACTGTCTATTGGAGTTACCAATAGGTTTGCGCACGGCTCGGAAGAGAGCCTGACACTGAAGAATGGTGGCATAGTAGAAGTTTTACAGATCTCGCCATGCGTTCTTGCTGTTTCCATCGGTAAGCTACAGCATGCAAGCAAGTTCTTCTTCCCCTTGCCTGTCAACGGAGCTGCGCACAAGATGAAGATTGCTCGCAAATCTTCATGGATTGAGATCAAAGTTCCCACATCTAACGCTCTCCAGCCTGGAGGCTTCAATCTGGATCCTTTCCCAATCATCAATCAGAACAACAGCTTTCTGGCTTGGGGTATGGGTCGCGTCAATCCTGACCTCCAGCCAAAGGTCAACACTTCGGCTTCTACTCCCGCCTTCTTACAGTCGCTCTGCGTCATGTCGATGAGCAAGAGAGAGCGCGCCCAGATGGATGCCATCATGAGAAGTATGTTCTTGCCGCCTATGATTCAGCTGAAAGGAATCATTCGAGTGTGGTTCTTGACTCACGCCGGGATTCATCCCAGCCCCGACGGCGAAGATATCAGATTGTTCACCATGATGCGCGAGATGAGCTCCAACAAGTACATTCCCGACTGGATGGTCATTGCCAAAGCTCTCCGCCATGATCGAGACACGGGTTCAGTGTTCTTGGATGCATTCTTTGTCCCCTCGACCCCAGCATTGATCAAACTCAACCCTTACAAAAAAGTGGTGAATGGAAGTCCAGTCCAGAATACCACACTGAACCTTGCAAGCAAGGAGACTATGGATCTGTGGCAGCAACTTGTACCAGCCCTTGCTGAACGCTGTCGCTCATGGGAGCACGTCTCGGACTGCGTTTACAGAACCAATCCCGGCAAGAAAGTCCTCTGCGACTGTGGACTAGGTAAAGACGCATCAAGTATGCCTGATCCTTACAAGGAAATCGCCAGTTTCGCCACTCGCATCGCCATTCCCATCCTCTTCGCCGTGCCGTATGTCGAGGCCGTGGGTGGTCAAGAAGTTATGAGTGAGCTCGCCGCTGCTTTGATGCAACAAGTGAAGTTGAGTCAGAAGCATGGAACAGTCAGCTCCACCATGGCTGCTGTTATGAAGGCTCTCGATCTGGACCAGGAGCCGGAAACTGCTGGCGGTACTGACTGCGACCATTGTGGAAGCGACAAGCCTGGTCTGAAGGTCTGTGCTCGCTGTGAGAAGGCCAAGTACTGTAATCGTGCTTGTCAGGAGGCTGCATGGAAGACCCACAAAAAGGTGTGTAAGCGCTGGTGACCTCGAGCTCGACACAAGACGATAGATGTATCTGGCTCATTTGCCTTGGTATGAAGAAGTCTAGTGATATGCGGTTCGACAAGAGGAAGACATGAGGTTGCACGGTGGTCTGTCAAGTTGTAAGATACGCAAGTAGTGATAAAGGCCAACATATGCAAGTTGATCAGATGATGGATTCACAATTCGCGTCTATTGATCCCATTCCAACTGTTTTCGCTGTGACGCTTAATCACAGATGTTATCACCTACTGTCCGGTGCCTAGGTTCGGAGGCAGTGCACACAGCGAGATGGAGTTTGAGGAGGGTGCAGAGGTAGCTACAATCGAGTAGACCTTGCTCGAGATGGGAGATTTGACTCGATAATGAACGATGTGGCAAGGAGAGGAGCTCTGCTGGATGGGGGAAAACGGTTTAGAAATGTATGCAAATGCCATCCGTTTTCTTTGCATGTTATTCTACTCTTGTGTATGCAATCATCTAAACCTCATCCTCGAACCTTCTGACCAACAAGCCATCCTTCTCCAACGCCTCCTTGACCTGTCTGACCGTGTACTCGCCACGGTGGAACATGCCAGCACCCAACGCAGCATCCACGGTAGTCTCGTCAAACACCTGTTTAAAGTGACCGGGATTGCCCGCTCCACTGCTCGCGATAACGGGGATCTTGATGGCAGACTTGACGGAACGGATGAGTTCCAAGTCAAAGCCCGAGTTTGTGCCGTCCTTGTCGATGCAGTTGAGGAGGATTTCTCCGCATCCCATTGCTTCGACTGCGGTGCAGAGTTGGACGACGTCGAGGTCGGAGGTGGTGCGGCCGCCGTGGATGGTGCATGCGTACCAGCAGTATTCTTCACCGTCGGGGCCTGGGTATGGCGTCTTGAGTGTGTGGTGAGACGTTTCTTTGGGGTCCTTGACGTAGATTCTGCGGGGGTCGACGGAGACGACGACGGCTTGTACGCCATAGGCTTTTGAGATTGTTTCGATGGCGGTTTTGCCCGAGAGGGTGCCGTTGTTGGCGTAGTATTCTTCGGCGGCGGTGACGGCGTCGGAGCCGATGCTTACTTTGTCGGCGCCCGACTTGAAGTACAAGGTAGCGACTTGCAGGGCGGGGACTACGGTGTTTGTTTCTGGGTCTTTTGTGTCGCGGATGCCGCCGCCGATTGTGAGGGGTACAAAGACGGTCGAGGAAGCCTGGCGCAGGATTTCGAGCATGGGTTGGTCTTTGAGTGGGGTTTCGCGGAAGGAGGTGATGTTGAGGAAGGTGACTTCGTCGGCGCCTTGTTCGTAGTACTTTTGGGCCATGGAGACGGGCTTGCCGAGGTTGCGGACGGCGGCACCGTCTTCCTTTTCACGGACGTCGTATTGGTCTCCTTTTGTGACTACGAGGTCGCCTTGGTCATTTGTGCGGACGTCGAGACAGGCGATGATACGGCGGGTAAGACCTTCTTTTGTGGTTAAGGCGTCGGGTGTTTGTGGCAGGGTGGTGAGACGGTCGCCATTCAAGAAGGCCTTGAGGACGCGCAAGCCTGCTGCACCGCTCTTTTCGGGGTGGAACTGGGTGACCAGGACATTGTCCCTTGCGACGGCACCAACAAACTCCTGGTTGCCGTAGCGGGCAGTGGCTACGGACCAGCCGGCCTTCTCGAGGACGCCGGGCTGGTACATTTTTGCGTATGAGTGGACGTAGTAGTATTTGCTGTCAGGACGCATGCCGTACAGGCTCTGGTTGGCGTCGAGGCCTTGTTCGGAAGCCGTGTTTGCCGAGTTCCAGCCAATGTGAGGCACACTCTTGTCCGAGTCGTCGAATCGCTCCAGACGGCCGGGGATTATACCAAGACCAGGCACGTCGTTGTTCTCTTCGGACCCTTCGAACAGGGCCTGCAGACCGACGCAGACACCCATGAAGGGCTTGCCAGCGGCGATGTGCTTCCTGATGGGCTCGACAAAGCCAGAGTTGTTGAACTGGGTCAGGCAGTGGCCAAAGTGACCTACGCCGGGGAGGATGAGTTTCTACGTGGCCTGTCAGTTCCTATCAGCCATTGTAAATCGGTGGGGTGTGAGGGGCTGTACCTCTGCCTTGGACACATCTTCCGGTGACTTGATCCACTCGACCTGGTAGCCGACCTTCTCAATGGCATTGACCAGTGATCGGATGTTGCCAGCGACGTAGTCTAAGAGGTGAACGGTCGGCATTGTGTCTTGTGTCGTGAGTGGTTATCAGACGATGAGTCGGAAACAAAAAGACGAAGCACATGCCGATGACTCGTTTGGTGACTCTGACGAGCTCTCGGTCCGATCCGACGACCGCCTTCGGCCCGCGGTTGGACATGGCGGCAGAAATTATCTCAGCCCTATCGACGAGCAAGCGGTGCAAGCCTCTTTCTGAGCCTTCCTGTCGCATCGCAAACAGCACACCCGGTCGCCCACCATGGTCAGACAACTCAAGCACCACGAGCACAAGCTCCTCCGCAAGGTCGACTTCTTCAAGCCCGACACGAAACAAGGAACCATTCGCCAGAACGATGTAGTGCGCCGCGTACGTCCATCCTCTCTCTTCTCCATACCAGAAGACCCCACCAACTGACCACCACGCACACAGTACATGATCCAAAAGCCCGAAGACTACACCTCCTACAACCGTCTCTGCGGCCAACTGCGCCAACTCGCCCACCGCCTCACCCTCCTACCCCCAGACAACCCCTACCGCCTCGCGACCGAAAAGAAACTCCTCGACAAACTCTACGACATGGCCATCCTCAGCGAACGCTCAAAACTCTCCGCCGTCGAGAACAAAGTCACCGTCTCTGCATTTGCCCGCAGACGTCTAAATGTCATTCTCACAAGACTGCAAATGGCTCCTGATCTCAAGGCCGCCACTACTTTTATCGAGGGTGGCCAGGTCAGAGTGGGTACAGAAGTCGTCACCGATCCTGCCTTTTTGGTCACGAGGAATATGGAGGACTTTGTGACGTGGGTCGATTCGTCAAAGATCAAGAGGACCATCCACAGGTACCGCGACAAGCTGGACGACTTTGACTTGCTTTGAGCTGTGTTTTTTCGTCCTTTGGATTGCAATTGTGGGTTTTACTCTGCATTTATCAGCGTGGCGTTTTCTGGATTGCGATTGCATAACACCATGTTGTTCTTGAGAAGACTGGAAAGGAAAAGGGAAAAGGTCCTAAGGTTGAAATGCAAGATATTTGTAGAACTGTCTTGTGTCGTCTTGTCGGGTATCTTTGCTATAAACGAAATATCAAACCTCCTTGTAAACTCCAGATGCGCCATGCTTGTCCCACCCATATGCTTTTTGACAATAACCAAAAATCAACTGAAGTGAATGCCCTCCTGGTTGAAGGCATACAGCAACTTCAAAAAGTCGCCCTCGTCACACATTCTGGCACGCTTCTCGCACAACTCGGTCGTCTCAATCAGCACCTTGGTCACCTTCTGGCGCACCAGCTCAGACACCTTGCCCTTCTTCTTGCGGTTGGGGTTGCCTAGAAGCTTCTTTGCCTTCTTGTCTGCCTCTTCTTTGAAGAAGTCGGGAATGTCGTCTTCGTCGTCGACGTCCATGATGGCTTCCATGTCGTCGTCCTGATCGTCTGCAGCCATGTCCGTGTCCATGGCGGCATCTGCGGGATCGAGCGGGCCATCGTCAAGGACAATGTTGTTCTGAGCACAGTAGGTGCGGTAGTTTGACTCGAGCATCTCCATGACACTAGTGGTGCCGAGGAAGCCACTGCGCAGCGTACGGTTCTTACGGACGAAGCAGATGCGCAACAGACCGTCCCACTCATCGTAGCTGATCTGTGGACGCGGGACCTTGGGCACAATCTTGACGACATCACTCTCGACTTGAGGAGGAGGGTTGAAGTTGTTCTTGCCGACCTTCATGACATGGCTGATCTTGGCCCACATCTGGGCGTTGACGGACAATCTCGAGTATAGTTTTGTCCCAGGTTGAGCAAACAGACGCATGGCGAATTCACGTTGGAACATGAGCACGCAGGAGCGAGGAGCGGGGCTCAGGGCCAGGAGTCTGAAAGTCAAGGGCGATGAAATCTGGTAGGGTGTGTTTGAGATGCAGACGTCAAAGTAGGGCAGCTGTGGGTGCTTGAGCACATCTCCGAGGATGATTTCGAGTCTCTTCTGGGCGGGAGTGCCTTGGAAACGCTTTGTGATTTCGGCAGCCATTCGGGGATCGGCTTCGCAGGCGATGACTTTNTTGGCCTTTTCGAGGATCTTGGTTGTCAGGTTACCGGTTCCGGGTCCGACTTCGAGGACAATCTGGAAGCTTGTTAGAGATGGTGCGCTATGACAGAGTATAGAGATGAGACGCACGTCGGACTGCTTCAGGTCGGCCTTGTCGACGATGGCCTGGGCGACACCGGGGTTCTTGAGAATGTGCTGGCCGAGATCCGTGTTGAACTTGAAGACGTTGTTGGCGGCATGGCCCTTCTTGCGCGAGGCAGCGCCTGCATAGGGATCGCTCTTGGACACTCCGCCGCCGTTGTTTTTTCTCGCTGACTTGGGCATGTCGACTTGTGTTCTGGTATAGGGAAGGTGCGGAGAGGCGGCCGAAGGAGGATGGAATTTTTGGAAGCAGCGACCAAAAGCTTATCGATAAGGCACTCGCAAGGGTCTCGACCTGCTGCGTATTCGTACCTACCCAACCCTTGGCATCACCTCGACATCATAACTCAATCCGTCACGACACCAATAACAATGCCTCGTTCAATGAGAGCTAGAGCTACTCGCGAAGACTCATCTGACCTGTCATCTGCCCCTGAATCCACAGCCATTGAAGCCGCCTCCGACGCAACCAGAGGCACAAAGCGCAAGCGTCAGCCCAACCAAGACACCACCGAAGACGTAGAGGAAGAGGAAGAGCGGGAAGAAAAGCCTTCCCCTATCAAGAAGACCAGACAGCGTAAGACGGTCAACGTCGACCAAGCCATCTCACCACCGCCGCCCAAGAGAGCCAACAAGTCCACCAAGTCAGCAACCGTTATCGAAGAGACTCAGGAAGCAGGAACCACAACAGTCGACTCTCAAGAAACAAAGACCAAGGTCGTGAGGAAGCGCAAGACCAAAGAAGAAAAAGGAAGCAGAGGCAATGCCCCTGGCAGCACGCACACTCGGCCACAAGCTCTTCATCGGTGCCCACGTCTCGGCCGCTGGCGGTGTCCCCAATGCCGTCCAGAATGCTGTCCACATCGGCGCCAACGCTTTCGCTCTGTTCTTGAAGTCCCAACGCAAGTGGGCCAACCCTCCACTGGCCGAAGCTCATTCCATTGACTTCCATGCTCATTGCGATAAGCACGACTTTGACCAGAATCAACATGTCGTCCCACACGGCTCGTACCTTGTCAATCTGGCACACACCGATCCCGACCGTACCAAACAAGCGTATGACTCCTTCCTCGACGATCTGAAGCGCTGCGAAAAGCTGGGCATCTCGCTCTACAACTTCCATCCTGGTAACAGCGTTGGTGGTGATCGCGATGCTGCCATTGCACACTTGGCCAACAACCTCAATCGCGCTCACAAGGAGACCTCACAAGTCATCACGCTACTCGAAAACATGGCCGCTGGCGGAAATGTCATTGGCTCGACTTTTGAAGACTTGCGCGATGTCATTAATTTGATACATGACAAGTCTCGCGTCGGTGTCTGTCTCGATACCTGCCATGCCTTTGCTGGCGGCTATGACCTTCGAACACCCGAGACCGTTCAAAGGACTCTATCAGACTTTGACGAAACAGTTGGTATGAGATACCTACGTGCCCTGCACCTCAACGACAGCAAAGCACCCTTCTCAAGTAACAGAGATCTACACGCAAACATCGGCACCGGCTTCCTGGGCCTTCGCGGTTTCCACGCAATCATGAACGATGAGCGCGTCATCGGCCTTCCCATGGTCCTCGAAACACCAATCGAAGTCCGTGATGAGAATGGCAATCTCCAAAAAGATGCTAAGGGCAAAGAGATGGAAGACAAGAACATCTGGGCTCGTGAGATCAAGCTGCTCGAGAGTCTTGTGGGCATGAACGTTGATGGCGAAGAGTTCAAGGACTTGGAAGACAAGCTGCAGAAGATGGGTAAGGTCGAGCGAGACAGAATCGCCGAACAAGTTGAGAAGAAAACGACAAAGGTCAAGGTCAAGGAAGACAAGGCGAAGGCCAAACAGACCAAACTAAACTTTGGCAAGGCTGCTGCTCCTGCGAAAAGGGCTAAAAAGAGTAAGAAGGATGAAGACGCTGATCAGAGTGATGCTTCCCTGAGCTCAGTGCCCTCGGACAATGAGAGCTAAAAGCCAGTGTAAGCCACAAATCGAGAGGATCAACCCATAACGGAGCGAAGCACGAATGATAATCGAAGGCATTTCTTAGGCGCCAGCTGCACATTATTACAACAGTGTCTCGCAGCTGGCACTTCGTCAAAGATACCATGTAAGTAGCCTTACCTCAATATAATTTGGTCAAGAGCACAGAGTGGCTTTAGCGTCTCTTAGATATGGGAGTCTGGTGTTTGCGTAAGTATTTATCTTGATTCGTTTAGTCGCAAGGATAAATAGCACGAAATACGAGATGGCTTCTTGTTGTCGAGAGTCAAGTGCCGTCTACAGGTTTCATAACTCCCAGCCTTTGTATTTCGTGACCTTGCAGCCAGCGATAGCGAGCTACGAGGACCGCGCAGTGGCAGCTCAGAGTTGTTTGCTTGGTTGGTTCAACATCAAGGGGGTTATGTAGAGAGCATTCGTGTAGCCTCGCGTGCAGACTGGAGGATGTTTGATGTCAAGTAAAGAGACTGCACCTTATGCCAATCACTCTAATCTAGTTATCACTGTATATCTCCCCTTTCCTCTCCGTCTTTTCCAACAATTTCCCTCTGGTCTGGTGGTTCACACCGTTCACTTTATCTCAAAGCTAACCTAATCCAGTAGTCCACTCCTCACACTCGTATCAGACACTTTAGTGTTGGTACTCTCAAAACATCACCGGTTCGAATCAGACGCACGTCGTTTTCTCAAACCCTCCATCGCATTGGCTGGCATTTTCTTTGCCCGATGCTCCTCCAAACACTTAAACAAAAACAACTCGCATTGGCATACTCGCCGGTGCTCCTCCACCACTAACAAAACAACTCGCATTGGCATATTCTTTGCCGGTGCTCCTCCAACATAAAGCCTCTTTCCATAGGCGTTACAAGACCTGACTGACCATTAATTGACTAGCTGACTTGATCAAAGCTAATGACTTGTGCCAGCCACACGAGACAAGAGTCCAACAAGAGAAAAAAGATCAAAAAAGATAAAGAGCGTAAGTGAAACATCTCCGAATCAAACAGACCATTCTTTTTTGGCTTGTGAAGTGTTGATCCTCCACGTGTATAATAGTCTGCAACCATGCCCTGCTTCCACTAAACATACAGGCACTCTCAGACTATAGAAAGGCACGGTGTCTTCTTATATCGAAGGTATAGCCACAGAGAGCTACTGAAGATTTGTCTCCGTGGGTGCTGCCCTGCTTCCTAAAACTATTGTGCAATTCTATAGCTACCTTATACGCGTTACATGCTTTACTTCTTGAGTATCAGTGTACATAAGCGGCTTGAGTCCACGCCATGGGAGCTTGAATTATTCAGGTACGATCGGTTGCTTTCAAAAGTTTTATATTATGTTGTGCTCATTGTGATATACCTATCGCTAATTGCAAGATCGTATGATACTACGAAGCCGTCCGTGTTCGTCATTCTTTCTGTCATCAAGCAAAGCCCCATCTCTCTTCGCTACGCTTTCTCAAGCCACTCATCCTCAGACCAGAGTGGTTTTGAACGATTCAGTCAGCGGCACACCGAGCTTCTTAGTGATCAACTTTCTATCCGTATCAAACACAATGCTCGAATCCCTCTTGCTGGCCACTGAGGTCACATTGCTGCCTTGTCCCAGCACAGTAAGGCTGACAATGTTCGCGTCAGTTGGGTAGCCAAAGCTGCCGCCCATGGTGAAGGTGCCGTTTGCGTAGCTGAAGGTGATGAGACTGGTCTGAGGTTGTTCAATAGCATCGCCCTCATCCAAGTACAGCGTACCTTCTGCCTTGCCATTAGAATCAGGTGCAATAACAAGGACAAAGTCTTGCTTGCGCAGCTCGGTGGTTGTGTTGGCAGAGTTCTGGCGTAGAGGCAGAATGCTGCCGCCACGGATGTGAGCAGTGATCTCGGTAAAGTCGACGTTGTCGCGAGTCACCCATTCGCCAGTTCCGCGTACGGGCTCGTAGGTGAAGTAGTCGTAGAAGATATCGTCAGGAAGGTAGAATGTGACGCTTGTGCTGTTGTCGTCTACAACAGGGCTGACTAGGATGCTGTCACCCCAGAAGAACTGATGCTCGATTGGGAAGGTGTTGGAGTCTTCTGGGTAGACGAAGAATAGAGGCTGAACCAATGGCTTGCCGCTAATCGTCTGCTCGTGGAAGGCTGTGTAGAGATAATCGAGCAGTCTGTATCGTGTGCTGATTGCCTTTTGGGCGGCTGATGTCGTCAGGTTCCAGCGGTAGAACTCNTGATTGACCGTTCCAAGCTCTGCATGGTTACGGTAGAAGGGATAGAAGGCACCAAGCGTGGCCCATCGAGCACACAGCTCTGGGTAACTGTTGCCTCCGAAGCCGCATACGTCGCTGCCTACCATAGGTATCTGTNNTTGAAAGTGGTCAGTTTATGAACTGGTCAAAAATTTTGCGGGAAAACGGTATACCTGGAAGACGGCAGCAAACTCCAGCATCTGAGCAATCGAAACCCTGTACCAACGCCAGCCAGAACTGTTGTCCCCTAACCAATGGCCGACGGCTGCTCCAGCTCCAGCAAAGGTGCTGCGTGTGATGATCATTGGTCGTCTTGTTGGCCTGCGTGCCAGCATCGCATCACGACTAGCAGTCGACATCATGGTACCGTATAGATTGTGAGTGTCGTACATGGCCAATCCGTTCTCGTGATATAGATCGGTATCAATGGTCTTGTTGGACAAGCTTCCAGCATCGTTGTTGATAGTGTATGGAGGATCGATCAGGTTTCTGCCGGGCAGACCAAGATGAGTGCCGGTACTGTTCGACTGGCGCTTGACTTTGCGTGCTGCTGAGTCAGGCTGGAAATCGGCAGGGAAGCCGGGAATCATGTATCCTGCGTTTGCTCTGACCTCTGGCGGAGTCGGTGGGTATCCATTAGCAGCAGCATATCCGAATGGATCGCTGCATGGCCAAGGGCAGAAGTTGCTGGCTTCATTCATGTCTNNTGGTCATTATCAGCATTCTTCCTACTCTCCACAACTGGTACAAAAATACTTACCGATCCATAGAGCATCGATATCGACACCAATGTCAGCATTGAAGAAGGTTGTGAATTCGTTGTTCCAATATTCCTGCGTATTGGCGCCAAACCAGTCCGGGAAAGCAGTGACACCTGCGTTATTGTCAGTCGTCTGGATGGCATCAACCTATCAAATCCTTCACATACCAGGCCAGACGACGCCTTGGTAGATTGAACCATTCGATCTCTTGAGGAAAGCGTTCGCCTCGACACCGTTGTTGAAGGCAGAATAGTTGTAGCTCGCCACTGCCGGGTCAACCATGACGATATAAGATTGCTGTCTGGCGTGCAGAGTGGAAACCAACTCTCGCATTTTGTTCAGAGGGAAACGGTCTGGGTCGGTAGTGAATACGTGTCTGCTGTCCATGTAGTCGATGTCGGTCCCNTAACAAAGGTCAATATCCATACTGATAAGCAAGCAGGTACAGTACGTACACATGACTTCGAGAGGAATATCAGCAGCACTGTAATTGGCAACCACGGCAGCGACTTCATAAACATCTCTGTATCCGTATCTGCACTGATGGAATCCGAAGCCTAGACGAAAAATGGATCAGTAATGCTCTCCAATGGTATGGTTCGCAAGCTCAGGATTACGTNNACCCCAGTATGGCATTTCGGCCGGCAAACCAACCACTTCTGCGTACTGCTTGGCGACCTCGGTAGGCGATGGTCCAGCCACAAAGTAGAGGTCAACGATGCCTCCAATCGTATTGTACTCGAGGTACTGGCCGGCTTCTGCGGTATTGTTGATCTTGATATCCATGCCATTGCTGTTCAAGAGGAAAACACCATGCGTGCCGTCCGCGCCACGGTGATCAAAATAGACTGGGTGGTTTCCATACAGATTGCTACCCTCAGGGATGGAGTAGGCATCACGAGACCAGAGAGTACGGGTGTAGTTTGTGGTGTTTAGCTAACGACATGGTCAATCATAGAAATCATCGAAACTTAGAAACTCGCATACCTGGAATGGATCGGAGTGCTCGCCGAGTCCGTAGAGGTGAGGGGTCTCGGGAAGTTGAGTGCGAAGTCTCAGGTACTGAGACTGGAAGACGAGCTCTGCTCCGGTCGTGTTGAACAAAGCTGGTCCACCAACACGGCGGGACACTGCGAACGAGAATGGGTCGTTGACAACCTCGAAAACAAGCTGGCTCGATGTGACATTTCCGTCTGCACTTGGACGTGGGAGAACAGAGTCAGGGACTTGATAGACATTCTCGTCGGTGTCATAGATCTGGATATGCAGTCTGTTTCCAGTCTCGTGGGTGATCTCGAGCTTGAGGTTCTCAATGTCCTGACCATAGGTGTTACATGCTGGGCCCGCAAGAGTGAGGTCGGCCNNTGGTAATCGAGATTAGCAAGATCGGATGATTGGGAACAACTTGATACTCACAGTCAATCCTTGACTGTTCTGTTGAACATTAGTAGCCTTGTAACCGGGACAGCTTTCGATCGGCGAGGAGTTCTGGCGGCGGACAAGGCCGTGTGGGCTAGCACAGATCTGTGTAACACTGGCAGCAGCCACGAGCCACTGCACAGTACGACGCAAAGCCATGATGACGGTGGTGAAGGTCTGAGGGCCAGTGGTGAACAACTCGGTTCAAAGTTGGCTTCCCGCGAAGTTTACTGGGCATCAACAATCATTTATGGAAAGTGACTTCCATCGTCATCACCAAGTGGAAGCTGCACAGATACGTGACTTCCTCTCCGAGGCTCCGCAGCCCGCATGCAGTTTCCCTGACCATGCTTGCGACCCGAATCTCGCTGGAGTACCGCGGGGCAATTACATGCTCCTTGCTTCAACCACATGACGGCATCTGTTTACTTACTTGGTTCCTCGGAGACTCGGGCTTGTTCTCGGTAAGGATGAGAGAGGGGTCAAGATGCACCTTGCAAATCACCCTCGAGCACCATCATCTGACCTAGCACTTACATGTGGCAGGCGCAAGGGCATGAGTCTGCACTTGCCATGCGGGGATGTTTGTTTGCTGGAGGAAAGTGGTTTCAGATGAGGAAGGGATGCACGTTGTGCGGGGCATGCATACGTGCTTTGTCGATCTCTCGACTCTTACTTTAGCCGATCGAGCATCGCAAAATATTGAGCTTGGAAGCAAGATGACCGTTGCGACGTGGAATGCGAGATTCGAGAACGGAAGAGTGACCTTGCGATAATTTGACGGCATCGGACCTGAATTGACGAGAAATGTTAGATCTGATTTGAAAATTTGGTTTGGCATTCTACTATGCCGCTTTCCATCGATCTCCAAGAACCTTGTTCGTCAGACATTATCTTCATCAGATCTTGGATCGTTGCTCATTTAGTCAGGCATGCTTCTTCTGATCCTCCTCCTGACCCTTCATGACCCAAGCGCTTGCCTTCTTGGCATGCTCCTCAGACTTCTCCTTGGAGCTCATGATTTCCTTCAGTTTAAACTCGTCCGGGATGTTGACTCCCTTTTGCACAGCAGGACGCGCGTTGATTGCATCCAGCCATCTCTCGATCTCGGGGAACGGCTTGGTCTCAATACCAGCCCAAGCACCCCAGTTGACCCAGGAGAAGCAAGCAATATCTGCAATGGTGAATTTATTTCCAACAAGCCAAAGACCTTGGCCTGCCTTTTCCTGTTCGGCGAGACGGTCGTTCAAGACTTGGTACAGGCGCTTGGTCTCGGTTTGGTAGCGATTGATACCATACTCAATCTTCTCTGGTGCGTATCTGTAGAAGTGGTTTGCTTGTCCCTGANNTGGATGGTAAGCATATGGGTAAGTTTCATGAGAGATTGCAAAGACTCATACCTGCATGGGTCCAAGACCAGATTGCATCCAGACGATCCACTCAACGGTCTCCCAGTACTCATCACTGTCGTGGTCGAAGCTGATTTTGTTGTCCTTGTCGTACTTGTCGGTCAGGTAGAGTAGCATGGCACCACCCTCGAAGAGACGCTTGTCCTTGCCTGAGGTCTTGTCAACCATGGCAGGAATACGGCCGTTNGGCTGAGATGTGTTAGTATCAAATAGAGAGCTTGGCTCGGAAGGGGTGGGCTTACGACAGATCTTCAAGAACCATTCCTCTTTCTGAGTGTTCTTGGAGATGTCAATTTTGTGGACATTGTAGTTGATACCCAACTCTTCAAAGGCAATGTGCACTTTGTGGCCGTTGGGTGTGCCTTGTATAGTATTAGTAATTGTGTTGGCGGGGTTGGACTGCTTTGGATACCTGCGGTGTAGCTATTAAAGGTGGTCAGCAGCTAGCAATGCAAAGAATTTTCAGTTGTGTACATACAGATCAATGTTTGTTTGAGGAGCCATGATTGTGTATGAGCTTTGTGTGATTGTACGGTCGAGCGATGTCGAGAGACGAGGTATATATATTGATTAATAATGGAAGAAGCAGACGTCATCAGGTGTCACTAAAACGCCCATCACTCTATGCTGAGTATACAACCCTGACTAAACACACTATTACAGGCAAATCAAGTGCAAGTTGGTATGATACCACCTTATGGCATGGCGTGATTCGAATTGCTTTGGGTTGTATCTTATGCCAACACAGTGTTTGATCAGACTTTTGACACGTTGTCCGGGACGCAGTGTGATTCCTTTTGTAACCATCTCGATCATTTGGTACATACCACTGATATTGTGAATCATCTTGTTTGTGTGCGGGACTATGGTTATCATGTGCTTATAGAGAAACATATCTTAGAAGAGTGAAGCATTCGTATCTTCGTTTGGGACTTTCTTTGAAAACATATCAATGTGTTGGATGCTTCTACGCTCACCATGTCTGGTCAGACATGCTCGTAACACCGCGACTGGCATTGATGTGATTCTTTATATATATATTCATACGTCCAGGTGTGCTTCAACAACATCCGATATGGTCTAGTGGCTAGGATTTCTCGCTCTCAACCCGTTTTCTACGATGAAACAACCAGGTCCGAGGAGGCCGGGGTTCAATTCCCCGTGTCGGAATCTTCTTTTGTTCCTCATCGTTTCATTTTTTGTCACATCTTCTGGTATTGGAAATTGGTTGGAAAACTTTTTTTTTTTTTGCCGGGCTGCCAAGATTTTTGGCGTTTGCGTGCGTGCGTGGGCGCGAGTTCAAATCTCGGCGTCGGCGGCTTTTCTTTTTGCTGTTCGTTCCGCAGCTGTCCTATAAACCGAGCGTTTTGTAATTGTAGAAAACAAGTTATTGGAATAAGTGAGCAAAAGAAGATTCCGACATGGGCAATTGAACCCCGGCCTCCTCGGACCTGGTTGTTTCATCGTAGAAAACGGGTTGAGAGCGAGAAATGCGGCCAGTGTCCTACGGACACTGGCTTTCAAGACAAATCTCAACACCACCTTCAGCACCAATGGCCTTGCACAACTTTTTGTCAGACAGATGGTTTATATGCACCATTTCACTTCCACACACTCAAAGATAAAACAGGAAAGCCACAATAAGCTGATCTTGTCTGATATGTCCTATACACAACGCCGTATATGCTTCTGCTTCGCTCCTTCTTACAGCATTGTTCTCAAGCTCTGACTTCCCAACATCTGATCTTACCCTGCTCATTAGCAACAGCCAACCCATCACTACCAGGCGCAAACGCAACACCCGTAATCCTACCCAACGGCGTATTGCTAGTAGGCCAATTCTTAAACACCGTGCACGTAGGCAAATGCACAATTCTCAAAGCATCCTTCTTCCATCTCGAAGCCATGACGAGCATTTGTCCATCAGGCGAGAAGGTAAGGTGCGAGATTGGTGTGGTGAGGTTGTCGAGAGCGCGGGTGGGTTTAGGAGCAGAGGGAATAGGAGAAGCGAGGGCGTCGGTAGAGGAGGCAGAGGCAACGAGCCAGGCGCGGCGATCGTAGATGTTCACGACACCGCTGGAGCTGCCGACAGCCACCCAGCGGTCTTTGCCGATGGGTGAGCCGGCATTGCCATTGTCACCGCCCAGGGTGATGGTGGTGGTGCCAACGGCGCCCTCGTCTTGCCAGCGGGCTACCGCGCGCTGCTCGTCCATGTTCCATTCGGTGACTTCACCGTTCTTGCCTGCGATGCTCATACCGCGGCTGTCGCGCCACCAGGCAAAGTCTGCGATACCATTGTTGCTCTCCACACGCACCTGGCTGGCCCATTGCAATGTGTATGCGTCCAGGATGTTGATCACACCACCGCCCTTGCGTGCGCTACCGATAAGAGCCATGCTGCGGCCATCGGGAGACAGCTTGAAACGTTCCATACTGCGTTGTTCGTGCTGGTGACCATAGACACGGGCAATCTTCTCCACTTTGCCGGTTTCGAGGTTCCAGACGTGGAAGTAGCGGCGGCGAGCGGAGAGGAAGATGCGAGGGTCGTTGGGGTGGAAGGCGGTTGTTGTGAGAGGAGTCTTGCGGATGTGCAGAGAGGTGAGGAGAGGATTGGCTTCGGGTGCGGGAGGAGAGGCGACAATGTGGTGGAGGTAGAGGGTCGATGAGGGGCCGGAGGAGAGGAGCAGGGGAAGCTCGGGGTGGTACTGCAAGGAGGTGATGGCCGAGGGTTGGGTGGTGCCAATGTCCTTGGTGCGTTGAATGTCGATGACTTCGGGTCGCAGCTTGCGCTTCTTGTTCTCTGTTCGTCGTACGAGGCCTCCTCCCTGTAGTAGCTTGCTGAGCGGTTCCGCCGAGATTTCGTCGTCTCCTTCTTCGTCGTCCATGTCCATATCCTCGTCCGACTCGGCATCGAGATCGTCATAGCTGAGTCTGCGCTTCTTCCTAGGTCCTTTCTGGGCGGCTTCGACGGCCCAATCGGGTACGGGGTTGAGCATTTCGTANGCTGTGACAATGTTAGCTAAACTGTTTATGCGATCCCGAGAAGAATTGGCGTACTGTTTGCGCAGACGGCGAACGTAGTCTTTGCCAGAAATGACATCCTCGGCCTCTGTCCTCCTCAGTTTGCGCAGTCTTGGTACCGAGGCTAGCGACACAACCATCCTCTCGTCGTCGCTGTCTTGCCACGCTGCTCCCTCGTCCTCTTCCTCCTCCTCAGTAGCTGGGGCAGGCTTGAGATCAGTCGATGCACCGACATCAGTGAAGAACAGGTCAGCATCGGCAAGACCGTCGTATGTCTGTTCATCTCCAGAGCCAGCAGCACCCTCATCGGCAGAATCTTCATCGTCCAGACCGGTCTCGAATCCAGCAAGTCCAGCTCTGAATCCCATGCTGTCGCCAAACACGGCCCTCTCCAACTCTTCCTCGGCTGCATCCTTGTCGTCTTCACTGATGTCCATATCGTCCTGTCCAGCTGGGGCGTCGTATTGCTCAAGATCCGACATGTCGCTGGCCGAATCGTCCTTTGCCGGCGCCGACTTTTTGGCTGGTGCAGAAGCCTTTGATTTCACTCCATTCTGACGGTTGTCCTTCTTTCCCTTCGTTCGCGCCATTGTGTAGTGTTTGTGCTGCGTTTAAGAAATGTCCAGGTCAAAAATCTCCATGCTCCAAACTCGGACATCGGAGAACCCTTGCAAAATTCCCGTCCTTATCGATAAGCTTTGGGATTTTGGATTTTCTCTTGCGAGAAGGAAATAGAAGAAAAATAATTAATTCCCACACCGCATCAACCACGTCTCATCTGGTCCTCAGATTTCACATGATTGGAGATTGTTTATGAGACAGATGTGAAATTATTATTGTGGTGCTGTTCAAGCTATCATGCCGAAAAGTCTTCCTCGTGAGTTCTCTTTTCCGCCACTCGAGCTCTGCTCGCTGTGCAGCCAGTTGACTTCCAAAAAAAAAAAAAAAGATTGCCGCCCACCTGTGGACGTGACGTGACACATACAAGGAAAGAAGTTTTATGAACGACTGAAAAGTATCATCTATTCTAGATGAGAAGAGCTGCGGCTGCCATAGCGATGGCGTAACCGGACAGGCTCATGATACTGGCAGAGCCAGTGTAGGTTGTGGGGGACATTGGGTTAGCAGTACTGTTGCCATGAGCAGTACCATTGACTTGAGGACTGGCGGCGCTGGCTGCACTGGCTGTGTTGGCTGCTGCAGGAGCTGCAGGTGCCGGAGGAGGGCGAGTGTAGCCGTTGTCGAAAGATGAGCCATCTTCAGGGCAGGTCCAGTACTCAGCACTGTAACCACCAGGCTTACCAGCAGTGACACTGTTGAGAGCCTTGAAGGAGCCCCACTGAGGGAAGTCATTCTCGGTGCGACCAGGCGTGATGGGAGCGGATACAACGTTGAGCGAAAGATCGGGCACATCTGCGACGGCGACTTCTCCTCCATTGTACTTGGCTACTCTCCATTGGAGGTTCTTGCGAAGGTATGGCTCGACGTGAACAGGAGCCATACTTCTCAGCTCTCCGCTCTCGTACTTTCCAAGAAGAGAAGTGGTCAAAGGAACGGTACCAGTGATCTTGAGATCCATGTCTGCCATGTGGTTTTCGGTGGATGGCATATTGGAGAAAACCGAGTAGGTACCAACAAGGTTGCGCGAGAGTTGAAGATCCTCTGTGGAGTTGGACGAAACGTTACCCAAGAAAACGTAGACAGCGTATGATCCATTCATGGCGAACTTCTGCGAAGCAATGTTGCAAATGTACTCATGGTGGAAATCGTCAGTGCCGTTGATGCCAGCGGTGTGTGTAGTGTTGAGGTATGGTCCGCTGGTCATGTTGTCACGCTTCCACCAAGGGCTCCAGATGTGGATAGGGCTAGACTTCCAGATGCTGAGAGGCTTCCAGGAAGACTCCCAGGAAGGCTGTCTGGTAGATCCTCCGAGGGGGAGCAGAGGGCGCTTTGGGCGCCGAAGGGGCTGCAGGAGCTGCTGGAGGCGCAGGAACTGAAGGAGCTGCAGGTCGTGCAGGGCCTGTGGGTGCCTTAGGGGTTGAAGGAGCCGAAGAAGCTGCAGGTACTGCTGAGCTGACNNAGAGCTTCCTGAGTTACCGACGTTGACATTCGCATTGACATCAGCGGCAACAGCATTCTTTCCGTAGAGTCTGTTGATCGCCGAACGGACGCTAGAAGCAGAGGCACCGTTCTGGAGCTCAGGGTAGGTGTAACCAAAAGTAGTGGTGTCACGCACGCTGGCCGAAGTCCAGTTAGTGCCGGCCGTGTCCTTGAAGAAGGGGGTCAAGCCCGAGTTCACGTCGTTGACAGTTCCAGCAGGGTAGGTGAATGTGCTTCCAACTGCGGCGAGAGGCTCAACATAGCTGTCGCTGTGGAGGGTCTGCCACATTGCAAAACTGCGGTCGACCATGNNCTAGAGGATGTTAGCTGTCGTCGTGTCGGAAAAGTTGGATTGTACTTACACATGGTGCAACCAGAATACAGGGTCGAATGCAGCGTAGTCGAGGTAGGTCATGTGTCCATTGTTACCAATACTTGAGTGAATCGCATCGTGAAGCGATTCAAGACTGTCGGCGTTTGTGGAGCTAGTAGTGATCCACGCCGAATCACCGAATTGGTGGAAGTTGTTGTAGTTGGTGAACAGGTTGTACAAGCGGTCGCGAAAGTTCACCTGACTGTTGGCGAAGATGCCGTTGAGCAGGTTGTTCTGACTACCTGCAGAGGCATCCCATGAAGTGGGGTATCTCTTGGTAACATCCCAAGATGCAAACNNTATAGAGAATTAGAGGTTGACGTTGATATGACAAGGGACGATTCTTACAGGATTGTAGACCATATCAGAGACAGAGACAGGGTGGAAGTCATAACGGAAAAGAGGGTTGGCAATAGTCTGCACACCGGTGGGAGTGGTGACGGTAGCCCATTGGTTGGCGATAAGATCAGGGAATGCCTTGCAGCTCGAGCAAGGTGTTGCAGCCCAGTCCCAGTAGGGGTAACGCCAGTTTTGAGCTGCGGCAACATACTTGTTTCTGGTCGCACCAGCGGGGAAAGATTGCGCAGCCTGTTGAACATGCTTGTAAAGCTCTTGNCTGTAGACACGACATGATCAGCGGGCAATTCATATATCGGTAACACGATTACAAACCTCAATGAGGGCCAGGTAAGGTCTGTGCCATGGCAGAAACATGTTGGAAGTGTGAGTGCAGTAACCTCCGCCAAATCCAGGAGCAGTGCCTATGCCATCCCAAGGAACGTACGGTCTTCCGTGGATACCNTGAAAACATATGAGTCTGGGATTGACGCTAAAGAGTCCACTCAGGATATACATACCAGCAATTTGATAATAAGAAAGAGGGTCTGACTGATCCATCTGCATGAAGCTGCGAAGACCAAGAAGAAAGACATTGAACATGTCGGGATATTGTTGCTGCATGGCGCGAATCTCCATTCTAGGCTGGACGCCATTTCCTGTAATTCCAGTGACGGGAATCTTTCCTGTTGATTGACGAGTCTCAAGACGCTCAGCGTTCATGAGGTCACCGTCGATGTTGACAAGATCACCCTCAACATCAGGCTGCATGGATGCAGCGACATGCTGCAGGGCTGATGAACCCAAGAGGGCAGCACCAATGACTCCTTGAAAACGCATATCGAGTTGCTGTTAAACGATTGTGGTGTAGAGAAGAGAGAGGAATGTCGAGGCAAAAGTAGGCATACACCTTCTTGACTCAGGTCGAGAGGCGTAGTCGGCTAAGGGGTTGCCGTGAAACGATGTCAAAAAAGTTCTGTGACTGAAGTTGTTTGACTTTCGAGGCCAGTCGAGCTTGGATTAGAAATATTAAAAAAATGGTGGCTGGGGTTGAACGAGAGAATGCAAGGGAACGGAGATGGCAAACAAGGGAAACTGCAGCGGAAGGGTCGCTCCTGCCAAACAAGAGAGAAAAAAGAGCAGGGGAGGGCTATAAGTATGTATAGTCGTAGTAGCCGATTTCACACTGAGATGGTGGTGGAGATCAATAGTGGCTGACTTCCCGGAATGGATGATCGGGAGTCATGATAGCGACATGAAGACCACCGCCAGGCACGCAGAGAGCACGGTGCGTATACGAACGTTGGGCATGCGGAAGCCATGAATTGCAGTACATGCGTACACACTACACACGGGAAGCATGTCTAGGCAGGTCTGATTGTGAGACGGTGGTCGCAGGGTTAGCCCTTAGGCTGGACCACTTGTTCATCGTGCATCACAGGCAAGGTCAATACCGAAAACAGATCTACTAGTGTGACCTCAGCCACAGGGTGCCTATACCTGAGACGCGATATGATACGAATGCAGCTAGTGCGTTGATGGATGGTTGTTTGGGCGAGGAGCAGTGGGAAGAAGAGATGTGGGTGTCCGCCGCTTGCTTGCATTGCACGAAAGCCAAGCTTGTGTCGCACCTGCCAATCAGCGAAGCCTCTTCTGGAAACTCATTTCGCTTCGTTGTTTCGGGCTTGCCATCTCTCTGGATGCTGTGTCGCACGACGAAAGCTTCTCGAAAGAGGATGTCTGAGACACTTAACATTGTGAATCATGCCCTTTTGAGGACACGAGAGATGAGTAGACCATCCGACCTGATTGGATGCGCCGCTTCTGCTGTGCCGACCGTCGCACAGACGCGTCCAGATACAGTCTCTCCTCTGCCCTGATCTACGAGATGGCTTCTTGAGTTGAGCCATCTCGGATCTCGCTTCATCTTGACTCTTGGATCTGTCATGCTATACATACACGCGGAAATACGGCGCGGCCGCCTGTGCTGTAGACTCGTTGTTTCATGCGCCTGTCATCTCTCAATGTTTCCTCTTACTTCCGACCGGCATACAAACAACTGCATCCTTCCGTAAATATATCAAGCAGAACCTGCCTTGTGCGAAGCGCAAGGCGTAGAGTGACAACTGCCGACACATCCACCCTGGTGTGGTATTAACACGAAGATCGACAAGACCGCTTTGAGCAGGCCGCTTCTCCATCACCAGGCCTCCATGTGGTGATACAAGTGGTCAGGCCATGTGTGGGATTCGAGGTCACATCCTTACGTGGGCCCCTTTGGACCTGAACAATGGACCCGCTTCTTTCAAAACCACGAACAAAGTAGAGCCTGATGAATATACCAGTGTAGTGGGCTTCCGCAAACCGAGTCCGGATCACCTGCCACAAGGACGAGCGCAAGCCATGGTTATGCAAGGAGGTCATGCTACCGCTACGCCTCTTGTAGTAGAGAACGTGTCGCGACATATATACACCCACACGCTTTGATGAACGTGCGCACTATGTCACATAGAACACTCGAGCCCATCACGAAGTCACTGTGCGAGGTCATGACTCTTGAGGGCATATTGATTGTGAACATCTGACTGTCTCGCAAACACAAACCTGCTATCATCGAAACATTACGCGAATGACAGTTGCATGCAACGATTGTGAAATTCCGCTCCAAAAACCACAGAGCGATACTTGCTCACTCCGACAAATGACAGCTCTCGGTCCAGACTCCAGACCGAAATGGATGGTTCAAGTTGCAGTAGACCCCTCCTGGTGTTGCCGTGCCATGGCTCTCAGAACATGCCAGGAACGAGGCACCAAATAAGGATAGTAATGACAATCGACACACACTTGGAGATTGTCGATCCGTGCGATTATCTTTCCTAGAAAGAGATGCAAGAAGGCTGAAGGATCTTGCAGGTGCAAGGAGTGTGTTTCTTCGCAATCCAGCTTGATGAGTAATGCGAGAGCGTCGAGGAGTCCACAAGTCGCGGCTCTGTATGCAACTGGTCGGTGATAGAACCCTAGAATCAACCAGTCTGAATCTGGATTGAGTCTGGCTTTCTCAGGGTAGACACTGAAAACGATTAGAGGGACACGAGGCCGAGTCCGGTTCCAAGCTGGATGAGAAACCACGAATTGCCACTCTGGGATATATTCGTATAGCCAATCGGGTACGGACTGCATGGATTCGGGGACAACCTTGTTCAACTTTCGACGACCGACAGCATCCCTTGGAGTATCTGGGTCTCTCAGGCAGTTCCATATCTGCGCTATAGGCTTGAGAGGCGGGTTTCGAATGAGATATCGATTCGGTCCAGTCTCAGAACAAATCGCGGTCCACCCACTGTAGTTGAAAAAGGGTTGGCAATACGAATCCGCGTAAAAGTCCTGGCACTTTTTGCGGAAGTCATGACTAGCACGGTCGACGTTCGACGGCGTCAGGGGGACAGTCCTTCTTGTACTGAGAGGGTTTCGAGTATTGGGCGATCTTCTGGTATCGGTCCTCGTGTGCTAAAAAGGGCCCAAGCAGCCATACGAAGCATGTATGCTCTTTCGAAACGAAATAGCGCAATTCCCAGACAGTGAAGCAACCTCTGGATCTCGACACAGATGATTCGTATTGCTGGCAGAAAGAGTCGTCGCATAGTCAGGGAAGACGTCGTTGACTTCGGAATGATTCGATATCAGCAGGCTGAGTCTTGGTCTGAGGTTGTTTAAAACGATAGAGAGGAGAACACTGGTGATAGTCTGTTCTGATAATAGTGATGACTGGAGAACATTAGACATGGATCAACGAGACAGACAACAAGCTGAAGAGTGGGGAGTAGCATGTCGAGGAAGGTGCAATGAGCGTGAACGATGCGCTTGGAGTTCGTCACTTCCAACTCTGGTTACGCCGATGCAGAGTGAGGAGCGGTTTTACAGACAGGAGATGCGAATGAGAAGAGCCCATAGGATTGTAATACTTGATCGATATCTTCCCATGTGCCAAAGTATGTAGCACATATGGCCGTCATAACGCGCAGTCGTGTTTGACAGTAATACAGCATTCGGTGGGAGCGATCCCCTGTGTGGACTCTCGAAGGCCACACCTCCAGATCCGAAGACAACTGTGCCTTTTTATAGTGTGTTGGCTCCGTGTCCTTGCGAAGGAGAGTCAGGTTGGGTTACATGTCCCCATGTGCTGAAGTCTGTGACTCCACTCTCTTCCTCTCACACTAAGTGTAGAGAGAAGAGTACACTATAGAGATGCACAATCTTTCCAGAAGCAGAGTAGCCAAAGAGAGCCGCTGATATGTCTGGTTTCAGTGGACACTGCCTTGTTTCTTGGTAGTACTGTGCTTTTAAATAGCTAGATGAGGAGGAGACTATTGACGGGAGAGAAGATGCAAAGGGTTCTGTTTCTTCTTCAATGTTCCGCGTCAGCGAAAGCATCAATGAAAAAAGAGTGATAACAAGAAATGTTGTTTGTTTCCAAAAATTCCTTGACGACCGTGAGGCCATCAAGAGCAGTCAGTTGATAGTTTTCAACTAGCAAAAACACGATCTCGGACGAATCCTCACTGATACTGTTGAGAGAAAGTCAGCATTATGCTCTATGCAATAGTGATGCCGTTCAGAGATTGCTCACCGCGTAAAGCTGCCTGAAGTCAGTCGTTGTTCCAGATGGTAAGGAGTAGGGCAAAACGTACCCCTTGCACTTGGATGTCGGGAGAAAGATGGAGCGCGAGGGAACGCTGAGTTTTATAGCAGCGCTACGGCGCGTCGATTATGTAAGCGGAGCTCGGAGGCTTGGCACCGACTGGCTGGGGATCGTGTTGGTCTGTCGCGTTCCAGCGCAACCAAGAATTCATGTGAACGAGGCCTCGAAGGACTTCAGAAGGGCACATCATCAACTCGGGTCAAAGGCGTTTACGGCGTTGCTTTCGAGCACAGATTCTACTTCCTCTTTGTTCTACGCTTCCAACATCCAGCAACCGTCCAGATCGACCGGCGCATCGACGCGTTCTGCAATGAGTATGGCAGACCCCAGCTTTGGAGTGCCTGCGCAACTTGTCAGTCAAGTCGACGTGCTTTATCTTGACATCTGTAGACTGACATGTGGTGGATAGCTGCCCCATGTGCATCTGATCTCGGGCCACAAGTACCCCTTCTCTCCCCAACTTGCCATCGATGGCGCATACACGTACCTCTTCGATGCTCCCAAGGTTGTCAAGCAGGTTGCTCCCATGTCATGGCAGTACATTTCTGCTCCACAGGACGGCACCGTCTTCTTGACCTGGATCGGCGGTCGCATGCAGAACCAGTTCCCCACCGATGGCTACGTCTGGGTTGATCCTGAGCAGCGTTACACCCAGGACTTTGGAGGCTACGTGTGTCGCATACACTTCTTCACCTCTGTCGCAATTCGCTAACATACATCAGNNACACTGGAAATCGCCTTCCACAACAGTGGTTACCGCCCTGGAGCCGACAACGTCACCAGTCACTCACGTAGACGATACCGCTTCATGTCCAAGAACCCCAGTGTTCACGCCCTCCCTCCGGATCCGAGTCTCTGGCTTGTCCACTACAGTCAGGCCGACCCTCAACACTGCTTCCCCACATCCCAGTTGCCTCTGTCGCACCAGTCGCGCCAGCAACTGGCCGAACGCCAGTGGATCGAATCCCAAGGCCGTCTCGATCGCCAGGACTTCATGCTGCACGACCGCGAAAAGTGGCCTCAGCTCAACATGCCTGGTCGTGCTGCTGTACCTGGTGTACCTGCTTATAACCAGAACATGTATCAGCAAAGTCCCATGGCTCACATCGGTAACCCTCGCTTCTCCGGCAACTTCTATCAACAAGCTCAACAAGGACACGCGGGTCCGTCGCCTGCTAAACGCGCACGGCAGCACCCACCTGCTCACGTCCCTGCATCAGCCGCTGCTCTGATGGCTCAGGACACCAGCATCGAAGATGAGGAGAACGTCCTCCTTGGAGACTTGCTTGACCACCTCACTCAACGCGATATCAGTCTGACCCGCTACATGCAACACCATGACTGGATGGACGAGGTCTACTCGTCACCATTTGCTACTGGTCAGATTGTCCCTATGGACCTTGGCTTCGGCTTGATGGGCGAGCTTGCTGGTCTTACCGAAGGCTTGTTTGATACCCCAATTTCTGCCCTTGAGAAGACCGAGCCCAAGTCAAAGGATACGCCAGCTGCATACAAGAAAGTCACATCCGAGCAACTGCAAGAGTTCGAGAAGCGCGTCCAGGCGCACAAAGAGAAGGAGCAGAATGAAATTGCACGCATGAAGGAAGAACACGCCAGGAGAATGGACAGTTTGCGCAAGAGCAAGAGCCTAGTCAAGGCCGAGAAGAAGTTGAGAAATGCTTCCTGGAAGCCTTCGGGCTCAGGCAATGAGTTCTGGAGATTGGAGAAGACAAACGATCAGGACGCCAACCAGATTGTCGAACAGGTGGAGGAACTGCTTGGTGGATCCATTCAAGCACAAAAGGAAGCCACTATGATCAGTGAAGGAGGATACCGCAAAGAAGAGAAGCGAACGCCACCTGCCGATGCAGACATGGCCGGAACACAGATGGATGGTGCAGGCGTCGACGCTGCCCAATCTCTGCAGTCTGCTTCAGGTGCTGCAGTCGAATCTGCTCCGCAAACCNGAACAGCCACAACAGCCGACTCAGCAGATGCCTGCAGCTCCTCAGATTCCTCAGCAACCCCACAATCTGCCGCTCCAAGTGTGCCAGACACCAACATGGAGAACATGGAGTCCATGGACACTGGCAACTTCTCACTACCAGACGATATGGAACTTGACACGGGCCACTTCAACTTCGACACACCCAAGACGGATGTTCAAACCCCAGGCACATCAAACTGGCCTGGTCAACAACCACCACCTCAAGCGCAACCACAACAACCCGCCAATCAGCAACCCAACGCAGCCAATCCAACAAGTGGTGGCGACCTCTACGGTGCGGGTGGAGACGCAAACTTTGGCGACTTTGACGCAGAAGACGGTTTGATCGATTTCGAGGGCGGCGCAGGCGAGGACATTGACTTTAGTATGGACAATTCGGCGTTTGGCGATGCTTTCCACGGCACGGAAACACATGAGCAAGATGAAGGAGCAGGCGAGGGACAGTAGAGTAGTAATCCGCTGGATTCTGTAACCTTGGTGGATGCCAAAGAGGTCATGTCAGAGGCCGTCGCGGAGATGGCTCCTGTCGCGCAGGGTAAGACAGATCACTCTCAGAAGACACTCAATGGCGGTCGCCGGCCGAATGAAGATGATTCAGAAACCCCAGTAAACAATGAAAGCAGTAAATGAACTATGTTGTTTATACGTTCTCTCCCGTTCCTCCTTCTGTGACTCTGCATCAAGTCAAACGAATTAAATTTCGCTACCTGACCATCGTGATTTACCCTTCACGTGCGCTATTCGAAAGGTACCTGTAAAGTTCTGTCCCGTTCGTGTCTGCCTCTGTCCGTTCACTCATTTGACATGTCAAGGGATATCATCACGTTCCTGACCATTGTACAACCTTGTCGTCCTTTTACTTGTGGTCGTGATGATCAAACGTAGGGGTAGAGCGACGCATAGCAGACATGGTGAGCGTACGAAGAGAAATGTCGTAAAGATTGAGGCGACTCACGCTGGGCGAAACTGGTCATCACCGACGAACAGATATCGAACCCAAAGCAAAAGACTCGACTACAAATCAGGAAATGAGCGATCGTGATATTGGAACAGACAGAGCAAGGACTGAGTAAGGACTGAGCAAAAAGAAGCACCGTGGGCAGGAATCGAACCTGCGGCCTCCCGACCCTCGAGAGCGAGTATTAGGGATTAGGTAAGCGGAGTAGGGACTTAAGTTACCGGATCGGGTGTGCTGACCACTGCACCACCACGGCATTTTTGGTTGTAGGACCAGAACTTTCTTGAAATATAAAGGTTGAGGAAGCAGAGGGGGCGACAGCAAGGTTGATGGTGAGAGAGAGCTTGGATGAGATAGTTCTGGTAAGCTTCCCGTTGGTGGAAGCAGCTGACAGCCCTGTTTGTTCCGAGCACCTTGATTCGGTCATACGATGTCTGTTGTTTGCTCCGGATGGTGATGCAGTTGCGAACGACTGCCTCGAGTCCCAGTTTTTCCTCTGGTAGATGATGATGATGTCCAGAGTTGAACTTGTAGTCCTTGATTAGACATAGATCCGAAATGCCACAGCGAGGTAGAGCTTGGTCGAAGAATGAATCTTCATGATAGATGATTCTGACGCTGCAGGCTTGGGGATCTGTTGATGGTATCATCGACTGTGACTACAGGCGCGACTTATCGAAGTCAGGATTGCGCCTTTCCAGAATTCGATCTGCTTGGGATCTGATATCATGTTGGCCGCTCGGGCAAAGACAGAGACATAATGGTCGCCAGATGGGCTTGTTAACGTATGGGCATCAAATGTACTGATGGGCCTTCCAGAGATGTGAAAAGGCAGTCGAGGGTCAGATTCGAACCCGCGCTTTCCCTGGTGTAAAGAAAAAGCGTGGTATAGAGCCATGTGGTGTAAAGAAAGGCTCAGCCACCCAATCCCGCGCATCGATGAACTGAACAAAGACCCAAAAGCATCGCAAGACCAACAAAAGTGTGCTGAGAAGACACCAAAAGGGCATGAGGTCCAGGAGGTTTGTCCAGCAAAAACTGATACACAGAAAAACCGACTCCTTGGCTTTAATACCACGGGTTTGGTCCGCTGTAACACTGAGGCGCAGCCGAGGCTTCGGTTTTTTTTGTGAGCTTCCCAACCACTACACTAAAGGCGTCCCTAAAGCGACCAAACGATGGAAGAGTTGCCGCTGGAAGGGTCGCAACTTTAGTCGTATATAAAGGTTGATTGTACGACGCCAACACAAGACGGTCAACACTCTCAAGCTCAACCAGCAGCAACACAGAATGTTGATCAGTAATACTAAGCGTCCTGGTGACCAATATTTGCCGTTGTCGAGTTTTGTCGTGATCGTGGCACGCCAGATGAGTGTAGACAGCGAGCGCCTGAGGCATCTGAGGCGGAAAAAGGGGTCTTGCCAAGAACGACTGCTGGCAAGCAAATAGTTCTGCGTCTTTGTGTAGTACAACCTTGAAAGAGGGTGAATTACTTCTTGATATTGGCGTGGACACTGTAAATAGTGGCAGTAGCCCATAGCCAGCTGTTGACTTGAGCGATGGAGGCAGGCTAGCCGATTATGATACCGTTGCCGTATGTCGAATCCAGGGGAGGCAGTCACCAATTAGTAGTGCGGGACGCCGAAAGATCGTGTCAGGGGACAGCTGGTTGGTGGAAGTCGCATCGAGCTACAGGAGCCAGAAGGATCTTGACCGGATGGAGAAAGCTGTGAGAGTGAACTTCAAAAGGGTCCAGCAGCGCAATGTAGCTTCTTGACGAGATCAAGAAAGTCTGCTTCGACAGATCATCTGTTTTCGTGATGTTTTTTCTCGTTCTGAGCTCTGGTCTCCAGCAGATGTAAGTCTCATTGGTCCATGCCGGGTTCACAGCCTTCATCTCTTTGACAACAACGAAGCTGACATGACTGTATTTGTGCCAATGATCTGGGCCGAATTGTCGGTAGTTGCTTTGCTCTTATCCTTTGCTAGTGGTGCGGTGTTCTTGACCGGAGCGTGCTCTGGTGGAAGACTTCAGGGAGTCAAGTGAAGAATGCAATGCGAAGAGCTCTTCGTGGGACTGCTCGATGTCGATATGATGTAGGGTTCCAAGCAATTGCGGGCATCTCTTGAAGCATGAGTAATGTATAGAGTGAGCGGTTAGACAGACCTGTCTTTATATAAGCAGCATGGGACCACAAAGCACAGGTGCGAAATCGGGAAAGAGATGCCAAGTGAGTAAGTTCACGAACCTTTTGGGAAAGAACCGCTCGCTCTCAAGTCAAGCAACAGACCTGTCTCTCATATTCATGGGAAAACCCCCCGCCTGCAAAGGTAGAATACTTTGCAGGCGGGGGTTTTCCCAAGTTGCCACAGCAGCTTGGGTTTTTGCCTTTTGATTTTTTGTCTTGTGCAGGCAATTGTCTTGGTTCTATCAAGAATGTTAATAGACTTTATTGTCGACAAGCACGCGAACACAAAAGAAAGACAAAAAGCAATGTTGAATGTACAAAGTTTAGTATTTTGCTTATCAACTACTTTTGACCTTGACCGAGACCCAATTCTTGGGCTTGACGATCCACTCAAGTCCAGTTAGGTTGCTAGTGTCAAGTTCTCGAGCCACCTCCCAGGCGCTTCTGATGCAGTCGTTGACGCCAACACCTCTGACCCAGTTGCCAGCGACTCGTAGACGGCCAGAGTAACGCAATGAGAGCTCATCGTGGAATCTTTTCACTCTGTCCTCAAAGCCTACAGTATATTGAGGAATGCAGTTGTAGTTGAGATTGACGGAGTGTGCTGCAGGTTTCTCTGTGACACCGAGGTGTCTTCCAATGACAGATTCTGCCATCTGAAGACCTTCCTCTTTGGTAGGATGAGATGACCATCCATCCCAGTAGTGACCTCCCAGCATAACTGTGACCTTTGTTCCACGATTTGACACAGTATCCTGCATAGGACCGACAAAGTCCTTGTCCTCTGGCGAGGAAGCAGAGTAGGCAGTGTCGAAAGTGATACCAAGTGCACGCTCTGGATTCTGATCGATAGGTATACCAAGAGGGATCAAGTATCCAAAGCCAGGCGGATTGAGGTCCGGAGTGCGGTAATATAAATTTACAGTCATTACTGTCGGTGTTGGACAGACGGGCAAGTTCAAGAAATCGCGATTCATCGACGAAGCGACCTGTGACGTCGTGTCTGGTGATAGTGTAGAAATCACATGCGTGTGTTTGTGCTTCGAGAGTAATTGTTTGGTGGAGTGCTTAGTTTCAAGCTCCACATTGTGCTCGGTGTTTTTGATGTCGGTGATTTCTTGGTTCAATGCGAAGACGACATTGGACTGTTGCTTGAGCGACTCCTCCAATTTGTCGACCAACTGCTGGAGACCATGACGGAAAGTGAAAACGTTTGATTTCCGAAAGTTGTTTCGAAAGTCGGAACTGAACGGATACGGCTGTTTCATGGCGTTGATGAAGTCGACTTCTTTTGCTGGGACCGTGGCACCTTCAGACATGTTGTGGACCAGACCAGCAAGGATGCTGCCATGTTCTTCTTCCAATCTCCAGATGCTCGGGAACAAGCTCTTCATGCTGAGTTGGTAGATGTCACCAGCGTAGATGCCGTGAACAACGGCCGACATGACCTGGTCGACCAGCCTTCGACCTATGCGTCTCACGAAGAAATCACCGACGGACTCGTCCGTCACACTCGGGTCTCTAGCGTGAACCGACGGCTCGAGCAAGACACGAGAAACGATGCCCTTGAAAGCAGGTTCAGAGGTGAGAGCGTAGATTATGGCGCTCACGTTCGCTATAAAGCCTTTCTGGGGGTCGGGCGCGGGCACGCGAACGATGTGGTCGGGGTAGTAGATATAACGATTTGTTGCAGCGGGAGCAGTCTTCATGGTGAAGATGGTGTCATCCTCCAAACCCAGTTGATGGACGAGGCGAGCGGTGAGAGCGCCATTACCAGCCGGTCGCAGTGTCCTTGGGCCCTTTTCGAAGAGGATGTGTCCATCGTCTATCTCGACCTTCTCTGTGTGCAACTAGCCTCCGAGTCGAGGCGAGCTCTCGTAGATGGTGACTATGCGATTGGGATTCGATTGAGCGAGATAATGTGCGGTAGCGAGGCCAGTGATACCTCCACCTAGGACGGCAACATCGTTCGGTTCGGCGGGCAGACTATAACACCTNACATGGCACGGTGAGCTCTTGCGCTCGGCAGTCGCGTTGACACGCGCTTACCTGGTTGCTGCGAATCCGGAAGGCGCTATCGAGCGACACGAAGCCACTCTGGCGATTTTGTTCAGCCCATGGCGCCTGTTCAGCATTTCTCAATCACTGTATCGTCCTACCAGCAGGACCTGACCGCAACCAATTGGCACAGCGAGCTCGATATGGAAAACCGATGTCGACACCAATGTGGTCTGAGGCTCAAGAAGCACGAACCAATCACCCCACTCCCACTCCGACGACACCACTTTACCCGCCCTTTCTCCTTCCTTCGTAGTTCTCACTCCTTGACGCCTCAGAGCTGGACGGGACATTCACAGGGAGCAGTCTATACACTCTCAATTCTCCTCAATTTGCTATCCCAATGTAGGTGTCTCGGTCATGTCCGATGTGCTCTTGGCCAAATCACAAAGGTCGATATGGCTTTAACGTCTGGCGCCTTGGAGATTGGACTCTCGGCGTATACATGTACACGGTTGTCTGTATCCTACGACTGATCTAAGCATGTATAACCATCGCCTCATCAGGCAGTGGCGCTGATAGACCAAGTCGACAGTGTCTTTGGTAAGTGTATTTGGCGGCTCATTCTGTTGCACCGTTTGAACCGAAACCCCGAATCGTCCAGCCAGGAGTAAACGTTGCAATCGTCCAGGCACACACGAGCTGAACAACTGGAGAGGTACAACGGTTTCGTTGCCATCCTCAAAGAGTAAAAGAGAAAACCGAATCCATGTCCGCTTTACCTTTCTTGACTGTTTCCCGTCTTCGTGTCCTATGGGGCTATCATTTATCATTTGACGAACGTGCCCTCGTCTTTGAGGAGAAATCATGAAGCTTACAAACTTCATATGGTGGCTCTCATGGTCTTGTCTCGCCATCGCTTCTCCCTTGGAAGAGCGTGCAGTCAGCTCTGCGACTTGTAACAATGCCCAAGTCAAGGCTCTACGGTCGAGCAACGCCAATTGCTATTGCTCTTCATTTCTCCAGATTCCAGTCTCGACTGTGACGAAACTTACGACCCTCACATCAACGATACGAACGACAGTTACGAAAAAGCAAATCATGACCAAGTTGGTACCCATATCGCGCGCGTGGAAGTCTCTCTAACAGGTTCACAGACTATCANACCAATAATGTCAAATCTACCATAACCACCCGAACCATTACAGCCAGCTCAAAGACTGGATACACCACTTTAACAAAGACCATAACCGTAACGCCTCGAGCTCGATCGCTGCATCGACGGAAGCACCTTGATCATCCTAAAGAATTGGTCGAGAGAGCCACTGTCTCAACATGCATCACGCCTGCTGTGGTCAAGAGCATGAACAAAGCGGCCATCTCGAGTGCTTGTAGGTGCTTATCGATAGCGTCTCGTATGACGACCATCACCAAGGCTACGACAAAGCGCGTCACACAGGTCTCTACCAAGATTATGAGCTCTACTGCTCTTCGGACTGTAACCATCAAATCTAGTCTTACTGCAGTAGCAACATCCACACCACCTCTAAAACTGGTTACTCGGACAGTGATGATCACGGTGACCGCGAAGACGCCNTGCTTCGACTGGGTCCAAGAGTGTTTCAATCAGCTCTCTACGAAATGACGGTGTCTCAGGATCTACGTCAAAGACTTCAAGTCGGTCATCCAGAAGTCTTCCAACCACCCCATCGTCAAGCCGTCCAACTTCCAATAGCAGCAGCTCATTGAATTCTGTCTCGAGTAGTAGGCTTTCCACTGCATCACAGACAATCCGGTCTTCGAGCAGTTCCACGATCAGTATCCGACCTGTCAGCAAGTCGACCAGCTTATCTAGTGAAAAAGCAACCAGTCTGTTCAGCAGCAGCCGAGTCACAAGCAGCAAGTCTAGCAGTACGACATCGGATTTTCCTACTTCGACGGCCGGAGATGGTCACTCGTCAAGCCAGGCCATGGCCGATCCTACCAACAAGTTATCCAGCAAAGCATCAAGCGCTGCTACAAGCGGGTCCTTGAGCAGATCGTCAGGTTTCTCGATGACTGNCGTCATCCAGCAAGCTCTCCAGCATTTCAGCAAAGTCTTCAAGCATATCCCTGAGCAAGTCATCTAGCAAACCGCCAAGCACTAGCTCAAGCAGAACTTCAAGCAAGACCTCCGTTGTGTCCACGAGCAAATCCTCCACCACATCGAGCAGTAGCAAGAAGACAACGACAACGCCCTCGGAAACAGCGTCAACCAGACCATACCCACCAGAGGGACCTTTGTATACGCCTAACACGAATGGATGCGCTTCAAGAACCGCAAAGTCTTTGTCTAGCACGAGTACACGACCCAGTATATCGTCGACTCTCAGTTTGAGCAGATCTGCCTTGTCGTCAACTTTCACTTCGAGCAGATCTGTCGAGTCGTCAACTCTCAGTTCGAGCAGATCTGCCTTATCAACCTCTAAATCGACGTCAAGCAGAGCAACAACCTCAAGTTCAACACAAAGCAGCTCAACGCCTCGATTCAGTTTTCCGTCAAATAGCACAATGTCAACGACCACCGCCTCACCTTCAAGCTCAAGCTCCTCTCTTGTGGTTAACAAGTTTACCTACGATGACTTCTCTACTAATGATACAATCACCAACACCACAACCCCTCAATTTCTCGCCCCCAACTCTACGGCCATGAACTTCAGCACTTTCACTCCGAACAAGCCATTCTATCTCCAATCTCTGTGCACCTCTGGTCTCCAAATCAGTGGTCTCTATGCAGCCCTCATCGCCACCAACTCAAACCCTGCTCTCCAATTCACCACTTCTGCTTCTCTGGCTAGCCGCTTCTACCTCTCAACCTCTGGCTACCTATACGTTTTGCCCTCCTCCTCTACACCCTGGACCTTATTCTCTGATGAAAAGCTGATTGCAAACATCGATCAAGCAGCAACAGACATGGATTTCTTCTTCAACGAGGAAGATGAGATTGCTGCAATGGGTGCAGAACAAGCAAAGTGCGGCGTTGATGATGATGGCGTGTTGCAATGCAAAACCAGTGCAACGACCGAGGTTTTGTACTGTGAGGATGGGGGAACAATCAAGTTGGCAGGATGTGTATTGCAAGGGTGTGACACGGCAGAACTGGGGGTTGTATATGTATAGATGTCTAATTGCTTGGAAGACATGGGGTCTGGTGCTTTTGCATGAATGAGGAGTGATCTCCATGACACCGATGAATAAATTATAGAACTATAGAATTGCACAAAGTAATCCATAATAAAGAAGATGTGTGTCCCCAGAAGTTTGTTCAACACTAGAAAATTCTCACTGGCAACTAACTCGTTATGAAGAAACGACTTCGCAATGCTACAATGTACTCTCCAATTCTAGACTCAAAGGTTGGAGAAAAGATCCCTCAGCCTCATCTCCCTCTCTCATACAAACTCAATGTATAGATATAGTACTATAGAAATGCAAAGTTTTATCTAAATATCAAGAGTGTCCTGAGAGAGCAGCTACATAGCAGTTCTCTCTCTGTGGACCCTTCTCTATCTCCCACTACAACTATGGCATCTTCGATAACTATCCACCAACCTTTGCTTCAACAACAGAGATACTGCGCCATACCTCACACAACCCTGTCGTAAGTCACGGTCAAAAAAAAAAAAAGAAAGGTTTGTTTCTATTTCAACCATCTAATTGTTTCTCACAGCTGCGGCAATGCAAAAAGAGGATACTGGCACACCCAAACATCGTCATCCAAGAGATAACACTCAATCAATCTTGAGCGAGCCATAGATCCTATACACAAATGCCCACGTGGCGACAAATCCAATCGTACCNTGGTCACGGAAAAAAATTAGCCTTCCAAGATGCACAACACGGAAATAAAGAAGAAGTGGAACAAAAAAAAACTCACCGGTCAACACAAACCACAATGCACTAATCAGCGCACTGTATCCCAAATACAACACCCCAGAAGTCCACGATGTGAAACTCAGCGTCCTTACCCAATAAAGCATGGCATACAAGAAGACGTAAATCGCAGAGGCGCCAGAGGTGAAGAATGCTCTCCACTGCCAATGGTAGTTTTCCGCACACAGTGCAAAGTAGACCATAAGGATGGTGACGGCAGCAGATGTTACAATCATCAGTCCGTAGCAGAGGAACAAAAAGCCAAACATGTAGTAGATACGGCTGAACCAGATACTGCTGATGATAAAGTAAAGCTCGAGGAAAATGGCGCCAAAAGGAAGAATGCCGACGAGGAACATCGAAGGCAAGGGGCGTAGGTATCCGGTTGATGGTGGGATTTGGCGAAGGATCTGGTTGGTGCGGACTGGAGGCGTGGATTCAGGAGCGCGGAAACCAAGCCATGAACCACCGACAGAAAGAGGCACGGAGATGAGGAACCAGATGCTGACAAGAGCGAGCATGGTGGTGAATGGCACGGCTCCAGAAGACTGACGTGCCCAGACGAACAAGTTGAGAAGGAAGAAAACGCCAAACACAGTGCCAGGGACGAGCAAGGGTGTAAAGGCAATGTTCTGCTTCCATGAGTCGCCATGGAAGAACTTGTATACACGTGCCGAGACATATCCTCCCACAGCACCAAAGAAAGTGTACAGCATGACCATAACAGTAGTCAAAGAACCACGGTTCGAAGGAGACAAGAAGCCGAGCAGAGCAAAGGCAATGGTGAACCCGGTCATCATGAAGAGCTGGGCGCCGTTACCGACCAGAATTGACAGGACCATGGGGTGTCTCGGTGGACGGAAGACATCACCATGCACAAGCTTCCAGCCTGAATCCTCTTGCACTGTATCATCCAAGCTCGTACTGCCAAAGTCATCAAGACCCAAATCATCGAGGCGGTTGTAGCGAGCAATATCCTTGCGCAGAGTCCGGAGAAGTATGGTGGACACCATGCCGACAAGAGCGACGACGATGAGTGCCGAGATGGTCAGCGAGAGCCAGTGAATACGTGGATCGTAGACATGGAGGTATTTGTCCCAGCGTGTGGCGAACGAAGTAGGAGAGGGTACCCAGTAAACGCTGTACGTCCAAACAATTTCGGTAGCATCCTTCTCGGAGAGAATAACAGGGTGAGCGATGTCACCGCATTGAACCTTGCCATCGTCCAGTAGCTTGGAGTCGATGGAAGATGCCGGTTCGACCAAGACACCCACAACGCGGTACTTGTCCTGTGAGGCCTGGTGATATTCGACAAAGATGTTGTAGTGGTTGTTGAGGACAGGAGTCACATTGTCGGGAATGGTACCATGTACCTGACCAAGAGCGAAGCCAGGACTGTAGAAGATGTCTTGATTGGCATCGATCATCTTCTGGGCAGCAGGCAAACCGTCAATGTTCCAGTTGACATTGTAATTCTGCACGATGCGAGTATTGACGAACTTGGCATCGCGAGGCTGGAAGGTCTGCTTGCCGCATACAGCCTTACACGACTCGTTCTTGCCCATGTGTAGTTCCAGCGGTGAAGTCTGAATTCTGTCTCCGAACAGGATGCTCCCCAAACTTTCGCTCTTTTGTTTTGGACCGCCCTCAGGCTCGCAGTGGTGGAAGGCATGATGGTAGTAGTCAAAGGCGAAGACGGATCGGACTTGGGTGTCTTGTTCGGATTGGGAGGGNGTAAGACGGTTGACTGTGAGCGGTACTCGATCGCCAAGTTGGTAGTTCGTAGGCGCGACTCCTGGAAGATAGAAAGCTGCTACACTGGAAGGACCTGCTGCCAGTAGCGCACAAAGCGACAGAGACAACCCTGAGAGACGCATTCTGCCACCTATTCGCGACTGATCATCGACTTGCGCCGGACCTTCGGACTATTGCCTTGGTATGACTAGAAGATCAAAACTAAGCGCGGATACTATGGCGCAAGATGACTGGACAGTACAATCAATTCCAAGAAATGCTACAAAGACAAAAGAGCAGCGGCTGAAGACGGGACAAAGGAGTCTCTCTCCTGAATGCTCAACACGACCGCCATGGATTGGTCTGGGGAGAGCTGTCATTGTGCCGACGCTTGGGCCAGAGCCATGACGAGGCCGCGTATGTTGCTTGCCATAATCTCATGCAACTTCCTTCCTATGTTAAGAGTAGCTATAGAAATGCACAGTTGTTCTGGAAGAAGAGTCATTTCCAAAGAGAGCTGACAAGAACACGACTCTCAGTGGACGCTACCATTTCCTTCAGGATATTGTGCATGTTCATAGCTGGTAGAACGGCTATACATTCTAGTAGGAGTGCGCTGAACGATGAGATTGTGAAATCTATGGCACACGGAGTGAACCAAGCACATTGGAAGAATGCAAATTGGAATATCATGTCCTCATTGTAACATAGAAGTGTGTGCTGCTGCTTCCTCAGCACCGCGCGGGGAATCATAGGTAACCGCATGCTTGCCCCAAATAAGATCTAAGGAAAAGGAAAGAGAGGTGCCCACAAACAGCTTCCTTACACCAGTCCGTCGTATAGCGACAGCGCTGAGACAATCGTCTCGTCACGCTTGGATCCTTCCTTGAACTCGGCCATGTCCAGACTGCCATTCTCGTCCTTGTCCATCATGCGGAAGATCTTGCGCACTCTCTTCTCTGGTGTGTCTTCGTCTTCGGGCAGTTTGACCATCGATCCAACCTGTAGTCGCGTGTCAGCTACTGTCATTGCTCTTCGCAGTCCATTCCCTCTCACCATCTTGTAGATAGCCTCGACAATGGCCAGCATCTCGTTGTAACTGATTTGTCCGTCTCCGTCAATGTCGTATAGTTGGAACGCCCAGTCCAGCTTGTCCTCCATCTTGCCCCTGCTCGTTACACTCAAGGCGCAGATGAACTCTTTGAAGTCGATTGAGCCCGACTTGTCTGCGTCAAAGACATTGAACACATAATCGGCGAACGATGACGGATCTCCGAATGGGAAGAACTGCTTATAGATCTTCTGGAACTCCTCCTTGGTGAGCATGCCCGAGGGACAGTCCTTGAGGAAACCTNNGCATGGCCGTCAGTGTCGCATCTTGGCGGCTGGCTGAGGTCATGTCTCACCCTTGTACCATTGCTGTAATTCCTTCTTGTCGAAGTGAGTGGCCTTCTGGAGATCGCTGAGCTCCTGTGCCGACAACTTGCTCTGACTAATGTGTGGATGCAGCGTCAGCGTGTCTGTACTCAGTGATAGGTGTGATATTGGGCTGTGTGTTCCAAGCTCTTGCTCCAGATGGTGGACGGCTGTACGAAGTGCTGTGTCGCGGTTGATTGCATAGTCCATGTAGCTATTGGACGTGTGACGCGGAATGTGCTTCGGTCGCGGTCTGGCATGGTTGGCGGTCGCGAGGGCGGATGAAACATCACTGGTTGGTGAGGTGGAGTTTTGGTCGTCGTCATGGTTGGTCGGGTTCATTGTGCTGGCGAGGGTGGTTTGGCTGACGGACGCAATTGAAGTCGACGAATGCTCGCCAAGGCATTGGTCAAGCAGGAGGGGGCATGAATCGAGACGACAGTAGACGAGCCATCACCAGAGGAGCGAGCAAACAACACGAGACAAGGAAGGAGGGGGCTGTTACTCACGACTTCCCCATCTTGCGCCCTTGGAATGCTGATCGTTTGTCGTTGGCAGTTTGTTCCAGAGAGTTTCCGGAAGCTGCGACTCTTAGATCACGGAATCGGTGGAATGGTGTTTAGGGTGATGATGTTGTTCGCAGAGGGAGTTCAGAGAGAGCGCATATCAGGCCTGCCGTGGTTGTATAAGGGTGCTCTGACTAGCGCGGGGCTTAGGTGGTGGCTGTGAGTTTGGAGAGCCGCCATGACCTCTTCCGTCTTCTTGACCACTCAAACTTGCGACAAGTCCCCGCCCCCCAGCCGTTTGACCACTACCGCATCCACGCCCTCGCACCGCATCGTCACTGGTCACAAAAAGCCATGTGCCTTTGCCTGCAGAGAGCCTGCTTTTGACATTTGCCCTCGTGGTCTGTACGCCATAACAACCATAGCCAATGACATCTGTCGAGTGACTGTGTGAACATGCTCTTCACGTTGATCTCGAGTCAGATATAAACGAATCAGTACAGGGTGAGAAATGTAGTGATTGGAACAAAAACTTATTTACGCGCGGTCGCTGAAAATGCCATGATCGCAGAGGGATCAACATGAACAAACGTCTTTCGAGTATAGACAGAAGAAATGAAACAACTAAACGCTTGCAAAGGAAACGAATAACAGATGAAACACGTATGCTCAATTACAATCGCGTGCAGATAACTCGCTCAATGCTGATGGCGGAAGTCAAACTGTCCCAATTCAATATCGGGCAATCTTGGCTCTCGCGCCGCAGGGCTATTACTTCGGTCTCTGCCACCCATGCTGGCTGCGTCTGAAACAAGATTTTGCTGGCTCTCGTCCCGCGAGATTCCTGGTCTTGCTGCGTACAGGCCGGGCGATTTCTTCGACAGAGCGTCGTAGCCAATCTTGCTCGACCTCTTGCTTGTGCTGTTGAGCGAAGGAGACACCAAAGGTGCCTTTTTGTATTCGGACACCACTGGCGAGCCTGCGCCCTTGTACTCGGTGAGTTGTGTAGGGTCCATGAGGAGAGAGTTGCGCGCATCCAGGGGTGTGAGGTCGTCGAGGTCGTGGTTGAGTTTTTCTNNGGTTCGGACGTTAGTCTTGGTCTTGCACAAGTAATCATTTTCAAACTTACCGGCCTCCTTTCTCTTCTTGCGGTGAGGGTTGGCGCGAACACAAGTGATGATGGCGTTGACGGCGATGAGAATGGCGAGAACACCAGTCAGAACAGATTGTACAACAATCAGAACAAGGCCTGTCACAGTCTTGGTCGTCTGGCTGATACCAAGCTCCTCAACAAAGACGAGCACGCAAATGACCGAAATGACACGAACGACCTGGATGGTGATGTTGATGACGTTGCCGCTCTTGAGTGTGTAAGGTCTTGACCAGACAAGCAGGATGAGTAGAAGGGATTCGATGACAATCTGACCAATAGTCTGGGTGAGTCCGTGTCCGTTGGCTCCAGCGATCAAGGCGTTCTTAGCAAATGCATAGACGATGGTAGGGATGAACAGCCACCAGTATCCTTTCTTGAAGTTTTCGTAGAGGAAGGCATATCTGACCCAAGTCTCCTTGTGCTCAAACAGCATGCTTGCATCACCATCCATTTGCTTGTATTTCTTGGCTTTGTGCCAGATTGTGAAAGCAAAAAATCCGAGAATGCAAGTGAAAATGGCCCAGGTTACTCCAGCGAGGACCTTGGCTGCCCAGGAGTCGCCATCGGTGAACTGATACACGCAGTAAAGGGTCCAAACACCATAAGCAAGCATGACCAAGTTGGTAATAGTTTTTGCCAGGCGCCACCAGTAACGCTTGCGGAAGCTGTTCATGGACTTGGGAAGGTTACCCATGAGGGCCAGGGCTTCAAGGATGACCTTGGTGAGCAAGATTCCAACGGTGATCACGGCAATGACGATGGCGAAGAAGAGCAAGATGGTCATGAAGGTGTTTCCTTGGGGGATGGAGAGCTTTTCCACGTAAGCCTGGATACCATGGACGTAGTGCATAGGTTTGCTCTCAGTAGTTGTGCCATTGCCAGAGCTTGTCGAGTTGCCGATGGTTGATGTAGTACCGTTGACACTAGTGGTGAAGTCTCTGGCGTAGAGGAACATGGTGTCAATGCTGCGCTTGGTGAGGTTGCCGAGGTTGCTGCTTGTGGTGTCGTCAACCAAAGTCACATTCTGCAAGTAGTTCCAGCTGTCGGTTGTCAAGTCTCCGCCGGTTCTATCGCGGAAGCTGTCAATGGTCTTCTGCATGCTAGCCCAGGGAATGAGACCAGTACTGAATCCAAAGTTCTTGGAGAAGCTGTGGTAGATGGCAGGATACGAAACACTGAGCATGCCGTTCGTAGCGATACCTTGGAACCAGCCAAAGGTCTCTCCAAACGTCGGACTCGGTGAAGCTCCACCAACGTGAAACCCGCCGACCACAGCACCGATAGCAGATATACCCAAAGCGGCGCCAGCCATGCCAGCGGCGACGTAGGTGACTGCCTGGACGTTCATCGTCTTTCCGTTGCTGACGGTTGACTGGACACAGGCAACATCCTTGGTCTGATCCTCGCCGGCAAATAATTCGAGTTTTGCTACACCATCCAAGTCTGGCACGCTGAAGGCGATAGAGGGAATCATACTCGCGAATTGGGCAAGTACGCTCTGACTGCCTTGGGCGGCAAAGCTTCCAGCGGGTACTGTGGGTCAGAGGTCAGCTTTGCACTATTTAGATTATCATAGCAGTGTACACATACCAGGACAAAGCTGCTCGACATAGTTGGCTGAATCGCAAGGGTTGAAAGGCTTCTCGTATACCTGTCTTCCATATGCAGTGACGACGATCTTGGCTGTGACGTTCTGTGACTCGGAACTGCTTCCTGCAACATTGAACACAACCATGTTCGTCGTGCGGTCAAATTGAACATCCAAGGCTTCGACCTTGATGGTGGGGTCGCTTGAACATAGAGTGAATCCTTGCGTGGACAGAATGTCACCACCCGACACTCTGGCCGGCAGAGTGCTGAGCAGCACAAGTGGCAAGGTCCACGAGACGCCCGAAGACCACATGGTCGTTTTTTTTTTTGTGTAGAAGCAAGGCCTCTTTATGCGATATCAAACTTCCAGACTTTTAAGCTTTCAGGGGTTCGAGGTCGGGGTATGAGTCGCGATCAAGCTGGACTTGATGTATATGTCCAGTGAGGTGTCTGTAGGGATGTAGGTAACGAGTGCGAGTGAAGTCAAAGACGACACAGATGGATAATCAAGAAGTGTTTTGGGCCGGTCGCCGAGCAAAGACGTTCGTGTTGTGTGTCGGCGGCGTAATAAGGGGCTGCGGCCAGTTGAAACGTGCTAAACGCGGGAGAAAGACGTTGTGGGTGTTTTGGAAAAAGACAGAACGAAGGTGGAAAGTCAGGCGTGAATTTTGCAAAAACGAGAAAGAAGCAGCAAAGTGTTGGAGCGATGGACAAAATAAAACAAGAAGCGATAGGAAAGTGCCAGTGTGCAGATGCAGGAAAGGCGAGCGAATGAGGTGAGATGAAGAGCGAGTGTCCAAGTCCAGGGTGCTTGCTAGTCGGCGCACACACCTTCTTGCATGCGTGCACGGGGCTCTGTGCCATTCGAGGCCTGACCATGCGACCTGACTGTTTCTCAATTCTCTTTGACTGTCTTGTGTGCATCGCCTGCCTTGGATTCCTCGTCATCTCCATCATTGGCCTTGTTGGTTGTCGTGTTGCCATCTCAAGTCCGTTAAGAGTGTCTATGTTTACATGCACAAAACGGCCATGTTGCGCTCACAACGACGCTGCGCCTTAAGCCACAACTGCCATCCTGCACGGGTCTAAGCGCCCTGACACGAGCGAGGTCTGCTGCTTCCGATCCATCATCGACTAGGCGGCAGGTCGTGGATAGACTGGAGTCTCCAAGACCCCATTCGCGGCCGCGGTCTCAATCACCCGGAAGGACTCGTCACCAATCCGTCTAGCAATCGCTCCATCACTTCTAACCATCCCTTGGCGACCAGTATTCAGACACCAGGCAATCTTGTTTGGCAGGGTACGCAATCATTATCCGCTTCGGATTGGCTGATCATTAGCTGTTTCTAAATATTGACACCTGCAAGCATCTTTATTTTTCCTGTCGAAGGAATGCTTGTTTATTTGGTCAGAAACATCGCCTCTTATCATCCAACGTAATCTGACGCACTATTGAAAGTATCATCAGTATCTTGGTCGAGGGAGTGGTAGGTGGTCGATCATGCAGTGCACAGTTCTCATCAGTGATGTTTTTGATTGCAGGATCATCATGTCGACTGGCCTCACACAGAACATTCCAGGCGTGAAGATCAGGCTTTGGTCGCAACACGTTGATCAGCTCTGGCTGTTGATCTAATTGATATGGTCAGTGGTTGGGTCGAGTTGGAGCATGCCATGGCAAAAATTGTAGCGAAGGTCTGGATGTGAATAAATAGCCCCGTGTTCCGCCTTCCCTTTCCAAGACATACTCCTTGTAGATGGGAGTTGTAGTCGAAGTTTCGAGAGATAATATCCATTCGTATATATAAGTCAGAATCTAGTCAAGATAGACAGCCTCTCTATAGGTGAGGTCTTTTCCCGTAAATGCGCCCGCTCCCAGTTATTAGACATATTAAACGTTTACAGAAGGCTCCAGAAAACAGCGGCACCAACGAGGCCACCCCAACCAGCGAACTTGGCAATAGTGCTGGCAGAGCCGTGGGGGATGGCACCGGTGGAAGCCTTGTTGAGGTAAAGGGCACCAATGTCGGTAAGCTTGCCCTTCTCGGTCAACAGAGCTGCGTTGGGTCCAACNCTGTATATCAATGTCAGCAAAAAGATCGTCACTTAAAGGGCTCGGAAACTTACGTTAGAGACGGACGAACGGAAAGCACCAAAGTAAGAGTACTTCTGCATGTAAGGAATGCGGTCAAGGTACTCGAAGCTCTGGTTGGCAAAAGTCTGGCTGTCCTCCAGAGTGCAATCGGCGCATGCAAACTCAGTTACCCAGATGGCACTGATGTTCTGGTAGGTACCGTTGATCTGACCCAGGTGACTAGCCAGACCACCAAAGTTGCCGTACCAATGGGCAGGGATAAAGTCAACCTCGCAAGAAGTGGTGTTGGAAGAACCGCCAGAGCTAGCTTCAATGGCAGCACACTCAGAGAACCAGTTTGCAAGCCAGTTGAATCCAGTAGGAGCACCAGTGACTGCAGGAGCACCAAGCTTGACGCCAAAATCGCGCTTCAAAGGCTCAAACTGCTTCTTCCAGACCTGAGCGGCGGTGGCAGCACTGACGCAAGAACCGCCACTGCTACAGCCGTCGGGTTCGTTGAATCCAAGCACGTATGTGATGTTCTGTCCTTCTTGAATCAGATTGCTGACAGTGTTGTAGAAGCTCATGTCATTCGCCGGGTCCTCGGGTGCTCCCCACAACATGGGGACGAAGTTGAGCTTGTTCTTGTAGTCGGGTGTGGGAACAGCGGCATAGTTGTAATACCATGTNCCTGACCTGGTCAGTACAATATCTACAATGCACACTGTGTGGATTATTTCTTACAGGTCGGTGTCGTTTGTCCAGATAGCGTCGTCTTGCGAGGTCTCGGTTGATACAACACAAAGACCGCGCTTACTGGAAGCAGTGGCTGCCACAAGGGGAGCAGCCACGAGAAGTGCCGGGGCAATGTAACGCATGGTGGTATATGTTGTGAATTATAGATGGCGATAGATGTATGTAGTCCGGGGGTATAGTATTATGTGTTGGCGCAGGTGATCCGGATATCACAGATAAGTGTTCGAAGTTGGGAAATGCGTCAGAGGCGGTTTTTAATATGTTCGAGCGAATGAGTGGGTGACCCGAGTAAAGTTGGCAGGACCAGGCTTCGAGAGGGTATAGCGAGTGATGGAAAGAATGAAAAGAGCGAGACAGGGAGAAATACAGGAGAGGACGGAGGAAAATATCCCACAGGGCCACAGATCTCAGACAATACTTTTCCTCAGCTATCCAAGAGCGTTGGCGAGCCCATGCTAGAGCGCTTCTGGGCTGCGTGAGAGAGTCAAAAACGGATTGACTCTCAACGTTATCAAGCCCGTCCACTCCCGGATCTGCAGCCTCCCGCTAGAACACCTATTTGCGGACTAGGAAGACTTGGCTTTCTCAAATCGTTCTTCGCTGTGCTAACGGAGAAGAAAACGATTTTGAGACATCGCGGCAGCTGATGGTTTGCTGACTGCGATCTTCAGCTGCAAGGTACAACCAGGAGTTCGGCGCCAATGCTTGTCCTTGTTGAGCAAAGACTTTGAGTTCAGTCCGTATGCCCGAGGAGCCGCAGGAGTCAGGACCTCCTTCTCATCCGCATCATCGGTTGAACTTTGGTGCGGCAGTCGGCATTTCCGCTTAACTTCCTCCAATAGAAACTGGGCTTATGCAGGTCCTTCTTCTCGAACCACTGCGCAAGCCACCTTTCGAAAGGAGATTTGGAGCTGAGGGACAGAGGCTAGAGGCAGACAGCTGGTTGTGTTTCAAGTTTCATCTAACGCCGAGGTTGAAGGAATCTGCTTTTGACTGGTGGTCGTCAACAGATCCGGTGTGGGAGAATAAATTTTTGGGAAGTCGAACTCGTTTCTGGTAGCACCCTGTCTATCGATGAGTCCTCGTAATATCCGGCAATAACAAGCTGTGTAGACTTTTGTGGCTTGCGTAGTCGACACACCATACTCCTGAGCACTTATAGGAGACTTTATAGGGTCGCTCGCCCGTGACAGATAAATCATGGTTATGTTTGGTAGCTGTGCTGCGTTTCTGCTCCGGTTCGGAACCAAGCTGCACATGCTCATCTGCGGTCTGAACCGAGCACAGGAAGTCTCCGTCACACGAATGCACTATAGATCCGGTTAGAAGAAGAGTGCGATTGGTTGATGGCGTGTAGATATGTTCTCAGTCATGTGCGAATGTCTTGCCGTCATATCCGCATGGACTAAACTTCCGAAGCAGGCACGACATAATCTCTATGGCCTTCAGTACTGAACAGGACAACTACTGCATCCCGATCTTCCTGCAGTATACCTCTTTTGTACAGTTTCCTTAGAGCTGCCAATAGAGCTGCTCCACATGGGCCTGCATTAACACCATGGTCTTGCAGATATAGAACATTGTGATGTGCTTCAACGTCGTTGACGATCACTGAAGCATATACACCTGACTTTAGAGATGGCCAGCAGTTGGTGGAAACAGTACCGCAGTTCATGCCTGCATCCATGAGTTAGCGTAGACGGCATGAGTTGACAAGATGCTCACCATCCATGATCGTCGAACCTGTCTCGACGGGAACAATCTCTCCGTTAAGTAGACTTTCCATCAGACACGGTGCTGCTTCCGACTCGACCGTGACAACCTTCGTTTCTGGATCGCTTGTCGTGTAGTGAGAGACGACAGACTGGGCCCAGGAGCCAACGCCAACAGAGGCGATGCAGAGTGATGGCCGTTTCCCACACGCCTCTTCAAGCTGGCGGTCTACCTCCGCGTGCATGGTGGCATAACCATCGACAACCCACCGCGGTATCTGGGCATATCCCTCCCAGCTAGTGTCCATCACGAGCATAGCTCCAGAGCTTTCAGAATCTTTCATGGTAGCGGCGATACTATCGTCATAACTGCCATCGACAACATTGACAGTAGCACCCTCATTGCGTAATTTAGCGCGTGTTGCTTCATCCATAGTCCGGGGGACGAATATAGTGGCTTCGATACCCATATATTTGGCAGTACGCGATACCGCCCTTCCCCAATTGCCGTCGGTACAAGAGACTAGCTTGATACCTGCATCTCGAGCCGCATGTCCAGCTTCTTCAAGCGATGCGGAAGATGGAAAACCTGTTTTCTCACATACTGCTTTAAAGATTCCCCAAGATGCGCCTAAAATCTTGAACGATGGTAGGTCGAATCGAAGACTCTCGTCTTTGACATATACATGGCCAACACCCAACTCTTGAGCCACCTCAGGAAGCTCTATCAAAGGAGTGGTCTTTGAGTCTGGAAAAGCTCGATGAAAAGTGATGAGATCGGGATCAATAGAAGTGTCGGTTTGGAGGGTATGCGATAGTCCAGGATTGATCAAGATGTCATGTCTCTCAAAGACGTCGTCGTGTCCAAGGTGCTTGACCTTGAAAGTGCCAGATCCCGACATGAGACCAGGTCCTACTGCTTGAAACACGACTATCGTATGATGTTGTTGAAGATGAAGTGAAGAGCGTATCCGTTACGATGCGAGGCAGTGCTCTTGGCCTGCATGCCAATTTCATGGATGCGTGCGGAGAAGACACCGTCGTGAATCGTGATCAAGTTTCTCTCCACATGTTGAAAGTCTGTTTGATGAATCTCCCATCCTCTCGTGGCGACACAGCAACATTTGTACCTACATATATGCAAAAGTCGTCGATATCAGAAGTGTGTGCCATTGAGAGTTGGCAAGCAGCGTCTCTCAGCAGTGCTTCGAGAAAATTGTGTGGTTTTACTGAATTTCGATGTTACGCCTGTGACAAACTTCTAGGAGATTTCTCTCCACACGTTGAAAGTTTGGTTGGCACCGAATCGGTCAGGTGGATGTCATCATGATCCGAGAAGACAAGAATGAAAAGCTCTTCACATGTGATGGCTAGTCGGCGATTTTGTCAGTCGCAAGGTTCCTGTGCGCGAGACGGGAAAGAGGTGGCCGTAACAAAGTGCCCGTTTCAGTTGGGATCTCCTCTTTCTCAAAGCCACAGCACATGCAACGGGTCATGTGTGGAGTCGGGAGCCGCAATTTGAGGACGGCTTCTGGTGTAGCCAGAAGTTGGCCTCGAGTTTTCAGTCGACTCGCGCTGTTGGCAGAGTGTGGTCGCAAGCATCAGTGTTCGGTGAGAGGATGGTCGGGAGTTGTTTCTTCTTGCAGGGCAGAGATCTTCGCAAGGATCAATATGAAGAAGCATGGCTAGACTGCGGATCATCTATTCGAGTGGGACCCCTATCGATACGGGGAAAGAGAGCGAGTGCATCAGCCAGGGCCCAGGGGAAAGACTGGAAAGCAACAGACATACATCATCATCAGCATCCACTTCTTTGTCCCTTGTCATTTTGGCCCTGTCATCATTGTCGTCCAATTCTTGAATAAACAGACAATGCTGATCTAATACCAACCCCGTTGTACCTTGTCACTCGGATCTTTTCACGCAGCTTTCGAACCACGAAGGCTTATGGTTGCTCGCCCTTCACACGTGCTCACCCACCACCGTCACGCGGCGACATCAACACGCCCCCTCCCACACCCATAGACACATCCGACCATGGACTCAGAAAGCTCGCAGGCGGGCTCGACAAGGCGACGAGGCTCGTCGCTCGTGCAACAGATCATCAACGAAGAACGCATTGGCATCCGGAGGGCCAGTCCCAGAAGAATGCCTTCCGACATTCCCGAAGCCGCCCATGCCGAATCACCACATAGCTACGACGAAGAAGAGACCAACCCTGTTTCGTCAGGCTCGGACTGGGAGATGGACGACATTCGATCTGACGAAGGTCTCGAGGACGACGAGGAGACAGGCTTGACTGCCCAGGACCGCCAGAAGAGAACGAAACGCAAGAGGCGGAACACACTGGCAGATGAACGGATCGTGCCCGACAGCGAAATTTCCAAAGAGGAAGAGCGCCTGGCTTCTGCGAGCTTCATGCGCGACGCAATTATAAACAGCATATTGATAGGACTGTGGTACACCTTCTCAATATCCATCTCTGTCGTAAGTCGTTCGATCCGCCCAAGTCCAAATCTCGATGCTTACCTATACGCAGNNTACAACAAATGGATGTTTTCAAAAGGCAACCTTGACTTCCATTTCCCTCTCTTCACCACCTGCGTACACATGCTCGTACAGTTTTTCCTTTCCTCGCTCGTCCTCTATTTCATTCCCAACCTACGGCCGAAACACAAACCAGCCGATTATGCGCCCATCGCCCAGTCCGCAGATGGAGACACAACTGAAGCGCCTCGCAAGCCGCTGATGACTGGATGGTTCTACCTGACCCGCATTGGTCCTTGTGGTGCAGCCACTGGCCTCGACATTGGTCTCGGAAACATGTCACTCAAGTTCATTTCCTTGACTTTCTATACCATGTGCAAATCGTCCGTGCTGGGCTTTGTGCTTGTCTTCGCCCTACTCTTCCGCCTGGAAAAGCCCTCGCTAAAGGTCGGAGCTATTATTCTCACCATGATGGCTGGAGTGGTCATGATGGTCGCCGGAGAGACAGCTTTCAGCATTCTAGGTTTCATACTGGTCATGAGCGCAGCATTCTTCTCTGGTTTCCGCTGGAGTCTGACACAAATCCTACTCCTTCGCAGTCCAGCCACCAGCAACCCCTTTTCATCCATTTTCTTTCTGGCACCCGTCATGTTTACGGCACTGCTTGTTATTGCATTGCCAGTCGAGGGCCCTATCGAGCTCGTCGGCGGTCTGCGTGCCCTGGCAGAGTCCAGAGGTGTCGCAGGATCCGTCGGCATCATTCTTTTCCCTGGAGTACTCGCCTTCCTCATGACAGCATCAGAGTTCGCTCTCCTCAAGCGCACTAGTGCAGTGACGTTGAGTGTATGCGGCATCTTTAAAGAAGTGTTGACCATCTCGGCTGCTGGAGTAATCTTTGGCGACAAACTTACACCCATCAACATCTCTGGACTGGTAGTGACCATCGCCAGTATTGCAGCCTACAACGTCATGAAGATGCGAACGATGAGGGACGACTCANAAAGAGAGGCCCACGAGCAAATGGCGGCTGTAGAGTCGAGACGATCGCTTGAAGAGAGTGGCAAGATTAGCAAGGAGCACACCAGAAAGGCGAGCACAGCAGGCGGGTTGATCAGAAACAGTCTCAGTCTCAACATTGCTCCACTGCTGGAGCAGAACACCAAAGACAGAGCCAGCCCAGTCAAGAGGCCCGAGGACCTTGACTAAGTAATCTCATTGGATATAGCGGCCATACAGGCTTATAGATTTGTCTCATTCGTACAAGTGACTGCGGTCTCAATGGTCTTGTTCTCCTGTGAATCATACGTGAAAGTGAACCGGCATAAGAATAGAGTGACTTTAAACAAAGACATGACGGAGTCTGTCGACGCCAAGAATGCGTGTGGGCGGCCGGTTGCGTCTTTGAGCCATCACTTTCCCTTTCTTTTCTTTGCAGCCAACATCTGGAAGCTGTACAAGACAGAGTATTGTTACGCCCTTCGCTCGCAAGAGATCGCCCATCTAACTCGGTCGGATTCTTTGTCGACGCCTAAAACTCATCGCCGCCGAGCACACCCCGTCACACGACGCACCTGGTTGCCACGCAAACCATCGCCATCTCGACAGGAAGACACGAGACAGACAACATGTCGGTCGAGGTAGCGACAGGAACTCCATTGGCAGAAGCCCTCCACAATGCTGTGCAACCCAAGCTGGCCGAGGTTGGCTGGAGCACCGGCGCCGCAGACGACTCAGCGCTCGCCGAGTACATCATCCTCATGCTCGTCAACGGCAAGACCCAAAGTCAAATCGCATCAGAACTCTCCAACGATCTGCTTGGCCTCGGTCCCGACGATCCCAGCACCAATGAATTCGCAACATGGCTGTTCGAACAAGTCCACACATTGAACGGACAGCTCAATGGCACCCAAGATACGCAAATGGATTCGGCGCAACCTGCAGATGGCACAACTGTATCTCAAATTCAGCCGGGTCAAGATCAGACTATGGGCGATGAAGGCGATTCGCTACCTGAAGGCGCAATGTATGTTGGTCCACGCCATCCTCGCAAGACTCATTCGCTAACTATACCCAGTCCCACCGGACCCAAGTCGATGCGCAACGGTAACGGCAAGCAGCAAACACGAGACCGTCGCATGCTCGGACACATGAACAAGGCCCTTGATCGCACGAATGATGCCGCGCTACACAGAATAAGAGGTGGTGGAGGCGTCGGCAGAATCAACACCCACAACAACCGCGAGCCTCCCAAGGGCCCTCGCAACATGGCCAACCGCATGCAGAACATGAGCCAGATGAACTCGCCAATGACCCAGAACGCCATCATGGGAGCCAACCCGCAGCAGCAGATGCAATTGTTTAAGATGCTGGAAGAGCAATCGCGCATGATGGCCCAGATTCTTGGTCCTGGTCAGCAATTCCCCAATGCTCCCGCTATCAACCCAGCATTTTTCAATGGCCAGCAGCAACAGCAGGGCCAGCAAGGCAAGTCGCTATTTGAGCGTGTTGAGAAGCCCAGGAAAAACAGCAACTTCAAGAACAACCAGCGACCCAACGCGGGTGCAGACGCCATGGATACCGAGGGCGCCGAGAACGCCGATTCAGAACAGAAGGAACCCTCGACCGTCCCTTGCCGCTTCCAGCTCTCTTGCACAAATCCCTCATGTCACTTTGGTCACCAGTCTCCCGCCGCACCACCCGGCATTGCTCTCGATCTCACCGACACATGTTCCTACGGTGCCGCCTGCACGAACAAAAAGTGCGTTGCTTCTCACCCTTCGCCCGCGCAAAAGCGTGCCCACCTCTCGACTCAAGTAGACNTGCAAATTCTACCCCAACTGCACCAACCCGAATTGTCCCTTCAAGCACCCCNNACCACACCGCCATGCAGAAACGGCGCCGACTGTCCCGAACGCGACTCTGGCTGTCAGTTTTCGCACAGCGACATCATGTGCCGCTACACGCCTTGTTTGAACCCTAACTGCCCTTACCGCCACACAGACGGCCAGAAACGCAGCGCAAACTGGACGAACCCCAACGCCAAACACGTCAGCGATCGTACCTTTGTCACAGATGCAGACGGTGATGAAGAGTTGATTATACCCGGTCAGAGCAGCGGAGAACAACAGCAAGAGGGTCAATCAGCAGAGCAGCAGCAACAGCAAGGCCAGGTTCAACAGGCCAATGCAGATGTCGTTGCTTAGGGAGCTGACGTCCATTGGCCCACTCCCTCGCCTGAGTTATGCGGACACTTCGACGTGAAGAAGGAGGACTTGGATCTCGAGACGGGAGGCAGTTGCGAAAGAGAAGGACGGGAAGACATTATGTGCGACGCGTCAAAGCGCTGGCATACAGAACACTGGATCCAGTCACTTCCTCAAGGAACGCTTGAAGAAAGGGTCATTTACCCTGTTTTGGACTTGCTGCAAGAACGACAGCTAGATTTTGGAATGGAAGACTGCGATATGGTAGATGTGTAAAGCAGAGGGTAGTGGTTATTACTGTTGAAATCAAGACCTCGAGAAGGAAGGTCGTTCGTTTTTCTGGGTGGGATGCGCCATCAGCATTCTCTTATTCTGCTACATCCTTTCCTTTCCGTTCTTACCTCTTATCGAATGTGGTTTCTAGGTTATTGCATGGTTTAGACTCGAATACTTCGAGGCATGCCCACAGCATGACTTGCGAAGTATTATAGCTTTTTGAATCATGCATGTTTCATCAATCTCTTCTTAGCTCAGTTGGTTTAGAGCGTCTGACTGTAATTGTTCGATTGTCATCAGAAGGTCCTTTGTTCGACTCAGAGAGAGGAGATTCTTTTTTTGCACCTTTTTTCCATCCTCTCACAACTTGAATCTACCTGCTCACATCCTCAACATTTCACTTTTTGTGCTCTCTCCTCTTTCAATAGACATTTTCTAGTGGCTGAGAATGGTATCCCAAAAAAAAAGATGCAAGAGGTGGGGGAAGGACGAATGTAGAGTTCCATCCAACATCTAGATCCAAACAGTCAATCAATGTCTTTTTTTTTTTTGTTTTTTGTTGAAAAAAAGGCAGTTCTGTGACTCTATATATCGGAGAAATATTATGGGTTTGCGGTCTTTTGACGCAATAAACTACAAAAGTAATTTGTCTCTTGGTTACTGTTTTCTTTCTGTATAAAGTATTGGAAGTCAAGCTGTGCAGTTGCAGAGTCGTTAGAGAACAGTGTATCATCCATGAAGAGTCAAGATAAGGATATGGATACATATGTGATGGGAAAACAATCATGTCTCTTGACCTTCTACCTTCTCTCCATGGGCTAAGGGTTTTGATAATGTAGCTGTCAAAATGCACAGTTGTTTCCAGACAAGAGATGACTCCAGAAAGAGTCGACAAAATTACAGCTCTCAGTGGACGCTACTGTTATCTGTAGAGCATTGTGTATTCTCATGGCTATAGCTTGTCGGTATCTAGTACACCGGAGAGCCATTACCACAAAGGAAACGGAGTCACATTATGTTTCTTGGGTATGAAACATGTCTCAATTTTGTCATTCCTTGCCTAATTGCTATTTCGCCTGCAGTGCCCAGTTGATTCCATGATTGGAAGAAGGATGTGTGATTCTCCTCCCATCGTTCATGTGCCAGCTCCGGCTCCTCTACGTCTCGATGTTTCCAGGGAAGAACTGCTTCTCATATTCCTCCCAAAGTCCATCCTCGATCTCTATCGGTCCGGTCCCCAACTCGTGCTCATGATCTTGCAGAATATCGTTCGCGGTCATGTACAACGTCCTACTGGCGACGAGGTGTCTCACATGGCTGAGCTCCACACGTCTTAGATTAGGCAGTCTGCCTTTCACACGCGCAATCAATGTCCTGTAACTTGCGTAAGCGATCCTGAGTCGTTGTAAGGTACTTGACTGGCGAAGGAGAAGTTGAACCACATCGTCCTCATTATCAGTGCAATTCAGACTGCAGGTTCGGAGGTTTCGAAGAGGAGGTAGACTCATCAGAAACTGTATCGAGGAGCTATGATAGTGACGGTGGTAGGGAGTGAGACCATACGTTCCAAAGCTCTGCAGATCTGGTGCAGAGGCTACAATGAATCTCAAGAAGCTTTGGGGACAGTACTCCTCTCGTAGATGCTTGAGATTCCTGAAAATTGACGGGGAAGGCGTTCGACCATACAAGAGGTATGGGTCGATCAACACCAGGGATTCCAGCGATCCATCGGCATCTTGGATGGGCTTGAACAACTCCCAGACGGTCATATGTTGCCAAGGCGTGATGAGAATAGCGTGCTTGGCGGTCAACGGAATCTCGGCGGCATAGAAGTGTCTTCTTTTCTTGACCAGGGGCGATTCACTTCTGTACGAAGGACAGTAGTCAACGATGAGATTCCTGAGTTTGGGGCACTTCTGGAAGGTGAGAGTGATGCATCTCAGCAGGTGTTCCTTGGAGTGCTCCTCTCGTTGCAGGGAAGCCAGCTCCTGATGGTACATCCATAGCTCGCTACAGATTGTTAGTAGTTTTTTGTACACGACTCTGCAGGAAAGTCTTACCGTTTCTTCTCCTCGCAGAGCAGATCCTCCTCCTCTTCTTCTTCTTCTTCTTCTTCTTCTTGAGCATCGACTTCGCCTGTAGCGTACTGAGGTCCCCTGGAGCTTGTTGATCTTGCCGCGNTACCTCTCAGCCCTTTCATAGTAGAGAGCCCATTGACGATAGTCCGGTAACAGTTGTAGCCAGGAGACATCAATGACCAAAGTAGTCACAGAATGCCTGAGATCAGGATGATCAGTGATATCTTGTACCTCTTGAAAACTCTTTGGATGGTTGCAAAGGAAGATGCGTGGTATGAAGTAGCGGCAAGCAGCGACGGAGTAAGCTTTCGATGTCAACCTGAGCGACTTGAGATCTTCGGGTGGCAGGTAGCTGCAGACATGCTGCTTGAGCTCCAGCGGTAGAGTTTCCATGCTGGTGCGAGTGGTTAGACCAGATGCTGCACCAGTCTCGAAGGAGTGGTTGTATGATAAGGGTTGGGAAGTGGATGAAAATGGAAGTGGAAGGAAGAAAAGAGAGTGGGTTGAATCGATGAAAGAGAAAGGAGGGTTGAGTCGCGAGTGATGGAGTGGCTTCACAGTCTCGAACAAACAGTGAAGGTCAAAGATGTAAGCGAGTTCTGCGTGAGTAGCGCGGTGTCGAGTGAAAGGAAGGAGACACGGAGGCAGCGACGAATTCGCGCTTGACGAACCGTTGGGTGAAAGTGAAGGTACGTGGTGTGTTGTTCCTTCCTTAGAGAGACCGATTGTTGGCGTCTTCTTCACTCGAGGTTCGGCCAAAAATCAAGAAAGCGTGCGCGATTGAAAGTGCGAAACCCAGATGCCAACTTGGAAAGGCTCGACACGCCAGATTGAGCAGATGACCTTTCACACTGACAGCAATTTCGATCTCTGTATGTTGACTGGATCGTTATTCGAGTGACTGAAGGTGGGAGAGCGGATGATCTCCATTCTGGAAATCAAGTTGAGCATCGAAATTGTTGATCTGATCAAGGCCAGTGTGAAGGTCATAAACATTGTACATTTTTCTCCTTCGTCGTCACATCCCGGTCAAAATACATACTCAGCTTTTAAAGCGGCAACTTCTTGTGCTTCCACTGTCTGCTGCCACCTACTCCGTACATTGCAGCACCCTGTCCAGATCCCTTGATTCTGTATTCGTGAATGCAAAGACCTTCCAAACCAACAGGTCCTCTGGCATGTACTTTGTTGGTACTAATACCGACCTCAGTGCCAAAGCCGAAACGCATACCATCCGACAATCTCGTACTGCAGTTCCAGAACTTGCATGCACTGTCCACACCATTGCAGAAGCGATCAGCGGTCTGTTCCGAGGATGTGAGAATGGCATCTGTGTGGTGTGAGCCGTGCATGTTGATGTGCTCGACTGCGGCATCGACGGCCTCTAGCGGATCTTCGGTTCTGGGGATGGTCTTGATGGCGAGGATCAAGTCGAGGAACTCTGTGTCAAAGTCTGACTCGCCAGCGTCTTGCAGCATGGCTGCTTCATGCTTGTCCAGAGTCTCCGAAAGTGCGGCCTTTGAGGTAGGGTCGCAGCGCAATGATACACCCTTGGCGAGAAGAGCTGATGCTACGCCAGGCAGAATTGTTTTCAGTGCGTCTTCGTTGACCAGTAGAGATTCGAGAGAGTTGCAAGCTGCTGGGTAGTCTGTCTTTGAGTCCACGATAACGCTTGCAGCCATCTCAGGCTCGGCATCAGGGTGAATGTAGTAATGGCATAGACCATCAGCGTGACCGAGAACAGGCATGTGAGCCATACGTTGGCAGTGGCGCACAAGCTCGTTTGATCCACGAGGAATGACAAGATCGATGTACTGGCTGAGTTGAAGCAGAGGGTCCACAGCATCTCTGGTTGTGACAAGTTGGATCGAGTCGTTAGGGACTTTTGTGCTCTCGAGTGCTTTGGAGATGACTGTGGCGATGATCTTGAATGATTCTGTTGACTCCTTGCCGCCNTATTTATGCTGTTAGCTTTGTGGGTCTTTCACGAATTCTGACCAGTACGAACCCTTCAGGATAGCAGCATTTGCAGACTTGATAGCCAAAGAAGCAATGTTGGCGATAACTTCAGGACGAGCCTCGAAGATGATCAACAGAACACCAATCGGACATGATTGACGTTGCAGAATAAGCCCATCATCTAGCTCCGTCCGCATATCAACCTTTCCAACTAGAGTCATAAATCAGCAAACTCCTCCAAACCACACATTCTCATCATGAAGAAACATACCAGGATCCTCCAACCCCTTCACATCCAAAATCCCCTTCAACATATCCTCAAACTTGCCAGGTCTAGAAAGATCCAATCTCTTCAAAATACTCTGGCTCAACTCTCCATCAGCAGCAGACTTTGTCGCAATCTCCAAGTCACGGGCATTTGCTTGCAAGATGTCTGATTTTGCTGTCGAGAGTGCATCGTGGATTGATTGCAGAGCAGAGTTTCTGTCTTCGGTGGAGAGGATGGCGAGGGTGCGGGAAGAGAGCTTTGCTGCTCTTGCGGCTTCTGAGGGCGAGCCGTTTGTGAGAGACATGACTATAAGTTGAATAACAGGAAATATAAAGATGGAAATTCAATTGATGTGTTTCAGCATGAAATATCGATGGTCGACATTCGAGTCACAGCGTGCCAAGCATGTCGACTTTGGCTCCAGATTTTGATCATGATCTGGACAAAACGCTTGACAACCAGCTATGATATATGACCGAAACTGTGACAATGCATGAGATGTTGGACCAGAAAGCGCAAATGGATGATGTTTGAACTGTGGTATTGAAAAGGATCTCATGGCTTCGTTACAATAGTTTCTGGGAGGACCAACTCTGTTCTGTTGACCTATTATCCTCCGCTCCACGCTCGTGCTCTTGTCTCAAAGCCACCACTAACCCAAGGATTGCTCTTTGCGACAGTTGGCGTGACAGATGTTGGTGCAAATGCGTTCCTCTGGTCGATAGGACTAGAAATAGAGTTACTACTCTCGGATCTCGTCATGTCGTCGCTGGGCCGCGAAGGAGGCTCGTGGTCTTCGGTGACAAGGCGCACGCCGGCATATTTGCGCTTTATAGCTTCTTCTCTCCTCTCTTGCTCGCCACGTATACCCTCGACTTTCCTGCGTTCGAGTTCGGCGACTAGGTTCTTGAAGTAGACCTCTGCGGCTACTGTCTGACTGTATGCAAGTGGTGTCCAGTCGTAGGTATTTTTAGCTGTCGGGTCTGCACCTGCAGAAAGGAGGACACGGAGCGCTTTGAGGGAACCTGATGCGGATGCGTGGTGGAGAGGAGTGTCGCCGTGGTTGTCGCGGCCATCGGCAGGAGCGGGGTATTCTGGGTGGGATAATAGCAAGGATACTAAAGGTGTAGACGCAGGATTGAGGCAGGCTAGGGCGAGCNNTGAGAAGCATAGCGTCAGCATATACATGTAGCAGAGAGCTCAGGCATAACGTACGGCATCCAGGCCTGACTTGTTGGTGACGGGGATGCAGCGCGGAAAGCGATTGGCGAGCAGAATGCCGACGTCGACGTTGCCGTGTCGCGCAGCCAGCATCAAGGGAGTGTCCCAGTCGGCATTGCGCGATATCTCGACGTCGTCATGTCCAGCGTCGACGAGAAGTGCCTACAGTCACGAGTATTGGTCTCTGTGTTCTTTCACGACAGTTGGAGCGCCGTTGGATGCGCCGGGTATAGTCCTCACCACAATCTCCTCGAAACCAGCTTGCGCCGCAAGGTGTAGACTCGTGTTGCTCTTGTCTTTGAAGTCGGGGTTCTGTAAGATGCCGGGGTTGGAGCGAATGATGCGTTTGACCAGCAAAGCATCGGATAAGAGTATCGCCCTGCGTAGTCGAGTCGAGGCGTCTATCATTCTGGCAAGTGCCCGCTCAAACCATGGCGTCAAGGTATCCAACTGCCCGAGCCGGCATATAGTATTTGATGCTGTGCTAAACAAGCAGATAGCTATGTTGTTGGGTATGCGTTGTGTTTGACTTCTGGCGCTTGTGACTGCAGCCACAGCGACGAATACGAGACAACAAAGCGCGTCATCCATGACCCGCCGTGCAGGCTGGATGCTCATCACGTGCAATGCTCCTTCGTTCCTTCTACTTGCATCACAGTCGCCGTCTATAGCCTACGCCAGTCATTAAGCACACATGAAAGAGAAGTGAGTAGAATAGTTGGATTCTTCATTGAGCTATATATACATAATCCGTTCTCCCATGCGACATTACAAAACTACTAATCGTACACACCGTCTTCCACTCTCTATGCAGAGATAGGTCTTTCACGAGCGGGAGCCTCTGCAGCCGCAGCCTTCTCCTCGTCGCCAGTATCGACTCCCTTGGCCGGTGCAGTGTACTTCTCGAGCTCGTTCATCTCCTCTTCAGTGTCGTTGTACTTGCTGTAGAGGACCCAGAAGATAATACCAGCAAGGAAACAGGCAACACAAAGACCGGTATACATCCAAAGGAGCTTGGGGTCGACGGCAGTAGGAGAGAGAGCAATACCAAGAGCAGAGCCAAAAGCGCTGGTTAGGAGGAAAAGCGACATAATGAAAGACTTCATGCTTGCAGGCGCCTTGGTGAATGCGTACTCCAGACCGGTGATACTGGCGAGAATCTCCGAGAGACCAATCAGGAGGTATGCAGGAGCCTGAATAGCGACATGGACGTTGTTGGGAGCATATGTCCCGTCGGGCAGCAAAGCAGCTTCACAGGCACCAGGAGCGTCGTAACAAGGTCCAGTGCTGTAAATGAGCTTCTGAATACCAGCAGCGTAGGCCATGGCAGCTGCGCCGAACATGAAGCCCCACGTAATACGGGTGATAGGCTTCATCTGGAATCCGAGCTTGCCGAGCGCAGGGTAGAACAGGTAGTCCATGACGGGAATGAAGATGATGATGGTGATGGGGTCCCAGTTCTGCATCAGATCGTTAGGGATACCGTGGAGTTGCATTTGACCAGCCTGAGAGATGAAGTTGTTGAGCATCTGAGAATAGACAACCCAGTAAATGGGGAAGAAACAGAAGACTTTGCAAGCAACAAGAGCGCGTTTGACTTCCTCGACAAAGATACCGTCCCACTTCAGGTCGTACTTCTTGCCACCAGTATATTCTTCAGAATATTCGGGCTTAGCGGCGTTCCAGTTGCCCTTGTTCATCATGACAATCCATACGACCTTGCAAGCCTTGGGGATGACAGAGCCAGTGGGTGCTCTAACCTTGTACTTGGACTTTCCAGCAACGAGAACGGCAAATCCGACGAGAAACATGAGGAAAGGAAGCAGATAAGCAGGCCAGAAACCGATGTTAGCCTCGAGCTCGGTAGTGGCAATGGATGACAGGGATCCGATGTTGATCATCATGTAGAAGATGGAGTAAATTCTCTGGATGGTCTTTCCGGGATCGACAATCACACGCTCTCCACTCTTCAGAGTCTTGACGAACTGGCTGGTGTTCTGGTACTGCTCGGCAATCAATGGGGAAACGTTCGCCTTGATACCACCGGTACCAATACCGATGATGATCATGGCAGCAATAAGACCACCTAGAGAAGCACCGTTCTCAATGGCGATAGGGAGCGAAGTCAGAAATAGGATCAAGTTTCCGAGAATGTAGATAAGGGCGGAATAGAAGATAGTCCAGTACTTTCCAAGGTATTGATCACTAACGATTGCGCCAAACACCGGACAAACATAGCACCAGAACTGAAAGAAGTCAGTTAAACCAGTAGCTCCAGTTTGTCCGAGGCCAATAGCTCCAGGCACTCTGCCGCCATAGCTGTTCTCGATATAGTTTTGGAAGGGGCCAGAGAGACCATAGTAGGTGAAGCGTTCGCAGAGTTCGATGATGCAGATGATGAATGCGGCCCATGGAAGCTTGTCGGAAACCTTTCGTAGTGTTTGTCTTTCTTCTTGGGTTGGCTCGTCGCCGTCGTTGCTGAGACTTGCAATCTCTCCATGCTCTTCGTGGGGATATTCGGGTTTTGCTGGTCTCATGCCACCGGCCATGTCCTTGTGTTCCTTCATGCGAGGCTCGACGGCAGTAGCGTGCAGCCTTGATAGCATCAGCGAGTTGTTCTCATAGTGATGGTTATTCATGCTTCTGAGTCGAAAAGTTCGCTGAAGCCTCCCTCAAGGATGCTTCAGGAAATTGTCATCCCCACACACACATGCATCACATTGCTTGGAGGAAACATTGAAAAAGAGACATACTCAGCTGCAGATGATTCGTGATCCATGGTCGGGCGTTCGAATGTCAAGCAAATACAAGCAAAGAGGCGTCGAACTAAGAAACGATAAAGAACTACGAGGCGCGGCGGGGGTGTTCACGTCTTTAATGAATACCTACCTCAGCGCTAAGACAAAAACTGCAACCCAGTGAGTAACCCTCTGATGACGGACCTCTTTCGCACATCAATACCCGTTATCGCGGTCCACCCTGCCTTCCTGAGCGGCCCGGACGATAAGACAGAATGGACCGAGGGGGCATCTGTTGAACGGAGCCATTCTGCAGTCTGTACTCGGTTGCACTGGGGTAGGCAGAAGAGACACGACCAATGGAGTGTCAGAAGGTGCGCTTAGCGGTGCGAGGGTCGAGTTTTGCAACGTAAAAGTTTCCTTACAAACACGAGCGACCTACACTCGCGAAAGTAAAATCGGTCCACTGTCACGACGGCTGCCGATTCCCGTGAAGGTCCCGAAGGCAATTTTGCAGAGCATCGGTGGAGGTCGGCAAGCGTTTCGACACGCGAGAGGTCTGAAGCCTGGCGAGACGTTCGTAGAGATCCATTTATGATCGGCTTCGCTCGGTAAAGATGACTCTCAATTTTGCTTCTTCAACCCCCGTTCAGGCTGATCGGGTAGCAGTATCACCAGCGAGGTTGTGACAGAAGAATGCAACCTTTGAGGTCATCAGCAGCACAGCAAGACGTCGTCGAAAAGTCAGCCCTACGTTGTGCGCCAAGTCCGGCAATATACAAAAGACTTGGCTCAAGGCGGCCATTACTAGAGAAAAATGCATTCTTAAGCTGAGCACACTTCTGTCGAAGCGAGAAGACGCCGTGCACGATACCATAAATGCCTCTTCCTCGACTGCAAGCTGTCGACAGCGGCGAGTATTGCCACCGCTGTCGACGAAGAGTGGGTGACCGTCATACAGATCCATGTTTCAAGGGTCCAGAATGATAGATGTCAAAAGTCGCAAAGAACATACACGACGTTTCAAGAGTAGGTCGGTACAGTTCTAGAAGAATTGTCATACACGACTCGAAATGCTCGGATAATTTAACAACACAGAAGCCAACTTCCAACAGTCGGCTACTACCCAAGAACCAGGCCTCCCAAATATTTTATCACATTGATTCCCCAGCCAACGCACGATTCGATCGATGTCAATCAAGTCCAGAATCAAGCAGCAATCTTGAGGACAGCTCGGCCGGGGAGCTTGCCTTGGTCCAAGAGCTGTAAGAAGCGGTCAACATCTTCTAGAGTTCCCTTGGTGAGTATGGGTCGGACCAGGCCTCGGGCCGTAAAATCAAGCGCTTCTTCCACTTCCTTCAGGGTGCCGGTCACAGACCCAACGATGTTGAGCCTCTTAAGGACTAGTGTCAAAGGCGATGCTCCTGCAATGATTGTTTCGTCCTTTGGCAAGCCGACAGCTACTACGGTTCCTCCTGGACGGAGGAAGTTGGGAGCTGCTCCGTAAGCTTCTTTGGTAGCGGCGAATACGATGACACCATGAGCTCCGAATGTTGTGAGCTTCATGACTTCAGCTGCTACGTCCTTGCTGGTGCGGAAATCGATGTAGTGCTCTGCGCCGAGCTGTTTGCAGAGCTTGCCCTTCTCATCTCCACCATCGACAGCGATGATTCTCATGCCCNNTGTGTAGTTGTCAGCCAACGAGTTACAACGATGCGATTGCCAAAAAGACCCTACCATTGCTTTTGCGTATTGGACGGCCAAATGGCCTAGACCACCACCAGCTCCTGGCAGAACGATCCATTGGCCAGGCTTCACAGCACTTCGCTTGCAGGCTGTGTAGGCCGTCCTATCGAGAGGGTCAGCATATGATCAAGTGCACAGTCTGCGAGATACAACTTACACTCCTCCACACAAGATCGGCCCTGCTTCCTCGTCGGAGACACCCTCTGGCAGCCTCGTAGCATAACGGGCGTCTGTCAAACAATATTCTGCGAATGTTCCTTGGATCGAAAAGCCAGAGTTGAGCTGCTTGGGGCACTGCAATTCATCTGTGCCATTGGTGCAGAATTCGCACTTTCTGCAGACACTGGCGACCCATTTGACTCCAGCTCGATCTCCGACGCTCCACAGATCTTTGACATCGTCATTGACTGCAACGACTTCTCCTGCTCCTTCATGGCCAGCAATACCATGGGTATCAGGGGTCATCTTCAGGCCTTGCGTGGCCCATTCATCGTAGATGAGTGATTTGTCGCTTCCACAAAGGCCAGTCCAGTTGATCTTGACGAGGATTTGACCAGGACCAGGCTCGTTGACAGGGACATCTTGAACTGGTGCGGTGGACGACTTGCCCTCTCCCTGCTTCACAGCTGCTTTCTGACTGGTAGGAAGTCCCATTATGTTTGCTGATATAATGTTTTGGTAAGACTTTGTACTCTGGTCACTCTACATGGGTCTGCTGCCAGAGCTTTATAGAGGTTGTCAACATCTACCCCTCACTAGCTCCCCGCACTTCTTTCTATAGATTGACATTGCTGACCTTGGGCCCTTAGAGGACCGGTAATCGAACCTCCCAATATCGGGATTCGACGTGTATTGTTATAAGGGTCACGAGCGCGGGGCATACTCTCTCGCCGACGCGGGGTCAACCGGGGTTGCGGAACTGGTGAACTCTCCCATCTTGGCATCTTGGAACTCAATCACCCAAGACCTTGCAAGGAATGAACGTCACTGTTGTTGATGTTGTCGTCGTCACGGCTTTCTGGAGCTAATATCAAGCAGTGATGCAGTATCTGGCCAAAAGCTGTCAACCATCTACGTGGTATAGGCACAGCTTTATCAGAGCGGGGAACTAATCACATTAATCACCTTATCACACCAGGAACGAACGCATTGTCATCATCTGATTGCTTGTGTAACGCCCCGATTGTTGTGAGACAGCTATCAGGTAAACGCTTTCATGAAGGTAGGTAGATAACTATCGGATGGGCTTGTGAGAGTAAGATCGCCCAGGTGCTTTTGTTGTGTGTGCCACCCTGGCTATGCGCTCACATCCATCCATAAAAGTCAGCCGCCGACCTTGCCAATAATCAGACCGGCTTACTGCATCTTTGTTGACCCATAGCCACGCGATAAAGTCACGAAGTGTCCATCCGAGGGAAAATAGGCCGCGAGGGTAGATACAGGAGATGATCTATCGAACATCATCCATGTTCAGATCCCTGTGACTTCCTCTTCAATACTGTGGCACAAATACCCATCCCATATCCTCATGTCTTGTCCCAAAACTACACGGATACAGGCACACGCATATTGTGGTACATGTGTCGATGCCGGAGCTCAATGAGAGTTACTGTACTATCTTTCGTTTATGCTAAGTGTGATGCAACTTGCAAGGACAGGTTGCTTAGTAACCGTGGGAATCTCTTCATTGCCATGACACAGCTCATCCTTTCCTACCTGCTCGCTCGTATATACCTCAGTTCACTATTAGCAGATGCATATCCTTGTCAATGCAAAACAGGAGAAACGACTCCGCCTAAAGTCAATTTCTTGATGTGCAACGCCATCTCCAACCCCGCCTGGCCCCTCGGCCTGCGACATGCCTATCTTGACTGACCGTGTCGTACGCACAATGAAACATAAATTCCAAGGTTTGGCAAGGGATATTTGATGTCACTCATTTCCTACTCCCTGTCTTGACTTCTCACACTGTATATAAATCTGCCTAATCGGAGAGTACATTTATTGTATCTTCTCGCATTCTTTCGTTCGCGATGTGGCCTTATCTCTTGCTCAGCCTGTTCGTCGTTCAAGCCTTTGCGATATGGCCGATACCATCGAAAATGGCCACTGGGGAAGAAGTGTTGTTTGTGGACCGTAGAGTCAAGTTCATCTATAATGGTGCCGCACAGGTAGCATTGCCCCAGCCAGAGCAGATGCCGTTCGAACAAGATCTTAACCCTTTGAACTTGCAGTACTCAAACTATGGCCCTCGCAACATGTGTTCTCAGAGGGTCGTATCTACAGCAATCGAGACCACTACAACGACTCTATTCGAACAGAATTTTGTCCCATGGAAGTTCCATCCTCGCCATTCTGACTTCGAACCTGCGACGAATGCTTCTTGCACCTACATCAAGACAGTGCACCTGGAACAGACTGATGTTGACCCGGCAAATGTAACAAAGCCACTGGCTGGCGATGTCGACGAATCGTACTCATTGTCCATTGCTACCGATGGCCAAGTCACCATCACAGCGGCCTCATCCATTGGCATTGCGCATGGCTTGACAACATTTACCCAGCTGTTCTACAAACACTCCAGCGGTTCGGTCTATACACCGTACGCTCCAGTGAACATCACAGATGCTCCACTATTTCAGCATAGAGGCCTCAATATGGATGTATCGCGAGTTTGGTATGAGCCTGTCGATATCATCCGAATGATCGATGCTCTGGCGTACAACAAACTCAACCGTCTGCACCTTCATATCACAGATGCTCAGTCTTGGCCGCTCGAGATTCCAGCATTGCCGATGTTGGCTGAGAAGGGCTCGTACCGTGAAGGTCTGACATACAGTCCTGCAACAATGGCGTATATTCAAGATTATGGTGCTTCTCGAGGTGTGGAGGTAATCCTTGAAATTGATATGCCAGGCCACACCTCGTCCATCGCCTACAGCTACCCTGAGCTGATAGCGGCGTTTAACGAAAAGGACTGGTCGAAATATGCCGCTGAGCCGCCGTCTGGTACGTTGAAGCTGAACTCCACAGCGGTGACTGAATTTCTGGACACTCTGTTCGATGACCTGCTTCCGAGAGTTCTACCTTACTCGTCGTACTTCCATACTGGTGGTGATGAGGTCAATGTCAATGCCTACAACCTCGACGACACCGTACGCTCGAACGATACTGCGATCCTACAACCTCTGATGCAAGCCTTTGTCGACAGAGCTCATGCCAAAGTGCGAGCTGCCGGTCTCACCCCAATTGCATGGGAGGAAATGCTCTTGACCTGGAACCTAACTCTAGGATCTGATGTTGTGATTCAGACCTGGCAGAGCGACGAGGCGGTCGCAGAGACCGTCAGCAAAGGTCACAAGGCTCTCGTTGGCAACTACAACTACTGGGTAGGTTCTGTTACGTGTGAGGTGACAAAGTCTCAAGCTGATGAATGACTGTTAGNNTACCTCGACTGTGGCCATGGCCAATGGCTCGACTTCTACCCTGATGTCTCCCAGCAATACTACCCGTACAACGATTACTGCGCGCCACTGCACAACTGGAGAGTGATGTATGCCTACGATCCACTGAACGGTGTCCCTGCAAACCTGACCCATCTCGTTTTGGGAGGTGAAGTTCACATCTGGAGCGAGCAGACCGATCCCGTCAATGTCGACAGGCAAGTGTGGCCACGTGCCTGCGCAGCCGCCGAGGTTCTCTGGAGCGGCGCCAAAGACGAGCAGGGACAGAATCGCAGTCAGATAACCGCAAGTCCAAGATTGAGCGAGATGCGGGAGCGCCTGGTCGCGAGAGGAATCGGCGCCGAGCCTGTCCAAATGCCATTCTGTACGCAGAACGGCACTCAGTGTGCTCTGTGATTTGTTGTTCGCATATCGCGTAGTTTAAAAGGGTGTGACTCGTGAGGGGTCAATATCGACAGCTCGCGGTTTGTTATAGGCTGATGCAAGGAAGGAGCGGCAGACGACCACACTAGGCCCAAACCGGCAACGCTTGCGAAGGGTCGGTTGTCCAAGAACCCGAAGACTCCTCAGCTGTATTTCCCTCGAACAATATAAACCATCTCCATATCATCGTATATCGATTCCTGAGATCCCTCGCACCCCGCAACATACAATATCCATAAGGCGAGCCCGATCGCGTGGGACAACTCGTAGCAACCATGGCCCTTACTCGGTCCGACGCCTCTTCTGACCACAGCTCAATTGTCATTGGCTTGGGCGGTATATTACTTCTATTGCTCGCAAAACACCTATTCTCAAGAGTTCAAGAGGAACGGAAGATTCGATCGTTAGGAGCTCACGCCAGGACCATCAATTCGTGGGTGCCTTTCGGACTTGGGTTCATTGCAAGAACTGTGTTTGACCAACGCAAACACGACTTGCTTGGAGGCTGGTACAGAATCTTTGCAGACCGTTCGGCGGTCCATCCCTTTACTCGTGAAATAAGAACTCTAGGAATGCGATTGATTTTGACTGCCGATGAGGAAAATATCAAGGCTATTCTGGCTACTCAATTCAATGACTATGGCAAAGGCGATCAATTCAACGCCGAATGGCATGATNTTTTGGGAGACAGTAAGGAACCCCCAACCCAGAAAGACAGAAGAGATGCTGATATGTTATAGGTANTCTTTACCACTGATGGAGAGAGGTGGCATGCATCACGTCAACTCATCCGTCCTCAGTTCATTAAGGACCGCGTTTCTGATCTAGCAGTCTTCGAGAAACACTTGGAAGTCCTTCTCCCCATGCTTGGTGGGTCCAAAAACAACCAGACAGTGGATGCAATGGATCTGTTCTTCAAGTTCACTTTGGATGCTAGCACTTCTTTCTTGCTTGGCCACAGTGTCAATAGCTTGGAGAACCCTCAGGATCGTTTCTCTGACGCCTTTGCGACCGTCCAACATGTCCAATCAACTATTGCTCGAGTAGGACCCCTCAACCGGCTTGTACCACGCAAAGCATTTTACGCTTCTCTTCGTGTCATGGAAGATTTCATGCAGCCTTTCATCGAACAGACCCTACAATTGACTCCGGAGGAGCTCGAAAAGAAGTCCAAGTCAGACGAAGGCTATAACTTTTTGTACGCGCTTGCTGGCTTCACGCGTGATCGCACGGTCTTGAGAGACCAGCTGGCTGCTGTGTTGCTTGCTGGACGTGATACTACTGCATGCACCCTATCATGGCTGTTCAGCGAAATCTCCAGACGACCGGACATTGTGTCCAAGCTACGACGCGAGATTGAAGAGTACGTGGGTATGGACAACAAACCTACTTACACTCACATAAAGAACATGCGATACCTGGCTCACGTCATCAACGAGACCTTGAGACTCTACCCTATCGTACCTTTCAACGTCAGAGTTTCCCTGAAGGATACGACTCTGCCGCGCGGTGGTGGCCCAGATGGTACTCAGCCTATTGGTATTCCTGGTAAGTCAAGTCAATACAAGAAAGAGTCCACTGTCGCTTTATTGACAGAGATCTAGNCCAACACACCTATCGGATACTCAACTTTGTTCCTCCAGCGTCGCGAGGACATCTACCCTCCCACGTCCGAGAAGTTCCCACACTACCTTGACTTCGAGCCTGATAGATGGGACGGATGGAACCCAAAGATGTGGACATGTGAGTATATGTCAACATGTCAACAAACTCCTACTGATCTTGATCCAGACATTCCGTTCAACGGTGGACCACGTATATGTATTGGTGAGCTCTCACAAATGAGTATTATCTGAAGTATGAGCTGACCCAATTTGACAGGTCAGCAATTTGCTTTGACTGAAGTCGCATACAGCGTCGTCCGCATCTTGCAAACGTACTCACGAGTCGAATGTAAGATGGCCGAGCGTCCAAAGCTAAAGACGGACATTGTGGTTCAGCCATCAGACCCGCTCCATTTGGTGTTCTATCGAGACTAGATGCCTCCACTCAGGATATCTCAACAGCCTTTGAGCGGTGCCAGCTTACGTCTATCTGACGCTGGATGTGAGGGAGCAAGCAGTCCCGTTACAGAAGACATCGAGAGGTCGAGCAATCCTTCCAAGGACCAGTTTTCTCCTATGATGTGGTTGTTGGAACTGATCGGGGGCCATGACGGACTCTTCTGGTGTATCTGAATTTCTCTTTGGGTGTGTTATCCTTATTGATACAATCGCCAGACACCGTTTTTCCATCGTAATTTATTGCCATCATCCTTGGTCCAATGTCTCGAAGTTGCATGGTGCAGCACTTGGCACCCATCAACCCGGCTACCTACCCTCATCCTCTCCTGACATTCTTCAACACTCTTCAGCCCTTACACAAACCCCCGGATTCCTACTCCCCGCGTCTCACCGATCCACATCTCGATGATCTCGATCATGGACGTGTACGTTTATCTGCGCCTCACCCCTGACTGTTACACACGATGCGCGGCCGGAAACGGCAGCTTGCGCTTTGCCCATGCACCCCGCCATATTGCTCTCCATGTCTTGCCTCTTTCCCCTTGTTTTCTCCATGTTTTTTGTTTTGCCTCCAGTGCTGTGAACCTGTTTTTATGCTGCTTCGTTGCGTGATGTGTGTGGAGAGGCGTTCGAAACGTATGTGCAGAAACCACTGACGACATTTTCCAGCCTGCGAAAGACGAGAATAGCACGATTTGTCTTATGTGGAAAAACAACAAGAAGGGGAAACAAGAACACCCGAGGGTGAAGGAAAGGAAACAAGATGTTAAAAAGTGCAAGCATAGATGGTAAACACCATTACACGGTAAGTCGGTCCGCTTTACCGCTACATTGATACTCTTCACCGTCGTACAGTACATGCATTGCATTCCTTCCACAAACCACAGTTCTAGAAAGTGTGTGCAGATAATCCAAGGGAAGTACACAAGAAGTACTGTACGTAAATCATCCGAGTCTGATATACCTATCTGCCTTTTCCATCACATCTAGACATACCGAAACCTGCACTTGGCAAAAAGGAGAAAGGAGGTAAACGAAGGTGGTCATACACAACCAAATCCGACTTCTTGAAGCAACCAAAAGCATCGTCGCTTGACTTTATGTTCCACTTAGCCGGTCAAGTATATTACCCGTGCTCCTCATCATCAACAGGGAGTAGCGAAATGTGAGCAAAATGCAAGCCACCAAAGAGAAAATCCCAAACCCCTGGTTCAGGAAATCGAAAACGGGCCCCCATCCATTTGGTATCTTGCATGGCGATGGATTGTGGTGATGGACTACTCACTGCACGATGTGTTTTCCTTTCCTGTCGATCAAATTTCCTTGTGGACTTGGTGTCTATCCGGCAGATAATTCCAGGTCTAGAAGTCGGCGTATTGAGAAAGGTGATTATATTGATTTGGAGGCAAAGCACATTCATCCAGAAAGCCACCAACATCAGAATTTTGACATTCGAATATAACATTGGAAGGAGAAGCAAGCGAGAGAGAAAGCCCCATTCGAGACGATCAGTCAAAGAAAACAAGTTCTAGAGCTCGGGATCGGCAAATGTGCCTGCCTCTCCCTGTCGGGAAGCCACAAAGTTGCAAGAGCCCTTCTCCTTCCAATATATCGCTGTAATGCATAAAAAGATGGAAGTTGCGGTCAAAGTCAAGAGTTAAGAACCAGTACAAGTCTAGAAAAAATAAAAAACGTCGACTGCGATTCGTCGTTGTAGCTGATCTAATCACAAACACCCGTCAATCCAATCAAAAACACTAGCTCTCGATGGACTTTTTTTTGTATCGTAACATCTCATGACAAAGAGGAGCAACAGTGATTCGTGATCGACATGTCATGGTTAAACACGCAGTTGCTGGTGCTGAATCTCCGTGTCTAGTCTCTCCATGTACTAAGCATGCAACGCGTATAGCTATAGAAATGCACAATTGTCTTATGAAGCAGAGGGCAGCGCCCACGGAGAGACTAATTTTCACCATTTTTCCATGGCTATTCCTCCGACTTAGGGATACACTGTGCCTTGCTGTAGTCTAAACGCGCTTGTATGTTGCAGTGGGGGCAGGCATGGTTACAGACTCTTGTACACGAGGAGGATGTTTGGACATGAGATGGACCGAGAGTGACCCGACAGTTTGGCTCACAAGGGACGGCGCGGGGCGCGGGACACACGGCTCCGTTTGATCTAATGCACTTCAAATGCATCAGGGCAAAGGGGCGCCTGGGGGTGGAGAGAGAGGCGTGTAAGTGGTGTGTATCGGGAAACGGCTTTGCGGGTGTCAGCCAAAAGAATCAAGCGTGCAAGGATGAGATGACGGGCTGTCATTTGCAAGAGGGAATAGCAGCTGGCGGTGTGAAATTATCCTGAATGTGGTGATACGTGTGGTGGCGGCTGGAAAGATGTGATCAGGAGGTGTCTGGATATTTATTCTAGGCCACTTTCGCTCGCTGGTCTTGGTCGTTTATCTCCTCCTTTTTATTTCCAATCTTCCATCAAGGTTGAACACCATAAGCTTCCATCAACACCAAGCGACAGATACCAGATCAAGTCGACAAGACACTTCGTCTATCACTCGAGGCCATCCCATACATCGCTTCTCGTCTTCGGAAGCAGCTATTAGCTTGTACCTAAGCTCCAACTTCTACGTCAAACATCGACAGACATCACATAGATTCAGTCAATATGACTCCCGCACACCCTCAAGCTGCCAGTCGCCCGCGTCTGATTCTGCGCTCCGACTCTTTCACACACGAAGATATCAACGCTGCTTTTGCAGCCTCGGCCTCGCAGCCTCGCACCAAGGACCTCAAAATCCGTATCGCTCAGAAGGACGAGACGCCTGCTCCTCCGCCATCACCGACCGAGGCATTTTCATCTCACCGTCCTTAATTGGTTGATCAGGGATGCAGGGCTGGTACCCATCACTCGACATGCACTCTTTGTTCGGGTGACTACATCAGAGCACTGATGACGGAAGTAGTCGGAGTTATTGGGGAGGAGGGTTTGGAGTTTCTTGGAGTGTTACAGTAGCCTAACGGAGCACTGGGTTCGTTTTTCATACCCATCGGTTTCGATGGTTCGTGACATGGCCGTAGCATGACCGTGGCGGCGTTTTGGTTCATTGATCTGCTGTTTATCCCGAGTTTCGTTTACTCAGAAATGACAATGATGCACTGCAAAATAGTTATTGCATCAAGCTTTGCGACCGCGAAGCTCGAAGATTTTCTCGCCGAACTCGTCGAGTGTCATTTGTTTCCCGCCATTAGTGCTTTGTATATTGTCGGTAGATTTGACTGCTGAGTCGCTCAAGCCAACAAACTCATCGATTGTCGGCACGTTGCTCAATTCTGTGTCGCGACTAGGCGGTGACGTACCACGCTTGATGGCATCGTCGACAGCATCCATGTATTCCTTATCATGCAGCTTTGCGTCAAACAGTAGTTGGTTAACCGTCTTCCAATTTTGGTATCGCAGTTCGTCAAGTGGATATCCTGTTGGGCTCATCGCTGGTGCCCGCTCTTCTGCTTCTGCTTCTGCTTCGGCCTCTACTTCTGTCTCTGCCTCTTGCTCAGCCCCTATCTTTGGTTCATAAATTGATGATGGGAGGAGATTTTGGGCTGTTGACGAGTCTGTCGTCATTTCATCGTACACTGTACGAATGTATTCTTCCGGCACGTTTGCATATACGCTAGAGGTTTTGAGCAAAGAAAGCGATACAGGCTCGGTGTAGAAATTACGACCCAGACGCACGTGCTCGGACAAGTATGTGACATCTCGCTTGAGTAGTTCGAGGATCTTCATAGATCTTGATATCGTCTTTGTATCGTTTGAAGTGTTGTCCTTGTCTGGGTTGAGCTGTCTCGAGAAGTTCCCAGCCTGGAGCGCCGTGTTCATTCGGTCCAGAATATGAGGCGGGACAATCTGTTGGAAGTTGACTAGCTGTTGTTGCAAGTAGTCTGGGTCGTTGACACGTCTAGTAGCGTTCAACAAGTTTTGCCAGTCTACGAGTTCCAGAGCGGCACCTTTTTCGATGCGATTGGCGACTAGATCAGTCCAAGCCGATCGGATTGCTTCAGGATCGCCCATCTCGCCTGCAGCTGCTAGGATAGAACGAAAAGTCACTGTGTTGGCCTTGAGGCTGTAGTGTTCCATAGCTTCGAGGGCATGATCTATGATGTCCTGACGCCTACCTCGACCAGCGAGATTGGCGATCATCGAATTGAACGAGGCTATGCCAGGGGGGGAATTCTGGCTAGCCCAAATGCCAAACAGATCGCTTAGCAAAGTACTGATAGCATTGGTAATAGGTCGCAATTGATCGGAAGACATCTTTGTATAGGCATGGTCCTTCAAAAGACCAGTAATGGCTATGACGAGTTCATTGAGAGACTTGTTGTGTAGAGGGGCACCGGAGGCCGTGTGTGCATAGCAAATCGTGATCATGGCACGCAAGATAGCAGCATTCTTAATAGGCTCTGTTGCGGCAATCTTCCTCAGTCTTGTCAGGAGGATCTTTAGGGCATCATGACCAGGAGAGGCACCGGCTTGACAGGCGAGCATAAAGACCTTGTAGGCTTCATCTACAGGACGTTCTTGCACAAAGAGAGTGACGAAGCGAGCAGGGAGCTTGGCGGGAAAAAGTCTCATGGTGGTATCCAGGGTGAGATAAGCATTTTTGGCATCGCCACGCAAGATGCGAGCTGTCAAGATACCTTGTAGAAGGGCTTTAGGAATGCCAAAAATGACGTTGGGTTGACGGCGATCGGCGACGACTGCGTTGTGGGCAAGATGATAGTGAAGAAAGACGCCAGGGAAGCGGGCAAGAGCTTTCTCATACAACTGCTCGGTATCCTCGGCGGGACGGCCCTGGAAGGCAAAGAGCTCGAGAGCGACGCCGTAGAGATTCGCGTTGACATAATCGTCATCTTGTTTGACCAACCAGGACCAGAAGGCAGTTCCCTTGTCATAGGCAGCCGACTCTTTATAAAAACTCAACAGATGCAAGTGCGCATCGTAGCTCGGAGGCAGGACTTTGGCCTGGATGTCTAGGACCAGAAGATCGGTAAGGTCATTGAGTTCTGCAGGTATTCGAGTCTGGCGGACAGACGAGGAGAGCAGTCTCAATGAGGTGTGTAGAGACTTTGCAATGTCTGCGACATCTTGTTCACCAAGCGGGAGCTTGTTGCGAAGGACATTATAGGCGGAGGCTATTTGTGGTATATTGTTTGCATTGAGGGCATCTCGGAGAAGCTCGACATGACGAAGGAAAGGAGGAGGGCGTTCGGCTTCAAGTGCAGCCTTTTGTCGTTTCCGAATGTGTTTGGGAGTGGTTGCGTAAGAGCGAAGTGGTCGTGTGAGGGCAAGAGCGGAAAGTCGGGAAAGAGCTGGAGCGAGTTCAGGTCGAGTGAGGGCAAGAGCGGAAAGTCGGGAAGGAGCTGGAGCGAGTTCAGGTCGAGTGGCTACGGCGAGTCCATGTTTTGCGAGAGCGCCTGCCTTGTGCAAAGTGGACGCGCGCAGCATCGAGTGGTCTTGTTAACCAAATAATGTCAAATTAATTCTCACTCTCGGAGGAGAGACTGAACTCCGCAAGTTTGCATGTGAAGCAAGAGCTCGCTTCGCCTTCCCCCTTTGCAAAAGTCGTGGGACAGCAGCTGGCTGTTGCTGTCAGTTGTCACCAACGCCTGGAGCTCCCTGAATTGAGGCCACGATCCAACCACACAACCACATCTTGCCGAGACCGACTTCTCTACAACGCAGTCGCCCATCATGTCGCCCAACATGTCGCTCTTCTCGGTCAATGCCGTCCTGGTCCTGGCCGCCGACGACTCAACGCGCATCCTCGCCAAATACTACTCTGCCCCTCATGCTCCTGCGAATGCTACCGCCAACGATTTCCCCGGTGCCAACCCATACCCTCAACTCAAGGACCAAAAGGCTTTTGAGAAGGGACTCTTGGAAAAGACGGCCAAGCAGAACAGCGACATTATCCTCTACGACAACCGAATTGTAGTCTTCAAGATGGAAAGCGATGTCATGCTCTACGTCGTCGGAGGTGCCGACGAGAACGAGATTCTACTCTACTCTGTTGTCCTGGCTCTGCGCGACTCTCTGAACATTCTCCTCAAGTGCGTAATGCCCTTACCCTGGACTTGGACACATCCGCTGACCCGTTGATTGCAGANNAACTCTGTTGACAAGCGCACGATCGTCGAAAACTACGACCTGGTGTCGCTTGCTATTGACGAGATTATCGACGACGGTATTGTGCTCGAGACGGACCCTGTCATCGTTGCGTCGCGTGTCAGCAAGCCTCCCGTGCAAGACATCAGCAGTGTGCAGGGTATCGACCTCTCGGAAGAGGGTTTGCTCAAGGCATGGCAGTTCGGTAAGATGAAGTTGGGTGAGAGATTACGACAGGGTCTGTAAAGAGGGTGCAGTCGTGTCTCGATAGGCCCACGGGGGCTACGGCATCTGGCAAAAGGAGTTATAGGCGTTATACGGCGGCAACATGACAAGCGTCACGACCAATCATCGAGTGCTTTGTGGGATACTGAGGATACCTTAGACGGACCAGACAACCAGAACGAGTCAGTTAATCGACCATCAATTCAAACAAATTCAAAGATGGTCCTTTTTTCGGTGATGTCATGGTCTTTGGCTTGTTCGGTGGGGCAGCAGCTTGTCGCCCTCTTCTCACTCTCTGCCTCTTGCATACCACGACACCTTGTCNAAACAAATATGAAGCAGCGATTCTCGTCCTTGGACGTCAAGGTCATTGCTCACGAGCTCTCGTCGGCCTTGGTGAGCCTGCGCGTCTCCAACATCTACGATCTTTCGTCCCGAATCTTCCTGTTCAAGTTTGCCAAACCAGAGCGTCGCGAGCAACTGATCATCGACTCTGGCTTCCGATGCCACCTTACCACCTTTGCTAGAGCCACCGCCGCTGCGCCTNCGCCCTTCATCACCCGTCTCCGCAAGTACCTTCGCACCCGACGAGTCACGTCAGTCTCGCAGATCGGTACCGACCGCATCATCGACATTCAATTCTCCGACGGCCAATATCATCTTTTCCTCGAGTTCTACGCCGGCGGTAACATTGTCCTTACTGACAATGAACTCAACATCATCGGTCTGCTCAGAAACGTCGACGAGGGCGCCGAGCACGAGCGCTACCGCCTAGGCCTCCAATACAACCTCGAGTTGCGTCAAAACTATGGAGGTGTCCCACCCTTGACCAAGGACCGAGTCCGCGCTGGTCTGGAAAAGGCCATTGGGCGCCAGTCTCAGGATCAGTCTACAAAGAAGATCAAGAGGAAGCCGGGAGACGCTCTCCGCAAGGCTCTCGCTGTCTCCATTACTGAGTTCCCGCCTGTTGTGCTTGATCACGTCTTCGAAGTTACTGGCTTCGACAAGAACGTCCAACCATCAGAGGTTCTTGAGAATGAAGAGACACTCGACAGACTCATGGCTGTTTTCGATGAGGCTGCCAAGGTTCTTGCCGACATTACCTCCGCCGAAACAGTCACCGGTTACATTGTATCCAAGCGTAGCAAGAAGGCTGCCGCCGGTGCCAATGGAGATGGTCAGACCGAAGAAGACAAGGCCAAGGGTCTGATGTACGACGACTTCCACCCTTTCAAGCCAAAACAACTCGAGAACAACCCTGAGAACGTCTTTCTGGAATTCACTGGCTTCAACAAGACAGTGGATGAGTTCTTCTCGTCCATCGAGGGTCAGAAGTTGGAGTCCAAGTTGAGCGAGAGAGAGGAACAGGCAAAGAAGAGGCTCGAGTCGGCTCGTCAAGAACACGCTCGTCGCATCGGTTCTCTCCAGCAAACACAGGAACTCAATGTCACAAAGGCTCAGGCCATTGAGGCAAATTTAGATCGTGTCGAGGAAGCCACTGCAGCCGTGAATGGTCTCATTGCTCAAGGTATGGACTGGGTTGAAATTGAACGCCTGATCGAGATGGAGCAGAGTCGCAACAACGCCGTCGCCGAAATAATAAAGCTGCCGCTCAAACTCGAGGAGAACACAGTCACACNNTGCTCCTGTCTGATTACTCATACGAAGAGGAGGAGGAAGAGATGGGCGATGTGACCGAGAGCGACAACTCGGACAGCGAGGATGAAGACAAGAAAAAAGTCAGCCAAGGGCAACCAGAAGGAAGACAAACGTCTGACTGTCGACATTGACCTCAGTCTGTCAGGCTGGTCAAACGCCCGCCAATACTACGACCAGAAGCGTGTGGCTGCAACGAAGCAAGAGAAGACCGAGCAGGCTTCCACAAAGGCACTAAAAAGCACCGAGCAAAGAATCCAAGCAGATTTGAAGAAGGGTCTGAAACAAGAGAAGGCTGTTCTTCGCCCTGTCCGCAAGCAGCTCTGGTTTGAAAAGTTCATTTATTTCATCTCGTCTGATGGTTACCTGGTTCTTGGTGGCAAGGATGCCCAGCAGAACGAGCTTCTATACCGCCGCCACCTGAAGAAGGGTGACATCTACGTCCATGCTGACCTCCACGGTGCCTCATCTGTCATCATCAAAAACAACCCTGGATTGGCTGAATACGAGATTCCTCCATCGACTTTGTCGCAGGCCGGAAACCTGTCAGTCTGCACGTCAAGCGCATGGGACTCCAAGGCTGTCATGTCTGCATGGTGGGTAAACGCTGACCAGGTATCAAAGACCGCTCCCACCGGAGAGTATTTGACTACTGGTGGCTTCATGATTCGCGGCAAGAAGAACTTCCTTCCTCCTGCTCAACTTCTTCTCGGCTTTGCTGTCATCTGGCAAATCAGCGAGCAAAGCAAGGCCAAACACGTCAAGCACAGACTACAAAACGACGACGTCCGTGGAATGACGCAAGAAGCAAACTCCAAGGCAGCTGCCAACGACGATTCTGATGACGACTTCCCAGATGCTGGAAAGGATGATGCCAGTGACGACGAGTTCCCCGATGTGAAGGATGAGGGGAAGACCGATGAGTCTGATGATGAAGACACCCCTGACGCACAAAAAGGCAATGCATCTCCTGCTAGCGAGGAAGCAAGAACGCCGGAAGAACGTTCAAACCCTCTCCAACCCCAAGGAGCTCAGCAATCGCGCAGGCAGCCTGCAGACGNNAAGACACAAACCCGAGTGACTCCGAGTCTGAGGAAGAAGAGGAGACTGGCGAGAAGGAGCAAGACTCCAAGCCAGAGGTCTCCGAGTCTGCACAAACACAGTCACAAGGCAAAAAGGCTGGAAGCAAGGGCAAAAACGACAACTCCAAGAATGTCCCCACTCAGCCAAAACAGAACAAGCCTGTTCGCGGCAAACGTGGCAAGGCCAAGAAAGCTGCACAGAAATACGCCGACCAAGATGAAGAAGACCGCCGTCTCGCAATGGAGATTTTGGGTTCAAAGGCCGCAGAAGAAAAACGCGAAGCCGAAGAAGAAGAAAAAGGCCAAGAAGGCCGAAAGCGCAGAAGCAGCCAAAGAACGCCGTCGTGCCCAACACGAAAAGGCTCAGCGTGAGGGTCTCGAAGCCGAAGAGATACGCCGCTTGAACTTGGAAGAAGGCATCGAAGCCCTAGACGAAGAAGAAAGCAGTGCCGTCACACAACTCGATGCCTATGTCGGAACACCCCTCGCTGGCGATGAGCTCCTGGAGGCAATCCCCGTCTGTGCACCATGGGCTGCACTGGCAAAGTACAAGTACAAAGTCAAGCTACAGCCCGGTGCGCAAAAGAAGGGCAGAGCGATACGCGAGATCATGGACAGCTGGGCCAAGGCCGGCACAGTCAACAAATGGGTTGACCAGTCCATGACCGACACCGAACGTATCTGGCCCAGAGAACTCGAGCTCATCAAGAACTGGAAGGATGTCGAGGTCATTGGCGTGTTGCCTGTCAGCAAGGTCAGAGTCATGATGAGTGGAGGCGCACATGGCAGTGGTGGTAGCGGTGGACAAAAAGGCAAGGGTAAAGGCAGAGGAGGCAAAGGCTCAAAGAAGTCTCGTTGAGTGTAGGTAGTCGCTCTTAATGCTTTCCAAGTTTCAAGATCATTTCAGTTCACTTTTCACATGTACAGATCGAGGTGCACAACACAAGTTTCAGGCAAGGTATATGTATGTCCAACTAGAGCTGGTATAAGAATTGGTAAGTCATTGAGGTTTACTGGACACCTCTAATCCAAGGATCTACCGACACAGATAATTATATACATATTTGGGCTGTTTGTATCGCAGCATACATGTAAAGATGCCGTACACGTGTCATGTCCATCGAAAGCCCGATGTTTCAGGAGTTGGACAGGGTTCCCATTATGACCAGGTCACCCGCATCTTCCCATGTTGTGAGGATTGTAGTGAGACTCACCAAACTTACAAAACTCCTCTTAAGGAACAGGTGCAGAGTGAGAGATGTCTGGAGTAAGCTCGCGACGTGCTTTTGAGCCAGACGAGGGGCTACGATGGCGCAGCAGCAGTAACCTTGGTAAACGAGGCAGCCGCCAGAGCATCCGCCTGTACATTCCAAAGTGGACGAGCAAGTTCAATGTACCGTGATCCGAACTCCTCGAGCTCTGGCGACAGAGGTCGCCGTTCGACCGAAAACTCATTACACAGTCTGTAGGTTGCTTCGCTGATGGTTTCAAAGGTGGTTTGCTCCCAGATATGCTTGAACAAAGTCATGGCTTCCAGACAAGGTTGTGAATCTGATTGAACGTTTCTGGCCAGCAGATAGAATGATGATTTGATGGCATGGGCTCTGGGTGGTTTGAAAAGTCGAACGGATGAGAACTCGTGGAACAAGTTGATGAGCCGGAATGTCATCATGCTGTTGATTCTGTGAAGGATAACAATCAAGTTTCCACCCTTTTGGATCCTTTTGGGAACAGAGGAGGCGTTCAGACTCGATCATGAAGCTATCTTGATAGCCGGAACTTGGCAGGATGGCGCCGTCACATATGACCAAGTCATAGTGAGGTGTGTGGTATGGCCATTTCTGTTGCAGGTGCTTCCATCTTGAGTGATGCTCTGGAGAGCTGGGGACTCCAAATTCTGCAGCAAACATAGTGACATCCTTGTAGACCATCGTGACTCGTTCGTCTTTGATGCCATAGTCTACCAGGACCCGGTGGCCTCCTTGATTTGGATGCAGACTGAATGCGTCCACCTTCGCAGATTCGTTGTACTTTAATGCGCAACTGACAAATCCACCAGGAGCCATGCAAAAGTCGAGTACCTTGGGCTGTGCACTGGAGATCTCAAAGGCACCAGTCTTGGTGTTGAATTGGTCGCCGATGTTCTTCATCATCCGGAGCAGTGCATACTTTCCTCCTCCTCGATCAGCGCTTGCTGATTTCTGTCGCCTGGCGTTAAAGTATTGGTCGCCTTCTGGGTTGTTCCATCCCTGCGTATCGAATCAGTGCTCTGACATGCCTTTCCAAATCAAGTGAGGACTTACCTTCTGCTGCAGTTCGTCCAGTCTACGATAGTCCGGGTCACTCGACAAGTATTCTCTGAACTCCCTCGACAATAGATCTTGTGATCTTCTTGGCCCTAGGTCAGCTGGACCGGTTGTTGCCAGTGGCCCTGGAGACATCTTCGTTGTTGCCAGTCAGGTGGGTGAGAGTGATGAATGACAGAATGAACGGAAAGTGGGAAGGGCATGCATGAGATGATATAGTGCTCGGCAAGCTGTGTTTACAAGCTGACGTGTGACAACCCGCATGCATGGAAGCGCTGCTGCAGATGGATTGATTGGACGGCATTGCTCCATTGGCGCCCGCTGACAACAGAAAATGATATGGGAGGGGTAGGTCTATTCTCATATGCGGCGAGTAACACCAGGACTAAGAGACCACATCTGCAAAAGTCAAACATATTGAATCATAACTCCATTTTGCCTTGCCATGCCCCGATCCGTATGCATCCTGTATCCTTGTTTATTTTGTGTTAATACTTAGTTTTGCTTTTTCATCTTGTTTGTCATAATCATACTCCCATTTCAACTTGATTTTTTTCATTCTTGTAAATCTCGTTTGTTCTTTTTAGAATGTCATCTGGTCAGGTAGCACATGATGCCCCAGAGGCAGCGGAAAGCCTCTATCCTGTCGTTGACGTTGAAGAGATCAAACCACTTGGAGCGTTGCAGTACTGGATGACACCAGTCCTTGTCTTCGGGGATGGTTTCGGGGAAGTTGCCGGTGGCCACAAAGTCGAGGTAGGCGCCATGGACTCGGAGCTTGAGGATTGAGACGTGATAGTACATGCTTGAGAGCACGTAGACNCTGTCATGTTCAGTTAGCGAAATGTCTCGTTCTCGTTTGTTGAGGTTCCTTACCGTGTCCCATTCGCTGTCCTCGTCTTTGCCGATTGCTTGATAATCGCTGCTTGGGTCCCAGAAGGATCGCATCGGCTCCATTGCTTTCCACGTCTCGTATTGCGTCCTCTTCTTTTTCTTTCCGTTGGCAAAGTGAGCAGCAGCTTCTTTGCCCAAAGCTGCTGCAATGAGGTCGTTTGCATCGTCCATGTCCGGTGTTTCCGGTTCTTCCGCATCAGATGCCATCTCGCTGAACCAGTACTTTCCACTCTTCGGGACAGGCTTGGCCCAGACCTTCTCTACGCGACCTTGTCGCCGTCTCTCCTGTGCGAGGTGCAGCAGACTGCCAATCTCTTTCAACTGGTCTAGGCGTAGCTTGTCCCGCTTCTCGTCATCGGATCCCGAGTCAAAGTCTTCCAACTCTTTGCGAACGTACGCAGCCATGAGTGGTCCTTGTAGCATGTGTCTCTTCTCTTTCTCTTTCGGCACGCGATGTATCAGGAACGACTGGTAATTGACGGGCAAGCGCACACCGCTCAACAGCAAAGTGGGGTGTACGCGCGGCGAACCGATCTTGCAGCGGAAAGGGAAGGCGGCTGCTTCCATGAAGCCCTTGATTACGTCCATGCGGTAGACCCAAGGCATCTTACTGCCCGTAGAGGTGCGTCTGCCACGGTACAGTTCTCGCAGGAAATCGTCCGAAGAGGCATCGGAACCATGAGAGATGATTTTCGAGAGTGGTGGAGATTCTTGATCTCTTGCAATGAGTTCGCTGTATGTTAGTGGTGTAGCAGGACCGAGGTCGAACTCGACAGGCTCTTCTAGATTTCGCACATCGATCATCATGTCTGGATCGGCATATTCTGGGTGGTCTTCTTCACGAACGCTCTTGCCATCGTCATCCAAGACGAAATAGTCGTCGAGATCTGTTTCCCAGTGCTCGCTCATGCTGTGAAGAGCAGTGAAGAATGTGCGGAAGTCGCCGAGACGGATCTTGTTCAGGCCCTCAGGGAGATTGGTACGAGTGACGGTGCGATAGGCAATGTCGTTCTCGGTCTTCAGTTCGACGAGTCTGGTGACAAAATTGCCCTGGTTGTAGTTTGTGTTCTCCGCCATGGTAGGGTTCAGCGCTTCGTCCTTGGAGGGCATGTACGGACGGCCGTCATGGTCGTTCGGGACCAGCTGGTCAACAGGGCATGGTGTTGCGAAACGGACGTTCAGGTCGGTGTAGAACTTTGCTGTGATGTCCGAGACCTTGCGTGACTGGACAAAGTCGCGGCGCAAGTCAGGACGATCAGACTCATCGTGCCAGTCTCTGATCCTCAAGGCTTCTTGTCTGGCATAGTTGGGAAGACCAACGTGGGTCGGCGGATCGGGCTGGGGTCTTTCTTTGAAGGGGTCGATGTAGCTGGCGTAGTTGCTCGCTGTGTCGCATACAGTCAGAGGTTGGGAGAATGGCACATGTGGTGTGGGAGAAGGGTCTGAGAGGTGCAGAAGGCGATTGGCATTCAGAGCGCTACGAGCTTGCGTATGCTAAGTGACTGCATGAGCTGACAGGGACGCCATGCTGAGTGTGAACGCTAAGAAGCTGACCAGGCCAGACGCAAGACAGGCAATGTGCGCCAGCGGACCTCGAGGGATGTGATGAGTTGCGAGACGACAAACATACCAGCACCGAAACCACCAAACATGGTGGGCGGTTGATTAGTCGAGTCTTTGTGATATTACTTGGATGTATGAAAAGCGAGAGTGGTGGTGGATCAAACGAGAGGCGACAGAAGATGCAAAAGAAAAGCGCACGCAGATCAATCACTGATGGGCGGTAACATGGTGGCAGGTCGAATCATTCGTGAAGATGTTTTGCAAAAAGGAACATGACAGAATAAATTCGGCGTCTAAATTCCTTGTCGCCCTCTTTGCACGTCTCTGCACCGGCACCCCTCACTACCACCACTCACCTTTGCACACGGTGGTCCCTGCCTTTTGCCAGAGTGACGGCGCGGCGTTCGGGAATGAATGACTCGCCGCACTCACGGCCCGAATGTTGGATGCTTGTTTGCGCCCGCCGCACCCGATGGCGGAGCGGTTGGGGAAGCCCCTTGGCAGAACACGGAAAACGACTTTCGCTAACAGGGGCGTCACTACTCAGACCGGCTCATGCAGAGCAACGACCCCACCATTTGCTTGGAGCTCCCGCTGGAGGAAGGTACAGCCAGCCACGCGGGTCGTCATTGCCATTTCTATACTCAATCTGACATTTCTGACTTGTTTGACAACTATCCTCCTTCTTTCTGATACATCAAAATGGTTCTCAACTTTGGCATCATCGGCACCAACTGGATCACCGAGTCCTTCATCCAATGCGCCCAAGCAACCAAACAATGGAAGCTGGCAGCCGTCTACTCGCGTAGTGAGGAGACTGCTCGCACCNTTGCCGACAAGTTCGAAGTCAAGACCGTCTATACATCCATCGATTCGCTCATCCAAGACTCGAACCTCGATGCCGTCTACATCGCCTCACCCAACTCGCTCCACTACTCTCAAGCAAAGACCATCCTCCAAGCAAAGAAGCATGTCATTCTCGAAAAGCCCGCCACCTCGACCCTCGCCGAACTCGAAGACCTCTTCAAGGTCGCAAAGGAAAACAACGTCTTCTTGATTGAAGCCTACCGCCACATCCAAGAAGTAAACTACAAGCTCTTGCGTCGCGTTCTGTTTGAAGAGAAGAAGTTGGGCACCATCTTCGGAGCCAGCCTCAACTTTTCCATGTACAGCTCGCGCTACAACAACGTTCTCGCTGGCGAGACCCCCAACATCTTCAGCCTGGACATGTCAGGCGGCTCCCTCGTCGACATGGGCGTTTACCCCGTCATGTTCGCTCTCGCACTATTTGGCAAGCCCAAGTCGCAGACCTATGCTCCCTTCATCTGCCACACCGGTGCCGACGCCGGTGGCTTCATCGTCCTGCAGTACGAGAAATTCGGCGTCCAGATCCAGCAAAGCAAGTGCTTTACATCCTTCGCCCCAACCGAGATCTACGGCGAGAACGGCACCATCAGCCTCAACTCCGTCACCGATATTGCAAGCGTAAAGCTGTGGGATCGCAAGACCAAACAGACCGAGGAGTTGGCAGAGAAGAAGATGGACTTGAATCTGCAAGAGGAGGCCGAGGAGTTTGCGAGAATCATCAACAACAAGGATGTCGATGCTTCCGCTAAGCTTGAGCAATTGAGCTACGACATTGTGTCTGTGACTTCGGACTTGAGAAGGCAGAATGGCATCCTGTACCCTGCCGACAAGGCATAGATATCCAACATGACTTGTATATAATGCACCATAGACGAAAAGAACATTTGTATTCGAACAAGAAAAAAAGCACCTCTTTATCCTTTCTACCTCTTGCACGCTTGGGCTATGCAAACCGCTCGACTGAAAGCCAACAAGAGTCTCTAAAAATATACACAAAAAGGTTTCCACCTTTCTTTGCCCTTCCTTCCACTTTTCTGTTCTTTACACCCTACTACTATACCCACCGAGCACATTGCCCTTGGCAACCCTCCTCTCATACCACTTTCTCCCCTCGTCGACCCAAAACACACTACTCGCCAACACAACCAACCCCACAATATCCCTGAGCCCGAGCGCCTCGGTCTGGAACACTCCCTGCAAAGGCGGGAAATAGATGACCAGCGCTTGACCCAGCAGACTACCGGCAACCGCATAATTGAACATGGCATTGGCTTTGTGGCCCGTGAATTTGATTTCTCCCAAGAGCAGGGATTTGGTTGCCGAGCGGCAGGTGAGGGCGTTGAACATGTCGAAGAGGACAAAAGCCGTAAAGGTGAGTGTGGTGTCGCGAGGAGACACTTCGTGAGAGGCGAGGTCGGTGGAGGAGAGATTGGAGATGTAGGTGTATAGCGTGCCTGCCATGATGACCAGAGAAGATTGGAGTACACGGCGGATAAGGCGAGGAGTGAGTACACGAGCGTGACGGGGTCGGGGAGGCAGCTGCAGCATTGTTTTGTCGACGGGCTCGACACCTAATGACTGCGCAGGAGGCCCATCCATGAGAATATTGATCCAGAGAATTTGCATGGCGTTAAGAGGGTTTTTGTAGCCAAACGCACTGCTCAGCATTACAAGACCTAAAGCAGCGGCAGAGGTGCTGAGTTGGAAGGTCAAGAAGTTTTGGATGTTGTGGAAGATGCCCTTGCCTTCTTCAATGGCTGCAAGGATGGTGCTAAAGTCGTCGTTTGTGAGGATCATGTCGGCGGCTTCTTTGGCTACATCAGTGCCTAGTTTGCCCATTGCAATACCAATGTCTGCCTTTTTGAGTGCCGGCGCATCGTTGACACCGTCACCAGTCATGGCTACGACATCGCCTCTTGATTGCAATGCTCGGATGATCTTCATCTTGTGATCTGGGCTTGTTCTTGCAAAGACAGAGGTGCGCGAGATTGCTTGAGCGAGCTCTTCGTCGCTCATTTGGTCTAGTTGGTCGCCACGCAGGACAGGCGAGCCAAGTGCTGATGACATGTTGATAGGCATGCCTAGCTTTTTCGCAATGGCTACAGCGGTGGTTTCGGCATCACCAGTAATCATGATAACCTTGACTCCACCAGCCATGAGACGGCGAATGGAACGATCGACACCCTTGCGAGGAGGATCGTTCATTCCTACTAGACCAGCAAAGCAGAGTCCAGTGTACAGATGGTCTTCATCAGCCAATGAGGAGCCCTCGGGCTTGGGAGATGTACCACGAGATATGCGGCGATCCTTGGATTCACGAACAGATCCGCTTGCTAGACCAAGAACGCGAAGACCGTCTTGTGCCATGTCTTCAGCTGCTTTCAATGCTTCTTGGCGTCTTTGCTCATCCAAAACAACTTCGCGCCCTTGGGAAGTCATGTAGGTATCGCAACGGCTGAGAACACGCTCAAGAGCACCCTTGATATAAGCGGTCGCAGCTCCATTGGATTCAAGCGGGTTCTGGATTACCACACCCATCCATTTGCGCTCTGAACTGAAAGGCGTCTCATTGCGCCTGCTTCCAATATTTTGTCTAATATCATCTTCACCAAACGCGTCAAGAAGATCCAGAAGGGCAACATCAGTGGGCTGACCAGTCCAACGACTCTTCGCATTTGCCATGTCACCTCCCATGGTAGAGGAAAGAATGGCAGCCGAAGCCGCTGTGGCATGAGAAGAAGATTCAGAGCCCAAGCGACCATTGTTGACGATGTTACCGATACGAAGAATGGTGCGCGTAGCAGAATCCGAGGGAGCAGTTGCATGTACCTTGACGACATCTACAGGTGCTTCGTCGTCAAAGTGCCACATTTTAGTGACGGTCATATGGTTCATGGTGAGAGTTCCAGTCTTGTCGCTGCAAATGACATTGACTGATCCAAGAGTTTCGACACTTGGGAGTCTACGTACGATTGCATGTCTTTTGGACATGCGCAGAACGCCCAAAGCCAGTGTGACGGTGACAATGATGGGTAAACCTTCGGGGATAGCAGCGACGGCCAGAGAAACACCGATTTGGAACAACTCCAGAAATGGTCTGCCACGAATGAAACCAATGAGCATGATGAAGGCGATGATTCCGAACGACATGTAACTGAGTTCCTTGCCGAGATTGTCCATAGAAAGTTGCAGAGGTGTACGAGGGCTCTCAATCTCTTGCAGCGAAGCAGAGATGGCACCAAATTCAGTACCACCGCCTGTACCAATGACAATACCCTGGCCATAGCCTGAGCGAACCAGTGTTCCCATGAATGCGATGTTTTTCTGTTCGTTGAGACGGAGGTCTGCGCCTACAGTGCCCGAAGCCTCGGAGGCGTATACAGGCGAGCTGGGATATCCTTCTCTTTTCAACGCTGTAATGCTTGCTGCGAGTTTGTGCACAGGTTCGTTTTCGCCAGTAAGGTTGGATTCATCGATGGACAGGTCTGCGGCACGGGTGATGCGGATATCTGCAGGAATGCGATCGCCAGTATGGAACAGGACGAGATCTCCCACGACCAATTGGCCAGCGGGAATGGTCATGGATGCCTTCTCGGCACTGGCCAAAGGAATCTTTTCAGCTTCTTCGAGGGTGTCATTGTCGGGTCTGCGTTCTGCGCTTCGAATGACGTGGGCGGAATGAGGTACGAGCGAATTCAAGGCCTCCATGGACTTTTCGGATCGGTATTCTTGCACGAAAGCGACCGTGACGACAATCAGGACAGCAATGGCGATACTGATGGCGTCCTCTAGGTTGCCCATGACTGCCGAGATGGCGGCTGAAGCCAGAAGCAGCAATATCAACGTCTCTTGAAACTGCTTGACAAATCGCAACCATAGTGGCTCGGGTTCCTCGTGAGGTAGTTCGTTCGGGCCATCGCTGTGGAGACGTGTAGCGGCTTCGTTCGGTTGTAGGCCATGTGTCAGCGAGGTGGACAAGCGCGTAGCGGTCTCCTGAGGCGTGAGGACTGCATGGTTGGCTGTGACGGTTTGNCTATAAGGGGTTGTGTTAGAAGCTATCAATTCTTGGGAAGCAAGCAAGAAGCTGCGGCATTTAGGGGTTGGAGCGCTACTCGTGCAGAGCGCTAGAAGTGAGGAGTTCGTGGAGTTGAGCAAGGAGAGAGATCAAGTAAATACCGGAGTTCTTTGTCGGTTCAATGGTGGACGAGCTTGGTCAGGGGGCGCTAGATCCTGCCTCGAGGCATTGTACATGGGCAGAGCCGGGGTGGACGAACGGGACATGTCAATGGACCGTCGTCAACATGGGGCCGCAATGCGCTCTCGTCTTTGACCGACAGGAGGAAAGTACCAGAGACTGACTTTCAGGAGGGGTGCGAGTCTGTCGAGGATGGCAGCAGGAGGATCAAATAAACCAACGCTCAAGTAGTGCCTAGGGTACGTGGCCTAGCCAGTCGACGAATGCGGAGAAAGCGGTTCGATCTTCGATACGATTAGGATAGGAGAGGCTCGATATTATGCTTGACGGTCCAATTGTTTCCTGTGTCACTACTACTAATTCATGGTGAAGCACCGTCGTCTTCGAGCAAACTCTATAGATGCCATGTCGTTGGCCATGCGGCGCCAAATGCAGTCCGCAACCAGCTGCATTCGTGCCGATTTCGGGTCTTATTCCCGCTCCATTTCCTGACTATGTATCTTGCGACAATGCACTCGACCGAGAACATATTGTTTAGACATGACAATAGGTACTTATAGAGCTTCTTAGCATGACTGCGAATAGAAAACGATATTTCTATCAACTCACTACATATTGTTATGCCAGCTATTGATAGAATATGCAATTGCCTATCTGGTTGATGCAAAGGCGCATCGCACGTGACTCTCTTGGCCGGATGCCGCTCGTTGCTCTGCCCGACGCGGTCCTGCTCTGCTTGATCTGCTCGCTCACCACCATCTATACCATCACGCGCGCACATTCGTCGCATCTCTGCAAGAACTCGCCAACGCCTTTATCGGCTCGTACGATTGCCAAAAATTTACTCGAAAACATTGCGCCCACCGTGTAGTGGTCTTGCGACAGGCCGAAAAGTCAAAGAACCCACGACGCGTCGCGCGTCTCTGTCGTCAGTCAACACTTGACGCTCCGCCTTCATCGCACGCCTTCCAACACCACACACCATGTTCTACTCGGAAACTCTCTTGTCAAAGACGGGTCCGCTCGCCCGTGTCTGGCTGGCTGCCAACATTGAGCGTAAATTGACAAAGAACAACATCCTGCAGTCCGACATTGGAAGCAGTGTCCACACCATCATCAAGAATGATCAGGCTCCCATTGCCCTGCGCCTGAGTGGCCAGCTCCTACTTGGTGTCGTCCGTATCTACAGTCGCAAGGCCCGCTACTTGCTGGACGACTGCAACGAGGCCTTGATGAAGATCAAGCTCGCCTTCCGTCCTGGAAATGTCGACCTCCCCTCTAACCAATCACACACTGCAAACCCTGCAGCCCTTGTGCTTCCCGACACAATCACTGAGCTGGACCTTTTCGCCCCCATGCCTGATCTTGATGAGCTATTGCTTGACAGCACCCCAGCACCTGGTCAAGACCCTACGCTTCTGGATTGGGGTACTAGCCAGCTCCTACCCGAGAGTATGAACACTCGCGAAGACGTCAGTCAGACCCTCCAACTCGAGGACGACGATATAGACCTCGACATTGGCGACATGACCGAGGGCGCTGCAGGAGGAGACACAAGCATCGAAGTTGGTAGACACCAGGAGGCGCCCCGCCCGGAGATGAACGATCAGAGCATGCTTTACGACGATAACCTAGATCTGGACATTGGTGGCCCTGAAGACACAATCGAGAAGGACATGTCCATGGCCCCTCTACCCATGGACGACGACATTGAGATGGGCGGTCTTGATCTCCAAATCGAAGAAAGCAACCTCGACGCCTTGCACCGCGCAGATGTTCGCCGTGGGCGGGATAGTGTCTCGCCTCTTTCATCTGTTCGCTCCAGCGTCGAGCGTGACCTTGAGCAGACTTTCCAGCTCGAGCACCAACCTACTGAGCTCGAACAAGACGAGACTATGATCCAAGCACAACAACGTGCCAAGCGCCGCAAGGTTCTTCCTGCCGATCTCAACACCGAGCTCCATAACTCTCAGATCCGCGCTCAACAGGAGGACCGCAGCAAGATTCTCAAGGCCCCAGTCTTCCTTCCTAGAGACCCCGTCCTTCTCGCACTCATGGAGATGCAGAAGAACGGCGGCTTTGTGTCTAACATTTTGGGTGACGGTCGTAGCACTGGCTGGGCTCCTGAGCTGAGAGGCGTCCTGTCTCTCGAGGTCGTGCGCACAGCCGGTGAGCTCAAGCGTAAGAGAGACAGCGGTCTCCCCCAGATCGAGATCCCCGAGGAGGAGGAAGAGACCCATGCTCTTGGTGCTGCCACATCACCTGCACTCGAAGATCTTCAAGACCCTACACTCGGTGCTGACGACTTTGCTCCTGCTTTTGGTGGTGACGATATCCACTCTATCGTCGAACCTGCTCAGGAGGAGGAAATGGAAGCTTACTCACCAGCACCTGCCTTTGATGAAACTACTATGCCTGTCCTGCACCCTGCCGATTCTGGCCCCGTCTCACTCGGCACCAAGCACGCTGTTCACCTTTTGCGTGAACGCTTTTCAGACGAGTCTGGCGAGCCCCCATCACCCACAACCCGTGCCCAACGCAGTGTTCTTTTCACCGACTTCTGCCCCGAAGAGCGCACGAGCAAGCAAGACGCCACCAAGATGTTCTTCGAAGTGCTCGTTCTCGGTACAAAAGATGCCGTCAAGGTGGAGCAAAGCTCCGATGAGTTGNGTGCTCCCCTCCGCATCCGCGGCAAGAGAGGTCTCTGGGGCGATTGGGCCGAGATGGGAGCCGGCGGCGAGATTGCTAGCCAGCGCCCCGAAGTTGCCGTCACCATTTGATGGCCTCTCATATTTTACGTTGTGACGTCCCTACAGTGATTTTCAAGCGTTTGAGGGTTGGTGTTCGACGGCGTTCTCAAAGGGGTGGTGGTTTGATATCAATGGCTTCATTTGCAAAAGACACGGAGATCTTGTCCATGCTTGTTGAGCGAGCAGTGATATGCAGTGTGCATCCGCAGCTATTAGGGCAGGACGAGGTCACTTCTGAGTTTACTTTTTCTTGATTTTCTTGATGGGCCATTTGCAATCCGCAGCCCTTGTCTACCCACTGCATGCGGCAGAATTATAGGGCATTCTTCTTCATTAGTTTAGCTGTCGTGTTAGAGTAGAAAGTTTAACCAAGACTTTGCCAAAACACTCTACGGTGCGGGAACAACCGTTTCCGAGCGTACCTTGCATGTACTCTATTTTCCTGCTTGTCTTTCACGACCATCCTCAACTCTGCTTCATGAGCTTGATAATTTGCTACTAGTAAACCTCGTCCACGAGGGGGGCAATGCGATTATGCCCGTCCATCGTGTGGAATCAGCAATGAGGGCTTGCTAACTCATCGCCGTGCCTGTCGCCAAGTGCTCATCAAAGTTCATTACACGCGTCGTCAATCTTTTCCTACGCACGAAACGTCAAGGCCTTGATAACCCTTTCTATATCATGCCCTAGATGACAGTACCGATTCACCCGAAGCCCTAGGAGTTGACCTCTTCGTGTCCAAGATATGGCGCTAGACGGGTTTATGAGCCTGCACGGATCAGCAACTTGGTCCTCGAAGCGCACCGCACTCGACCCGATGTAGAGTCGAGTTAGACCTGGTGTGTTCGCCCTGTTTGATCACCATTGATGGTTCCTGGTGGGACCTGCCTTGTCGATCTCAACATATCGGCAGTCGTGGGTTACGCGCTCTTGGTTCTCTTTATCGGCGGACGAGTGCGGAGGAGCCCATCGAATTGATATGGTAGAGCTGTATACGGTCAGGCAATTAGGGCTTGACGATCTACAAGTAGGTCTTTGTATGATGTGAATAGGTATAAGTATTGTAGTAGCCCTCGGTGTAGTCTCCCGGATCACTAGATATCACCTTTTCCTTCTTCTCAAAGCCCTATATCTCTTTGTCTCCATACAAGATGCATATTCCTTCTTTGGTTTCTGCCTCTGCTGCTCTCTCCATTGGCACTCCAGCACGCAGCTCTCTCTACGTCGACAATGCACCCGATCACGTACGCCCCTATGTCATTGAGCGATATGCCAATGCCCAAGCCGTCGCCGTCGGCCAGCAGATCTACAGATTCCCCGTCACTGGCGCATCTTCAGGCGGTGCCTTTTCCATCCTCATGACCAACTCGCCAGCCTCTGATGCCTTGGGCGTTCTCNCCCATATCCACCGCACCCACTACGAAAACTNNTTTTTTTGCAGCAAAGGACGATTCCAGCTCTGGACGCAAAAGAATGGTGATGAAGAGGCTAGAGTCATGTTGCCTGGCGACTATGGCGCTGTACCCCAAAACACGACGCATACCTTCCAAGTCCTTGACCCCGATACGGAAATGCTGGGAGTGATTCAACCCGGTGGCTTTGAAGCTCTGTTTTTCGCCATCGCAGACTCGAACTATACGTCCTCGACTTCGTCTCCGTATGTGCCTTCCTCGGGCTCTGGGGCCACTGATGCAGGTGCCGGGTCCTCGGCCTCCATGATCTCGGCTCTAGAGTCTTTTGATGTGTTTGCCCAGTTGGACTTCAACCCTCGTCGGGATCTCGTCAATGGAACAGCTCCGAGCAACTCAACATGGCACACTGGCAAAAACACACCTGCCACTGACTCTCACACACCCTTTTACTTGGCCAAGAACCAAGGACCAATGTACCTCAACTCTGAACACGGATACCAAATCATCGCCCCCTTTATCGGCTCCATCCAATCCTCCTCCGCCTTTGCACAAGGCACAATAACCATCTCCCGCCATCTCTCCAACACCACAATCCCCGAGAGAAAGTTTAAGCAACACATGGCATTCGAGATTTTGGAAGGTGCACTGATGGTAAACATGCAAGGAGAAAAAGTGCAATTGTTGCAGGGTGATGTGGTGTTTATCCCCAACAACACTAGCTTTTCTTACTGGTCTGAGGTGGCGTTTACCAAGTTTTTGTATGTTGGTGCTGGGGATAGGGGGTTGGATAGGAGTTTGATGGATAAGAGTGTCGAGTGGGAGTATCCCACTTGGCCCACTTTTGCTGTTTGAACAGGCCTTTTTTGAGGGTGCTTTGGGATATAGATGAAATAGACACAATGATAGAGTTATAGAGATTGATAGTGACTACATAGATGAGAGTGTGTACAAGCATGAGTTTTTCCACAAGGCTTGTCTTACGTCTTCAATCTGGAAGCAATTGTTGTGTGTCTGTTGATAATCGGAAAACTGCCCCTCCTGCGGTGTGGGGAGGGGCGAATCAAAGCAAATAGTACTGGAGGGGAATTGAGGCATGCCCATTAACAGTCGTCCTTTGATAGCCTCTCAATGGATGAAGCTCTATAATAACAAAACATTGTGTACTTGTATAGTCACTCGCATCGTACGCATCAGCGCGCAGAGATGAAACAATCTGCCAACATGATCAAATCAATGATATGACTTTAGTGGTTGTTTTGAATGATTGCTCAGGGTAAGAAAGAAAGCGAGAAGGCCAATCGTGATCATTATGGCATGACGTGATGGTATCATCCACGTCAATCACCCAGTCTCTAATCAAGGTTTCATGGCTGACAGTGCATTTGTAGCCTCTCTACCATCGAGAGCAGTTTTGACCCGTGACTCGTATGCTTTCTTTTCTCGGGCATATATTTTGTGTCTTGTCTCCATTTCTAGGAGTCTTGCGCGCTGAGCTGCTCGAAGATGCTTTTGCATCTGCCCTTCGTATAGTTTCTTGCCTCGGGTATAACTTTCTCTCGTCCAACCTCACAAGCTGGAGGTACTTGTGGATCTTATCTTCGGAGAACCCCTTCTGCTGAGCATGCTTTGCTTGCTGCTTTTCGATGTTCAAAAGTCTCCCGAGCGGACCAGGTTTCGTAATGTCACTGTCAAGGATATTTCGAGCCCCTCAAAGCTCATCAGGGTCAAAGACATCTTCGGTCATGGCGGCCCTATTACCACCTCTGGCGGCCCAATCTTCCCTGCGCCTGCGTTCTCTTTCTTCTTGCTCGGCTTGTAGTCTCTCTTCCTCTTCTGCTCTTCTCTTGTCTGCTGCTTCTTGCTCCTCGGCACTGAGCACGGTAGTGGGATCTGTGCCATCTTCCAACATGCCTTGGATGGCAGCCAAAGCACCCATGCGTATAACTTCTTGGGATGGCCATGGCACAAAGGGGAGTTGTGAGAGTGGGTCCAGCATGGCTTTTGTTTCTGCACTCAGTGTGGCTACAGCCCTGTTTTCTGATGTTGCTTCTTGGTCGGATGTGCTCGTGTTGTCGCCATTCTGTGCTGGTGTGGCCATGCCGTTTGTGATTTGAGTGGTGGGTGCATCGGAAAGGGCAGGCTGTGGTTGCAAGAGCAGGTCGGTTGAGATGTGGCCGCGGAAGGTGGGTGGGACGGTGGTTTTGGAGATAAACTTTGCATAGGAGAGCAGCTCTTCGACACCGACTTGACGCGTGTGTTTGGCAGGCTGGGAAGAGGGTATGTCGAGGAGTTCTTTGCGGGTGTCGGCCAGAGTGCGTAGTGTGGATTTGATCTTGTCGTCCAGGGCGTCGGCGGTGGCGCGTAGCTCGAGGATGCGCGAGTAGTTTGCATGGTGTATGGCGACTGTGAAGATGCAGTAAGCTTAGATCAGTGACGATAGAGAGTGGTGGAGCGCACGCTGTTCCAAGCTCTCGTCCAAGTCCTCGTCTGCGGCGACGAGTGCGTCTGCCGCCGATATAGAGGGATTGTAAGCTGCAACGGATTCGACCAGCGTGTTCAGTGCTGTCTCTAGACGCTGAAAGCGAGTCTGGAATACACTGAGCATGTTGATGTGAGGGAAGGAAGTTGACCAATCAAGAGCCTGTCGCATTCGAGACCATCAACAGAGCGCCAAGCGGTCATGCTCGTATTCGGTCTTCTGCATTCTGTCTTCTGTTTCTACCTCCTTGTACAGTTCAAGACTTTCTAGACATCCAGCTCAGCATCAGGAACTAAGGACACCGGCATACTTCGGGCTCAATCACGCCAAAATTGATGCCGACTGTGCGGGTGCTACGTGGCAGCTGTCTGCTACGCTAACCATGCAGTACAAGCCTCGTTGAGCTCCTATCAGCCTTCACGGATGAGACTCAAGCTGACACCTGACCGGTCTTTCTCTCCAGCCTGCTGAACACGTACCCATGTAGGTTTGCTGCAATAAGACAGTGTCAGTTGCCGACCTGACGGCTTTTTGCTTCTTGCCATCAATGTTTCACTCCGTTTGTAGCCAGCCATCCATAGCAGTGACACCTGTATAACCACCATCCCTTGATCTCCTCTGCGTAATAGAACATTCCATGCCTTCATAACTACACCCACCGCACAACAGCAAGACCACGAGGTTATGGATCCGCATGTCCTAGCACGAGCTTTCGAGAAGCACGCTCGTCGCTCACCATCTAGTGGCACTTCCACTCCTGATCACATCACCCCATTTCCCATCCGTCTCATACACGAGAAAGCTCCACGAAGAGTTCGTTCTGTCTCATCGCTCATCAAGAAACCTCAGAACGATGGCTTTTATCGTTTCTGGGATCGCTTCCTTGCAGCCTCTCCCAGTCGCTCTCTAAACACGTCTGCGCTCGGTCGTCGTCTCGAGCAGACACTCCAAGATGCCAGTGGCGAGGAAAATGGTCTGCACACCCAGGAAAGTCCTGCCGCATCTTATGAACAGGCAAAGAAAGAGTGTCAGGACAAGGTCGCGGCTATCGTAGTCGAATGCACGCATCTGAACCAGCGATACCGAGACAGGCAATTTGAGGTCGAGCTTGCTCAAGGGGACTGTATCTTCCCCTTGGTGGATGATGAGGGCAACTCTCACTCGATACAGCCGTCTGGGGTCAAACGAGTAAAGGTATACACATGACACAACCCTCGAGCACTTACAAATGCTTATCGGCGTGATAGGACATATTCGAGAAGCCCACTTTCAACGCAGAAGGGGCTTGTGGCGACGATGTCATGCAAGGCTCGCTCGGCAATTGCTGGTTTATTGCAGCTCTCGTGTCTGTCGCCGCAAAACCAGGACTCATGCAACGACTCTGCGTAGCCCGTAACGAGGCTGTTGGAGTATATGGCTTTGTCTTCTTCCGCGACGGGACCTGGATACCAGAGATTGTCGACGATCGCCTCTTCATACACGTCTCTGATGGCGATGACTTGTTCGTTGGCAAGTACGTAGATGAGAGGCAGACGAGAAGTACCTTCAACAACAGCAACGACATCACCAAGCTGAAAGAAAGCCTGCAGAAAGGTGGCGAGGCCCTGTATTTTTCGCGCTGTCGTGATAGTCAGGATACTTGGTTACCGTTGATAGAAAAGGCGTATGCGAAGGCTCATGGCGACTATGGTTCGTTGCATGGTGGCTGGGTTGGCGAAGGCACAGAAGACCTTACCGGCGGCGTGTCAACAAGTCTTGCCCCATCAGACATCCTAGACAAATCTTTATTGTGGAAGCAACTGATGCAGGTCAATGTTACGTACCTTTTTCAGGAGGTGCATTTCATTACAGGGAGGCTGGCAGTTTTGGCAAACACGCTTACGCAGTATTGCAAGCCGTTGAACACAAGGAGTTGCGGCTGCTGAAGATAAGGTATGCTCCTTCCTTCTCAAATATCAATGGAACTCTTGCTTACTAACATACACCAGAAATCCTTGGGGCAACAACAAGAATCCGGACAACTTTGATGGACCTTTCAACCACAAATTCGAGGAGTGGAATGCTGAGCTTGTTGATCAGCTCAAGTTCGACTTCAAAGATCCTGGTGTATGCATTGCCTACTCAAGACAATATTACTTGTACTAACGATAGCAGGTGTTTTGGGTGACTCTAGACAACTTCCTCCGATACTTCGACTCCATACAGCGGACTCGATTGTTTGACGAGACATGGTACGTATATACATGATCACTCAGCATAGGATGTTTCTAATTCCGTGTTGTGAGATCGAATCTCTGTCGCATTGCAGAGTCTTGTTCGGGATCTGATGGACATCTATTGAGAGCCCGCTGTCGCTCTTGAAAAGGCAGGCTCTCGGTGGAGACATCCAGCCTGATGAACAACACGCTGCGATGCAACAGTTGTTGTGATGCACCATGCTTTGCACAAGGAACATGCTGATTGTGCCCTCAACTTACAGGCTGTTGACCCAACAATGGACTTCTGTCAGCATACCTGCAGGAGCAGTCACCTATCTGAATACCAGCTTCCAAATCACACTATCTCATCCAGGACCTGTTGTCATCGTCCTTGCTCAACCAGATGTCAGCTACTTCCAAGGTTTGCAGGGTCGATACACATACTCCTTGCACTTCCGTGTCTACGGTGTCAAGGACACAACCAAGTATCTGGCACGCAGCATGCATGTTTCCTGTGGCAACTACACCAACTCCCGTTCCGTCAGTGTAGACCTCGACCTCAAAGCCGGCGGCTACAACGTCCTCGTCAAAATCGAGCCAACACGAACTCACTGCCGAACAGCAGAATCAGTCATCGAATCCGAAGCGCCCTACCGGAGGCAAAAACTGCTCCAAACCGGTCGCAACTTCGAACTCGCACACGCAAAAGGCAAGCTCCGAGAGAAGGAGGTGGAAGTGCGGAAACAGAAAAAGGAACAGGCGAGAACAGAGACCCGTGAACGGCAAGCCAAGATGAGGAAGCGGAGACACGAAGCCAAGGCCCGAGACAGGAAGCGCAAAGATAGAATCGCGCAAGAGAAGAGGGCCAGAGAAAGGAGTGATCTTCTCAGACGGGCAGGCTATATGCCTGTTCCTCCCCCGCTTCCTCCTTCCTCCCCTCTAAATGGTCTCCCACCTCCTCCTCCTCCTCTTCTTGAGAATTCGCCAGCATCTGTGAAACCTGTCAGAATTAGCTCACCACCCTTCAAAATCACTGGGTGTATAGACATTCTCGATATAGACCCCAATGCTGAGCTTGACGATGACGACTTTGAATGGGATAGCGAGATAGATGGCGAAGTGTATTCGTCATCGAGCGAGGATGAGAAGGACTGGTATGCTGAGGATCCATGGAACGCGCTTCTTGTGCTTGGTTTGAGAGTATATTCGCAACAAAGTGCTGTCACGATCAAAACCAGAGACGATGATGAATTGGATAATGATGAAGCCACGCCGTCTGCGAGCACCGCAGGGACTGACAATTCAACGGGAACCAAAAGCTCACAAGCAGACGAACAAGCACAAAAAGTCAAAGGAGGCGCATGCTTCGGCTCAGTCGAGTGGTTCAATTCTTCCTGCCGTGACCGAGGATACCGCAAATAACCACTCAACCTCGAACGAAGCAAGACCTACTCCAGCGGAAGAGGACAAAGGTCTAAGCAACACCAAAGATGAAACTCCGGTCAAGATTGACACTCCAGAAGTCTCAAACACAAGTAACACGCCTACCACGAGTTCAGAGCAAAAGAATTAGGTTCGTGGGTAAGAAGAACATGCACTAGCGGCCTCGGGAGCTGTATATTTCTGTTGTGGTGGTGGTAAAAGTACGGGCGTTGTCATGTCTCCTTGCTTGAGGTTCGAACTCACATCCAAGCAAAACTCGCTCGCCAGTGGTCAGGGGCCCATATCGAAGTCTTATCTTTCGAATGTGAAAGTTCGTTGAGCTTTGGGGTTTTCCGCTTCTCGATACAGGGGCCATGCCCGGTTTTTTGCGCTCTCGACATAGTTTGGGTCTCCCCACATAACTGCTGAAATGCATGATGTTCTGTCTGTCCGGACTTTGACCACTGAGAGTGATCACTAATAACATCTCAATGGACGATGCTCGTGCTGACAGACCGCTGTGTATTTTGATAGCTGTTTTCATTGGAGCATGACCACTAGGAGAGCCTACGCTCAAAATTCTCCTTGGACGCCATTCGAAGTTGCAAAATATCGTATATTCCGATAGACTAACATGCTAGGCTGTAACCATTGAGAGTTGACATTCGTTTCACATTCGTTCTGCTTGTCTCTACCAAGTCTTTATGAGTTGCTCGCGTTGTGGTTTTCTCCTGGCTTGATCTTCTCTCTTTTTCTCTCTCTATGTTCACACTATTATGTCGCTTGTCGTTATTGTGGCATAATTTTGCTGCTGGTTGTTGTTTCTCTGCTTTTCGAACGCCCATTTGTTCTTTGATTGATTGCCGTTGGTTCTTGATCCGTTCCTCTGCCATCCTCGTTGATAAAGGATGGTCAACGAGAGCAGCGAGATCAATAATCTGCATCTTTTAGATACTCTTTGAGTTCGCTTTTACAGGCTTCTCTATCGAAAGAGTTTCCTGGCCATCCATTTCGCTTGTAAATCTCGTACACACCCTGTCATTGGCATTAGCAGGAAAAACAATTCAACTCATTGCAATACACACCTTTNGTGACCTCATCTTCAATCTCGACATCATCGTCATCATCGGCGTCTAACAAGTCGTTCTCCTCCACAACATTGTCTGCCCTAGTGAAGTAGGTGCCTCCATCACCATGCGAATCATCAATACTCGGCGCAACCATCCAGACCAACTTCTCATACAACTCCTTCCACCTCTCAAAAAACTGCGTCACCGGTTCTGTAGGGTAAGCCCTCCATTTATCTTTATCCTCTAACCGCTCATATTCTTCCCAATTTCCCTGAATATTATTGGCGAGGATGTTGTAAGTAGTGATGTTTCCTGTGAATGTGTCGAGAATCAGGTACATTCCTTCTCTATCCGTTGCTTCTGCTATGGGAATCACATGACTGGGCAGGTGTTTGATGGCTGAAGAGGTGTTGTTGTAGCAAACGCCTTTGTGGTATTGGATGTGACTGCAACCTTGATCGATTGTCCAGCCGCCTCGAGTGCTGGGGTGTGAGAGATAGGGTAGATGGCGTAGGAGGTCGATTACTTCGTCTGTCTTGCCACGAGCTTTTAGTTCGGTAGTGTCAATGGTCGTCCAGCCGCTTGTAGGAGCAAAGACCAAGGCGCCGGGATCGAGATAAGGGAGTTTGATGTAGAAGGTGTAGAAATCTGTTATTGCGGCGATGGTCTCGGGGCGGGAATATGATAGAGAAGTCATTGGCTGTTTGAATGCTGTTCTTGGATTTTCTTTTGAGCTTGAACTTGTGTTTTAGGGTAGGAGCGTGTTTAGGAGGTCTTGCCAAATAAAGGTGGGTTTCCTCATGCATGCATGCTCGGCTCCGAGAACGCGGTTTCCGTCCACCATCCACCACTTTGTTCGCGACTCTGATCTGCCGTGACAGAGAACATTGGGAAGTTGGTGGTTTCAATATGAAAGTATGTTATTTGTTTTAGTTTAATAGGCTAGATGGGTAGAATTACACTATATAGCTTAGTTTTAGCTGTCGTATCCGGATCATCGGCTGCTTAACGGCACGCATATAGAAGTTTCATGTTAACAACCTTAGAAGCCTGCATAGCGAGACCAGCTCATCGATAAGCTAGCATTTTTTTTTTTAAGCTGGCAGATGTGAGGCCTGGAGGTGAATGAAGTTGAGGCCTCTTGTGGTGCCGTTGTGGACGAGCGCCATTTGTGTCGCAATACAGTAAGCTGCGCGAGATGTCTCAACAGATGAGTTCTCATGTGAGAGCCAGACCTTGTTGGTTTAGATGGAACTCGAATCCTAGGGAAGGCTTTGGTGTTGTAAAATTGTATGGTTGATCAGCCCACAGCCGTGGCATGGTTGTGAGTGACGCAACGACATGTCATATTGCGAGTGCTAACTGTATATACCAAATTTTGTGCTTCTTCAGGCAGCAGCAGCAAGGTACTGTGCTGTCTTCGAGCACATGGCAGAGCCTTGAGGCATATGAGGTGCGGTCGGACAGAGGTTCGTCCGAAAGCTTTTTGGCGCGGACCCCGCTTCCTTCCTTGCTCCAACGCATGCTCGTTCATACCACCGTCCGCCAACTAGGGAATCGCGCAAGTCGCTCTGAAAATTGCCCGTGGCTTCAGGTTTTACGGATCCGGAGATGGCTGTCCGTCGTCAAATAGTGACATGGTACACCGTCGACTTAGCAGAGCGCGGTGAGTGCAACTTCCGACCATCCTATCTTGATGCCTATATAGAGCCCTCAGTCAACAGCCAAAGTGTATGTGGTCAGCCGAAGAACAACTCTCGGCAACACCTCACCTTACAGTACACCAGTCGATAGTCTTCAAGACAACTTCACCTTAGTCAATAATTTATACCACTTTACCTCATCCAATACAGCAAACCACAAACATGAAGGTCCTTCTCATCGGCGCAAACGGTAACCTCGGTCTGCGACTTGTTGCAGCACTCCTTACCCACGGTCACGAAGTCGTTGCGTACGTCCGCTCATCGAATAAACTCGAAGCTCTCCTCCCAGCAAGCGTACACAGCCGAATTGCTGTCGTCGAGGGAAATGCCACAGACACCTCCTCAATCAGACAAGCGATCCTCGAAAATGATTGCGAAGCTGTCGTCAACACTGCTGGTGTAGCAGCCATGGCGCCTTGGAAGAGAAACAACCTGCCAGAAATCTTCTCCGCGGTGGTCAAAGGCACACAACAAGCTGGATCTGAAAGAGGCCAGCCGCTGCGAATCTGGCTTCTCGGAGGCTTGGGCGTGTTGACTTTCCCTGGGACAGAGACCATGCTCTCGAATTAGTAAGTTGGATCATTTGCATCTTCCTCGTGTGCCAAAACTGTCACAGTACCACATGACCCTCTCCCACTGCGAGGTATAGTGGTACTGTACTGTAAGCTGTCAAATTGCAAAGAGACTCTTCGATTGGAGGTAGCATTCTCTGTGGATGCCACTTCTTCTCGAAAGTATGCGATGGTCACTAGCACACAAAAAGATCTAGAGCTTGTTGTACAGATATCTGACGGCTCCCAGCNNGTACCCATCTTCCTCGAGCATCGCTCGAACATCAAGCTTCTTAAAGCCTTGCCACCTCATTCGGTCGACTGGTCTCTGCTTTGTCCAAGCACTATGACCGCCGAGAACCTGGAAGTCAGTGTGCCGGCCAAGTCCATCCATAATAGACTGACTGCCAAGGCCACTTCGCCACCACTATGGAAGGACTCGTGGCTCAAACATATTCCGTTCCTCGGAAAGGTCCTTATCGCAGCGATGAACGCCCCACGCTATGAGACCACTCTAGAGCAGAACGCCGATTTCATTGCAAGCGATCTGAGAGATCGTGAAAGCCGCTGGATTGGAGCACCGGTCGGAGGCATCAGTGTGCGATGAAGTGACTTGGAGGCAATCGAAAGCCCATAATAGCCGGGTTAAGGTTTCGATACCGTTGAGACATGAATAAACATTGACGTAGTTCTTCGATTCAGGCACACGACCACAACCAGCTGAGGCCTTGTCGAGGCTGAGATGAGGTCCCCGGTTGCCAGGCTGGTAGCGATGGGGGGCTGTCAAGTAGAGTAGTAATCATAATAATAATAGTAATCAAGTCGTATCCTCTGTTTTTGTTGATTTGTTGTGGAGTGCGCTTCCCAGAAGAGTGAGACTGCAAAGGACCTACGGACCCTTCGGGAAGAATTGCTGGCTATGCCGGCGCTTGGACACTGCTTGACTCTTCTGTACCTGAATCTTGTGCCGCCTTTGTCTTCCCTCTCGCCAATCAAGACGCGGTGCCTGGCGCCACTGATTAATGTACCATGGATTAACCTCCAGAATACGAAGTGTGAGTCCATGGATGATCCTTCGGGCGAGGTGTGCTGCTCTCAATCTCTCGCAAGCAGGAACAGTGTAACTTCTGAGTGTTGCTAGGCCAGAATCTGTTTCCGGAACGGTCATGTCATCTACCAACGAGGACTGACACATCGACGTCCAAGACGAATAACGTCTCAAATTTGCCTCGGAGCTCTTCAGACCTGTCGTCGAGGTGGTATCTCAAAGCCTTCTCACAGCATTGAGCGAGTGCCAGCCACGTGTGATCAACTGGCATCTAGCGCGACTCGTATCTGCACACAAGTAGTCGAGTACCTCGTCTCAGAATACTAGAGTGATCAATCTGGATAGGCAGCCAGAAGGCTTCAAGAGCACGGCCGCAATCTCCACCTCCAATAGTTGGCCGCTAGTCTCGCTATCCCCGCACTCGCCCGAACACGATGAGTGACCGACCCAAACACAATTTTACAAGGTCGGTCCAGCACTTTGGTGGTGAGTGCCATCGCCTATATATCTGTAATCTTCACCTCTCTCTTTCTTCTCGTTCTCATCGCAACTGACTAGTTCCTTAATACCTATTAATCTTTTCTTTCCTCTCTTGTTGCTTTCAGCACCCCACATTCGTTACCAACCGAACAAAATCTACAGCCAAAATGCGCGTTTCCGCCCCCACTGTTGCTCTTGCCATTGCGCAAACCTCTATCGCCGCCTCTGTTCCTCAGATCCAGGCTCGCCAGTCTGCATGTGCTGACGTGCATATCTTCACCGCCAAGGCACGATTTTTTGAACGATTTGGGTAGTCTTCCTTACTAACAATTTGTTCAGNNGGCAACAACGAGCCTTACCCCGGTCGCCAGGGCAAGCTCATCAACGCTGTCTGTGATGGTCTCCCCAGCTGTGACTACGAGGACATTCTCTTCTACAACCCCGTCGAGGCTCCCTACTGCGCTTCGATTGATGAGGGTGTTGCCAACGGCATCGCTCAGCTCAACTCCTACGCCGCTCGCTGCCCCGACTCCAAGTTGGTCATCAGCGGTTACTCCCAGGGCTCCCAGATCGTCGGCGACATCATCGGCGGTGGCAGCGGTACTTTCTTCCAGGACTGCATGACTAAGCCCTCTCCCAACCTTGACGTCAACTCTGAGCTCGGCAAGAAGATTGTCGCTGTCACCACCTTCGGTAACACCAGACACACTGCCAACCAGCCCTACAACCAGCTGAGCGGTGCTCCCGACAACGGTCTCTTCCCTCGTCCTGCTTACCAGTTGGCCAACCTTGCCACCTGGACTGCCAAGTACCACGACTACTGCGTCGCCGAGGACCCCATCTGCGCCGGTGGCAACGTTGTTGAGGACCACCTTAACTACTTCGACATCTACAGCGACCTCGCTGCCTCCTGGATCAAGCAGCAGATCGCCTCTGCCGATGTTGTTATCTCCAGCACCATTGTCTCTCCCAGCAGCACCTTCACCTCGGTCGCTACCACCGACAAGGTTGTCCCTACCACCTTCGCTTACAGCAACAACACCGCCACTGCTCCCGTCATCACTGCTTCTGCTTCTCTCTCCTCGATCCAGACTGGTGTTCTCGCTATCCCCACTGTCGCACCCGAGTCTACCGTCACCGTCACCGTCAACTGTGCTTCCGTTGACACCTCTGCCATCGCCTCTTACACCTCTGTCTGGGCCTCGACTGCTGTTGTCTCTCAGAGCGTTGCTGCTTCCGCCACTGCTGGCTCTGGCTCTGGCGCTGGCTCTGGCTCTGGCTCTGGCTCTGCCACCACCGGCTCCGCTGGATCCAAGTCTTCCAGCGCTGCCAACGGCACCCACACCCTTATGCCTTACACTGGTGCCGCAAGCTCCATCTCTGGCGCCGTTTCCGGCTCTCTTGCCGTTGTCCTCTTGGGCGCTTTCGCTCTGGTCCTCTAAGTTCCAGATTCTTTTTGTACATAAAAGACATTTTCGTATCTGTCTAGACTTTGTTTCATAAATCACTTAATGACTATTTCTCATGTCCTACTTCAAAACTTTGTCCCAATTATTCCACTTTGTGCAACATGGAATCTGCGAGCAGTGAGCTACAGTACGGTCTCAGCTAAGTATACTGACTCCACGAGTAGAACATGTCGAGGCTGCACAGATGGGGGCTCGAACAATGCCCGCCGGTCAACATGAGTCATGGACGCATCTCATGCCCTGCCCCGCTCGTTTCAGCATCTCCAAATTCTCTTCTGCTTGGACCGCTCTCTCTCAAATCTGGGAACAAAGTTCGTCATGGTAAAACACGACTTGACTCTCAACTGCACAACACAGTCTTGCCCAGTCGCAAGATACTTGCACAGTGGTGATGGACCGCCAAGACTCGACAAAGGCTACAGAGTAGTGTAATCAATGTGCATACGTAAAGCCACACTACGGCTTGACGCATCACTCCCTCCAAACCTCAGCGCACTTCCCGGAATATGCACAATCACTATGGCTACTGAGGCTGGATCTAATCAATACAACTACGATGTGATCGGCAAGATGGTTTATGCTGTGCCGTTCCTAGAGCACTGCACGAACGATTAGACGTGCCATGGCCATGGTGCGGCTCGATGCAAACTCAAGCCGTGTATAAGGACACACGAAGCATCACTCTGAGAAAGCACGAGACACTGCTAGAAACAAGCTCAGCTTGGAGTGCCGATACTTCAGATTCCATGATGAACAGCGTGGATTTGACTTGCATTGACGCGTTCACCAAAGCGGAAGCGCAAGCAAGGATAAAACTTCGACGATAAGGACAAACGGCTGGCCTACAATACCTCATACGCCGAGGGCGAGTACCAGGATCGAGATGGACGTCCCGTGTCCGCTTCAGTTCCTCCAAGATATCTCTATCACGTGGACCATATATCCATGAACAGTTTGAACACATACCTAATCGGTTTCCTTGCCGGTAATGTCTTGTACGGCGTCAGAGCTTCATGAACAACAACAACAACAACTACTACTACTACTACTACTACTACTACTACTACTACTACTACTACTACTACTACTACTACTACTACTACTACTACTACTACTACTACTACTAGTCATGTTTGACGTCAACAATATTTCCTACACCGGTATAGACGGAGCCTGCCATAAAATCAGCACAACAATCACAGAATCCATGCGGCAGAAACGGAGCGCAGAACACTACAAATAATTAACATCACTGGATCAATGGCCAGATAAACCACTTGCGTTCACGTACCATGGCAATGGCTCTGTTATTCAGCGGTATTGATTCTTTTGACCCTATCGTTCTTCGTCGTTGTGATAGTAGAGACGAGAAGATCAACTGGCAACGATATCAAAGCTTCAGTTCTGCTCTTATTTTTGACGGCAGAAGGAGTTGTAGCTACCCATGTTTCAAAAATTGAATAAGAAGCTCGAGATATCCTAGCGAAACTCGAAAAGACGAGTGGAAATTGGCGGTTTTGTAAGGTGGGCACAACATCTAGCGATATGGAGAGACCATTGAGAGATTCGTTGTAGTGACCGAGCATCAGCTATCGAAAAGTTATGCTTATAGGCATACCAGTAATTTCCGAGGGCTAACTCTCGTAACCTCTTGCCAATCCAAAATCACTTAGATGCGTGGGTTCTGTCCGGATACATGCCTGTCTTGTATTCACCATCTCTGATAACTCTCTCGGGGCAGGTAGCTATGCGATTATCATCTGACTGACCTCAGAGGCATTAAGCATCTTCAATGTCAACGCAACAGACGTCTGCTACCAAATCTATGCTAGGCTGTTTGTCAAGAGTCTGTGTTGATTGCATCTTCCTACATCCTACTGTTACCCGGTATTCACTTCGACAATTCGCACATGGATCGGACTGCAGCACAAAGATAATGAGCTCTTGGATCAACGTTACATGACTTTGCACACGGAGAGGCTAGGACAGCTTCTCACCTAACCCCCTTGAACACGCACGGCTCAAAGTGGCCTATAACACGCGGATGCGAGATGTACTTATGAGCTACTGAACTGAGCGAGGAGCGGTGAACATGATCTGCCAAAAGCTTACACACGTGCCAATATGCGAGCCTTTATCTTTGGCCAATCCGGGTATGAGCTTTCGAGTCTAGGCTTTGCATATATATATTAAACGTGCCTTGCTTACATCTCTCCGCATCTTTTATCATATTGCTTTGCCGTTGTACACATGCAGGTAACAAGGCTTACGATGTTCAAGTATCCACGTGTAAACGGATGCTTGATAATTGATTGGACAAATTCATGATGAGGTTGACTGAAAATGTTCGCGGCAGACTGCATGGCGAAGGATCGTGCAGGGGGTTCGCGTTCTAATATATCACTTAAGCCACTCTGCTCCATTATATATGCCACTTTATAGTCCTCCTACTTTTTGCCCTGGCCATTTATCTCGCTTAGGTAGGGCAGACAACATAAGTCGTACCTTCCCGTCATTTTCCTCCCTTTCTTTGCCGTTTCTGCAGTTATACATCAGATATCGAAATGATGCATTTCTCTCTCCTCGGAGCTACGGTATCTCTGTTGTGCGCGAGTGCTACGGCGTTCATACCAGCATCGACTTATAAAACAGACAAGCTCAATGACCATGGTATGACAAAGTTGGAGACGTATCTCCACAAGAACCGCGACCATAATGCTTGCAGCTTGGACACAGCTGTGAAGCGTCAGGAGTGGTATGTCAAGACAAGCCTGTAGCGTCTTGGTTATATGTTGACAGTATTCTGCAGGAGTACCCTTTCGAACTCCAACAAGAAGAAGTACATCAATGCCGTGCTGTGCCTCCAATCGAAACCAGCAAGAAGCGGCAGCATCGCCCCGGGAGCAAAGTCACGCTACGACGACTTCTTGGCCACTCATATAAACCAGACTCTGACGATCCACGGCACCGGCAACTTTCTCAGCTGGCATCGCTACTACATCTACACTTTCGAAGAAGCTCTCCGTAATGAGTGTGGCTACAAGGGTTACATACCATATGCGAACTGGGGAAAATATGCCGAGGACTTGTTGAATGCTCCCATCTTTGACGGCAGCGAATACTCCATCTCTGGCAATGGCGAGTATAAAAATCACACGNGGGCTGTGATTCCTAGCCCAGCCACGCCGTTCATCCAGCTTCCTGCAGGTTCTGGAGGTGGCTGTGTCTCCACTGGCCCTTTCCGTAACATGACTGTCAATCTTGGTCCTGTGGCTCCTGTGTTCAGCGATGTCCCTGCAAACCCTCGTCCTGATGGCTTGGGCTATAACCCTCGCTGTCTTCGTCGCGACATCGGTGCGTATGCCGCCAGCATCGCCTCCACAGATGCCAACAGCACAGCCCTGATCAGACAAAACACCTACATTGGCGACTTCCAAACCGTCATGCAAGGTGACTTTGCAGCAGGCTTGCTGGGCGTGCACACAGCCGGCCACTTCTGGGCTGGCGGTGACCCTGGCGGTGACATTTTTTCTTCCCCTGGTGATCCTTGGTTCTGGCTCCATCATGCGCAAATCGACCGTACTTGGTGGATCTGGCAGAATCAGGATCCAGCAAGCCGCAGCAGTGCCAAGGGCAATAACTTCTTGGCTGGAACTATCACTCTGAACAACAACCCGCCGTCGAGGAATACAAGGCTGGATGATGTGATCGATTTGGGTGTCAATGCGAAGAGTATTCTGGTCGAGGATGCGCTAAGCACTACAGCTGGACCATTTTGTTATGTTTACGTTTGAACGGGTTATGATCTTTCACGTCCAGAACCTGGGTCGTGTAGAACGAGCATAGAAAGACAAAAGACATGACACTCGCCATGGAGCAAAATCTTACCTCTCTCATCGCCCCCTCATGTTCACTTCGTGACACCAACAACGCGGAAGAATGGGAGCCAGGCCCAGAAACTGACAGAAATGACCGACGAAGAGTAAAAAGACAAAGCTACTTCTGCTAGTGACCCTCAAAGGCATGATCAAGTTGATCTAAGCAAGGTAGAAGCGGTCGACTAAGACATCGCCGAATCAAGAATTGAATTCGAAGAAGATGTTTCTCACAGACAGAAGCCACTAGCTGGACACAGCAGCCAACAAGTCTCAAGTCTTGTTTTTAACCGCTATGGCACCTGTAACAGCCGTCGAGAAGAACCAAAGTTGACGCTTCGACAAGTCGAATTGTGATAGTCGTCAACCAGATCTAGCTTTTCAAAGTAGGGGCACAACCTCGACTTTTTGCCAACGCAGAGGTGATGCGTTCTATCCGAGATTGGCAAAGATCCAGCGTCCATCCAGCGTTTCGAATGCGCAAGCGATTTGTATCAAAAAGTCAGAGGCTGTTAGCGGTGGTGATCCAGATGACAAGCCAGAGCCGCTGTGATATTCCGTCACGAGATGAGTCCATGCAGTCAGCAGTGTAGGCGACTGACGGCGGCTTTGACGTCGAAGCTCGCTTCAATGCAGAGAGCGGCTTCGGTCCGAGCGCGACAGCGCCGAAAGACTCGTCATGCTCGATACGCGTATTATTATGGTTGTGATTTCGGCTTAGGGAACCTGCGGTTTAAGAGAAGCAGGCGGTGTTTATTGAGCGCTGCCTCTGTAAAGTTCTCGTGTTGTCTCTGCCACAGCGGTCACTCCGGACCAGCCGCTGCCAAAGCCAAAACTCGAGTGTGGTCTACTCTAGTCCGCATCACTCACCAAGACTCAGTAGTGTTCTGCAGGGGACAGCGTCCGAATCGCACAACCCCCACGGTCCCATTGGCCAAAAGGGTGGTGAAAGAAATATCGCAAGATCACAAGCTTGCGAGCACGCCGCAAATTGTATACATCCAACGGTTCTCAGGGAGATCCCGAGGTGCATGCATGTCATGTCCATAAGCTTTTGTGAGGGAAAACCGCTTCGGCGACTTTGGTAGACCAGCGGCATGGGTTTGATTTTGGAGGCATGCTACTCTTTGGGACTTGGAGGCTTGTGGGTTGGTCCCAGGTATGCGGGTGATGAACAGGACGGTAAACCCTATTGTGATATAAGGGCAAGTGATCACCGGTGGTTGGAGGGCTCGCATGTTGACAACAAGAGCTAAATCACGAGTGACATGTGAACATGTTGAAGCTTAACTAGGCAGATCGATCTAGTATCTTTTTGCGACATCTCCTGTTCTCCGCAAGATCGTGTCGTTGAAGTCTGCACAGGCAGATTAACAGTAAACACCCGAATCCATGACAACGAGTGCTTCATAGTGTGAAGGGAGTCTCGCCTGCTTAGTTCGTCTCTCCTTTGATCTCTGTCAGTGGTATCTGAATAAGAAAGTCTTTGTAAGCAGCCAACAGGCATCGGGTTATTGAATCAGGGGATGTCGCAGGATGTGTAGCTCGGTTCAAGGAGTCAGTCAGCAAAACGGACAGAGGTGGTCACTGGTAGCCCTGGGGCGGTGACGGGCCGTCGGGTGAAGAAACCATCATGCAGCAGAGTAAGGCACGATTCATGGGGTAAAGCGGGTTGTGACTCTGACTCGCAAGTAGATGCTATCGAGCCGAGCCTGTGAATCGTGGGTGTTCGTCCACGACTTTCGTTCATCCTGAAGCTGACCGGCAGTGACGGCGGCATTTGAGAGACCCACTGGGATCGAGACCGGAAGTGTTTGGTTGCTGCGCGGGCTGCGCGGTGAATGCGCGAAGCTCAACTGACGACAAGGTTGAGGGTCCTGATCAGAGTTTCTCTCAAAAGGGCATACCGCCCGAGAACGAGGAAAGAAGCATCGTCGTCTTAGCTTTGCGCCAGACGTGTTCATCCTCGGGACTATCCGCAGCTCGATGCATAGGGTACACATGCGAGATACACAAGTACCAAACGCGCCCCGGCCCCGAGTCAGAGGCTCTGTCGCGGTCGGCCGGTTCCGATGGAGACCGCGGGCGACAAGGCTGCGGAAAAGCAGATCGACAGCATGGACAGCAACGATGAGTCGCGGGCTTCACCTAAATGAAGCGGCTCAGTCTGCCTTGTAACGACAAAATCCACTTCTACTCCGCATGGAAGTTGCTCAACAGCAAAATCGACATGCGCCCTAGTTGAAGGATCACTAGATTGGTTGTCACTGGTGATTTGCCTGTAAACTACAGGCTATAGTCAATAGCCAATATACGACTCGTGATCATGCATCAGGTTGACAAGCAGCCTAGATCCTTCCTCTGATGCATGACAGATACAAAGTGGAGGTCAATACTACGGAGTTGACAATAAAGCTGAATCGCTTGATGAGACATCGGGAGTCATGCTACACTGCATATGCGGGAAATTGACAGAGGGTATGAATCGTGAGACGTGCGAACGTCAGAAGGTCATGACATGGTTGATGGAGTTCATGAAAAATTTGGAGCAGCATAGAAGGCCACCCATTCTATCGTGATTTGATGAAGTTAACAAGGACTCCTTGACTCAAAGGTAACCCCTGCCTGAATCTTGATACTTGTCCGCTGTGAACCAAGCATCGGGTATTGGTAATGAAAAAATGGGTCTCTCGATGCCTTCTCAGACAACAAGTTGCGGTGAAACAAGAGATGAAAAAACAATGTAAGATGCAACGCTGGTCTGTATGCGATGTTCGTGAAAGACGATAGTATCATGATCCAATGCCGCTTCCAAATGTGACACGAAGTCATGAGAATTCCAGTTCTTGACTTCTGATGGCTTTCGCGAGTACGACTCAACGGAAGATGGTGACTCGTCGTGTCATCTCATGGATGAGACGACCTGCATCTGCCGAGGCAATTTTCGAGAGTCCCTTCCAGTTAGAGAAAGGAGTATCAGGGTTGTTGATACACTTGACCTGGTCCGCTTTGATCCGAGTGAGATGTTCAATGAACCGGGATTCGTCTTTGTTGTAAAACATGCGTCTTCCTTGAAAGCATAGATCTAGGGTCTTGAGCATTGTGTGGTCGCCTAGTATGCGTAACGTATCCATCAAGTCTTCGTCGTTAGTGAATCTACGCTCATCGGCATCCTGGAGATGTGTGTTCATTGACGGCGTAGCGTCTTCGAACATGATGATCAGTCGACGGAGCAGACTGACATTGGCAAGACCAATGCTTTTTAGGAAGAAGTGAATATCCTTGTAGCCAATCTCATATGTGTCTGTTGTCCAACGAACAGCCCGCTCCTTCTTGCGTCGCTGGAAGTAGAAGGTGTTCTCAGAGTATAAGATACTGCGGCCCTCTTCATGGACTTGACGACAAGTTCGAAGCAACGACGAAGATCGGTTGAAGTTGTTGGGATATGCAAAGTCCAACTTGTCCTTCGAGACGAAAGCGAGCCGATATATTTGATTGCGGATCTCGGCTGGAAGATCTAGGAAACTGCGTTTTGAGGTGGTATTGGGCTTGCTGCTCTCCGAGGTGACGCTCGATGTACTGGAGTAGCCGGAGTCTGCACATGAGACGGAGCGTGGAGAGAGACAAGTAGGAAGTGGGCGTATCAAAGACTGAGCCTGTGCGAGTAGGGACTTGAGGTCGAGATCCACAACCAAGGGCCCTTCGTGACCACGCGGAACTTCAATGGTCAACGACATAGGTAGCAGATCTTGGTGCGCTGTGCTCAGTTCGAAAGATCCACAACTTGAAGCAGAGTCTATAGTCATGCCAGCCGGGAGTCGTGGGATGCTTGGGGGAGATNNGGAACGCTTGCGCTTTAGGGAAGAGTTGGAGTATCGGTCGCTATCGTCAACGTATAGATCGAGAGAGGGCTTTGTCGTGGTCGCGTTCAGGATTTGTGAACTGTGTAGGTCGGTAACCTCATGGTCATATGAATAATTGTCTCGCGACGATGGCTTGGTTGCTGTGGCTTGGGTTTTGCGGGCTTTAGTGACAGGTGCCATGTTTGGACTGTGACTGCTGAAGAATACCAGATTCCGGGTAGTGATGCACATGCAAAGAGGCTCCCGAATTAAAAAAGGTTGCTTGAATGATCTACGAAGATGCAGTATTCGGAAAGGTTGTTGCAGGAACAAGAAATACAGACGATTCCAGGAGAAGGATGTGGCCCAAGGCTGTGTTAAGGGGGGTGGAACGATGTGACGATGGAGAAAAGTGATTCGTCCTGGTCTGCAGAGGTACATGTATAAGTCAGCCCCGCGAATGAACACGACCTAGCCGAAGCTTGAAATTATTGAGTGTGAGCTATACAGCGTCGGAGACATGCTCGGAGCGTTGCTGCTCGGTAGGGCATGCTGAAAACAGCTAGGTTCAATGGCTGTACGTTCTGACTTTTAGAAGGAGTTACGCGACGACGTAGATGAATGCCGAACCATCGAGCACTGACGGACGACATTCAGATTTAGCGAAGGGACATGACTCCAGGGCATGAAGGCCGTTTGGGATTTTTGTGGCAGAGTTTTGGTTTTGATTGTTTGCAGGGGGCGCGTAAGCAGCCGCAGCTATCAAAGTCTCAAGTTTTGTGAGGAGCACCAACTCTGTGTCTGACTCGAGCCGACGCAGGGTTCAGAACACGAAAGGCACAGCTAAAAAGGTGGCGGAGCAATAATTACTGCAACGGCGACGCTTGCTGCGACAATCCGGGTACAGCAATCACGTGGACGGTCGCGGTCCGTCTCGCAGCTGGTTGGATCATGATGGTCATCGAAATGTTGAGGCCGTCAAGATGGTGGTGTCGGAGCGAGTTCCGTCGACGTGAACTTGAGGCTTCTACATAGTGCAAATAGCAGGATCGATTTCTCAATGAAATCGTGCCTAAGGTACCTATCTTATTGATTCTCGAAGCTGAACCGCACCTTCCTCAAATGTTCAGACTGTAAAGTGTCAGATGCTGACTTATATCGTAGGTCTTGTGCAGCTTCGACACGGCAAACTGCCAAACATCCTTTACCCGTATCATTCTACCACCACACGCGTTAGACAGTTATATGATCTCATCAGATCAAGCCAGCTTAAAGCTGAGCGTGACTACCAAGTTAGGAGTGCAACGATCGATGGTCACAAGATATAAGCAGGGTCACCACCCCATCAGATCCATAGAAAACGTTCGTAGAAACTAGAGGAGTATCCAGTCGGGAAGCGACGTGTCGTCAATTCTCTCTGATTGCACGATGACAACCTTCGTCAATCGTTCTATTCTAACCTTCTACCTCTACAACTCGTCGTGCCCCTTTTGCTTTTCCTTCTTCTCATTTTCTTCCTTTTGCTTCCTGGCATCCTGCTCCTGCATCTCTGCTTGAATGCCAGCACCAGAAGCGTTACCAGCAATAGGATTCTTACCCTCTCCAATCTTCCTCTGCGCCAGTGCAGCAATCTCATCGTCATAGATGGTCCACTCAGGAACCTGTCTTCTCGCTCTCTCCAGCTTAGGTTCCTTGGTCTGCGGGTTGTTGCAAAGGTCTATGGTGCGCGCAACACCCAACGTCTCGTCCGAACACCAAGTCTCACACCACAGCCACTCTTGTGGTAGACTATGAATGGGCAACACATGCTGCATATGATTCGGTAGATCCTGGTCCAAGTTTGACAGGGAGTTGGGGTCTGCAGAAAGCTGATGGTATTGTTGACGGAGTCTATCTCCCGCAGCCATTTGACGGAACTTTACCAGATCGACAACATAAAGAGCAGAGATATGGTAAGGCAGTCCGCGCAGGAAGTTCTTCCAATATCCTTGTTTCCAGAAGCGGAAGCCTTCCATCGAGGTGCGAGAGTCACACATAGGTGTGAAACCATAGGGTGCACCTTGCAGATCATAAGTGACAAGCTCATACATGTCTGTCCTGACAATCTGGTCTGCATCCACGAAAATCACTTTGTCGAGATCCAGAGGGAACAGGACGTCCAGGAAGAGGATTTTATAGCCCCAGATCTCGCGTTGCTTCTCTTTCTGGCCGCGCAGCCAGTGTGGCCATTTGTAGGTTACCATTTCGTAGCGGAAGTTGTACTCTTCGGCCATGATGGGGAGGAAGGCTTTGAAGGATGGAGACAGGAACTGTTCAATGAACCAGAACTTGACAGTATGCGAGGTGTGCTTTGTGACCGAGAGCATCATAATATTCAACATGCGCTCGTAGAGGTGGCCAGAAGCAACCGAGAAGATGTTGATGTCGGCATGGGGTAGAGTCGAGATATCAGTGGTAGATCCAGACGATCCGGAAAGCAGGCCTGAGCCAAACTTCTGAGCTTTGGAAAGGACTTCGCCAGATTTCACGCTACCAAGACCAACCTTGGCGAGGATCTTATCAGCCTTGTCAGTGATATGGTCAGTCGGTGTTTTGGCACTTTCAAGAACGTCTTCATCCTCCATTCCGGATCTGCGAGAGAGGCGAGGGAAGATGGTAGCACCTCGGAAGCTGGTAAGAGCAATCTCAGTCATCTCGTCGCCTGTTTGAGGACTGTAGCCCAGAGTGCCAGCGCTGTCGATCTTGAAGATCTCCTCGCTTCTCCCCTTCTGTAAGGTGAGGTTGTAGAAGCCAGGCTTGGCCTTGAACTGGAAGTAGCCTAGATTCGCCATGATGATAGTATCGGCAAAGTGCTGATCTTTGTTCGTACCAAGCACAAGCTGAGCTCCTCTAGGTGCAGTACCAATAGTCGCATCTCTGGAGTGACCTTCAATGAGGATACTCTCGAGCTCATAGGTGGCCTCGATATCTCTGCCTTGAGTCGAGCTCAACTTGATGTTGTCGAGATCATGGACACTATCTTTGGGTGCAACAAGCCATGCAGGTGGCATGTCCATGGCCATTGTAAGAAGGGCGTCTGCGGGAAGACCTTCGAAGTGGGCTAGAGTGCCTTCAAGAGAGCCGTGCTTACCGAATCTAGGCTTTGACTCCAACACATGTCGGTAGAAACGCTTCACAGGTAGCTCGTCCAGTCTTTCCTTTGGGTTCAAGTACAGGCGCAGATGAACACCAGAAAGCTCGGAGAGGACTTTGAGAATGGGGACCCAACGTTGAGCTGTCTCAGATGCGGGGTCCACAGCCGCGACAATCTGAACAGTTGCAGACTCGAGATCGCCGCGCTCTATAAGGGTGTGCGAGCCAGTCCAGCCACTAAAAACGTCTGCTCGAGCAGGAGGAGCAGAATCAAACATGCCTTCAGGGACGTCCGACTTCGATGATAGCGCGATCAAGTTCGACAACTTGGAGAATGATAAGGCGGTATTGGCCTTGTCTACGATGTTGACACCCTTGATAGCTTGAGCCGCTGGCATCAAGCGCTTCATGCGTTCATACGACAAGAGCGTCTCAAAGTCGTCACGGCCGAATCCTTCGAAAGATGGCATTGGCCCAACGACCCGACCTGCCAACAAGAGTCCTTGTTCGCCGACGCTGAAAGCAACATCATTGAGGAATCTGTCAGCCGATGACCAGAAAGCCTGAGCTGCGACAACATCATCTTCGGAAACGGCAACCTTGCCCTTTGACATCAGCGCTTCCAAGGCATCCAATGTGACAACAGAACCCTGGATCATGGTCTTGAACAAGTCAACCGCAAAGCTTGAGGTTGACAGTGGCTCAGTAGAGCTGTGAATGAGTAGGATCTCAACCTGGTCGTATTCTTCTTTGCGTAAGACAATAAGTTCTGAAAGCATACGCTGAGCAGATTCCAAGTCAAAGTCTGCTATGACGACAAGGTGGACGAGATCGTTTGAGACGGTGTCCTTACTGGCCGGCAAGCTGGGGATCGACCCGATTGCTCCTTCGTTCAGATCTGAGATGGATGCCAGATTGACTTGTCGAATGCTGTTTTCATCTTCAGGAATGATCCATGGATTACGACGAGTGGTTGCACGAGACAAGAACACTTCAGGAACGTAGCTCTCATCATCGAGTTCGTCCTCGAAGACGGCTTTCTGTACAGTACGCAAGTCCGTGCTCACGCGTTGGCTCATCTCTTGAAGCCATTCATCAGACATTGGCAGAGGAATACCATTGACAAAGAAAGGCGGAGTGGGTCCAGATGCACCCAGACGGGCAAGATACTTTTGTGCAGATGCAACACGTGTGTTGGAGTCGTCGTTCTGCAAGACCTCTTGCAAAGGTGCTGCAATGCGATCCTTACGGATCTTACTACCCTTGGTCGTACCTTCGAATACGGATTGCACTGGACCAGAGAGTTTTCGGCCCTGACTGGACGAAAGCTAAATTGGTCAGCAGACTTCGAGAATAGCTTGCGAGAAATTCGACCGACCTTTNTGAAGGTACTGTAGAGCAACACCAAGACCGTAGGTATCGAGCAAGTGATATACAGCCTTGGCTTGTTCCGAAGATGCAGTAGAGGACGTCTTGGGTACCAGACCAAATCGAATAGGGACCTTTCTCTTCACGAAGCTTTGCAAGCTCTCAACGACCATGTCTACGTCCTTGTAATTGGCGAAATCGATTGGAAGAATAAGGTTGTGGATCTCTTTACGAACAGGAGGCAGTTGTCCAGGATATGTTCGTTGCAGCAACTTTGACGATTAGTGTTGCTCATGTTTCTATACAAGATCATGACTTACTGCTTTGACTTGAGATGGCCATTCGGCATAACGTTTGTCATGCTCGATATCATTCAACCAGATGATAACTCTGCCACCTTCAAGCTCATCTCTCCAGTCATAACGCTGAGGCTCTTGGGTTGAGGCAGCTTCCGAGATTGAAGAATGTGACAAGAGCTGCACGGCCTCTCTTCCAGTCAGGCCAAGCTCGCTAGCACTATTGATCAACTTACGCTCACGGCGCAAGTGCTCGAGCATAGCGTAAGCATCAAAGTCACGAGCCAGAATCTGGAGACCATTCACCCAGATGACATTGTATCCCGATGGCAAGAAGACTTCCCGATTGGCCAGGTGCTCCTTTCTGAACTGCTCCGAAACTTCGTGAGTAGACATGGCTGCCGAGTGCTTCGGAAAGTCCTGGGTGAGTCTCAATAAAGTCTCGAATGGATCTGCACTGTCCATGACAAAGCTGGACGCTCTCATGTCCAGTCTAATCAACTCTTTGGATGATAGTGGCTTGAGATCAGTCATATCCTCGTCCGTCAACTTAGCGCTAGAAGCATTGTTGTCTGTATCATCCGAGTCATCGGCCTTGCGGTCGTCAATGACGATGTAATCAGTCCTCTTCAAGTCGAGGGCTATACCGTATCCACTAACAGCAAGCGGGAATCCAGGCACGCTTAAAGAAGGTCTGTATCTCACTCTGTATGATGTCTTTCCAGACTTGGCAGTCAGACCGACTGTCTTGTGAAATTGGCGGAAAGAAGGAGACATAAGATCTGCGTAGAGAATGGCAGGCGTCTTGCTCTGCTTATCACCCATGATGCGGTCGAATGGAAGGTCTAGTATGCGGNNCTGCAGAACGTCAGCATTTTGACAATCATTCGAAGAACAGTCTTTGGCATACTCCTGATCTACTGAGTTTCCTGATGAGCTCGACAGGTCGGCATCGCAATATTGTTGGCCATTAAAGTGTAGCCAAGTCTCACAGTTCCTGTCCAAGCGGTTCTTGAGCGTAGGCTCTACTGTGGTTTTGTAGAATTGATAGTGTGCCTCAATCTTTGGTGCAGCAGCATGTATAGACAAGGCGTAGTCGAACGAAGAGACGTCTTCTGCTTTGGCGAGATGTCCTTCTTCTTGTAGCGTCTTCTTGAATAGGTCGTAGAGATCTTGGTCCGTCGAAGCATGATCGAAGTGGCCTTCGGCGATTCGGTCGAGCAGTGGAAAGTAAGCGGTCGCATTCTCATCTGCAGCTGTCTCNTCTGATGCTTGTCAGCTCTATTCTAACTTGGCTGCAAGGGTGTCTTACAATAGTTCTACTAGATACGGGGCAGAGTTGAATGAAGTTTTGAGTGCTACGTTGACCGTAGGGGCTGCATTGGCGCAGATGGCTTGCAGTCCAAGGACCAAGGCAGTTTTGACCGCCAGGTGCTGATATTGCACCATCCTTCCTAGCCGTAAAGCAATGTGGATGACAGACTGCCGTTTAGCTGGAAAGTTTAGTGTTGAACACGTTTATAAGCCCGACAGGCAGAGTGAGGCTCTTCAAGGAGATGTCGGTCTATATACCGCTTTGATCCAGCTGCAAATGGTAAGAATGCCTAATTCAACGAAGATAGGCTCTTTATCTACTTGCGAGCTGTGGAAGACCCGTAAGACTATAGCCACATGTCATTCCCAGATGATTGTTTGTCTTGTTTGCATATGGGGAAGCTCCTTCCGAGTTCTGCGGCCGGTTAAAGATGCCTCATATCTGGCTCATGCTCGATGCTCGACCATCATGGTGCAAAGGAGTCTCCAAAGCGATCAAATCTTGTCGTGGACTCATACAGCGACTCAGGTCAGTAAGGACATATTTGCCTTTCTGTCCACGTCAATTACCCTAGCACAGTCATAAGATTATCTACCTACCTACCTTGTTGGTGTTGTAATATTCAGGCAGACAAAGGTCGCGCCTGCCCAATTTTCGAAACTGCCTCGGTCACGGGTTTGCGCGCGTCGACGCCACCCTCAAACACGTACTCTAGGCACCCTGATGCTCATTCTTTTGACAAAACAACGACGATTCTTTTGGGTGTCTGTAAGTGGCGACCTGACCAGGTAACAACCATTCGTAATGTACGTTACTCGTCTTGTATGCTGTCAATTGGACCTCCCTGACAGTGCTCTACAGGATCGCCGTCATCGAGAAGGAGAATGTCGCACCAACGCCACTGGCCACACAAAAGCGTGCTCGCATGTATGGCGGCACCCCCATCACCGCCGACCGATTGATGAAGCCTTTCAAATGCCCTGGATCTGCAACACCCACAAGAGCCTCTGAGAAACCAGTTCGCAAGCGAAGAAAGGTCAACTACGGAGGTGCCGATGGCGAGGCCGACGATGCCGACAAGCCCTACAGCAATGACGACCGCCTCGCCCTTGCTACTCGAGATGTCAACCGCTTTCCCGTATTCAAGCCCAAGGATAAGGACCAGTCGATACGTCAACGTTTCTCGGTACCCTTCCTTAACAAGGATCCTTCCGCCTACAATTCGTCTCGCNCCCCACCTCTCCTTGGACTGCGACAAGGTGCAGTTTTTGTTGCCAAACCACTTCACGATCCCAGTGGAGAGTTTGCCATCGTACTGTACGATCCCACTGTCGACGACAAACCTGCGAAATCAATAGAAGATGCATCCAAGGAAAAAACAGAAGAACCCAAGGAGAAGGTCGACGAACCGATCATGCACAAGAGCTTGGCAGATATTTTAGGACTGAAGAAGAAGGTTGTTGATGAGCGTNCTCGGGTGCCTGTGGTCATCGACCCCAGGTTAGCCAAGGTTTTGCGACCTCATCAAGTCGAGGGTGTCAAGGTATGTTGCTCACGGTCTTGTCATTCGACCAGAAACTGATCTCTGGTTGCAGNNTTCTTATACCGTGCTACGACCGGACTCATTGACGAGAAGGCTCAAGGCTGCATCATGGCAGACGAGATGGGTCTCGGCAAAACGTTACAGTGCATCGCCCTCATGTGGACTCTCTTGAAGCAATCACCGGACGCTGGTAAGCCGACGATTAACAAGGCCATCATTGTTTGTCCCTCGAGTTTGGTTCGCAATTGGGCCAACGAGTTGGTCAAATGGCTAGGCAAGGATGCCATTAATCCCTTTGCCATCGATGGCAAGGCGACCAAAGAAGAGCTAATCCAGCAAATTCGACAGTGGTCCATTGCATCAGGTCGTGCCATCATTCGCCCTGTTATAATCGTATCTTACGACACGCTGAGACTCTACGTGGACGAGTTTAGAGAAACGCCCATTGGACTGTTGCTCTGTGACGAAGGTCACAAGTTGAAGAACGCCGACAGTCAGACTTTCATGGCTCTGAATGGTCTCAACGTACAGAAGCGAGTCATCTTGTCCGGCACACCCATTCAGAACGATCTCACTGAATACTTCTCGCTACTCAATTTTGCCAACCCCAACTACCTTGGTACGAGAATGGACTTCCGCAAANAGTTCGAGCTTCCTATCTTGCGTGGTCGCGACGCAGGTGGTTCCGATGCCGACCGCAAGAAGGGTGACGAGCGATTGAGCGAGCTCTTGACTTTGGTCAATAAGTTCATCATCCGCCGCACCAACGATATCTTGAGTAAGTACTTGCCAATCAAGTACGAGCACGTCGTTTTCTGCAACATGGCGCCTTTCCAGAAGGACCTTTACAACCATTTCCTGCAGTCTCCCGACATCAAGAGTTTGTTGAGGGGCAAGGGTAGTCAACCTCTCAAGGCTATTGGCTTGCTCAAGAAACTTTGCAATCACCCTGACCTACTAAATCTTCCCGACGATCTGCCTGGTTGCGAAAACACGTTCCCCTCGGACTTTGTACCCAAGGATGCTCGTGGTCGTGACAGAGATGTCAAGTCATGGTACTCGGGCAAGATGCAAGTGCTCGATCGCATGCTTGCACGCATCAGAACCGAGACCAACGACAAGATTGTTTTGATTTCGAACTACACGCAGACTCTCGACGTCTTCGAGAAGCTTTGTCGTGCAAGAAACTACGGCAGTCTCAGACTCGATGGCACCATGACTGTCAACAAGCGTGCAAAGCTGGTGGACAAGTTCAATGATCCCGAAGGCAACGAATTCGTCTTCCTGTTATCTTCCAAGGCAGGTGGGTGTGGTCTCAACTTGATTGGTGCCAACCGTCTCGTGCTTTTCGACCCTGATTGGAACCCAGCAGCAGATCAACAGGCACTTGCACGTGTCTGGCGTGATGGACAGAAGAAGGACTGCTTCGTGTACCGCTTCATCGCGACTGGAACGATCGAGGAAAAGATCTTCCAGAGACAGTCTCACAAGCAGTCACTGTCATCGTGTGTCGTGGATTCGGCAGAGGACGTGGAAAGACATTTCTCGCTGGACAGTCTCCGTGAGCTCTTCCAGTACCGACCCGACACGACAAGTGATACGCACGACACGATCAAGTGTAAGCGTTGCAAGGACGGCAAGCAGTTCATCAAGGCGCCTGCAATGCTCTATGGTGACACCAGCTCGTGGAACCACTTTACCAACGATGGCGAGCAGGGAGCATTGGGCAAGATTCAAGATCTGCTGCTCAGACAGGAGTGCTCGGAGGATGCAGTCAGTGCTGTGTTCCAGTACATCAGCCATTAGTTGATGGGAGGCTTCTCGATAGACATGGGATTATGGCTTGATATGTTAATGATTGTGCATGGTGCATTGAGCGTGGCTAGGTAGCATTTGATGAATTGAAAGGACTACGATATAAAGGTCATGACTATCCCTACATATGCTTGTGTTGGTTTAAAGTTGTAAGCAGATGTCTCGGCAAGAGCAAGAGCGAGGGCGAGCGTGGGGGCAGACTCGAAGGGTTCGGACCGAGGAGTTGGGGAAGACAGGGTCTGTGCAGAGACACTGCAATTATTTCTTTATGGCAAGTACGATCGAGCATGGGAAATACATCATCGCAGCCAGGAACTCAACACGCTGCCGTCGTATCGCAGCTTCTTTCTTCGAGTCCGCCTGATCAAGTTGATCGAGGTGTGTTCTACACAAACCTCAGTTGTTAATCGTGGCGCGCTCTGGTCAACTAACGACGCGTCGCAGTCATCACACGCACCCTGATCATGGAGTCACCCCAGGTCGACATGGCCACCGTCCAAACGCCAGGCACTGCTAAGACCAAGGCCGGCAAGCTGAAGACATATGCCAAACAACGCGCCAGCTCGGGCTCCGAGCCAATGAGAAGCAGCGCGCGCATCCGCGCAGCCTCCGAGGAGATTGGAGAGCAGCACACTCCTGCACGACCAGACATTCCGCAAACAATCGACGAAACCCCCGTCCAGGCAAAGGCTGCCAGGAAGACTCGCAAGCGCAAGGCCGACGCTGCTGCTCCTGCTGCCGAGGAAGCCATGGCCGATGACGCTGCCGCCGCCCTGGAGGAGATCGCAGAGAAGCCTGCCAAAACCCGCAAGCGCAAGTCAAAGAAGCAGTCTATCCGGGCCGAAGAGGAGCAGGAGGTTGAGGTGCCAGAGACACAGGAGCCCGACGAGGATCTTATCAACCAAGACTCTGGAGAACAGCCTTCAGAGCTCGAGCAACAAGCGTATGAAGATGCTGCAGAGGAAGAGCCTGAGGCTGAGGCTGAGGCTGGTGCTCTGGACGCAGAGCCCGAGGAACCCGTGGACAACACTGAAGGCGACATCAGCCAGTTCGAGGTTCCGCCGGATTCGNGACAACGACATGGAGCAATCTCAACCCTCATCAGCAAAGCCAAAGACAAAACGCAAGNNCGACAATCTACCGAAAACGGCGAGTCTCCTGCAACAACAGTCAAACGCGTCAAGCGATCCTCAATGCCTCGAGCTTCTGTTGGTGACTACCCTGAGCAAGGCCCATTCACACCCGTCGAGTGTGATATGATCGAGACTCACATGTTGATGTTCTGCCGCGACCTTAACTTGTCGCGCGATCAACTCATCGGTCTGATCCAGTCCTCTTCACGCGACATGAGCAAAGTCTACGTCGACCTCGCTACCGACGTCCTGCCACACCGCAATCGTCGCGCCGTGCAACGCCNNTACTGCCGCCGGCACTACAACAACTTCCAACGCGGCCGCTGGACCGAGGAACAAGACGAACTACTGCGCACCGCATACGCCGAGACTCCCAACAAATGGGTCAAGATTGGTGAGCGCGTGGGCCGCATGCCAGAGGACTGCCGCGACCGCTGGCGCAACCACGTCTCGCTCGACCAGCGTCACACGGACGTCTGGACCCAGGATGAAGAGCAGAAGCTCGCCAACGCCGTCAGTGAATGCCTGCGCGCCGTCCAAGCAACCATGGACACGACTCTCAGCCGTGAGATCGAAGACGACTACATTGCCTGGAATGTGGTCGTGCAGAAGATGAACGGCAGCCGCAACCGCTTGCAATGCAGCATGAAGTGGCGCAAGATCAAGGCCCGCGTCATCCGCGAAGAAAACGCACAACGCGAACGCGAAGCCGCCATTGAGCGCGGCGACATCATCCGCGAGCCAGAGGAACTCTACGACGACGGCATGACCTCCCCTCACACCACCACCCGCTGGAAAGCCGAAGCCGCCCGCCGCTTCGACGAAATGACCGTCGGCGATATGCTCGACGTCACCCGCGAAACCCTCTACGGCGCTCAGATGGGCGCTTTCTCCTCCAAAAACACCTTCTGGGCCGTGGTCACACGCTTGCACGGCGGTTCTCCCTGGACAACCGCCGACCGCAAGATCGTGTACAAGCGCATGCGCGAGAATGTTGGCGATGTTCACGACTTCAAGAGCAATCTCGAGAACCAGGTGGCATGGCTGGAGAGCCATTTCGACCCTGAGGCACTGGCCGTGCGCACGGCACCCAGACATCGCTTGCAGCACAATGGCAGAAGAAGCACAGGTACCTTCCGCAGCGAAGAAAAGGTGCAAGAGAGTGATGAAGAGGGAGACTTGACCATGCCTTCTCTGGGCGTTGAACAGCAGATCAACGAGGAAATGGCAGATGCTGTTTCTCATGCTGGCGACGATGCCAAGTTCGGTGCTGACGAGGAGGCGGAGATGAATGGAAATGGTAATGGTTATGTTGATGAGCAGGACCAAGAGCCCGAAGTGCCAGAGTCAGAACATGAGGAGGCGGATTATAACTGATCATTCAAAGGTAAGCAAGGGAAACTGCGGATGTTGTTTCTCGCCACAGCGGAAGATTCAGAGGCGGATGGAAAGAACGGTCGAAAGAAGAGAAGCAGGCGTATCAAATGTTTCTATGGAGTGTCCATGACTAGGCGTGGGTCTTGCCTTTAATCCCCCCCTGCTCAAAGCTTGTTGCTTTTCTGCCTTTCTAATATCCCCCAAAAGAATGCAAAATCGATACTCAAAATATTCTACATCTTCTACAGACACTTATGCTTTGGCTCATCCCACGGACATACTATCTGGGGCATCAACGAGATTGAGGAAACCAGAAACGTAGAGCTGAGCTGTCAGAAGCCAAGCCGAGCGGCGATCCGAGCTGATTGTCCTATTCTTGATCAATCCCCGATCCTTTTTTGAAAATCGTGCATCCGATTGCCATCCTCTGCGACTTGCAGGGATGAGCGTGGAGCGGGGTGCCGAAAGTCGAACCTTTGCAAGAATCCTTCCGACATTCGCGGAGCTCGAGTGAGAGAAGTACATCGCCAAGGCGTAAATTTGTATGAGATCCTGCCGCATTCACCGGGCCATACCAAAATGTCACCTTTGCATCTGCTAAATCAACAAGATGGTCTGTGAAGAACATATAAACCCAACACTTTCCCGTGAAAATGTCTCCAACAACCAGAGCTCGATTCTGAACTCATTTAAACAACTCTTGTGTTAATTCACCAGCTTGTCAGACCTCACAATGTTCGAAGATGCTGCCAAGGAGGCCGTCCAAGGAGTTAGAGGGATTCTGGACGACAACAATGTCGCTGCCGGTGTGCACGCCGCCATTCAGGCACTTAACTCAGTTCGGGATGCCAATCTTGGCCACGGAGTTGATGCTTTCTCGAAGACCATGGGGAAGATCGAGGGCTTGGATCTCGACAATGCCGTGACGAACATTGCTACAGCTGCTGGCGAGACTGCGGCGACTATGAGAGTCACACAAGGCTTGATCCGAACCGCCCAGGGTCTGGTATGTGTGACTGCCGCTGGTCAAGTCATCGGCATCCCCTTAGCATTGCTCAACACCCGCAATCAGTACAACGAGGCCAACGCTAGGGCGAGATTGGCCGACTCACACGTCCTCCAGGCACAGATGGGCTTCGAAGATCGACATCTCGGCTCAACTCATGCCCGTAGGGCCGATCTCTTATTGGAGCTGTGTGCATTCTTTGCCCGCCAGATTAGAGAACAGGTTGTGCAATCCCCACTGACAGTGACCGTCAAGACTCTCATTGTCGGAGCATACACAAATGACCTGCCATCTATTCAGAGTCTAGCAGAAAAATCTGATCAGGATTTGCGAGACCTCTTCATCAGTCTCACTACGCCTTCGTACGACACTCTACAACAAGCTGCCGATGCTGCCGCGGAGCATGCGAGCAACCATGAGTCACAAGACACACTCTATATCTTTCTTCTGGTGGGAACTCGTGACTCTACGCCGACTACCGAGAAAGTACACCAAGTTCATTTCCCACCGGGACTCGGTCCAAACCACGTCTTTATCGTTGGTCTGGGTGGCCGAGCGGATTGTAACCTACATGCCGTCAGCGAGCATGCGACGGTTCAGATAGATGACGCCAGGAAACATTTCCACGAACAGATTCGGGATGATCACTTGCGTGGTGTATCGATTCGCAGAAGTGGTTCTCTACTGCCGGAGCCTTTCAGATGGCCAACCCTTGGAGCAATGGCTGGAGCGACTGCTCAGTGGGCTACTCTTTCCTTTGCTCTGCCCAAGACAGCTGCTGCAGTTCTTCTTGTCGGGCCTGGATTTGGCTTTGGTGTCTTAGGTGGCGCAGCAGTGTATGGTGGTAAGAGAGGTGTCGAGTGGTACCTTAGACGTCGACAAGACCCTGAAGAGTGAAGGGTCACAAGCGGTCAAGTTACTCGCTCACTCCGTTTTACTTGCCAATTTATTTGACATGTTCTCTGTTTGAATACAATTCCTTATACAACCTAATCAACTCTTTTCAGCTCCACTCCTCCAAAGCGAAAGCCTCCTTGCCAGCTTCCGTTATCGATGCTGGAAACAACAAACACAGGCGGATGTCCTTCAACTATCCTGAAATCTTCTTTGTCTTCAATTGCGATCCACCCATTGTCAATGTTGTCGAGATACACACGCGATCCAATCCATGTATCCACCCGAGGAGACATTGGCCCCTGAGGACTCAACACTTGATCGGCAATATGATCATGACCAATACGATAGTCTATCGGATAGTCCCTGACACGGGCGGGATGTCGACCGTAACCAACACTCAGCCTCAGCGTTGGATGTCCGGGGTAGGAGATGGCATCCGCGCCTGGCCATCTTGGGAAGCCAAACAAGTTGACAATACGATCGCGCGAGGAGCCACGTGAGCTCTGTTCCTCTCGCTCTTTTTGATCTATCATACCGTTGTCGATGGTCCGAGGCTTGGGGTCAAAAAACTGCAGGTGCCATCGGACTTTATACATGCCTGGTTGCAGCGACATCGTCGGGAAAGTCCCCACTCTAGGACAACCAAGATCAAGATAGCCCTGCTAATTCAGTATAGATGCCCTATGGTATGCCAAATCTGGAGCCACTCACGTATAATGTGCAGATCCGTCGGCATGTCAGCACATCAGCATCAGACTTGATTGTCGATCTGACTGCATCGTTTTGGGGTGTCTTTGCTCGTTGTTTGGTCCAAAACCACCGCATTATTATCTCTTGTATCCAGTCTGGTATCTCGCACTCGGAAGGGTATTGTCCTTGGTTAATGACGGGTGTCAAACCGAAAATAGACCAGAGCCTAAGCTCGAGCTTCAGTCACGTACAAGTGGGTTCGAAAGATGACAGGTGATTCTCACACATCCTCTAACTCTCTTCGTACAAACAAAGGACTCCACACATTGCTGCATTCCTCTGCCTTTTCCACGTAAAAGTACTGTCGTCTGTAGCACTCTAACTTCTTGTCTTCTCTGGTGTTGTAGTTTGCAGGTGCTGGTTGATACTCCTCAGACTTATCCCATCCATGTTCATCGGGAGCGTGCTTGAACACAAAGTCAGTAGCCCGAAAGAACAAGTCCACTTCAGAACGAGTGCAGAATAATCCCTTTTTCACACAGGCTTCACAAAAATTGAATCGAGCCGGTGGGTTTGGGTCAACGCACGGTTTGTGTAACTTGTGACATGTCTGGCAGATAGACATGCTATTATCGATTGCAGATGAGTGTAGAGAACATTTTGCGGTCGTGTTGGGGATATCGTCTTTGTATACCAAAGTTGTTGGTTTTGAGCCACTCACGCAATCGTGCAGTATAGGTGCAGCCGGCATCAGCCACTCCTACTTCGGCGACCGTGATACTGGATCATGGTCAAGGAAAAGAATATGGTCCGTACGGTGTTCAATCTATTCATCCTGCTGTATGCTCTGTTTCTAGAGCCAGGCAGATATACAAATTGTAAAACAAAGATCGACTTCTTTCTTGATCGAGTTCAAAAGGTAGAGAAATATTGCAACAGGGTCATACTGCAAGCATTGGGACTTGAGTCAAACCAAAACCTCGACAACACATCTTTCAAAACCACTCTACGCGATTCGAGTATTTGTTCGTCCCAATTGATTCAAAGAGCAGATACCGTATGAAGGATAAGGAGAAGATGAAGTTGAAATTGGAATTGAAATTGATGAAAATATGTGACAGAAGTGATAAACATATATTCATTAGGTAGATGGACTTTTTATCCATAAAGACAATAAACTCCTTCGCTGTTCGTAAAACTAAAACCAATGCTTTCCAGACCCCAGCGCCGAGGGTCGGCTCCCCTTTTGTGGAACGTGGGCGACAACATGTCTTATCTCCTCAAAACGTTCCGGTATCCTGCTGTCATGCCACGAACACCTGTTCGGTGGCGTCTATGCCAAACGACCTAGGCCTAACCTGGCCTATGTATATGCAACTGGTCTTGTAGGACCCTTCCAATACAGTAGAAAGAAGATAAAAAACGATCAAACAACTTTTGTAATGGTCATGTTCGTTTAAAGCTTGGAAAGGTGGGAAGCGAGTTCCTTGACCTCGTCCTGAACCTTCTTGCCCTCGGTGAAGGGGTCGTACATGCGCGTCTGGACGTACTCGGTCAAGGCCTTGTCGTCCATGTTGCGCAGGCCGAGCTCGCGGTCGACACCAGCCTTCTGGGCAGCACGGATGACACCGCAGGTGACAACGACGCTGACCTCACGGATGCGGCGGATGTCGGGGTACATCCAGTTCTTCTCAATCTCCTCAGGGAGGAGAGACTCCGAGAGGGCCTTTCCAGAGGCGTAGATCATGGACTGAGTGACGTTGACGGACTTGGACAGGATAGCACCGAGTCCGATACCAGGGAAGACGTACATGTTGTTTCCTTGACCAGGCTCAAGAGTCTGACCGTTGTACTCAAGGGCAGGGAAGGGGGAGCCGGAAGCGAAGAGGACGCGGCCCTCGGTGTACTTGATGGCGTCCTCGAAAGTGCACTCGGACTTGCTGCTGGGGTTGGACAGGGGGAAGATGACGGGCATCTTGTTCAGCTCGGCCATACGCTTGATGATCTCAGGAGTGAAGGCACCACCGATGGTGCTGAGACCCATGAGGATGGTGGGCTTGACGTACTCGATGACGTCCTCGAGAGTCTTGTATTGCTGGCCGTCATTGTCGTCACGAGAGAAGTAGAGCTTGTGCTCGGCAAGCTTGTCGCCACGGTCGTTGGTGATGAGACCCTTGGAGTCGACCAGCCAGAAGCACTTTCTGGCCTGGTCCTCGGTGAGACCCTCGTTCATGAAGAACTCAACGAGCTGCTTGGCAACACCAACACCGGCAGAGCCAGCACCGAAGAAGACGGCACGCTGGTCGGCGGCGGCAACCTTGGACTGCTTGACACCGTTGATGAAACCACCAAGGATGACAGCACCGGTACCTTGGATGTCGTCGTTGAACATGGTGTAGGTGTTCTGGTAGCGCTCGAGCGAAGGGAAGGGGTTCTTGAAGTCCTCGTACTGGATGACGATACCGGGCCAGCGCTCGGTGAGGGCGGCCATGAGCTCATCGAGGAACTCACGCTCCTCATCGGCGGTGACCTTGTCACGTCTGCTGCCCATGTACAGAGGGTCGTTGCGGAGCTGCTCGTTGCTGGTGCCCAAGTCGAGGGTCAGGGGAAGAGTGGCATCGGGTCTGATACCGGCGCAGGCAGTGTAGAGAGCGAGCTTGCCGACAGGGATACCCATGCCGTTGATACCAAGGTCACCGAGACCAAGGATACGGGAACCGTCAGTGACGACGGTGATCTCGACGTTGTGGGGCCAGTTCTGGATGATGGAGTGGAGGTTGCCCTTGTCGGAGAAGGAGAGGTACATGCCTNNGGAGGGCGTTAGAATGGAGTAGATGCGTTTGGCAGACAGAGAGAACTTACCCTCGGGCTGGGTGTAGAGTTCTGACCATCGCTGGCAGGCCTCGCCGACGGTGGGAGTGTAGATGACGGGNGTGATCTCCTTGACGTTGCCAGACAAGAGACGGTAGAAGAGGTTGACGTTTGTGTTTCTCAGGTGGGTGAGGTATTGGTACTTGTCGATGGGATTTTGCTTGTTCTCAAGGAGCTGAAGGCATCTCTTTTCTTGTGTCTCGAAGCTCTCGACGGCGGGAGGGGTCAGGCCGTATGTGCGGAGGTACTTGCGGACCTCGATGGGGTATGCGGTGTCGTAGTCGGCGCTTNNCTGAGGGAGGGTTAGAGCCGGGGACGCTTCAATGGCTGCCAGAGAGGAATCTACTTACGATTGTCTTGATGAGACGGCAGGAGGGTTGCTCTGGACAATGTTTGCTGCGGGAGCAGGGGCAATTGAGGCGGAGGAAGACATGGTGGACGAAGTGTGAAGGAATGCAGATGGGCGGCGGCAAGAGGTCGAGGGCAGGGGGCGTTTAAGTAGGCAACGGAGCACGCGAGATGAGGATAGAGACATAGAGATGAGGAATTCAGGCTAAAGCAGCCAGCGGTCAGCAATTTATAACCTCTGATGAAACGAAAGAAAAGGTCGCCCAATGTCGGAAGAGGTTTTGTTCGGCATATGAGGCCTTACGAAAATACATTCTGAGGCAGTTGCCTTCTAGACGATATAGCTCCACCAAAACTTATACCATCCCCAGCCTGTGTGGGGTGCCGATGACTCGGCCCGGTCGCTCTTGCCCTACGCCGGGTGCCCAGTCCGACCTCCTTCCCAAAAGCTGCTGCAACGACCTCAATTGAATTCTCGTCCGCGACTTGTCCTCAAGTTTATGAATGGTTTTGCATGCTTCCTTTTGCTTTGTCTCGTGCACCTCTCCAAAAATGTCGAGTTACACGTCTTAATTGCCGCTATTTGTTTTCCGAAGTCGCAAAGCCGTGCGCAACCGTAACAGCGACCCCCACGCCCTCCGATTTTTTCCGCTCAAGGGATATTTTCAGACTAGTCGTCGTCGCTCGTTGCGTCGGCCTTCTTCCCATCTCTTCCCGTGACTTCCAAAGGTCATCTTCCCCTGATCTCCGTTTTCCATCCCATCTCCAGACCTCCTCCTGTGTCGGCCGGTGCTTTGTGATATAGGACGGGCCGTGTTCCATATCGCCATCGAGTGCAAACCACTCAGCCGTTGCGGGAGGCATCCTCTGAACTCTGAATGTCACTGTTTTCCTACGAGCCTGTTCTCACATGCATTTCCCCGCAATGACGACAATATCATGACGGACTTTGTACGTTTGCCCTCGTGCGTCGCAGCTGCCTGCCGCTTGCTTGCTACACATTGGATCTCTCATAGTCTTTGCCTATCCACCCTCAATTGATACATTTCAAACCTCCACTCGCTGTAACTAATCTTCGTCCGGTCATCCCTGCAGTCACCATGTCGTCCTGCCTCGGATTCCGCAAGTCAAAGTCTGACGACACAGAGCCTTTGCTACCCCAGTACCGCGATGACACGATCCTTCAGCGCGAGCTGCACCAGAAGCTTCACTCATATCAGATGATCAGAGCCCTGGCCGATGGATACATGCCCTCGAATGAACAGCTGGTCATCAACCTCAGATCTTTGCTCTCTTCCGATGTCTTGAACCCTAGCGACCCAAACCTCAGTGATTCGGGAAGACGCCTAGCCAAGTTCACAAAACAGTGGCTCAAGGACTTTATCGAACTGCTTGTGCACAAGAACAGCGAGGATCAGATCCAGGATTTCATCTGGTCCTTGACTCAGTCCAGAGTCAAAGTCGACGTCGAGGATCTAGCTCAGAGAGCCTACAAGGCTCAGTCAAAAGCCAAGACTGCCGCTGGTGATTACTACCACAAGCAATCTCGTTCATGATCTACGCTGACTCTGCACANNGCTTACCAGAGCCTTCAAACGGTTGGATCCCTTCTTCTCACCAACTCTGATTTCCGCATCTTCCTCTCTGATCTGAGCACTGTCGGCCGTGAGGTTTTCAAGGATGCTGCTTTCTCGCTATCAAACGTCGCAGAAGAGGCGGGCAAGAAGATTGAGCCATCGCAACAAGAACAAGCCAAGTTGACAGAGCCTGGCGCCGACTCTGGACCCCCACCCTCCGGCAAGGACCTTGGAAACGACGTCGCAGATGTAGGCAAGGTTGTAGCAAACGGAGTCGCTCAGGTCGCTCAGGACACCGAGCAGAGTGCCGAGGAGAAGCTCTCTGGTGATGAAGGTCAAGTCATGTTGAATCGCTTGAAGCAGGCAGTCATGCAGCTCAGAAAGCGTCCTGACTACAACGAATCTGTCTCTACCATATCGACCCTGCTCAAGCGCTACGCTATTGCTTACTCCCGCTCGGTCGAGGAGACTGTCAACGCTCTTGAGGAGGACGTACACGAGAACGCCGCTATGGACAAGGCTGGAAAGAACTTCTGGTCTCTAGTCTCCTCTTTCGGTGACCGTGAGGCCTGGAAGAAGCTCGAGGAGACATTCAAGAAGGTCGTTTCGCACTCCGAAAAGGATCCCGACTTTGAAAACCTCATGGTCGATATCGGCAACTCGCTTCAGACTCTTCTTACTGATCCCAACTTCTTCGACACTGCTCGCGAGAAGTTCGATGAATTGCGTGAGAAGTCCAAGAAGGTTGGCTCGGAATCTGATCTCCGTACCGATATCGACAACTTCCTTGGACAGCTTCAAGAAACTTTGGTCTCTGTGCTGCACGACGAAGACGTGGCTAAGCTCATGCAGCACACTCTCAAGATTTTCCGCATTCTGTCGCCTCTCCACAACGCTGCTAACCCCGAGCTCATCACTGATGCCATCAACACCTTCATTCCTCTGATGATTGCTGCCATTCAGTACGTTCCCATCCCTCGTCTGGAGATCAGCACTCCCGATATTGATCTCTTGCTCGAGAACCTTATCATCGAGCCTGGTAAGACGGTCAATCACACCTCATTCTTGCCTTACAAGCTCCGCGTCGAGACCTACAACGACTTTGAGATTCGCAAGGCCAGATTCCGTACTACTTCTACATCGTCTCACTTGGTGACCATCAAGATTGATGGTATCTCTGCCCGCGCAGAGGAAGTTGGCTTCTGGATGCGCGCTCACTCTGGTCTTTTCAGATTGGCTGACGAGGGAATCACCTCATTCGCTCTCGACGAGAAGGGCTTGGACATTCACCTCGATGTTGAGATTGCAAAGGACAGAATGGAGTCGATGCTCAGCCTCAAGGCTGTTCGCGTCAACGTGCACAAGCTTGATTACACCTTGCGCAAGAGCAAGTTCTCCTGGCTCGCTTGGCTCGTCAAGCCCATCCTCAGACCCATTGTTCGCAAGGTCATGGAGAAGCAGATTGCTACTGCTATCGCAGACGCTTTGCACACAGCCAACCGCGAGCTACTGTACGCACGTGAGCGCCTGCGTGCTACTCGTGTTGCCGACCCCAACGACCTTATCACCTTCTTCAAGGCAGTTGCTGCACGCCTGCAGCCCGAGGAGGACCCAGACCTCTACACTCGCGTTGGCATTGCTCAGCCTGGCAAGGGCGTCTTCAAGGGTAAGTACGCACCTGGAAGTGTGGTCAAGCTTTGGAACGAAGAGGCTGCTCAAGCCGAGGAGAGAATCGAGGACGGCTCAGAGATCAGAGGCTGGAGAAACGATGTTTTCAGCTTGTTGGCTGTTTAGATTGGCGGCACATGATATTGACGAGTTACGAGGAACATGCTTTCGGATGAGATGGAAAGTTTGCACGAAACTGCAGACAGGTGAAACGAGGCACGAGAATCAACAGAACGAACTGTATTGTAATTCGAATTATTCAATTTTAGTCGATAGCGAGCACAATTGTCATGGCATTTCTTATCGTTCATCTTCACTTACTGTTCAATTGAATGTCACCGGCGTGCCAGCAATCTATAAACTTACGTCATCGCGAACAGCTTAGTGGCTGGTAAGCAAGCCTCAATTATTTTTACGACCTTGTTCGTTGTGCTCATAACATGCAAACCTTTCTTCCGGACCAGAGAAGATTTTGACCAGGTAAACAACCGGGAGTTTGAACATTTCTCATCCCTCTTACACGAACCCCCGACAATCACCATGGCGTTGACTACACCTGATCCCGAGCACCTCTACGGTTTGGTTGACATGNGGAAGGTAAACCATTTTTTCTTTTGTTATCTCTCTCTATTCGGAAACATCAAAAGAAATGGAAAAGTGTCAGAAGTCAAGAAAAAAAAAGAGATACTTAGAAATTGAGGGCTCTGTTGAAAGAAGAGAAAGAGTAACCACGTCCCGACCATGAACTGACAAGTTAAATTCCATAGCAATGGCATCCGCTTTTCCATCACCGACCTCTCACCACCGACAACGAGAATTCTACCTACACTGTACACCTCTCGCGCTGGAATCTCACTCTACGATGCGCAATACTCTTCCACCGGCACACGCATCCCCATCCCAGACCAGACGATCCAAAAAGTCGTCGACAAACTCATGCACTTCAAACGCACATGCAGCGATTTTTGCGTGCCCGAGCAAAACATTACAGTACTCGCCACCGAAGCCACCAGGACGGCAGTAAACTCTGAAGACTTTAGGGCCGCAATCAAAGACAAGACTGGATGGGAGGTCAAGATGTTGAAGAAGGAGGATGAGGGCAAGGTGGGTGCGTTGGGTGTAGCGACGAGTTTGGGCGAGGTCAAGGGACTGGTTATGGATCTGGGGGGTGGGAGTACGCAGTTGACTTGGTTGGTTAGTGATGCGAAGACGGGAGAGATCAAGATGCCCGAGGGAGGGGCGGTGAGTATGCCGTTTGGAGCTGCTGCGCTGAGTAGGCGATTGCAAGAAGCTGAACATGCAGGAGAGAAGGCGAAGAACGCGTTGGAGCAGGAGGTCAAGCAGACCATCACTGAAGCGTTCAACAGCTTGAGTATCCCTCACGAGCTGCAAGAGTTGGCGAAAGAGCAGGGAGGTTATGCCTTGTACCTCTCCGGCGGCGGGTTTAGAGGCTGGGGCTTTGTGCTCATGAGCGAGCACGCCGTGTCTCCATACCCCATTTCTCTGATCAACGGCTTCTGTGCGGACAGAAGCTCTTTCTTGGATACGACGTCTGTCAAGGCCGCGGTATCCTCACACCTGGATGAACAAGACGACAGCGCCATTTTCCGCATTTCTCAACGACGAGCCACCCAAGTGCCCGCCGTGGCTTTCCTGGTCACCGCATTATCACAAGCCCTTCCGCACATCAAAGAAGTTCGTTTCTGTCAAGGCGGCGTCAGAGAAGGCCACCTCTTCTCCAATTTACCTCGACAAGTACGCGCTCAATCGCCAGTAGTGGTCGCCACCACCTCTCACGCGACACCCGGATCTGCTCACCACGCAAACCTCCTGCTGTCCGCCATCCCTTCTGATACGCTTGCTTCTACGGGGTTGACGCCTGCTCTCCTCACCGCGTTTGCAAATCTTTCCNCCCACTATTCGTCGCATCCAAAGGATATCCGTGCAGCGGCGGCTCTGAGGTCGACGACTACTGGATTACTTGCCCAAGCCCACGGTCTTTCTCATCACGAACGCGCTTGTCTGGCTTTACTGCTCTGTCACCGTTGGGGCGGTTCTCGCGATCTTCCTCCCGTGGATACACCTTTCTTTTCCTCTTTGCAGGCACTCATCGGTGCGGCAACGTCTTGGTGGTGTGGATACCTTGGTACCGTGGCCGCTCTCATCGGTGCGGTATATCCTTCCGGCAGAGGTAATGAGGTCATGGCTCTTTCCTCTGCGTGGAGTACTTCTCACAAGCACGGAGAGAAAATGTTGGTACTCAGCACAAGAGATAATCAAGCTTCCTCTTCTCTCCACTCCATCGTACCAGACGAAATGGAAAAAGTCGAAAAGTGTGGCAAGAAGAAGAATTGGGTTGGTGGCAAAGAGGGCTATGGGTTCAAAGTTCAGGTGCAGTAAAATCATATTGGAATAGAACTTTTTTCATAACAAGGACAAAAAAGATGCAGAAAAAAAAATCAAAGGTTTGGGAATGGATACCTTTACTTTATTTTGCTTCAATCAGTACAGGTGCCGGCGGATCTGGCTAACTCGGTCTTTATCCCATAGAACCTCTGATATCGTGTGATAAGAGCAGGGATCTTGGAATCAGGGAGCAGAAAGCGACTACAACAGTTGATGAACTTCCAGGTACAATTTGTTTGCAGGTTTGATCTCAAATTACGGCGACATGCTAGGCGAAAGAGAAGCAAAAGACTGTTCTGACAATGGAGATCAGAGTACAGCAATCAAGGTCTTTGGCTGATCAGCGGATGGATTGAGAATCTCGCACATTCGAGTTAGCCATTTGTCTTGTAATTGTATGTTTCTCGGTAGCAAAAGCAAGTGTAGTATCATATCATGTCTCCTTCCCATCATCAAGTATATCCCCAGCAATATGAAAGTGTTATCCGTCCATAGCTATTCTTGCAGCAGTGACTCCATCGTTCATTCGTCCCGGTCGTTATAGGTCGTGTTTTAGCCATTCAAGGTCTGTCTCATCATCTGTCATGGTGTTGTATGTCGTACGTGTATGTGTGTCGAGTAGCGTCGGATCGAAGAGCAAGAGTTTTAGCGGAGACCTTGCTCGGTGCGCTTGTTGAAGGTACGAAGAGCCTTTCCACCTTCGCTCAGAGCATGCTTGGCCAGCTCTCCTGAGAGGATGAGCTTTGTGCTGTCAGACTGGAAGTTAGTACAATGAAAGGTGAGAGAGGATATGAGGATACATATCAAAGTAGGAATGAAGAACAAAGGCAACGATGAAATAGTCAAAGGAGAGAGAATGAGGTATGTCACTTACGCAGTCTGGATGTCATGAGCCTGCAGAGTAGCCTTCTTCAACTTCTTGCACAGGTCAGATGCGAGGTCTGCAATGCGAAGGCAGAGATCTGTATTGCAGTGTTAGATATGCTGCATCAGGACAAGTCTGGTTGTTACTAACCCTTGATGAAGTCACCCATGATCTGCATTGCAGTCTTGGTCATTGCGCAGTCTGGATGAACTTGTTTCTGAACTGAAAGAGTGTCAGTCAATCATTGGTACACACAAAAAGCGTCAAGATTGAATGGGTAGACAAACTCTTGTGGATGTAGGCCTGAAAGTTGGTAGGGTCGTGCTTGCGCTTGCGCTTTCTCTTACTGCCATCACCAGCCTTGCCACCGTTGGCAGGAACCTTCTTTCCTGCGGGCTTCTTCTTGGAGGAGACTTTGGTCTCAACCTCATCAGCAGAGGAGGCAGCAGTGTCGGCTCCAGAGGCTGCGGCGCCATCGGCGGTAGAAGCCATCGTAGCATCGGCAACATTACTGTGAGCACTGCTCGAAGGATCATCGGCATCAGGCTGGGCGTCGCCGTCGACCTGGGTCTCTGCGTCAGGCTGGGTAGCCTGCTCCTGACTGGCTTGGACGGGTTCAGCCTGCGTATTTGAGATGGCACGCTGGGTTTGTGAAGCAGTAAGCTTCTTTGCGAACTTGGGAGGCATTGTTACGGTTGTAAGAAGTGTGAGGAGGGCGCCGTGACTTGATACACGTGAACAAAGAAGATGATGGACAGGTAGAGTTAACAAACACGTAAGTTGGGAGGATGAAGGTGTCGGAGAAGGAAGTGGTTGGCGCAAGAGAGAAAGAGAAAATGTGTGTAGGAGGTGAGTAGCTGCTCAGTCTTTTGTCGAGGTGGTCACGCTCCAAACAGCGAGACCACTACTTGACCGGAAAGGAAAGAGCTACCCCGTATGATAGCCCTCGGCGGCGAGGTGTACCTTCCTCGAAGTGGTTCTAGTACTTGGTAAGTCCTAGTGAACGATATGCATTGCCCTGTGAGGATGATACGCGTTTCCATCTGTACAGAGTCTACAACATAGAGTCAAGTCTCAAGTCTGTGATTAATAGATCAACAATGCAAATCGTCGTTATGCTTGCATCCAAGCCTGGCTAATGCTACATGGCCTGCCAACGCCTATTGAAGCATGAATTCCTGCTAAAGTACAGTAGAACGATCCTATATCCTTGAAACACCAATGCACACGTACCATAAATTCACCTCTGCAGCTCTCTCAATGCCCTCTTCATGCTTTCGAGCCTGGCTTTTNNCTCCTTGACGACCATGCCCTTAGCAAGGTCTTTCAGCATGCGTTTGCCAAACTTGACGTGCTGCTCTTGCCAACCAGCCAATTCGGCTGCGACAGTCTGTTGTGTGTAGCGTAGCTCGCTGCCGAGAGACTCAAGCTCACCTTGAGCCTTTGATGCCTTCTCTTCGGCTTCAGCTGCGATCGACCGCCTTGTCTCGTCAAACAGTCCTATATTTGGTGTCCAGCGGGATTGCCTGCTAAGCGAGCCCAATGCTCTCTCGATGTTTCTCCTGGCTTGGTTCATACTACCGATTAGGCTTGTAGGTCGCCCGAGAGCAACTAGAACCGCTGTTGATGAATTCGCGATCGAGTGTAGAGAGTAGTAGAAGCTTGCCAGAGGGTCAGATTCGGAGGGCGTCAGGGCTTTCGTGTACATGTCGAACGCTGTAAGATATTTTCGAGGAAGGAATTGGAGGGTTGCGACGCCAGTGTTGTTGAGCATACGTGCATCATACAGATCCGAGTTCAGCATACGCTGAGCATTCGTACGCCTGATCAAAGACTTCACAGCATGGGAAACTCCGCGAAGTTGATCTTTCGCGTGAGACACAAACGATTCGACCTCGCGTGTGTCTGTGATCGGATCATAGTCATCTCGGACATTCTCGACCCGAATCTCTGCCTTGTGTTTTGCTCGCTCGGCCAACATTGCAGGATCTATATCGGGCACGAGGAAAAATTCCCATACCATCTCATGTGTTGAGAAAGTAGAGTGTGTCAAGAGACATTGCAGAAATGCGTCAAGTCGAAGCTGAATGTCGCGTAATACAGCCCTCGACGGCTTTGATGGTATCAAGAACGGGGATGTCAAGTTGAAATGAGTTGGTATCCAGGATGCGGGCTGTTCGATGGACAACCATTTTGCAAGATGCTCAAAGTCAGCGACAGAGCGACGACAGGTGGTGACCGTGATCGTGCCGTTCGGATTCGGTCCACCAGACTTGAGGACTAGTCGAACTGTGGCATCTTCTACGAAGAAAGAGCGAACGACAGAAGTAATTCTTCCATCTGCTGCAGGCCGCGTGGACAGCAGTACCAAATCATCGATTCGGTTCCTAACTTCATCATCCTTGGCTAGCTCAACAGCTGTCAACCCTCTGATGTCCTTGATCTGCAAATCCACTCGAGCGTCACCGAAAAATGTTCGAACCAAGTCGAGTCTACCGTATTTGCTCGCCATCATCAGGGGCGTAAAACGTTTGTCATTTGCTGCATTTACGTCTGAATCGCAATGAAGAAGGAGTCGTGCCGTCAAATGAGGGTCGTTGACAATATGTAGTAGAGTGTTACCCTTGTTGTCTATGTGATCAGCAAGATGGAGTGGCTCTTGGTCTGGTTGGGTATTTGTAGCAAGGGTCAATGCAGTTTCGACCATCCATCGATATTCCTGGTGATCATACGACCTGCATAGAGCAAATAACGGTGTTTGACCGTTCTTGTCTTTGAGCCGCCAGGGCAGCATCTCGCCAACCGTCTCCATTAGATGCGGTTGGTTGAATAGGTAGTGGGCAAAGGTTCTTCCTTTGCTATCTTGACGGAGAAAGTAGGATCGTAAAGTGCTATCAGAAGGAGCGTTTCGCAGAATGTGATTGAGTAGGGAATTTGTAAGGTTCTTGTCATCGCCTTGTACAGCAGCAACAAGCAGTGTTACTCCCTCGTTGTTACAGTCTTCCAGAATGAATTCAATGGGAAAGTACTGGTCCAGACTCAGCAAGTACTCCAGAGACGCAAGCTGACCGTTCTCAATGGCCATCATCAAAATTGAGTCTCCACCCAGTCCTTGCGATTGTGAGATTTTCTCGAGCGAACTGTCGCCTGCTGAGGCAGTACTCAGTTGTGAATCAATACTCTTAGATCTGGAGCGAGACGGAGATGAGTACCCGGACGACACAGAGGCACTGCGGAGGCTTGCCATAGTGACACGCTTTCGCTTCGGTTGAATGACTTCTGGAGGTGGTGTCGGCGGTTTTTGGAATGGGAAAACGTGAGCCAAGGATCCTCCAACTGCAGCAAAGTCACCATCAGGCATCGATGATCGTTGTTCTCGCTCAAGGTTCACATTGGTCAGCCGTGAACTGAGACTTGATGCGTCGGCATCTCTGAAGCTGTCGTCGAATGATGGTGCCTCTTCTATGACTTGTCCACCTGCAATCCAAGGAGCGTCTGGTTGGAGCATGGTCCGCAGATCCGGTACATTCCCATTCCTTGTTGCTTTCCATAGTCGCGCGTTTTTCCTCGCTGCAATCCGTAAGGCATCCGAATCCCGGGAAAGGTAAAGTAGCACAGCTTCAAATGTGCTTAACACGTAGCCCATCTCTCCACTATCCACGTCGTCGATGAACACAAAATGCCTCATGTAGGACAATCTGGCGTGCAAATAACGAACAGAGCTTCTGATAACAACAATCAAAAGCATGGATACCAGTGCGTCGGCGTTGATAGTCATGGCTATGCTTGGCTTCTCAGTGGTACCGTCCGCCCGCGTTCCTGGCTTCCCTACGTTGGTGTTTATGGTTGCCGTGACAGTCTTTGCTGTTTCGAGCAGAACTTCGAGCATCTCCTGTGGACTACTGGCCACGCCCATCTTCTTGAAAATGCCTACAGCTCTGTCGATCCTGATTGCCATGTCCCGTTTCCCTCTCATGCCATCCTCAATAGGGACACCGACTTGGGCAATGTCAATATTGGCCATCTTTCGCAGACGGTGCTCGAGTTCGAGATCCTCTGAACGGCGGATGTTGCATATCCGAGGAAACAGAATTGATTCATGCAGTTGCTCAGCGACATGCCGTTCAATCATGCGCTCGACGACCGGCCCTGACAAGTCAGTTGTGGCGCCGAGGAGAGACAATTGTTGTCTGTCGACTCCTTGGAAAAGATCAATAGCAGCAGTCGTCGCACTTTCAAGGGCAAAGCGCATAGAGTCCTCTTCCGGTTCAATGGTCAGGGACGAAAGCCGAATACTGCTGTCGCTTCCAGACACCGAAGATCTCAGGGAAGCCAGCGAATCCTCCAGCGAGGTAGAAGAGTAATCCGACCGTTGTGAGCTCACGGACGGCGCGCGTGACGATTTGTTGGGTACAGGCCCTTCGAACTGGGCAGCAAAGTCCTTGAGAGTTCTGTCCAAGCCATTCTGTAGTTGTCGGGAAATCAACGGAAACGCTGTCAGAAGTTCTGTAAACGATGCAATGTCCTTCTTCTTGACGTCCGAGGCAGATGGAATCATAGTCTTCGGTTTGTCTGCGGCGCGCTGGGCGGCGGTTCTGTTAGTTGCGGGTATGATGCGAACGGAGTCGTAAGAGCCTATCAGGGGTCGCGAGATGTAGTAGATGAGCCATTGCTGGGATTCAGGGATGTCGGGGCAGAACAGGGCGTCGGTCAGAAGTTGAGCCTGGGTCAAACTCTTGAAGCCNTAGATGGTCATGTCAGCGGTGTCGCTCAAGCCTCCTCTTCCTATCCTTGGATGGACGGGTAGTGGTAGATTTAGCGAACCTTTGTTGCTGTAGACATAGGTATCCTTGACAACTACCGTCCTGCCGTTGAGTGTGTTATACTGCTTGGCCTTGCCTTTGGACTCGCGAATGTTTCCTCCATCTTTTGACGCGGTGCCGGGTGGTATACCTCCAGGTATGCGGATGACATGGCTGGAGAGAAATTCCTCTGATACGGCAAGGTCGGCATAAGGCGCAGTCGTCTCGCGGTCGCGGCCCTGGAAGAGCGATTCTGTCGTCGGGACCAGGAGGATGTGGTGGTTGACCGGTAGACACTGCGAGGGGAGGGTGCTTCTGAAGAAGGCCCGCAGAAAGGGGTTTAGAGGGTGCATTCAAGCGGTGGTCGCTGGATCATGGCAGAGTCTGATGCGAAATGCGCCCACGGCCGGGCGGGTCTGTCGTAGTTCCTCTCTTGTTTCTCGCCGAATGATCGACTCTTGGATGCGACTGTCTGTTGTTCCGGGTCTTTACAAACGTCGTGAATCTAGACTGTTACTTTGCTAACACATCCTAACGTTGCTTGCATGCCTAGAGCTCCGCCTCGAGCGCCTTCCAACATGTGACTGTCGCCGGCTCACGTCACCGGCTGCCGGGATCTGATTCTGCCCGCCAAGCTCCACTTTGACCCTTCGTTTAACCACACGAGGCTGACTGAAGGACGCGCACTCTATTCACATATAGCCTAGGGCTTGCTAGGTTGTCTTCGGATGCAGACATGTGCATTCGTGGCGTGCAGAAGCTTCCTCCAGGATTCATCATCAACCAGATCTATCATGTTCGCTTACGGCATTTCACATCCGGTGCCATACGAAGCATAAGAGGCACTGGTCACATTTCTGCAGACAAGGTAGATCGAGAATAGTC